CGCCAAACCAGGCCAAACCTAGATTTTTTTAACCGAGCCTAAATGAAAAAGAGCTAGGCCTAAACGTTGGGCCGTGGGCATGGACCATATCTTAAAAGTGGGACCGGCTCGTTTACTCCTAACCAGACATCATTAGAACGTTAATTTTATCGTTTTGTCATCACATTGCTACGATATGCTACGATTTTAAAAATTATTTTCAATTTTGATTTTAAAATTAAAATTTAATTTTTTCACGTTTGTCTTTGATTTTAATGTATTCCCACTTCATTCTACGATTTCAACTTAACTCCAATGTATTTGGGTAATTAATACCGCCGTCGAATTCGAATAATTGTCTTGAATCGAATAATGGAACAAGAAACGTTTCAAGTTTTTTTGAATACAATTCCATTTTAATTATTGTATAATGCATTCTCAACTCTTGAAACTATTCGATTACAACGCATTCAAACAATTTTATATTACAAATCACAATTTAGAACTTTATGGCATTGATTTTCAAAATTTTTTTTATCAAACTGAAGTTTTATATATTAGCATGAAAAAAACATAAAATTCGGTATTTTCACATTTTCCATAACAATTGTGACAAAATATAACTGAAAGTGGACCAAACGTTCTTTTCCTAAACATTAACAAGCTCTTTCTTTAAAGGTGGATGCAAAAAGAAGGCTTTTATGATCTGTGTGTGCGTAGTCGAGTGGTTCTGCGCTTCTCTTTTCGTTCCGAAACTCGTGGGTTCGAAGCCCACGCTGGCCAAAAAGCACCGTGGCGGCTATTAATGCTTGTTGCGGTCGTCGGTCCAAGCAAGATAGACCAGTTGAGACTTGGGTGTGGAGCAGATCCGTCCATCTCTGTATCCCTCAATCTGCTTTCGAACATTTTTTAGTTTTTAAGGAATTTTTTCATAAAAGTTTTAAATAAAAGTGCATCAGGTAATAACCATAGAAGATTAAAAACATGTTATTAGACCAGTATTTTATATTATGGTTAATTCTTAATATTGTTTATATTTTCCTTTCAGACCGGATTCACACAATATCAAATGTGAAACATAAAAAAAAGTTCAACAAATTTCAAATTTTGATACAAATCTGATTCTTATTGTTTTAAAAAATGACACATTCTCATTAACAATAAAAGCCTTTATATATTATAATTCATTTTTCTATTCATAATTCTGTCATCAGAATTATAAAAGGACGCAGACTGGGATTGGATCTTAACAAAGGTAATAAAACTTATTATTTTGTATAAAGGTTTTAGTTGGGCTAATTAACAAAGTTATTGTAGTATTGCGTGGGAAACTCCATAATTAACGTTCGTTTTGACTTTATTACGATAGATATCCATGCGATATAAAAGTTGAGTTTTGTGGAGCAAATGTGAATACAGATCTTTTTTGGTTTTTGCAGGGCAGCTATTTTTTAAGATTATTTATAAGTAGCATTATCGTATTTTAAAAAATTATTTGTTTAAAACGTTAGCCATGACATTTTTTTAGTTATATAGAATTCACGTAAAACATTATTTACTTTTACAATTTTAAAATAACGTATCTACTAAACTGTGCGTCTCACTTCCATCGTATAAGGTGTCGCCTGTTGCGGAAAGCCAAGATTTTTTCGTAAAAAAATCGCAAAAAAATCAGAGGAAAAAGAACGCGTTTTCCGAGGATTTCTGAAGGTCAACGTAAAACGTTCACCTAGATTTTACAAGATTCAGGTGTCTTTGTTGTTTTTGAATATTGATCCGATGAAATCGATGTGTTGCTGAGGTGTTTTTGACCTTTTTTGGTCAAACACCCATTGATAATGTTATTTTAGCGCGGAAATGAGGGTTCTTTCGCGTGTTTTTTGGTTTTGAGATGTAATATGGTTTTCTAGGTATTGTGGGTTATTTTAGATGTTATCTGATTACATTTGTTTAGCTTTATATGAATTTTATATGGCTTTATAATATATTGATGATGGTATAGCAATCATGCTAGACTCCATTTTTAAATATTTACAATTTTTGTTTACTTTATTCCATATAATGGTCAAATTACAAATGTCGTTTTGTCAAATTGTATTTGACTTAATTTGAGTAACCCTTGTTGGTAATCTGATATCAATATTTGGGTATCACAATATTATTTAGCCGAGTTAACGAAAATGGCGGGAAATTGTGTTGGTTCAGCTTGTTTGTGAGTCAGATGGGCAGTAAGTGTTCTAGTCTTATTTTTCGTTTTGTATTCGACATTTGGGGGCAATTTTGCGACACGCCAATATTGTTGTAGACGTAATTAAGTACGAAGTTATAATGGCTGAAGAGTTTTAGGTTTAAAAAGGTTTTTGAGGATTCTGAGGGATTTTGAAGTTTAATGCTTGGTTCCTTGTATGACTGGCAATATGGGGAATATGTTTTCGGTTTATTATGTTTAAGGGCATTTTGAGTAGTTGGAGTTGAACTAAGTAAATAGTAGGATGTAAAGGTTATACTAAATTCAGACTTACTTAGTGTGTCAATTAAAAGTATGTTTATCGATGTCTTGTTGAAACATTTGTCGTACGGTTTTATTTAAAATTTTGTTTGTTCTGCCTATGTTAAGGTCTTTGAAGCCAATTGTGTTGTAGCTACCTGATTAGCTCAGTTTGTAAATACAATTTTTGACTCAAAACAAATATTTTTATAGACAGCATTACGAAGAGTAGTTTGAACGTGACAAAACGATATTCAGAGCACAGTCTGACAATAAATATTCCGAACACAACCCTATAACAAATATGACAATTCGAACAACAATCCTCACAAATTTGAATTGAGTTCTGTTTAATTGAGCGAGCTCTCCCGGTCTCCGCTTTCGCCACGGGTTTTCCCACTTAAAGGTGTTCCGTCTCGAAATTCTTCTCGGGATTTGCGGGTCTGAGGACTTACTGATTGAAAAAACGTCGGAATGTGGGGAGAAAATATTCCCTCTTGGCCTCACAGGTAACAGACCGACGGGACTGCAGATTTTTCGTCGCTCTTCGGGATAGATATAACTTGTTTTACTTGTGAAAGGGATCCCTGTACTTGTGCTTTGTCGTGCACTTGGTCTTGGGATCTTGTACTGATCTTTTTTGTCTTTAACTTTTGGTTGACGTTAGTGTGACATTGTGTTGTAGTTGATCATAGGGAAGTTGGCAGTCTGTTTATATTGATATTAAGGATTTAGCTACGAGGAAAAGACTTTTGCGAATTTTGGAACGCGGAAAAATGATGATTTTAAGGATTGTGGTGTGTAGAAATTATTGTTTTACTGTATTAGGAGGTTATGCGGTTACTGTGGATATTATCTTTTGTACCAGAACGCAATCAATAATGTGCTTTTTTCTCTGAAGATATTGTACCCTATTTTTTCAGCTTAATCACAACTTTGAATGTAGGCAAGTACGAACTCTCTAAAGTCCGAGTGTTCATCATTATAATAACTTGCAGCTATGTTGTTTAGTTCGTTTTGAATTTAAAAGGACAAAAAAATTTTTCCTAAGCCCACACTAATCAGAGCACATTGTTTATGATACTTGACGATTTGTTAAAGTCATTTGTGATATATGACATTCTCAATTTGTAATATATGACGTTTTCAATATGATGGATAATATTCCTTATTTTCTTCCACTTTTTTTGATCGCATGGATAATATGACACATGGAGCGGCGCTCTTTCCGTCTCTCCTTTCGTTACTATGGGATTTCTCTCTCGATTTTTACTGATTTTTTATTGTGTGCAAGCCATTTTTTGCACACGGATACCTAGCCAAAGTGATAGTTGTTTTGAGTAATCGAGATGATAGCCGCGGACAATCAAAAACGAGAGATGTGGGTGGTTTCATGGGGTTCGTAAGGAGTTTCATATGTGTTCGGGCGAAGTGTGAGGTGTTATTTTGATTTTCGACGCTTTCTGCTGTAGTCTTTCATTTTTTCTTATTATTTTGGGTATATATGTAAGGCGGTTTTGCGAAGTTATATTCAACTAAATGATAATTGAGCTTGATAACATTATGTTTTATTTTTCCTTTTAAATATTCATTTTAAAATATATAACATCTTGTAAACTTAGAAAACGCTCTTTGACACAGGATCATGTAGTGTTTATAGACGCATCTCTTGTTGGTTGTGGTCAGCGTCTGTTGTTTTTTCACATTTTTATATTTTCAAGTCTCATTTTATGAAAAAACAAAATAAACGACAGACAATTCAAAGAGATGCGAACACAAAAAATAATGTTATACTAACCTAGCAGAGCCTTCTGGATGCTTAACGCATTATTTTATATAAAAAGGGGTTTTTATTTAAAAAGGAAGCTTTAAAGATGTAGGTAAAGCAAAAATCTACATAAACTGCAAGAGAAAGATTGGTTTATCGCGGTGTACCTATAAATATGTTTCTATAAATAGACTAAGAAGTGTGAGCCATGATAATATATTACTAATAGGCGAACGCTATTAGATTCCCTCACTGCAATTTGATAAGTCTTCTCTCATAAACAAGCGGAAGTTAATTTTATCAAATTTAGATTAATTGATTTTGTTGATCAGTTCGGTGCTAATGTGATTTTACCTAGTTAAAAACTGTGGTTATGTTTGAGTTGACGTTCGTAGTCAATTTATTGGTTTTGTCTGGTTAAGAAATCTTGTAGATCAAGTGATTTTTCTTCAAGTTTTGGGTTTTGAAAGGTGTTGAAGGGTGATTCTTGGGGTTTTATCATGGGGAAAGTTGTGATAAAGGGTAAATGAGGATTTTTTCGGTTTGATTTTCTAAAAATGTTGTTAGTTTAAGGCTAATCATATTGTTATGAATATTAAACTAATTCTTTGCAGTCGTTTATTGTAATGCTATATTATATTTTCGTATTATAACGCGAGCTTTAAAAAAACTTATTCTGTTACCTAAACTAACGTTTTTTCAGGGAAAATCGATTCGACGATACAACCATCCTTAACATCGCAACCTTCCCAATCTGGACCGGTTATGGCCCATTTGTCAGCGACTCCACGTCGCTTCGGCGGCAATGTTCCTCAGATTCAGACCAATAAGTAAGTTGTCTTAACGTTGTTTGTTTCAAAAGTGTAGGCACTGAAGAGGGATGTTCATGACTGTTGTTCATGTTGTTATTTATGATGTCTTTTCGCGAACCCCCTAAGGGCGTACGCGTCTAAAAGGCATATAAAAATGAAGAAGGCGCGTGAAACGTCACATTTGGGCCAAAACCGTTTTTTAATTATAAATTAGCGGTGTTAGAACGACATGAACCCAGTAGGCTTAAGAAGACCGGAAAAGGTTTTAAAATCTACATGAGACGGGTAAACAATGTTTTCGTATTTATTTATCAGAGCCCAGCTTATATTTGATCTTCTGACCGAGAAGTGAAATGTCAAGGACCGCGAAATGGATTGGATCTGTCCCCAGGGAATGGACCAGTCTTAAAAAAAAGAAAGTTTTAAAGTTATTTGCATTTACCATTTCCGGCGGCGGTCTCTGATAGTCTTATCAGAGCCCGAGTTATGAGGGGAATTCTGAGGAACCGGCTTTTACCAACTAGAATATACTTCAAAAGTTTTCAGTGCATAAATTTGTGACGAATTTGTTTTTTTTTTGTGAACTTTGAAACATTATGACTAAATGAGTGCCTTTGTTAAAATAGTATCAAAATAACAGGTTTCAAAGTAGCCACATTAATTTACATTTACTTGTTACCTAAATTTGAACTATGTTTGGACAGCCTATGTCTCTTGTGCAGGAAAAGTACAATGACTACTTAATTATAGAGCCTGGTTTACGTAGTAAGTTGACGTAAGACAGGTTCGAGTACTTTTCAAAGATTATTACACTTTGAACTTTAAATTTGATGTTATTATACGAAATGTCATCATATAAAATACCATTATATGTAACGTCTTTAATTCAATTTATTGTCATAGGAATCAGACAAAGGACTTTAAAGTTATATACAATTTTAAGTAATTCTATTGTCTTTTTGTTGTGTTAATACCACTACAATTGACTATGACACTTTGGTTTTAATACATTATATGTTAATGTTATTAAGTTAATACTTACTATTGAAGACTTATTACAAAATTTCAATTTAGTTATATATTAATACTAGGGTAATCATATTAAGCCGGTATAATTAATCACGCTTTATATAAACCTTAAGTAGTTTTCGTTTCTGGCCAAAACAATATATTATAATGGATTCTTAAAAGCCTAACGAGGTCGCGAACACAGTAACGCAATCACTTTACGAGCTTCGTATAAAACGTTACAAGATCCGTCTGGCGCAGATTTATGAAACATATTATACGAAACATGTTATAGTGGAGGCGTCCCATTAATTTCGGCGTAACCCCGGGTTTCTTGTGCCCATTCCCAATTTCCGTTTTTTCAATGTTCGAATTGAATGGATCCCGGGGCCGATGTCTTAATCAAATCTTTTTGAGCAAAAGTATTGGCAAAAGGTTTGGAAGGCAACATGAATAAGTGCAAACTTTAATCCCACGGTCGAATTTTGAGATTAGCCTGGGATTTCGGGGTGGAGATTGTTTCAAACTTTGCGATATTTTGGCATTTTTTGTGATTTTTTTGAGCGATTATGGGCTCAGTTTTTATTTGTAGGGTTTTCTAGTTATTGAAGGCGTTTTATCTTGCTTTTATGGTCAATATGCTTGTATTCTTAACATTACGTGCTTTATTTTGGTAGCTGCGAGCAGTAATTTTGTTTTTTCTTGTTAATCTTGATAGTTTTTGTTATATTTAGGTTTGTTCTGAAGTTATCGTCGTATTAATTGTTTGGAAGAATTACTGTGTAAAAATGATTTAGGTTTAAAATTGCTGATATTATTGTTGGTTTATTTTAAAGTTATTAATGTTACGATTTCAGGCAGACAATAATGGGTGCGGCTGTCCCGAACGAAGTCGCTAACATCGCGGTCAAGTACAGCTTCAACTGGACGGAAAACTCATTTCAGCAGGACATTACGTCGTTGGCCAGGCTGATTCGTCAAGAAATCAACCGCGAAATGAGGATGAAGGAAGGCTGTGTTAACATGGGGGTATGTTGTCTTTATTTTATGGTAAAAATTGATCAATATTGACTTGGGATAGTTAGGTTAAAGTTAAAATCTTTATAATGATTCGTTAGTTTAAATATTTCAGGAGATATTTTAATAAGAATACAATTTGTTACCTAAAATAATGTTCTTTATTTTCAGAAAGCTGTGATTGATAGAAAAACGGTCGAATACATTAAAAGTGATATCGAACGAATTACTGGTAAAATCGACGATATGCTACAAGATTTAAGCGCTTTATCTGTATATACTTGTGGTGAGCTTAGACATTTTCGTTAATTGCATTTTTGTAAATCTCTTCTTTAAGTTTATGTTGAATTGACGTATTTTACTTGTTATATATTTATAATTACCTTACAGTCGAAGAAGACTTAGCAGAGAACATAGAAGCAGTGGAAGATAACACACAAGAAAACGAAGACGGATCTCCAAATTTGTCAGCACTTTATTCACGATTAAATGCTTTGAAAAAGGAGCTGGACAAAGAGGTAAAGGTGAAGGAGGGCCTGGACAGAATGATGGCAGCGCATGCCTCTAGCAAGAATGCCTACAACAACGTACAACACAGATCGAGCGACTTGATCGAGGATAACAAGGCTAAAATCGCATCGTTGCGGATGCAAATCGACAGGTTGAACATGATGCTAAAATCGAGGAAAAGCAGCGATCCGGGTGAGTAACCTTTTGGTGCTCTTTAGTATTGTTCATGATGGTTTAGTTATTTGAGATTCTGGTGAATATGTGAAGATTAAAATCAAATTATGTTATTTTTAGAAGACAGGACGATAAATTCCATTGAGTTTATAATGCAAGACCTACTATATCGTTTGTACAAGGAGGTGGCGTTAGTGGATGGTGCTAAAAACATGTTGAGGACGTTGAGTGAAATGAAGAAACCCGATGTCAGGACTCGAAAAGATGCCACAGATACGTTAGATCGAGCTCAAGAGAAGATATCTTTGATCAAATTGGCTTTGGAGAAATATACGTACGTTCATATTAATTATAGTTTAAATTCGACGTATTTTACATTTCTTTACTCTGATATTGAAACTGTTTCTTTGCGGTTTTAAATTTTTCTAATATCTTTAAAAGTCTTTAATGCTTTGTATTTTAGTTGTCGCTTACCACAAGACTCACCAAAAAGAACGTCAGTATGTCGTGACATTGATGACATTCAAAGACCAACAAGTTTTCCTCCGCTCAGCATTTCAGAGCGATTTTCTCCGCCTTCAGGCTCACAGCATCTGAGAACGATGAGCGACGATTCATCTCCAATTTCGCAAAAGAGTATCTTAAGTTCGGCCAGTCAATCGACCATTAGTTTTGGTCGCAAATGCCCAGCTGGACCACCTCTGTTGGCTGTTAGCGGAAAACTGGAAATTAAGTAGGTTTTTTAATAATTCTGATATATTTATTAGCTAATATGTTGAATACCATTTAAAAAAGCTTTTCATTTTATGGTTCAATGCTATACTTTGTTTTTACATGTTATTATGATTATATCTTTTAGGCTTATCGGTTGTAAGGGCTTGTTGTTGGATGGAAGTGTCAGACCAAATGCTTTTTCATCGAGTAACGGTCACAGTGAAAATGGCAAACGAAAAATGTCACGACAACAAAGGTAAGCTATTTTTAAATGTTATTTCAGGCGGATTAGGAGTGTCTTATTATAACAATTATGCCTTACATTACACATCCTTTTCCTTAACAACAGCTTAATATCTATAAAATAACCATCAGTCTTGTCTTTTTGAGTATATCTTGTTCTACTCCTCTAGTCCGCCTGTTTGCACTGACTGCTTTACCGTTTTTCCTGCCAGCCATCAACTGCGAACCGGACAATTCGACGAGGTCTTGGCCGCTCTCCGATTGGACAACCGAGTTGTCGCAGCGACAGAAGCACGTACAGCACGAGAGACCTGCTGGAATCAGACGTTTGATTTGGAGTTGGACAGAACTAAGGAATTGGAGATTGAATTGTACTACAAAGACAGCAGAAGCATCTGTGCCTTCTTGGTGTTGCGATTGGGAGAATTCATCGATCCTGGACTTCACAAGAAGGTGTTTGAACTGGAACCTCAAGGACAGCTTATTTGTGAGGTAAGGTCATATAAGTTTAACAAACACGTTATGTTTTTACATTAGTTCTACTACGGTGTTTAGTTATTATTAAATTTTGAAATTAAAAAAAGCTTTGAAGATTAACAGTGAAATATATTCATATAGCATGAAAGTATCAAAAATCATGTTAATGTTTCAGCTCCGCTACCTCGATCCGATCGAAGGCCGCAAACCAAAGCTAGAACGGCAGAAGCGACTGTTCCACGTGAAAGAGCGACGTGATATGTCAAACATGAAGAAGTTGCTGGGTCCGAATGCGTGGTTCAGGCTTCTGAAGAGTGGGTCCGGCTCTTCGGGCGTCCGAGAACCGTACGGATATTCAGGTGAGGCTTGGTATGATAATCGTGGTCTACTGTGGTTGTTTAATTGTCATTTTTTTCGTCTATAAATGTTCTGTCTATACATGTGGAAAGTGCACAGGGTTGCTTTAATTTTGTCGCGGAAGTTTTGGGTTTTGAATAAATTTTGAGCATTGATTTTTGGGAGTATAGGGCAAGATGACTAGTTTAATATATACGAACTGGGATTTGCATATATTATACTGCTTTCACAACATGCTGTTTACTTATGATCTTGCTTTAAGGTTAACGTATTTAAGGCTTTATCTATCGTATTTAATGTTGTAGAAATTATACTAAATGCTTGACAGCGAGTTCACTTTCTATCATACTTGACTTATTATCTGTTATACCTTATTTACTCTCTGTTATACCTAAAGTTCAAACAACTAGACTTTTTCGTCTCTCTGAATATACTGTACCTCCAAAATGTTACACTTGTGTTTTGATTATGTTTTCTCCACTGTTGACTTAAAATGCAAGTTTATTTATAAAAGGAAATGGGATATTTTATATCTACTTGACTTTTCCAACGGAAGTATTTTGAATTCGGAAACGTTCCGCTGTTCTTCTGAATTCCAAATTACGAGAAATGTTGAGCTGGGGTTTGTCGTAACTTATTTATAGGCTAGGACGGGGTTTAGTTTGTTTATAAGGTAGTGCACGGTTGTTTTTGAGTCAATTTCCTTTACATTAGTCTTTAAAAGACTGGTATTCTGACAATGTTAATAACATATTATATAAACATAGTACTTACCTAAAATTGTCGCTCTCTTTTCTATAATTATTTCTGTCTGATACAGTAGTATAAGGTTACTAGTGTAAGGTAAATTACTGTTTTGCAACGTTTTGGTCTACTGAATAGGTTTTACTTCCTCATGACACTTGTGAAGTCTTTAACAACAGAACGGAGAAGGATAAACGATCTTCTCAAATGCAATCCAAGTAAATATTTACGGTAGTAAATGGCATGTTTTGCAAAATTTCAACTCGTTTACGTTGTAAATCTATATGGGTTTGAGGAAATTCACGCTTTATCTTGTCTCGCTTGACGTATTGCCCTTTTATATCGTTAGAGGGTATATTTTTAGAATTACACCTTTTTTAGGATTTGTGATTATAAAGTTACTAATAAAACTTGTGACTTTCTTTATACTACTTTAGTACGTTTAGAATGCCATAAATAAGTTAATTACAACTTAAACAAGTCTTGAGAATGCTAATAATAGCTAAGACAACGTCCGTCTTTCCAGCCTTCCTTCCATTTGACGTAGATAGCTAATTAGAGGTGGGATTCCACGCCAAGAAAAAACAATTCTGTGCACAAAACTTTTCTGAATATTGTAATTGGTGGTTGGTGTTTGCAGTTTCGTCCACATCGTCGTATGGTGGGTCGAAGTACGGACAACGGTACGATCCGGTCGGCGGACAACGCCCGCTGGCCGGCATGGCTATGAGTCAGTCCGTGTACGGATCGCTAGGAGGTTCAATTAATGCTTCAAGTCCTCCTTCAGCTTTCACCTCAACTCCACTGCCGCCAACCAAGCCGGGAGCGACAGCACATTACAAAGGAGTTGGTTTGGAGGAGCTCAAGGTAGGTTAATATCAGTTTTTAAGAAAAAAATGGCGGAAAAACTTGGCAAATACATTTTTTTTGAAATTTTTTATAATTTTTTTTTATTTAAAGGATAGGTAAAAACGGGTTTAAAAAGCCTTTTTAGGCCTATTTTACCTTTTGGAAACAAAATTGTTTCGAAAGAAAACAAAATCTTGTTTTGCTACGAAGTGTAACCAAAAGTCAATTGTGACATTTCGCGAACTTAAAGGTTTTATATTTTCTAAAAATCCTTCTTTCAGGCTTCTCTTCCAACTGCACGTAGACAATCTAGTCCAAATGTTCATCGACTGGTCGAAACCGAAGCTCAACACCCACCACGTATCTCACAACGACATGCTTCACTGGTACCCCAAGAGCAGAGAATCACACAGGACCACTTTAGAATGATCTCAGTTTTGGGTAGAGGACACTTTGGAAAAGTAAGATTTTGGGTTTATTTTTTGAATTTTAGGCAAAATACGGAACCTAACATGTTTTATGTTCCTGCATACTATTCTAAAGGATGTATTGAGAAAGGGATACTTGTAAACTACTCAAAAGTCGATATTATAGCTTAAAAATGTTATTTTAGGTAATACTATGCCAACACAAATTCAATCAGAAGCATTATGCTCTCAAGATCTTGAAGAAAGGCGATATTCTGGCTAGAGAAGAAGTCGAGTCCTTGATGGTTGAGAAGCGTATCTTCGAAGTCGCTTCAAGAAACAAACATCCTTTCTTGGTGAATCTCTTTGCTTGCTTCCAAACCCCAGAGCACGTCTTTTTTGTTATGGAATACTCGATGGGCGGCGATCTCATGAGGCATATTCACGACGAAATATTCAGTGAAGACCGTGCCTGCTTCTACGCGGCTTGTGTCTTGTTAGGACTTGAATTCTTACACAAAAACAACATAATCTACAGAGATCTGAAGCTGGACAACCTGTTGCTGGACAATGAAGGATACGTGAAGTTGGCAGACTTTGGATTGTGTAAAGAAGGAATGGGACCCCTTGAGAAGACGTCTACGTTCTGTGGTACTCCTGAGTTCTTGGCTCCAGAAGTTTTGACAGAAAGCAGTTACACTAGGGCTATCGACTGGTGGGGTCTTGGTGTATTGATCTTTGAAATGTTGGTGGGCGAGGTAAGAATTTATATGTTTTTGTTGTTATTTTAGGTAATTAATTATTTTCGTTGACATTACTTTCAATGTTTATTTTATACTTTGTTTTTTATGGTATTTACGGTTATTGTTTTTAGCCACCATTCTCTGGAGACGATGAAGAAGAGATCTTTGACTCGATTGTCAGCGACGATGTACGATATCCAAGAAGTTTGTCCGTTGACTCAGTCGCGATTATGAGAAGGGTATGTGTTTTTTCTCAATGGTTATATTGCAAGGTTATCTAATATATATTGAGTTAGGTTTTAGTATAAATTAATTTTCTGCATTATTATTAATTATTCTTTCAAAGTTTCTAGTAATTCATTGTTAATTTTTAGTTGTTACGTAAAACTCCAGAGAAGCGTATTGGTTATGGCGAGTACGATGCTAAAGACGTCAAACTACAGGCATGGTTTGCGGTAGGTTTTTTGATAATTTTGCAGTTTTTTGTTGTTTATACTATTTTTGTTAATTTATATTTCTTGTTTTTAGTCTTTCCACAACAAATGGGATGATTTACTGCGGAAGAAAATACGACCCAAGTTTGTGCCGACAATTGTAAGTTTTTTACTGTATCTTGATTTTCAAAAAGGGTAGTTTTAAATGACACTTTTGGTTTTTATAATATTTATATTTTTAGCGTAACCCAGAAGACGTCTCTAACTTTGATGAGGAATTCACTCGGGAAAACCCTCGTCTCAGTCCAGCACGAGATCCTCGACCGATAACTGAAAACGATCAGCTTCAGTTCCGTGGCTTCGACTTCTCCAACCTTGATCTGAACTCGAAAAACGGCCATTAATCAACACACCTTCTGATCCTTCAAACTACTCGTATTATGGCATTTCATTAAGATCTGGAACAGTGTAGTCTTTTATGTTACAGTATAACTGGTGCACAAGATAGTGATGCTACTTTAAGGCTACAGTAATGTAAATTTGTAATCTTACACTTAATGTGTGATAGTTTACTGTAACTTTACAACAAAGTATGTCAACTATTGTGCTGCAGTTAAACGCTAATGTAAGCTTTATCCTAAAGTAATATTATTATTATTATTGTTAAACGTTCTCAAGTGATTATGTAGTACTCTCGATCGTATTTCTTTAATTGATTTCATGTTACGGTATCTAAACTTAATCCAATCTACTGTAAGTCCAAGCATTCAACAACATTGTTTTAGCATTGGTTTCGAAAAGAGTCCCGGGTTGTTCACTTTCTGTTTTCTCGTGTCTATATTGTAATAAATCTTAGCTTAACCTCAAATAAATTGAAAAATAATACTTGGTGGATGTCATTTTGTTATATTCAAACTAAATATTTAAATTGTTAATGATGGGCAACTTTGGGTGTTAGTGAAAGAAAAACTGTTATTGTTCGTGATTGCCGTATGATTCAATCACAGGATATGAGATTATACTTTTTACAGATTTCAGTTAGAATAGTGAGTAATATAAATAATTGTATATGAAACAAAGTATGTTTTAAAAAGTAAATTTACAGTTTAAAGATGACAGACGTGGTGGACGCCGAAAACCCAGAAGTTAAACCGAAAGCGAAGGACAAAGTAAGAAGCAGAATGTAATATATATATAAAATACGTTTATAAAATTTTGGATTATTAATTTATGGAAATAATACGATATTGTTATAGTGGTTCCGTTTTGACCCTGGGTTCCCGGTGACAGCATTATCTTCGTTTATGACATTTGGGTTAACACAGATGATGGTATATGGAGTCACAGGAAATGCAAAGACAGCATTGTAAGTTATAATTTACATTCACATACCGAATGGGCACGTACTATTAGGTTGTTTGGATAATTCTGTGCGCTTTAACCTATATTTTTTTTATTTTTTTGTAGGAGGCTCAGAATTATTTAAACAACCTAATATAATATTCTGTTTAAAAGCGTAAAGAACTAAAGGGAAACAATTCTATGGTCCTTTTAACCTTTCGTATTTTCATTTATTTTTAAATATGTTATCTATGAATTTGTATATTTTAGTTTCTGCTCGCTGCTAACTTTCCCAGTATCATGGACGATGGGTTTAATGGACGCGGAACAAGATTTTGTCAAATGGAAAAAGACAGCTGCCCTGAGGGAAAAAGGGATCAGCGAAAAGTTCATGCCCTACAAAGTGAAATATGACTGGTCGGACTATCAAGACAAAATGGTTCTGAACCCGGACCGTGTCAAGTTAGATTGATGTATAGTTTGGTTATTAAATTAATGATTTCAAATTGATGTAACTGTTATTGTAGGTAGTTTGGTGCCTTTTATGGTCTCAATAATGGTATAGTGGCATGTATAGGTATTACCCATTAATTTCTTTATCTTACACTAAAACATTAAGTTTTAATATTTTGAAATTTTCGAAATAAAAATTTGTTGACTGTCGCAAGGTAATGTTCAAACGCTTGTCAAAGTCAAGTTTGAACAAGACTTAATTGCTGTACAGATCCAGTTCCTCACAAGGTCAAGGCTGTAATTAAAACAACGGATTCCATTTCGAATAAGGAGAATGACACAATGACGCTAGACTTCCAGGAAAAGAAAGTAAAAGTCGACGAGAAAACAAACTGAAACAAACGGGTTACTGTAACAAAAAAAGTACATTAACCTTGGAAGGTTGATTGATTGAAGATACATTACTTTGGATTAGCATGTTTGATTTGGCAGTTATAGAAAATGAAAAGAAGACGTTACAACAGTGATCTAAATATAAATGTTAGTGATTTTAAAGGCTTGATTTACATTCCACTCTGTGTTAATTTCGTAATTAAAATAAAAGAAACGATAAAATTTTGAAAAGGTGAGCAAAAAAATTGCAGAATTGCGACAATGTGATCATGAGCTCACTTTTCAACAATGAGCTCATGATCTTTGAAAAGAACTGTTAAGGCATTGCTTTATCGTCCAATATAGTTACCCCAAGTTCGATGTTGTACTATGCATTTCTTATATTTTGTACAATTTTTACATAATTTTTCGCGCAAAGTAGCCGTTGTATAACCTTTTCCAAGAAGTCAAAAGTTTCAAAAATAAAAATTATGTTTCGACACAACAAACAATAGAGACTACAATAAACTCACAATAGACTTCTCTACCACAGTAGAGTACAATGTCATTCCAAGAAATAGCATACGGTCGTATCTGTCGCTCCAGAAAGACAACACCATCGCCAGTGTCATCGTGACAGCCAGACGAACATACGAAGCGAGCGAACTGTTTCATTAGCTCGGTTACCGTCATTAAGCGACGGAAGGGGGGTTTTTATGCAATTTACCGGGCGGAGGATCCGGTTACTATTTAAGAGCAGGAAACGACGATTGTTGCTATACCATGAGTTACGACAAACTTGACGAAGACGCGTCGCTGCGGGCCCAGGCCGAGGGCATTCGTACCATCGCCTTTCTGGGCGTGGTACTCTCGACCATTGCCACAATGGGCTGTGTCATCACCGTGCCCATGGTCTACAACCACATGCAACACATGCAAACCATGATGCAGAACGAGGTCGACTTTTGTCGCGCGCGATCAGTCAATGTTTGGAAAGAAGTCACCAGGACGCAGGTATTAGTTGCTTTTGGGTTCTATGGAATGGTACTGCTTTAAAATACTGTACTTTACTTATACAGTTTATTTTGTTTTTTTTGCTTTTTTTGAAATATTTGAAACAAGTTTTACCATTAATTTTTTCATTCATTGATAAAAATTACAAAAAATTAATAATTTTAGGTATTGAGCCAAGTTATCCCACGCCACAAACGTCAAGCTGGCTACTCAACAGACGCAGCTGTAATGGGACCGCCTACTACAACATGTTGTGGTTGTGGAGTAAGCCCAGCTGGTCCACCTGGGCCACCAGGTCCAGACGGAAACCCAGGAAACGATGGTTCACCTGGTACACCAGGAATGCCCGGTTCAGATGGTCCACCTCCTCTGCCAACTCCACCAGTCGAATTCTGCTTTGACTGTACGCCTGGAGCACCTGGCGCGCCCGGAAATCAAGGTCCACCAGGTAGTCCAGGAAATGCTGGTGGACCTGGAATGCCTGGTCCAGATGGCACACAAGGACCGCCAGGACCACTGGGTCCACCTGGCTCTATTGGAGAACCAGGCCCAGCTGGACAACCTGGTTCACCTGGTGCCCCTGGTCAGCTACGTGAAGTCCCAGGTCAAGTTGGCCCACCAGGGCCGCCTGGACCATCAGGACCCCCTGGCAGTATGGGACCACCTGGAGGTGAAGGAATGCCCGGTACGCTTGGCCCAATGGGACCACCTGGAGATATGGGAGCAGCTGGTCCACCTGGAGTACCTGGCGGGCCAGGAGAAAGTGGTCCTAATGGTCTACCTGGTCCACAAGGAGGTTGTGAGCATTGTCCGCCACCTCGAACTGCTCCTGGATACTGATTCAGAAGTCAGAAGCTTGTTTCCTATCGTGATCTGTGTCATAATAAATATTGTTTTGTCATCAAAGATTGGTATTGTTTTCTAATGTTTTTGGCAATGTTTTTGGAAAAAGTAGAAAAACACTTGTGAATAATGAAATTTTGAATAACGACAAAAACTTAAATAATTTTTTCAAAATTCCTTCGAAATGTTACCCATTTCCTTATTTTCGTACCCAAAATCGGTCGATTGATTCGTGTCGTATTAGTCCAGCTAAACGATGCCTCAGAAAACGATATCTGCTCCAGTCGTCTTCAAGCAGCAGGAGAAGAAGCCGGCTCCGAAGAAGGAGAACGAAGACAGCGACGAGTCCTCATCTTCTTCTGACGACGACGATAGCGACGATTCCAATTCTGAAAAGGGTGTGGACGAAAACGAAATTATCAAGAGCGAATTCCTGGACAAACTCATTATTCGACTGATGAAGGCGCCCCAGAAGGCGGAATCGAGGAAGAAGAACAGGAGAAAGTTGGCACCACTGATCGAAGTGCACCTGGAGCTGGATGAGCTGAAGGAGCTGTGTAATATGGCCATCAAATCGTTCGAAAAACAAAGCAGCTTGCTCACCATCAAAGAGTAAGCTTACCAAAATATTTTTTTCTTGTCGAAAAACTGGGAAATCGTATAAAACTGTACCTAGTGCTGCGCCCGGTTAAAAAATGTTTTTTTCTTGATTTTGTAAAAGTAAAACAACTTTTGGATAGATAATATTGCAAAATTCAGAGAGACACTACCGTTGATCATTTGTGCAGATATTCATGGACAATTTGCTGATCTGCGTAATATTTTCTTACGTTGCGGACCTCCACACAGACAATCGTATCTCTTCCTCGGTAAGTTAATATTTTTGGTGTTTTAAAAGTTTTAGATTCAAAACGTAGAAAGAAAAAGAACAATTATCTTTTTACTATAACTTGGTTTGAATTTTTTAAAATTTTTTGTCAAACTTAAAACTGACTGAAGATTATAATATCTGCAATGTAATTTTTTAGGTGATTATGTTGATCGCGGAGTTCAAGGAATCGAAGTTATTTCCTTACTACTAGCCTTGAAGATCAAATACCCAACAAAAGTATATTTGCTACGAGGGAACCATGAAGATGCGAACACTTGTGCTTCGTACGGTTTCTACGACGAATGCATCAACAGATTCATGAGCAAGGACAACAAAATTGGAGAAGATGCAAGTTTTTTGGTGTTTTTTATAGATAAAACAGTATTATGTGGAAACGGAAATGTTGGCAGATTCTAATTTGAATATTGCGACACTGGAGTAAGTGTTTTGTCATAAAATAACGCTGATATTGTTTTAGCTGTGGAAAAGGTTTGTGAATGTGTTCAACTGGATCCCTTTGGCCGCTATTGTCAACAAGAAGATACTTTGCATGCATGGGGGTATTTCACCTGGAATTACGAGTCTCCAAGCTATAGCTGACGTAAGTTGCCTGCTTTTCTTTACCTTTTTTTATTTTAGATACCTCGTCCTCGAATCATTCCTCCCTACGGTCTTATGTGTGATTTGGTATGGGCCGATCCAGAAGAGAAGCTACAAGGCTGGGCTATGAACTCCAGAGGCATTTCACTGAGCTTTTCGGATAAAGTTGTCGAACAGTTCTGTACCAATCTTAATATCGACTTGATTGTGCGAGGACACCAGCTCACAAAAGAGATGATCAGAAATGGGTATCGCTTCTTCTTCAAAGGACGACTTCTGTCCATCTTCTCTGCTCCAAACTACCTGAATATGAGGAACTCAGCTTGCGTTTTGAAGGTTTCTAAATCGGTAAGTTTTTGTTGTTGCAATACAATTTGTTTTTAATGTTTTATCAATATCTTAGTATTATTTTACTCGTAGACTGTCCGTTATGTTGTGTTCTACTAATATTATTCGTTTTCAGATGAAATGTCGCTTTATTGTGTTCAAAATGCAGACAAAGAAACAACGAAAGAACAGCGAATAAACAATAAGATGGAGCAAATTAAAATTTATTTAGGACTGTCTTTTGCATGGTATATTATGTTTGGTAAACAGTATTGCAATATTGTTCTTGGATATTATTGTTGCTTGAAGTTTTGGTCTTATTTTTATTAAATACTGTCTTTACCAGTCGTCAAGTTGTTACTAAGTATTACTATAAGATGTTCTATCGTTTTTTACTACGTTAACTGTTTTTTATTGTTATTGTTGTTATATTTGAAGATTTTTGTTGGTTTTTTGAGAAATTTTGTTTTTGACATTCCCAGAATTTTTAAAAATTTTACCATTGAAACTTCGAAACTGGTTGATTAATTCATTCGGAAGTTGAATTCCATTTTGTTGCGGTCGGTTCTTACCAGTCTAGACTGACGAAACAAAATGGTCCACGAACCAAAAAAACAAAAAAATAATCGATTTGTGAATGGAATGAAGGCGGTTGTCACTAGGGTAGGTGTTATTGCATAACTGGCTTACTTTTTGTTTATTTTTTTTTGCATTTTTTAAAAATGTTTGTACTGTTTTTTTGACAATCCTGGTTTTGAAAAGAACTGATGATGTTGTTTTAGGCTAGAAATTATGTGACTCTACGTAGACGCTACGATATGACAGAATTGAGGTGTTACCAAGTTTTAGCCGAGCGAACTCTGGACGATGGCCTCAGGGCTTGGAGATTTGGAACATTTTTGATTCCACTGACAGCCGTCAACCTTTTTATTGGCAAATCTCTTAGGGTATGTTGTATAGTTTTGATTTTGTACTGTATTATATTTTTTAATGTGGATATTGTAAAAAATTTATTTTTTTCTGTCAAAAATTACAGAACTTCTATTAGTTTGGCAAATTCTTTAAATTTCTTGATCCCAGTTATTGTAAAAAATGTAATACCTTTCTAAAATTTTTGGTTTTCAGAAAAGTGGACAAGTATGGTCTGACCTTGTGGTAAACGTGCCATACTCCGACTACTTATCCGCCATGAAGATAGCCAAACATCAAGAGGAAGAGGAACTACTAGATCGATTAGCACGATACCCCAAGACGAAGCCATTAGACGAGGGCTTCTGCGTGGAATTGAACTCGTACGACGCTTACACAGTACTGTACTTGAACGAATTCCGGACGGGCATGGGCCGACCATCCAGCAACGAATGGAATCTCATCTTCGGAAAACACCTGCCCAACTTTTATGTACATTAAAATAAACTGACTTTGGATTATAACTTGTTGGGGTTTCGAATAGTATTGAGTTGAAATGTCAAAAGTGGTTATGTGTAAGGCCAGTAGTTTTGCCATAAAACCCTTGATTTTTAGGTATTTATCAATCATGAACAACATAAATCAGAAGTTAAATAAATCATAAGCAACGTTTTTGATTCTTAAATTTATTAATTATACAATAATGCTCTTAACGTAAATGATTGTAAATACTTTTTAATATTGCAATTACGTTTGTGAAAGACGGTTTTGTGGGGTTGTGAGACGTTGTAAAACCTGAAACTCAGTTAAAGGAAAGTCGTTGGGGAAACAGAAAGACACCGAGAACATCAAACACTACTATTCAGGATGAACATACTATAAGTCAATATAAAAAATATAAACATATATTAAGTTTCAAAATACAAAAATATGATTACAAAATAAATATATTGCGTTAAAAACAAGAAAACAGGAATGTAGACGGGCTTCTCATGAACAATATTTGGAAGTTAACCAAAAAATTATATTATAATATTACTATCAGAACACTAAGGAAATTAAAAAACTTCAGAGCCGACCTTAAACTTCGGAATGCCCATCAGAGCTCCCGTCAGTTTCATCAGCTTCCATCTCAGCGTCATTTGGATCAGCAACTGCTACCGTGCTCGTTGCGACTGGTCTTGGATTCACAACAATATCGGTGTCGCTCAAATACGATGGTCCTTTACAAATCAAGAAAGGAACGTAGAACATTTTACTGTGCAGTAAGACAGACGAAGCTGAGTGAAGTTGAGGTAGCCATGTCAAGATTTCGCTGAGTCTGGGCCCATTTTCACACTGACTCAAATGAATCTGGAGTGCCTTCACAAACTGGTCTTGGATCGATGACACTTTTCGAAAATAGAGAGCGTGGTAATTCAGAGTAGTCGAATCTTCTTCGGATTCTGGGACGGGAGCCGCGTAGTGTAGCAAAGTGATGGCTTTGAGACAAACATAGGCTTCTAGGGTGATTTTGAGGTTACTGAAGGCGTGGAGTAAAGCTGTGAACTTTTCGACCAATGGACCCGCTTCCCTGAAAGGAAATACAGATAAAACAATGTAAATCAGCATGAAGGTTACTCATATTATCTCTATCTGACTTTAATTCCAATTTATTAGAGCCCCTAACATTATTTTACAAACAAACAAGCCACTGAAGATCTACAACTTACTTTTTTACATGTTCGAAAGGAATATACTTTGCCATAACAATACACAATCTCTCCTGTAGCAACTGTAGATTCTGCCCAGAACTCGAGAATGACATGGCAGAAGTAGCATCTTCATTGTTGGTCTCGTAAGCGTAGAAACAAGCACTCAATAACACCAATTCAGCCCACCTTTGTGTCAATAAATGAGTGTGAACTTCTACCGGTAAAGTATTGTAGAAAGGTAATGTTTTGGTCCATTCCACCAACTTCTCTACGATCTCGTCCCCAATTCTCGACAATCTTTCAGTTGGGGAAGAGTTGTCCACTCGTGATTCTTGTTCACTACTCCAGATCTTCAGTCCTTTGAGGTTGATAAGTTGCTCTAGTCGGTCTAGCTCTATTAGCTCCTAAAATTAGAAGGGGGTAGAGGTCAATACAGGTCTAGTTAAAGTAAATTAGTTTAATTATAAAATACCTTTATTTTCAATAAATTATGGCAATAATAAGGATAAAACCACAAAACTACTGATATTATCTATGCTTGCTCAATTTTAAACACTCAAAATATAAAAATAAACTAGTATTACAATATTGAACAAATAGTAACGTAAAATATTATGGTATTAAAATCGTGTTGAACAAGACCAAAAAAAGGAAGAAAAGGTTAGAGAAGCGAAGAAAATTCGCTCTCTCTCGGTCTTGGAGGGAACCCAGTCAAAAAACAAGTATGGTTTCTTTATAGAGGCAAGAGAGAGTATGGTCAGCGATCATTAGATCCTAGTTCAAGGTAAACTAGAGTTCCGGACCGTTGAAAGATGTGTTTGGATAACAACTTTTTGGGATTGTTTGCGAGGTTACCGCAAACATATTGTGATTGACAATTGTGACATTACAATAGATATTGAAATTACTCTTACCTGTATGAGATTCTTGTTTGTAGGTGTGTTACGGAATTGTTTTAGAGTTTCTTCATCGTTGACACTTTCGTATTTTCGTTTTTTGTTGAATTTGGTACTGCTGGAGCACTCTTGTTCGCTGCTAGTTGGTCGCATGGCTTCGGATTCGTCGGAGGATGTTGTAGTAGTTTCCGAACACGATTTTCTGCTTTTTCGGTATTTTAGCTAAAAAGCATATTATTATTCCCAAATATAACTTTTTGTCGAGTACAACATGTAAGTTTGTATTTTTTCGATTCTGTTTATGTAAAATTTCGGACAAGTATCATTCCCGTATTTTACATGAATAGGTTAACCCTTTCTCGTTTAACCAAACCTAAAAACAATACAGTTTAAAAGTCTTACCTTGTACAAATTGTAGATGGCAGAACCGTTTCGTCCTCCGGGCATTCGATCTTCACGGACGGCTTCGAGTACCATTCCCTGCTGTAGACACTTTTGGAATCGACAGTACTGACAGCGATTACGTTGCTCTTTTGTCATGGGACAGCCACCGACCAGTCCACTAACACAAACGTAGACACGTTTGTTTTGAACCGTCCGTTTGAAGAAGCCTTTGCAACTAGAACAATATAAGATTAAGTTCAAGTTCAAAAATTTTAAGTTTGTTATAAGATCGCAAAGTTAAAAAGACTTTACAAAATGATTATTATTACAATAGTCATAAGTAACATTCATATTGTACAAAATTTTTGCTTGAATTCAATTTCAATCTCCATTTCGGCTACGTTCAGTGGGTTTGTAGGTCAGCTACGACTTTGGAAAAAAGTGGAGCGTAAAAAATAAATTGTTGCGCGTTAAGGTCATCTAAAGGATGCAAAAAATACTTGCAAAAACCATTTTAAACTTTTAATTTTTCAAATCAATTATTTTTTTTTAAAATACTTAAAATGACCAGACGCTACGTTAATAACAACTAGGGATTGAAACAGTTAAATAATTTAAATTAAAGTGTAAACAGTTAAAACAAGGTTCAATAATGCTATGAAATGGAAGACATATTCTTTTTTTCAAAACAATGCTTCTATTTTATAGAACTATTTAACTGTAGCACTACGTTACAGTGATAGATTAAAATTATCAAAAATATTTTTAAGACCCTCATTTTAAAAATTTATAAAATAAAGTTACCTCGCCCTTTATTAAAATTTAAAATCCACCCCAACACTCTCTCTCACAACCCCACTACCACACCCAACTATCCCCACCCCATCGTTTTCCCTCAACCGACTCCTGAAGCTAGCCGCACCTCAAAAAAGCCTCTGTTTGAGATTCTGAAGTCTGCGCGACGCCCTCCCCCTTCCTTCTCTCGTTTAAACGACCCACCGACAGATACGGTGCCAGTCGGCTCTGCGCTGACCTTACCCTCCGCCATAACCCAGTGACCTTGTCGCTGTCGATGGCCGTGTCACACTGACCCCCAATCGCCATACAGAAAAACTTTGAAATTTTCGAAATCCTTGCAGATTTTGGAATATTTTGCTAATTTATGATTTAGTACTATTTAAAATGGCATTTGATTTTTAAAAAGTGGTGTACCCTGCCTAAATAAAAAAGTATTTCCCCCGCCCAAAGATATTGAATTAGCACATTGTAAACCTACTTCATTATAAAATGTACATATCTTAACCCTCCTCCTCCCCCGTCTTACCAAATAGTCCTAGACACCCATTCCTCCCTCCCCCCTCCCCCCCCACTTGACCTTGTTTTCCGCAGACTTTGAGGTCGAAAAATTGTTTTGCGAAATATCGAAAAGTGTTTTTTGTGGTGCACGTCCCTCCCGGTACAAGGTAAGAAAGAAATACCATAAAAGGAGCGCTACAAAAGGGGGGGGGGGCAGGGCGCGCAACCGGCTGGCTCGAAGAAGGAAAGTCGGTCAGTGGGCAATCAGATACAAGTGCAAATAACCGAAATGCAAAAATTAATAAAATTTGCAGTTTCACGCCGAGAGAGTGAGGGGAAAGGGGAGACGGCGAGGGAAAATGATGAGAATTTCAAATTTTTTAAACGTTTTTTGTTAAAAAGCATTTTAAATTAAAAATAACTCATATACTAAGCAAATCGGCATAAATTTCTTAAATGACATATTTATATATATATAGTGAAATTTAAATCTTAAAAGGTTTTTTATTTCTAATCATATGATAAACTTGATGATATAATTTAAACTTGGCACCAGACGGGACCCAGACTCAAAAGTAGACGGGCAGATGTAGATTCCATAAAGATGTCGACAAGGTCGTGCCGACATAGTAAAAGATAAGATTTATTGAGATGTTACGCAACATTTATTAGATGACCTTATTACCTACTTCACACTTGCTACAGACGCGTGGCTAGCTATTCAAATTATAATCCAAATAAGGACTTTTCAAAAATATTTTGCATTTTAATTTTACTACGGCTGTCATATTACAATAGAAAATGCCATGCCACCCATGTTATTCTAAATGACATTGCATGTTTATTTTATTAAATGACCTAAAATATCTTTACAGAAAATGACATTTACAAGATAAAGACGTCAATACCAATATGCAAATTTGTGTTTTTTAAACAAACACATTGTTTTAAAGACAAACAGCTAAGTGGTTATCATAAACAGAACAAAGTAAACTTTAAAATTCAATCGAAAAGCCCGGTAGTATACGAAACAAAAGCTAGGTAGTATATGAAACGAAAGGCCAGGTAGTATAGAAAACGAAAGGCCAGGTAGTATATGAAAGATATGATTTGGGAAGAAAAGATTATAATTCTTCCTAACATTCGAAGGCCAGCTCTTTAGGAACCCCGAAGGATTACAAATTTATTAAAACGGAACCACTTGAAATGCATTCAAAGTAATCCGCCATGCAAATACGAACACAGCTTCTGTCTAATTAAACATTCCAGATGTTCCTCAAACTAACATACATAAGAAAAATGGAATATCAAGCAGCAGTTACAGTAAATTATACTACAAACATATAGATGTATACAACCTGAATCAAGTAAAAAATTTTAAATGAAAAGATACCGTTTATCCCAACATAAAGCATATAGTATTTTACACTTATGCCAATGTAAAGCTTATAGTATCTTATTATCAATGATAATCGTGCAATTCTCTATCATTTCGAACGGTGGTAAGAAGTTTGTTCGCTGACCTTGTATATCATAATATATCGCAGCGAATGTCGCGTAAACAAAGTTTTGTCACCTTGAACACGCAAACTTTTTACTGACTGTTTAATTAAGGCTTTTAAAAATTGTTAAAAGTACTAAATACTAATGGCGATTTACAAAAATTAAGAAGAAACATATCTCTACGTAAAACCTAATAAGGTACTTCTATAGTTGATTGTCATTATAGAAAAGGCACCCCTCTAGCTTACTTTCATTATATAACAGTAGATTGTTATTTTTAAAGCGTAATGTTTCAAACATGCCTATTCAATTTACCACAAAAGAAACAATAATTACCACGCCCTAATTAGCGATACGATTGTCATTATGTAACACATGGTGACCTCACAAGGCCAATTTCAGCTCAAATTAAGCATTGTATGAGCAAGTTAAGAAAAACTGAATATCTATCCTGCTTGCTTCACTTTTTACCACACCCCCTCCTCTCTTCCCTCGCTTATACTAACTAAAATATGTTTTAAATTAAGCCAAGAATCATTTTAAAATTCAGTTTAAATTTCGAAGTTTTAAAAAATTTTAAATTTTAATTTTTAAACCATTTCCCGCATTTTGACCTGCCTTCAACTTTTTTAAAACATATATTCTCGTACCTTTGGCCCTTTACTCAAAGGAAAAAAGAGCGAATTGTAAAGTGGTACAACGAGGTGTCTGTCGAGAGTCCCGAGAGAAAGCACAAAAATAATATAAAACAGCGTTGGCACAGCTGCCGCATCAAATTTGAATAAATTTATGCGAAATTCAATACATTTACAACTCGTCGTATAATGGTTAGCTACTAGGTAAGGTTTGAAATGACATAGTTATAAAAATTAGCGTTTGAAGGTTTAGTGACAACCGGCTGGTCCAAAATTAAAAAAGTTGTTTTAAAAACTATAAATTTTTAAAATTTAAATAATATTTACTTTTTAAATTTGATTTTTTTGATTTTCGATGTATTTATTGACCAAAATAGACTTAAAAGCACTTTTTTTAAGATTATTGTAACTATGCCATCAAAAACTCACAATAATGTAAAATACGATGTTACAAGCTCAATAAACTTCATTCAAAAATTAATTTAGGCTCTGAAGCCCCCCCCCCCTCTATCTCATTCTTTTTAACCTAAAATACCCTGTTTCCAATACCTAAAATACGCTAGTTAAATTTGAAAAGTGTTAAACCCTTTGCCAGTCTGCGGCGTTGTCGCTGAAGCGGGTAACCCCGTTCGAAACCCTAAATTGCTTTCTTTTGGGAAAGGGGGAGGTTGAAAGGGGGGGGGGGTACCAGGCACGCTCTCGCAAATCTCGAGACAGCGGCCGGAAATCTGGCCATAATTAAGGTTGGGGAGTGGTACGACAATCGGAAAGTGTAAAGGCAATCAGGTAATGGGATATGCGCTTTCATATTGGTATACAGTGGAACTCCTGTATAACGAACTCCTCTATAACGAAACTCCTTTATAACGAACAAATTTCAAGTCCCCGAGCGATTCGTTATACAGGAGTTCCACTGTATATGGTTGTGCAGGTGGTGTAAAGTTTTTAATTTAAAAAAATTTGATGTAGCAAATCTTTGTAGTTTTAAATTTTCAACAAATTTTAAATTTATTTTTAAAAAAAGTAAAAATTTCAAAATGTAAATCACGATAATTTAACAAAAAAAGCAGAAGAATCTCAGTTTCTAGGTAATTTTCGATCTCAACGACATTTTTACAAACTAATGTAAATAACACACTATATAACACATTAATTTGACCAGCGGTCAGTTGCCATCTTCAAAAACTCCTCACCACTTACCCTTCACAAGAATATACACCATAATGAAGTCCACTCGATTTGTCGCCGCATATTACACATGACATCGGACTGGTTGGCTTTGGTTTGATATCTACTGAACTGACAGGACCTACTTCTTTGTAATTTTCATTTTTATCAGTATTTGTGTTGTTATTGCCATCAAAAGACGCTGAAGCCCACTTATTTTCCTTCGAATTCTGTGGCGATATTTGAGTTCTGAAAAGTCAAAATATTTAAAATGGCAAAGAGCAGGTACTATTATATCCAATTTCTCAAAAAATGTAACATTTTTAAAACTATTGTGGTATTTGTTACCTAAAAAACTAAATTTTACTTACTTTTCCTCTACCTTGACTTCAGTAGCCTCCTTCTTCACGATGCCACCATTATTGTTGTCGTCAACTTGTTTTAGAAGCTGGAGTTGGTTCAGTTGGTTAACATAAAACTGGTACAAGTTGAGAGGAGTCAACTGAGTAAGAGAAACATTTTGCGTTCTTGAATGTGCTATGACTGGAGCATGTTGGAACGACAAAGCGTTCGAAAATTGTGTCAGAACATTGTAATTGTCGTTCATTTAAAACTGAGCCAAGTTTGAGGCTTTAATTGGCCTAAAATTAATCCCAATAAGTCCAATAAATTAGGTTATAGTTATAAAATAAAATCGCAACATCAAATACTCAATAAAAATGCTACACAAGCTCACAAGACCATATTATCCTACCACAAGAGCCTCAAACTGTTTAAATCCAGCCTAATTCCGCGCTTTTAAGCAGTATCGTGATAACAAACAAAGGTTCAAACAGTCTTAAATCCTAGTTAATTACTCATAATCAAAACATTGTGAATGCTGCTTAAGATGTATACGATCTATGTTACATTTAATCTTGCGGATAAACTTTACAGAAGCCACAGTATAGTGCTAATTAGTTGCATTCTCTATAGTACGCTTTTGAGAATGTTTTGAAATTGTGGTATTGTATTATGATTTTAATGACATAATACTGTTAGTACAGTTGTGATTAGTACAGTAAGATTTATTAACTATAATATAATATGTCTGGGCTTAAGTCATTCAAAAATGAAATGTAAAAGATACTGTAGAATGTTATAAACTAATAATAGAAACCAAAAAAAAATAAAATTTAACTTTTTTTTCGATTTTAGATACATGGCAGGAGATAAGGCAAGAGTTTTTGTGTCATCTATTCAGCCTACCTTATGCAAGGTTGACCTACCTTAGCCTAAGGCTGATTTTTAGCAAACCGTGAAACCTCCTTAGTATGACTCTCAATAGTGTGACACTCACTTTATTATGACAAGTTTAAACCAGTCTTTTGAGTGTCGTACTAAAGTGGCTCGACTGTATCTCATCCAAAGCCTGTACAAAACATTTAAAAAAACCATATAGCTTAATTGCCTTAACAAGTAAGATTTATAGAGTTTTTTTAAATTTATTAAACTTTAAACTTTAAAAAGTTGTAAAAGGCTTACTTAGGAACCTCGACTCTACATTTAAGCCTGCTACTTTTTTAGTTAAATTGCTGTAGAAGAGGGTTTATACTGTTTGATTGCTAAGACAGTTATAAGATTACTTATAATAGAGATCTGTTTTAAATCGGCGATTTAGAAAGATAGCAAAAAAAGCAAAGTAAAAATTTTTGGTAAAATACGAAACTTTATCGTTAGCGGTGATATGTACCCAAAACAACAAAGACTTTTGACTTATGTATCTGTTTGAAAAACTGAGATAGTGTAATGCAGTAAATACAATTAAATATATACATATTTGCTTTTTTGCCAAAATTTGTTTTTTAAAAATTGACCGACAGAAATAACGGCCAAATTCAAATTTAAAAATAGTTGTTTGAAGGCTCTTCCTTTACAAGTAAAAACCATTCCCCTTTAACCCAAACAAAAACTGTAAAATGAACATTAAAGCTAGTCTTATCACAACCCCAACTTATCCCTCCAACTTTCACCCAACCCTTGTCCTCCCCCCCCTCCCCCACAAGTCACCCCCATAAAACCTTGTAATCTCGAATTGACCTTAAACCTGTATTGAAACCAAACCAGGATTATTCAAATTCGCGACCTCATGGAAAAAGGTCACCTTGATTCCAAATAAAGGATTCGGGAGATCCGCGCGACTCTCGGAGAGCGATGAACGCTGCGCCCTCACCGCTTCTTGCCCTAAGGGCGCATCTTCGGCTGACCTCGAAAAAAACGCTGTTGCGCCACCCCCGATTTCTGGATTCGCTCTTCCTGAAAGCGTTAATAGGGCATCATTCATCTGATTCTTTGTGTAGATGGCGGCTAACAAGCGTGTACAATCTGGTGACATTCTAAGATCTAATTGTAAGGTTTCTAGGTTTTATCTTGGCTGAAATTGTGTTTAATCTACAGTAATATAATTAATTCGATTTTTCAAATGTAAATACGAATTACAAAAAAATTAAACTAAAGTAAAATACAATTAGTAAAGGTAATATAATCGTACCTAAAATTTTTAAAATTAAATCTGCTCTCTACAAATTACCCCCCCCTCTTCGGATGAATATTGTTTTTGTTTGTAGTAGTTCCGTTACGTAACATTACTGTAATTGTTCACTTGATTGACCTTCCTCTCTCGCGCGCCTTTGTTATATCCATTCGAGACCTCAGGGGATTCGAATCCGGGTTAACAGGTCGGGAGTGTACACTTGTATAATATACTGCCATTGTTCAAAGGATATTCTTTGTACAATAATATATATAGTCACTATACATAAGGTTTTATATACAGTTGACTGTGTCCATTTTTATTTGAGATATACGATGAGTACTGTAATAGTTTATTGTAGTACTTGTAATCTATATGTATATTTGCTGTATATTAAAGTAACTTATAGAATTGTACTTTTAACATATACGTGACAAAGTGTAATTTAGATGCACTTGTCACAACCATCGACATGATATACCATGGTATACCAAAGACGAAGTAATGTAAAATGAACCTAATCGTATAATGTTATATCACGTTATACCAACACATTATAACCTCGCCGTAGTAATGCATTCCAATGTCGAGCCAAGAATCATAGCCAAAGTATTTATTTATACAGTCAATTTACATGTCATTATACGAGGTTAAAATAGAGTCCCTGAGCCTTGTTATGGTACGATTCCTACCCGACGCCTACATCAACATATACTAGATTAAAAGATTAAGTTGTAGACATATTTGTGCTATGACATGTGTGATATGATAGTACAGAGATGCGACATAGAAAAATAAAAATAAATTTCACAAAAATGATGTTACAGAAAGTTGAGCAAAACAATTGACACAACATCATGGTTTACAATAATTAACAGAGTATATAAGCTTACTTCCATTTCATAAGGAACTTATAACTGTTCTTAAAATTAATCATGTTGAGGATGATAAGCTGATTACATTATGTCTAATTAATTTAATAAAAATATAAAATAATGTACAAGATATACAGACAACAGAAGACAAACATATATAGATTATAGTTTAGATAATACTTATATAGACCGAAATTTTATAACTTTTTTAAAATTAGATAACAATACAAGATGTCCAAATATGAAACATCCCTTTACACCCTCAAACCTTGGTGTTATTAGTGAAAGTGTCGCCGAATGTCTTGAGCAAGAACCCGCGTCGTTCGGGCGCCGGCTTCGCTACACGCCGATGAGGCTTCACTAACGCTGAGCTGGCGTGAGTGATGGCTCGAGAGTAGAAGATCCAGTTCCCGGCCGAGTTGAGGTAAGGTAGAAAGCTGGAAAACATCCGAATCTTTTGAGAGTAATCCGATTCCAGAAATGTAAATTCCACGATTCCAAAGTAGGACAACATTGGAACGACGACGAATACCCAGAACGGTGTCCAACAAGCAAAGTGGAACAGAACGACGGTGAGGATGGAACGGACGACACGGGTCGTGTAGGATGTTACAAACATGCTTTTACCTGGGAATATTTTTGTTTAAAGCTGGTAGATGCTTGATGATATAAAATTGTGAAATGTGAAAAATTGACAAGCTGCGCCCTAATGCTATCGGCAATTTTAGAAAAAATAAAAAAAAGTATTTTGAAAGACGGTGAAAATGATAATTTTTCTAAAATTGTTACTGAGATCGTGAGGGAATTATTCAAATTGTAGGTTTTGTTTTTATAATGAATATTATTTTAGACTTCAAAGATGCCAAACTTCGGTACGCTACTATTATAATTAGTAAGACTTCAAACTTTAAAATTCCCTCAAACTTACCATCTTTATTCCGTAAATGTCGTATTAGGAAGAAGTAGCAGGCGGAAATGAATAAGACTGGCAGTACAAAGCCCAGGATAAACATGTATGTGATGAACACGCTCATCACATCATCGGGTAGATTAGAAGAACATGTAGTGATGTTTTCTCCTTGGTTATAGTAGTCTGGTACCACTGTCGTTTCGGCATAGTAAATAATTGGAGAACATAGAGCTCCAATGGCTGCTAGTAAGATGATTACAACGGTGAACACGTTGGATACTCGTTTTCGCCTGAAAATTATGGAGTTTAGATACGTTTAGGCACCAATCGTTTCATTATAAGACATTTTTAGCTGTTTTTATGTTTGTCTAATGTACCAGTGTGTTTTCTGGGAGTATAATGTGTTCTTTGAGGTTTAAAACCATCTTATCTTGCCTATTCTGCTAATTTAGGGATCTTAATCCTGTTTCACTAGCCAATATTATCCATGATAATGTTATCTTTTCGAATCTTGGTGTAACTAAACATGACTTCTCAAGAAAACGCTGTAACCCTGTAACTGTTAAACCATAGTATTTGACGTAAAAGCTTTGTTACGATTTTTAAGATGCGAAACCTTATGGCGTCAAGGATAATATAAAACTATATTAAGTATGGATAAACGTGAAACTATAGTGTACTCTGTTAATGTCAGTGTACTATGTTTGCGTGTGCTTTTTTACATGTAGGGATTGTATAAAATCAAAAACGTCAAGGCTATAGTATTATACTGTTTTATTGTACAGTGAGATTAGTATGTGTGGTGGGAAGACAAATACAATAAAACACAATAGAATATGTGTTGCATGACGGTAAATACTATACATGATTATGATACACAGGTATTGTTCGTGGTAAAGACTTCTGTGAAAAATAACAGTATTGTTTAGATAATGAATTTCGAGTTAGACTTTAGGCTTTCAAAGATTACTTTGTAAATGGAGTTACCAATGTATTTTCCAAAAAGTTGTTTAGCCTAGATTGCCATATTATGATATTCGTTGCGACTTTCCCACAATTAATTAAAACAAATTGAGGCAGACTCCAAGTCTTAATCTTGTGTTTATGATAAGTGGTTATGCTAAGTCAAGATACGATGAATTTCCGCCTCTTACGATTAGCATTAACCCTACATTTCCACTTAATTCTATGGAGACTGACCGGTTTCCGGTGGCAGACTTGTGAAATTGTATTTGAAGTCACGTATAAGGGTAACTGCGTAGACGCTATGAAAATACTATGTTTTGGTATGGTACGTAGACATGACACAGCTTGGTATCAACATGTTGTTTTTTATTGCAAAACTTTGCAATTAAACAGCGTACGTATTATAAGTTTTGTCACAAACGACAGTGCAAGTTTTTTGTTTATGACTAGTTTTTGCAAGTTAAAAGATCTTACAGTACAAAATAGGATGATGTATCACAGACTACAGAGTTTTGTTATCGTTTTGGTTTGTTATATACGGTTTGGCAAATTTAATAATTATTTACCTAACTAAACACTGAAACCAAAAGGACTAACGTACTTAAAACAACTATAATATTATTTACTGTTGCTTTAAAATATATATTCACAGTGAAATCTAGTGTTGTCAATGTAAAGTACAGAAGACGACATTGAAATGTAGACATATTGAAATGTCTATGTAGGCAGAGACAAAACAAAGGATATACCAAGAAATTGTAGCGCACCACAATGTTAGCCAGCTTAAATGTATTAAAATGGCTCAGAAACTACAGTAATGCGCTTTTAATTGACTTTGGCAAAAGAAACTGTAAAAAATATTCATTACAGTCTTTACCTTGCATGGTGCTAGATTATTACTGCGCTGTAAATTCAAAAGAATTCAAAGTTCGGAGCAAAAAATTGGCTTTCCTTTAAAGTTTTAGTTTCTGAAGATCTTTAGCCACAAGTTGCTAATTAACGTTTCGCAATTTGTTTACTCAGGCTTATACGAGAAGCCCTACTGTAACTTAAGCGGGCTTAATTACCATGGCAAAGATGATTAATCGCCGTGCCATGTTCTTCAAAGGTTTCTCAATAATTGAACTTAAAATGGGTTACAGCGTGACTGGCATCACATTACTCCAAAGACCAGTTTGTTCGAGGTTTTAATCAAATTTTGAAGCTATTTTTGGAAATTTAAATTTCAAAAATTTGTAAATTTGTGAAAAAATGTAAATTGAAGAAAAGTTAAAGTGCACAGGTCATGTACGACTATTTAAGTTAATAAAAGAAATATAATTCCAAATTCTCAGTTACTCTACGCCAGCTACTAAAATAAGCTAGAAATTAACCTTCATTACTATTGTAGTACATTACAGTAATATCTCCGTCCTAGACAATTAATACCTAATCATATTATGTTTTACCACGCAATTCGACGTGTAAAAGTAAAAGTTAATTTAAGGAAATTAAAGTTTAAAGTTGATTAACAGTTTCTGACTAAAGTTTACTGATGTTATTACATACTCATGTTGTTATACTAGGTATTACATAAAAGTAATAGTTTTTAGTGTTAAAGTTGGCATTCCAACTCATATTGAATTAAAATATTGCGGTAAAAGAATTTTACCGTGTAAAAATTTGTGTTAAAAGTGTTTTACTGAGCAAAATGTTGTGGTAAAAGTATTTTGTAGGATTTCAGAGACTTCGTGACGCTTTTTCAGCCAAAAGAATTTGTTTTTTATAGGTATGGGCCTTGTTTATGGCTTTGTTTTACTGTTTTCTATCCCTAAAATTACCCTAATTTAACTTCCAAAAAAAATTTAAAAATATAAAATGGAATAATTTAGTCGCATAAATACTATGTCATAGCACTTAAATGTTGTAAAACCACTATATCATGATACACTTACCTACAACAAAACCACTGAAACGGGCGACAAACCACCAGAAACCGTTCGAATGACATCACGGCCAGTATGGCGACGGACAGTAACTTGTTGATGTTTTCTACTGCGAAGAAGATCTTACATCCAACGTATCCTAATTCCCAACTTCCCAGTATGAAGTAGGAGGTCACACTCGGTGTCATACACAACACCTAAAAGCAGGATTATAGGTTGTAAAGTAAGAAGGTCGTACTTTTGGTACTGTTTGTGATATTGTTTAAGCATCAGTTTCTGCTTACTGAGGATAAGTCCTCCAACATAACAACCTAATACACAGTAATTCAAAGTAAAATGACTTACACACATGTCAGCGATGCTCAAGCTCAATATGTACAGCGACATGTGTTTGAAGACGCTGTTCATCGGACTCCAGGTCTTGTAGAGGATTCTGATCAGGCTGACGATGACCCACGAGTTACCCGAGATGCCGATTACCATAACCGGGAGAAAGTAAGCGACGGCCAACGTTTTCTCCATCGGCCCTACGGTCATTCTGAACAGTTTTTTAAATTTTGAGCAACATATTATTAAATATGGCATTAACGCATAATGTTAAATACAAAATGTAACCACAAATTTACTACAATATATTATCATAGACGTACCAAACCTAACAAGAATGGCAGAGTAATTGCAGAATTAACCTTAAATCCTCAAGATGTTACGGGCCGATTTCGAGTCATTTCTATGATCAGGCAAGCAATAAACATTGCTGCCCGAAAATACGAAAAGACCCGATATCGCCGTATAGAGTTCAGTTGCATTTATTGTAGGCGTAGGAAGCAGGACGCTGTCCCTACGGGTCTCTTCAATAAAGTAAAATAAGAGAAGTTCGGCCTTGTACTATTTGAGGCTGCTCTAGACAAGAACAGGGTAGCAGGAGGGACTAAACTGCCCGCTACAAAGATACGGAATGATAATATATCAAAAGTAACATTATTCCCTTTCCATTCCTTTTTAGACAACAAAAGCAAAGAATGTAGACATAAACATGGCAGTAACAACACGCAGTAAGTTCACATACCACCAATTACTCTGCTCAATTAGCATAAATTTGCAAGTTGACGTTCTTCTTGGTAAGAATGAGTGTTTGATAGTGTATGACATGATAAATTGTATAATATTCGGAAGTATTTTACATTACATTAATGTTATTGTAGTGTATAGTCAATAGGAGGGTGTTAGGTAACTGGAAAACGGAAGTAAATGGGATGCTATGAGTTATAAATAAACAAAATTAAAATTTTAAAAAATTTCAACTTTTTAACTATCCTTACCTCATCGTCACCCCCTCCCTAAACACTGATATCTCCGCTCTACCCCTTCCCCCTCTGCTTCCTCATCCACTCACTTAACCCAAAGCCACAAAAGTATGTTTACACTGTCAACATGTATCCCGTCAAATTACATAAGATATACTTTACACGGATACATAAAGGATTGTCATAAAAGTGATACATTAATTCTGATAACAATAATATTGTAAAACATACGACCATGGCTGGATGTAATTACATAAAGAGGTTGTTGAAAGGAGTAACATACCATTATTCGCGACAATATCTTTAACATTCACGTAGATCTAGACGAAATTTAGCAAACAAATGTTAAAAAAATTTTGAAAAATGTCATTTTTAACAAAACTTATGTTAGATGATAAATAACTTTAAGGCAAGCCTATAGTAAGTCTATAGCAAAAGTAAAATAAGTTTAAGATAATACTGCGATAGACAATGTCATTTTAACAAGAAATGTCATAGTCCAAACCAAAATAGCATACAATGTCATAAATGTCGCCAAATGTCAAAAAAATGTCACGGAATGTCACAAAACAAATAAAATTTTTAAAACTTAAAGTTATGATATGAAATTTAGTTAAATCCGTGTACAATTACAAGATACGAACTCATAGTTGTAAGTTTTCTTCAAAAGCAGGATTGAAGACTGTCAATCCTTGCCTTCCGGCCTTGACTCCGCCCCCTTTTCGGACTGTAAAATTAAAAGTAATAAACGCCTTAAATAACAAATCTACTATCTTACATGACCTTTAGAGACATGTTAATTTAAGGTAAAAAGCAAAGGGTGAAAATTTTGCAGTAAGTGAAGAAAGAATGTGTATTGTACCTAAAATATTATAGTACAGAAAACAAGACTAAAAGGAAAGTACCCAATCCGCCTAACTCAGAATCAGCTCAAAATTTTTATATGAATTCATTGTACCACCAATAGTACCTATAAAAAATTTTAGCTTGCGATTTTAAGTTTTAATATTTAAATTTTGATTTTCCTGCCAATTTGGCAAACTTGGCATTTGACTTTCCATACTTACTAATTTTAAACTGTAGGTCAATTTAATAGTTTTCTACTAGTATATTAGAGAAAAAATCATCAAAAGTCAATAAATTACAAAGTTACAAGCTTGAAACACAATGCCAATTTGGCGGAAAACTCAAAACGTAATTTTTTAATCTCAAGCTTGGAAAGCGCAATTTAAAAACTTGAAAAAGTACACAATTTATGACTGACTATTTGTTTCATAAAATGACTTTGTTCTAAAACTGGCACGATAACCTAATTATAGATAAAGGCAGCCTTGTTTATTATAAGGAAGTAATTAGACACACACTTTTCAGCAGTTTTTCTTAAATTTAAAGCCTTAATTGCCACTTTCTTTTTACTATGTTTTACAGCTGAAATTCGCAAATAGTTTAAAAAAGGTAATGAGAGTCAGAAAATTTTTTAAAAAATAATTAAAATGAAGCAATTTCTAAAATTTGAAAAACAAAATTTAAAGTTTTGGCCAGCTTCTTCAGGTCGTCTCGCTCATTCTTATATCCTACCTTACTCTCAATTCTCATACCCATCCACCTCTTTCTCTCAGCACCCAGCCCAATCTAAAAGTAAGTATCTTCTTTTGTTTTATTTAAAGCAAAATATGCTAAACCCTTACCTTATTGAAACCTATCACAATATCTTCTAAACCAAAAGATTAAAAAGCACTTACAGGTCGGTACGCTACGCCAAACGGCGGGAAAAATAAATTCAAATTTCTTTTATCATTTATAAGCCAAAACTAAACTTGGTTTTACAAGATTAGCTCACACACTTAAGATAAAATAACGTTACAGTACTTTTATTACATTACAGTAATAAAAAATGTCAAAACAAATGTTACAAGCACTTTGTATAACAATAGAGTTTGTATCTAAAACTGTGCGACAATTTGATTAACGTGCCGTGAATTGGGAACGCTGAGAATCAGGAAGAAGTGGCTTTATTGGGAAGTAATTATTTACTGTAAACAATCCCATGTCGGTTATTGTTTACTGTACTCGAGATACGATGACAAAGAACAGCATGTTCTTAAGAATGGCAATTATGTGTGTAGGTGTAAAGGTACATACACTACGTTACATTAAGAAGAAGATGTGTTACTCAGTATAAGACAGTTTACTATGGTATTAAAATGATATCCAAAGTTTTTTTTACAGAGTAAATTGATATAAATGCTTGTAGGCGATTTTCAGTTTACTATGCTATGTATAGCCATAACCTATGTTTTGTCAAATGCCAACCAAACCACAAGGCTAATAAACAAGATACGAATAACAAGGACATAGCCATATAAAATAATAATCAGCATGTGTATCATCGCTTGGTAAAGGCAACAAGATTTGTGTTTACAATGGTATCTTACAACATATACGTACTTAACTATTGTAAAAGACAGTAAGTATATACACAACATACCATAGTCAAACAATAAACAATGTAAATTAATAACATACAACAAGATACACTGCAAAAAAAATATAAATATTACATTTAACTACAAGTGGATAGTAATAAGATGTACTAACAGTTACAGCTATATATAAAATTACATCAACTATTGGATAATACATATGTATAACTTAAATATACCATTTCTACTGATTTTTCACGTATCAAAACTTATACATGTCTACTACCGCTATATATACATGTCTTCCCAGTAACATAACAATGCTTAAATACCAAGCAGCATTCAAGATACGACCATCTTAATGTAAACACGAGATACGAAGATTGTTGGTCTGTATATATTAGGACAGACCTACTCCAACTTCCTACAGCCAATTATACCAACATGTTCGTATGTTCTTTGCTTTTCTACAATTTTAAAAGGGTATGGCAAAAAAACAGAGCGAAGGGAGGGGAAGGTCAAGCCTTGAGCGGGGTAAATGTGAAAATAAAAGTAGTGGAGGGGGTGGGGTAAAGTAAAAAAATTAAAAAATTAGAAAAATTCTAAAATAGTTTGCACAGTAAAAATACTATAAAACTCTGACACAGTCGGAAGATACGACGACGTAAAGTGCATTTACTATGCAGAAACTTAATTTACGCGACAAAAATTAATTTAATTTTGCTTATAAATACTCAGAATTTAATTATTTGAACTTGTGAAAACCTAAAATTACATTTTGAAACGTATATCATATTAATAATGGCATTTGGTCACAATTTATGAACTCATTGCTCTTTAAATTTCAAAATTTTAATTTAAAAAAGTTTTAGTAGGTTCGTTTTATAGTTTTTACCAATATAAAGTTAAAAGCATTAATTTAAACATGTAAAAATTTCAAATATTCAAATTCCCGCCAATTTTGCAAATTTTTGGCAGTGTGTTTTAAGCACTTTTTTGGTCATAAATAAGTCAAAAGTAACAATGAAACCTCATTTTTACATTATTTTACTTACTTTAAAGCGTATTTTCTTACACATACCGGTGCATTACATTACAACTACCAAGTACTTGAAAGATACGATAACATTGATGTACTCTTTAGCTAATATATCCAAGTAAATACTGTTAGTGCCATTTGAAGATCGCTAAAACTAATCTTCCGTTAACTTATATGTATCGCAGATTATACCACAGTAAATAATATATCTGTTGTCGTCGTATGTTACGAAGATTAACTATGTCTTATCGTATGTATCTTTAATTGGCTTTATGCATATATTTAAAATGGTTGTTACACAAGATGTTTCTGTTACATAGCCATATACACATATGTTACAAGCATGTACATACATATGCAAAAATATATGCATACATATAAGTTTCTCTACTATGTAAACATCTTTATATCTTCATATTACTGCAACATAAACATACAAAGCATCATTCAGTATTGTACAGTATATAGCATTGTATGTAAAAACAGTCAATGTAACGCTTTTATCAAGGGTTTCTGAACATACGACACCAGATTAATGTTTAATCCGTTGTCGTATATCGTGACAATTTTAGAAATAACCTTACACCACATAGCAACACATCTTAATCGACTTATAATTAACTGTAATTATGCTTATTTGCGTTCCCAGCGACATTTACAGCTTTTTGATATTTACAATGCACTGTGCATTATTAAAAGTAAACTGCACGGTGCATTGCATAACGTTTGCACTGTGCAGTTTTTTAATTTATCTGCACCGTGCAAACACCTTTATTGCATCTGCACCGTGCAGATTATTCTCCTTGCTTTCAGACTGCACAGTGCAGTCTTTTTAAAGAATTGCACGGTGCAGTCGACTTTTAACTCATTGCACAGTGCAAAGATTGGATCGCTTTATTGTCGCGACAAATCTTTTTTCACAATTTAAACTCTTCTTGATCTCTTTGCTTTTTTTGCGACAATTCTCTTTCCAACTGTTGTTGCGACAAAAACTCGCAACATGTTTCAGCGACAATTTTCAATCTTTTTGCCAAAACTGTTGCGACAACATTGATTTTTGCCAATCTGTCGCAAGAAAACATGATTGCGGCACAGATTTCTTTGAAATTCATTTGTCGCAGACATCATTGCAAAATCTTTGTGATTTTACGACGTTTTTGCGAAGCAGCGACAAGTTGGAAAAGCCGCGACAACTTTGAAAAACCGCGACAAATCTTACAGCAAAAGCATTTTCAAAATCAGCGACAAATTGGACTTTCTTTGATTGAATTTTCTGCGACAAAACTGTTGGAAAAGCTTGCGACAGAAATGTCGTTGATGAATTGAAGACAAAGGTCAGAAGAGCGACAACGCTGCACTGTGCCACGGATACTGCACAGTGCAAGAGAAATGAAAGAAAACCTTGCACTGTGCAAAAGAAATGGTTTAAAGGATTGCACTGTGCAGTTCTCAATAAATAGTCTTGCACAGTGCAATAAAAGTTTTAATGGTTTGCACAGTGCAAAAAGATCGTTTAAAATCATTTTTTAAATTTTAAAAGATAAAATACGGGAATAAAAATAAAAAAGAAATTGTTTAAAGTTAAAAGTATCATTCTACAATAGGACATGTAGTTACTCATCGTATGTTGAGTGTAACAGAATCCCTCTATACCTGTGTATCATGCAAGATATAGATAATCTGACTTAACCTTAAAGTTTCCTGCACTTTTAGCATGTTTACATCCGGGTATATGAAAACATACTATAAATGGTAAGATTCTCAATAGTTGTTTGGTATCTTGTTGTTTTTACAGTGTAATTAAAGATTAAAAGGTTATTTGAGGATGCACACGTATACATGGCTGTAAAAACATATACTGTGTGTAAACATGTAACCGTTTACTGTATGTCAACATGTAACAATAGCAAAGTAATACGATCCTACAGTAAACAACTTATTCAACATACAAAGTAAAATAATATTTATGTTACAGTTACAGAGTAACACCCTTTGTTGTGTCCAAGGTGCAACCACCTACGTGATTACAGTAATCCTGTTTTTACAGTAAAAAGATTAAAAAGTAATGTAAACAGATTACAGTACGGTCACAAACTGAAAACTTACATTACATTTTAATTACTTTATCATTTAAAACTGGTTTTTGATTAACTTCAATTAACTTTATTTGCGTGATTAACATAAACAACATTTGTTTATATTAATATAAATAAAATTAATGCTAACATACGACAACGACACAGTTAATTAAGATACGACGATGTTACAGTAGGGTAATCATTTTAAGAGTTTAATCATTGGTCTTTGAAATTGAAAATGTATTTTAATTTAGCAGTACTGTATTTTGAATTTACATTATAATGTAACTTTTTAAAATTTAAAAATATAATGATAAGACAATGTTCAGTTTAATATCCTTATCACGTCTTCAAATCTCTAAAAATGTTTCTTATCAAAATATAAAATGTTTAAAGCAGCAAAACTGTCTTTTTCTTACAATGTCTATATTTTTTATACCTTTTCCTTCATATGATAGTACTGTAATATTCCAAAATAATGCCGTTTTTTAAGCCATATTAACTTAATTTTTGTTTTTACTCATTTTTTATCAAAAAACACAGCTTTAAAATACCGTTAAATGACGCTTTTAGTGCCATGGCACACCAGCATACCTTTTGGCACTTTGTTGCAAAACGAGCCAACTCTTTCACAATTGAGCCAAGTCTTCTCGAAATAAATAAATTTCTAAAAAAATGGTCGGAAAGGCAACAAATGACCTCTAGATTAATGTCGGGAGGCCTTGAAACTTCATCCCGAGGGGCTATCCACCTCCAACATACTTTAGAACACTTTAAACTTGTTATAAAGTTATTTCAAAATTGTGAATAATAAAGCTTAGAGTATTAGTAAACGTGGTGAATATTTGTGTTTTGAAATTTTGTTTTTTGTTTTTTCATACGTTCTTATTTACGTTGGAGATAACACTGAAGTTTCGTGTATAATAATTTGCACTGTGCTGTTTTTATAGGTAATGTAATATAATTTTATGTTTTGTCATTTTAAACTGAAGGATTAGTAAACATGTGTTTATAAAATTATAGTTTAGATATAAAATTGTATTTCTGGCAGGTGTTTTTGTTTGTTGTGGCAGGTTGTTTACGTTTTCCTATAGATTTTATTAAAAATTTGTGTTTTTCTCTTATTTTTCGCGTTTTCAAATCAAAAAACTAACCAAAACATCAACTTTCTTAACTATACCCTACTTCAGAATTACAATGGAAGAAGTAGAAGAAGGCTGGGATTCATTGGCAGTTGCTAGTGGCGTTGTGGCCGTCGCTTTTGTCTTGTTTATGGTCAGGAGATGGATCAAAGGAGGTCAATTCACTGAAAAGGTCAATGCCAAAGGGAAAGTGGCTTTGGTGACTGGCTCCAACTCTGGTATAGGTCGTCAGATAGTGAAAGAGCTCAACCTGAAGGGAGCCAAGGTGTACATGTTGGTTAGAGACATTGGCAGAGGAAACGAAGCCGTGAGATGGATGGCCAAGTATGGATGTGATATCACAAGATTGTTTGTCAGGATTTGCGACCTCAACGACTTTGAAAGTGTCAAGAAGTTTGTCAATGACTTTGATAAAGGTAAGATTTTGTTTTTATGATTGAATTTTAGGTATGAAGGAATATGACATGAATATATAGGACAAAATAGCTTATCTTTATATTATTATTTGTGTTTAAAGTAATATGACTTGATGTAAACCGTTCTTATGCAGATGTTTTGAAGTAAAATGTCGTAGAAAAGCTGAAGATAGGTTTATATAAGATATTTTCATGTAAATTGCTTAATTTCAGAGGAAGACCATGTAGATATCTTGATCAACAATGCTGGATGCATGTTCAATCCCAGATATTCGGCTACAAAAGATGGTTATGAAACTGTTTGCCAGACCAACTACTTAGGTAAAGATTTGCTTATAAAAGACACTGTAACTATATGAGGTAATACTTTCACTTCAATACACAGATTAGTGACGTACCAATAAATCTTATTCTTTTACCAATTTACAGGCCATTTCTTGTTGACCGATCTTTTGTTACCTAAACTGGAAGCTGCCCCAGCTGCCAGAGTTGTGAATGTCAGCAGTAAATTGCACTTGAGAGCCGATACAGTAGATTTGGATGTGATGAACAAGAAGTCAGAGTACGGTGTTATGAAGAGTTACGCTCGATCCAAGTTGGCTAGTGTAAGTTATTGTAAAATACGACGTTTAGTGCTTCCATATGATAATTCTATATTTTTCATATCACTTCAGAAATACTGTTTGTATGTCATGTTACTATCTGTATGTCATTTTAGGTCCTGCACGCAGTTGAATTCACAAAGAGACTTCGTCGCAGAAGCAGTGGCACCAAGGTCCTGATCAACTCTTGTCACCCAGGAGCTGTCAATACCGACTTGGTCAGAATCCCATTTTACAGAAATGTTCTGAAGAAGGTCTTCGGTGTGTTCATCTGGTTCTTCATGAAAACTGACCAAGATGGCGCCCAGACTCCATTATATTGTGCTTTGAGTAAGAAATTGGAAGGAGTCAGTGGAAAGTACTTTGCGTAAGTTAACGTAGTTTTTTGTTCGTGTTTAGGTAACCTTAGAGTTTTTTTATTTGAATTAGTTGAAAGAGTATAACGAAGTATTGTATATGTAGAGTGTAATGGCCTTTTAAACGTTACAATACTCCTTAAAGGCGTTTCCAACAATTTTATAAATGTATGTTTAATATCAAGTATAACAACAAACAATTCAACAACAATTTTTATGATTTTAGTGATTGTGGAGAAGGTGAAGTCCATCCTTTCTTCTACGATGCTGACAAAGCCGAAGTGCTCTACAATCAGAGTTTAGAGTACTGTAAGATTGAGCCACAATAATCCCACTATTTTGCCATTTTGATAAACTTCTAGTTATTTAAATAAATATTTTAAACTATATTGTACTAGGCAAACCTAGCGTAATGAATGGAGCCCCGGAAACATAGTAGGAAACATTATATGGTGTTTTTAACATACCATTCACTCCTAGTTCATCAAAATTCTTACCTTTTTGATTTTCTGGGCCTTTTTCTTGCTGCCAGCCGGCTTTTTTCCCGTGACCTTCTTTGGTCTTCGCTTGTTCTCGAGGATATCCTTTATCACTTCATCAGCTATTCCCTCTTCCATCAGTTTCTTCTTCTTGTACGTCATCTTCCTCTGATCTACCTCCTTCCATCTTTTGTTTATCCTGATCTCAATCTCTCTCTTTAGTACCATAACATCTACCACATCTTCGGCTACTGACTTTTCTTTTACCGGTAATTGAGCAAGCTTCACTTTGATATGTTCTTCTACTTCTGCCAGAGCTCTAGAACATAATATTATTCATTATTTGGTCTAAAAAATGCGTAAAAGCAAGGCTTTAGTCAAATATACAGTAGTTTACCGAGATCTGTGACTATACTACTGTAAAACAGTTATAATATTATCACTTTAACAATGCTACACCTTACCCCAGGTCATATTGGGTAACAAAAGTGATGGCAGATCCAAATCGGTAAGCTCTGGCAGCTCTTCCGACTCTGTGAACATAGGTCTTCGGTACTTCTGGTACATTGTAATTGATGACAACGTCAACTTGAGGTATATCCAGCCCTCTAGATGCTACATCTGTACATACCAAAATTTTGGCTTGTTCTGATCGAAACTTTGACAGACCGAACAATCTTTGTTCTTGCATTAGGCCCGAGTGTAAGGTTACTGCCTACAACAATATTATTATAAGTAATGTATTACATTAAAGTTTAAAAACAGATATACTTATTTACTACATAAAGTTATATTACTTTAAAACCCATACCTCAAATCCCAATCCCTTGAGTAACATTCCAATCGTCTGACATTGTTTACAAGTCTTCATAAATACTATAATTGAAGTGTTTGGTGTGGCTACAAACAATGTTTTGATGACGTGCACGACAAAAGCATCCTTCGTCCCTAGAGGAGTTAAAACATATAATTGTTGGAGACGGTCTGCTGTTACTGTTTCTTTGATCTCGTTGAAGAAATAAGGCTTATTACAGGATACCTAAAACAATATGTAAATACGACCATAATAAACAAGATATGATAATGTATAATAAGTTAAGTTCACAGTTCGACTTACCTCGTGCAATTTACTGATAGCTGATGTGATTGTAGCACTGAACAGCAAGGTCTGTCGTGTCTTTGGCAAATGATCCATGATTTCTTTCAACTAAACACAAAATATATAGTTCAAAAAATCGAAAACATACGTCTACAGCATATTGTCCATCCAATAGCTGGTCAGCTTCATCCAACACCAAGTACTTAATCTGTTTAAACAATCGACCGATACCATCAGGTTCACTTCTCAAGTGATCTGCCAATCGGCCAGGCGAAGCTATTACTATGTGGGGACGACTGAATTTATGCAACATTAACTATATTATGGTCGTGTAAAATGTATAACTTGTCATTTTGGGTTAAATATTTAATACGTTATGTTACAGTAGATGTAACAAAGTTAACAAAGTATATAATCAATACATATATAAAACCTAAAAATAAACGTTGTGAATTGGCATACCCAGTCAAATGTTGTGCTTGATCAATCTGAGATCTGCCTCCAGTGATAATGGACGTTTTCAAGTTGATCGGCTTCCCCAAGACTGCGAATTGATCAGCAATTTGAAAAACCAACTCTCTCGTTGGGGCAATCACCAAGGCAAAGATACCATAAGGATCCACAGCTAACTAAAAGCATGAAAATACAATTTAGCGTAAGCTTAAAATATGACGAACTTTTTAATACCTAAAATCAAAAATTTTTGACAAAGACATACCTCTTGAAGGATTGGCGCAGCAAATGCTATAGTTTTTCCAGTTCCGGTCTTGGCACAGCCAAGAACATCACGTCCTTTTAAGATTTCAGGTATACAACTGGACTGAACCGGAGTAGGGGTCTTGACTTTTAACACCTTGAACTGATCTATGAGCCAGGAGTTGATTCCTATTTCTTTGAACGTTGTCATAGCTAAAATAACAGCTGGATTACCAATAAAATTAAGAAAATTCCCAAAAATTTTTGCAAAATTTATTTTTTATAAAATCTAATGGCATTCTGTTTCACTTTTGCCAAAATTTAATCGTTTTGAAGAATTATTTTCCACGTTTTTTCACGTTTCGAATATTGTTCTTGAAGAAAATGTATTTGAAAGAAAAACGAAGCTGCGACCGAGCTGTCGCAATCTGCGCAGCTTTTTAGTGAAAATCTTATACGACAGTTCATAAGAAAATTTATTTTCGTAAATTTCAACACGAAAACACGAGGTTGCCAATAACGTATGGCATAATGTTTCTTAACTTTTGTTTTTTTTGAGATAGACCGAGTATATTACAAAAGTAATATAATTTTACAATCTTGCTATAATATACATTTATTGTGTTATAAATAATAGTTTTTAGTTTTATAATAGTAGAAATTTGTGTATATTACTATTTTATTATCTATAATGGCTCACAAAGATGCTGCTTTGTTAAAAAAGCGGGTGGACAAGCTTATGGTGAGCAAACTGGAGGAAGATGAGGTAAGTAAAATTATTTTAATAGTTTACTTTTTTAGGAATTTATTGAAACTATGAACTATGTGACAGATTTGATATCAGAGCATAATATTGATGAAAGGAGTCTGAAGTTGGCTTTGCAAGATCGTGAGCTTCAAATGAATCGAAAGTTCTTGGAAAATTTCGGAAAGGTAAGGATAATATGGAGTTGATAAAGGTTTACCAAATATTTATATTTTTTATAACTTTGGTTCATGATAACTTACTTTTTTCAAAATTCTTGTGTAAAGGAGTCTAAAGCAAGGTTAAACAATGAGTTTAGATGAATGATAGTGTTCAAGAGTTTGTCGAGAAGATTGAGAACATGAATAAGATTTGTACAGAGTTGACATCAAGGATTCAGACTAATAAAGAAAAAACTAAAGATTTACTTACGAAAACAGCTGCTTTACAACAAGAAAAGTAAGTTTTGTGGTAATTTATATTGTGTTTTCAATATCTTATTTGATTACGAATGCTCTAAGAATTAATATACAACTTATTTATGTTAATTTTTTTGTGTTTTTGGAATTTGAATTACTGATATTGTTGTAGGAAACAGCTTGTGACAGAGAGAAACTACATTGATGACTTCTTCAACAAGTACTCTTTGACCAACAATGAAGAGATGATAATGGGAAGTGCAATAAATGAAGGAATAATCAGCGATTCGTTCTTCAAAGTTCTGAGAAAGTTGAGTGCAATTCAACAAAACATCAGTTCAGCTTTGACAGTTGACCCAGATAGTACTGCTCTGTAAGTATTATAATACTGTGTTGTTTATAAACAAATTTGTTTTATATATTGTATTTTACTTTTATATAAGGTTTTGCTTAACTTTATAAAATCACGGTAAAATACGATGGTATAACGTAAGAAGTATCACTTTTAATATTACAGACAAGAGATGAAGCGACAAGTGGAAGAGAAAGATGAAGCAGCCTTCAGTGCTCTGTTTTCTTTTGCCCAACGTGAATGTCGTTTACTAAATGTGGAGTTTCTTGAACTTAAACCTATATTACACATGGCAGTCGAAGCTCTTCAGCCGAGAGAAAAGCTATTTGAAGTTGTTTTAGAAGAATATAGTGCAGCTAGAAGATCATTTGTGGTCAGAGCTTATATTGATGTACTTACGAAGGGTAAAGGATTGTCAAAACCTATAGAACATCTATCTGGGGATCCGTTAAGGTATGGTAATTGACAATATTATTAAGTTATGTATGTTAGAAGCTTGATATATTAATTTTATATTGATAATGAGGTTAATTTGAGATTAAAATGCGTATATTTTGCTAAACATTTGAATAATATCATTTTAGATACGCCAGTGACATGTTGGTATGGATCCATCAAGCTTTGGAGGGTGAAGTTGAGCTTCTACAAGCTTTGTTACGGTCATGTCCAACAGAAGTCATCACTCCAACTTCAAAGAAGACATTGGCCAGCATCTCAGAAGCCTTATGTCAGCCGTTGAAGTTGAGGATCGAACAAAATCTGTCGCGAGAGACTAATTCTGTAGTGTTATATCGGTTGTCGTCACTGTTCTTGTACTATTCAAGGCATTTCGAGTAGGTTTATTAGTAGTAAAAAGGGGCAGTAATTGAATAATTTGATGGTTTTAAGTTTTTTGGACTAAATTTGACTATAAATTCGAAGTAATGTCAACTCAAATGATTTTACAGGTATTCAACCAGTGTTGAGTCGATGTTAGTAAGAACATTAAAAGGATTGTACGAGCTGGCTTCAAATATGTTCTATAGTGTTGTTGGAAGTACGGTGCAGAAGATTCTGAGCAATGTAGGTTTTGATTGTAACATACTTTGAACATTTGAATGCTGACATGTCATCTATTTTGCCTGATATGTACTTTAATTTTTTTAGGTGCCAGTACCAGACTACGATCTTTTGCCAGTAAATGCCATCAACCAAACCCTGTTCCTACTCCGCGACATATTAGAATCGCAGAACGATGGCGCATTCACAGCCATTGTGGATAAGAAGGAAACCTATGCTCGTATCTTCAACCACGTACTCGACCCTCTTAATCAGTCTATCCAACTCGTCTGTAGTAACATGCACAACCCTCTAGATGTCGCCGTCTACATGTTGAACTGCCTGAATGCTATCAGAACAGTGATTATAATGTACCAATACACTGATAACAAGTTGGAGATGATCAAAGCTCAAATCGAAGCGAATGAAGATGTACTAGTGAGTGAGCAAGCTAGTACCGTCTTCATAAAATGCTCCATGTTGGACATCTACACCAAGTGTGTGGCACATCAGCAGAATCAGGGACCGTTGGCACATATTCAGGGAATGGAGCCAGACAGAATCAAGGACAGTTTGGTACAGTTCGATCAGTTCTTGGCCAAACCGGAAGGGTACCAAGCGCATCAGATGGTTAAGATATCTAGTGCCAGAAGCAGAGAGACGGTGCAGAAAAGAACGGCCGAACACATCGTGACTGCTTACAAGATTATCCATGACAAGATAGTTGATCCGAGCAATTTATACCCTGATCTGGGGGTCAAAAGTGTCGAAGAGGTGGGTACTTTAGGGTTTTCTATTTAATTTTTGACCGAAATTATATTAATTTGAAGTTATTTTAAATACAAAATAGTCTTTTTACTACAGTTGAAATGTAACATTCGGTAACAGAATATTTGCCCAAATGTTGCGACTAATTTGTTTACAAGATCTTATCTCTCCTTCTCTATTGGTTTCAATTAATTTCAATTCAATTTTAGGTATCCAACATCTTGTTACCTCAATCACCACAGTAACAACAATGTAGTGGGATTAATTTTACTGTGATATATGTTTATAACGGTGTAATTTTTTTAAGTAAATGCTATTTATTTGGAGTTTTTAGGTATTGTTTTAGATGTTTTTGTAAAATACGGCCTTGTTCGCTATATAGTTTTATTTTACTGTAGCAAAAATACATACATATTTATATCTGTTTGATAGATTAAAAAACCGGGGGTTGGAACTTAAATTTATTTTGAAAATTGATCATCGAAAGATTACTGTTACTATATATTGTGATTTACATTATATAAGGCGTACAGTAAGCGTCTGTTTACAACATGTTGTACTATAAATAATTAATATACAACACGGCTAATAACAGCTCGAATAAACAAACAATTTGTTTTGGCGGCTTCCTCGAATTGCGACTTATTTAAAGGGCTTCTAATTGGGCCGATTTCAATGGTCTCGCGCACCATATGTCATGTCTAACATAATATGTTGGAGAATGAAGCCGGACTCGGGAGATTAACACAAGTTAGGAACAGTCAACATATTATACGAATTGGCTTTTTTGATTTGAGTTCTTGTTTTGACCTATTGATTTGTATATTAACGTAGCTTATATGTCTTCTTATATTGAGCGTTTCCTATGTATAATATAACATTAGAAGACGTTAGCATAGCATAATGAAAGGCTTAAGTTGTTGCTAGTAATCTCCTTCTTCCACAACATTTTTGATGTCCGAACAACGAGGATTAGGCTAGTTTAGAGTTCAGAAATGCGCTTAAAGTGTGTAAACAAATCATTTTTTAATTCTTGTGTTCAACTTTTGAGAACGTCGGCTCAATGTCACAGGGGGATTGGATTTCAATTACTTTCGCGGCTACGGTAAAAAGTGGCAGGGCTTTTACAAATTTTACTCAAATTTTTTAAAAATTTTGATTTTTTTAGATTTTATTAAAAATATTTTTTACCTTTTCGTAATTTAAATTAAAAATTTTTGAAATTTAAAAAATTTTAAAATTAAAAAAAAATTAAATTCTTTTTGTAAACAAAGTTTTTATTCAAACAAAAAATTCCTTGACGTTGTTTTAGGTATGCAAATTGCAATTTGCCTAAAAGCAATCTCGGAATAGCCATTGGCGATTCTTTTCAAAAGTTAGGCTTCAATTCTTTTTGGAGTGCAGCGCCGGAAACGGCTTCAACTTCTTGAATTCCGACAACAAGTGTTTTCTTCTTTTGCATGCCCTCAGGGAATGAAATTGGCCAAGACAGTTTTTAAATCAAAACTTTTGATTTACAGCGACAAATGTGGACACAGGTTACTTTAGATGGACTTTTTTAGGTTTAAGGAGGTGCTAGGGTTATTTTTGGGAGGGGTAATATGTTTTTTGAAAAGGGTAAGAGTATTTTTGAAAACAAGCTTTGCATATTGATGTAGAAACACCTTTGCGACATACCTTGTCATCTAAGACATGATGATGGCTCATCTTTAAGAAACACATGTTTTTTGTCCAAAATCTCCCGAATCTCAAGCTCATGAGCCTCATCATAACCCGCGACATGTTGATTTTGACACAAATTTATGTTATCGCTCAATCTCTTGCCCTAAGGAAACGAGTCGTATTTTCATCCATCTCATCCGAGTTTAAACCGATCCGTCATGCCCTCCGGGCATTCCTGTGGTTTTTACGAGGTTTTAATTCCAAGACGGTGTTTGCACCCTGTTATTACACTTGGATCGGCTGTCGCTTTCGGCCCCATCACTCGCTTAATTTGAATTTTACGGCGCAAAGTGAAAATTGTCGGAATACGGGCGGATACACGGCGACAATTGCGGTTTAATGTAAATGTTTGGATAGGATTTTGAGGATGGGGGGTTTTGGAGGGGGTGTCTTTAGTTTGGAGGAGTATTTTTATCTTAAGGGGGTGGGTTTATTTTAGAGGGGAGTTTTTATTCTGACATACTGTATAAAAACGTAATTTCACGAGTTCATCCGTAAAATTAGGTTGTTCAGAAAGCTTTTTTTAAAAATTAAAAAAAAACAGTATAAACTCAATTTTTGACAGATTTTAAAAAAAAATTTTAATTAATAGTTCACTATTAATAATATATTTTTTAAACTTAAAAACTCAAAAATACTCTTCTACGAAAATCATAAAACTTGTCGTTTTTGCGACAAAATTAGCGTTTGTCCTTGTTCCGTCCCAGAAGATAGTAATGTACTGTGAACAAATTGGGTGTGCAACTACCAATCACAGTCTTTTTTTGGTCGAAAAAGTAATTTTGAGGTTTTTGAGGTCAATTGGCTGTCGATTGGCTAGTCATTTGAGTGCCGATCAGATTCGGTGTGATCGGGTTTTTGGAAGGTTACCAGGATTTTTCGAGTTTATAGGGTTAGGCTTGTCATTTTCATTGATTTGTTAGTGTACCGTGCGTATGTTACAAAATATGATGTAAAAAGTTCTGTTGTAAAAGAAATAAGTACTATAATTTTTTGACTAGATTACTTTTTTTATATTGTAGTAGGTCCAGAGAATATGATTCTCATAGTTTGCACTTTATTTTTTTAAACAATTTGTACTATTTTTAAGCCATAAATTTAATCAGTAATCATTAACAGCTCGTCTAATCAACAGCTCTTTAATTTTTTTAAATTTAACAGTTTTTTAAAAATATTTTACACTTAAAACCATTTTTAAGTATGTTTTTCTCGGTTTTATTTTTTTTTGGCCGCGGGCGATTAGAGCGATGCATTTTGGAGCCGTTTTTTTGGATCCATCTCTTTTTATGATATTTGAATTGGTCAGCGGTTTGGACATTTCTGTTTTTATGGACCTCAAACTGTGATACATCACATTTGGAGGGTCATCTTCGAGCGTTTAACTAAAATGTGGGAAAGGAGGGCTTGTAGTTGGTACTATAATAAAACGAAGAACTTGTTTTTGGTACTATAATATCAATAATATCGTGATATTTTGGTAGTACTGTAACTTTTTGTGTTTTTTTTCACTGTGGCTTTTGAAGAACAAAAAAATGCTTGACAAATTTTATTGTTGTTCACTGTAATTATATTATCATACTGTCCTAACATTCCTATTGTATTCCAAATTTACCATCAATTACCGTACTCTTACCTATAGTAATATCGCAACTTTAGCAAGTATGTAAATGGTGATAAACCACGAAATATTTGCGATTGATGAGTCAATTTAACTTTGTCATAGCTTTATAACTATGCAAATCGCCGTTCGAAGCCGGCTCTTCTTTCAAAGTCTTTCCGTTTAGTTTTTTGACCTCTGACACGCCTTAATCAGCTGGGCTAGGCGGGGTATTTTACGATTTTCAGTGGGGGTTTAATACGTTAAAACTCTTTAGTAAGACACTTACTATATATGGCATTTAACAAAAACTTTTTTGATGCAAAAACAATGGCGCGTTGTAGTTTTATATCAAACTTGTTGTGTATGGGGTCGAAAAGTTTGTAGAACTAACAAATTTTTTGGAATTAGTCAAGATTTTTGGAAAATTTTTGACCATTTTTTCAAAAGTCAAAAGTTGCGTGTTACATATTGATACAGTACCTCAAAACATTAATACAGTACCCCCAATGTCATCCTTAATTTTCAGAAGTATATGGATGAGCGCTACCTTACCTAGATGACTAATGTACTCTCACCACCATTATTACCGTTTCCCGGTCGATTTCAGCGACATTCTAGCCTCTGATTCTACCCCCAAGCCTCGAGGACATCGTACAGAATCCTCCAAGTCTTTAATTCACAGTAAACCGGATTTCTTCACACAATTTGAAGGTTTCATAGACAATACTGACACCTCAGACACCTCTCTCTCATCTTACAATGACAATCCGAAAGCTAACAATCGGTTTTGGGTAACATTAAACCTTGTCATCCTACTGTTACTTCTACTTGGAGGTCTATCATTTTTGTATGTGTTCAGTCAGAAGCCTTTGACCTGTCCAACTCAAGAGTATGGTACCAGGAATGGCAGTAGACATTATGATGTAGATGCGATAAGCGAGATATTGAGGGAGAGAGTGAATGCAGAGAGAATTAGAGAAAACTTAAGATGGATCACCGAGGATGTACATGTGGCTGGGACTAGTGCTCAATTAAAGCTGATGGATAAGATCGAGGAAGAAGTAAGTAATAAGCGGCTATTACAACATGTTTGGGGCTGTAATTTGTCATTGATTATGATTTATTTGAAATTTAAAAGTTTTTGTGATTAATCAGTATAATATGTTAAGATATTTTAGTACAAAAACTTGGGTTTCAAAGTTAAAACTTATGAGTACGAGGTACTACTGTCATATCCAGATGTAAATCGACCTAATTCAGTACATTTGTGGTCGGATTCAGATGGTTGGATTACCATTTCACATGGTATTGGCACCCCTATTGGGCCAAGCACGGTAAGTACTACAGCATACTGTATTTTACTTCAAAATACTGTAATCTATAGTAGAGTTCAGTAATATAGACAATTTATTTGCAAGTTAATGTACTTATATGTACAGTATGTCTTACCTCTTTACTTTAGAACAGAGACCCGTTAGGCTCGCAATGGTGGAACGCCTATTCAAGTAATGGTACCGTATTTGCTCAAGTTGTCTACTGTAACTATGGGATCGAAGAAGACTTTACCTTGCTATTACAATCTGGAGTGACTCTAAAGAACAAGATTCTACTGATTAGATATGGAGCTAAGTTCAGAGGCGACAAAGTCTATTTGGCTGAACAGTTAGGGGCAGCCGGGGTATTACTGTATAGCGATCCTTTTGACTTTGCTCCTGAGAAACCACACAATAATTTGGTATGTTATGATGACTTGGTTAAACATACTATACTATAAAATTAGCCCAGGCAACAAATTATAGTACGTTATAATTTTAGACCTACCCCGACCAAGTGTGGCTACCAGGTTCAGATGCTCAGCGTGGTACTTTGCTTAGGTTCAACGGTGACCCAGAAACTCCAGAGTTCCCGTCGAAACCATATGTTCATAGAATCAAAAGGAAAGAGCTTAAACATGAAGGACTTCTACCAAACATACCAGTAATGCCCTTAGGATACGATGACGTCAAGAGTCTGATGGAGCACATGGATGGAAGTGAAGTGCCGGTAAGTGGCTTTAAGCGTCGTAAGGTAAAAATAAGTGTTTTTTTTTGAAAGTTTCATTATATTGATATAGACATTTCTTATCAAAACTGAACCTAGAACCAAAAAATACCGTATAATTACTGACTGGTAGAACTAGCACGATCAATATTACAATAAACTTCTCATTTTAGTGGTCCAGATGGACTGGAAGTCTCACAACAACCTACAAACTCAACTCCACGATCCGCTTTAGAATGGACGTGAACACTCAGCTTCAACGTGCTCCAATCAAGAATGTTGTCGCCATCTGGCCAGGCCAAGAAGAACCAGACGACTGGATCTTACTGAGCAATCACATAGATGCCTGGAGTCACGGTGCCATCGACCCAAACAGTGCTACCGCTGTGATGCTGGAGATAGCACGAGTACTACAAGCCACAGAGAAATCGACCGGTTGGAGACCGAGAAGATCCCTGGTCTTTGGCCAATGGGACGCCGAGGAGTTTGGACTAGTTGGATCTACAGAGTTTGTGGATGAGATGCAGACCATGCTCTCTGACCGAGTGGTGGGCGTTATAAATGTAGATAACATCAATGGAAACACGACTATTGTCGCCAAAGCGGCACCATTAATGTATAGAGCTTTGGCCAAGGCAGCGGCCAAAGTAGAACAACAAAATATTGTGGAAGTTGAGAAGGGAAGAGTTACATTACTGGACTCATGGACATATTACTCTTTGAAAGGAGCTCTACCTGGCGACAAAAGTGTACCAGGCATAGGACATCCTCTGTCTGGGTCAGACTTTCAACCATTTTTAGGTATCAATTTGTTTCTTTATCTAAAATAGTCTTAAAATTATTAATTTTTATACATTTAAATTTAAAGCTTGATTAAATTGACTTTCAGACTATATTTTGATATTACTTTAGGTCATTTGGGTATCCCGGTGGCAGATTTGCGGATGGAAGGTGCTCCTCAATATACATTTATGTTGTACCACACCATGTACGAAACTTCTTGGACTGTAGAGAACCTTATCGACCCAACTGGACTGATTTTCAAGTCAATGGGACAGTTTTGGATTGAATTGGCAAGAGATTTGGCCGATAGTAGAGTAAGTTAAAAATGTTTTTGAACTTAAAATAGGAGAAACCACACCTCGTATTTTACATTTAAGATTACTTTTTATGCACTAAAAATGATAGAACGGCACTAATGTCAATGTTATTTTACTTCTCTCGCTCCATTCCCCTTTATTTGCGCGCGAAAAGAAATGAAAGAGAAAATAAGAAAGGGAACACTCGTGGCCTTGTGGCGTAATGGATAACGCGTCGGACTTCGGATCCGAAGATTGCAGGTTCGAGTCCTGTCAGGGTCGACTTACTTTTTGGGGTTTTTTACAAGATTATAAAGACAAAATAACTTTTTTTAATCATTAATTATTAAAAACATATTTGCATTGCATTTTATTAGTTTTTAAACTAATTTCAATATTTAAAGCTAACAAGCTATGCTTTTTCAGATAATCCCTTACGATGTAAACGATTACTCTGTTGTAATAGCTGAAGGAATTTTATTTACCGAAAAGTATTTGCGAACCCTCAACATCGACCACATTATCGACAGTTTTGACGACATTTTTGAAAATCTTCATGAAGCTGTTCTGAAATTCCGCAATTCTGCTGCCAGATTTACCCAAATGATTCACGAAATCAATAATCGTCCGAATCTGGTCGATGAAGTTCGAATCCGGTCGATAAATCGTCGACTGAAAGGCATTGAGAAGTGTTTTTTATCGACTGGTAACGAACAACCATCTCGACGTCACATTGTGTTTCGATCGAGTTCTCGCGACAATCTGAACGGTCAACTCTTCAATGGCCTTCTGGAGGTGGCATTGGAAGTGGCAGAGAGTGGAGGGAAGGACCGGGAGTTGGTGGAGCAGGTGATTTGGGAGATGAACAGGATTCAGATGGCGGTGGAGAGTGCGGTTCACTTTTTGAGTCTGAATTGAGTGTATTGATAAGAGTATATTAAGTATGTTAAGGTTATTGATATCTCAGGTTTTAACGATCTTCTTTGACTAAAATACGGTCTTTTATTCTTTTAATTTGTATTTGTAACACATTCTGTCCTCAAAATGAGCTTTATTGTAAAGAAAGTTTCTTTCAATTTAAAACTTTTTTAGTTGTAAACAAAGTTTTCTCCAAACCTCCTGTCATTTATGTAAAATATCTTTTGTAAGCAAAGTTTCTTCCATATTTTTATAAAATTTGCCTTTTGTAAAGAAAGTTTCTTCTAAATCTCTAAACATTTATACGAAACTCGTTCTGTAAAGAAAGTTTCTTCCTTATTTTTTAAATTTAAGTTTTGTAAACAAAGTTCCTTCCCAATTTCTGCCATTTATGTAAAACTTGTTTTGTAAAAAAATTTCCTTCCTCAATTTTTGTAAAGAAAGTTCCTTCCTCCCCCCCCAACATATTGTGAATTGAGTCTTTCCGTATCTTACTGTGATGACTTAAGTAATAAATATTGCGCAACGTTTCTCCCTGCCCCGAGGCGTTTCTTTTGTATGCGGCGATGTAATTGACCTCCTAAAAGTTCACTTATTATTGAGCTGGCAGATCCTCCAAACTCAATATAAACATTTCAATTTCAATTCAAGTCATTAGAGGTTTTAAGATGGATTCACAACAGGCGCCGGTCCAGCCTATTACGGTCGATTTGGAATTTCCTTTTTTAACTTTTTTTTTGAAATCTAGAATTTTTTTTTAATTTTAAAAATTTTTGGGTTTCGACTTGTAATTTACGTTTAGGGTAAAGTTGCATAATATGTTGGTTTTAAAATGTCATTTGATATTGTAATCACTTATATTTTAATTTTTCTAGGCTTCAGCTTATGTTATACTTCATTATCTTAACAAAAATGACCATGTGTTTAGTCCAGACTAGATTTCAGTTTATATTTCATTATGTATACTTTTTTAGCTAGCCTAGCCCCTTAGACTGCTTTTGGTTATTCTCTTTGCTACTTACTTTTTGACTGAACCATAAAATAAGTATAAAACTATAGTTAATATCGCGATTCCTTAACATTTATTTCAATGTTTAGGCTTCTTAAAAGCTTATTATTGGTCCCAATATGGCTCAACCATCAGGCTGTTTAGCCTTGTTACTATCGCTACTGCTTCTCATAAGGTGTACAATATCTTGTGCTGCGACTTCTAGCTCTTCTAATCGTAAGTTTTTGTGATATTTTATGGTTTCTCATCGTAATTTAGGTGTTATATTACCTAAATTTTACAGTTTTTGCATTTTCAAACTTTTAATAGCATGGATTTTGAATAAAAAATGCCAAAATTTTCAAAATATGTGTCACTCTTTACAATATCATTGTCAAAAATTAAAAATTTTTTTCAAAATACTTTGATAAAAGAAGAAACTTTTTTTTACAAAATAAGCTCTATGCTATCTTACAGTGAAATTTAGAATTACATTGTTAATACATTTAATCCTGCGCCCTTCTCAAAGAAAATTTGCGTAGGGCACAGAATTTTTTGAACAACCTAATATTACTGATAAAAAACTTTTAGCGTGTGGTACCTGTCCCAGTCTCCAAGTAATCACAGACAATAACAGTCTGGACCACTCGGTCGACTTACAAATGGGTACCAATTCAGCTGGGTGCGCAACATTAGTGGTGACTTGTACTGGAGATTCCAGCAGTTCTGAAGTCATCTTATTGGTGAGTTGTTGATGCCCACGTTAAGTAAATCTTCGTATTTTACATTTTTATATTATTTTAGGTCTTGGGACATTTAAAGTTGATGTTTATGACAAATTTAAAATTTTTCAATTTTTTTAAATAAAAAAAATTAATTTTAATCAAATCCAACCACTGGACATCGTATTTTACTAAAAATTCCAAATCACACTTAAAATGCCACTTTCAGTGGACAGAAAACGGCTCGGACCGTGGCTCCTCCACCGACAGCAACGACAACTCGGTGACCCGCACCCTGGTCTGCGACTCCAACATGCAATGGGAACTGACCGACAACGATTACACTGGAGTGGTGACGGCGGTAGAATGCTTGGCTACTTGATTGTATCGATATTAATAAGAAACTTTAATAAATGACACTTGAAGCGAAAAGCAGAGGATTCTGAAGTCGAGGGTCAAGATCCGCTTAGCGTCGGATAAAAGGCTTCGTTCAGAAGCATCTTCCTCCACTTTCAATCGTTTTGATTAAGTGCTGGATAGTACTGTTTTAGCTACAGGATTTGGGGTGTAATTTGAAGATATTAGAGGCAATTCTAAGTTGATATTAGCGATATAAGGCTACTTTTAGGAAGATACAGCCGAATATTTTATGGTTTTTAAAGCTTATTGTTTTTAGCCCTAAACTAAATCTAGCAGTAGGCTTTAATATTTGTTTCTTAACAACTAAAACTATATAGTACTACTAGAATCCTCAAAAACTTATTGATCTTCTCTATTACACTAGGCAATCTAATAGAAACTACATCAGATAGGACTGTGGTAGCGTAACCCCGCTTAACTTAAAGTAAAGTTTGCTATTCTTAACCTCAAAAACATTTTTAGTATCCTAATTAGTAGTGGCATACCTACAAATCCAACAAGACCTCAAGAAATATCATACTTACTATAACAGAAGCTACAACCATATAAAGAAACCAACATTAATGTCCGCCTAATGTTGCTGTTGAACGTCGTTATAACCTTCCTACTTCTGATGCCCATTTGGACTCTAGTTTGCTCAGCTTGTGCTGCCACAGCACCTCCCAGTCATCCTACAACACTTGGCCCAACCATACCAACTGTCACGCCCACGAGTGCGCCAGGTACGTCTACTACTATTACTACCGTAATTACTAGAAGCTATAAAGCCACGACTCTGGCGTGATCGTAAGTAGCTACGTCTTGTCAGTGAAACTATAATTCTTTATTTAAAAGTCGATTTTCCGATATTAATATAGATAATTAACCTAAATCACAATATTTCCCCATGATATGTTGTTTAATTCATATTCTTTTCAGTGACGTGTGGCACATCTTGTACTCAAGTAGTACTACAGATGGACAGTGAAAACAGCAGACCAATCAACCAAATAGCGACTGCCAATGTTGTTAATGGCTGTCCTGGCTTCACGTTAGATTGTGCCGGAACGGCGGACGACTCAGTCGTCATTTTTACAGTAAGTATACTTTGTGCCTTCACCTACATTACTATCATTTCTAATTTTTTCTATCTTATTTAATTACATCAGTTTTTCAAAATATTTTAGACATATATAGTAAAAAACCATATAATAGACCAAAAATCCGTAGTATTATGCCAATTTTCAGTGGTATAAAGACGGAAAAGATGTGGGAAGCACGTTCGGAACAGGCACAGTAAACGCTGTGGTCGCGTGCGCCGAAAACAACGTGCTAACGTTAGAAGGAACGGTCGTTGACACAGTTGAATGTATTTCCGCCTAATGCCATAAAATAAATAATTTATTATCACAAAACTTTGTACACCGTTTCAAACTCTCTGTTCTTAAACATTATAAGGTACTAAAAGAGCTTATTAGCTTAAAGATAAATGTATACTATTGTAACAGAGATATAGAACAAAGCAACTGTTGGTTACCTATCTTTGAATAGTTTAACAAGATAAATAACCATATATAACATGCTATAAGCTCAATTGTTCTATTATAATGTTATTTAACAAATGGCAGACCATTGAAATCTAAAAACAAACCACAATAAAAAATCTTTACTTTACCTCCATTAGACCAATTACAATATCCCTGATCACGTGTAACAATGATGACCTTTCACAACTTCATCTAACCTCGTATGAAACAGCTCTGAAACAATCTCTTCGTCCGTGTTAACCACCGGGTTCCTCACCACAGTCGCCACGTATACTTCGTAAATCTTCTGAAGCAACTGATGTATACCTTCGGCATCTGGGTCAGTATTCAGGACCATTTTGATTGCTGTCGCCGTCTCCAAATAATGCATTTTGTAGGCTGATGTCTTGAAGGATTCCACCATCTGTTGGCCACCTTTAGTCGAGAGTTTGGTCGAGAACGAGCGAAGAGACAATAACATTCCGTAAACCAACTTAAACTCCTCCTCTTTTGACATATCCGAGCTCTTCTCTCGCTTCCACTCCTTGTAGACAATACATTGTCCAGATTTGTTAAATAGGTATAGATTGTAGATCGTCATCACAACATTTACTCTGTATTTTCTAACATAAAAGTAAAATATTTATTAAAAAAATAATAAAATAACATAAAACACAAGGCCAAACAAAAGAGATTTGTTATTAGCCATGAATTGTTTTCGTGTTAGGAATCTGTTTAATATTATAATGTTTAAAATCTATTTCCATGTTCGTCAGGTTGCTTTAGAGGCGATATAGACGTTTCTAAGCTATGGACAAATCACGGCTACGAGCGGTCTTGTGGAGCGAGTTCAAAGCAGGACGCACCGCCAGTGCTACGGCCCAATTTATCAATGAAACCCATGGAAAAGGTACATTGAGTTATGCAACAGCAAAGAGATGGTTTCAAAGATTCCGTTCTGGAGATGAGACACTACAGGAGAAAAGGAGGCCAGGAAGACCTAAAACAGTATTCGAGGATTTGCTGAAGCAGCGGACTGAAGAAGCTCCACGTATTACTATCAGGGAGTTAGCCAAAGACCTCAACTGTTCTGCTGGATCAGTTGCCAAACATTTGAAATCGATGGGGTACGTCAAGAAGGGTGAACAATGGGTAGCCCAAAACTTAACGGATCAGAAAAAAAAGAAAAAGTCGGTGTCAAAAAGTGAAGCAAAAAAAGCGTAAGAATACCTGAGTTTTCTGCTACTGTATATATCTGAATTCTACTGGTGTAAAAATGCTTGCGAAACGTTGCACATATTGTTGATGGCAATTTTTTAACAATAAATTATTGTTTTTAAAATGCAATGTTTGTGCACATTATTTAGGGGACACAGAATTATTTGAACAACCTAATATATAAGACCCTTTCGTTTAAAAGTCGAACTCGTAACTTAAAAATAGTATTTCGACTATTAAATGCCGACAAAAATTATAAATTTATTAATGAAAAAATAAATACGTTTTAACAGTAAGATCAGGTATCATGTTTAACTTTGTACATTAACGTTGATAAGCAGCGGCGTCTTTTTCTTGGATCATATCGACGGTCTTAGCCAAATCCAAATCTTTCTCCTTTTGTAACCTTTGTCCTAAAACAAAAAGTAATCTTGGCTACGCAATAGACATGTTATATATTACTTTATGAATAACTTGAAGAAATAAATTTGAAAGTTAAAAACGTACTGACTAATTGTATGATAGCCCTATTAGTTCTTCGATCTAGCTTGTCCAGTTCTTCTTGCATTCCTCGTTTCAGGTCCCAATCCACCTTCTTTGGAGCCAGTACGGATATGTCCTAAAAATAGCAATTTATAAATCATTTTGATTAGAGCACTTTCACTTTACCGACCTACCTGTGGAATTTTTTTTCGGATTGGCTCTGGGGGAGGGGGGTACGCCCCCCCCTCCCCCAAACGACGTCCCTGTATACCACTATTAACATAAACAAAGTTTCAATATGAAAACATACCAAGTCATCTCCCAATTGAATGTTCTTGGCGTCATCGATAATCTCTTGAATATCTTGTTCGGTCTTCTGTAGCACGTCTCTCACTTCGTCTCCAATATTGATGATATTTGAGGTTACTGTTTTGTAGGATCTTGGGTTTAACAACCTACAAATTTAAATCATCACAATAAATATCAACTATACAACGTAATATCTCAAAAACTCGATAATACAGCCATTATAACCTAAGTACTTACATCAAAGGCTGATCATCAGTATCACCGTTTTGTTTTCGTTTTTCCAACGTTCTCCTTCGCAGGTCCTCTAACCTCTTCCGCCGTTCCAGAGCGTTCTTCTCTAACGGAGATAGTTCGAAGCCTTCGGTCTGGTCAATATCCACCATCTAAAACAATTTTTACACATGTTAGTAGCATGTATAAGTTATGTTCAAACCAAAATTTAGCTTCCAAACAATTTTAAAAAATATATATCATCGTTTGTCAACAATGTCATCTCAACAATAACCCATAACAAAAACATTTATTACATCTAACATAACATGAACAGACCCTAATGTAACATATCATCAACATATAACAACAAGACAAACGCCTAAATTGAGTATTGAATTTGTCGCGACCGTAGATAAGCGTAGTACTCCCTCATCTTGTCCCATCCGTTGCTAATAGGTATAGATGACTTGTACCCTGGAGGTTCACCTTCTTCCAACCTCACAAACACATTAATGAAGCGATGGCGGGTAATATTCCAATTCTCACGAGCATGTCGCTTCCGACTTTTTTTGATTGCACATTGTATGGCAAAGGCTTCGGCGACAAACATGTCGTCCGGGTTGTTGATGTGGAACTCGTTCTGAGCACGATTCCTGGCTTGTTCTATCGCGTCGGCCATTAATAATGTACCCTGAATAGGATTATAATATAATATTATACTATTTTGAATGTCATATACAAGTTAAAACAAAAACTATTAAAAACATAATTCTGACATTAGTGTCAACTTATACTATCAAATATTGAAAGATGACATTCTATAACCTACCTTGCCGCCCTTAAACTTCAATTGGATCAAAGCGTCTTTCACTTTCATTCTCCATGCAAATTGACATGAGGTGAACATCTTTTTAGGAGCGAAGTGGATATTCTCGATACAGTGGTACACTTCTGGAGGCTTTGGTAAGCCTGTCTCTGGAACGACGTAGCCAGGAGGCCATACTACCTAAAACAAGTTGAATATCAATGTGAAGACAACTTCTTTTACACCATCCTTTACTTCTTAACACCCGTCTTTTGCTTAACTTCAAAACAATAATAATGTTTTGTCAACCAACCTCCAGAAACATTACTTTTACTACCATTTCCTCTTAACAATACTACCCAACTTACTTTATTCTGATACTCCCACTTCTCCGGTGTCATACCGTAATTCTTCAACGGGCTGTAAATGTCTTTGTCTGGATCTTCGACCTTCTTCAACTCCCATTCTGGAGCGTAATATACCTTTCTGACTGGAGTTTCGAATCTTTGGATGTGAGGTTTGGCAAACTGAAGTCGCTTCTTCCAAGGATCCACCTTAGCTAAAGATGCCACTGACGACGAACACTTCCTAAAATCCAATAGGAAGCGCGAGATCATCTGAAATAGGTCGTTTTAAACGTCGGTAAATAAACAGTTTATACATGTTACTCCATCATAAACCTATAGATATGATGCAAATAAACAAAGCTATAAAATTTCCATAACTATTCCAGAATACATCAAGATTCTTGAAGTAACAATGGTCCAAGTACCATTAAGTGTCCTATACTTTAGTACTACATTAAAATGTTTATTATATTAGAAATTTATAGTATTAGCAGTACATAATTAACTAGGACAAGTCAGCATCCATGTTGAGCATGTTTCTAATCGTATGTTTCGTTTCTCTTAAGGCTTTTCGTTCCATAGTTAGGCCTACAAGCCCATGCCACAAGCAGAATCCAATGAACAAAGTTAATATAAACCTAGATGTCTCTACCTAAAAATTAAGAATTAATATTCATAATTAAATTACCAACCTTTCCACAAAATACCCATGAGATACACTAATAATATATAACTAAAAATAAAAAACGCGACCACAAATGTACTTACGATGAGTGTAGTCGATGGAAATACATTTTCCAGGTTAATAGTTAGCAAAATCAAAGAAAACGCAATAATACACATAGCCATAAACAGTCTTCTATCCCACAATACTCGAACTTCACCTTCTTCTACAATAGTCAGCGCTTTTTCCAAAAATGAATTAGGTAACGGGACATTAGGCAAGCAGACATCAGCAGACGGAGAGTCATCTAAAAATTCCAACATTAAATGCTGTTAAAACTTATTAATCATATAGTAATAAAAATGATAATAAAATAAGACTTACCACCTGAAGATACCTTAAAGGTAGCTGTAACTCCAACATGATCCGAGAAGTTAGTAGGTTTGTCGTCATTAATGTGATTAAAACAAGTGGTACATTCTTCTAGTTGCAAACAAGCTAAAATTATAATTTCTGCATAAATTAACGAAGAATAAGAATCTTATACTCTTTTTGTTGATTATTTGCAGTAGCTACACATAACTTCTATACAAAACCAAAAAAAAGATAAACCAGATCAACCAAAAAAAAGGTCTATAACACTAACCTGCCATTAAAATGAAAGTAGATACCTCTAAAAACGTAAAACAAAACAAACACACTTACATTTCCCACTCTGATACATAATATAATCCAATCGTTTCCCTTCAGGACATGCCTTCCTCATATAGGCCGGGGTGTAGATGTTGTCTGGTCTTTCACAAGTCATTCCGTCCTTATCTTCAACATTCGGTCGATTCTCCCAAGCATCGTATAAGTTCCCAACATATCTTATGATCAAATAACCCAAATCTTCTGGTTCAATATTGAAATCGCCTGCCAACAATATCATATCAGAAGCGCCACTGGTGTATCTGACAAACTGAGCTAGTTCAAAACATTGTGCTATACGATGAGGTAGGTATAGATCATTTTCTCGGTTATACTCAGCGTGAAGCTGAAAAACAATATATTTTTTATTAAAGTTTTTTTTGTACTTGATTAATTAGGTAATAAAACGTAACCAATATCTATTTAAATCCTTAAACTGCCCTTACATGGGTAGTGTAAACAGTCACCGACTTTCCATTCCAATCCAACTCTACCATGCCCACGATCTTCCCTCCAAACCAGTCCCCTCTATGAACATGATGAGCAAACCCATTCAATGAATATCGATGAATCAAGGTTCCTTTAATCTTGTGAGCACTCAGAACACCAACTCCACTGCCAGTGAAACCACTATAAACAACATTAACATTAAGTCCGTACAAAGTTTAGATTACTATAGGATTTGGATAAATACCTGTGGAAATAATGGCCGTGTGGAAACTTGTGCAGCAACTCTGAATGTAGATACAAGAAATCTTTTTCGTTCCAAAGCTGAAACATAAGTTTAAAAACGGCAAAATTTAATTTTTTACATCAATATCGTATTCCGTTATAAAATTAAGCAAAGTTCTAAGATTCGACAGAATTTCGTAAAATAACTATCAATAATCGCTGTCGTAGATAACTGTCAGCAAACTCTTACCTCTTGTAAACACACTACATCAACATCAAGCTCTTTCAACTCTTCACAAAACTTTTCCAACCGATACTTTCTATCTTTACTGCCCAGCGGATGAGGGTATGGCAACAACCTACACGTAAAACAAAATAAAAGAAGTAAACACTTACCAAATATTTAATGTGACTAGTTTAAACTTCATTATTTATACACGACAAGCTATATAATACTGAGATAAATATATAAATCCTGTTGTTAAAAAATACACATTGATTTGAGTGGAAAAACAGGCGTATTTACTGATAACCAGACATCATTTTTGTCTGAAATAATATTCCAGTATACATTTCGGCGTATAAAATTGTTTTCTGACTTATAACACAATGCCAAAACGAATTTCAAAACGAAAACAAGTTAGCAAAAAGCGCGAAAATAGAGTAAATAAAACCAAAAGCTGGAAAAATAAAGGAAACTCGGTGGCCAACGTTGATTTTTCCAACAGGTATTCAATATTCCACCAAAAATGTCGGAGAACATTGACACTGGCTTCATCCAAGTAAGTTTATTCAGTTTAATGTTTAATATGTAGTATAAATTTAGAGCCTGAACAAAAATGATGTAATGTTAATTTGTGTTTAGGAATTTCTGGATAACCCGGCCAATGCAAAGAAGAACCCGGTGCTTCAGCTTCTGGAGTTGAGAATTACAAATTCAGCTCCAAATGTCTCATTTAGGGCACGGATGAGCGATTCTCAGTTCACTTACTCATCTTGTGTTGGAGCTCCAGCTGCTTTGGAGTATTTGCAAAAAATGGGTATTGCATCAAGCAGGCCGGTGATCAGAGTCAACTCTTACACTACATCAGATAATAAGTATGTTTTTTTTTAGTTTTTCTTTTTTTAGACTTTAAGCTAAGGTCTCTCATGGCCAGACGAATGGATTTATGTTTTAAAAATATAAAATGAGTTGCTTTATTTATGTGAAGCTAAACTATTGGTCATAATGGTTTGTATTTTCAGTGGAAAACGCTTGTTTTGCATGGTGAACATCGAGTTGATTGAAGATACTACTGAAATCATCGGAAGTCCAGTAGCTCATTCAGGAAACCCGAATGATTACCGTGGTATGAACAACTTGCCAGTCCGAGCCCAAAGTCCTTCGAGAAAGCGACAAGGATCTGTGATCAATGCCACGACTCCATCTAAGAGAAATAACTCCTCGGGCGGAGTTTTTGGCCAAAGGATCTTCTCCATCAAAGACATATCACCTTATGTTCCCAACTTCAGAATTTGTGGATTGTGCCAGTCCAAGGAGGCGATGCGACAAGTAAATACTAAGAGAGGACCTTCTCATTGTCTGAACTTTACTATTATCGACGAAGGTGGCAATGCCATCAGAATCACCGTCTGGGGCGACCAAGCTTCTGAATTGGATCAGATTATTGAAGAGAACCAAGCTTACTACGTGGATTGTCAAGGAAATGGCACTGTGAGGGAATCGAACAAGAGATTTAATTCTACTGGACATCCTTACGAATTGACTTTGAATAATGGTTGTTCGGTAAGCTTGTACATTAAAAACTGCTTTAATATGAGGTTTTGGGACATGAAGGTATTTTTTGTAATTTTTAATTTAACGTCTGGTTAATATTTCAAGAATCATGTATGTTTTAGTAAAAAAACATGATTTTTAAACAAATATACTGTTATAATGTTCTATTTTTAGGTAGAAGTGTGCACTGATCGTGTAGTAGAGCCAACAAACATTAAACTTAACCCTATTTCGTTGTCCGATATCAAGGTCCATCCTAACGAATGTGTTGATGTTCTTGCTGCTATAGATTCAGTGGAAGAAGTGTCAACAGTAAATGCCAAGGATGGTCGAACACTTCACAAAAGATCCATCAACCTGATCGATGACACCAAGACCCAAGTTCAGCTGACATTGTGGGAGGATGATGCTCACAACTTTGACTATCAAGTTGGCGATATCATCGGACTAAAGGGCGCCAGTGTTCGTGAATTCAATGGAGGATTCTCGCTGAGTGTCTCCAAGGCTTCTATCCAGATATTCCCATCACCATCTAGCGAAGCCACTGATGAATTGGCCAGATGGTTCCAGAATGAGCGACCAAATGCCGAAATTGCCAGAATTAGTGGAGGAGAAGGTGGAGGATCTCTGGAGAGAGACTTCAAGATGGTCGGAGTTGTTGTGGGATCAGGAATGGCACAATCAGCCGATGATAGGGGCATGTATGTAAACATCAAGGCTACAGTAAACTCGATTAGAACTGAGAATGCTTTCTACGAGGTGGGTTTAGTGTTTTTATTTTACTAGAGACTTTGCTTATCAATATTATTGTATTTTGTCTAGTATTTATTAAAAGCATTTGCTATAGAGCTGCAAGACCTGTCGTAAGAAGGTGAACATGGTGGATAACCAAGCCACCTGTGATCGCTGTGGACCTGGAGTAGAGTCCAAGTACGTTTATATGTTGGCGATGGAAGTTGTCGACTTTACTGGTGCAACATGGATAACGTTGTTCGACGAAGCTGCTCAATCTCTGCTGGGTATTCCAGCTAACGATCTCCAACAGATGTGCATTGACGATGTAAGTTCAGTAATGTCGTTTTTTGAATGTCAGCTTCGATTGTTAAAGATTCTTGTGGTATTATAATATGCTTTATGTTTAGAAGGACGCTTACGACAGTGTGTTTGACAAGATCAGATTCAACGAGTACGTCTTCAGATGCCGTGTAAAATACGAAACCTTTAACGTGAGTTTTCTTTCTTCTTGTGTTATTAAGGTTCTTTTGTAGTTCATATTGACTGATAACGTTATTTTAGGATCGACAGAACTTGCGCTGGACCGCGATGCAAGTGAATCCTGTGAACTACGAAAAGTTCTGCCAGATGTTTGAAAAGTCACTTAATGTAATGAACAATCTGTAACTTTAACTGACGACAATATGATTGGTATCTCATGTTTAATTTAAGAATAAGTATTTCAAATTAATATTAATGTTTTATACAATAAAGCTGCTGTATAACATCACAAGTGGATTATTATGTCGATTTGAATTTAGGAAGCCCATGCTTTATATCACACTTTTATATTCCTAAACTTATCATAAAATATACATTATTTATTGAATATACACAATCTACATGTTAAGATCATTGCTCGATTCGAGGTGAATCGTCGTCGCCAAAGCCCACTCTCGGGGCTACTGGCGTCGAGGGTTTAGAAGGAGTGGAAGGTTGAGAAGAAGTCTTGGAGAAGGTAGAGGCCATACTTAAGGTCGACCCGGGGATCAGGCGTTGTTTTATTATGAATTTGGGCCGGGAAGGGGCAGGCGGGAGGGATTCGATCTCCGATTCCTACAGATTTAGTAAACAATAATAAAATTCTGGTTAAAAGTAGTTTTACGAGCTTATAATAGATGCCAAACAAAAAAAAAACATTTTCTCATAAAGTAAAACTACGGTATGCACATTTACCATTGATAAATATTAAATGATTCCCAAATCCATTAAGAGAACATCAAAATTACCTGTATCTTCCTGGTGGGCGACACTGAAATTCGGAATCTTCGTGGCTGTGCTTCAGAAGGTCCGGGTTCATCAATCTCGGCACGCTGGATGGAATTTGACCGTTCCCTTAGACTGTCGGGACGTGGACGATCGCGGTTTTTGGGCAAGAGATGAGCCCGCTGGGCCCGCACTTCCTCGATCGACGGCCAAGGAACGAATTCGTCTTGGCGAGGCTTGATCTCCACTCTGAGAAAAGATAATATAATTTGAGTTTTTTATCCAAGAAAATTTTATGTAAAATACGAAAATATCTTCTATTTTTACATTCCTAAACATATCATTGGCATAAAATATAGTTTAGAGAAATCAAAGACTGTCTATGCCAACTTACCGTTGTGGCGGGAGCGCCTGCAAAGAATCTCTGCGATCGTACGAAAACCGTCTTGGCGGGGCTGAAGCGCTGGAGACGAGCGGAGACTGTCCGAGACGGCGCGGCTCCCGACTGTACAGAGAAATCGACTGGGAGTGCTCCTGGACCGACTCGCCGTTTTTCAACGGTCCTCTGTAACAAGACATATGGCATGGTAATATATTTATGTTACTATACAGCGGCGCTCAAAAAAAACGGCCACCCCCCACGTTTGGTCGATAAGTAAAAATTTCGGTAATAATATTGCATATATTGTATTCCATTATAGATATGCAATAATTTTAACTTACTTTATGCAAAAAAATTGCATTACTTGCAAGTTGCTAGTTTTGGCAACGCGAAGTTTCAATCCATGGTGTCCAAAAAAATGGCCAGGGTATAACGACATCCTATTTTCGTATCAACCATGTAATTTAAAAAGACGAAAACAGTTTCCAAATGCTAAATAGCATCTAGAACTAGTTTCACATCATTTTAAGCAACGATACCAACGCTTATTGTAGGTACCTAGGTGATCGATTAATTTACTACAATAATGGGTAAATTTGATCATTTATCTGTCGGACTTGACATAATTTTATATTCATATAATGGAATCGTTTTCTAACTTTGTTTACAGTTATTTACAATACATTTATGGCCGGATTCAGTTTGCAAATTGACTTGGCCACTCAAGTTCAATGATCTTCTCCTTCAATATGACCCGTCTGACAACTTCGGAAGTGTGCTGGAAATTGTAGTTGTTTTGAAATATGAGGTTCTTGCATTTGGACAATCGACAATAAGCTACAGCCACGTTTTGTAAAGTTTCACGGTATTTGGAGCCATCTCTAATTTTTTCAGTTTGATGCAACACACCGATATTGTTATAGGCAAAGCACCTCAAACCATAATGCTTCCACAGCGCTTCACAGTTGAGCAAAGAACTTTCGGGTTGTTTTCTTTGATAATGCGTCTTCCAAAGTATCTTTTACTATTAGATACCTCCACATCAACTTTGATTTCATTTGATACAATCACTTTTCCTGATTGTCCATTATCTAAAACAGTAGAACTCGTGGGAATTCAAACTAGACTTTTTTGTTTTTAACTATACTCACCGACTTTTTGGTTTATACACAACTCAAAAGTCTCCTTTTAACATATCTACCTTCGATTCGTTGTTTGTTAACCCTTTAGCCCGATTCAGTCTCAACTTCTTTGATCAATATTGCAGTAGTCGACGGATCGTTCTTTAACCATATTATACCTGCGTATTGCCTCTAATGGTTGTTTTTTTTTGTGATCTTCTACCTCTTTTTACCTTCTCAATAGTTTTTGTGCATTCAACCCCTTAATAATTTGAAAAAATGTGTCCTAGAGGTTGATTACTATAAGGTATAACATGGATATCATCATCCTATGCCTTTTTCATCAACTGAATAGACCCGTGCTTCATTATTATACCTTTATAAATACTAAAGTAATATAAATATATGGAAAACATTCAGAATCTATAAGTAAAAGTTGAGAAACGTTTTTTATCGTACACATGGCCATTTTTTTTGGACACCGTGGATGGAAACTTTGCGTTGCCAAAAGTAGCAACTTGCAACTAATGCGAATTTTTTTGCATAAAATAAGTTAAAATTATTGTATAACTATAATGGAATACAATATACAAAATATTATTACCGAATTTTTTACTTATCGACCAAACGAAGGGGTGGCCATTTTTTTTGAGCGCCACTGTATGTTCCGTTCTCTAGTTGATGATACGGTTTTTTAATTAAAGATACAGTAGGCTAAAATACTGTAATTCTGTAACCGTATCATCAACGAAAGGTACTGTATTTCTAATCTTAATACTAACCAACCTTTGAAAACTGGCATGTAGGTAAAGAACAACACAATAAACTACAATACCACTAGACACGACCCTTCATACACAACAATATTCACAAGATACGACGACTTTAAATTACTACAACATGTTGACAACACGAATAACCGGTTAGTGAGCACGTACATGGATGTTTGAGGCATTGAAAATGGCAAACAGACATTATCGACCGATCGCAGCGCTTTGGACAAACTGGTCCTACTGGTACGGTCTACTTTGCCCTCAGGCCCTTTCTCATTGTCATATAGAGATACGAAGCTGTCGCGCAATTTGGTACCACCCAGACTGGTCTTGTTGCCGAAGATTACTGTAACTTGCTCTTCGCTTGGGAATTGGGCCAAAGATAGTGCACTACCAGTTACTGAGGCCATTAGTGGGGCCATTAGTCGTCTAAATTGAGTTAGTTTGGTCACACTGTTAAGTGATTGTAAGGTTGTTACCAAGCATAGTTGTGTTAACAGTTTTGAAAGACGTTCAGCTTGATATTATAGTAGTTTTGGCCTAGTAAAAACATGAAAACAAGTATGATAGACATATATAAAGCTATCTTGTCGAATAACTATAATATAATAAAGTTATATTATAAACACGACTGATATAATAATAAACAAATAAACATAGAGAGTATCATGTCATCTTCTACGAGAAACATGACTCATATCATGTTATCCTACCTGATTTCCTCTGGAGTCCTAACTTCTTTCTTCTCCTTTTCCTTTCCGCCCTCCGACCAGTCGATTTCATGCCCTCTGGCAGCGGAAAAGCTCTTTGTCATGGGTGCACTCTTGGTTTCGTCGCTTTCCTCGTTCAGCGACGTCAGCGACATTGTTTTCGGCATCTGGAAAGCTCTCTCATCCAGATACTCATCTGCTCGGGCTGATCTCTTCCTAAAGCTGGGTGGACTGGGAGGCTGGCTAGTGGGAGAGTTGGGTGAGGAGGGCGGTTCATCAGTTGGGCACAACGAGGCTACATTGTCGCGACCGTTGTGAGCTCTCCAAGGCTCACGACGTTTCGCCTCGACCTCTGGAATGTGTTGAGTCGCTGTCTTTCGTTGTTGCGGTTTGAAGGGAAAGGCAGTACGCTTCTTTTGCCCTCCGGCAAGTTCGAAGATCTTTTTCTTTTCTTCGGTTCTTTCCTTAAATTATTCGAATTTTAAAAAGTTCAAAACTTTTAAAAAGTTTTTTTTTATTTGAATACTTTTTTTTTTAAAATTTTAGTTTTTGAAATTTGTAAAACCATATTTGCGACATTGCAAAGTTAAAAACTTAATTTTTTTAGTTCAAAGGTTAAACATAACTTATCTAAAACATACGTGTACCAACTGTTGTTGAAGATCTGTGTTGGCTTCACGAAGACCTCGTACCAATGAAACCAAAAAGTAAATCATCAATCTGAAATATTAACATTAATTATCCAGAAAAATAATAGTCTACTCTTCTTATAGAGACATACAGTGACATCATCTAATGTTATAGCTATTTTTAAAATTGTTATACAGTCTAACCTTTTTAGTATGACACTCAATGGACTGGACCACAGTGCCATTATAACCGAGGTGTCACACTACACACTATCAAAGTAATTTTTAATAAGAATTTTACTAGGTTGTTCAAATAATTCTGTGCCCCTTCTCAAAGCAAATTTTCTAGTTTAGAGGCTCAGAGTTATTTGAACAACCTAGTATTATAAATAGCGGTGAGAAAGCTGTCATTATAAAGAGGGTATTATACTACCAAGGGCCATACTAAAGGGGTTTGTTTCACTGTAAATGCCGGAAAGGAACCCTGAGGCCATGTAACTTCACGGTGATATTGATATGCTTCTGCATTTTGTGATATATGAAAACTTTAGCAATGCTAACGATTGTAAGCCCAACTTTTTACTAGGATATGAAGATTTTAGGTATGAAATGCGACAATCTTTGTTATTTTCTAAAACACTCACATTAAAAGAAGAAGAATTGGAATGACAACTCCTGGAGAAGCGATGTATCTCAGCCATTTCAGTACCTTCTTATCTACTTTGTCTTCAAGCAGTTGTGTTATGACGTCGTAAAAGCGAGTACGACCTCTGAAAGTTTATTTTTTGTACTTTTATCGTAATATAATGTGTTATTAGTATATATTATGGTGTATATATGCTATCTTTAAAAAAAACTCTTTTTTGCGTATTGTACTGATAGACACATCAAATGCAAACTTATCACTGTCTTTATTACCTCAATCACGGTTACTATACCTAAAACACAACAGCAACTTACGCAAACGGTCCACACCCACTACTCGGCTGTTTACTCGCAATCACATATCCGACCGGTAATGTGCACAACAACAGCCACAAGAGTAAGATAATGAGGTAGAAATTGCTGGACCTTAAAATATAAAAGGTCACTCTGACGGTCAGGAGCATTGTCAGCCGGCTGTCAGGTTTGAAACGTGGAAATGGCCACGAAACCTGGCCGGAGAGTATGATCGCTCATTTTTTCGAAATTTTAACGAAAAGCGGCCGGAGGGCCAAAATGACCGGAAATTAAAAAAAAACGTTTATGACATTCCACGGGCGATTTAATGGCCGTGTTTATTGAGATAGACACGTCTCAGACTTGTTCAAATAACGAATAATTGATAGTTATATTGTAGTAGATACAAAAAGCTTTAAAATTAAAAATTATGTAAATTTCGAATAAAAATACTATCACAAACGCCACAATTCATACCTTGAAGCCCTGAAGATCTCCCTAGCCGGCACATTGCAGGTAATGACAGCCCACGCCCTGATGTACATGAAGATGATCAGCTTGACATTGTTGATGGCTGGCAAAAGTGGAGCGAAGAAGAGTCCCAACCATACCATTCCTTGGTTGTTAATGAGATGGAGCACATTCTCTGCCACTTTGAACTCTCCGTACTCTGGGAACACGTTCTCCACGTCCCAGCACCACCACGATGCTGTGTAGCGGATCCAAATGCCGCGAAGAAAGTCGATGATCAGAATGGAAGCGATGGTGATATACATGTCCATCATCACTAGACGAACTATTTGCTAGAATTTGAAATGCTATGAGGTGGTTCGGAAAATGATAATGTCTATTTTGATTTATTTAAGTTTCCTGAATCACTGCACCGTGCAGACCAAATTATCCTTTGATTGCACCGTGCAAAAGTTAAAAAAAAAATCAAAAAGTAGGTTTTACTTAATGCGACCTGTACGATCCTTTAAAAAGACAAAAAAGAACTTAAACTTTTCTTACCTGCCCAATCATAGTCTCCCAACAGATCTGGTTGTTGTAAACTTCCCTTGGACCATCTGACTGTGCAATTATTTTTTCTTGAGATCCAGCTATAAGATTGGAAATGACGTATTTTGCCAACGTATTTTACAAAAGTCGTCAACAGTTTTGAACAATATCTATTAAAGCATTTAAACTTTGTAAACTTCTTTCTAAATATATTTTACCTACAATAATGTTTCTGAAAAGCTAAGTTTAACGAGCAGCTTGCGTCCTACACTTTTGCAGGCTGCAGTTTCCAAGTTTTTTAGAAAATAAAAAACTCACGATCAGGCTGTTCTAGACTGAAAACTGGTACTGTACTGACTTGTTCTTCACTACTTTCTTCGAACTTCTTCTCCCAATGAGGACCGTACTCTTGTTCGCGATTACGGTGCGATGGTAAGCTACAACAACATTTTGTAAAAATTGTATTTTAAGAAGAAAAGTTGATACCGAGTAGAAATTACCCTGTTATCAAAGACCTTTTATTCGTAAAACTACTTTTATAATCTATGTTTCACCTACCGTAACCGAGGCGGTAGTATTCGACTCTTAACTTCATTGATCCTTGTTGGTCCTAATGGTCTAGTCTCGAACCTAGGAATGGGGGTGACTAAACTTTTGTTCCTCAGCAAGGCAGTAGCCCTATTCACTCCAACTGGACCATATTGATTAGCCACTTCCACATTCATACCATCTACAGTAACCGCGGTAGGCCTTGGAGTAGTGGTGGTACGACGACGTTTGCCCGTATATGTAAAGGTACCTTTACCGAAAAAGCTCTTTAACTGTTCGAAATCCGAGAAGTTGCGACTTTGGAAGGACTGAAAGGGTAAAATACGCATTCGGATCATCGTTCGATCTTATATTAGGCATCGGATCAAGTATAATATCTTTAAAATTAGTATCAGTCTTTCCCGAAAAGAATGTTACAAAACTGCACAGTGCAGTTTGAAGGAATCGCTGTCGCGCCGAGAATTGGGCGACAAGCGACAAGGTCTGCGACAGTCGCTTGCACCCGGCGACATCCCAATGGAAATCGCAATGTCGCAAGTGCAAAGCTTTGCGGCAAACTGTCGTGTCGCGCTTCGAATGGCGATGCGACAGTGTGTCGCGGTTGTCGCAACGCTCAAGCCACAACTGTGTTCAATGGGAGGATGGCGACACGTTTTTTTGGCTGTTGCAAGTCATTGAATCCTGCGACAACCGACCGGTGCGACACTGAAGGGATTGCACTGTGCAATCTTTCCTCACATCGTTGGCTGTATCGGGTAATCGCGCGGGAAACTTGCTCTGTGCAGCGGAATAAAAAAGGCGCGATTTTCTCGGAGACTGCACCGTGCAGCTGTAACATTCTTTAGTGGAAAGACTGATATAACACTATTTAATATAATATATATTTCCAAATACATAGTCAACCTAGTACTAAAAGGCCTTTTATACCTAAAAACCAAGCATATTCCAACAGTTTACCCACCTTTCCATTGAAGTTGACATGTAGTTGTCGTCGATTCCTGTCACCTTCTGCTCCTTCTACATAGTTGTTCTTACTGTCTCGTATCTTGTCCAACTTCTCAAACAAGGCCACAATGAATGTAATGTAATTCAACACATATAACACGAGAACTCTGGCCAAATGAGCTCGTAGTGCTGTGCGAGGATGATACGCTTCCATTCGACCGATCAGGTCGAATATCATGGGAAAGAAATGTGTAATCAGTGATACGACGGTGGGTACCTTAAGGTAATTAAGTCAGTATAAAAGTTTTTATGTACACTAACATATCTTATAGTTAAATATAGGTTAGTCATCATGATTAAAATTTGACTTTTTTGTGCCTTCACTACCTACAACAACATACTCTTAAGCCAAACTCACTTGATTTTTGTTGAAAATAAGGTTTGATGATGTTTCGACGGTGTGAGATGATTGGACGGCGAAAGAGATCCAGTAGATAGAGAAGGCCAACATGGCCAAGATGATCATATTGGCCATAACTCGTAGTGAAAACCGAAGACATTGGAACTTTTCCTTGTTTTGAACCCGACTCTCGGCGATGGACTCCCGTAGCTTGATCACCACAGCCATCACGGTGTTGGTAGCGGTTTCTGAATTGCCGATTGTGTAGTCCCAACCGGTGAAGAGTTTCCAGTTGAACACGTATTGCTCTGCTTTACTGCCGGTTAGCTTTGACATGGAGGCGTTTGAGGCCATTCTGAAGGAGAACATGGTCTTGTTTGAAGGGTAATATAGAATAATATATTAATATTGTATAAGTAAAAATATATTGTAAAGTACAAGCAAAACACAAAAAAGTATATTATATTGTATTAAAAGTATAGTAATATATATAGACTTACTTCCTCAAAATAGCAAAGAAACTATATCCAAACACCAATAATATTGTAGCAAAGTAGGCCAAAGGCAACGAGTACCGTATCCCACTAGCTGCGTCATACTCATCGTCGCTGTAGTAGCCATAAAACAACGGCGAGTATCGTATGTATCCCTGAAGAAGCAGTAATGTCACACGCTTTTCTGCGTTTTTTACAAAATGAAATTAATTTTTAAAATTATATTTAAAATTTTTTTATTTTTTTACACCTTTAGTGAAAGTAAGTTGTTTACAGTAAGAAACTCACATCGTAATGCCATATGACCTGTATCGTATCAGCGTCTTTTCGTTCGTTGTATGGTAAAACCTTGCGTGTCATGGTACGATCTTGACGTGCTGAATTGGCCGTAGCGTCAGCTATCGTCTGAAACATATTACTTTACAGTAAGTACTAGAGCTTATTTTGTATTAGTATTATAGTCTTGTAACCAAACGCTACTCTCAGCTCTAGAAAATAAAGGTGAAAGAAGAATCACTAATTCAAAAAAATTTAAATTTTAAAAGGGAGGAACAGGGAAAAGTTGTCTTAAAGTTATAAAATTCAAAATACTATAACTTACCTCAGGTAAAACAATAAAAGCACAAATGAGCAGTGTAATAATTAAGTTCATGAAGATTACCCATCGTAGAAATGTAAAATATGACGATACGACAGACCCAAAGTGACCTGAAATAAAATTAGTACAACTTACTCTTCGCCTATACCTACACATCTCTATTATATTATTTATAAATGTCATAAAAAATATTATAGAAATCTTGAAGTGTAATTTTTGTTTTTCAATATTGTAATATCATTAAGAATGTCACAAACTTTCTAAACCTCACTTTCAATCCGTTTGATTTTGCTCTCCCAAGGCACGAGGTAGGTGTTGATGTTGCTGAACCACCTCACCACATAGTGCCATTTCTTACTAAGCTCCTCCTTGTAGAGATGTGTCGGCGAAACCTTACTCTCATGTTGTTCCAGATACTTTTGAGCCAGCCTCAGTGTGCGACGTTTCCTATTCATACTCCAAGGTTTGCATCTGAGGTTGTTGATAACTTCCTTCTTCTCTCGTATCTTGGACAGAAGCAGTTGTCGCGTCATCGGCTTTTTGTTGGCTTCATCGTCGTTCTCTTCGTCGTCATTTTGAGCTAGTTCGTCTCTGAAAATATTGGTTTTAGAAGTAGGTATAGGAGCTGAAAGTGTTGGAATACCTATGTTAATGTAATTTTTAACTTTTTTTTAAACTTTTTATATATAAACTTAAATATTAGTTTTAAAAATAACACATAGAAGCTAAATCTTTGTAAAATACACCTTGTAGTCCATTAATACCCCTTTCATCTTCCCTAGATTCACCATGCCCCCACCTAACCTAGTTAACAACGAAACGCCCTGTTCCAATGTCGCGGCGGTCGATTTTCGTCGCGGAGGCGGTCGATAGACTGATCTTCGTCGACTGGTCGTACTTTTTCGAAATAGTGTGAGAAAGTCGGAGAACACCGACGAGCGACGACTCAGAGGCTGCGACGAAGCTTGAGATTCTTGGTACAACAGAGAGTGGGGAATGTGTTTGAAGGAGTCGGACCGCGTTGGCGACGGCATTTTGACTAATTTTTAAAATTTTTTTACTGCTCCAGATTGCGACAAAACGAATAATAAAGGTGAAAAAGCAAAAAATGTTATTAAAATGGTTAACAAAACATTTTAAAACAAATTTTTAAAGTCATCTTATACCTAAACCTCAAATTTTTAACTCTAAATTATCCTTAAAATCCTACGGTATCTATTTTCATACCTAAAACTTACATACTCACCTCAAAAGTAACAGAAAACTGACCTTATACTGACAGAAACACGTATTTTGGTTGACATTTAGGTATGAATTATACCTTTTTTTACCTCCCAACTTTCATATCTCATAAAAGTTTATGTCCTCAAGCTATCAAAAATCTCATAGAAATGTCTAATAGTTTTAGGCATTACGTTTGATTGTCTACTAGTACCTACGTGGTTATAAACATCATTAAGTTAGTGTACAGTAAAGTAAAACCGTTTTCTGGTGCCAGAAATAAAAAAAAATGAAAAATGTCATTTTAACATCCAGTATAGTGTAAAATACGAAATTTGTTAATTTTTTGTCATAAAAAGTACTACGATATATAGTGGTTCCACCACAGCCATACATATGCCCCCAATAAACCTACTACAATATAATAACATAACACCAATAAACAAAACCTCAAAACCAAATTCGAAAGAGTTCGAAATGTTGCCATAAAGCCATAATTTCATTGGAAACATGGGACCGGTCACTTGAAAGCCAAAAAACAAATAACCAGGATTAATTAGCGCCAGCCGGTTTCAAACGAAAGCCTTGGCCACTGATTTTTTAAAGATTTTAAAAGTTTTTTTGAGCCTCGAGCTTAATGAGTCAAACGAAAAAAATATTAACTAGTGCCAAAAGTTTGCCAAGGCATTGTCATAACTTTAAGGCCCAAAAGTTTTTGAACCTTAAAAAATGTCATTTTGTATAGTAGTGGTACTATTTTTACTAATTGTACCTTATAACAATGAAATTGAAATTCAGAGTTTATATTGTTTAAAATGGCAGTATTTTTACTATAGCGAGTTAAAAATGACCTAAACTTATTATAGAAACAACGACAACAGAATGCCAAATTTAGCGGGAAATACAAAATTCAAATTTTTAAACAAAAAATTTTACAAATTAACATTTTTCTTTAAATTTGACAATATAAATGAGGAATGACCATTTTAAAAAAATTATCCAAAAAAAAAGTTTTCTATACACTTTTTGACCGGCCCGTACTACCCTTCCAAACCTTTCAAAAACTTTTCAAAATTTGATAAAATCGCCTAAAACCCTTCATAAACAGTGCTTTTCTTCCATAAAATACGACAAAAGAAACAAAAAGGTATAGCTAGTCCAAGAAAGAGTTTGTTTTTTAGTCTTGGCAGCAACTTTTTTGGGGCCAATCAGTCATAAATGAGTGTCCAGGTGTCTCGAAATATGTCCATTTTGATTTGCCCTCAGGGTTTTGACGATTCTTGTGCTGCTAAGTCGTCTTGAGGAGAAATGGCAGCCGGTTTTTTGTAAAATACGAAAAAGAAAAGTAATTATTTCAGTTTTTCTACCTTTTTATACCTAAAATCTCAAAATTTTGTTGATTTTCTACGTAATCTTTGTAAAATACGATGGTAAAAGCTGCATCGTGAAAAGTACAACAATTCAAACCTGTTAAAGCTTCAAATTGCTGTGTCTTTGAAGAGTTGTAATCATAAATTTGCATAAAATCATTATCCTCCAAGGTTAATCTGTCATTCTGACATGTTTTCCCATCATCCCCTAAGGTCATGTTGTCGAAACGTGTCGAAAGCCACGCCGAATCCCTCGAGGATCGCCTTTACAAAAACATTTCCAAACAAACTTGACGCCGGCGTCGGAAAGTAAAAAGGATGTTGCTCAATGTAAAAAATGGCTGTTTTTCGTAGTTTAGGCTTATTTCTTGGTCAAAAACCAAAAAAAATATTAAAAAATTAAAATTTAAAAAATATGGAATTACAACTTAAGCAATCCGTATTTTACACCAAAAATTTACTTTAAAAAAGCATTTTACTACTATTGAAATATCTACTACAATATAATCAGTCTAAATATAAACAGTCCACCCAAAGGAACGGTCGGTTAAATAGTCGTAAACCTTGGCCGAAACAAACTTTGGGTCATTTTGGAATGGCAAAAAACTTCTCACGCCATCGCCGCTTCCGCCCTCAGTTTCGTGCCCGAGGGTAGCTAATGTCATTTGTATTGGAACGGTCGCTAGACTGAGCCGCAAGAAAACTTTCTCCAATTTTTTTAGAAAAAAAAGTTTATGAAAATCTTTTTTTATTTTTAAAATTTAAAAAATTTAAAACTAAATTTTTTGATGAAACTGGGACTGCACGGTGCAATAGAGATAAATATTTGTAAAATACGAGTTTAATTGTGCTAAAACTACATAATAATAATAGATTTGGAGAGTATATTTTTTAGATATATGGTTACAGTGGCGGCAAGAAAAAATGGGACACGACGGTTTTAAGTATAACTTTCTTGAAACTAAAAGAGTAAGGCTTAAAATTTTTGATTTTACAATATTCTTTTTAGCAACGAAATTGCAAAAAAAATGTTTTTTCTTGTTGATTCAAAAAAGTTACAGTAATTCTACCGTACCCTGTAATTCCAAAGTATTAACATAAATCTTTTTAAAAAAATTGAAGATGTACGTTTTATAGAGCATGAAAAGTTGTACAAGTTCAGAAAATTTTATCTTTCAATTGTTTTTTGTTAATGAGGTAAGGGCATTTAAAAATGTTCAAAAAGCAAAAAAGTTCGATTCCGCTTGAGAAATCGGAGGTTTTTTTAAATTTTAAAAATTTGTAACTCTTTTACCATTGGAGATACAATATTAAAACTTTGTGGTCTTGTACAACTTTTTATGCTCTATAAAACGTACATCTCCGATTTTTTTAAAAAAAATTTTTTCAAATACTTTGGAAATACAGGATACGTAGAATTACTGTAACTTTTTTGAATCAACAAGAAAAAAAAATTTTTTTTTGCAATTTCGTTGCCAAAAAGAATATTGTAAAATCACATAAATTTTAAGCCTTACTCTTTTAGTTTCAAGAAAGTTATACTTAAAACCGTCGTGTCCCATTTTTCCTTGCCGCCACTGTATATACTAAAAAATAGTTTTAAAAATTTAAAAAGCGATGCACGGTGCAATTATTTACGCTTCTGTTGCACCGTGCAAAATCAAAAAATCAAAATTATTTTAATTTTCCAAAATTTTCAAATTTTTTAAAACCTAGTCAATGTTTTGTTGCGATATACTCTCAAATCCCTCAACGTACTCTACAGCATTATACCCCAACTTTCCTATTTGTGCCATTTTAAAGTAATTAAAACCCAAAATCGAATTAACTCACCCGAAAGCGAACAAAATGTCATACAACTCCTCATCCAATGTCAGTTTGGAGCTGGTCCTATCAGCCAACTCCAATAGACTACCTGACGATGGTCTTAGTGGTACATTTGAGGTGATGGGAATATTCGATGAGGTGGGGCGACGAGAGAAGACGACCGACGTTCTCCTTGACCCTCCTGACTGCCAGTCGATTACTGTAGAGTTGAGGGGGTGGTGGGGTAGGTGGGACAGTCCGGCGTGGGTGGGGTGACCGACTCTTGCCGAGATTGTGCTGAGGCGGTGCACTTGAGGTACCTGAAAGGCGAGGTAAAATACGTCATAAATATATTGTAATCTTACATTAGGTTCTGTTATAGTAGATTTACCAAAAATATAAAAAATATGCTAAAATGTTACCTATAAATCAAAACCAATCCCTAAGTCTGCCTAAAAACCAAATTTCCACCCCAATGTTACAGTAACCCTGACCTGTACTTCATTTTCGTCGTGATGCATCGCCGTGCCCTGAGGGGGCGGCTGGCCTGGAGCAGGTGCGCGTCCAGCCTGCAAGCCGAGCGAACTGGTCTTGGCCACGATGGTCGGCTTCCTCCCAAAATTATGGCGTGAGTTGGGGGCAGCCGGCTCCTCCCCCACAATGCCCAGCGGGCCCACCGCCCGCGGCGTCTCGTGGCCTTGATGATCTGTCATGGCCTTGTTTAGCCCTTCCCTCTTCTATGATTTATAAGCCGCCGAGCCGTCGTCGGCTTACAACTACATGTGTAATATTATGATTCGGCTACAGAGTAATCCTAGTTAGGCACGGCACGATAATGAAAGTTCAAAGAGCAATAGGCTATGATAATATCGAGAAAAGCAACAATATTTATGTATTTTAAAGTTGAAATCATCAAAATAAAAACAATTTCAAATACTGAAAGTACAGTACTCAAAAATACAATACCAAAGCCAGAATATCTCAATTTACTGCACAGTTATGCCACAAGATACGACGATTAACGTAGGAAGATGTCTCAAGCCTAAGGCTCCAAATTATAACTCGGCCTTCTCGACGTTCTTCAGATTTACGACCACGCTTTCGGCTACATAAATTCTTTTTTTGTCGCTATAAAATTGTTTTACAGACCTGCGTCTAGACATGTACTTACTATAATACTGTGCTTGTCAGGATCAACTTTTTACTTTTTCACTACAGATACTGCTGATATGACAAAGAATGGCAAAATACTGAATAGAGGTATCTATATTTCAGCCAGTTATAATTTGAATTGATGAAGTTATCAATAGTATATTCAAATTTTCACATATTTTCATATAAACCTTTTAAAAATATTTAAATTCCTATGTTTTGAGATATTTTTAGATGTCATGATGAAGATGTAAGTCCACTTTTTACACTTTTCGACTACTTTCCAAACTGCCTCGGGCATTGTGGAACGCCAGAAATTATACAAATGACTTTTTTAAACAACATAAAAGCCTGTTCCTCGGCCCAAATCCCCTGCGGGCATCGCCGCGGAATCATAAGAACATAAAAAGATTACTACTTTTGTTTTCAAAAGGTACTGTACACACAAAAAACGTTCAGTACTATAGGGCTGGGTTAAAATTCGGAATTTTTGAATGTTTTTATTGAACTTTACAGAGTAAAATCATAGTGGAAAGGTAGAGTAAATGGAAAAATAAGCATGAAAATGATTTTAAACCGTTTTAAAAAGCAAAAAATGGTTATGTTGGGCAAGACACAACTTCTGTAAGGCCTAAAATCCCCATACCTTTCCAATAGAAATTCTAAAAATGACTAAACCTACTTTGTCCAACTATAAAAATGATTAAAACTAGCTTCCAAAGTCCACCTTAATATCCCTCCTTCAATCACAAAACAACCCTCTCCAATACAACCTACAACCCCTCATTCCATCAAAAACAACCCCTTATGTCATCATCCTTAATATCCAGAACCAGAACCGGCTCGCCGCTCGGCTCCGTAACGTGCTGAATCCCCGCACATCGCAAAAAGTAAATTTAAATGCGACTGGGCATTAATTCTTGGTGCCGGTTATGAGTCCCGGGCCCTTCCGGTGAATTCAGAAGGCGTCAGAAACAATGGTAGAGAAGGGGCTATGCATTTGGCGGCACGGGAAATGAAAAGGTCGGTTCACCTCGAGGGGAAATGCGATTCATTTCCCCCCACCCAAATTCGGGACGACCGGATTCTTGAGGTGATAATGACCAGTCTTGTCTATATATTTGTCAGGAATGCTGCTTTTTTTAGCATTATGGGACAGCATGACGGGTTTTTTGGAAATATTCGTCAAAAAGACCGATCTTTTGAAAATTTTAGCCAAAACGACCAGTAATTTAATTTAGACTTTTTAGATAAAGAATACTTATTTTTTGTAAAATAATTCTTTCCAACAATAACCGATGCCCAATAACTACAAGAAAATCAGTCATAATGACAGATTTTCAAGATTCACAATCTGAACACCCTATCTCATTTGCAAGTTTAAATACTTTAAATAACCAAATTAATAAAACATCCTACATAACCAAAATTACAATACAAGCCCATGTTAGACACATTAGAGTAATCGAACTACATTATTGTCGCATAAAATGTCAACAGCACAACGCTGAAGCCATTTTTATTGGATTTCACGCTTATTTGAATAGGTTATAGGCCTTATGGCACCGCTTTCACCTCCCATAACCTGTTTAATAGAACAACATGGGCAAGTGTGCCGATTGAAGACCATTTTCATTTCCTTTACCTAATTGGTCGCGTTACATTTGGCACGTCGGCCTATGATAACATCAAATTAATGTGTAAATAATCTTAAAAATAGTTTTAATATTATAAATAGCAAGCACTTGCCTAAAAATAGACAGTAATTTCCTTTACGTTGAATTTTCGACCTTTTTGATGTTATTCTAGACTGTTCAAAGATCAAAAAGCTTTCATAACAGCAGCGGCAACGAGTAAAACAAAACAACATATATAATGTATTCAAATTTTCAATTTTTAAGATTTTTTTTAATTTATGACTTTTTAGAGCAATTAAAATGTGGCTTCCATCAAACCTACAGATTTTTGTAGCCGATTCAAAACTCCAATAAAACTTGTGGCACTTCGCAATAGCTTTTCTACTATTGATTTTTTTAAGGAAAAAAGACAATTTTTCACGGCTATTCATCCGGCTGGCAAATGTGATAACACAAACACAAAGCCATGGACTGAAATGTTTTTTTGGCACACGTTTTATAATTACTTTCTATCTGATGTTACACTGGACTTACTTTTGTCGTTTTTTCACGCTTTTTTTTGTTTTTCGGCTTGGAAAAGGTATTTCCAATTCTATTTATTATGTATGAACAGTATATGCATTAAGTAGTAAACGTTTGTGGAGAAACTTACTTTCAACGATTTGTATTTTAATATTATTCAGCGGTTTCTGAAAAGAAAGTGCAAACAATTCGGTTGTCATGGAGAATATGTGGATTAAAGTTGTAGAATTTTTGTTGTTTATGGAGAATTTGAGTAACTAGCTTAAATAGTAGTTAATTCACCTGTTCTTACTAGAAAATGTGATTAAATTTTTTGTTAAAAATAAGTTAAATTCTTTAGTAAAATTCAGTGTAATATAACGCCAGATGATAAAGTTTTATGGACTATTTTGTGATGAAAATTAATTTTAAATATATTTTATGTTTTATTTTCCTTATTTTTTTATAAATTTTTATCTTTTTGGAACAATATTTGTTGAGGTATTTGACTTTTACAATGTCGCATTCGTAATTTATGGCTAGTGTAATATAAGGGATAGAAACATTTTATTTTTAAGATTTTAGGTATTAAATGGGTCAGTGAATATTTACTTCAATATATGGTCTTTGTAAAACATTGTTTTCGTTTAGTTTTTATGTTTTATTGTTGAGTAATCTTATTTTCCCAGTGTAATATCACTGTGATGCCAATTTCTTCGTCTATATAATTAACGCTTAAATGTCTTATCGATTTTTACTTTAATATGTTAATTTAGCGTTCGAGTTTCTATTCAAATGTTACAGGCACTCACAATGTCGAGTGGGAAGAAGAGGAACCCTCTGGGGTTGTCGTTACCTCCAACTGTAAAGGAAGAAGGTAGCGGCCTCTCAGATACGCCAGAGAACAAACCCGAGTTGGCCGCTCATCTGCAGAGCTTGGTGTTGTCGGAGCCGCAGGTGGAGCGGATGAACGAATGGAAAGATCAGAAGAAACAGGTGAGTTAATTTTGTTTTTGTTTGTGTTTTAGGTAGGATAACATTGAAAAGGAGTAAAAAAAGATAAATTGGCGTGAGTTAACTCTTGAGTTATTGTGAAAAATTAGTTGAACTTCTGAACGATTAAAGACATGAAATTAAAGTAGACATATGCCGTAGTTTAGCTCTTTTGATATCTGGAGTTTATATTATTTACAATATTTGCCGTGTTCAATTGCACTCGTATCAAATACGTTGGATGTCGTATTTATTTTATTCTTTGGTTAATGTTGTCTTTTTTGAAAGTTATAGTTAATTAGGTAACAAAGATGAAAAATAACTTAACACTAAATAGCAATATTGACCTAAAATAGCAGCAAAATTAATAAAACAAGCACCATAACTTACAATTGTATTAATCTTATTATTTTGAGTATCCAAAATAGTGCTGTAAGCCAATCTACCTCACAAAATCACCCATTTACCACACTAAATCATAATATTGTGATAACTAATATAACACTAAACGATCCTCGTAAATTTAACCACTAAACCGTATTTTAGGTCAGTCCGTATGATTTAAACTTTCTTCGGGGTGTTATTGATGTGGCTTTTTCTTACTGGACGCCCATCTGGAAGCGGATTAATTTTTTCAGCCCTATTGTAAGGTTAAAATAACTCTACTGCCATTGTTTTCTTCAGCTTTACTTTAGTTCCATTTTGGTGTGCTTGTCGTATCTTTTTGAGTTGAGTCGGGTGTGAGTGAAGAGTGCTTACTGTAACATTCTGCTGTCGAAAAAGTTTGAAATTCTTGAAAATAGGTGTTGGAGATGACAAAAATATTTGATGACTTTTGGTCATTAAAATAGTTGGAAAATGTCCAAAGTCTTTTAGGCGACATAATATCTATCGGTATTTTTTAAATGACATTATTATAATTTTTTAGGCAGTAAAAACTACTAGTATAATCGTTGGGACTAATACAATAGTCCTTTTGAAGCCTGTAACTTAAGGTTTAATATAAAAAGTACTTCAAATTTACCAAAATCCTGCCAACTGTTACCTATTCCTATTGATAACAACGTGTTTTACTTTACTTTTCGCTAACATTTACGGTTTAAACGTTTTATAATGGTTCTGGCTACCATATGCTAGCTTACCTCACTGTAACTTTTCCAGATTGGTGAGCTAAAAGAAGAACAACTAGACAGGATATGTGAATTAGGTCATGGCAATGGCGGCGTCGTCCACAAAATGCGTCATCGTGAGAGCGGACTGATCCTGGCGAGGAAACTTGTTCATCTGGAGGTGAAGCCGTCTGTCAGAAATCAGATTTTGAAGGAGTTGGAAGTGCTACACAAATGCAATTCACCGTACATCGTCGGCTTCTACGGTGCCTTCACCAACAACAATGACATATCGATTTGTATGGAGTATATGGATGGGCTGTCGCTCGACATTGTGTTACAGCACAACCGTAGAATATCAGAGAAATGGGTAGGACGCATCGCCGTCGCTGTTATCAAAGGCCTGACGTATCTAAAAGAACAGTTCAATATACTGCACAGAGGTAAGGTTCGATCTATTTCATGTTACATCTTATTTTAATAGTTAATCTAGATTAGTTCGAAGAATAAAATAGGAAGTCTTGATGTGTTTTACAATTAGAGTTAACATCTATGAATGAAATAGTTATATAATCTATTTTAATGCCGTTGCAGATGTGAAACCGTCGAATATGCTGGTCAATTCGAGGGGAGAGATCAAGTTGTGCGACTTTGGAGTGTCGTGTATGTTAATAGACTCCATGGCTAATTCTTTTGTTGGAACACGGTCTTATATGGCGGTAAGTGGCAATACATAATCATTGCAATGTCAACCTAATTCAATTTATCATTATGTTTACCTGACAATCTTAAAAAGTTGATTTTTATTGTAAATGTAAAGGAATTAAAGCGTATGTAATGTTTTTATCCTACAGAGTGCTTCAGTAATTCAAAAATTTTGTTCTAGCCGGAACGACTAACAGGCACCCGCTACAGTATACGATCTGACATCTGGAGTTTTGGTTTGTCATTAGTTGAGCTCTCGATCGGCAGGTACCCGATCCCTGCCCCAAGTGTGACAGAATGTTCCAAGATCTTTGGAGTCTCTCCAGATACTGTGAGGTTTGATGTGCCAGTAGAAGAAGATAATCCAGATGGAGAACCGAAAGTCATGGCTATCTTCGACTTTCTAGAGTATATTGTTAATAAGGTAAGCGTTGATTGTGCCTGTGTTGCACTGTATTTTATCTTTCTAATTTATTGCAATGAATGTAAAGGTGACTATATTCATGTTTTTTGCTTCAGAATCCGCCACAACTGCCCCGAGGCCTGTTCTCCGACAATTTTGTGGACTTTGTGAACAAATGTCTGGCGAAGAATGTGGCCGAGCGTGCCGACCTCACCGTGCTGATGCAGGAGCCATTCTTCCGCGAAAGTGATACCCAATCTGATAACGGGGAGTTCGCGCTATGGGTGCAGGAAGTGATCCGCCTCAAGGCCGAGAAGGAAGCCGCCGCCCAGAATTGAGCCATTAACCTGTCTAGTCCTAGCCCGCCACTTGTAGTCGTGGTCAGTTCATTCTTCTTTCTCCTTTGGTCCCAATCTTAGTTTTTCTAGTGTAACAAGTTGTGGTACTAGTGTACCATTTAGTGGACCACTCTTGATGATTCAGTTTTGTCTTACTTTCTTTTTGGTTCCAAGTGCGCCACCTTGGACTAGTTTCCTCTGCCTAGTGCTTCAGTTTATTGTATTGTCCCAACTTTGCATTCTGTAATTTTCTAAAACTTTCCCTTACCCTTTCTTAGCTATTTGTTGTTGTCTTTTTGTTGGACTAGGTGGTCTTTTGTCCCGACCGGTCGATTTGATACCCACTTTATGAATTTGATAACTTTTCCTTATCAAATTGATAAGCTCTTTATCAGATTAACTCTGTACCAGTTGGGGCGCAGACTGCCGTCAAGTCCAATTTGTTGTTTTCTAAGTTTCGCTAGTGGAGTGATTGTAACCCCCGAATTTAGATAGATAGGTATCTATGGGTTCTGCTAGCACCTTATTTAGTACTGTATTCATGTACTGTAAGAGTATGTTGTTATTGATGTTTTAACTCGGACTAGTTGTATTCGTTGTGACATGTACTGCCTGTGTTCATGTCATCGATGACCTGTCACGGTTTATTGTCGTATCATCTCCACGAGTACTCAAGTTATGGCGTTACAATATCTTTTATTACCGTAAGCCATATTAAGGAGTCTCGGAGACACGGTAGTTTACTGAAGTGCATCTTACTGTAACTATTTTATTCAAACTTCTATTTACTTTTTGACCAATTTGGTAGTCATTGGTGGTTTACTGTAGCGACTACTGTAAGATTGTACTCGACCTAATTTAATCAAAAGTTACTACTATGTTGTTGTCAACTTACTGTAAGGTAGTTACAGTAATGCCTCTTCTAATTTTTTTATTTTAACCCCCCTACGATCTTTCATTAAGAACCCCTAACTTATCTCTACCCCGAGTAACCCCCCTCCCCCTTTTTTTTTGTAAATTTAACACTTTTTAAACTTTTAAGAAAAGCTAGATAAATGTTTAACTTTGATTCATTCGGTTTATTATGGATAGAAATATATGATAGATATACAACGTCATTTACAGAACATATTATGGCTCCTCAAATGTATATTAATGTATAGCATTAGGTAAACTTAGCGTTCTATGAAGTATAAAATCACAACTAGGTGGAGTCAAAAGTAGATCGAAATTATAGTAGATAGTCGACAAGAATACGGCACAAAATAATCATCGTACATTACTTATGGTAGTAACCTACTACAAGGTAGAACCATTTTAGGTTACAGTTTGCGAAAAACGAGGGTATGGTTATTAGCGGGCATCTCAAAGACGTCAGTCAATGTTAAGGAATGTTTGTCGCTCAGATCGTTCAGTTCTTCAATCGACCGCAATCCCCACTCAGGGTTGTCTCTTCGTAAGGATTCATCGAATCTGACGTTGGATTCTGGAGTTATCTTACCGTCGCGGCCATAGGGACCGTATGTGAACAGTCGACCACCTGATAGTTTACATATTTTCAGACATTTTTAGATCTTATAGTAGGTATCTTCCTGTTTTGCAACTTTGGATGTTTAACATTAACATATTGAAATAGATAATGAAAAAAAATTAAAACTTGGAGTTTGCGTTAAAATGGTGAACTTACCACTCTTCAGAAGACCCTCTGCCGACCTGAAAAGGCCTTCCACTGCAGCATTCGACGAGATGTGAATCATGTTAATGTTGATCATCAGATCAAGACTTGCCGGTCCAAAGTCAGCCGGCAACGCCCATCGATCTGGTGGATGAGATACGTCAATGAACAATGGAACTCTAACGTTGTCAAGCTAAAATAAGATGTATTACAATAAAATACATTTTGATCATTTTGTTTAAAATAGATATAAATTAGGTATTAAATAAGTGTCATTTATAGAGTTCTATTTCATTTTTGACCAAAAAATAACGTATTGAGTACGAAAGCTCATTATTTCAAAAAACATTGAATTCTTACCCTAAAATGATCAACATGTGCCACAATTGAGTGAAGGTTCCTAGGATTACATTCAGAAGGCTGGAATGTTATGTTAGGGTAATTCGAAGCGAAATGGATTACGTGAGATCCGGTACCTGAGGCTATTTCCAAAGCCTAAAATTTTATTAAAATAATGTTGACAAAAATTATTTTTTTACAGAGCAAGCCATCGTATTTTACGCTTTAAAAAGTAAGTTGCCCGTATTTTACCTTTCCGTTGAATTCTTGAGGATAGAATCGCTTGATAACGTCCAGAATCGGCTGCTTATTTCGTTCGGCCGCTGGAGCGGTCAACATGTTTTTGGCTAGGTTCAGTGACCTTAAAAAAGTAAAATACAGTTTTATTAATTCCATATAGAACTTTTACATTAATGTAAACTTCTTTTTTGACTTTATTTACCAACATTTTCAACTAAAAACTTGAAAAAACAGGAGAATTTTAGGTATTTGAACAAGTTTCAGGCTTAAAATTAGCCTTTAAATAACCGCAAGTGGTTTTTGTAAAAGCTTCAAACAAACAAAAAACTGGAAAATCGTCTCCGAAAGGGTCGAATTCAGAGGTATTGAGGGAACTTCTATCAGCCCCCTTCAATATTATATTCTCCATTGTGAAACGTGAAATGTTACAAAGCTTTCGACGCTCCCACTGTTGCCTCAACTTTGACTGATTAAAAACTTTATGAGGTATAAAAATGTGAGAGAAACTTTTTGAAATTACACTACAAAGTCTTATACACAAGGTGAAATGCACTTAAAAACTACTGATAGTTTTGACCTATTTTATCACAAAAAAATGAAAATCATTATAAATCATACTTATTTTTTATGAAACAGTACTTGATAATGCTTACGGTATCCACTTTTTCCTTTATAAAGTTACTGCACCATTGACAGAACAATAACAAGTGGTACAACTTCGATTTCTTGTCTTTTCATGAACAAAATATGATTTTTCCAACTATAATGAGTTTAAATTTATGTCAAAACTTACTTTTTCAGCTTTGTATATTTGCATATGTGGAATTTACTAAAACTTCGCTAGAAATCTGCATGTTTGTTTACAGTGAAAGACTTGGCACACAAACAAACTCGCGTCAACTTTTTCTCTTAACATAATTTCGCATTTTTGCATGTCAAATTATGTTATTGTAGCTTCGTACAAACACAGTAAACTCTAATGGTATGCTATACTTTCAACTTACCTCTTCATCTTCTATTTTTTAACTTTGATGTTACACTTGACCCAGCCGCTGTTCAATGTCAACTTGTGCTTTTCTAAATTTGTCTGTAAAGTTCTCCGCTTTACAGCTTGGTATTTCCACTTGTGCGTACACAATGTTAGACATTCTTCTGACGCGAATGCGACTGGCGCTGGATGCTGCTTCTAGCGACGCGCTCGGCTCTGCACGCTCCTCGTTCTGTGTGCTCTCTCGCCTCTAATGTCCTAAAATTGAACGTTGTCTTGGGTTTTCTGTAATGTTTTGCAGGAGTGGAGGGTTTTTTGGCCAGTTTGGGGATGTTTTTCACGATTTTGAGCAAGATTTTGTAGATTTTAAAGGATTTATCGACTGGGTAGTATGAAAATATCTTGAAATATTTTTTTAGATGTATCCTGTTGGGGAATAGACCCTAACTGGCAAGTTTTAAATAAAATTTGGGTTATTTTTGATAACAAGGTCGAAGGTTGGACCAGGGATACTGTAGCTTTACTAATAATTTTAATTTTTGTATTTTTATTTGATTTACAATGTAAAATAATCTGTTACCGCGTTTTTTGACAAAATAACAATATTAACATAACTTATTAATGTCTTATCAGATGGAAAATAAATCAGAGGAAGTGAAAAAAGATTCCATTGAATCTTTGGAAACTCCAGAATCTTCTCAAGGACTTCAAAAGATCGTGAAATCCGAGGTCAATGAAGCCGGGGATTCCAAAGTTGATGTTTCACAGAGTAATGGAGAGTCTAGTCAAGAATCCAGTCAGAAAAACGAGGATTCAGATGTCAAAATAGAGGTTGACGATGACCAAGAGGATAAAGTAGATGTAAAGGACGAGGAAGAAGATGAAAATGAAGTGTCAGATGAAGAACAAGAATCTGAAGAAGAGGAGGACGATGCTGAGGAAGGGAATGATGTCAAGATGGAGCCAAAAGAAGAAGATCGTGTTGTTACCAGGCTGGATCCAAAAGTAAGGATTTATTTTTGTTTTCGTAATTTTAGGTTGAAGTCATGAGTTTCTAAAGTTACAATTTTAATAAGCTGAGGTAGCTAAAGTTTAATTTTATGTCATTTTTTAATATTTAAATTGATGTTTCAGTTTTTGTACGAAGATACATCGTTTTCTCAGCTATGTTCGTTCTTTAACACTTTTGGCTCAGCATTAGGCTTGGAGTACACGATATCTAAGCTTGAAGAGCTGTTTACAACTGAAGAAAACGGCATGTGTAAGTTTATTTACATTTAGAAACGTTAGATCACTACTGTTTTAAAGATAATCTAATAAACTATGTTTTCATTACTGAAATTTAACGTTTTTTAACGGAAAAATATTTTTTTTATTACCTAAAATTATGATTTTTTTATAAACAGCTTTTAAAAACGTTAGTTTGTACATTATTGGTTATTTCAGGTCTAGAAGAAATGAAGGATCTTCACACAGCCCTGTTCAAACGATTGTCTTACCTAAAATACGCGCAAAAGAACAGGTTCCCTTCATGTTATAAGAAGTTTGTGGAAACCAACATAGAAACCGAAGAGTTTGCGGCAGAACTTCAGATGAACGGCTTTGATGATCTTACCTATAGCACCAAGATCAGTATTTTGAACACATTGTGTTGTGCACAGTTTGATTTCAACTTTAAGTTCAAAGAAATTGTAGGTTTTTTTTACTTTTTGTTGAAATTTTAGATGTTTATCTGCATAATATGACTTTTAAAAATTGAAAACCAAACTTTTTGGACTTTTACAAATAAGGTCATGCATTTTTCAGCTGCACCACACTTACCACGTGTTTGACATGCGATGGGGACCGATTGGCGTCGACAAAAATGGAGTTGAATTCTTTTATCAAGAAGACAAGGACTTCAATATCAGAGTGTTTTCAGTTGATGCCGGTGATTTCAAAGCCGATTCATGGGAGTTGAGAGCAAGAACAACCAAGGAATTATACAAATTGATCCACAACTTGAAGTCAGATGATTATGACATCAAGAAAGACGAAGAGAGTGAAGATGACGAGGACAAAGTGTTATCAGGGAATGCTTTGAAGAATGAAGAAGAATCTCAACAAGGAGTGGAAGATCTGACGATAGAAATCAAGGAATCTGACAGAGAAAAAGTGGTTTTTACAACTAAATTGTGCACTTTGGTTAACAAGTACTGGCCTGCGGAGCTGTTGCACAATGTAAGAGGTCTTATTGTTCTATTATATTACTTTTGTATTTGTTATTAAGTTTAAAAATTGAATATCAGTTTACTAAGCTAAAATTGCGCATTTATTTCAGAAGAGAACCTTAAAAGATATTAAAAAACAAGCAAAAGTGGGTCAGAAACCACCTCCTAAGAAAGCTAAAGTAGAAGTAGTGGAAGAAGAAGAGGAGGTTGAAGAGGAAAAAGAAGCCTCAGAAGAGAAGGAAGAGGAAGAAAAAGAAAAATCACAAGAAAAAAAACAAAGTCAAGAAAAGGAAGAAGAAAACAAAGAAGAAGAACTGATTAACATGGATGAATTGGAGGTAAGATATTAGTATACACTTTAATTAACGTGACTTTTTTGATAATAGTATTTTGTATCATTATTTTACTATTATATTATATTTTAGTGACTGTTCTAATTTTTTATGTTTTAGGACGAACGAAGAGTGCTACCCAGAAGGTCAGCGAGAAACGCTGCCTACTCAAATATGAGACAATTTACAACTCCGAAGAAAGCTAAAAAAGAAAAGAAGGAAGAAGTAAAGAAAGAAGAATCAGAACCTGAAGAAGAAGAGGAGGAAGATGAGTTTGAGGATGATGAAGAAGAGCTAGGGTCTTCTGATGACGAATTCCAGATGGGTAACAAAAAGAAAGGAAAGAGGAAGAGGTATCACATTTTAACGCAAATTTTTTGCTTTCAAATGGTGTATAACATAGTCTTAGATTGTTTTAAAAACGAAGAGTAGTTTTTAGGTATCAAATATGGTTTATAATAAGCTTTTCTTTAATTTAAAAAGTAGCTTTAAATGGTGTTTTATTGTAGTTTGATATTTTAGAGGTTTAAACGCTCCAAAGAAGATAAAAAAGCCTAGGCTGGATGAAGATGGAGAGCCTATCAAGCGTCGCAAGAGTAAGCCCAAGCCGGTTGTGTTAGAAGAGTCATCAGACGAAGAAGAGGAACAAGAACAGGAGAAGCAAAGAAAGAAGGCTAATGAAAAGACATTGTGTATGAAGTGTAACAAGGCCACCAAGCCTACTGTGGTAAGATATTTTATTTTCAGGGTTTATTCTTACATTGTAATTTATGAAAGTCGATGTTTTACTTTTAAATTTTTTTAAATCTAAAAAGTTATGAAGCCAGAGCTTTACCTAAAATATCTAATTTTAGTTATTACTTTGCGATGAATGCGACGATGCGTGGCACACTTTCTGTCTCACACCAAAACTAAAAGAGGTACCAGCTGGCGACTGGTTCTGCCCCAAATGTAATCACAAAAACCTGGTTCTGAGGCTGTCCGTGTGTTATGTAGATGTTACTGAACAAATTAATATCAGGAGGATTGAAGATGAGAAACGAAGGATTCAGGAGGAAAATGAACGGCGACGGATGGAGAGAGCTTTGAGAAGAGAACATGTTAACCATGGCATTGATCTCAGGAATATTGTGGATTCCACGGTATGTTTAGGGCTGGGTAATGGGAGTTGATATGTATATTATAGTGTAGAAGGTAGTATTTTTATATTTTGTTAAGGTTTTTTGTAGTTAATGAATTTGTTTTTTGGCTTTAATGTTGAATTATTGTCGTTTTCAAGCGATTTTTTATGAAAAAATGAAGAAAAGCATGTTGTGAAAGCCATCTGGAGCTCGTATTCGCTTTTATGTTTACATGACCTTGGCTTTCTGGCTTTTTCACATTATTTTTCCACTGAAAAGCTGCTTTAAATTTAAAAAAACCGTCAAAACTATAAATTCAACGAGCTTTTTTTATAAACAAAACATATAAAAGTGCAAAAATGCAAAAAAGTGTTTTTTGAAATACTAAAATTGAGCCTTTTGTGAGGGTACTAATGATATATGGCATGTTTTGAGTCATAAACTCGAAAGGCAGTGGAATGTTTACGCCGTTCGCTGTGTTTTTTTATTATTTTGGGGGAAGAGAGTAAGACCTTTGTTAAAAAAGAAAAGTGTTTCGGTTGTTTTTGCACCCAAATTGAACGAACACGTGCCTAAAATTATAACAAAGAGGGCTAGGCTTGTTTTGTGGCCTCAAATGAGTCATTTGGGTCGAAATTCGAAAGGTTTTGCAGATTTGGTGCTATTTTTTTGTGATTTTAGGTATTATTTAATACTTTTTAGATATATTCATAGCAATTTTGATGTCTACAAATTAAGGAAATTAAATTCTTGACTTTTTAATCGATTTAAAATTAGAGAAGTAATCACTTTTGTCCCCTAAAATATCACTTTTTCTAATCAAAAACTACCAAAATCGAGATTTTTTAATTGAAAACTTAATGAATATTTATAAATTTGCAATTATGCGCGTAGTCAAATTGGAAATAAAGCGGAAAACGGATATAATATAGTATTGTCGTGACTCATTAAATAAAAATGAATGGCTTTTCGATTGATTTATGGTCGACTTTATGCAATTTCAAAGTTGAATGCGCTTTTTCAGAACTGATTTCTGATTTCAATGGGTTTTGATAGTGTTTTTGGTATTTTGATTTCGATTTTGAAACTGTTTTTGCAATTAGAATCGCTGTGTAACATTATGTCTTTCAGCTACGCGTCCCAGAACCTGAACCCGAGTCAGAAAGTGAAGAAGAAATTGACGACGGCCAAAGAAAGTCCAAGCGAAAGGCACTAAAACAGTTCGGACATACTCGGAAAGAAAAACAAACATACCACCCACCAATTACAGTGGCTGCCGGACGCTCCAGAAGACAGCTACACTCGGTGGACTACAACTTCAGTGCTTACGAAGACCAGATTCACGAAGCTATGGATGCCATAGATGAACCTAGTGCTAGTAGCAGCAGTAGAGGAGGTATGTTAGGAATATTTTAATGGCGTTATCTAAGAGAGCATTTGAAGGTTTCCTAACATTTTATAATTTTTTATATTATACAACATTTTTCAGAAGAAAAGAACGGTCTAGGCCGCGGCAAAGACATGCAGAACATAATCGAGGCGGACGAAAAGCATCGTGAAGGCAGTCAAGAAGAAGACGGTGAGAATCAACAGAATGGTACAGCTAAGCCGCCAAGAAAAGTTGGCAAAGCACCGAAGAAGGCAAAGAAACTAACACAATTAGACGTGGACAACATGACGGAATCAGACACAGATGAGTATAATGCTGAAGAAGACGAGGAAGAAGAGGAAGAGATACCTTCTGAAGACGAATACGTTCCAGAAGAAGTGGCACGATCGAGGAGAAGCGGTGGAAGAGGAAGGCATCGCTCTGACGATGAATTCATCGATGATTCTGACAGTGACTTTGAGCCTGGTAACAAGAAGAAAAAAGGAAAGGCGGCGGCAAGGAAGTCGACCGGTCGAAAGGGACGAGGAAAGGGCAGAGGAAGGAAAAAGTAAGGATTATGTCGTACTTTATAAGTTTAGACAAAGTGTTATAAAATGTCGCGTTATTTTAAAGACAACTGTAACATTTATGTATAGTAATAGCAATTTACTTCAGGTGGTCCGACAGTGAAGAAGAGACAGAAGAGGAAGAAGAAGACTTTGTAAGCGATTCAGATTCCGATTCAAACGCCAGGTCAAAGAGAAAGGCACCACCCCCACGAAAGTGGGGTCCAAAAGCATCGTCAAGTGAATCTGAAGAAGAAGTCGAGGTGGACGATTACGATGATACGGAAGAAGAAGATGAGGAAAAGACGGAATCTGGAAGACCATTAAGGAGAGCGGCAAAAGGTGTCTCCAAGAAATTGCACGATCTAGAAGAAGTCGAGAAAGAGTTGGATGAAGAAGTTGGGGAATCTGATGAAGAAGCTACGCCTAAAACGGCTGAGAATGTAGTCGGAAAACCAAGGCCAAGAAAGATTGTCAGCGACGATGAAGAGGATCCAGATGAGTTTAAACCTGACGATGAAGAGGAACAAGAAGAAGAAGGTGAGGAGGAAATAGAAGAAGAATTGGCAAAAGAATTGGAAGAAAAGAAACGAAAGAAGTTGGAACACGATAAGGAAAAGGCTGCAGAAAGACCCACGAAGAAGCGACAGGTCGTTGAAGAAGATGACGAATTCAGCGACGAAGACTCCAATCCTCCACAAGCCAAACCACGATCTCGGAAGACAGTCTCCAAGTCTCCAGAAAAACAGAAGCCAGATCCAAAAGAAAAGGCTACAGAAAATGGATCTTCAAAAGCAAAGACTTCAGAAGAGTCTTCGGCCAGGAAACGTAAAGTCAACCAAGCTGATGGGGACGAGCCGGCTGCCAAGAAGTCCGAACAAGCGAAAAAAGACAGTCCGAAAAAGCAGAGATCACCTCCCAAGTCACCGACGAAGCCTTCCAGTCGGCGAGGATCTCTTCAGAATCCTCAGCCTCCAGCAGCAGCGAGCGTCATTAAACCCATCGTACAATTGGCTGTACCTACTGTGGCTTCTGCTTTGCCTCCACATTTAATGCAACATCAACTGCCACGTAAGTCATTTTACTCATGATCTTATACTTTTTATTTATGTATGTTAACAACATTCAGAAATTTTTTATTATTTAGTTTTTACCCATCAAGTGTAATATAAATGTCATGATTCATTTAATTTTGTATCATTGTTTGTGGTTTAAATTAAAAATTTATAATTGAATTTTTAGCCGGCTTTATGCCACCTCACTCCGCGCCCTACGGCCATCTACCCTCTCACATCCGCCCTCCACCCGGTGTCTATCTCCCGCCACCTCATGGTAATCAATATGGTGAATATTATGGTGGTGGGTTTTAGTTTCTTCCTTTGTTTGTTGTGTTGTTTGAGTATTTGTTTTGATTTACTTTAGTTTTTATGTTTTTTATTTTGTTAAACGGAGGATAATATAATATTGACATGGTCTACGTAATGTGTTTTTATCAATGTTTTAGTTTTTCGTAATTTAATTGATATTTGTTTCGATCTTTGTAAAATGATTGTTTTTAGGGCATCCCCAATACCTCCCTCCAACTTCAGGATACCCACCACCGCCTCATGGATATCCACATTATCCTTCAATACCGTAAGTTTAATATTGTTTATGGATTCAAGTTTTAGGAGACTGGCTCGGCCAAAAAGTCAGTAGAGCTCTTCTGTTTTGTTGATATTCGGACTAATGTAATTGAAACACTAGTGACAGAAGTAGCATTAGGTATTAAAACATTCTTGCAGTCAATGTATCGTTATGGTAACGTTTTCAATTTTAGTGGTTACGGTATCCAGCCGACGAATGAAAACGACGTCGCTCAACTACAACCCCTCCGACCGGTCGAATCCGACAGCCTGAGTCACGTTCTCGGTGGTGCCATGAACCCTGACAGTCTGTAATTACTGTATTATTGTTTATTTTGAAACTAAGATATTTTAGAGTTTGTTACTGTAGACCAACATAATCTTGTATCCTACTGTATTTTCTGCTAATTACTATATTAACGATAAACTTATTACCTATTTGTTATGTCTTTAAAATTGATTTTCTGTCATCAATTTTATTTTTCAAATCCATTAGTTCTTTCGTATTTTTCATTTGAAATTTTTTAAAGTGAAGAAAATGCGAAAGAATTAATTGATATACCTAACATTTATATTGTATTATCTTATTAACTATTTAATACTCTGTAAAATCGCCCAGTAAAGTAAAATTTTGCCGTTTTTGTTAATTAAGATTCGGGTCGTTTGAAATTGGCACTTTTCACTCTTTAATTTGCATATAAAGGGTCTCCTCGTTGGCTGTTGATGGTCTCTCTTTCTGGTACTGTTTTCTTAACGCAATCTTTAATGAAAACATGTTGATAACTAAATAAAGCAATGTTACTGACTTATTTAAGTTCGAATAAAAATCGTTTTTAAGCCTTTTTGGCTTGAAAAGATTAAAACTAAAATTTGGCCATTATCGTCACGTAAATTTGAGTTTACAGTAAATTTATTATTTGTATATACCTTTATCATAACCTTTAAGTTATATTTTGACACGAAAAGGTGAAGAAAAATAATATTATTACCAGTATATTATCACCTACATTAATAACATACAGACCAACGTATGTGAAGTAGATAGCCTTTTTACAAGTTTAAATTACCGTGTGGAGTTTCGTTGAAGTAGATTACAAATATTGAAATGAAGAAAACTATTTAATACTATAACTTGTCATGGAGGACTTAATTTGAATTAAAAACTATGAAACATAAGATGATTGAGAACACAAATATAAAATACTACACTATTGAATTATAAAAGTATAAAATTAGACCTTAAGTTTGGCAAATTAGTATAATCATTATATCTTATAATATGTTATGGCAATACGAGCTCTTTGGTATTCAGAATCTCCATCTGTAGCGTCCTCTTGCTTTTCATTTTATTTTTAATATCTGGCACTTTTTTCACTTTTTCTGCCGTTTCTACTTCATTTAATCGACCAATCTTTCTCAGGTATTGTTTTACAGTAACCCTAGTTACCTTTAACCGTTCAGCGAGATCATTTGATGTGATTCCAGGCTCTGAATCCAGAATCTGGATCAACATGTTGTTGTTGAACTCGGTTGGCCGACCAGTTCGATCCACATCCTCCAAGTTTTCACAGCCATTCTTGAACTTTTTAAACCACCATCGTACCGTTCTCTCCTTCACCGTTTCGGGGCCAAAAGCTTCGTTTATACTCCTGGCAGTTTCTGCTGCTTTGAGACCATTTTTGTATTCGTAGAGGAGAATTGGTCGCAGAAGCTTTTTGTCCATAGATCTGAAATTATTAACGTTTGTATAATTTGCATATTTTCACAACAATAACCCAACTGTAAAGCGAAACTCTTAGTTAATAGCAGCATTGTCACAAAAATGATATGTCAAGGTTGAAAACCAAGTTTAACAACTCCAAAACTACATTTTAACATAATTTATTATGATAAGATCATTGTGAATAAAATAGTAATAACATTACGAGCATAACAAGGTTTAATCGGCCGAACAAAGCCCCAAATAATCGTCCATTAACGTTGCCAACACACTCAAATCGTTGGCGTCTTCTCGAATGTTCAGGATCTTAACTCTGATCTCATCGTCCACCTTAATCTGCATAGAGTCGTCTGCTGTGCGATAACACGGTGTTGGAGTACAATCATCGTATTTCATGTCTGGTGGAATGGTATATTGTGATACGAAGCAACTCAAAGGCCCAATATCGCAGAAGATACCCATCTTGTTGACTTGTCGCACCACACCATCAATTACTTGGCCTTGGAAGGGTCGGAAGACGATGGCTTTGTAGCGGACTGGATACACGGCAAATCCACTACCTAAAAACATGTTATTTTGAGATATTCGAAAAATATTGAAAGAATTTATATTAAAGAACTTCTGATGTAAATCCCATGACATTTCATTTTTGAAAACACACAATCAACATATTCTTAATTTTATTTAGCTTCATTATACCCATTTACAGCTTTCCTTAACAACCTAAACCAGGAAACAAAAAGAAAACACCTTACCTGGCTGAACTGTGCCGTGTCCAATGTTGTCTATCGTCGTTACTGCAATAATACTGCCATATTTGCCTTTACAAGTCCCTTCGACTTCTTTGAACAACTTTTGTTTTACCGATTCCATCAGATTTGGCCCAAAATACTTGGGATGAAGCGAGATTTCATGTTCGAGTGATAAATGGAAGAACATTTTTAATAAAGTAAGGTGCTTAACAATAAAATCTTAAAATAAATGATTTCCTAATAGAACGAGGTTGAGTATCTTAAACTGCCAAAAAAGATGGAGTATGTACGCCAAAATAACAAAAGAAGACAACCGCTAAAAACAATAAAATTATAATTTGGGCGCAGCTCGAAGAAGAAAGATTGTGAAAGAAGGTACCATTTTATACGAAGAAAACAAGTAAAGCATACAATGGATATTTTAAGGATATACAGTAAATACTTTACTGCTAGAAAAATAAGTTTGAAAAAGTAAGACTTTAAATTCGAAGCATAACACATCATAAACCAATATTCATAAGAAATTATTTATTTTCTCAAAGCAAATCAAGTGTAATATCAAGTTCACAAATCCATCTCTACCATAATAAACTATCTCTACCATAGTAAGTTTCACCATATTGGCATACTGACGTCGCTTCCGCCGGTCGATGTGATGTCTGACTGCCGCCCTTGACTGTCAAGAGCATCTTTCGGTGGAATGTAAGTCTTGGTATATGTGGTTGTAGTGGTAACAGTCTTGTACATCCCGCCATCTGGATTCCTGCCTTTGGTCGCAGACTTGGTCACGACTTTAGTGTAATATGGCACAAGGCCCGATCGTCTCGCGTACTGTCTTCTGCTTGTCTAAAAATGAAGATTTATATTTTTTAAATTTCGTTTATATTTTGACTTTCTACCGTATTTTGACACTGTACATCATATATTTTCCAAACTTTATAGATTTTGTTGTGATGTCATTCATGAAGAGTTATAATATTTACAATATACTACGTCACTCATGTAAACGTACAAATTTGCCGTTTTACAGTTCTCATATATGTCACCGGAGTCCCCAGTAACTGTCCCAAAAAGTTCCTATCAAACACACCTTTCGATGGTCTGAAACTCAAGTTTACCTTGAACTAGGATTAAATTCCTAACGAAGGTTCTTTTCCAATCGGAACCATAAAACGCTCACTTGTTTTTCGATTGGGTTCGAACAAAAGCGAGAAAAGCAGAGAAAACACGCTCTCTCGCATTTCGAAAAAAATAAAAGTGAGGAAATTTAGCGGTTTTTTTGGAAGTAAAGATACATCTTGTTTTAAAATGTTTTATCTATCAAAACGCTTTTATATAGTTATAGAATTTAGGTATAATATCAGATGTTTAGTCAAAGAACTAAATATTAGATTAATTTTGTCGCATTTGTATTAAAACTATTTTAAACCCATTTTAGGTAACAAAACCTACCAAAACACCACAAGACACGTCAGATTCAATTTGGTCTCCACTGCATTCCCCAGTACAACAACATTGACAGTCCTTCTTTGACCCACACGTCTGACAATCAGCTGTACTCTCCTTGGACTTCTTGGATCTGTCAGAGTTATCTAGGTATCGCTCGTCTTGAAGTGTCATATTGGCTTGAGGGGGTTGGACTTGGTTGAAATACACATTGTTTGACTTCTTCAGTGCCTTTACAGAGTCGTTGGCATAGGCAACACTGGAATTGCTGCGACGAGCACGATCGTACGAACGTCTACAGTCGCCCAACATACATTGTTGACCACCGTCATCGATACCTATAATAAATTTTAGTATTTAGTGGGTGAAGCTAGGGGTTTAAAGGCTAGTGCCCCTATTTATTATAATATTTGGGTCACTATTCTGTAAAACAATTCTGTACTACGATTGATACCTAAAACAACTATAAAATTTGTAAAACTGTAAAAAAAACTCTTACCTTTAAGCGGCAGCTCGGTGAAGCAGTTGCCACAAATGACATGTCCACAGTTGTAGATCTTGAGGTTACTGACACTGTAAAGCTTCTTGCACGGTCCGTCGCACTGTTGTGTATCCACGAGATGGGAGTTCGTACTCAGTTGGGATTCTGAATCTGTTTCCGAAGCGTTGCTCTGAGACGTCGATTTGGATGGTGGCTGCGACATCGCGACTGATTCCTGGCTTTGAAATTTGTGAAATGAATAAAATTTTGGCGGGAATTTGAACTTTTGAAATTTAAAGAAATTTTTAAAAAATTTTTATTATAAAAATCATTAAAATTGTAAAATGATTTTCATACTTACTATAGGTGCTTCTTACTCTGATATTATACTTTCAAAACTCAAAAGTTACTTTTTTTTTAACGACCATCTCTGGCGACAGGTCAGCGATCGGAAGTGATGACTAATTATGAAAGTCGCGAATTAGTCAATGGATAACAAAGAGGCCTGGTGGTCACAGCGATCACAACGTATCAATTGAGGCGATCACAACGTATCAATTGAATAGACTAGTTCATCATAATATTCTCTTGTCATATTGTTTGAACTGTCAAAGTACAACTTGTTAGTCAATTATTCAAATTATTTTTTAATTAATAACGTTTTAAATGTATTTTTTTAAAACTGCACGGTGCAACTTGTTTTTTAGCTTGCACCGTGGAATCAATTCACGTGTTTTAAAATTTTTTTGAAACTTTTGCTTTTAAAGTATTGTCACTTTCTAAAATGACAGTCGCTGACCGTTCCAAACAGTTCTGCCCTGAGGTCTGAAAGCCGGTCACGTAAGCGGAAAACCAGAAAACCTCGAAAAACAAATCTTTTACTACAGCGATCCATCTTCACATTACGCCATCGCTCTTTCGAGTTACATTAAACAGTAATCCGAGTAATAACCGTTTTTACTTGGATATTCTTTGGGGATTGAGCTGAAGTTTGAACAATATTTAAAATGAGTTTGGTTTTTACAGCACCTTTTTACATTATTTACATATAGTTGTATATATCTACATACTTTATATGACATTTTTCATAATTTAGGAAATCATCGTACTTTTGCTATCTTATAACATGTTTCTTACTCGTAAATACAATTATAGTATTTGTTTTAAATGTAAACTCATAAAAACTGACTTAATGTATATGTGAATGCAAGGTGCATATAACAACGTATTTACTTTGTCCTTTGTGATCGTTTCACTTCGTATAAACCCTCAAGCGTTCTTTATGTTTCAGGTATTTATTCTTCAAGTTTATACGCTTATGTCACTTTTTCAGATATAAAAATGCGTTTTGTCGTTGTCGTATGTTTGATTGTGTTAAACAAAGTAAGTTTTTTATAGGCAATGATATTATGATTATGTAATGTAATGCAGGTACACTTTTATATTAATATATTTTAATTATAACTTTATATTTAAGCCAGTAAGGTATAGTAACTATATTATCTTATAATCTTCTTCTTGTTGTAAAAAAAAGTTTTAGGTAACTTCAGACCGAGTACCATCAGCAGACGATGTAGAAGACTACAATGATCCTGTGTTGAGAGAAGTGTTCGGATCAAGAGGCAATCGACCACAACAACCAACCTTTTATTCTCCTCAGCAACAAGCACGGTCTGTACAACAACAACGAGTCGTACCATCAAGAACAGTACCATCTCAACCACAAAGTCAGTACCAAACACAAAGCGAGTATCAACCTAACAGATACACCGAGCCTGAACGTAGGTTTTACATTAGATTTTGGAAGATATGAGCTTGTAGGATAAAGACCTTTAGGCTACTTATTGTTACCTAAAAATTATTTTTGATACTACATGTAGCTACACATATTTAAAACCTTACTAATGTTAAGTAAATACTTTATATTGACTTTTTACTGTGTTAGTTGTATAATTTTTCCTATGTGACAATACTATTTCAGCTTACCAACCACCATCGTACCCATCGCAACCTTCGATGTCAGGTTACAATAGTGCCCAATCTCAATATTACTCATCTCAATCATCTAGTCCGATCACTCAGTTGGCTGTTAATGGTGCTCAAGGTTTTCTGACTGGAGCTCAAGCTGTGGGACAAGCTTTTGGTATTAATCCATCATATACGTCGTATAACACGGGCTATGAGCTCCCAATACAAGGTGGATTCTTTGGGTAAATAATGATCTACAGGGTAGTTTACTGTAGAATACGGTATTATAATACTCTACTGTAATTAAGAACTATCTGTTTTTAGAAGTAATGACTAATCAATTAGGTTGTATGTAATTATCATGTATGTAGATGTTTATTGTATCTATATTATGTATATATATATTATTGTATTTGTATATCTAGATGTATATATGATTTTCTATCTTTGGTGTTGATTTATATATTTGTTATGATAAGATGTTTTAATTTATAGCTATAATCTTAAGGTTGTAAATACAATATTGTAATTATAGTTATGTGATTTTCTGTACATATCTCTGACATTGGTAATAAATAATTAATTCGAATCTTCCAGATGTTAATATCTAATTTAAACCTGTCGTCATATCGTAATATGCAACAATGTGGCATTTTTGATTTTTGGACTTTTGAGCAGTGGTACGCTTTTTTGAGTTTTCTTATGCTATCATTTAGTATTTTTCAGATGAAAAAGTTTATAAAACCATTTTAGAATGTATCGTTGTAGTAAACTCTACTGTTTAACGTTTTGTCGCCACTACACAGTATTTTATGTCATTTCTAATGTGAGAATTGTATTTAAAAACATGTTATGGTAGCCTTAAAAAGTTATTAAAATTATTTTTGAAATTTTATTAGTTAATTTTGCTTTGTTTTACAAAATTAAAAAAACTATATATATTCTGCAAAGACTAAAGTCCCTTGATACCTTAAAGGTAAACACGTACAAGGTTGTATCAACAATGCAGTTAAACTTGCTAATGTTAGCATGGTGCTATAGCACACAAAACATCAACAGTTAACCTAATTTAGAAACTTATAAAAAGTTTAAATTCATTATTCACATAAAAATTCATTCCCATACATAGCTATGTTTACTTTAAGTAAGATATGTACGTTACTTTGCAATTTCAAAAAGTTATAGAGTAAATTTTGTGTCTTTCAAAACGTGGTTAAATTAAAATATTATTTTATAACATATTTTGGTTAGACTTGAGCAGTGGCTGTTTTTTTGTTTTAACCTGTTTCAAACTCACACCAACAAGTACTGAGGTACAGTGGAATCTCTATATAAGGAAACAAAAAAATGTTTGCTATACGGAGGGTTACTTATAGAAAAGATAAACAGCTAGACTTCCTATTATTGCAAATATAATGCTACAAAAGATTCCTTATATAGGGGGGTTTTGTCATAGCGGACGTGTTTATTTAGAGGTTTTACTTTACTTACGAAACGTTCAAACAAATAACTTTTTTAAAAAAATCTTTTTAAAATTTGTGTAAAATTTATCTATTAATATTTTTAATATTTGTTCATTACTGTAATTACTTATGAAGATAAATACAAAAATAGTTTCAGACGACCTAGAGACGTGATGCAGACTACAAAGTGTTTTATAATACCATATTTAATTGTAAAAACAGTTTTAAATGTTTTATTATGTAGTTTTATTGTAGTGTACTTTAATTTTTAATTACTTACAACGAGGATGTTACCACACATGATATAGAATAAGCCGGCTATAATTCTCCGAAAGTAGCGATGGTTTTTGAATTGTTTTTTGTAGATTGAAATTGTAGTAGCTGACAAGGAATTGTCGTATATACAGTTACTGAATGAAGTTTTTTTTTATTTGATTAAAAATAGCTTTAGTTTATGACCATTTTAATACAAATTTTATTTTGTGTTTTTTCAAGTTTTTATTTTTGTTAAGTTGTTTCAAAATTTAGACTTTGTAGACATAAATTGTAATAGTTATTGTAGACCTTTAAAGTAAAATACTGTCTGAAATACTGTAAGTAGGAATCGCAATTTTTAAATTTTAAATAATTTTTAATTTCCAAATTTTAGTTTTTGAAATATTTTTTTACATTTTTGAAAATTACAGGTGTATTTGGTTACCAGATAGATCGCTGTCGCATATGACTTTTGAAATGTTTAATACATAATAACATGCGTGTTTTAATTCAATTAATTTCATTGTAAAATACGTGCTTTTCTTCGTATATTTAACTTATTTTATTTATTTTTAGGGTTTTGATGAATTGAAATAACTGTTACATAAGCAATTAATTACTATAGTTTAATATAACTTAATAACTTAAAGCAATTGTTACCTAAAAACTATATTGGATTTTACTTTACTGTCGTGCGTTAACAATGTTATCAATTCTAACTTAATTTCTTGAAAGTTCAGGCTATACATTCGAAAAGCAAGACTAGTATCTACAACTATGTCTACATTACACCACAACATACGATTATAAACATACATAACAATGTAATTTGATTACAGTTTAACCACAGTGTAATACGACCAGTATTAATGCTGTTATCATCCGAAATGTTTATATTCTTAATAGTACTTGAGGTCATATCACTAGTATTCGAGTTGGTTACGGTTGTTTTAAGTCTTTTTGTGGTTTACTGTGCTGTTAAACATAAGGCCTTTCACATACATCTACGCTTACTGATCATCGTTTTTCATGCCGTGTCTGGTCTTGTTGGTGCTTCTGAGTTTGTCGCCACGGCTAGTGCTGCTTTTGACATCAAATTTAGAGGTAAGTCGGGATATGTGTACACTTTAGAGGTAAGATATATATGTAAATTGTAATGGTGTACGTAGTAGTTTATCCTAAGCTTATTGTGATAAGATCGTAAGCTTATTGTGATAAACTGAATGGTAAGTCACTACAATGTATCAGGTATACGATGTTTTACAATCTCTTAGTAAACTTATATTTTGTGCTATGGTATATGCATTAAACAAAAAAAAATTTACAGAGACTTCAAACATGTTAGCGTACCTAGACGAGCCCTTCTACCGCTTTTTAATGACTAGTATTATCACAGGCTTAACTATGGAAGTCATAATACTACATTGTGCCATAACTGAACGTTCTTGTGCGTCTATTTTCCTAGTCAGTTACGAGAAGAAGAGTAACTTGTTTGTCATGTTTCTAGTCATCATGGGAGCCATGTTAGTGGCGGTGTATCTGTTTTGGCAGTTGTATGACATGACTGTGTTACGTAAGTTTTTAACTATAGTTTGATTATTAATGCCAATTTTTCAAAAAAACATTTTTATTTTATGACATTTATTGATTTAGCTGACGTGATACTGTCGATTGGCATAGTAATTGGAAGTATTATAAGCATAGGCTTTCTCGCAGTAAGTAGGGGTGTGCTATTGACAATATATAATTACTTAACTACTACAGTTTATATATTTTTCTAAAGTTATTTGATTGACTGTAACTTATTGTATATAGCCTTATAATAGAAGTTTTTATACTTAAATAATACAGGGTTATACTTAATGATAAATTTAAGATTATGTTTTACACTTTCAGCTCTTCGTCCAAGTATTCCGATGGAACAAACGAAGATACCAAGCATCATTACTAAACAGACGCAAGTACACCTTGAGTGAGAAGTTTCAGCTGTCCGAGAACATACGAATGAACAGTATAATATGGCGTAGCATTGTGTACGGTGGAACTGGAGGATTTACATGTGCTTTGCAAGTTGTATTATGTGTTTGTTTGAAGGATCAATTGCCAGTAAGTGATGTATATGGTACACACATCAGTATCTGTAGTATTTCACTTTAGTTATAGTAGTAATGGTATTGACAGTAAACGACAATAGTAATCTATTCACAATAGTTACGTTTAAGTAACAATATATAAGTGAAGATCAACATAATATAAATAAATGTAAAGGCTGTTCAAATAATTCTGCGCTCCCTAACCTCAAAAAATTCCTTTGACATGGGACACATAATTAATTGAACAACCTAATATTAACTGTGAATACTTTAGATACTAGCTGCGATGTTTCGTATTACATGTCTTACCACCATGAACATCTTATTCATACCAACCTCTGCAAACTTTATACTGAATGTGCCACGATGGAAAAAGGAGTACCGCAGGATTTGTAAACTAGGTTTGACGGTAACACATCTATGGAGTAAAGTAGATATTGTGCATGAGACTAACGTCACGACAATCACTGGGAAACGGCTCATCTTTCAAGTTCATGAAGAGAAGGATATCTACTTCATGCAACTACAGGAATCCTGGGGCAGAATTATTCAAAAACAATAATTTTAAGCTTCCTTATTATTTTTTTAAGTTGGTTAATTTAAATATTATGTGAAATTATATTATCAAGCTCATAATAAACGTCAATCAGGTTTAAAAGCAAAGTGTAAAAGAAGATTTTTAATTGTGTAGTATAATTTGTGACGCAACTTTATAGGTCAATATAAAATTTCTGTAAAAATAAAATTAAAAATTTGCAAAAAATTAAATTTAAAATAAAAACATGTAGACTGATGAATTCTAACAAATAGTACAGCTAACTAGCTGTATTTGTTTGTATAATGTTCTTATCACTTCCCACTGCTCTTTAATGTGGTCATTTGAGCAAAAAACTTTGCAATGTTCGAATTTCTCAAGATCTACGACGAAGTAGACAATGTAAGTTTACATCTAACTTGTAGATTTAAAAAAATATAAAGTTTAATTGTCGTATTTTAGGAATCTTGTTTCATATTGTCATCCCTATGCTCATTTTTGAAGGTTTGTGGTATATTATTGTTAGTAGTATACGAAGCTAACAACATAATATTATTAGCAGTTACTCTGTCATTGCTTGGTAGTATGATACTACTTACAGGATACACTTTTAATTGGAGGTCTTGCTACTTAATTTATATTGGCATATCAGTATGTTTTGCTACATTATAATAACAAAAATACACATATAATATATATGTGTATATATACATATATATATATGCTTTCAGTACATTCCCATCAGCATACTATATTTCGAATTACTGCGCAGTAAATTCAGCGACGAGTTTATGAGATTTCGATCATTTTCATTACCAGAAGACGGGCTTACTGTAACAAACCTTGTATGTACAGCAGTATTTGTAGTTTTCGTATTTTGTCAGACATTCTTCAATATTATGACATACAAAGGCTACCTATACGTCAAAGAGACCTACCCAGATATCGACGATCTGAGCTCAATTGACAGCAGTGAATCTCTTGATCAAGTGTAATATTAGTTTAGTCATAAAAGTTTAGTAAATTTACGCTTTTTCAAAATAATAGTTGGCATCTACTGCCTTTTGTGTATATTTATGTTACAATAAATGATATCTTGTAGCAGATCGTCTAAAGTAATCGTTCTTGTAGTTGATATGACTAATCCCACTACTGATACCCAACAGATCAGTACCAATATCCATTGGAGCCACAATCTCTGTCACTCCACAATCGCTGGCACAGTAACTAGCTGGCACTCCAGGTAATCCAGGCTCTCCAAATCCACCTTCAAGTCCTCGAAGACCAGGGTATCCAGTTGGACCAATAATGCCGTCTGGACCAGGTGCTCCAGGCGTTCCCACTTCTGAGTTGGCTCTGCCGGCCATTCCAGGAGGACCAATAGGTCCAGGTGGACCGGGTTCACCAACCGGTCCTTTTATACCCATTCCTGATATGGAATTGTCTCCAGGTGGTCCTCTTGGTCCAGGATAGCCTTTATTTCCAAACTTTCCTCGAACGCCTGATTGACCTTGACGTCCCGGTCGACCAGACAGACCAAAATGACCGTATGGGCCAGGAGGACCTTGGTCTCCGGGCATTCCACGTTCACCTTGTAAGCCACTGTAAAATCAATAAAATGTTGCTTTTATGTCATAAGCTTGACATATTTTATTTATATTGTATTACTTTCATACCAAGTTAATTTAAAAAAGCGAAAAAGTTTAGGTAGCGAACCACGTCAGGCAACCTGAGACCGTGGACCTCGCGAGCGCGATCCGCTCACTGTAACGGCGCGGGGAATTTAGCTTGCTCCCTGTGGGGCCTGGGCCAGTGCTTCCCTCTTTAACCGACCAGGAGCTGCACTGCTTCCAGCGCTGTCCCTTGTCGACGCCGCCCTTGAGACGGACACTCGGTCTACAATCCGCCGCCACAGGCCGTTTGACCCTTACGCCGATCGTTTCGCAAACTCAGCCACCCAGAGACTTGGTTTACAAGCGCCCGCCACGACGCCCGGCTGCACTCGTCTCTTTATTTCCGAATGGAGTGGAAAAGGACCCAAAAACTTAGCGAAAAAGCGGAATTTTCCAACATTTTGGGTTGAATTTGGTCGAAAGAACTCCATTTTTTGAATAAAAAACATTCTTCTATACCGTTAAAATATCAAGAACACACTTACCGTTGTCCAGGCGGACCACTAGGGCAAATAATACAATGTTGTTCTTCAAAATCGTCGATTATAACATCGTATCCGTCGTCTCCTGCCTTCCCATTCTTTCCTACTTCGCCTGGTATACCATCAATTCCAACTGGTCCAGCTGGTCCTGGATCACCTGGTGGACAGGATAACATAACGCAGTCTCCGCATACATCAGGTATTATCGTATAATGTCGTTTTTGTTTTGGAATAGTTAATTTAGATTTGTGCGATGTTATTTGGGAGTACAGCAACTTGTTTCTTGTCTAGAATAGTAAAAATTGTAAAAAGTGCTTCGTACTATAAGATATTATGAACATAATGGTATAAAAAGCTTACTTCCAAGTTATTAGCCATTCTTGCAGTAAAATCTTTGGCATAATTAGCCTTTTGTACGATTAATGGTCCAGTAATGAGTGCCACTAACACAATAGCCATGTTAAAAGTGACAATGACCGTAAAGTAAAAGTAAACCTTATCCATCCTTATCAAGTTTAACAACTTTTATCACGAAAATGTTTCAGAAGTTATCGTACTTTTACTTTATATCTAATTTTGATTTAGAGCGAAAAACATAACCTAGATACCTTAATTAAGGTAATTTATAATGCACCTTGTAAATCCGTAAAATTTACGAATAAAATTGAGTAACAACCTTAATTTTACGAGTTTGATTGGATCTTGTTTAAAAATTTATTTTTGCTGATATGCAAACAACTTTTTATATTTACATATATAGTCATCCTCAATGTAAATTATGTTTCGAAGAAAACGTTCCACAAAGTCCATTCCTGAAATAAAATTTATAATGTTTATCATCTTATAGGTACATTTTAATAATTGCTACTAAACAACTCATTAACCAACATAGAATTACGCTTCAAAGCCATCCTTAACATTTCTTATATTAAAGTACCTTTTGATTTGTCTTTTCATGAAACTCTTTCTCAATCAACCCCACAAACACTGCCAATGACAAGGTAAGAATAGTAGATGACGCTACGAATACAGTAACCAACACTTCTACCCATTCAAATAGATCTTGGTCCAAAAGATGTAAGGGGAACAATGGCACAAACGATATTGGGACACTAATCCATAAGAACTCTAAAACAACAAATTTAGTACTAATTATTATCAAACACAGCTTTAAAATTAAGTTTAACCCACTTCTAAATGTTGGCATCGGCTTCAAAAATGACTTTACTGTTAATAACCCGAGCACCGAGTTGAAGAATGTTAATATCATGGTAGCACACATCCACAAAAATGAATAAAAGTTATTGTTATTCAAGTGAAAGTCTCCTTTTGTTGACGATACCATCTCGTCCGGTGATAACTATGACAACAGTTTTAGTAATTTTTTTAATAATTAAAAAATAATTAAAAAAACAATTTTAAAAATTTTTAAAAATTATTTATGCCACTTTCTCTTTGCTTTTATTAGTTATTGTATCTCAAAATTTAATAACATAAAAAACCATAATAACTTCTTTCGAAATTGAAAAGCCGAAAAGCAAGACAAAAGGTCAGAGAAGCAGAGAAAACACTCTCTCGCATCTAATCTCCCCCAATCGAAAGCCAAGAGGACACAAAGACACTTCGAAGCGGGCAAAAGACATCTTCGGTTTATTAAACCCAGTTCAAGGTAAACTTGAGTTCTGGACCGCCTAACAGTGTGTTTAGAAAGGGACTTTTTGGAACTGTTTCCGGGGATTCCGGAGACGAATATTTATGTATCAACGGGAAACATTATATTTTTGATAACGTTGCTTTTTATACCACCCATAGCGATAATCTTACCGGTATATCACAGTAGCTTTTGACTAAACGTTTAAAACATGTTCAGAAGCTGTCATAAAATAATAAGCCAATCATTAAAAATTGATTACCACAATGAATCGTTTCCCAAACTCACCAACGTATCAATCCCAACATTACCATTCCATCTGACTATGTTCAGTATGGAATACAGACAAAATGCTTCAGTTATGTACAGAATCACGATATACGATGCGAATACGATCAACCAAGTCTGTAATAACATTTTCTGCAAAAGTAATTACTGAGCTTTCTTAACAAAATCGCAAAAAATGAAAAACAAACAAAACGAACAGTTAGCAAATAATCATAATTTAAAGAAGAAACTGCTATTTAGGTATATTATTCATGCATATTTTAATGTTTATTTCAAAGAAAAAAGTTTTTTAAAGTTTGATTGAAAATTGAAAATTCCTTTTTTTAAATAACTTTTTACACAAATGGGAAACAGCATAGGTTCGATTTCGAAAATTATCGTTAAGTTCACCGAATCCGAAGAAAAACGAATTACAAAAGCGAAGAGCTCTCAAGGCGGAAAAGGATTTACATCAATTAAACGACTGAAACAACCTGAAGAGATCTGAAGTTACGTCGTTCTCATAAGTTAACCTTGTAAACTTATAAACCAAAGGCTGAGCACAGTCACTGACAATAAAACACAAAACTATGTTAATGAATCATGAAAGTTACGTAAAAAAAGAAAAATTCATCTAATGTGAAGTAATTTTTTATAAGTATCTTTTTTCGTTTCCTTTGACAATACCTAAAAAATAGCAGTTAACTTATCAAAATGCCAAAATCTTAATTTTCTTTGATAATTTAAATTCCAAAAACTTTAAAAAACAAACAACTTAAGCGAGAAAAGGTCCCACCACGAAAACAATTTGCAGTTTAGTACTGTATTTATCCTGATTTGAATTCTTCGAAAAAAATCTTTTTTATCTTTTTAGTTATTATTGTAGCTGACATTCTTGACTACATTAATGCAAGATGTCAGATCAAGGGTCTCATCGTAAGTTTCTTTGATTAATACTTTTTATGTTTTGGCTTGTAATCTGACTACTTTATGTTGTTGTTAGTCATATTTGGTGTTTTTTCTTGATTTTTTTATAAAATTTGAGCAATTTCCTTCGGTTTTAGTATCTCAGCAACTCGCACAGCTTCGTGTGGCTACTAAAGTGAGGAATGAAGCCGAATCCATCTTGTCTCGACTTGGCGTAAGTGTTTTCTCTATTTTTTGTTGTTTTAAGGGATTGAAGGGTAATATTGAAGTACAATATGAGCGGACATATTTCATAGAGTAATGTTGAGATAATTTAATTATTTATAATGCACATAAATCCTTGAAAATGATAATTTTTATAATGTTTTATGCTATTTTAGGTTGATAAAGGTGAACCTATTGTGGTTGAAAGACCACCTCACGAACAAACCGGCACCCGTGTGAAAGTTCGTACAAACATGTTCAGCATTAGATTGAATGGATCGGACAAGGTTTACAGGTACGATTTGACGGTGCAAGGAATCTATGGAAATGAAGGAAGAACTATCGATTTCACTCGACGTTCTTCATCGGATGCCCTGGCTTGCGATCGAAAACAATGTTGCCGGATTGCTTTTGATCTGCTGTTGGATCACGAACCTACTTATCCGAGGAAGGAATATTGTGTGTACGATTTGCAAGCTATACTATTTTCATTGAAACAGATTCCGATTACTGTAAGTTTGATTTGGTAATAATATTGTTTTTTGTTAAATTTAGGTGATAATACTACTTTTTCTCATATAATATTGATGTTTTATAAAATAGTTTATGTAATATATAGGTATTCATTGATCTGGTTGATTTAGTTGAATATTATCTTAGTTTCAAAGACTTTCTTTTCAGGGCCACGTTGTTGTTACTGTAGAGATTCCAGAAGAACACTTGGAGACTTTCAGACCGTGTACTAGACTTCAGTTTTTGATCAAATGTGTGGAACAATTCAATTTAACGTTGCATACCGACATTGCCAAGCCGCCAGCTAACTTGGAGCTGCAAAATTATGATCTTCAACAATTTTTGGAGCTTTTGACTTCTCAGCATGCAATGGGAGCGAGTTTGGAGCACATTACTTTTGAGTCTGGCAGAAGTTACTTGTTGGATCCTTCAAGTTTTGGATTTCAAGCTTCTGACTGTCCTGATTTGACTAGAGGTGCTTACTTGGCAATTGGTTGTCAGAAAAGTGTCCGAGTAGTACAAGGTCCGCCCGGTGGCAAGCAACCTGGTCCTAAAGCTGTTATGGTGTTGGAGAGTAAGTTTTAATGTTAAAGTTAAATTTAGACTTTTAGCATAGGGTATCTTTTTTAAGGAAACTACACTTTTTAAGCAATAAAAAAGTACATTTTTAGGTAAGAAGACACCGTTTCACAAAATGGAGCTTGTCATTGAAAAGGTGTTGCATGCTTTTCCGGATTTCCTTACATCAACCAAAGAATCTGCTAGAAAGTCTGTCAAACAATTGATTCAAGGTTGGTTTTAAGATTTTCTTAATTTAAATTTAATTTTAAAGTTTTGTGTTAAATTTATTTTAATATTAATGTTTTGTTTTATTTTATTTAGGGCTCTATGTTATCGCTATTCATGCTGAAAAGCAACTTCCATTTCAAATCAGAGATTTGAAGAACAATGCTAATGATACCAGGTTCAATTTTGAAGGAAAAGAAACTTCTGTTTTCGAATATTTTAGAATTAAATACGATATTACACTTGAGTAAGTAATAAATAACAATTTAGTCATGTTAGCATGTTTTATATCTTTAATATAAGGTGATTAGAGCAGTTGTCGGCCTTTTTGTTTCTTTAATTAAACTGTAATTTTAGGTATCCAACTGCACCACTGATTGAAGTTAAGAGAAAGGGAAGTGAAAAGTCGGTATTTTACCCAATGGAGGTGCTTGAAGTATGTGACAATCAGCGTCTGACTTCATCTCAACTGACTCCAGATCAGACCGTGCAGATCATCAAGGCCAGTTCTGTTCCGCCTGCGATTTTGGATCGTCAGATTCAAGCCAATTGCAAATCATTGCATCTGAACACAGACGAAACGCTGAAGAACGCTCAAATTCAGATTGTCGAATCACCAATTGATGTGAGTTTTAGTGTTGCTAAAAGATGGATGTTATAGTTATTTTCGATCAGTAACAGTTATCTGTTTATCTTTGTACTTAAGGATTAATTTTTAGATCCATGGTCAACTGTTAAAAGGCCCGAAGGTAGAGTACAACGGAAAGGTTCAAGTCGAACTGGATGTCAAGAAGGGTTCATGGGCTCACAATCAGCGAGCAGGTGCGGCCAAGTACCTTATACCTGCACGTGTCGGCACATGGGCAATTTACTTCTGTACTCGCAGCGAGAGAGATCTCAGCGGTAAAGACAGAGAGTAGGTTAAAGTTTGGTTCAAAGTTTTTAAAACTAGCTTGAATGTACTGTTACGTTTATATCTTGTTCAAAATACTTATTTCAGTACATTCGTTCAAACGTTTATCGGACAGTGCAGACGAAAGGGTATGGAGGTGGGTCTTCCGGCTGAGTGTGGGTATATCGGCCCTCCGCATGATGAAGAAGAAGTTAGTTCGCTGAGAAATCGCTTCACTCAAGCCAAGGGACATGCCAACTTTATCATGGTGGTGACAGACAAAAGCGATCTGTTTGTTCACAAACATCTGAAGCAACTTGAGCAAGAGTTTGATATTGTTACTCAAAATGTGACCCTTGCTACCGCACGAAATGCTTGCAACAATGAGAAGAGCCGTCTGACAATGGAGAACGTGGTCAACAAAACCAATATGAAGTGTGGTGGCCTCAACTACTCTATTGTTTTGAATTCGAAGTAGGTTGTGGCTTTTGTACTTTAAGAGATTGTTAATGTTTGGCTTTATGATTGCAATGTTACTTTCAGCGAAGAGTTGGGAAAGAACGATCTGTACGTCGGCTTTGGAATGAACCATCCTGGAGGATTTGCAAGTAGCGAAGACAAGTCAAAAGGTCCACCATCAGTTGTTGGTGTAAGTTTGCGTTTGTTCTATTTTTATGAGCCCCTTTATTTACTGTAATAATATGAATATTTACAGTACGCCGCAAATGATCTGAAGCATCCCTGTGCCTTCTCTGGGGACTACCTCTACCAAGAAAGTCGTCGCGATGAGAAGATCTCCATTATTGACTCAATTTTGAAGACTGTAGTGGAGCGATACAACAAACACCGTGGAAAGATGCCAGAACGCCTGTTCATCTACCGTAATGGCTGCTCTGAAGGACAGTTCACTTCTGTTTTGAAGTATGAAATTCCAATTTTGAAGGAGACTTTGAGACGACTTGACTGTGCTGCGAAAGTGACGATGATTGTGCCCAATCGTCAACACAACATCCGTTTCTATCCTCCGGATTCCAACCCTTCTGCCCGGCCATGGGACCAGAACCTGATGCCTGGAACTTGTATAGACCAAGTTGTCGTTCACCCTACTTTCTTCGAGTTCTACTGTTTGAGTCACCAAGCTAGACAGGTCAGTTTATATTATTTAATTTTAAAACTTTTTATTTGTCTTTTGTAAATTAGGGTTTCATTTTAGGGTACCGCGAAAGCCCCAAGATACACCGTCATCTACGATGAGAACAAATTGTCGTTGGGAGATGCAGAGAACCTCACTTTTGCCTTGTGCTACGGGCATCAAATTGTTTCGTGTACGGTTGGCCTGCCTGCTCCATGCTACATTGCTGATTGTTATGCCGAGAGAGGAAGAAACGTGTACAATGCTCACTTGCAAGGACGGGGATTGCACGATGTTGCTCAGATGCAGTTAGAGGACTTGACCGAGAATTTGTCTTATGCAGAGAAAGTCATTCGAGACCAGAGATTTAACGCTTGAGATGTTTTTAACTGTTGCCTTATTGTTTTTCTTTATTTTGTTGATCTACTTAGTTTTTTACCGTTTAGTTTTATCGATTGTTTTTTTTTCTCAGTTTTTCACCATGTCTCGTTAACATTAGCGAGCTTATGTATATTTTTGTTATTGTTTGTATATTTTAACGTTTTTGTAAATAAGGGTTTAGTTAGTCATTTTTTAAGAATAAGATAATCATGAGGAACTCCATCTAGGGGATTCAAAGTTTACACCAACGTAAATTTTTGGGAAACGACTAGCTCTTGTTGGCTCAATTTGTCGGTTTCCACAGTTAAAAAGTTCTTCTAACATACCTAATTAACTACTGATACAAAAAAAGAAAACTTTCTGTAAAATATTTATTATTTAAAACATCAACTCAACGTACACATTATTTCGTATTAATAACAACTTACGGATGCGAGGCACAACATTAATAAATAACTTAAAGGTTGCTAGTTTATCGCGAGCTTGAGGAACTTGAACTGCTGCTGGAACTGGATGAAGAGCTCGACCCTGAAGAACTAGACGAGCTTGAACTGGAGGATCTTCTTCTATTCGAACTATTTCTGCTTCGGTTGTCGCGTTTAGGTGGAGATCGCCTGACAGGCGATCTTCTTGAAGGTCTTCTAGGTGACCGAGATCGTCGTTCTGGACGCCTTCTTGGTGAAGGCGAGCGTCTTCTGTCACGTCGTCTTGGAGGTGAACTGTCTCTCTTTCGTCGTTCTGGTGACACAACTCTTTCTTTACGTGCAATTGGTTTTGGCGACTTACTACGACTTCTCCTAGGAGGCTCAGGTTTTCTTTCAGAATCTTTACGTGAACGAGACGGCTTTTCATTACGATCCTTGTTGGACGACTTGGAACTTGAGCTATCTCTTCTGCTAAACAAGAAAAATTAAAATAATTTACTAGAAGTTAGAAAAAAATAATGGGAAAATTAATTATTTAGCATGTACATATTAATGTCATACCTGTACTTTCGTGGTGGAGAACCCTGTTCGCGTGGAGAGGATGGTTTTTCTCGTGATAGTGCAAATTTTTCTCCCGTAGGAGTGTCACCATCGTCCTTTGTATCATTCTTGTGAGGTTCGATTCTGTCCTTTTCAATCGCTCGATGCTCTCGTTTTTCTCCCTTTCCGTGATCCTTCGACTGATCGGTTTCTGGCGTAACTACTGGAGCTGTTTCGACAACACAAGTTGATACCACAATTGGAGGGGGTTCAACAATCTTCCTTTTCGGTATGTCATCAACATTAGCCGTAGACGGTAGCGGTATGAACTTTCTTCTTGGAGGTGTGTGCTCTAAATAGTATTTTTAAACATTTGAAGGCAGAATTTATGTTAGTTTAAACAATAAAACTTTACAATAATTTAAAAATTACCATCGCCACTTCTGTCCTCCTTATCCCTGGAACCGTCTCGTTCTTCCCGTGATTCTTTTCGCTGTTCTCCAGCTATATCGTGTCCTTCCTCCAAATCTTTCCTTTTACTTTCTTGCTTATCATGTCCATTATCAACCTTATCCTTCTTTTTCTCTGGAGATCTTTCCGGGCTTCTACGATTTTCACCAGTTTTGCGAACTTCTGGAGATTGTTCTCGACTTCTACGTTTCTCGAGTTTTTTACTTCTATCGTCACGCCTTCTGACTTCTAGAGATCTTTCCCGGCTTTTGCGTCTGTCACCTCTTTCATCACGTTCTCGAACTTCTGGGGAGAGTTCCCGACTTCTACGTTTTTCACCTTTTCCATCAGTTTTGCGAACTTCTGATGACATATCTCGACTTCTACGCTTCTCGTGCTTTTCAATTTTATCATCACGCTTTTTGACATCTGGAGATCTTTCCCTGCTTCTCCGTTTATCGTGTTTCTCAATTTTATCATCACGCTTTCTGACATCTGGTGAATTTTCACTGTCACATCGCCGTCTTTCATTCCGTCCTTCTTTAGACTTATCTCTTTTTTCATCTTTATCTTCTCTGTCTTCCTTTTGTTTTTCTTGTCTTTCATCACGGCCCTTTTCTTCATTTCTGTCGGCTCTTCGTGGTGGAGATCCTCTGTCATAAACTACAAATAAAATCCATGATTTCATCTAATTCAAATTTTTAAAAAAAATTAAGAACAGTAACAATCTCTAATTTTTAGCCGCACTTACAGTTAAAAAACATTCTCAAATCAAAAATTAAACTTTCTAGACAAAAAGTTGGTTAGCTTACCGATTTCGGGTCTCTTTCGCGGTTTTTCTGCCTTATGAGTTTCATCCGCTGTTTCTGCAGCTTTTTGTCTACTCTCAGAATGTTCCTGACGAAGATTAGGCGAATCGTACGATGGTGAAGCTCGGTAACCAAACTTGTGTTCTTCCGATTCCTCTTCTTCTTGTAGTCTCTTCTCCCGTTCTTCTTTTTTCTTTTTCAATTCATCGTACGTAATTATTCGACTCTACAACATATAGTGTAACTTACGGAAAACATCTAATATAATAAATACATGTATTTTCTCGACAGACAATTATTTTACCATCACAGATTAGAAGATAAAGTATTAACTAACCTCTTCCTTCTTCCAATGCGGTGGAGTTCGAGATCCTTCTCTTGACAAACTCCTGTAGCACAATCTTCCTCGTCCTCTAACTTTGAGCCCTTGCCGATCTCTTCTAACTGGCGGAGATCTATCCCTGCCTCTTCTACCATACCTGTCGTTACGGTCATAATCCCTTCGACCTTTGTAAAGACTTGAATTGCCATTCTTCGGAGATCTAAAAGTAATATAGATTATGAATTTGAAGAACATTACCAAAATTAAAATTGTAACAAAAATTTCCAAAAACGTCGTTTAATTTACTCATTTCTAAAGTAAAAGCAACAACCTATTCAGAAAAAAGTTATACAGTCACAATTCATTTATAAAAACCTACGAGTTTCTCAATAAAAAGTTGTGGGTAACTGGTACTTCAGGCAGATCTTCCACTTTTACCGTGGAAATGTCATCAGGCAATTCTGGGGACGCTTCTTTATATGGAGATCTAGATCGGCTTCCGTGTTTCTTCTTCTTGTCCTTCTTTTTCTTGTCCGTTTCACTAAAACTGAATTAAACAAATAAATAACACTTACGGTTCAAGTCCACCTTCTTCGTTTTCCTTCTTCTTTCTTATCAACTGACCACAATTCGCAATAACAACATCTGATACCGGTCGATTCTTTGGTCCGGTTTTCAGATTCTCAATTTGGGTTACGACTTCTTGGCCTTGAACTACCTTAAAAACCATTTATCATTAAAACAAAGTTCAGATAATATTAACAATAAATCTAATGTAATGAAATATTACATCTGCTGCTTGTAAAAAATACAAAAATTCACCAATATTCAAAACATACTCGACCAAAAGCAACATGAACATCATCAAGGTGAGATGTGACACTTGTAGTGACAAAGAACTGAGATCCATTAGTATTCGGCCCGCGATTGGCCATACTGACAATAAAAGGCTCATCGTGCTTCACAACAAAATTCTCGTCCTCAAACACTCCACCGTATATTGACTCTCCTCCCGTACCATTACCATTTGTAAAGTCACCGCCCTAAACTTGTAAAGTATATCTTGCACTGCCATGTTTAGCATCATAAGCATTTCATGCCAGAACATCTTAATACACAGTTGTATTGTAAAACAATCTTCTTCAAAACCCCACCTAAAACTAGAAATAAGACAAATAGTTAAAACTACCTGAATCATAAAATTTTTGACAACACGATGAAAGATGGACCCTTTAAAGTGTAACATCTTGCCAGTCGTCTTCCCAATACCCGATTCTCCAACGCATAATTGACAAAAGTTTTCACAAGTCTCAGGGCATATATCGTCGTACAATTCGATCACAATCCTACCCATCAGCTCACCGTCTACTGTAATATCGAGAAAACAACGTCGCCTGTCTTTCGACATGGTGCCTTGTGGTTAAAAACCTGCAAAAAAGTAAAATATATTACTTAAAATTCACAAAATACTCAAAAAAAATTGAACAGTTTCGTTTTAAAAAGCAGCCTAAACTTAGGTATAACATCCCCAAAACATTTATTTAGCCCTCTAGAACCAAAAAATCTGAAAGAAATCATAAAAACATACCTTCTTGTAACAACTATCAGAATATTTATAAATATAACAGTTAACAATCAGCAGTACTAACCAACATTGACAAAATCGCGCCAAAAACCCATTACAAAATTATTTTCTTTTGCGCCAAGTGCTTCTCTTCCTCGTGAGTCAAGTTTTCCTCTTTACAAGATTTTGTTTTGTTACGGTAATTGTGGCTTCAGATGCAGTTTACTGCTTGTGACGTCTTAGGTGTTCCTGGATTATATACAATTAGAGGCATAGTATGTGATATTCCTTTTTTTATGATTAGAGTGTAATAGTCGTGTTCATCAAAAATGGTAGTTTTGGTAGTTTCAGTGAAATTTGTTGCTTCTTTTTTCTTGGAGTGTTACTGCTTCACAAAATCCTTATATTAAAATGTATATATACATCTTGTAATATAGCCTTTTTATGATAATTTCCTGAGTCCATTCATTATATTGTTTTAGGTTGACCAGATGATTCAACGGTGATTCGTCGAATTTCGTATTGTTTTTATCAGACGATTGTTGTAACTAACGGAATTTCGATTTTGACACTGATAACGAATGTTTTGCGGTGGGACCCGTCTTTGAATTCAATTGGAACGGATTCGAATTTGATTAACTGAAGTGGAGATGGAAGACGACTTTGATCCTTATAACGTAAGTTCTTGTGGATCTGCGCAATTTTTTATAAGTTTTAGGGTTTTTGTGGTTCTACGGGCATAACAAGAGGTTTTTTGGTTAACGTAAAGGTTATGTTGGTGTCAAAGCATAGTTTTTATGTTATCCATGACCTTACGGGATGTATATTACTTATTCAACGTTTTAATATCTATTTTTATAACTAAAATTAGTTGGCTTATGCAAATTAGACTAAAAATGAAATTTTGAGTTTATTTTTTAACGTTTTCAACAAAAGCTTTGTCAAAATTTGCCTATTTTGACACACAAAGTTGAAGTAACTCAGCTCTGTTTAGGTAACAAAAATTTTAAATTCGTTATGTCACGGCACTAAATTAAAACAAAAACCATCGTATCATGTTTTCTGAAACAACATGCTTTAAATGGACATGTCTATGGTATAATTGCCGGATAATGACTCATATTTCTGGCCAAGGCTGTTTGAAATTGAGTGAAATTTCAAAATGCGCGCAATGAAAATCTTTGGACTGCCATTTCTTCTCCCAACAGATGCTTACTCCAAAGCGATTTTACCTCAAAAACCGGAAAATCGCGACTACAACTTTGGGATTTGCATTTTGAATACACTTCAAAGTGCATTTGCGAATGAATTGGGCTGGAAGATATTGTTTTAGGGGATGATTCTCGGGTGGAAGGTTATATGCAGAGTAATATTTTTACTAAATTGATTATGACAGCTCTGATTTTGGAGCTTTGGATACTTAAAAATTATAGATCGTCAGGTAATTGACGCTTTTTTTGGGGGTGTTGTTGTTTATGGGTAACAGGAATAGTCATGGTCGTACAGTTAACAGCCAGTTGTCAGGATTTTTGAAAAATAACTAGCTTTAGGGCAGATGGGCGAAATAATGTAATATTACAGTTATTCAGGATGTAGTTAAGTTGTCATTGTAAATTTTGAAATAATTTTAAGGCTTTGGATACCTTATCAACCTTTTTTTCGTATAAAAACTGTCCGGACGAACACGTACCCTCCACTTTATTATACCTCATTATACCGACGCAGTTCGTTTGCCGAGATGAACCAGAGCTATTGCCCTCATTTGTTTTACCGCAACATAAAGCAGAGAAAGGTCAGAGGAGCCGTCTCTCCGTTCCCCACACTCTCTCACCGGGTTCGAACGGCTTTGTGAAGGACATTCTCTTTTCGAGGCTCTTTCCTCCGTCCACTTTCTGTTTTTGCCCAAAATTGTTTTAATTATTTATTTGTAAAGCCTCCAAAGTGTTAACTCTCACACAAAAGCTGTCGGAATGGCCGGAGGGGGGGGGGAGGGGGGTTGTACCGGAAATTATGATAAATTGGGGGGATTTTGTATTGTTATGATTGTATATTCAGGAGGGAGGATAAAAATTATTGTTACTTTCAAGGTGTGAAAAAATGTGATATATCGTATGTGGGGATTAAAAAACTTGGTTAGGGCAGCACGTTTGGCTGGAAAAGGTTTTACATGGGTCGACATGGTTAAATTATGTCTTTTAAAGCTTTGTGAACATGTTAAAAATGGCTACCTTTGAATTGAAAAGCTGTTTTTTCATCTAAATGGATTACTGTAATAAATCCAATTTAAAAATATGGTTTTGGAAGCAAAGAATTGTGTAGCTATTATACTTTATAGCGCTTTTGTTATTTTTGAATTTTTGCAGAACGCTAAAAACAGTTGGTCTGGCTTTAACGGGTAAGATTAACAGGCCAAAGTTTCGAAAACTAAATGAAAATGAATTCGGATTCTTGTAACTTTTAAATTTTTATATTTATGTTTTGATTAGCTTTGAAGTTTCTTTAAAATTTCTGATCTACTGACTTTGATTTAAGTTTTTTTTAAATCTTAAAAGGTATTTATTAGGTATTTCAAATAATCCTGTGCCTCCTAAATTCGAAAATTTTCTTTGTAAGGGGGCACAGGATGTTTTGAACAACTTGATAAATAGCTTAAAGCGTTGAGCAACATAATACTTTTATTTTTTTTGCAAATTTTAGACTATTTTAATTTCTTTTCGACCAAGTTTTTTCAAATTTTAAATTTGTTACCAATAAACATTGGAAACTCTTCTTCATCGAAATTTTTATAAATAAGACGTTTTTGAATCAGATAATGAATCACAGCCCATCCGAGTTTTTGCAAAGAAATCATTTTACAAGACCCGTTATTCGTCGTTTCTGAAGGTTACCGTTCCGACGTTCTTTTAACGGCTGGGAATTCCGGAACACGGGTATTTATAGTAAAGGCTGTGGAAGTAGTTATGTATTGTTGGTTTTAGTTATTTTTGAGAAAATCTTTGAATTTTAGGTGATATTGTGGGTTTTAAAACTTTTTTTTAAAAATTTTATTACGTTTTTTGACGAGTACAATACTTTTATATGGTCTATGTTATCTAATAATTCTAATTTGTAACGATGAGTATATTTATTTTGCCATTTTTAGTGTTCCACCTCGACCGGCTACACCAACCCGCACTCATCTGGCAGTTCCCAATTTTATCCTCTATATATTGACACTTCCCAACCGCCAAGCTCGTTTAGAAGTCAAGAACGATCGGTTTCTGTCACTCCACAACCTTCTATCTACAGTCCATCGCCGAAGGTCGGGTTTCAGATTATGAGTGCACCTTCAAGGCAGATCAAATGTGTTGTGGTAGGGGATGGAGCGGTGGGAAAGACGTGTATGTTGATATCTTTCACGACCAACTCTTTTCCTAGGGAGTATGTGCCTACAGTGTAAGTTATTGAGGTTTGTTGATTTGCTTTTTAGAAGAATGTGTTAATCGTTGGTTCGGTCAAGAAGTATAGAGAATGAAAATTAGTTTAAAAGCTGTTTGCTATGAACTGGCAGTTATTAGTTGCTATACTTATTTTTGAACCAAATTCTTTTGTTCTTTAAATTTGGATAACAGATAGTTTAAAACAACTAGTTATGTATCAATCTTTTAGGTTTGATAATTACTCAGCGCCGATGACAGTAGATGGGCACTCTGTAAATCTTGGATTATGGGATACTGCTGGACAGGTTAGTGCATATTTTGGTCCTTTTCAAATATTTTTTATAAAAAGCTTTTAAAAAGTTGTTTTAAATTGACTTTAGCTGGTTATTACAAAATTAAAACATTTTTTCAATAAAATATCGTTTAATCTATAATATTTCGATTACAATGATTTTCAGGAAGATTACGATCGCCTCCGACCCTTATCTTACCCACAGACAGATGTGTTTATATTGTGTTACAGTGTGGTGTCGCCGATATCGTTAACAAACATCACTTCGAAATGGGTACCAGAAATTAGGAACTATTGTCCAGATGCACCAATAGTACTAGTAGGAACCAAAGTGGACTTGAGAGATGACCCAGCTCAAGTGGCACTAAATGCCAACTCAAAGTCGAATCAGTTTGTGACCAAGAAGGAGGCTCAGAAAGTGGCAGACAGGATCAAGGCGGTCAGATTGTTGGAGTGCTCGGCTTTAACTCAACAAGCGTTGGGATTGGTAAGGTTTACTGTAGAATATACATACTGTAGTATACGAAAATTTTTTTTTGAGATTTAAGTAATGTTTCGTTTAAAAATAAGAGGCGACAAAATGTCGAAATTGCAAGTTTTTGCCGTTTATGAGCTTTTTGATTAAAAGCTATTTTTATGGTATCTACCTCTATATGTTCCGTCATTTTAGGTATTCGAAGAAGCCGTCCGGTCGGTAACGTCGCCCAAACCTAAGAAGAGAAAAGGCTGCACCATCCTGTAGATACGATGTGTAAATTCAAATTATTTAAAAATTTATCAAAAACCTCGAAAAGTGCCGTCCATTTATGCCTTACTTTACTTAATATTGTATAATAATATGTTATATTGTAATTGTTGTTTTCTTGTTGTAACGCCGAGTTTGTTTTAATAAAAGTTGGAAAAGTTTATACCCTTTATGATTTTAGATCTTTTTCATGTTTTTGACTCGACTTGAGTCATAATGCCAGCTTTTGTTAAATCCTGTTATTAATATCTAATTACCCAAACCTCTAATATGCGACATTATAATTGGTAAACTTGAACGCCTTTTCAACCCAAATGAACTTTTAAAACAATTAAAATAGTTTTTTTACTGCTGAGTCTGCATAGAAATGGCAGAGTAAAGAGAGAGTTCATAAAGAGTATAGTGATTAATGTCGAGTCAAAGGACCAGAAGTTTTTGGCCGACTTCTAATTAATCAAATCGCACCTCCAGAAAGATTGAAAGCATATAAAGTGAGAAAGCCTGGCCAAGTATATAGTTTTTTATTCATTTTTTATAAAACTTATCATAATTTTGTATTTTGAATATCATTTTTGGTTTTTCAATTTGAATTTACAGTAATGCATTTTATATTGTCAATATTGGTACTGGTACCATACATATCATTGTATGAAGCTAGAAGTAGATGTGTGAAAGCTGTAGGAAAGCTAAGATGTCCAACAGATTGGGACCGACATTATCGGGTTACTGTAAAGTTGATGGACAAAGATCGTAAGCCTTTTTATCCATTTTTAAAATTTGATGCCAATTTTAATATCTTTAATTTTGTTGTTTTGAATTTTTGCTTTGATGGATATTATAATACATAGCTTATCCATGCGTGGCCATGCCTCAATTCAATAACAGAAAACGTTTAAGATACCTATTCTAGCCTTGCCATGGGAAGCCGACGATGAAATGGGATCAGCCCAAACAGATGAAGATGGAAATTATATTGTACAAGGCTGTGGAGACGACTTGGGAGCTTGGAATGATCCTGATCCATATATTCTGGTGGAACATAGATGCCCAGAACCTGGACATACGATCAGTATTCCAAGAAGGTTACGAGTGTGGGTTTTTTAGTAACATAACACTAATGTATGCTTTTAAATGGCTTTCACAAATAAGTATTAAACTATGTAAAATGAAAAATTGAACAAAAAATATATAATAGTTATACTATCGTCTACAATATTATAATAAAAATACTGTTTTCAGCATAACAATTGAAAGAAAATACTTACCAGACACTGTCTACGTCGAAACTGTACGAATCGATGAAAACACCCGATTTTAAACTAGTTCTGTATTGAAAAATGTCAGTATACTGTATTTTTGGCACAATAAACATATTTTTCATAATTTTGTATGTTGTCTACATCTAGAATGCATCTTACTTCAATTATTTTTAAACGCGACCCAAAGGCAATTATTAAAAAGCGAGAGAAGCAAAGAAATACTCTCTCGCTGTCAATCAAACCCAGTCGAAAAACAAGCGAACGTTTTATTATCCATTTCGGGAAATAACTTTAGGTAGGAATTTAATCCTAAATCAAAGTAAACTTGAGTTCTAGACCGCCTAACAGTGTGTTTAGAAAGAATATTTTTTGGAACAGTTTCTGGGGATTCCGGAAACGAATATTGTCACAAGTAGTTGTATTGAGATCATGAGTTATAATGTAATACGTTATGAGGTATAACACAATTACAGAACCAAGTGTTTTTACTCTATGTTAAAAATCTAACAGTAAAATACTGTTTCAAAACACAAGAATTTGAAATTCAACCTAAAATTTATCCTACAGGGTTTTTGAATAATCGAAAACATTTAAAAATACCGATATGTTAGCTGCATCTTTAAAAAGCGCGCCAAAATTCCTCACTATTTTTAAGCTACGAGAAGGCCAGAGAAGCAGAGAAAAACGCCCTTTCTCCTACGAGCGAACCCATTCAAACAACAAGTGAACGTTTTATTACCTCTTTTGCAAGAGCGTTTTCGATAGGAATTTAATCCTAATTCAAGGTAAACTTGAGTTCTAAACCGCCTAACAGTGTGTTTAGAAAGGATAGTTTTTGGAACAGTTTCTGGGGATTCCGGAGACGAATATTTATCTATGATATACAATATAATATGAAAAGGTAGAGTACAGTGCGTTAAATAAAGTTGATTGTGTATGAGGTGTTCAAAGGAAGATTTTGGCATTTTAAATGACTGAACTACTCAAAAGCATAATACAATGCTTCCGTATAAGGAACTTTTAGGGATCTAAAAAACCGTTATATGGGAGGCCTGTATACGGAAAGAAGTTCGACTATATTTTTGTTGTATTATTGAAGTAAAAAAGGAAGTGAATACAAAATTTTTGTTAACTCAACAAAACATAATTAAGACTACGGTAAAACACCGAAAATATCAAATTTTGAAACATGAACTAGTACTTGATGAACATGTGCAGTTATTTAAAGTCTAGACGGTTATGCTTAACTTGTACATTATTCTTTGTCTTTAAAATGTTTTATTAGCTAATAAATAAATATAAGTTGGTTTACTTTCTCAGTATTCTTAAGCAGTTCACGAGGTGTTGTTTGGAGCTGTTTATCGCTTCAGACTTCTTGAACTATGATACACGTTTTATTGAATTATTGTAGTACGTGAAGAATTAGACCTAAAAATTGCATTTTTAAACCTTTTTCTTTTAAACAGTTTACCTTTTTCAATCCTGAGACTTTTTGACTACAATTAAAGGTTTATCTGTTCGCTAATCTTGTAATTGCGGCTCATTGGAAATCACAAATTGAGAGCTCAAACTTAAAAACATGAGTCGGCCAGAACAGCCCCAATTGACGGGCGATCGGCTTTATTCACGTTGTCAGCGGCATTTTTTCGGAAAATTGCCCTTTTTAATTAAGGCAGTGTTTTTAATCTTGGCAGGATTACCACTGTTCACGGTAGGGACATTAGGGAGTTAGGAAAGTAAAAAAATGTACTTTTAGAGTGTTTATTTTTAGGTATAAACGGTTACAGTTACATAGTTTAATGAAGAGTAGAATATGGAAGTTAAAGCAAGCGTAAGAAATTTTAAAATTTAACTTCAAAGTTTATTATGCACTTTTAAAAAACTATATTTTTCTACAAAACTTTTAAAATTTTGCATTAAACGGCAGTAGCTATTAACGAATCTCGATTTTATGACTTTTAAAATTGGACACTTTTCGAATGTGATTTCTTTCATCGATCAGAGTTAAAGTGGCGAAGAAAGGGAGGTTTTTGTTTTTAACACTCTTTTCAACTTGACGGTAAGGGAATGGGATGACATATTGTTGTAAATAACTTGTTGGCTTGTTTTTAATGTTTGTGAGGGGAACGTTTAGTAATATTCTATCTTTCAAAAATATATTTTAAAATTTTAAGTTTGCAGCAAAAAAACATTTTTTGTTTTCTATTTTGCACTATCGTTACTATGTTTAGGATGCTGAATATATTTATTTTGTACTGTAATATACACATACTTTTTTTAAGTCATCATTTCATATTTTTTTCAAAAAACGTAAAGGTACAACCAATAAAGCTAATTTTAATGCACCAGTGCTAGTTACTTTCAAAGCAATCCTTGTTATTGAGTGTCAGTTTACAGGACCTTCTATTTACATACTAAAGCAATGTTTGGCTAGCACCTGAGGCGCTAAAATGGGCATTTCATTTATTGTTGTTTCCGGTTAGACTAGGTTTTTCTAGGACGAATCTATAATTTTGTAACATAAATTGGTTCGCTTTATTGTCAATTTTTTTACTCTGTTGTTTAATTGTTGACGTTCTTCAAAGTTTTGCTTCGATGAAAAATACAATTTTCTGACGTTTCTAAAATTAAAAAAAAAACATTTGGCAGCAGCATATTATTGTCCTCTGTTACAACCCATAACGATTACCCGTACTTTTATCGCTGTTCTAGTTGAGTATCTTACATTAATGTAGATTGATCTCTCGCGGCTCAACTTTTGACCGGTCAAATTCCAATTTTGTTTTCGGAATCGGCTTTTTTAAAACGACGTTTCACTCTGCAGAGCTCTGTCTTTAATTTTTGAATATTGTGGGTTTATTTATGCACTAAGATACTTACTACCACAAAACAGCATTTTAAGTAAAAAAAGTGTGGTTCGTTAGGTTATTATAGTATAATATGGTTTTTTATTTACATTACATTATTTTATCAGTGTAATATAAAATGTAATGTTTTATGAGGAAAAATATTAATTAATTCTAAAGTAAATCTTATGAATTTTTTTTTGGGAAAAACGTATATGAGCGTATATTTAATTATTTGACCATCCTTATATTTACTGCGCGTAAAAAATACATTTCAAATTCTAAATCAGAAATTCATATTATATTATAGGAGTACGAAAAGGCTAACGACACATAACTTTAGTCAAGAAAAACAACAACATTTTACTAAATTTACATACTAAATACATATATTTGATATTTCTAAAAAAAATTTTTTTAAATAAAAATATTTTTCATAAATATTTTGCATAAAAACATAATAAAAAACGTTAATAATCGTACTAAAATTTTTTAAAACCTAAAAATATCAGAATTTTATTTTTATGACAATATTTTTAAAATATTATCGAACAGCTTACATTAGAGTAATGACAAAGTTATTTTGACTGTTTGTCGCTTTAAAAGTTTGTTTACTTTTTTTCGCTTATCAGTCTGTTATCGTTTTATGTTCTGACGGGTATGACATTTTCAAAGTAAGGAGAAGATCTTATTTTCATTTTGGGCATTATGGTGGTCTGAGTATATAGTAGTTTATAGGCATAATAAAACATATCGGTTCATTTTTTTACAGTAAATAGGGTGTTACGCCGATAAGGAATATACTAATGAGGTTTTACTGTATAACATTATTCTTCTATTTTTTCCTCTTTCAATTATTTGTTGCTTATACCAACTATTTAGAAAACTGTTAGACTGTTTTTGAAAATTTCCAGTTGCTTGCATTTCAAATTGACGGTATTCAGGTAATTACTGACACATATCAATCGTACCTTTTTTATTGTTTTTTACTTTGATTTTAGAATTATTGGTTTACTGCATTGTGCAAAATTTTAAAGCGTTTTTTAAGTTTCTTATCTTTTCTTATTTACAAAACTTTTTGTTTATTTGAACCAGAATTTTAAAGTTTTAAGTACTGTCAAGTTATAACTTTAGGCATAAGTTAAAATATGGCATTTAATGCATAACTTATGTTCAATTTTGCTTTTACTTACAAAACATGTAAAACATTGTTTACGTCCCAAAAAAGTAAAGGAAGAAAGATACGATCGACCTTTATTTACAATTATGTCTCCCCTTTTCGGTCCGTTTTCATGTCAAAAAAGGAATCGGCCTCAGCCTCATTGATTCTTTCCAATCACTTTTTCCTTTTTTTCACTTTTTCGAATCAATTTTTGAGCTCAATGTTTTTAGAAATACGTAAACAACTTTAAAATTTTTGGCAAAAGTAACCTGTAAAACTTAATATTTGGCTAATATTGCGGAACAATTTTGTTGGGAAATGAAGTTATTTTGAATTCTCAACGTATCATTATGTTCGATTAATTTAAAAAATAAAATTTTTGATTACTCTTAACCTTTGAAACCTATAGGCGCTAGGACAAATGCGGTTTTTAGACATATTTTAAAGGGTTTTTTTTATTTTTCTGTTAGTTTAGTTGTAGTATGTTACTAAATGATACTAAATTTTAAATTGGTACTGTTTTTACCTTGGTACTAAATGGTTCCAAAATTCCTAAATAGTACTTTTATGTTAAAACCGTACCAATTTAAACTTTGGTACCATTTAGTACCATACTACAACTATTAACTAAAAAATAAAGAAAACCCTTTAAAAAATCCGCAAGTCTCTAAAAACCGCATTTGTCCTAGCGCCAACCTATAATATATCAGCATACTTTTACATTCTTATTCTTTGGTACTTTATTAGAAGATTATTTTATCATATTATCATAATCATCACCCATTTTATTGTATACTTACTTTCTTTTTTGATATAACTTGATCAAATTTTTGAACAGAGTTTGCTGAATTCAACACGAACCTTGTGATTACTTTGTATTGCATTGATTATCTTGTTATAATACTACACGTGATTTTTCTGAGTCAAAAAAGGTAATCGTTTAGACAATTCTATATAGTGAATAATGCTATTTCAGAATGCCGAAGCAAGAGTTTGAGTTAGTTGACTTAATGGGCCCATTTGTGGTCGCTCTCATCTTTGGCGTTGTGTTGTTGTTGATCTCCTTTACCATTATTAACTGGTACTGTATCACTCACAAAGATGATTTAACAGTATTTGAGAAAGTAAGTGTTTGTTTATTATTGGATATTATAGGTTAAAGAAAACGTTATTGTGGTTAATTTAACCTGTTTCTAAAAAATTTCAGAAAATTAGTCAAGACCAAAATACATTATATAAGGCTTTATATGTATATAATAATTAATCATAGTCTAAAACGTAGTAGTTGATTATATTGTTTTAGTTAGGGAAACGAGCAGATATTCGTCTTGGCCCTCACAAAATGTCTGTCATTCGTCGTGGTGGGTATGCGTCAACGTACGCCAAGGAGGACGATGAGTACCGTAAGAAGAAGAGTCACGCTGCTCAGGTTGCTTTGGCATCAGAAATCGCTTAAATCACTTTGGATGTGACAAAATGCTAAAGACGATGTTAATTGTAGCAACAATTTGATACAATATATACTGTCAGTTATTACAATAACTACAGTATACTACAGTACTACTATTACTTTATCAAAATATACTGTATAGTTTTACAATTTTGAATACTATTTGTTGTTTAGATAATTCTGTGCTCCTTCACAAAGAAACTTTTTGACACTAGGAAGCACCTAATTATTTAAGTTACCTAATAGTACAATATTTTAGTAAAAATATCACCGTCTTTTGACGTTCTGTTACTTCAATGTAAAATTAGAAAGATATCATTGTGTAAAGTCTGCATTTTCTCTAATACCAACATGTTCGTATCATTTACAGTAACGTTCTTTCACTAAACACAGTAATAACTAGTTGTAAACTACTTTATTGTTCAATAAACTCGTTATCTTTACATAGTAAATGGTGTATTTAAACTAAAATATTGGAAAGTGTACTATACATAAAGGTTACTTTAAAGTAAAAAGTACAGTAAAATTTTACAAAAAGTAGAAAAAGAAAAAGTGACTAAGATGCGAAGTTTTATTTTCTAAAGACTTTATGTGAATGACTTGGTACATCAGCTTTTTTGGTATCTTCTGTTATTATCTTTGGAGTTACTTTTACAGTATCAGTTGTTTTAGATACGGTAGCAGTCGATGGTTGTCCTACTGTAGGTTGAGCTGGACTTTCATTTTTTGTTTGATCTAAAGTAAAAATATATTCTGCTTTACTCTAGTTATATCTAAATTACTCTTCATTTTGATTCAGTAAATGATAACTTACCTTCACTTTTCTTTGTCGAACTCAATATGCCAGCCAAAGTTGTTATTTCCACTTTAATATCTGATTCAGTAGCTGAAGGCACTTCATGTTTCACTCGATTCTTAGATACTTCTGTCGTAGTACTAACAGTATTGCCTATTGTAACTGAAACTGTCTTTTCAGTCGCTTTAACAGTCGTACTTCCAGAATTCTTCAAAGTCGGCTTAACAGTGGAAGCACCATGTTGAGTAGCAAGCGCTGGTGTAGTGGATACTAAAGGCTTGACGGTCAAAAAGTGGTACGGTCCATGTCGTCTACCGTAATATCCTAGCAGACCAAACCCAGGCCAGCCTGAGAAGACCGGCCATGAATGGAACTCATTACCCATTTGACTGTAACATACTGTGGTAAATAGTGATAATAACAGTAGAGCCTGCATCTAAAAATTTAAAATTGTATACGTTGAGTAATATTCTTTCTTCGAATAGAGTATTTTAAATTCGTACTCACAAATTTAAATGTAACCAAACGAATTGCGACTTAACTTATATACATCGTTAAGTTATGTCAAGATGTAACTCGGGACATTAATAAAAGTATCATTCAATAACATAAATGACTGTTCTTTATATTATCCAATCTACAACAACATATTATTCAGCCTATTGCAACATAAAACCCCTTGAAAACTTTGAAAGATGTTTCCGCCTCCAATTTCGAATTTATTTTAAGCATCTGTCGCCCGAATGCTAATTGGACATTACCCAATCTTCTCATTTTACATTCTATTTTAGAATTGATAAAGATGGAATAGACCGGCACGTTCTGTGCTTTTTCACCGTTCCATTTCTAGTCGTATGTCTACTATGACTTTGTCCACGGTAAATTATTGATAGTTTACTACATTTTGCAAATCGAATTAAATTTTACGGCACATTTGGTGGTATATGTACTCAACCATATTATAGTTCACTAATCATACGTATATTAATGTAAAAAAGACATATATTACGTATTTTACAGTTTCCTATGTTGAGTAATAAACTTTTTTTAAATACTTATCCACCTTCTTAAACGTATCAAGAATACTATGTAGTAATACCAGTAACATCAACATGACACTTTATACACACACTATGTCTGCCAATATTTATGCTACAAAGATACCAATCCCCAAAATCAAAACAAAAATAACATGTCTACATAAAGCTGTCGTCTCAAACGAGCTTTTTTCTTCAAACGAATGTCGCAATGCTACTGGAAGACACGATGAAGACAGAAAGACAACGTTGACGAAAAGATTACAGTAAATTAATAAGACATTAAAAAAGATCACGGTGGAGAAGGAGAGATAAGAATATAGACTAGAGAAAAGTAAGAGACCACAAACATTCAAACTGATAGACTGGATTGGCACAAAAAAGTTTGGCCAAAACACGAAAATCTCTGGGGAAATCATTAGAAAAGAGCTTCTGAAGACAGTTAAGAAGAGCTTCTGAAGACAGTTAAAAATGGGCTTCTGAAGACAGTTAAAAGACGCCTGAAAGTGCTTAAGAAGAAGCTAAACTTCTTGAAGCTTTTAGAAGTTTTATAGGAATTCAGAAGGCGATCAACGGTCAGTTTCAGAAGCCGAAGCCTTGAACTTTTCTAAAATTTTCTAAAATTTAGAAAATAAAAGCAATATCCAGAAGTCCTCTGCAGATTCAGAAAATTGACTTAAAAATCTTTAATCATCATTTTAAAACGAATAACTTCTATCTCAGACTCCTACAGTAATGTTACTTATAATATAAAAAATATATATTACAGACCAACGGAGTCCCTTTGGTAATACTTATTCTAATATACAATGTATAAAGTTCCTTATAATAATAATATAAAAAACCTTCTCAAGAAAGAATCAGAAGTCAATGTTCCAAGAACAAAGCCTTCAGAATCCATTGTAAAATCTCCAAAATTTTTCAACAAAGCCGCAGGCAGAATTAAATAAATTACAGTTAAATTAATGCCAAAGGGCAAAGAACTCGAACAAAAAACATGAGTTCTGAACCTCGCTAATGGCCTCAACGTAAACTAATGACTCGATTTGGCCACAAAATTAAGTAGAGTAGAAAGAGAAACGGCAAGAGTTCAAAGTTTTCAAAACACTTTTATAAAATCGCTAATATTTTTTAAAATCATATAAGTAGATCGTTCAAATAATCCTGTACCCCTACCTCAAAAATTTGCATTGAAAGGGTTATTTTAAAATTATTTAAAACACGTTTTTTGTAAGGCTCGAGATGCCTGGTCGACATAAAAAAAATCGATGTCACCAAATTTCTTGAAATTTTCAAAATTTACTCTTCGTAGCAAGATAAACAAAGTTGCTTAAACAAGTTTTTCCAAAATTACCGTATTCGGGGTTACGGTAATGTCGGTCGAATTTTTGTATCTCGAGAAATAGGCATCGTAAAATTACGCGGTTTTCACTATATTAATCAGCATGAAAAAATACGTATTTTATCTTACAACAACATTTTTGTAGCACTTGCGCATCATGGCGAAAAAATTAAAAAAGTGTGCACAGCTACAGTAATCGTACTGTAACTCAAAAACTATGTTTTATTTTCCTAAATTTTTATTACATACCATTAATCTACTGTTTATTGCGGTTAAAATGAGCCTATGCACATTTGCTAACCCCGAATTATTTGGGGTCAAAAGTGCATTCAAAGTTTGCACACCTACTGTTTTTATGTAGCGTAGGACGTCCGAACTTTTTTGAAGTAAAGTAAAAGCACCGTTCTCAAAAAGTACTGGTCCGATTTGGACAATTTTTTTGCACTAGACTAGAAATTGCTTGCGGTTTTGGTATTGGTATATTATTTTTGAGTATTCGGCGGACGCTCGGCGGAGGTCGGCGGAGAAATTCGGCGAAGGCTATAACTCGGCCAGTTCTTAACATTTTTGAACCGGACAAAAACTAGTGGCGTTCTGAAGCATTTTTCTAAAAAATCGACCATACTTTGTAAAAAATCGGTGATTTTTAAAAAGAGTTAAGGTCTGCGCCGATTTTTCAAAAATTGTTGATAATTTATTAAATTGTGACATTTTAAAGAAAAATGCCAACGAATACCATTGGTTTTTGTCCGGTTCAAAAATATTAAGAACTGGCCAAGTTATGGCCTTCGCCGAATTTCTCCGCCGATCGTCCTCTGAGATAGCAAAGAAGTTTTTTATTTAAAGGAAATGTTTTTGAGAAATGTTTGGGAAGCATGCGAAAACAAAATTACATATTTTTTGTCCAAAACATAAAAAATTCAGTCTCCGCCGACTTCCGCTGAGCCTCCGCCGAATACTCAAAAACAATGTACCAATACCAAATCCGCCCTCAATTTCTAGTCTAGTGCAAAAAAATTGTCCAAATCGGACCAGTACTTTTTGAGAACGGTGCTTTTACTTTACTTCAAAAAAGTTCGGACGTCCTACGCTACATAAAAACAGTAGGTGTGCAAACTTTGAATGCACATTTGACCCCAAATAATTCGGGGTTAGCACATGTGCATAGGCTCATTTTAACCGCAATAAACAGTAGATTAATGGTATGTAATAAAAATTTAGGAAAATAAAACATAGTTTTTGAGTTACAGTACGATTACTGTAGCTGTGCACACTTTTTTAATTTTTTCGCACTGATGCGCAAGTGCTACAAAAATGTTATTGTAAGATAAAATACGTATTTTTTCATGCTGATTAATATAGTGAAAACCGCGTAATTTTACGATGCCTATTTCTCGAGATACAAAAATTCAACCGACATTACCGTAACCCCGAATACGGTAATTTTGGAAAAACTTGTTTAAGCAACTTTGTTTATCATGCTACGAAGGGTAAATTTTGAAAATTTCAAGAAATTTGGTGACATCGATTTTTTTTATGTCGACTCAGGGTTCAAAAGCGCTCGATTATTAGGAAAAACGTGTTTTAAATATTTTTTTTACAAAATTGGTAGGAACTATTATTTGAATTCCAATGAAAACATACGATATTGTGGTAAAACTGCTAGACAAAAATTAAAAAAAGACATATAATCGTATAATTTAATAATAGCTATACTATTAAAAACAAATAAAACCTCATAGAGCTCCATAAGAATATAAAAACTAATGTTTTTCATGTGAAACTTTTAAAATTTCTCAAATTTCAAAAAGACATAGTATTTGAATAACATGACAACGTGCACGACAGTACTGTGCAAACATCACAACGAACATTGGTGTAAATTTCCTTTTCTTCCAATTTTACCATGCTGTATGTCATAGTGTATAATTCAAAGAGAATAATTTATTTCCTTTTCTGCACACTCAGAGTACCATAAGACCTAATTAACTTACTCACAGACGTACTCCAGAATTAATAAAGAATTGTGAAAACACTATAAATAGATAACAATTTTTAATTTCTGTTACAGTAATTTTAATTTGTTATGGTTATCTTGTATTTATTTTTGAAAATTCGTCTATTTTTCATTTGACCCCCCCCCTTTTTTTCTTCCCTTTTCGGTGCTTTTCCACTCCATTCGGAAATAAAGAAACGAGTGCAGCCGGGCGTCGTGGCGGGCGCTTGTAAACCAAGTCTCTGGGTGGCTGAGTTTGCGAAACGATCGGCGTAAGGGTCAAACGGCCTGTGGCGGCGGATTGTAGACCGAGTGTCCGTCTCAAGGGCGGCGTCGACAAGGGACAGCGCTGGAAGCAGTGCAGCTCCTGGTCGGTTAAAGAGGGAAGCACTGGCCCAGGCCCCACAGGGAGCAAGCTAAATTCCCCGCGCCGTTACAGTGAGCGGATCGCGCTCGCGAGGTCCACGGTCTCAGGTTGCCTGACGTGGTTCGCTACCTAAACTTTTTCGCTCTTTTTTTTAATTTGGTATGAAAGTAATAAAATATACAAAATAACCTATAATAATATAAATAATAGTTTTCTTTCAAAAAACTGTTTTTGCATAAATTAAAAAATTTTCGATAAAAATTACTGTCTTTTGTAGATTTACTGAATAAATCTGAAAGCTGAAATTTTTTTTCATTGAAAAATAACATCATGCCAATAAAAACCTCTCAAAAATTAGAATGTACTATATTAACAAATAACATTTATTGGATTCAATTTGAAAATTAACAATAAAAACACCAACTCTATAAAAACAACAACAACAGTAACTTTATAGCAGAAGGCCTTGCAGACTGTGAAGGCACAATCTACTTATAACAACTTTTAATATAATCGTTATTCTTATAACGGCAACAATGTTAAGAAGTTAGACATCGTTTACGTTCTTCCTTTTCCTTTCTTGGCTCCAAATTTGCCCGAAGGTTTTCCTCCGAATTTGCCTCCAGATTTTCCAAACTTTCCAGCTGGTTTTCCTTCAAACTTTCCGCCCTTTGTAGGTTTGAATCCTGACTTCCTTCCAGTTCCTTTCACTTTCTTTGGTGTCTTTATCTTCTTTTTGCCATCCTCTTCTGAATCCCCACGATTCTGCATGGCTTCGGCGGCGGCGTTGATTTTGGCAGTGTCAATCTTTGGCTTCTTAGAATTCAACCGGTCGAGAATCTGGAGTTGTTTCGACTTTTCTGTCTTGGAATCTTGTTCATTCGGTTCGAACTTCCGTTTGATGCCAAGTTTAGGAGTCTTTTCGCCTTTTATCGTGCGTTGGAATTTACCGGCCGATGCTGTCGCTTCCTTAGCATGGTGCACCTTGTAGCTCAGCTAAAACAATAAAATAAAAAATGATTTACAAGTGAAAACATAACAAATCCATCAAAGGTCGTCAAGATACATGGTCTCTTTCAATGTATAAACCACAAAACCTACCTCCTGTCTAGTCCTCTGTTTGGGATCTTGACCAACACCTAATGGGATAGAATTAGCTCCACGTCCAAAGTCAGTATAAGATCGTTGTTCTTTTCCTTTAGCTGTATCCCTAAGCTGTCTTTTGACATTCTTAAGACGTTGTAGTTGATTCTTGGCCACTCTTTCCTTCTTGGCCTCTGCCTTCTGGGCAAAGTAGTCCACATTAGGATCTTTCTGGTTTGGAATCTCAATGAGCCAGTCTTTGCCTTCTTGATGTTTCTTGTGTTCGTAACCATAACGAGGTACCCATTTCTGAAAAAATTTAGAAATATTTTGTCAAAAACGTCTACTTCAACTTATTAATCTCCACCTACCTGTGCTTCCTCGTCCCAGACCTTCTTCGATTTGTCGTCATTGCTTCCAATTCCCTTTCTTTGAGCAAACTCTTGCCATTTTGTCATTGGAGGCTTAGCAGGTAACTAAAACAAAATAAATTAGTAAGTTTGTATTTTACAAGAATTACCTAAAAACCAGATTAAAATTTAAAAAAACCCACCGGTTTTTCTCTTGGAATCAATAATTTGCCTTCAGGTAATGTCGCACAAGTCGCATCAGCTACAATCTTCCTTGGCAACTTCCATATTTCATTAAACAAGTACTGTATGTTGTCTCTGGTCATTTTCTTAAGCTCTTCTTCTGTTGGACAACTAAAACAACGTAATTTAAGTGTAAAAGCGTTATTTTTTAAAGTTTAGTTGAAATATTTTTAAAAAATAAATGAAACAAGACTTTAAGACATTATTATTCATATACGTCATAGTTAACTAACCAGTCCTTCTTTTCAACTGAATCATGTGCATCTCTGTCAATCAACAACAAGTTACCCGCATCCACAAAAGGCTCTACTGTCTTCGAGACCTCGTTGGTCAAGAGTTGAGTTGTTTTACTCATATCTCTATAAAATGACTGTTAAAAATATTCAGATAATATTAAATATTATGCAAAGTTCAAGATATGAAACTGTAACAAACAGTATTTTAACAACTAAATCACTCCTAAAAACTAAAAAATTGACGTTTATTAACTAATACACGTAAAACGAACTCTTCACAATTTAAATTACACAAAAATACATAAATAATAAATTATACACTAAAAATACACGTATTGCTGCATCCTATATTGTAATACAGAGTTAAGAGAAGCGAATAGCAATATTTGGCCATAAATAAGCATCAAACTCTTTGATCTTGCTCTCGAATTCAAAGTTAAGTTTACTCTCCATCTTGTTCACTTTCTCCCAGCTGCCTCCGTACGTATCCTTCAGCTTCTGAATCCTTTCTTCTTCTTCAGCCACCAAGTTCGGAGCTTGAGTCGATTTGCGTATAGGGCCATAAATCCCTATTTTGTCTGCTTCAATATATTCATCCTCATCTTCGTCTAGGTAATTCTGCTGTTTCCGCAACTGTTCCTCTAGTTTTTCACGGGCTCCTTCAAATATTCTATTAATTTATATACAAAAAATTTAGATTTTTACAAGCTAATAGAAAATAATGCTCCTTTTTTAAAAATATACCTAAAAATCAAACAGAAGACAAAAGCTTACTTTTCTCTCTGTGTTCCAATGTCACTTTGAAGTACTCCAACATTTCTGGACTCATCTCTTCTTCATCTTCTACATTAATCTCTTGGCTTGTGTTTGGCAACAAATCGTCGTCATTAAAATCGTCCAACTCCACCTCAATTTCGCCAGATGCTATCATTTGACTGTATTCTTCTCCGGTAAAACCTACCCCAACGTCTTGTTGTTCTAAAGCTCCATATTCTTCTAGTTCGAAGTTGTCTGAATGTTGTTGATAATACTTGTGAGCGACTGTGAAAGCGTTGACAAAGATGTCTTGCCATTTATGCAGAGCTTCTTCATGGTTCCAAAACGTCTCCAGGTCTTCGGAGTCCCACTAAAAATAAAAAAAAAACAATGAAGTAAACCTATACATGAATATGAAACAATTTTTTAATCAAATTTACATTAAGAACCTTAAAACTTTACAGAACTTACCATTTTTAACCAAAAAGATATTTTACCACCTATTTTTCCAAAAGCTAGCAATTAAACATAATGCCAACCCTTTAGTTTTCGCTGTGAGAGACACCTTCACGTGATGAATAAGCCGTCAAAGAGCCGAACGAAACAAACAAGAATAAATAAAACAGACGTCGAAAGATGGTTTCAGGTTCTAATTGAAGAACATTACGCTGTGTAAAAGTTGCTGCCATGTGTGTACTTGATTTATAGGTATGTAATGGAAGTTTGTTGTTAATAACAAGGCATTTTCAAATTAAAATGGAAACGAATAATCGAAATTTTAATTTAAATTAAACTAGGATTCTGATTGTTTACTTCTTGTTTTGAATCGGAAATCAGAGTGTTTTGGAGACTTTTTGGAAGCGCAACAAAAGATCAAAAATTGGGTAAGTAGAGATGGCAATGTTAATATGGGAAATTGGGAATATTATTGTTTTAGAAGGCGCTCGGTGCTTTCGGGGATGAGTCAGAGATGGATTATAGTGCTGTTTTGCACATAATGTGTTTTGAAATTGTATTGACTTATCCGTAACAAGGCTATGCTTATTTAAAATGACAAAAAACCAAAAAAATTTTGATTTGGCGTTGAGAATCCTACTTTTTACCGTATAATTTGTACTGTAAAAGTTTAAATTAATATAACAACCTTTCTTAACAAATTACTTTGATATATATGAAATTAAAACACGCTTACTTCCAGGCATGGGTTACTATACCTTCTTGTACTGGTTCTCATGGAGGCTGTTTATGGCCTTATTGGCCCATGCCAATTGGTCGGCCGCTGTTTATGTTAAGTGTGCCTACTTTGTGTTATGGAAGTCGTATGATCTACTATGGTTTTGGATGCATCTCATCTTATGTATATGTTTTGAACCGTTGAGGTCAGAGAACTATCTGCTGGTATGGTGCGTGTTGATGTACAAGAAGTGCACTACCGACAAGAACAAGAGCTTTAGAGTTAGTTTTTTGTTTGAATAATTTGAAAAAGGATGTAATATAATCAGTCAAATTGCGATATTATAATTGGTCAAAATTATTATAGAATATTGTTTTAGCAAATCTACACAGCGACGTACAGTAAAAGATTCACAAAGTCTGAGAGAGAATTAAAAAAGATTGAAACGATTGAATTGGCAGAGGATTCAGATGATGAAGATGGTTCTGATCTTGGCTCTGTTTATCCTAGAATCTCGACTGACAGCGACGAAAAACAACCCCGAACGTCGAGAGTCAACTTCAATGAGAGGGTCGAGACTGAGAATCTTGTAGAGCACAAGAGTGAGAAGAAGGGGATTCTGAAGAAGATCAAGATTCCGAAGATCGTCAAAGACAGATTCAGTTCTGGTAGTAATGGAAGTGGCATCACTCCAGAAGAAGGGAAGGAGAAGAAGTTTCAGTTGCAAAAGTTGTTGCCTCAGGCGTTGCAAAAGACTGATGAAGGTGGGTTGATGTGTTGTAGGAGAACAGGGCTGGGGGTCGAACTAACGAATAATATCTTGCCAGTTTCGTTATCTTATAACTCGGTATGGGCCAAAAACCAGACTTTCTCTGTAAGGTTTAAAAAATGCAAGATTATCAGTTGTAGCTGACACAAGATGATTAATTAGGAACTAATGATATGATTATAGATCTAGAGTCACTCCGATCTAAAAACGAAGCCAAAGCTGAGGAAAAACGACGAAAAAAGGAAGAGAAAGCACGGCTAAAAGAGATACGACAGAGAAGGAAAGAGTATTTGAGAGAGCAAGCTAAAGTCGAAAGGCGGTAAGGGTTAAAACATATAAACTTATTAGGCGTTTTACAATAATTTTGACAACTTTTTTTCAAAACTTTTAATTTTCTGAAATTTTTTGTACTATTTAGTTTATGCCTAAAGCATAAAGACTGATGTTGCAACGCCTCTTATTAATAAACTTTGTAGACGTCGCTTGATATCAGATACGATTGATCTCCTACTACAATGTCTTCGATTGTTTACTTCGTTTGCCATCTTGGTGGGGAATCTGCATAGGAACTTTGTACCTAAATATCTACAGACAGACGAACATCTCAACAATCCTGAGGTTATGATGGCTTTTACGTAGGTTTACTTTATATTATGGGGAGGTAGGTGTGTGGAAACAAATGCTATCATGATTGGGTAGATGAATGAAACTTACTTGGTATTATGAAGGGTGGATGAGTGAAAACAAAGTTCCTGCACTCAAAAATGACTAAATTTTGGCTTGCAGTTTGACAATGACACTTGACATCCTGTTGTTCTGGATATCGACTGCGATGTTGTACTTTAAGCAGTGTCGGTTGTGCTGTCGTCTCGGGCTGTTCAGGTTCTGGCTATGGCTGGCGGCTTTGTTCTTCTTCGGGGGGATCTGTATGTATTATCCTATGCATTTGGCTCATCCTCAGTTGTCGCTAAACTGGTGCACTTTCGAACCTGGTACTCCGATCGGCGACTTTTTGAACGATGGTGTCATCTTTGGGGATTAGAATGGGACTGTTGATATTATAAGGTAATGGTACTGTTTCTACTATAAGGTGTTCGTCATACGCAGAGTACGGTATGAATTACGGTAGAAGTCTTGATTATATGGTACTACTTTTGGCACTATTATTGGTCTGTTAGTATTTGTCTATTGGTACAGGTCTTTTATTGTTACGCTACAAATGGTACTATTTTTTGTCTAACGGTGTTGATATAGTGCTGAAGTTGCTACTGTAACCCTAATATCTTATCGTATTTACTGCATTACAATAATGTCAGGGAAGTAATTGTAAAGTTTTAAAGACAGCCGGTGTTAAGCAAGGGCGTCTTCCTTTCAAAATAATGTATAATATTGTACTTTACTATGATTTCTATTGCTTTGGTCACAATTTAATTTAAATACTTTTATGTTACAGTATTCTTTAAAATTGTAATCTTTTTTACTTTAACGTTTTCTACAGTAATATACTGTAACTTTATTGTTTTTGGTGCTTTTAAAGCGGTGTTTTATTAATATCTTACAGTGTCTTGCCATGTTATGTAACAATAATGGCGTTTACAACTATATGTTGACATAGAGTTTTAATAAATTTTTACATATTAAATTTTAATTTTTTTTGAAATTTTATGATTTTCATTGTTTTATATAGAAGGTTGAGTTACGTTTCGCAGTGTATTTTCATTAGCTCAATCTTTTTAATACAATTTGATAACTTAAAAGAATCAATATTAGAGTCAAATTTAATACAGAGTACTTATACTGTAATAAATTTGCATAAAAGTTGTCACTATCATAAACATCTTGTCAGATTAACATTTGACTATATATATCTTGTAGAATTAGCATAACACACATACATATATATATGCACATACATGATGCATATAAAACGTATGCAAATTGAGAGGCTTAATGCCGCCGGCGGAAATAATGAAATTTGGGAAATCCCTTTTTCGAACCCAATTTCAGAAACTTTTGGTCCCGAATTTGCATAAACCGTTTTCATCCCAAGATACGACCATGTTGTGTTATGTTTGCACTCTTTGTTCGTTCCCAATTCAATTTCGCTACTTTTTAAGAGTGGTTGAAAGGAGTTGGGCGGGGTAGACTTGGTTTTGACATTTTTAATTTTAGTCTTTATTAAAATGGGACTTTTTATCGACCAGTCAATAAAATTTTATCAGCTTAGTGACTGGTCGATTTTAAATTCTTACTATACAAAACTAATTGATAAGAAATATAAGTAAAAGAAAAAATATAATAGGCTGTTCAAATAACTTAGTACCCCTTTAATATCAAATATTCGCTTTCAAAGTGGCTCAGAGTTTTATGAACAACCTAATATATTAAAGTAAGTGATAAGGAGTATTTTGTAATAATTTAACTAGTTTTACTTTACATATAGCCTAAAGATACGATTAACAAAAGGATATTGCAACTAATTTTAACATAAGATACCGGATATTGATATAGATCAGATGACAAATTTCATTTACACTATAAGAACATCAAAATCTTGTTGTTCATATCATTTTAAAGGGTGATCTTACTTGAATAAGAGATGAGAGATAGTTTACAGCTCAATATATTTTTGCCCAATAATTATTTTTGCTATCAAATTCTAGAAGAAGGTGTATAACCCATGTCTAGAATTTTATGTTCTTATCCTTGTTATTCCTGGACGCATGTTGTTGTTGCTAATTAAGCCTATTAAATGATAATTTAACCCGCTCTCGAGAAGCAGACTCTCGAGAGTTGTTCGAGAGTTTCGTGCGCAAAACTTTGTGATTTTAATTGAAATCAGAGATTAGAAGGATAATATATCGCTTTATGTTAATTTGGGTGGCTAAGGTAGGGGCGCGGGATATCTTATGTCATTTGCATACTTGTTTATTTAAGGCTGTTTTACTACGTAAAATATGTTTCTTTGTTTATTTTGGTGTTATACTATGTAAAGCTGAGCAAGTCTACGGATTTTACATTATATTATAGTAGGTGATACTATAGTATACTTTATTATAATAGTTGGTATCATAATGTAGTATATCGTAGTAGGTATTGATAGAATACAGTATATTAACAGTGCTATTATAATATTCTATATATAAACATCTTTAAGGTCACTTCCTTACTCTTAACCACTTCTAAATGACCATGAAGATACGATTGTAACTTTGTTCGAATTTGAGCTACTTACACTGTAATTACTGCGCTTCTTCGTATCTTACCGTTTGTTTGTTGCAGATTTAAAGATTTGTCGTATGTTTTTGAGGTTAAACCTTGTTGTCGTATTGTAAACAAATTCTTTTCGTAAATTTAAGTTTAAAGGAGGTAATGTTAGTGTTTTAGGTTTGAAAGTGAAATTACTGCTGACACACTACTGTGTAAAAAATGCATATAGAGGTAGTGTGAAATGAGGTTAATTACTATAGTTAAAAGGAGTTTACTGTGCTTAGTATAAGCCAAATATTGTCTTCTTTTTGAAATGTCTAGTGTAATATGTAAGACAACTTTGGACAAAAAATTATTTGAAATTGTTTTTTTAATTACTTTGATGCAAAAAGAATGGCGCGTTTATGTGTTGATACGAAAAGAATGGCGCGTTTCATAAATTATATTTTTTTACATTTACGTTACATATTATGTTACGACATACAATTTTAAAGTGCCGAAACCATAGTTTAGTAATAAAAACCGGCTGTCGCTAACCTTTGAAGGCAGTCGGTTTGCAGAGTTTTGTCCGCTTCATTAACTTTGAGTGCTAAAATATGCAAATTTGGCTGACCTTGCCGTTTCCACACCTTCAAAATGCCTGAGGCGGAAACTGGAAAAGGTCATTTTTATGACAAACTTTTGCTGTCGTATGTTCGTCGAGGTATTGTAGTGTATTTGGGTGGTATCGGGATAGTAGTGTCACTTTATATTCTTGGTATTAGGGTAGTACTGTCATTTTACAGTATATTTTTTTAAATGTATATTGTAAGCTCAAGGGATAAAGTAACTATTAGGTTGTTCAAATAATTATGTGCCTCTTTTCAGAGCAAATTTTACGGTTTAGGGAGCACATAAATATTTGAACGACCTTACTATAATATGAGGGGTATTATAAAGTATATCTTGTCATATATATCTACTATATACGTTCCGTATGTTCGTATATATATAAAGTAACAATGACTTGACTCTTTATGCTTAATTAGCGTCGTATTTGTTTGTTGTTGACTGAAAAAAAACATGTTGGTATCTTGTGCGGCCTTGACTCGGGATTAGCTCCGGAAGGCTATTGGCTTCGTTTTGTCGCTGAATGTAACGGCTCAACATGGATAGTTATTTGACATAGCTAACGACATTTAACTGAGTAAAGGGTAACTTAACTATTTACATCATTTTATAGTAGAGAAGAATATCATGGTTTACATGATGTTGCTACGATACTTAACTGTCTGGTAGGGTAATATAAGCATATTATCTTATAGTAAAGTAGTATATTTCAGCTTTTATATCATGTTACTATGTGGGTTTTACTATGAATAAAGGTTATATTTGGTTTTTTAGCAAGTAAAACGTCTTTTTTTATTATTACTATAGTATAAAACCGTGTCTTGGCGTTATTACAACTATAAATCATGGTATATTTGTTATGGTTATGTACATGTATACCCAATGCGTGTATATGTATATTTATTGTTTATGTGGATTGGTAAAACGGATGTATTAGGTTCTTCACCTAATTCTGTGCTCTCCTCTCAAAGCAACTTGTTGAAGTTAGGGTGCACAGAATTATTTGAACAACTTAATATATGGTATCGTATCTTGAAATTACTATATTAACATTGTACTTGATTTCACCATAATACGTTATTTTTACTATGCACACATGACACAAAAGTCATTTTAGCATCGAATTTATGTCATCTATGACATTTTTTTTGTAAAATACGTTTTTTTCTGAGGACATTACAGTCATCTCCTACCAAACTCGAAAGACATTTTAATTTGGACGACATTTCGGCCTTAAGGGCCTCTTTAATTGTTTTTTTTACTCAAGGCTAATGCGCCTTAGGGCATCGTATTATACTCGCCAATGTTTCTCTTCCAACTTTTTATACCAACTCCAGTTCGAGTTCATGGATAATATTTTTTCATTTTGGGTAGGAATTCATTTTTAACTTTAATTTTAAAAAATTAAAATTTTCTTCTTTTTGGTCTTGTTTTATGTAAAATACGTTTCCAATTTTTGGCGTATAATACCTTTATATTCGGTTTGTAGGCATAACTACTTCTTTAGCAAGGATTTTTTCAGCTGTACCATTTATTGCATTATAGTAAACTTAATTTTGTTACTGTCCTAGTAATATTTGTCGTCTAAAACTGTTATTACTGTGGTATGTCATTACATTACAAAGTGTAAGGTCATATAATCCTCTGCTCCCTATCAATGCCAATTTTTTTTGACAAGGGGCACAGAATTATTTGAACTACTTGATAATATTAATCTGAGTTTTCTTAAGTTAAAAAACTATAAATTACTATTACTTTACATTGTAAAGTAATATAAATCAGTGTTTTTTTAGAGTAGTATAACAAGATGTATGTGCATAATCTATGTTATTTCCCACGAGAAAAGTGACACGACATAACATTATGTATACATGTTTGGAAGTGGATGTTTACATTCATAAACATATACAACTTTGATGGATTGCTATCTTTTGACATCATTGTACTGGGTTTTGTCAAAAATTTTCAGTTTTTTGAAATTTTTTTAACTTTGGTCATCTACATTTACGTGTCGCGAACGCTGTAAGATATAGATTTATAGATTTACATTTGATACGAGTTTTGTCACCAAACGTTTTTTTTTCAAAATTTAAATAATTGATCTTGTTGCAGTGAATGCAGAGGACGGGGCTGACCTGGATCGGCTACTGGTGGGTGATCCTGTCCGGCCTGTCTTCGCTATGTCTTCTGTCCGGCTTCTACGTTCCTCATTGGATTATTGGTCAGATCTCACTGAATGGCAGATTCTACACAGTCTACTTGAGCGCCTTCAGAAGATGCAACTTTCCTGTCTTTGATCAGGTATGGTCTTATTTATGTTAACATAGGCATAATTTAGATATAATTTATTGTTTTTTTATAATGTGCAGGCTAGTTTGGCCGAGGCATGGGTTAGGAAAGGTTAGGAATTGCTAATCGAGACTATTTTTTTATCATAGCCAATGTTAACACCTACTACAATATAACTATAAGACTGTAAAGCCTTAAAAACTAATTCCAGGAGCTCCTCCAATTCCGCATAGTCAACGAATGTGGCACCTACGAAGATCTAGCCCACATTCCTTCCATCTACTGGCAGTTCAGTATGTTAACCATGGCTTGTGCTTCCTTTTTGTCGCTTCTCCTCATGTTCATTCTGATCCCAGCTTGTTGTTTGGACAATATCCTCAACAAACAGACGGCTGTCTTGATTGGACTGGTTCAGGTCATGTCAGGTAGGGTTCACATTGTTTTAAAATGGCAGTTTTAAAAGTATTAGGTTGTTCAAATAATTCTGAGCTCCTCTCAAAGCTAATTTTTGGGGTTAGGGAGAACAGGATTAAGTAAACGGCCAAATATTAGTAAAGCTTATAAAATTTAACAAAAATAATGAATTTCAAATTAAGATTGACGTATTTCAGCGGTGTCAATCAGCGTCGGCTGTATCCTGTTTCCGATGGGCTGGGACACTCAAGAAGTCCGCGATTCATGTGGTACCAACGCTGATAAGTTTCTACTAGGTAAGGTTGGTATTGTGAATGATAACTACGTTTTTTCTTGTAAAATTACATCAATTTCCCTACACCTACTGATATTTGAGTATTTTAAAAATAATTTTCGGTAAAAAGCTTTTGCGTGTCGAGTCTTCTCTTTTTTGGTCAAGTGTTTTTTGTTATTGTCCCAAATGTTTTTTATGTGTAAAGTGGTGAAACATCACAGGTTTTAAAAATTCCGTTGATTAAAATGTTCAAAAAATAATAATTAATTGTTTTACATGAGCAGATTTTCAAAAAACTATTTTTTGACACCTTTATTCATAAAAGTCTGATGTATATGAATTTGATTTTGAAGGTTAGTGCTAGTCTAAAAGAGGAGGGTGATAAATATTTTACAAGTTTACTTTTAATAACTAAATTTTCGATTTACATTATCCATCACACCTTCAGGCGACTGTGAACTTGGCTGGGCCTATATAATCCTACTGGTTGGAGCAGGCCTTATGTTAGTATGTGGAGCTTTATCAGTGTGTGGAGCTCGGTCATTCCGACAAAAATCATGGTACAATAACCAAGATGCTATCCTACAGCCTTGTCGTCAACTAAAGCGCGACAGTTTCGATGCTCAAGCCTTGATCAACAACAATCTATTTATCGAGGATCGACCGGTCGGTTCCGTTCATTCACATTTGGTGCGGCATTCACGGCAAAGTGATTTGATATAATCATTTTTATGGTTTTTACTATGACTACTTTTACATGACTTATTTTATTGTTTTAGTTTGTCGTATATTAACTTTGATATACCTATGTTTATACTGTTATATTTACTACAATGTCTTTCCTATCATAATACGGGTCTAAAATACGGGTTTTGAAATAAAGTTTTATTGATTTTGTGAATTATATATATTTTAAACTGTTTTATATTATGAGCGTCAAAAGTTTTTGGGCGATCTTTGATGACTGCACGGTGCAACCATTTTAAGAGCTGCACGGTGCAGTAAATTGATAAGCCAGAAATGACATTCTTTATTAACTATTACAGGGTAAAAAGGATATTTTAAAAGTAGTCTTGAGAAGCTTTTTAATTTTCATAATACCGGTTAAAAAGTAACTAGAAAAAGGAAAACAAAGCTTTAAAAACAGAAAAAGTCGTTTCCATAAACTTTTTGACCGCAATAATATACTTTTTTTAAATTTTGTAATACATTTTTAAATTTATAGTTATGTCCTGCCATATACGACTTGATGTGGCCATAAATTATGAAAGAACTTACTATAACGTAGACTTCCTGCTGGGACTCAAATGGCAGCCGGCTGGCTGCTTTTGAATGTATTCAAACTTGTTTTAACACTACTAAAATTACCTTTCAATACTATATTTTTATAATGCTACTGTTGAAAATTTTATGAATCAAAATTTGTACTATAATCTAACAAAGTGTTCCATTTTGATTAGTTCAATGTATCATACTATCTATAAACTGTACCATAGACTAAAATATTATAATCTAAATTAAAATAATGTATACTAAATTAAATTTGAATTTAAATGGCTTGTTTTTCAATTTAGTGGTACTATTACTACTGTGTAGTACAGTCAATGGTCTAGAATGTTACTTTTGTCGCCATTCGTTGCGCAACAAAGATGTTAGTGAACAAATCGATCAGAACCCGGAATGTATGAGCTTCGAGATGTTCTCACTTCAGAACTTCTCTAGAAGAGGCTGTAGCAGTCGAGAGGCATACTGTGTGGTAGGTTGAGGTCATGGGTAATATGATACAGTAAACTAGAAGATAATATATAGTAGACATCTCTTGTTATAGGAAACACTTTGTACATAATCTAACATATCTATTGTAACTAGACCTGTAAAGGGCAGAGAGCCGTTTAAACAAGTCAAATCTTTCGCTGCGAGACCTAAGATGGGACTCTAAAGCCTTAGTTTAGACCAGGCCCTCGGGCTTATCAGTGCCGGCCCGACTCATACCGGCCCAAGCCTAGATTTTAATCATATGTTCTACAAGCTTCTTGACCTCATCCCCTTTCAGTCGCGCGTAGTCAACCTGAATGGTTATTTCCTGGAGGTAGCTCGAGACTGCGACGAGAACTGTAAGCCGATGTGTACAGAGACTGGCTACGGCCTCGGCTACACAGAATGCACACGATGTTGTACTTCTGACCTCTGTAACAACTTTGATGGCAGAGACTACTTCCTCCCCAATATGGTATCCTCACTTGTCTGTGGGGTTACTGTAATTTGGGTTTTGTTGATTTTGAATTTATAAATGTTTGTCATGATCTTAGTCGGTCGAAAAGTAAATAGACAGGTATTTTTGATGGTCAAAAGGTTCCTAAAATATTTGTTTCGTATTTATCTTAACATTATCAATTTAACTTTCCAAAATTTATCCAAAAAGTTACAGTATACAGTAAAAGTTATAAAATACAGTATGACATACTACAGTATGTCATTTACAAAAACAAGATCAAAACACTGGCTGTAAGGTTAATCGGAGCACAATCAAGCAATGTTATCGGTGAGCAATATCAACTGGTCGATAACCAATAATCGACCAATCAAAACAATCGACCAGTCGATAACTAATACAGCCGACTGGCCACCTTGGAGTAGTAGGTAGGTCGAGTAGCGTACCGTGAAGAGTAGGATCCGTAGTTGCTCGAGGCTGTCGCCGAACTCACATTCAGGTCACGGTCTCGTCGTGAAGAAGCGGTGGTGGGAGAGAGCCAGTACTTGGACAAAGTGCCTACGGTCATGTACTTGTTCTTGTACATGTCTACTGCGTCGTCTTGTCCCATGTATCTGCAAAATAATGATGTAAAGTCAAAAGAAATAGATTTAAAGCTAGTTTTTGATTGCAAATATTACCTAAAAATATAGGTTTTTCTATACTTTTTGTATTTTACTCACCTCACATAACTCCTCACTGGTGCCAATGGTCGTTCAGGTCGCGATGGGGGTGGCCGTTGGAAGAGTCCAGTGTTATATGCATTCAACTTGCCCTCCAGCCATCTCTTCGTACCTGTGTCTTTGATACCGTACACTGAAGGGTTTTTCTACAATTTCATGTTACAGTAAGTATACTTTTTCAAAAAAAGCTGATAAAAATGGCTATTTGAATACTTTAAAGATTCTTTCTGGTAATTTTGAACAACGTATTTTACAAAACATACCAATTCAGTCTGTGTTTTGACTGAGAGAGCAGTGTCAGTGTTACCGTAAGAGTATCTGACATATGGGTATTTGTCTGAGTAATGTGGGGTAGATCGCTGAACACCGACGTTCGAGAAGGGAGGGGTTCTGTCCAAAGCAGAGGCACTTAGAGATCGACCAAACAGATTTGAACCTAAAATAATACTGCTTATATAAAACATAAATCAACCGTATCTTACTATAGTAAAATTCTCAAGAGCTTTAAATTAATGTATCAAGTTGGCCACTTTAGCCACAAAAATTCGCAATAAAACCACTAAAATTGATAAATGTAGACAAATTATGCTATTCTAGACATCAAAACGAAAAAAAAGTGCTCAGAAGTAAAGGTTCCTCAAGGGTATTCAGAATTACGTCCTTGCATTTTAAATTCATCGCACACAGCGGGAGTCGAACCCCATCGGAATGGGAGAAACGCTCACTACCAGTTTGACCAAAAGGGCACGGCGCTCGCTTTTCTTCTTTCCCGGCCAAAAGAAAACGAGAAAAGAATGGTCTTTCGTAATAATTTTTAGAGGTAAAATACGCGGGCAAATAAACGAAATGATAATTTTTTAAAACTAAAAAATAAAAAACAAAATAATATACGCTCAAATAAAAAAAACTGAAAATGACAGAATATATATTAAATAAAAATGCCAAATAACATGAAAAAAATTTCCTTTTTTAAGAAAAAATTACAAAAAAATTTTAAAAAAATTATTCTTACCTGACCGAGTCATTGACCGTGACATAAAACCTCCACCATAACCATAACTGGGTCGGGTAAAACCTCCTGAGCTAGCTGCTGTGAATGATTGAGCTCTATAACATCAGTTCTAATATAAGCTTACATATATTTTACTCCTATTATCAGTAAATCAAAGAAATATATATATATTTTACTCTTATTATCAGTAAATTATAAAAATTTAAAAAAAATACCTAACCAAACTTCTGTTGTCATAACCATAGCCACCGAGATAACTGCTCCCGCGGTTCGTGCTGCATGACCGTGACCTGACCATAGGTGACACCTGATGGTAACTGGGAGTCATGTACAGGGACGACATAATTGTCGAGTTTTAACCTTTAATTAAGACAAAACATTAAATTTAAAACAAGTCAAACGATTAAAGTGTTTTAACATGTCGATTTCGAGTTCAAATGGCATCTATAAAAAGCAATATGGCATGTTTTTATAAAAAAATTTAAAACGTAAAGAAAAAGGGCTTTAAACTGCAATTTTTTCATTTTAGAATATAAAGGAATCTTTAAAATGTTAAAATATGTTACCATTAGTATTAAAAAATAATTTTAAAAACAGTTTGTACATAGGTATACCTTTTAAAAACCAAAAACGAGCTAAAACTGTACGATTAAACAACGCTTTTCCTTCAATTTTACAAAAAACAGTAAAAAAATGTAAAATCCGCTACAATAATCCCCGATATTACATCAGCAAAAACATTTTGTTGATTGTAAACAGCGAAAAATAAAAAAAAATAATTCTCCGTCTCAATCCTTGGCCATTATTCGAATAATTTCGGGCCGAAAGAACCAGTTGCTTTCCGATCGCTTTGCCCTCAAGGCAAAAGCCATTTTTGTGGAGGCGGATGTCCCTGAAGAACTTTTCGTTTCGGAACAAAAGAGTTCACTGTTCTTCAAACAACAATCACACTAAAAGTGGGGAGTGTAAAATATGTTGTTGGTCTGAAATTTATTTAAATTTTTTGTGATAATTATCTTAAGCTACCATGATAAGTTTAAAAAAGTGATTTCTTTCAATTTTACATTCAAAAAATCAATTTTAAAGCTGTCTTTGTATTAATTTATTCAATTTTTCAGTCTACTACAATATTATACACTAAACAAGATTTAGAGATCCAAAAAATACGTTACCAAAGTGACAAATCGTATTCACCGTGCCTTTTTATATGTCAGACCTTAATGATACAGGGGTGAGAGCCCCCTCCCTCCCACAAGAATAAAATTACAAGCCTTTATAATACCCAGTACAGTAGCCTCAAAAAGCCATTAAATTACAGTACCCTCAAGGAAAGAGTGTCCTTCTGGCAGGCGGAGAAGCCTCGCCTTCTGCAAATCTTCTTCGCTTCCGAGTACCGTAGGCCATGGCATTGTCGCTTTTAGGTACAGGGAGTTGATCATCATTGCAGGCAAACGGTTCTTCCCTAAAGTACAATGAATTCAGAGCTTCTGTCGCTGTTAATCGCTTCAAAGGATCGAATCTGAGGCACCCTCGCATCAATTCTAGTAGGTTATCTGAAGCTGCAGTGAAAAGTCCACGAAGATCTACTGGATTCGGTAGCGATGGTCGAACTTCGATGAAGTCTGGCAAAGACTTTCTTTTCTGAAAATAATTTTGTTACTTAAAACTATTAGCTCAAGCACAATCTCAACATAAAATCTTTATAAAATAATAAAGTACTACTTACCGGCCAATCCTCATCAATAGGAGCCCCTAGTACCGTGAAGATCTTGACCAACTGGTCGAGGTCGCTTTCTCCTTGAAACAAGGGTACCCTTAGTAACAGTTCAGCGATGATACACCCAACTGCCCATATATCCACGCCCACTCCATAAGCCCGCGCACCATACAGTAGTTCGGGACATCGGTACCATCTTGTCACAACTTGGTGAGTGTATTCTCTAGTCGGTGATCCAAAGAATCTAGCCAAACCAAAATCAGTCACTTTCATTCGACCGGCTGAGTTTATCAACAGGTTATTCGGCTTCAAATCCTGAAGATAGTCATCATAATATAATAGGGTAAAAAAATATTTAAATATAAACTTAAACTTAAAAAATGTCATACCCTGTGTAGAATAAAGTGCATGTGAAGATACTCTACGCCCAAACACATCTGCATGACCATGTTCTTGACGTGAGATCCCATCAGAATGACAGACGAGTTCTTCAGAAGCTGTTCCAGATCAGTTTCCATAAAGTCAAACACTAATTGGATGTTATTCTTCCGCCCAAACACGTCTCTCAACTAAATAATAATTATTAATCGCAAAACACATTAATTTAATATGGTTTAATTACAAATAAATTGGCAACTATGCGATAAATACGCTCATAAAACAAAGTAGCGTACCGTAATAATGTTCTCGTGCCTCAACTCCTGTAGCAATTTGATCTCCCTTAAGGCAGTTCTGTTCACTCCGTCTCGGACTTCTTCTCGACCACCTAATTTAATCTGAAATTACAAGTTTTTACAAATTGTACCAAAAAAGCCTGTTGAATAAAGATTCATCCTAACATTATCGATTAAAACGTTTTGAAGTACAAATATGCCAAAGCATTACCTTTTTAATAGCTACAAAGTCATCAGTCTCCAAGTCTTTGGCCAAGTACACATTAGCGAATTGACCTTCACCAAGATGTTTCAAACTTTCGTACCGATCTTTGCCAGCCAACTTTGTTGTCATCTAAAACGACTTCATTCTACAACGTTCTTTTAACCTGATACATGTCAATATATGTAATATATAGGTAACTAATTAGTTATTAATTAAATAAGAAGATAACCCCGCCGTTGCAACAAGTATACCAACTGTAACATACAAAATCGGCGATACCTCCAAAATCTCAAAAATAAAATTGTATTTGTGAGAATTAACAGCAACAACAACAAAGAACGATAAACAATAACAATTCAAATAGCAAAACTCTTGAGCGGATCGTTCGACCGCTTCTTGAAGTTCTTAGCGTGCTTATTCTGATTCTGTTTCCGCTTTCTTCTGATCGGTTCGAACTCTGGTTCTGTGTAGTCTCGGCCTTTTAGTGCTTTTGGTACCATGTAGTCGGCGACATCAGCGATTCCAGTAGAATGTAAGTTGAGGACGAACATCTTTCTGTCGTTCTCCAAAGCCGACCGTTCTCGAGGATTCTTGGCAAAGTAGGCTTCTAGACGACGTGACGCCAATAGTTCACGTTTGATTTCATCCAGACGCACTTCTCGGATCACGGTTTTAGTAATGGCACTTAAAACTTCCTAAAATTATCAATTTAAGACTTTTTAGTTGTAATTATGACCAAGAATAATATTTAAACATGCTTTTAGCTCAACCTGCTTTAGCTCACAACAACGCCTTTTATCTGAATTAGAAATAAAATACGTTGCAAAACTTACCCTGGATCTAATTAAAAAGCTGTCAAAGTCGTCCATTCTCACCTCGTATGGCATTATCACCTCTTCTCCAACTAAAACAACATATATTACTTCATTACATCTTAAAATCTAAATTCAAATATAAAATTCAATTAAAATACTCACCTTGTTCATTGATTTCGTCCCTTACACTTTCAAATGTCTTCTTTTCATTTTCAGCGACAAATGATATCGCTGTTCCTTTGTTGAATCCTCTGGCCGTCCTACAACAATATTTTTATGAAAAACTATCATTGCTATTTAAAACTATAACCCAAAGATCCCAAGGAATCAAAAAATTATCTTACCTTCCAACTCTGTGAATGTAATTGTCCAAGTTCCAAGGAAAGTCAAAGTTGATGACATTTGACACGAAATGAAAGTCGATTCCTCGAGAAACTCCAGATTCCTTGTCGTGCTTGATTCTCTGCTTCTTCTTCTTTTTCTTCGGCTCTTCTTCTTCCCCTTCTCCTACGTCTTTCATCTCTGAAGCGATAATATACTTGTACTTTCCTTCATTGAACTCGTTGATAACATGTGACCGAGAGTTGGCAGGCATCTGAGAATTCAAGACACAAGACTTAATTTTGAATCCTTGCAAGAACAAATGTAACCTGAAATTATTATTTTGCATTTTACGTTTCATGAATAGTTTTATGTCATATTTAGGTAACTACATCGCTTTTATTAAAACGTGTTTAGCAAAAATTTAGCGTTTATATAAATATGTCATAGTTACAATAAAACAAACTTACTTATAACATCGGTCAATAGAAGAAACAAAGAAGATAGCTTTCCCAGCTAATAACTTTAGTTTAATCAGTGATACCAAAATAGTGAACCGTTCTTCATCGTTGTTACAGAAAATCGAGTATTGTGTCAGCTGATCTGTACCTGGTAGATTACCTTCCTTCAACATAACAGACGCCAACGTGCCAGTAACAAACAGCTTCTTGATGTCAGTCATGTCTTCTTCAATCGTAGCTGAAGTCATAATCACTTGAAACTTCTTTGGAAGATGCTCCTTTAGTTCCCTGAAAACAGAAATATAATACCTGTATATGCTTTACTTCATTTCATACATAAAGATAAGAAACCTCTTATAAATTTTGTAAAAATCAAAGATTATATTATTATATATAAACTTACACCAATTCTTCTTTATAACCATAACTAAACAACAAATCAGCTTCATCCAATACAACTGTGTTAATCTTCTTCAACAAGTCCTCCTTCTTCTTTATCAATTCCAATATCCTTCCTGGAGTGCCAAACAAAAAGTCGACGTTAGACTGAAGAAGCACATCCTCTCCAGCGCTTTCATTCTCTGACAAATTAACAGCTTGTAAAAATGGAAAACGTAAAGTCAAAGATGTATTTAGTTTGAAAAGTTGTGTTGCAAGCTCTTTTGTTGGTGCCACGATCAACGTTGTCAATTCTCCTTCATCTCCCTAAATTTAAAGATATAATTGGTCTACCATCATATAACACTTACATTCTTATCCGTATTAGCCAAAACCTTCTGAATTATAGGTAGCAGAAAAGCTGCTGACTTTCCACTCCCAGTACGAGCTCTGGCTATAATATTTTTGCCTTCCAAAGCCATCGGAATCAAAGTTTCTTGGATCTGAGTCGGTTTCTTCCATTGTTGATCTCGAATAGCCTAGAACAACATGATAAATTTAATATAACTCTTACCTGTAGGAGCCGATCATCCAATTCAAAATCGTCAAATGTCGAACTCCGTTTAATTGTCGACATTTTAAGGTTTTTGCAAAAGTATCAAATTATCAAAAATTTTTTACTAAAAATAATATTTAGAATGGTCCTCACACGAAAACAATAACCTGCTAAAATTGTTTGGCATTACGCTATTTATAAAAATTATAATAATTTTTGAAAAAGATGGTAACTTCTTTCCGTAAAGTAGTTGTTTTAGAACGACACTTACATAAAAATGTGAGTGGCAGTAAGATAAGGCAATATTCAAATTTTCTACATGAATCTGCACCTGGAACCCCGTTTTTAGGGCCTATTTCTGCAGAAAAACAAGAAAAGTTGGTGGAAAACTTGCGGAATCTGTATCGAATTAATGGCTATAAGGAAATTATGACTCCAACCTTATTGAGAGTGGACATATTGAAACGTTTTGGAAGAGAAAGACTTGACGAGGATATAGTGTGAGTTGATTTACATTAGTTATTTGTATTTTTAGTGTTAACTCTGAAAAGCAAGGATTTGCTCTAAAGTCTTGTGGGAGGATACCTGCTGGCATTGCGTTTGATTCAAAACCTATTTCACATCGTTTCCTCCCCGTACGATTTGTGGACTTTGGAGTTTTGCACAAGTAAGTGATAGTTAGAGTGTTAACTATGTTATCATTGATATTTTTGTGTTTGCGACGATTTATTTGAGCTACGATTAATAGTTTTACTAAATGTTGTGTCTTTAGGCAACTCCATGGCTCACCGACGACCTTTAAACGTTGGCATCAAGACGAGGCATCTGTTTTCTGTAAACCATCGCAAGTTGAAGAAGAACTCTCACAAATTTCGCTATTTACTGCTAAAATTTTGAGGAATTTCAAATTAGATGTGGTGTTTCAAGTGGTCAATAACCAGTATTTTGGAAAAATAGTTGAAGGTTTAAAGAAACTTGATGTAAAATACGAAATTGATGCCGATTCGAGTGGAGAAACGATTTTAAAGTGTTATACAAAGCTGGATAATGGTGAATATTGGAGCGGGGCTAGTGTTAAATTAGACGAAACGACGCCTAAAGTCATGGATTTAAGTTATAATGAGTAAGTTTTTTGTGTATCGTAAATTTTGACGCTTTATCGTATAAACAAAGCAAAATTATGTTTTTCAGAGGGAACGCAGTAAAAACGACACCGATCTTGATCTCTCATTCCGCGATTGGGCCTTTTGATGACTTTTTGAAGTTGAAACTGTAGGAATAAAGTAAACTTAATGAATGGCTGATATTTATTAAAAAGCAAATATTTTGTTATGTTTATCGTTGTTCACGTCACGCTACACCAGCGATGTTCAGGTACCAGGGTTTGGGACGACGAAGTAATCTTTCCACTCGGAGGGGATATCGCAGCATCTGAAATGATTATATTATTATAAGTATGATGTTTTTGGGCATAGTTAGGATTAGAATTTTAGTATTGTAGTACAGTTAAAGCTACAGTAATTTAATTTTTATGTTACAGTAAACCTTTTTTTAAAATTATTAGGCCGGACCTACTATTTGACCTTTATACTTCCAATTTATCATACACTTTACATTAATTTTCACGTAAGAAATGTTGTAAAAGTAGATTTACAGTGTAAAGTAGAACAAGAGTGTAAACACAAGTATTAGATTACAACTTAAGATAGGTTACCACTAGCTCATGATACAATTACTTGAGGGTTCTGAGTAAGAAAACAGATGTAACATCACTTAAACACGCAATAACTGTTTGCATTACTCAGTAAATCCTAATTGGATTACTGTAATTACTTCGTGGTAGTACTGTTTTAATTTTTTGAGGTTGATATTGCGGGGGTTAATTTAATTTATTGTATATAGTGTAGTTATTATTGTAATGCCTATAGCTTGTAATGCCTATAGAATTTTTAAACATACTATTTTAAGTTTAAAAGGCTATGTTAACATACGATTATGTTGATATGACTATATTAAGACTTTGCACAAATATAATATAGTAACATAGCTGAAGGAACTTAACATTATTAAGGCTATAGTGATGCAATTAAAGTACGTCTTTTAGCACTATACTATTTAGTATAATTGTATTACTACTGTAACACTATTTGCAGTAATTTTCTTATGTTAGGTTATGTACTATGACTATTTTATCTAATAATACGGTAAACTTTGTGGTAAACATGCGTTTTAGGCTTAACGTAGTACGTCTTTTACTATAACTATATTACTTAAGAAATCTTATTTGACTATCCTAAAATAGTAATTGCTATATATATTACTGTAAAACTGTTTACTGTCTAGTATGTTGAGGTACAACAATTCACAGTAAATAGTATGTTAACATAATAAAATTACAGCAATGTCAATTACGGTACTCATCGTATGTTAGAAACAAACTACGTTGACGTATCTTGTCTTTATGACGAGATAGTAACATATTTATCTTTACGTAGTGACACTGATAGTGACATTATCGAGAAATGTTAGAATACGAGAGTATGGTATGTTTACAATTGACCACGTTTTGCGTGATAACACATTGTGCAGACATGACTTAAAAAAAGTTAACTTCCATTTATCTGGAAGATTTACTGCGATGAAAACACATACGAAACACGTGTTCAAGGTAACAAACGTGGTATTTTAGAATAGAAGTTATATGGGTGACCTATTAGGTTTAACATAAAGAATAGTTAATATACCAAGATGTTACTGATGGTATTATCCTAAAAAATTTAATATTCAAACGAATTTTGTAAAGTTGTGCAAATACGATATGTTTTACTATGCAAACCCACGGTACATGTCAGCGTATAATCTACCTTATTTTAACATACGAAGATCCTAACATACGTCAGCAGTCGACAATAGATTACAACTTGTTTTTGGCCTTAATTCACAGGAAGAGGCAGATTTAAAGTGGATTTAAACAAAGTTCATTAATTAATTATTATTTTTGTTTCCAAACGCTACGTAACAGATTAAGATACGACGCTTTCAAAGAAAATGTTGATCGCTACGGTAAGCACCAAGTTACAATGGAAGTGGTCAATTTTGAAACAGTAATTAAGTCGTCTTAAAGTTTATGACTAAAGACGTTACGATCTGGCACGAAAGGTTACAGTAATGTACGTTAAAGGTAGAGTAACATATGTAAAAGCTACCGTAACACACCAAATGTTACAGTATTTTACTTTAAACGTACAGTATTGTATGTAACAGCTACAGTAATCTACCAACTGGTACATTAATTTCTTCTAAAGATACTGTACTATAAAGCTACAGTAACCTGATCAAAAGGTACATTAACTCACATACCACAACTTATATTAAGATACACAACTATGTTTACCTATTAGTTTGTCTAAATAATTCTGTGCCCTTCGTAAAGCAAAATTCGGAAAATAGGGGCACAGAATTATTTGAACAGCTCAATATTTAACTTTCTCTCAGCAAGAGTGATCAACCTACTTCAGGTTCGTAGTTATCGTTGAACTCTAGTGTTATTACAGCTTCAGATACGATGGATAGTAGCATTACTATTAGCAGAATGTAAAATAAGCAAAGCCGTCGCATCAACATGTTACCCTGAAATTACTGTACTTGTCTTTATTAACTGCAAGATATTAACATACCACGTGACATTGTTTACTTATACACGATGTAGACAAGACGCGAACGCGAGAAAATATGATAGGTGCTACAGTAAGTACGGTACAAATGTAAGAAAACGTGCTAGATGCTACAGTAAAGTAAGATGCAACTGTAAAGTAAGGTACGAAAGTAACACAAAATTCCATGTACGATGGTAAAGCAAGATACGATTTTAAGACGGTGTACAATTGACAGACACAGGCATGACACAATTATATGGCAATATATATTGTAAAATGTTAATTAAAGCATGGTATTTTGAGCCATGACTAATTACAATGAATGTATATTAGCGTATGTCATCAGAGAACATTTTGTATATAGCCAAGTTAAAACAATGTTATAATAGTAAATCGGCAACACATCTACATACATTTTCGTATTTACACTATTAAACTACCATGTTGCAAGATTATATTGGAATTACAGTAATTCAATACGTTGCAATGTGAGTAGATACAATGTAGTCTAAATAGTTGCCACTACATGTACATGTTATACATATGTAGTGCAATCACCTTTCAAAACACATTTCTTTACATCAGCACGCTATAGTATTTTAAAACATAAGGAAGACTGTCTACTCTGTAAACGTGTCAAAACATTGCTCAGTATAATAGGAAGAAGCTCTAAAGCTTTGAGATTTCAGAAATTATAGCAAATTTTAAAACTAAAGATAGAGAAAGAATATTATAGTAGATTATATACAACTATATATATATTTATCTATATATAACTGTATATATGCTTGTATTATTCATTGATGAGCAAATATACCACGGTAAAAACAATTTTATTTTGAAAAAAACAAATTTACGATTTCTAAATTTGCGGATTGCCATTTTGCACTGTGCAATTCATCATATGATGATGAATATGTTAAACTAGAGAAGACCTGTCTACTATAATATAAGTGTTTATAAAATAAGTATCATAGTTAGTCAAAAAGTAAATAGAAAAATGGCAAAAATTAAAAATTTTATAAAATTTTTTTACATATGTAATACTCTAAACGTATTATTACAAGCGTTTGGTAAATTATAATAAAGAAATGCGTAGTAATTTATGTTAGTCATCAACTTTTAAATAAAAACGCAAAAAAGTTTTAAATTTTTGAAAATCAGGCCATTTTGACTTCAAAAATTTTTAGTCTTTCAATTACCTATAAATACCCTCAGTCTACCACCTTTTCTTTTAAGATACGACCAAAATACCAAAGTTACGTCGCTTAAACCCGTCCGTTAGCTCCGCCCCAAAATCGTGTAAAATTTGAAAATTAAATTATGAAATGGAATGTAGCACAATTCTACATGACAGTTCAACATGTAATCCGATCAGGAGACAAAGTCGATAATACGAAACATGATGTTATGGTAAGGCGATAAATGTGTAAATGTACAAGGCTTATTGTTTGGTCATTTCAACTTGTATGTCTACATTCAGAGGAACGAATAAAGATAGGTGAAGTAGCTACAAATTATTTTATGTTATCACCTACTGCAGTAAAATTAAAAAAGTTATTACAATTAAACCAACATGTAAGGGTCTAGCTTTACTGTGCTTAAAGTATTGCTTTTTACAGTAATCTCTCGATATATTGAGCCATCTGTATAAGCAAATCTCCTTGTATAAGAAAAAAATATGGTCTCGCCAATTGGCACTAAAAATCACTATATAAAGACGACATTCCCTATAGCAAACGCAAAATGTCGGTCTCTTCTGGTTGCTTATATGGAGAGAATACTGTATATTTAAAATTATCGTAAACTCAACTTCTGTGAATTTCCCCATACTAACTAAATAACTGTAATCCGGTTCAAAATGTAGCTCTTTGCCGTCATTGTTTCAGAAAAATGTAATCAGATTTCAAGGTATGTAACATGTTTCTTTTTACTCTAATAAACTTTAAATCTACGTTCTTAATAACTTAATTACAAGTTAAAAAGTACAGTTTTAAGCATATAATCATAAACTAATTATGATTTATTAGACAACTTTAATACATCCTTTTAAATGAATTAAAGCAATTTGAAGCTTAATATTCATAGTTCTAAGACTAAAACATTAAAAGTAGAAGTAAACCAATATATTAAAAGTACCAAAGAGCACAAAAAGTCGTTGATACATTAAGAATAAAATTCACATTAATATAATACCTTCTTAGTACGGTGATATAGTTCGATTTTTAATAATCAAGATAAGTATTGTATCTTAATGCGATCGTATCACTAATACATAGAAAACATTCTTAAATTTACATTTTACTACTGTTATATTCTATTTACAATGTACAAGTAATACGGTAACTATCTCTTCGTATTGCGCCGACAACCATATCACATTGTCTGTCATATGATACCCTAGCTATAAAACAGGTATAAAACTTCTTTAAATTACTTGGTACAACAACCCTCTCCCCTCTTTCCCCTTAAATATTTATAAATACTTTCCTATTACTAACACAAATCAGATTACAGTAACACAATCGGGTTCTCGGTAAACAACACGTGGGCATTGTACTCCTTAAACTAATATACTCTTGTATAATACATAACTTCATTACCGCGGTACCAAAAAGTTATTACATTATGTCGTATAGTATGGTTACCGTACTAAAAATTACCTTTTATTAGTAGTGAAAATAGTACTAATCATTAGTACCGTAAAAATTGATTCTATAGTTAAACACTTGTGCTGTGATCATGTAGATGTACGTAAATACCTTTACTATGAAGTTATACGTATGTCATTACAGAAACCTTTATCTTATGTTACAGTAACTCTTTAAAATTAATAAACTCTGCAGTAAAATGCCACCCAATGTACTATAATCAAAAACTTTGTTTTAAAGCCTCTAAGAAATGCAATTTAAAAATGCCACACCCTTATACGTATACCCGCAAGAATGTGGTGGCATTACCATTAGTATAAATATAAAGCCGTGCTATGTTTATATCTTAGCCAAAGTTGTTTTAATCCCGATTACTCGAGAAAGTAAGGTTACTACGTTGTTTGTCGCATTAAAATGTCACAACAACGTAGCAGATTACAGGCGGATTTACTACGGTAAAGCTGGATTTTGATGTCTGTACAATGATTACAATTTCGAAAAGCCCTCAAGGCATAAACAATGTAAGAATGTGGGTCGGAGAGGGTTTGGGCAGCGAATGTTTCGTTGACAATAACAAAAAAATTATAGACCAAAACCACTTTTGAGACTCGACCCAAGCCCGAGGCCCAACGTTAGGCCGGGCCCGTTTTTAACTTCTTTCAGGTCGCCCCAGTCCAGCTCGGTCAAAAAATATAGTAACTGTCTGGCCGTTTTAAAAACATTATTAAATGTAATCTCTACCCCTTAGACCCAGAATTTCAAAAAATAATAAAATGTTACTTCTCCTGGAGCTTCAAAAATATAAAATTTACAATTTTTGGTATAAAAAATTATCTTTGCCCTTCGTCACTTGACATGCTGTAATAAAAATTAAAAATGTGTAGCAAAAAACAGCATTATTCAATTTTCTACACACTTTAAGACCACGTCAAAAAACATTACCTCAAAAAAATTCAGCCGAACTCACTAAAACCATTCCAAATTAACCCATAAACTCTTTATTTGGCAATGATACAAAGTAATAAAAGCAACATTACTCAAGGATTTCCTTTGTATTACCCATGCCGTCTTAAATTATGTATCACCCATGCCATCTCGGATTAATTATGTCATTGTTTAAGAACTTGTGACGTTTCCCGGGGATCGTACTAATTACTATAGTAAGGTTACTCTGGGTTGACGTGGAAGTTCATACGGTGCATATTATCGACTGGTAGTAGTCAAAATTTTATTGTAAAAACTGCCGCATGGTAATAACTTTAAATTCAATAATAAATACCGTAGTTCAATTAAAAAATACTGTACTTTTCACATATTATAGTAGACAAACGTCATTACCTTCCTATACTGTCATTATCACCGAATTAAATTAAAATTACAGTACAAAAGTAACTGGAATAATTAAACCCCTCCAGACATTTAGTTCTGGTCTAAGCCCTTCTAGGAACTGGAAACTATTTAAGAATTGAGTGGGTTTGCCTGAAGCAATGAAACGAAACAAATTCAAATTATTCTTTCGGCGATTTGACACGGTTTCTGACATTGCCTTACTGTATTCTATACTTGCAAATGACAACTCTTTGAGCTTACATTTCTAAAGTGTTACACATTATACAAGAAACACTACTTTAACTTATACATGATACTGGAGGCTTGGTAATAAAAGGAAATGATAAAAAGAGGAACAAGATATATCTACAAAAATAATTAATTTAAATTCGAATACCCAGAAGGCTGAACACGTAAATTACTCGTAAATGGATTAACATAATGTTAATTTAGATATAGCAAATAATGTGAAAAAACTGTTTACGTTTTTCAAATTTTACGTTTTTTAACAATAACACGTTTTTTGTAATTAGTTGGCCTTCTTTGTCACATAAATAGCTTTGCCACAATTATATTGACGTAAATAAATTTGAAATTTGTAAAAATAATAAGAAAATAAATTTTAAGACATTAATGATAATGCTTGCTTTGAAAACATAAAACACTATTTTTCAAATTATATACAGTTTTCAGTGATACGGACATTTCCGGACAATTGTTTGTTTTCCAATAAGTCAATAGTGACATTTCGTCGTCGGTACGCCAATTCGTAAGGTTTGAACCGCTTTTTTAAATTTTTGCGTTGAAAATTGTTGTCCAGTGAAAATGTATGGTTTATTTCGTAAAAAAAATTAATTCTGGCTGTTTTTCTTATTAAAATATAGAAAAAAAACAAATCAGGTTTGTATATCTACTACAATATCAGTTTTAACGGTTGTCTTGGTTTGTTTTTTGATTATAGACTTACTTATCGATTTTGTATTTTATCTGATAAATTTTTTGTTTGTTTTTTAGCTAACAAGTTATATTTTTATATGAAAAGTACATTGTTATATTGATAAAGTTTGATCAATCTTTATAATGTATTTTTATTTCTGCGCGATAACCATCTTTAAAATGTTCATATAGCTTTTTGAAGAAAACAACTTGATTTGTTGAATATTTCAGTTGGATGGAGGTTGATGAGCCGGCTGTTTCTGGGGAATGTAGCTCTGATTTGGCCAAGTTTCTGTTGGCAGCGGCTGCCAGAAGGAAACGACGTGAAGCCCTTTGTGAGAAGGGATTGGAAGATCTGGCTCAACAAGAAGGTTGTTCTATAGCTCGTAAGTCTTTTCTTAAATTTTTGCTGAATTTAGGAAGTGGCAAAACTAATATGCATAAAGAATTAGAGTATTTTAGTAGAAACGATATTGTAGTAGAATATTGATAGTATATCGGTCTTTGAAACAAACAAAAATCTTCAAAATTTGTTTTTTTTTTATCTACGGAAAGTTTTATATGAATTTCGTATGTTTTTAAAAAACTTTTAGGGTGTTAAAATTAAGAAATAGTTTGTTTTTTGACCTCAAAGTGGTTGTTATGGTAGTGAAGGTGCAATTGGCGGTAGGAATTGACAAGTGCAAGTTGGCACTAGCCTCTAATACATTATTTATGCTGTTTGTTGGTCAATATTCTAGCGTATTTTGCAAAGAATGTTGTTCATTTTCGTTATTAGCGTGACCGTATTTTAGGTACAGCCTTATATTAGGAATATGAGATCTTTTAGCTTAGCTTCTATAAAGTATACCTAAATATTTAAATTTTATATTTTTAGATCTCTTGAACTCGGTGTCGAAGAGTCAAAACGCATCAGGATTTCCGTCTTTCTCCAGCTCATACTCTGACAATCCGAGTACCTCTGCTCACGCTTCTTCTGGCGGATCTTTGAACTCAAACTACTCTTCTAGACCTACACAACCTCTGAGGTCGGCTTCTGGATTGGATCCTCAATTTCAAATGCCGCCAGCTAGAAGCGAAGCACCTCTGCCAGTTAAGCTAGACATATCACCAATCAAACCTGTGTTACCTCAAGTAAAGAGGAGTGGACTAAAGGATGTTACTAAAGAAAAGAAGGGTGCTGTTAAAGGTAAGAGATGTTTAGTGGAATAAAGCGTTACTTCGAAGATTTAAGGTTTAAGACTGTTTTCACTTGAATATGTGTTTTTTATTTAGTCTAATGTTATGTTGTTTTAGCTGAATCAAGCTCATCCAAATCACTGATACCTCCAACTCCAGTGTCTCGAAAAGCTGAACTAAAGCCTAGACTAGAAGTACCTTCGAAAGCACCCAATGTAACTAGTAAACTGATCAGAGTAAAGGACAAGACCTACATGGAGAAAAAGTTGATTGGTTTTGGAGGAAGTTGCAAGGTGTACGAAGCTGTGGATATATCAAATGAAGATGTCAGAGTTGCAGTGAAGGTGGTTGACTTGAATTGCGACAGTAAACTGAAGACGATATATCTGAATGAAGTAAAGATTCTGGAAGAGCTACAGGGCAGCGACTACATCGTCAAACTTATTTCATAGTAAGTTTTAATGGATGTGGTATAACTTAAGTTATGCCACTATTATTTATAATGCCGTTTTTACTTTATTATAAGGGCCAAAAGATGGTGATGTACTAGTGTGGTAATAAAGTAAATATTAAACTTTCAGTCAGACAATACAAGACAAACTCTATGTTGTTATGGAGTTGGGAGAGCGAAGTTTGGCTACATATATAGAGAATGTCAAGACGAATCGAGGACTTAAGCCTATGTTCCTACGGTATCATTGGGAACAGATGTTGTTGTGTGTAAAGACGATTCACAGTAAAAGTGAGTTACCATTGGATTTGTAAACGTTTTTATAAAGATACTGCAAAAAATTTAAAAAAGGGCTTGAAGTTATAAATTTGTGCTTTAAAAATATTTTTTAGATATTATCCACTCTGATCTGAAGCCGGCAAACTTTTTAATGGTCGATGGGCGACTAAAACTGATTGATTTTGGCATAGCGGCCAAGTTAGAGGACAAATCGGAAAGTATAATTCAGCCAGGAGGTATGGGGACACCCAATTACATGAGCCCAGAAGCTGTGGGATTCAGGTTTGACAATCGGTCGGCTTTTGAAGTAAGTATAACATGTAATTCATGATAATATATCTCTATGCTTTGCTTGAATTGTGCGGAAAGATATTGATGTAGGCATCTTCTTGTTATGTTAAGCAAATGATTCTAAAATAACTGCTAAGAGGGTATTGTTAACCTTTATTTTTAATGTTAGTAACAGTAACCACCTACTAATGTAAAACTTTTCAGATTACTGTAAAAACGGATGTGTGGTCGTTGGGATGTATACTATATGCGTTAATATACGGTAAAACGCCTTTCTCTGATATGAAATCGAATTCCATGAAAATTCAAGCAATAAAATCAGCAAAGATCAAGTTCGACGATGTCAACGACCCTCAGCTATTGGATACACTTAAGGTAACAGTATATCATTTTATTTTGTCACATTGTCATTATTTTGGATGTTTTTGAAATGTTTTTGATGAATTTCTTTATGATTAAAAAACTATTGTTTTACATGTTTTAGGTATGAAATCTGTGTTACGTTATTAATTTTACTGTGATTTTGATTTCAGCGATGCCTCGAAAAAGACCCAACGAAACGAGCGTCAGTCCAAGAACTTTTGAACCACCCATACCTAGACTTTTCTCACAAAGAGAATGCTGTTGATGTGACTCTGATGGACGATGAACTTCAACATTATGTCAATCAGATCAACAGCAGCACGCCGAGAACGGCGATGAAGTTGGCTCGAGAGATGAGGAAGGGCAAAAAGCCTAGCAACGTCTGATAACAACAATTATATTGACTGTAAACTGAATGTATAGATTAGACCATTTCCAATATTATTTCTCGATAAAATAATTGTTTTTACTCTGTAACATTGACTGAAAAGATAATAAAACTTGTTTTTACTGGTGAAGTGGTTGGTAAAGTGAAGTTAACGGCTTGGTAGTACTATTGAAGTGAGTGAGGTTTGGTTAGGATGGCTTATATTATTATTGTTTGTATTATATTATTGTAATGTCTTGATCATAAACTTTATTAATGATTATAAAGCGTCTTGGAAAGGTCAGCAACTCCTTTGTTATTGTAGCTACTATATACTTTTGTTAGTATTACGGTAATTCTAAGTTTCTGAAAAGCATGCCATTTTTCTTGTATGTACAAGATCAATGGACCTAAAGGTTTACAAGGTTCGTACCTCTATTTTAATTAACTATTTTTAGTGGAAGAAAGGACTTTAATTCTAATGTAAAGCGTGACTTTACTCAAGCGTGATATAATCAACTGATTTTTATTCTAGTTTCTTGTAATATACATTTATATTAACAGTCTACTGGACCATTTTAATACTCATAGCTTGGGTTAACTTCGTAGTCTTCATTGTAGTCAGTAGCTTTTTTTTTAAATTTAGCAATAATGTTTTAGTCTACCAGACTTGGTACACGATTTTTTCAAGCCTATTTCAGTATCTATTCTCTTACTATCTTTAGTTATATAGTAGATGAAGGTATGTCTTATTGATGGTAATTTGTCGCAACCGTATTTCGTAAAGTAAAACCATTATATTATTTTATGGTTTACTGTCGCAACAGACGGAATCGAGAGATTTTATGACCAATTCCAGAGTTTGTAGTTCTGTGGTTTCCTTTTGCTTATACCTAATCTTATTTGATGAATTTTGCGACGAAATCTAATTAAACTCTGGAAATTATCATAAAATTCTATGGGGATTAAGAATCTAATTATGAGAGCAATATCTTATGCTAACTTTGAAATTATTTTACTGGACTTTGCAGTTGATATTTGTGAGGAAAAAATGATTTTTACAGTGTTAACAATGGTCTAGATAGTACTGTAATCAGCAACAGGGTTGTTTTCAAGCTTAAGGTATACTGTAAGTATGTAATTTTGAACAAACACATTTAAAAATTTATTTTTTTTTTAATTTTTATCTCAAAGTAGCCATAAAACTTGCCTGTCGCATATTACACTACCTTTTAAACCCGTAGGGCCTTACTACACGGATCGACCGTTTTCCGGCTGATCGACCGCCTTTTTCCCTCCAGCCGAGAGCCGGGTGGGGGAGAAAAGAGGAGTAAGCGGGGAGAAATGTGCGTTTATATTACACTACCACCAGATGCGCTGCTCCTCTCTTGCCTGCCCATACTCTCTCGCTTCGGCTAGAGCGGAGCGGAGACGGAATCTAAACTAAAATGGTTTATTTTGCCCAGTAATTACCCCTGATTATATGCGAGTTGCGCGACAATTTCCATGCCAATATTGTTGTAGATGTTACTATTGTCTACTATAATATTTTGTTTGTCTTTTTGGAAATTTTAACGAGTTTTTGTCGTCTCTCAAGAGTCTTTTTTAACAAAAAACATAAAAAACCTTTTCCGTTTGATATTTGAGATAAAAAAGCTGTTCTTCATATGATTTTGGTACCTTTACATAACATCTTGTCACAACATACCATATACGACATTATGTGACAAACGAGACACTTCAGATGTCAGATATCGAGTGTTGTTCTTTCCAAATGTAAAAAACTATTGATGCGGCTCAAAAGAGCTCAAACAAGGGCTCGCTCTGTCTGAGCTCGGATTTCCATGATTTCAATGTACTAAAATGTCTTTAGGTCGTGACAAGGTGAATATAGGGTCAGATATAAGGTTAAGATACGTTTATAACAAAGTAATATTGATTATGTCACGTGAAAATTAAGGTTTTGAGGTTTAATTACTAAGAATTCATTCTTCTTCGAGTTAAAATAGTCGTTTACTGGCTCTCTGGGGCTTTGTTTAACCTTATGGGTAATATTTACTTGAATATTTAAGAAATTTTCTTTATTTTAAACCTCCTGGCGCATCTATTATAGTTTTATACGATTATTAACGAAGAAAAAGTATTGCTCCATAGTAAAATGTGTTAAACTCCATAGCGTTTCAAATTCTTTGCTTGTTCTAATTTCTAGAAAATATGTCATACTGAGTTACTGGTTAAATAGGTTTGCTAAATTAGAAATTTGATGTAGGTTTCTTGTTTTCTTCCTGTATCTTAGTATGTGCCTTCCATATAAAAACACATTAATCTAACTGTTTTTCTTGTATCACTCTGACGAAATATCTAGATTCTAAATTTAAAAAAAAAAATATTTTTAATTTTTCGCGGAAACAATTTTACACCCATGTAATTACGACAAGTGTCTATCGTTTACGCTTTCAACATGAAAGGTCAATAGCTTTGCGACCTTTTTTAAACGTTTTATGATCAGCCATTTGGAGCGACAGATATCAATTATTGTTTTAATGATGTGTATGTCACAACGATTAACATTTTTTACCTTTTCTTTTACTGTAAATTTTGATATTTTTTATTGATAATTGTGTTGAGAAGTTATGCTTAACCTTGGGTTAACTCGTGGCATTGTTTTTATCTTTAATATAGGCTGATTTCTTAAAACTAGAACAAATTTATGTTGTTTTAGGTAATATAAACCTAATTTTAATATTATTTTCATTACAGATAACACAGTCAGGACATCGAACGTCTCCCAATGATGTCGGACGACAGTTCCGAGATACTAAGTCGATCAGACCTGGACGCGCTCGTCGACGAACACGTTCAGAATGGAGAATATAAAACGGCAGTTTTCTGGGCGGAGAAACGGCTAGCGTTGTGCTCAGGTTGGCCAGCACACAAACGATACCCAGAAATAGCCAGATATCTTAATGTAGGTTTAGTTTCTTTGTTTTCTTTTTGGGTTTAGATTGATTGGACTCAATGTTGGTTGGATGTGGGAGTAACGAAACTTAAATTTGTCTACTATGTATATTTAATATTGCGATAAAATAGACATTATGAGATTCTAAAGGTAGTAGAAAGATAGGATAAGGTTATCTTGTTTATAAACTTTAGTACTTTTTCAATAAGTTTCAATTTTTAGGTCTTAACTATTGCCCAATGTTGGCAACCAGTAGTTTCATATTGCAGTCGTCATGATCTCCACTTAAAGCACGTTGTGTTTCAATATTTCTACGTAAATGCTTCATTTCAACTCAAAAACTTTGTTCAAGTTGCTCAATTGGGGACAGCCGTGAGTTTTTCAATTCTTAAAATAACTTAAATAATGTTTTCGCTGTAAACGACAGTAACTTATAAATAAATTGTTGATGAATCTAAATAAGCTTTTGATTTCAGATTTTCAACGTTGATGTAGAATCAAATTCAACGACAGCCCCTTACTTTCAACAGTTAGATGAGATGGCTAAGGAACGCAAAATAGAGTCGAGGTTAATGTTAGTTTTGTCCAAAGCCTATTTGGCCATGAATAATCGACCGGCAGCCAAGAATTGCATAAAAGAATCACTACAACGGAATCCCAACTCTTCTGACGCTCTTCAGACGGCGATCGACTTTAAACTACTGTCAGATAAGGAACTGAAGAAGTTGATAGCGTCCATACATCACAAGGGGAAGAAGAGCACCGGAGGCAAGGTGATGAGCTTGATCTACGAACTCAGGTGTTCAAAGGTGAGTAATATGGGGTGGTTTGGTATCCACTAGACAAAGTTGAATTAAGCTATGACCTATTAAAGTGTTTTTTGATATTTTTTTAGCAAAAATGTTGCTCTAAAGGTGAATGAGGTACATATCAAAGATGTTTGCAGGACAGAATAATTAACCTATTCATTTGCAGAACGAACCATCGGACCTACAAGTATATAACACATTAGCCAACGATGTCTCCGTCCAATCGGCGATGGCCGTCAAGTTGTACAACAAAGGCAACATCTCAGAAGCCTTCCAAATTACTTCAGGGATTCTCAGCGAACTCGGGTATTATGACGTGAGTTATCTCTTAAATCTGGTTTTTAACCTTATAGATAGTATTTTTAGACATTTATTCTTATATGCATGTATGTAGACTTTTTGATTAAGATTAAAGTTACGTGTTTTATATTTTTTTAAATATTTAGATCCAGAGGTATCTTAACGTTGTCACATTTTAGAACTGCATTCTAGTCCATATAGCCTCATTAGTGTCTCTCAAGAAGAAAAACGCTTTGTTCGCCCTCAGCCATCAACTGGTCGATTCTCAGCCCGACAGTCATATCACGTGGTATGCCGTGGGATGCTACTACTACACTGTCAATCAATTTTCTACCGCCAAAAAGTTTTTGGGTATGTTTTGAATTATTTTTTCTGATTTTAGATGCGCAAATAGTACGAAGGAACATTGTTGTTGCAGAAAATAGTCTAATGGTATACCTAACTACTGTTCTTTATGTTATAAAGAACAAACTTAACTGTTGATTATAATACCGTTGTGTCACATTGGCTAATATGAAATACGAGAGATATATAATATACCCTTTCCAGATAAAGCAACAACGATGAACAACGGATTCGGGGAAGGGTGGATGGCCTACGGGCATGTGTTGTTCTACTCAGAAGAACATGAACAAGCCATGAATTGTTTCCTGAGGGCATCGAGAGTGCTGGAAGGCAACTTTGAACCTCTACTGTATATTGCTCTAGAACATTCGTTTGCCAACAGCTTCAAGCTGGCTGGAGAGTTCATGAGGGATGCTGATGCCATCGAACCCAACAACCCCATCGTGTCACATGAAGAAGCCACTATTGCCTACTTACAACAAAACTATACTAGTATGTGTTTTAAGTTACCTTACCTTTTTCTAATTTAAAAGCAAAGAAAGCTATGTTTTGCTTTTTTAGATGTTGAAATAAGATATGGTTATGACAACTACAAGTTTCAGAAGCCGAACAAACCTTCCGCAAAGCCATCCGTCAAGTCTGTAAAGCGTCGCCTCGTGAGAACTTCAGCACGACGCTGAGCCGACCGTGCTCCGACTTTTGGGAGCCAATGTTCCAGAATATGGGTCACTGTCTGCGACGGATGCGACGCTACGATGAAGCCATCGAAGTGTTCAGAAAGGCTTTGGCCTTAGGAAAGAACAAGTCCCAAGCGTGGGCCAATATCGGCGTCTGCTACGGATGTTTGGGCCGTCTGAATGAAGGCATAGAAGCCCTAAACGAAGCCATAATCATGAATCCGGGCGACGAGTACGTGGAACGAGCGCTACGAATGCTCATCGACCAGTCGGCCAAACTCCCCTTGGATGACATCCTCGAACCGGTGTCAGCGGCCGAAGAGAACGAGGAGAACATGGATTTCCTGGCCGACGATTCCATCCGTGGCCTAGACGTCGATTCTGATATGATGGACGTCAGCGACGACAGGACTGCCCAGAAGCTTCTGATCCACTCTACCACGCCCATGAGGACACGATCACAGACCAATCGGTAACCTAACAAGTCATCAACTTCTTCAATCTTTTTGGTATTCTTTACAACATTAGGCGAATCCACTAATCCTTTCTTATTTTTATGATTATTTTGGTTAAGATAGGACGAATTTAAGGGAAGAAAGTGTTAGGTTTGTCCAGTTTTGGATTAAAATAATCACAAACTGCGAAAGAATTAGTGGATCGATCTAACAAGTCTCAACAATTGAAAAAGGCGACGAGATAGTGTATGTTGCTATAGTAATAGACACACTATAGTAATTACTATAGCAATATACGAACTTTTTAAAGTTTTCAATATGAAAATCAAGATTTGTAACCGGTGCTACAGTAATTAGTGAAATACCACAGTAAACAGCGAAATACGAAGATTTAAATATATTTCGAGCAATAAAGAGTCGAATATACCTCAATACATCTCATCGCATTTGGCTGTTACAGGAGTTTAAGTAGTGAAAAATATTGAAATTTCGAAAAATTTATAAATTTTTTTCCATGAAACGAACATATGTGACATAACATCGCTATCTCTGTTGCCTTTCATCCTTCAGATATTGTACTTTTGTCTCTCACATTCTCTTTCGATCTGTCTAGAACTGGTACTACAACATAATCTGAGCTTGTTTTTGATATTACCCTCAGGATATGGCACTCTTTGGTCATAAAGTTTCTAGAATTTTGGCTTTTTAACTTTTCAACCTTTGTTCCCAAAACTTTGGCCAAAATCTTATCAAACAGGCCCAGTTGTCAATGAAGCAAGTTGTTGTTGTCGCCGCGTTCGCTGTAAATACTGTCTCTCATCAGAAAATGAACACTGAAGAGTATTCTTCATCACACCGATCCGGGTACTGTAGAAAGCCCTCTATTTTCGCTCTTTCGTATCTTTGTCGTCGTATGTTATTTTACTTTATTTGTAATTTGTTTGTGGTAACCAATATTAAAGTCGTTCTTTTGCGATTTGTTAAGTTTTTACCGTAATCGAGGGATATTGTAAACTAGATTACAGTAACCAAGTAAAATATATTACGGTAAGCGAGGAATACGATATATAGGGGATTACTGTAACTCAGTTAAAAGAATAAAATATGACTTACCAAGGTTGGTCCAAAAGTAAACGGAAGATCGCAGAAGCGACAGAAACCGTGATTCTACCTATTTTTGATCAACTTTACCTACATAATTTCAGTAATGATGTCGTTTTAAAAATGCGAAACAATTAATGGATCAATAATCATTATACAGTAAGGAAATGATGACAACACAATTGCATAAATACAACAACAACGCATACTTCAAGATACGATGATATTTTTATTCCGTGTATAATAACCCTTCTGCAGCTTAAGCTGATAAAATTTCTGAATCCGATCCTGCTCAATCTTGTTTGGCCAAGGTGTAGCGAGATTCGGCTGCCACTGGCTGAAAGCAGAAAACGTTAACATAAATATCATCATCTTCAAAACTAATAACGAGCAAAATCGATGATCAATAAACTCAAGAAGAAGTAAACCTACATCATCGTCGTCATCCTTGTCTTTGTCATCTTTGGGAGCGACTGAAATTCGAAGATTAAAATTTAAAAAGTATTTCAAAAGTTAAAAATTGGCAAACAAAAAAAATAGTACCACACAGAAACTGTGCCAAAACTTACGTCCTGCGTCGTCGTCTTTGGTCTCCGCTTGAGTACTGAAACAAAGATTTTTATTTTTTTAGATTTTAATTCAAAACAACTGCTAGCAAGATCAAAAGTCACCACCCAAATTGTCAGATGATTAAAAAGCCAGTAGTTACTCGAAATTAAATTCTCCTATCTATCATATCTTGACTCAAACCCAAAACTCACGTCTTGCTGGGCTTCTTCTTCTTCTTGACCTGCGTCGCCTTCTTGTAGTCCGGATTCTCAGTATCGTACTTATTCTGAAGCGCCTTCTGTTGCTCTCCGCCTCCGGCTTTGGCATCCAAGGCGGCCGCTTCGTCCTCACCTTCGGCCGACGTCGTGTTGCCTTTGTTTTGTCGCCGCCGTTTCTGATCATCCTCGTCGTCCGGAACGCCTTCGAAGTTGATCGACGTCTTCAGATAGTCAATGTCGACATCGTTTGTGATGCCGAGGTGGGTGAGTTTGGTCAGGGCACGCAAAAGAATCAGCTGAAAAGGCAGAAATATTGTTTACAACATACATTCTACTAGCATATCAGTCTATTTTGAGTATATTCAATCTGTTTTACCCATGTTTTGTTAATTTTTCCTCCCGAACTATACCTACACCATTGGGATCTCCAGTGTTGCGACAAATGATTCCATTACTCAGAGCTGGATAGTACTGATCCATCTTGTTTCCCTTCAAGTCTGAATCCAGCACGTGGTCAGCGCTCTTGTGTTTGGCCGCTTTAAACAAGGCATCCATTGTGTCTGAGGTAACGACAATCATCACCTCTTTCATTTCAGAACAGCTCCTAAAACATGTCATTACTATGGGAAGGAGAGTACAATACTATTAATACAGTATTCAGCACTACCAATACAGTATTAAAAAAGTCGGTGTACTGTTATGAATTCTGTTTAATACTGTATTGTATACAGTAAAGTCTCCACTTTACTTTAAGTTTCAGTACCATTGTCTTGAACATAACCACAATCTTACTTTTTCAGCCTTTCCAAGGTGGTCTTGACTCTCTCGTAGAACTGTTTCTTCGTCTCTGTCTTGACAACTTTGGACAGCTGAGAGATGGTCACTTGTGGTTTATACTTGGTGAATATTGCGTAGTTCATTCTGAGCAAGAATTCTGGGTCGAAAAATCTAAAGTTTTGTGTGTAATAGGCCAACAAATACAACATATAAACAACTTTAATTTACCCTTTATATTTTTTAAATTTTATTTATATTTGTTTTTTCTTTATTAAAAACTTAATATGGCAAAATTTTTAACTTTTTTAAACAAAATATCCATTTTTACGTGCATCTTCGCTGTTTTCATTAATAAAATACATTCGAAATTGCGCAAAAAACATTTTATTATGTATTTTTAGTTCCTTACCACCCCATTTTGACCATTTATATTTTAAAAAAGCAACGAAAACGACCGCAAAAAAGGGCTGCCCAAGACCGGAATCGAACCGATGTCGCCACGGCCACAACGTGGAGTACTAACCACTATACTACTTGGGCCGGCAGCTCTCTCTCTTATTTTCCTTTTCGTTTCTTCGCGGCGCTTTTTGCGAGAGAAAACACAGCTTTTTCTGTTTTCAAATGAAGTTTTATGAAGTGTTCTGGACTTTTTAAATTAAACTAATGTTCAAATGTCGCTTATTATACATTTTATAATGTCTATCATTATAAACATTACAATCTTTAAAACTATATCATTTTAAAATAAACTTACGCAGGCAGATGACTGTCCGCTTTGCCTAGAAAGTGGCAGAAGCCATATTCAACACAAATCTTTGCCTGACTCTTGTCGCTCTGGATCACGGCATGTATGGCTTGAGCTGTTTGAATACATCTCAACGTTGGAGCGCAGATTATCATCTGTATTCTAGTTTTGGCCATATTGAAACCATCTCCAAGCGCCTGACACAAACCGTAGCCTAAAATGGTAGATTAAAAGTTTAACATGACATGAAAAGAGTATCACATTGTTATAAAATAAAAAATATGGGAAATGAAATACAGTAAGTATATCACATAAACTTATCATAGTGATAACATTTGTCCGTAACAACGGCTAAACATACCGAATTGAGTGATTGGAGGGTCGACCGTGTAGTCTGCCAGGTTCTCACGTCTGAGCATCTGCCTGGGAAAGCTCATACTCATCTGGATGTACTTCTCGTCCTTGTCGAAGCACAAATCCACCCATTCTGGCATGACTTCAGTACAAGTCTCAGCACATCGTACCACAGCGAAGAAGCTCTTCTGAAATGGCACCGATAACAACGTAAGACCCGTGAATTCTTTTACAAATTAAATTGGTTTAAAAAAGCGAAATACTTTCGACCAGTCGGCCAAAACACTCGGATTAGACTTGACGAAGGTATGAGAATCCACTAGCTGTTTCGCTTTTATTTGTTTGCGAGATTACTGTGTGTAAAAAACACATAACAAAGCAAGAAAACTTACGGCATCAATGGTATTATAACGTTTAGCATAGTACTGTTCCTGCATTACTGACCAACCACACAAAACCGACTAGTGCAACAAAAATGAAGTCTATGTTCGAATCAAAACTTTACCCATGTTTCCCATATTTATGCAAATTTATAACCAAAAGCTAGTTTTCATTCAAAAACAGTACAAAATATTTTTTTATTTCGAAATAATGCTTTCAGGTCAATTAGGAAATGGCAGAAGACCCCAGCCTCCTTAGCTCAGCGGTAGAGCGTTGGACTTTTAATCCAACGGTCAGGGGTTCGATCCCCCTAGGTGGCTGGTGACTTTTTTGCCGTTTTTATGCGTATCTATAACCTTTTTCGAATTAACCCTTAACTATAAACAATAAAAACTCATTTATGTTATATTTTTTAACTTTTTTGTGTTAGTAAAATATACAATTTTTTGAAAAAATAACCACAAAATAAGGTACCCAATGATAAACAAAGAAAAAATGCGATATTAACCATAAGATACAAACCATTCAACTACAGCAACATTACAACAAAATTCCCTTGATCTTAACTTTATGTACACAATATCATCCCGTATGACCCGTATTTTATAAAATACAAATTTCAAATGCGATTTTTTCGTTTTTTGATCGGTTTTGTTGGTTGATGTGAGTGTAGAAGGTCGTTTACATAGTAATCGTGCTTGGTCGAGATGTTTTTGTGAGCGTGTTCATTGTGTATGGACAAGAGAAGCGACGAGATTGTGCTCATTTCCATCTAAAATTATTTTTAAATGTCTTACTTATCGAAATATACTACAAGATACACACCACTGTTAACAAAAAGGTACGAAAAACATCAATTCGATCTGTATATGTATGATACAGTAATCAAAAGAAAACATACTAAAAGTGCTTACCATAAGTAGTACCGATCCTTCAATGACAACCACATCTTGAGTACTGACATAGCTGACGTTACTGACATCTGCTTTGAAGCCTTGCCTTGAGAAGACATGCAGCATTCTACTGATTAACACGCTACCGTATATCTTGTATTCTACATTAATATAATGACCTTCTGGCGACAGAACTGATCCTCTGATTACTATGAACAACGTGCTGAAACAGTATTTTGTAAAACCCAGTAATTCTTTCGTACTTTGAGAATAACCAAGATGTACAACAACAAGTATTGCAAATAGCTATAATATACTACAACATATAACATCCTTGCAATACCAGTTAAAACTCTTATACAAGCTAAAAACCTAGTATAATATAACATTACTCACTTGACAATCTTCTCCTTAGTGATGACTGTTTCCTTGTCATTCGATTGGATAACCGGACACAGACTGATAAGTTTCCTCATCTCTTGTACTGTAAGTTGTAGCATATTGAAGGCAGCACAATTATCGCACAACTCTTGCATTACCCGAGTTTGTTCCATCGGAGTGAGATGTAGCCCCTTGGTATGATCCTTCAGCCATCTTAGGGTCGCTTTGTCATCGTGGGTGCCTGGCTTCAGACGCTTCGACGATACATCAGTATCATCCTAAACAGAAAGACATGTTACTGATGTGTATACATATAATAACTTGAAATATTTTCAGAGTTACATAAGGCAATATCAATCATATATTACAGTGACTTTACATATATCTCGCCAATCAATTCTTCGATGATATCTTCCAAAGTTATAAGCCCCGTCACAATATGACATCCATGTTGATATTTGGCCACAATACACAAGTGAACGTGACCTGAGATCATTTCCTCCATCAACTTGCTGGCTGGCATCTCTTCGAACACGTACTGTGCCTACAACAACATCATTTACATTAAAAACACCACTTATAAGTATAGCAATTCTACCAAAACATACCCTTCCATACTTTGTATACCAGTATGCTACCTTAATATGATGTTTATATACTTAAAGTTCAAACACCTTACTGTAATCAGACACTCCGGCTTATCAATGACTTTGATCTTCTGATTCGGATCCAGAAAGATAAGTTCCTTCACATTCAACAAAGCTACAATCAGGCCACGATCGTTGCCCAAGTAGACTGGTACTCTTGTGTATCCCATTTCCATGATGTTCACTAGGCACTAAAACAATATCGTAACTAAATTGATAAAAATCATATAATTATCATAAAAAAAAATAATAAAACCAATTTAAATTTTAAAAGCTATGCCTACATTAATATCAAGAATGTCTTCAGACGATAACAGCCAAGCATCGTTGATCGACGTCATTATACTGCCTACTGTAACATCTTTGAATCTGAACGCTCTTTCCAGTATATCTAAAACAATATCATTTTAACATTATCATATTAGGTTTTTCAAATAATTCTGAGCCCCTAACCCCAAAAATTTGCTTTGAGAAGGGATACAGAATTATTTAAACAGCTTGACATATTACAGTTAAACCATTAAAACAATAAAACTCTTAACTTTTTCTACGTAATTTTTGACCTGTCGATAAACTTTATAACCATTAACCTTATAACCACCCCCCTCAATCCTACCTTTAGGCAGATTGTTAGTCATTTGAAGCTTGATCATGCCTTCAAACTTCTTGGCATCCATCACCTCGACTCCTTGAGTTCCAATCAAAAAGTCCAGTAATCGCGACAACGGGTAAGCGACCGGTAGAAACAGAACCATAAAGAACTTGGCGATCCACAACGTTCTTCTGGCGACACGTAACCCTCGATTCTTGACGAATGCCTGAGGGAAAATCTCTCCGAAAAACATATTCAGAAGGACTGGCACGACGTTTATTACGATAATCTTGGTCTTTGGGGCTAGCTGAAAAGTTGCATTACTTCATTTCAAGATTTCGTTTAAAATACCATCTAATACGACCAAACATGAAGTCACCATGAGTTCACTTCATCTCCATGAAAAACCTCATTTTCTCACTTTAACTGATAAGATTCTTATTCTAACATCTATATTTTACTTTAACATCTACATATAACACTAATACTTACAGGTTTACAAGCATCCTCAATCAACAACGTGCTAACCGTGTTGACGATCGTATTCCCGAGCACCAGCGTGCACACCAACCAATTCGAGTTCTTTCGTATCTGAAGGATGGCGTGAGCTTGTTTGTTCTGATCAGCATCGTTGTAACGTTGTAGTAGGATGATATCATTGTGAGGAATACAGAAGAAAGCCATGTTCATGCCAGAGAACAGAGCATTCGTACACATGAACAATATAAAGGTAGGTATCATAACGAGCAATGGTACCAGAGGTTTCACATCCAAATCAGAGATTTCAATTACCATTGTCTATAACAATATAAAGTAAGATTACTGTGGACTATTAATCATATTCAAACCGGTCAAAAAGTAAATAGAAAAACGTAGATGCTTTTAAATACAAATTTCTACGTATATTTTGACCAACATTTCAGTCAATGAGCTTGTAGAACCAACTTTCAAAAGACCCGTTTAACCTTCATCTAAACTTTTTGTAAATTTTGTTACCTAAAATCATTTTTCACTAACAAAACACTGCTTATCCTTGTTATATTAACTTACAGGGTCCGTTATCAATTCATAGCTGGATGAACGTTGCAAACATAACTTGTATACATCTGGCGACGATATACTTAAAGACTTCATCCTTAACATACCCGAGGTAGAAGCCTCGGGCAAGATGGCCAGTTTCAAAAATGAAGGTTCTTTGACTGTGCTCGCCTTAAATGTCATCTTATTCAAAGTTTCATCAATTTTACATTAAGGATAAGCATAAAAAGTACCATACATAAAATAAATAAGTTATTATTATAATTCTGCATAGTTAATACCTATTATTGTCTTGTAAAACATTCTTCCTTACCGAACATCGATCAGAAGAAGTGAGCCAAGCCCTTTCAATGTCCTCTAAAGCGACATCCTTTCCGTATAATGTCATAACAAACGGTTTATTCAAAGATACGCGAATATGATCTCCAGTATACAGTCGCATTCCAATAACATCTTCGGTTACCGTGTAACTAAAACATTAAAAGTAGCATTATATTAGGTTGTTCAAAAAACTCTGTGCCCCTTCTCAAAACAAAATTTGGGTGTTAGGGCGTACAGAATTATCTGAACAACCCCATATATGCCTTTTACTAAAGATCGTAAGCTATCGACCAGTAACAAAAGGCAAAAAATGTTTATAAAACAGGCCAAACTCAGAAGTTAAAAAAATATATAAAAGAGGTTGCATGTTCAAAAAAATATTATTTGCAACCAGGGCCGGGCGCGAGGGGGACGGGGACGGGGGGGGGGAGTACAGAGTACCCCCCCCCCAAAAAAAAATTTCGAAAAAAATTTGAACGTGGTCCCCCCTGTGGATTTTTGGACCCCTGCCCCCAGACCAAAAGTCCCCGCCCGACCCTGTTTGCAACGTAATCAGTGAAAAAACTACGAGATTTCGTTGAAAAAGGGTAAATTAAAACAAAAAATTTTAGTTTTTAAAGTATTCGTGCCGAGACCCAAGCATTTCCCTGTTTTTGTAAAACTTTCCAGGGCAGCTTCTGCTCCGGAGCTACAGCCAGAGCTAAAATTAAATAAAGGCAGAGCCAGAGCTAAAACCAAAAACTTTAAATCTGTGAACTCTGCAGACATGAGAAACGGGCCGGCCCTGAGGGGGTCTAACATCCAGGCCCGGCCCGTTTTGCATGTCTAGAACTCTGATAGGGTAGCTAATGTACTGCCTAGTACTGTCACTTACTATCGATATGCATTATACGGTAGAAGTATACAGAAAGTGACCAAAACCAGCCCAAACATAGGTAAAAAGGTAACAGAATGAACAAAAAACTACTTTTGTCGCCAAAAAGCATCAAAATTGAACTTTTAAAAATATTTTCAAATTTTTGAAATTGTTCGAAGTTTCCGAGAAAAAGGTTTGAAACTTCATTTCCATCCCTTACCGTAATCCAGGCCTGTCGTGTTTTGGTCGAGCGACATGTCGGAATCAAAGAAACTGATCGACCCGACCAAGAAGTATTATGGCTGGCGAATCGAGAAGCTGCTGGACGAAGGAGGCTTCGGTCAGGTGTTCAAGGTCTACAAGGACGACAAGCTGACCGGGGTGAGGAAGATCGCCGCCCTCAAGGCCGAGTCCAACGATCAGGAGGGCGGATCCGCCATTAAGCTTGAGGTGGGTTCGAAATTAAAAAAGTTTTTTTTGAATTAAAATTGTTTAAAATTAATTTGTAGCTTAATTTTTCGATTTTTTAAATTTTTATTAGTGATTTTTTTAAAAGTTTGATTTTTGATCATGGACATGTTTTATCGTATAACATGTCGCTTTAAGAGCTTTTTGGTTATTTTGGTAAAAATATTGATAATGACATTGTTTTTATTCAATCCCTGTCGAAATTACTTTACTTTCCCTCAAAATGTAGCGAAAATCACAAAAAGTTTTAAAAAGTGACATTTTATACGATGAAACATGTATTTGTAGGTATGTTACTGTAGCCTTCATAAGTCTGTTGTGTGGTTTTCTTACATCTTTTCATAAAATTCCTTACCAAACCAACTTTAGATGTCAGTATTAATGATGTTACACAAGGATGGGAAAGAGATGCCACACGTACCGTACATGTTCCACGCCGCCAAGCGAGTCCACTTCTGCTACATGGTGGTGACGTTGTTGGGGGAGAATCTGCGAACGCTGAAGAAATGGAAGAAGGGCAGCGACACACTCTCGGTGGAGACATGGTCCAGACTGGCACTCCAGTGCTTGTACAGTATCAAACTCGTGCACGACGTGGGGTTTGTGCATCGCGACATCAAGCCTGCCAACTTCATGATGGGTCGCGACGACGATGTCATGAGGGGAAGGCTGGTTCACATTCTCGACTTTGGATTGGCACGGTAGGTGGGGCGGGTGGAGAAGAGTAGGGTAGGGTAACTTATAACTTCTATACCAGTATCTACCGTAAAATAAAAAACTACAGTAATCCAATATAAAATTACTGTAAACAACCAGAGATTACTGTACTTTCCAGAAGCTACGCTCTGATGAGAGGAACCACCTTCGTAGGTCGTCGTGCCCGAGGCAATGTTGAGTTTCGCGGCACGTTGCGCTACTGTTCCCCGAACGTTCACTTCAAAATGGAACAGGGACGGCACGACGACCTCTACTCTCTGATGTACATCGTGGTAGAGCTACATTGTGGTCTACCGTGGCAGACGACCAAAGAGAAAGACGTACTCGAGAAGGAGAAGCTGGGGAAGACCAAAGTACTCAACAAGTGGCTGCCTGGTGGGTACTGTATTATTGCATACTGTATTATTCTGTACTGTATTGTTGTATACTGTAATCTTAAAAGGGATTAATAAGTTTTAGCATTTTATCTTGTTATAGCCGAACTACACCCCATCATCCCCCACTTGGAGAAGCTGAACTGCTACAGTCGCCCCGACTACGCCATGATAGCCAACTGCTTCAGAAGTCTCAGTAGCCGGCTAAAGGTCAGCTTTGCTTCACCGTACGACTGGGAAGCGAGCGACGAAAAACGAAAAAATCTGGGAAAAGAACTCGTAAGTTACAGTAATCATTGTGAGCTACAGTATATTACCGTAATCCTATATTCTCAATTTTTAAAGTGCAGAGTAGAGCATAATATAGAGTGTCATAGATATTACTGTAGCTTTATATCCCTTTTGGGTTACAGTAATCCTTGTGAGCTACAGTATACCTTTCATGAAAGGCATTCTTACAGTAATCCTATATTTCTAATTTTTAAAATACTGTGTCATAGAGATTACTGTAGCTTTAGTCACTTTTTAGTTACAGTAATCCATGTAAGCTACAGTATACATTTTTGTGAAACTCAAGTTACAGTATTCCAAAATTATTATCTTTCAAAATGTAGCTTGAGATACAGTGTCATAAAGATAAAACTGTACCATTAACCATTTTTTGGTGACAGTAATCTCTGTTAGCTACAGTATACAGTTTACAAAAACCAAATCTACAGTACCTTTTTAGCTAACCAAACGAGGCGGACCTCCAGAGTACGAGAAGAACGAAGAATTCTATGCTTCAGATCCAGTCGGAATCAATACAGCACCACCCCTAACTGGTACAGGCACCAGCGACGTCGCCTGCCAAGCCACCTCCGAAGACAACAAAATACAACAAGGCGTGTCCAAGCTGACCAGCATCCAGGTCGACCAGGAGGAGAAGAAATAGCACCATCTGCACCATTCATAAGACTTTCGGAATTTGAGCGATTTTTCGATTAAAACTAAACTTTTATTTTTTTGCACTTTTCTCATTGCACTGTGCAGTTTTATTTATTACACTGTGCAGTTTTACTTCATTGCACCGTGCAATTCCTTTTCCTTTATCTCTGCACGGTGCAGTAAAAAAACTCACAATATCCTTGCACAGTGCACTCCATTTTGTTTCCACTGCACTGTGCAACCTTTATTTTGTCGCAAAGAAAAGAAACGATTTGTCGCTGCTTTTGGGCAACATCAAAGTGCGAGCGACGCCAATCAACCAAGCAAGTCTTGGCGACAACAATTCAATTTGTGAAAAGAAAATTGAAAATGCGACAAATTTGTCGCTCAACTCAAAGATTTGCTTTTGCGGCAAGACTTTCGATTCACAAGTTGTGAATGAAAAGTCAGCGACAGTTTGTTTGGCAACAAATTTTGCATTTGCGACAACTTTTCCGACGACAACCTCGCTTTCCAAAAGAAAGCTCTTGGTGACATTGCGACAAGCTTGTCGCATTGAAAACCAGCGATGATTGGTTCTGCGACAAATTTGTTTCCCTTTGCCAAGAGAAAGGTTTCAGCGACAACCATGCTGCCCCTTGTCGCAAAACTCATTTCGGACTGACAGTGCAATGAGTGCGACAAAAAGAATAAAGGATGGAATTGATTCAAACAAATTGCGACAAAAAAGGCCGCCGTTTGACTGCACAGTGCAGTGATCTCGTGTTTGAGACTGCACCGTGCAGTTGAAAATGGAAGGTTATTTGATTGCACCGTGCAACAATAAAAGAACTGCACAGTGCAGTGATCTCGTGTTTGAGACTGCACCGTGCGGTTGAAAATGGAATTTTATTTGATTGCACCGTGCAAACAATAAAAGGACTGCGACAAACTGCTATAACCTAGGTTTATGTACTGTAAATAACGCCACTTAAACATTAAATTGGCTTTAAAATATGAATAAATATTGTTTTAGCCCTAAATAAATAAATTATTTTTGTTTTCTCAATTGTGTATTAGGTTCTGTCGCTGCCAACGCATAGGCAATATAAAACAAGGCCCAGAACAGTAGTCCGGCGACAAAAATGAAGACCAAGCTCAAGATTGGGCCAATAAAATCGAATATTGGGTATAGCCAGTAGCCCCAACTGAAGCGGATGTAGACCACACTAAATGGCATGGACATTAATTACCTCGTATTTTAAAAATTTTTAAAATTGGAGTAAAAAATGAAGGCCAACGGCTACCTAGCGAAAGCTATCTAAGAGCTATCTTTGATTAAAACCTGAAAACTTACAGTAATGAGTACAGTACGAACAGAAACAGTACCATTTGAGTGCCAGTGAGAAGTCGTATTTTAGAATGTTTTATGAATCTGAGATCAATGATCAGGTGGATTAGTGGAAAGGTATGCGTAATCTGAAGATATTCAACTGAACATACGATAAACTGCACCAAAAATTTATAGAATGGTCTCTTTGGTGCACCTTTTCAACTTTCTATAAACTTTTAAACCAAGCTTCCTAATTTTACTCATTTTTCGAAAAGTTGCCGTTAATCTCGTTTAACATTATCGATAACCTTATCAACTTACATGATTCATCCAGAATGGAATCAGATCTCGAATCCATCGCGGCATAATAGATTCTGGATCTATTGTGTACAGTATCCAAAACAGAATACAAGTGGCCATGCCTGAGGGAAAGGTTGTCGTGTAGAAAGTAAAATCTTTGAATTGTTTTACTTTTTTCGGCCCAAAATGGCTGATTACACATAGAAATGTGTAGTAGGCTTGAAGGACCTGAAACGACATCAATATTACTCTGTAAATTAATGTAAACGTACATATGTCATGTGTAAGCATGAGCTTTTGTAATCTTATCACTTTTCAAAAATAATTTTTAAAATCATAAAATGTAACAACCATACAGTGAATGTACCAATCATACAGTAACATCTACTACAACATACCAAATTGATGTTAGTAAGCATGACCAACTTCTGAATCCACCATTCCGCTCCCAGTCGTGGCATATGTCGTATATCATAATACAATCCCCCACTGTAGATAGCAAACGATACTACCGAGAATACGAAACTACTCATTTATTCTTATATCTAAAACAATATAATCTATTAGTTCTTCTTCTTCTTTGGTTGTAACATCGCGTTAAATGCATCGGAAATCAAAAATGCACTGAAGATCACGGCACAGCACACTAGGATAAACGCCAAACGTTCCAGCTCATTCAGTTGGCCAAGGATTGGATAGGCCCAGAAACCGGAAACGTACCAGACATAGTGGATACTGTAACATAAAGTAATGGAGAATTGAATAATTTATCCTTTTAATTCAAGAGAATATAAATTAACATGAATTCTCAAGATATAAATTCAAGTTAACATCCCTCTCTTAGGTAACCACCAGTATAGTAATATTGATTCACGTTTAAACCTTTACATCTCCTTTACCACAACTAAAATAAGATGACCTGACTCACTCGATCAAATACACCACGGTGAAAAGGAAAATAGCCTTGAGCGCGCTCTTTTTGTGAGGACGAGGATGTCGCCAAGCAAGGGAATCCACGACCATGCCGATCAAAGGCGTTGTGTGCTAAAACAACATGGATAATATCGTTTTAGCCAAAGCAAAGCTTTAAATACGTATTATTTGCTAAGATATTAAACAAGCATCTCACAGTACCATCCTTAACATACCAAAGAATGATTGAACCACTCGTGTTCCATCAGAAACTCGGCTTCTTCGGTGATCAACGTCTTTCTATCGTACAGATATAAGCTCCAGAACAATGTAACGACTGTCTGAAGAAAAAATCTACTGTCATTCTTCATTAGAACAGTCCCGACCTACAGTAGCCAAAGGGAACAACAAGCTTGTAGCAACGAAATGGAAATATTTCAAGATTTTCGAGTTTTTCCTCAAGGAAACCAACGAGAGAACAGCTCCAATCGTGTGGTAAATCGTCAATCCTACCTAAAATAATATTCCAATCTAACTGTTATGTTTTCAAACTCTTCATTAGTGCATTGATAAGTTAAACATTGTGTTCTAAAGTCACTCACGAAGGTAATCATCGTTAACCACACCAACTTAGAAAGGTAGACGCCTTTTATAGGCAAGAAGTCGTGTTTTATAGTCAAATGATAGTCGAACCATAATGTAAAAATGTAAAATAAAGAATAACTTAAATTTACACCAAAGGCAAACGTATTCATCGTGTACCTTTCACCAGAATTCCTCTTCTTTGGACTTTATTTTCGTTTCGAAGATAAGATAATTGGCTCGATTGTGACACTTCGCTTTGTGACGAAATGCCACAAAAAAGAAAAATCCAAAATCGAAGGAAATCTTGTGTCTGTTTTTTCCAGCACTTTCACGCCGGCTGGCCACAATGTTTGCCCGGAATTTTGTTCAATCTTTGTCTAGAACAGTGCCTTACACCAGAGGATTAGCTCAGACTGTAAGTTGTAACACTTATTATTTAGAATTATATTTTTAACTTTAAAGTTATTTTTTGACGTCAAAAATACATAATAGAAAGTTGATTGTGCTTTTAGGCTAATGGAGTGCCAGAGCTGGCCGAAAAGCTGAAGTGCACTTTGATTCCAGGCGATGGCGTGGGTCCTGAACTTGTCTATGCAGTTCAAGATGTGATCAAGAACACTGGAATTCCATTAGAATTTGATGAAGTCTTTCTGAGTGAAGTTCATTACACTCGTTCTTCGTCTATCGACGATGTGATCAAGTCTATCTCGTTGAACAATCACGTCGCATTGAAAGGAGTAATTCAAGAAAGTGTCCGCAATGATTATGATGAACATGGAGGTATCAACACTCAATTGAGACGTCGATTGGATTTGTTTGCCAACGTTGTGCATATCAAGGTATGTTTGATGTATTCCAGAGATGGAAACATTATTTTTTACTTATTTAGTTATGTTTTTAGAGTTTGGAAGGAATCAAGACCAGACACGAGAAGAACTTGGACTTTGTTATTGTCAGAGAACAAACTGAAGGAGAATACTCGAGTTTGGAGCACGAAAGTGTTCCTGGAGTTATTGAATGTTTGAAGATTATGACCCGGGCCAAGTGCGAGAGAATTGCCAAGTTTGCCTTTGATTATGCGACAAAGAACAACAGAAAGAAGGTAACCGCTGTCCACAAGGCCAATATCATGAAGCTGGGAGATGGTTTGTTCTTGAACGTTTGCAAAGATGTAAGTTTTTGAAGTGCAGCATTGTTTTTAAGGACTAGATGTGTAAAAAGGGTTGTTTTAAGAATTTTGCTGTTTATTTTAGTGTTATGTTGTTAAAACATATTTTTTTTTTTCATTAAATTAGGTAATAAAAAATCTAAATATAATATTTCAGATGTCAAAGTTATACCCAAAGATTGAGTTTGAGAACATGATTATTGACAACTGCTGCATGCAACTTGTCGCTAAGCCAGAACAATTTGATGTAATGGTTATGCCCAACGTAAGTATTACCTTACTATACTTAATGTTTTGGAAGGTTTACACAATTAGTGGTTATGCTTTTAGTTGTACGGTAACATCATTGACAACCTGGCTGCTGGATTAGTTGGAGGTGCTGGTGTTGTACCTGGTCAATCGATTGGATCCGATTATGTTATCTTTGAGCCTGGATCGCGTCACTCTTTCAAGGGAGCTTCTGGACGGTAAGTCAATATTTGTTGTGTTTTTTGTAATTTAGGTATTACATGGAGTTGGTTAAAGAGTAAAATGTGTTTAAGAAGTCTTAAAAATTTTTTCTACTTAAAAATCTAAATTTTTCAATGTCTGTTACCTAAAATAATGTTTTTAGTCAAATCGCTAACCCCACAGCCATGATCTTGTGCTGCGCCAACTTACTGAGACATTTACATTTGGACGAGTATGGTAGAGCATTGACACTGGCCGTAGAGAAGACTATCAGAGACGCCAAAGTGAAAACGAGGGATCTGGGAGGCTACGCGACTACTAAAGACTTCACCTATGCCGTTATTGATAACTTCAAGTTGTAATAGGACCATTAGGCTTTAGACAAAGTAAACACATCTATTTTGGAGTTCATTGCCTTGTTTACGCGTTCTTGTCGCTCAATATCTGATAACGTGTCGTGATTAATATGTTTTGGCCTTTATGCTTATGTCAACTTGATGCTGTAGTAACTTGGGCAAACTGTGCTTTTTAATATGTTAAGCACGGTTCTTTAAATCATTTGTACATTTTTTTGATAGATGCAGTAGTTGACTACTTTTATGTGCATATAGTTACAAAAGTTTGTTTAGAGATGTGACGATGAGATGTTCGGAGAGTGACGCTGAATTTGAAGATGCGGTCGAAAGTCTGGATGTTTTTCCAGGAGCGTCATATAATGTAAGACGTTTTTTCTTTAAAATATGTGTTTAGAAGTGCGTATGTGTTTTTTTAATGTAATTTGGAGTTTTAAAAAGAATGGTCTACAATTATATAAAAATTAACCAAGTTGAGAGTTTAAACAAACGTTCGAAAACTTATATTATACTTGTTCAGACGGAACCCGCGAACAATGGCAACAGAAGAAGCCGGCTGGCCAACCTGAGGTCACGGATGAGGTCGGAGTTTGGGATGGCTTCTTCGAACTTTGGTGGGAGTCAAACATCATTTGACAACGCTTCTCAATCAGATTGTACTTCAATCGCTTCTTGGGGATGCAAACTGTTGAACGAAACTGCTCTAACGGCACCAGTTGATGTAGCACCAGTCGACTCTATAAGTACCAGAGCTCCTCAAACTCACGAACAATACCAATGGTCTCCGCCTCCATCTCATCCTCCACCACCGCCACCTTCATTACCTACGTCAGGACATCAAGGGCGACCTTTACCTCCACCTATACCACCTCGACCTTCACCACCGCCTAACGGTACGGTGGTTGAAGCTACGATTTTTAATACACCTGATTCTGCAATGTAAGTTTAAAAATTAAAAAAAATGTTTTTTGAATTGGGTAAGATAGCCTAATATGTACTGAAACATTCTGCACTCTTTCACTGTTGTGGTTATAATTTTTGCCCTTACAAGCCTAGATGATAATTTTAAGACTGCTAATAATGTTGTTGTCACTTCAGATTGAACGAAAGCGTAAAACGAGGTCATTCAAAAAGCAAATCATTGGATAGAGGAATGTGTTTGGGTGACAAAATGCCTACGACAACATCAAAGTCATTATCATTAAATCGAGGAGTCTCTGGAAAGATTGCCAATCGAATTTGTGAAGAAGAACAAAGAATCAACAACGCTCAAGGTGTCATACATCAACTGACGTTGTCTGTTTTGTCATCTTCAAAGAATTCTATGAATGGCACTAATAACAATACGGTATGTTTTAAGAAAATAGCACTGTAATATACAATAAGTGTTGAATTTCAAAAAGCTATTTTAAAATTGCATTTTTAATAAAGAGTTTGATGTTTTAGCTGACAGATGTTGACGCTTCTTTCAAAGAACCTCTGGAGACGATTCCCGAACCCTCCTCAGCTCCAGTATACTTCAGGTCCAAGAATAACTCTTGTTCAGCCGTCGAAGATCGATCTGACATATCTTTCAGTCCAAATTCTTCAAATATTTTAAACGAAACCTTTGAATCGAATGGCAGTAGAACTCAGAAACCACCATCTTCTCACAAACGGTACTCTTCTTGTGTTACAGTACCTACAGATCACAAAGGACACGACTTCAAACCGTCCAAGTCAGTATCAGAATTGCATCCGAAGAAAGAACTCACTCATATGGTATCTATTGATCCCATAACACGAGATGTAGAGAGGAGAATGTCTATGAAGGATCATTCCACTATGTCATCATCAAAGTATGATAATTGTAATTTTTTGTAGAAGACAGTATATAATAATTTTGAAGCGGTTATATTATGATTTTTACAGTAGTGGTGAAGGGTCAAGAGAAGAGAGTATGGTATCTTTGCATTCTGGCGTGGGTTACGCAAGGAGTTTGGTCAAGAACTATGGTAATATGGCGCAAGTTTTCATCAGGGGAGCTTATCAGAAAGCCAAGGGAATTGTAACTACAAAGTGAGCCATCTTACAATAGCATTGGACTGTACGGCCTATGTATAAATTTTTTTTGTGTTATTATTACTTTAGTTTCAATTACACGGTTTTAGACCTCGATGTACAATAGTAGAGCGTGAAGAAGACGAGATATCGGAAAGTGACGCAGCCTCATCTTCAGTATCGATCAGTACAAGTGAGAACAACTTCAGAACAGGCAATAAGTTAGAGGGTCCTCCGATCATTTGTCGCCCAAGAAGTGTAAAAAAGGGACCATTTGACTTCTCACAACTACGAGCAGTTCAAGAACTCAATAATGAACATACCGGAGCAGTTTGGTCACTTAAGTTTAGGTAAGATACATGTTTTTAAAAGATTGTCTAGAATATTGCCAAATATGGTAATTATTGTGATATCATGATAAGACAACAGTTAATAAATTAACTTTAGTATGTGTGGAAGACTATTAGCGACAGCCGGCAGAGACAGTTTGGTCAGAATATGGGTATTAAGTAAACATTTACATTACTTTACACGGATGAGAGAAAAGTACAATCAAGGGAACATTGACAGCGATTTCGAGAAAATTCATCTTCAAATGGACAAAGTGACTGTAAGTTTTCTACTTTAAAAATGTTTTGTATACTTATCAATGGTTCTTAAGCTTGCAAACTAATGAAAAACTTTATGTTTAGCCAAAATTATTTTTGCTTAACACTTAAAATTTAAAAAAATCGTATTACAAGGACAAAATATTTTTAGATCTATTTGAATAGTATTATACATTATTTACAAAAAAAATATTGGAGAGTAAAATAAAAAAGACGAAAAAGAGCGCGCTTCGATCTTTGGTTTTGATTTCTCGACTGAAGAGAAATAATAAAAAGACAAAACCGGGTATCACTTTTTCAAGCTATTTTTTACTTTCGGGGGTGTTAATAATGATCTTTAAATTTTAAAAAATATTTTGGTTGGATTATTTTACTTATATCGACAATATTTTTTTTATTTTTAGAAGAATTATCAGATAGATGACGACGACAGCTCGCTCAGTTCAAGAAAGTCGCCGTTGGACTCATCGGCTTCGGCCAAATCAGTATCAACCCAAGCCAGTTCTGGTACTCCAGTCTTTGCACCGAAACCATTTTGTATATACAGAGGTCATATGGCTGACATACTCGACTTAGCATGGTCGCCTAGAAATTACTTTTTACTATCGTCGAGTATGGATAATACCGTCAAGTTGTGGCATCTGACAAGGTCGGAATGTTTGTGCTGTTTTCAACACACTGACTTTGTTACTTGCATATCTTTCATGCCTAAGGTAATGTTTATTAATTTGTTTTATATTTTGAAAAAAGCTTAAAGAACTCAATGTTTTACTATATTATAACAATTTTTTGATTTGTATGAGGCTAATGTATTGTTTAGGATGATCGGTACTTCATATCTGGCTCAATGGATGGCAAGATACGGTTATGGCATGTTCCTGAGAAGAAGGTAGCCTTGTGGAATGAAGTTGATCAAGTCAAGTTTATTACCGCCATCACTTTTATCAGAAACAGATTCGTTGTGGTAGGGACATACGATGGTAGATGCTTCTTTTACACTACTGATGTAAGTTCTTATTCATTTTTCTTGTTATTTAGACTCATGACGTTGGTTTAACTTACTATAATATGTCGGTTTTAGCAACTGAAATATCACACAGTAATAAACGTACGATCTTCACGCGGTAAAAACTCTCGAGCTCATAAAATCACTTCACTTGCCGTTCACAACAACCATCTTCTTGTTACCTCGAACGACTCTCGCATCAGAATGTACAGGATTGACAACATCGAGTTGGTGGCCAAGTTCAAAGGTGCTCAGATCGAAGGTACTCAGATCAGAGGAAGCTTCTCTCCTGATGGCAAATACGTCATTTGTGGTACGTGATATACGAATTTGATATTGGTTTTTATGATTTATCACAGTAAGATAGAGATATAGGTTTGAACAATGATAATATTGTATTTCTAGGATCTGGAGATTGTTGTGCTTATATTTGGAGAGTGACAGACGTCTCAACTACGTACTCACTACATAACAATCTGTGGGAGCGAATCAGGATTCATAACACGGTAGTTACTGCGGCAGTATTTGCACCGAAGCCAGGATTGATATTCCAAGTTTTGGGTGATAACAAAACATTGCTCAGTCCAGTCAAGTCGTCTATTGGTTCTGGCAAAAAGTAGGTTCTTTGATAAATTTAATGTACGGTCTAAAAGTGTATTGAAGAAGACTGATTTTGCCGTAATTAGTTTGGTATTTTTTCGTATTTTATGTATTTTAATACAATATTAACTTTTACCTTTTAGTTCCGGGTCAAACTCTCAATCCAACAAGTCTTCAGAACTATCTACACCTTCCTCTTTCATCGCTTCAACCACTGCAAGAGCAGCCAGAGTCCTTAACGAGATCCGAGGCCACAAAGCGATCCAACCAGAGAATCTGAACTCTGCCAGCCTTGAAGTGATGGGTGACGTCGTCGTGACAGCCGATCTGAACGGCTCCATCAAGATTATGGTCAACCCACGGCATCTAACTTACAATTGATAGCAAGCTTCTTTCCGTAACAGTCACTTACATATTATTCATCCTAACTTATATATTTATTCGTTGCCTTTACTATCTCTCCACGGGTATTTCAGCATATATAACTTGAGGGTAAATACATTAATCAAGAGGTATCGGAGTTTTGGAATTAATTGGCGTTAGAACGCTTTATATTGATTTAGTTGATTATTTTTGATGATTTTTACATTATTTTGTGGTTCTTATATGACATGTGGTTATATTGTATGTTATGTGTTATGTAATTTTATGTTTAGATGTTTCTCATACGGCGTCTAGGGACGTCGTTAGGGAACTTTGGACGATGTCAGGTAAGAACCGCGACAACAATACCCAAAGACACAGAGAATGCAGTTAAGGATGGGCTACAGGAAGTTGAGAACGATCCTATCAACACAGCTGCAATTGAAGAAACTGGTGAAGATGGTACTCAGAAGGTCAAATTACCGTACAATGAGTACACAATGAAGACATTGAAGTATGTTTTTATTTTTTATACAGAATTATATCTTTTTACATTAAGTCATGGTTAATATCTTACAACTTATGGTTTGCACAGTTTATTGGTTATTTCAGATTGGACCAGTATCCATACTACGTGGAACGCGAGTGGTGGAAGCACGGTAACCGTATGACTTTCTGGGCTACGTGGCGTATGAAGAGAGACGTGCTACGAAGAGAATCTCTGGCAGAGTACGGTCCAGAAAGGATGCGATTAAAGGCGCTTAAGTACAACACTATTCTGCCTCAGGCATTGCGAGACGAGTGTTCGGAACGGCTGACCCATGGGGTACCACAATATTCACATCCGTCGCTGATTCTGAACATGTGCCAGTTCACGGGTCGAAGAAGAGGAAAGATCAAGCCTTTCAGAGTGAATCGACACATCTTCCGTCGACTGGCCGACCACTCCCAACTGTGCGGAGTCAAAAGGGCCATGTGGTGATCTCGTTTAGGCATTTCTGTTGTTCTGTTGGCATAAATTTATTTGATTTAATCTTGTTTTACTTTGGATGATACTAGTTTGAAGCTAGTCTATACCTACAGATATTGTTTAATATTGTGATACTTTCATAAGCTTGTTTGAAGGTTTTGGAAAGTACGTGATGTGGTTTTTTCGTGTGTGTTACTGTTAACTATTACATTTTAGGTATAAAAATGATGCACAAAATTGCGGTCTTCTTCCTGGTTACTGTAGCATTTGTATCAATGGGTATGTTATTTCTTACTATATCTTTTTATGCACATTTGTTTAAAGCTGTTAGATTTATGTTTTTTATTTTTCTTATTACCTTTAGTAACATAACATTATATTGTTTTAGTACACGCACAACAAGAAGAAGATCCAGTGATGAAAAAGAGGAAAGACTTTGGAGTTTACTCGGTAAGGTTACAATGTGATAGTTTGGTCGACTTTATTTTATTAAACTAACATTAAATCTACTTTATAACTTGGTTTTTACTATATTTTTTGAATTTGAAGAGTAATATAATGTTTTACATTCGTAATTGTACTCTTTTCAGTTCGTATCTTCTGACTACCCAGCCGCCTTCGCTATTGTCGCTGGAGTGAGTGTGGTACTGGTCGTGGGTGTTGTCTTTATCGTAGTCGGATTGTTGACTATGGACCCAGGCCGCGACTCCATCATCTACCGTATGACCACCACCAGAATGAAGAAGGACTAAATGTGATATTAATGTATACGACGCCTCACTTAATCGACTTAGATTCTATTTTCTATTCTGCCGATCTTTCTTTCACTTTGTAAACTTTCTGAATAAACAATTCTAAAATATTGAGAAGGCTTATCAATCTGATGTTATTAATATTATTTTTATATTATCTTGGTAGATGTTATTTATATTACTTTAGTCGGTTTTTCAAGGTTAATATGTAAATATTATCTTTTATAATTGTCTTCAGTAGATGTCGGTCAGTAGACTAGCCCCAACTCGAACCGAGCCAATGTCATTAAGCATTTATATATTGAGCGATCCGCCAATTAAATCGCATCTGAATGCGTGACTGACGCCTGTTCACAAAAGAAGACGAGGGGCGACGGCGACAAAAGAAAGGCGGAACCAGCATCTTCTCCACCTTATTCACAACACTGCCAGCGGTTTCGAGCACACTCCCCCATTACCGTGATATGATATGCCGGTGAGTCGGAACGAGTTGGTCAAGAAACTCTTGACTCACGAGGACCAGCCGGACCAGTTGGACGACGAACTGGTACCGGCAAGGAAGAAGGTGTGGGATGACCTTGCCACCTTTGTTGAGGTAAGTGTCTTTACCTTGTTTTGAATGGATCTGGGTCTGCTCAGCGGGTTTCTGAATGCCATAATAATGGTTTTTAAAAATATTACATTAAAAAATCGAAAAAATATGCAAATTTAGCAAAAATTTTAGGTTTAAAGGTATGACATCAAATAGTAACATGGTTAGAACAAGAAAATAAACTGAAAATAATCAATTATTATCGTATTTTAAGGTACAAAGTACAAAATTAAAGACATTAAACATAATATTGCAATATATTATATTGTACATGTCTTACATTTCAGGAAAACCTTAATGAAGTTCACGCCAAAATGGACAAAGTTGAAGCCGAGATCTGGGGGAAATTAATTGTGATGGAGAAGAATGTCAGGGTGGCCAAAGCTTACCTCAGGGCTTCTACTATCACTGTAGATGGCACTAAAAACTACTTTGATGGGTCAAGGTATGTTTTGAGCGAATAAAATTAAAATTTTAAAACTTTTTGTCTTGACACAGAATGCCAAAGAAACGGAATAGGATTTGTGGTCCTTTAATTTTAAAATTATAATAGCTTTGTAAAGGAGATTAAAACGTTTTTATAAGTTGTCATTTCAGGATAGGACTGTCATACTTTCCAAACAGTCGCCGAGAAGGGAATACAGAGCAAGAACTGAAAGCTTTGAGTAAAGTAGGTTTATATTATTGTAGTTCGTAGCTATATTCATAAAATTTTGTATCAGACTTTTTAAAAACTGTAGTGTAAATTGATTTATATGTAAATCAATGATTTGTAAATCAGAACTTAAGCATCAACTTCAGGGTGTGACGATTCAATTGGACAGAATGGGTAATGTTTGGATGAAAAGTCAGACCTTGAAGCCTGTTTGTGTTCAATGTGCCCAATACCCTGAGCCTATTTATTTGAGCGACAATTTTAAAAAGGTAAGATTATAAGAGGGTAAAATACGTATTTTAAATCTTTGTTTATAAAGTCTTATGATGAGATCAGAACTCTCCAAACTAATAATAGATTTACCGAAAATGTGTTGTTTTCACGTTTGCCATGACTAATGTTGTGTTTCAGATAATGGACATGAGGTTTTTTCGAGATTCAATCCTACACAAACTCGAGCTCAGTCCGTCGCTGGATGCCCACAAACTCTTCAAAAAAGTCATCATTTTTGTCAAAGTAAGTTTAGAATTAAATTTTTGATTATAAGAATTCATTTTTTTATTTATTTCACCCAAAAACATCTTTTTTAATTACTTTAAAAATTTTAGTTAAGCGACGCCTCCCCCGACATGAATCCCCTGAACTGTTCTTTATGGTTCGCCTTGATACATCTTGTTAGTGTTGACCTTATCCATCTTATATTGTCCTCCCCTTCGACTGGTACACCTTCCGAATTGTCACCTCAGTCATCGTCAAGTTCAGCATGCTCAGACGTGGATAAGAAGTTCATACGAGATCGAGAGTCTAACGAGGATTCTTCTGCCAGTACGTCGTCGTACAATCCTGATTCCTACAGGAATAATGGCAGTCGGTGAGGAGGTTTTTAAATTTTGATAATACTAGGGAATTCAAGTAGCTCTGTGTCTTCTTTCAAGCAACTTTTTGGGTTATGGGGCACGGAATTATTTGGACATCCTGATATTATTGTGACGGTCAGGTGAAGTTTTAAAGTTTTCAATTTGAATCTAAAACATATTATGACTATAGGACGAGTACTGGAGTAGCGAGGAAGATATTCAATCAACAACATACGAGAAGATACAACACGAATCGATCTACGTCACAACGAAGATCAGCCAGTAGAGAGAGGACGATACAACGAATACCAAACGAGTATTCGGTACCATATTCAAGTGCGACCACGGATTCCGCGCGATCAGACAAAAGCAAAGTAATATTTTTATTTTTTATCGTTTTTTTGAAGATTTGGTATGTTGTTGTAGTCAAAACTGGGAGCTTTGAAGGTTTTCAGTCGTATTTGTCATTTTTATAAGCTTTTAATCACATATGTCATCAACGACAATATATTTCCTGTCACTTTCATAAACATGCCATCTATGACAATATATTTCTATATCCGAACATCTTGAACGTTCCCACGATCAGATTAAACTCTCCTTTGTCGCTTCAAATTACAAAAACATTCCATTGAACTCTTTATATTCACCATGCTCTCTTTTTGCAGAAGACCGGAAGCCAGTCGAAACTGTCGTCGAGTGGTTGGAGTCTTCTGAATCTGACGGACATTGACAAGATGCAGAAACCCTTTTACTTTGCGTCGGCTGAGGAAGCGGAGCGCGGGCGACGGACGCGACGCGGCGGCGCTGGTCATCGCTTCAGCAGTCAACACAACAAGAAGCGCGACAACGACGAGGAGGACAGTCCGTATCTGGTTCCCAACAACAGTCGGACGCTGAATCGGTCGAGTGGACGGTAGAAGAGCCAGGTCAACATGAGCAGCGACTAGCTATGATAAGTGGAGGTATAGACTGTTAGTACAACGGAACGTCTGTATAACGAATCATAGGAGACGATAGTTTGTTATAGGGAGGTTTTGCTGGACACTGATACAGTATCTATAGCAAGAAATAGGACATACTGTAGTAGTATATACTGTAAGGTCACTAAGGTTTTATGGCTTTCCAGGAAGTATTATTTTGAAATTTAATGTAAAATATTTAAATTGAAGTTGTTAATTGTAATGTCAAGAGTATAACATTGTATTATATTGTGCTCCAAACTGAAACTGATCTCAACTAAACTTTTATCTATAATAAACTAAATATAAACATCTAGCTATGATAATTAGAGATATAATAAAACAAGTCTTATTTTATCCAAACTACTCTAAAACCGTACCAAAAAGTCAAAAAATATTTACAGTACACCATGTTACAGTATACTAAAAAGAATTCATTGAAAGTGATAAAAATTTATTTGCGTGAGCAATGGAAATTACAGTACCCGTGATAGCTGAGCCAATATGACTCCTGAGATGAGAACAATGTTAAGGTAGATGTGAGTGGCAGCGTTTAACGTGTGGGACAGCTTCTGATGTCTCACATGGTAGGAATGAGGTCGTAGAGTGACGTTGAATGAAAGACTTCTGACATTTTCCGAAATAATTACAGTATGATGCTGGGGGTAGTAGTTGGGGTGCTCGAATGTTACCTAAACAATATCATAATGGTAGTATGTATGAGCGGCATTATGCTAACTAATTGCTATAATACTGTAATAACTATAATGTAAACTAAGAAATCAGTAGTACTATGCCATTTCAACCTTACATTGTACGTGCCCGGAAGCAGTAAGCGCCAATAATCGCCGTACTTGTAAGAAGATACGACCAACGGCCCGTCGCCCACCGACACCGTGACATTGGAGACGCCCTTTCCTGTCTGTTCGTCATGCACGAAGCCGTGCAGACTCTGATGCACGATCGAAATGTAGTGCAGGAGGGCGAACTTGTGCTCCTCCCAGAAGCTGAACAGCTCCTTTGCCTTAGGGAATTTGACGCAATTCATTTCGACGGTCACCTCGAAGCAGCGGCCGAACACGTAGTTCCAGTCCTGCATCCCGCCGGTCACCTCGTACCAGCTGGCTCCATTCACGATGCCCAGCTCTGGGTCTAGTGGGTCGTTCAGGTGGTCTAGTAGGCAACGGGGACCCTGGAATCGTGGCTTATGGGCTTAACTAATATATTAGTATTGATATATGAAAAGGTAATAAGTCCTGTTTGAAAATACTAAAAAAAAAAGTTTTTTTTCTCTCCCCCCCCCCGCCTTACAACAAATCTGTAGCGACGTGCCTGACTGAACCAAACGTAAAAACCTGTCTATAACATCAAAACCTACTTTTTTAGCCATTCGTTTATGTGCCCGAGCGTATGAATAGGCAATAAGTACGAACAAGTTGTTGTCTTTAGTTTTGGATCTGTCCCCAACACCGTCATCGAATGGGTAGTTGACCAGGGCTGTTCCTGAAATTAAATATATATTTTTGCTGACAAAAAAATATTTTAGCCTTAGTAGCCCTTATCATCTAAAATCATATTCAAAACTTTGAAAGGCTTAACATTTATATACGAAGAAGATAACATAGTTTTTACAATTTTCTTTATGATTCATGCCATTATTTACCTGAATGTAGATTGGCTGATAACACAAAAGGTATGCTTTTAGTCCAGTCCATTAACAGTTGAGTTTCTTTTTGAACGACTGTCGTACTTCTGTGGTAGTGAGCACGGTAGTTGTCTTGTGGAGGAAAGTTTCTGTTCAGATCTACTCCATTTGCGTTTTCTCTTCCCTAAAATTAGAATTAACTCAGCTACTATAACATCCGAAATCATCATATGAAGAGTAAGAGTTAAAGTCATGTGAAAGCAAAGTCATCACAACATAAAAACTCAAAACTACTTTTTATCAATCTGACATTGTAGGTTACTGCAATTTATCTTTACTATATTCTACAATGTCAGCTTATGCCCAATCTTACTATCTATAACCTAACTTACCCTAGTCCCAGTCTCATCGCCCTCCTGTGCCTTATCGTAGCCATCTGGATTCATGGACGGTAGAATGTGAATCCTGGTGGAGTCCATCAACTTTGTGATATATTTATTTTTACCGTAGTTATTTAATAATACCGCAGCCAACTGTAGCAGTAACTCTCGACCCAATACCTCGTTACCATGCATATTACCAACATATTTAAACTCGGGTCGCCCAGGTAAATGATGTTTTGGCATTCGGCCGATGGTCAAGACCCACAGCTCTCGACCTTCTATGCTTCTTCCTATCGAGTTTAAGGTTGATATTCGAGGAAACCTGGTAGATAAGTTCTGAAAAATGATGTTATAGCACATTTATGGTGTATTTACTTTCTAGATTGATCAAAAAATTTCAAAAAATTGGAAATACCTTTAAAAATTGTGTCATTTCATTATAGCTATGGTGTTTGTTGATAGAAGCCGCCGACGGCTCCCAAAACGAGCCTATTAACAGTCGGATATCATCGTAATCTTTCGCCCATTTCTTGCGTTCATATAGATTTATCAGCTCCTGAAATGGATTTTATTTACATAAAAGTATAAAAATGCTGCCCAAATTAAATAAATTTATCTTACAGAGTATAATAGTACACATCCTATGTTTTCCAAAAAGTACACTTTCTTAAATCGTGTAAAACATAAAACAATCCCCCCTCCCCCAACCGAGTTACGGTAACCCAATTACCGCGTCCACTTACTTCGTCATTACTCTTGTACGGGTTAGTCGCATCACCAGTGTAGAACAACAACAAGACCACTAAGTATGTGCACATTGCCGAAACAAACTCGGAAATAAGCCTACTTGGTGATAACAACACCCTTCTGACCAACACATCCACCCCGATTTCCGGCGCACTCAATGCAAGAGAGAATGTCTTTTATCGAATAAGGCATAAAAAGGGCAACTGTCGGCCAGACGAGGAAGGGCGGGCACAATGGAAAAGTGGGGAGACAAATCCCCCATGGCCCCATCGGTAGCACCATGGCTACTTAGACTGCCCTTCCTGGCAACCTTTATGCAAATTGCATCTGACGTGCCGTGATTAACACCGTTTTCGAACGTTTCAGTACGAAAAAAGAAAACCATCAAACAACGTACGAAAAGAAGCGAGCAAATTACGGTAATTGTTAAAAAAAACTAAGTCATTTGTAAAGCATACAGTGTAATTTTAAGTATTTTAGAAAGGATGCAGTGTAATATAAGCTATAATATTGTTTAACCCTACTTTGGACCTTATTTTAAGATTATATGCTTTTAAAATTGCTCAAACGACCTTGTCAAAATAACAAAAAACACCTTTAAAACAACAAGAACCAAGCTTTTCACTATTATTTTGTAAGATATCTTATAAAAATTAAACAATAGCCCTTTTCAATGACCAAAATAACTTTTAAATAGATCCAAAATAACATAAACCACCTGTAACATCACATGTGTACTATAACATAAATCATTGCTTATCAAGATGTTTCATTTTCTTATATTACCCATGCCAAAAGCAAACTTTAAAATGTTGAAAATCTCTTTGAAATCGCTCAAAAATACTATAAATCACCTAGAACGGCAATCTGTTGCCCAGACGTGTGAATTAAAAACCAAAAAGCCGCCTTTTTGTGGATTAAAGGGCATTAAAGTCGCAAAGCCAGTTTGTTTTAGATAACATCTTCAAGTGTTTATTGTAAAGGCCTCATAAACAAAATGTTTATCCGATCCCTGGAGAGTGCGACGTTTGGTGGTGGGGCCGGATGAGTAGGCCAGAGGGAGGGCGTGTGAGTTATGGAAAGCGACTAATTCGAATAAACCGTCTTTTCGGACTCCAACTAATCCGCCCAGCTTCTTGACCGGCTCCGAATAGGCCGCGAGCAGTGGTGACTCAACGAAATTCCGCTGAACCGATGATTCGATCGTTTGGATCGAGATGGCTTCTGGGCTAAAAAAGGTTCGTTTTTAAGTAATCAAAAGAGAGAGTCTAGCATATTATGTGATAAAGAGATTGGCGGTTGTTATTGGACTTTTGGATCCAAATATATAAAGAAACGTCAGAAAGAGGTATTATTCTTAATTTAAAATTTAAAAACTGACGTTTTGTTTGATTATTAAAAATTTATCACCCTCCCAGTATAAAATTTCAAATTTGAGCCATGAATGTAGCATAAGTTACTACTGTCTAGAGAACATTTTACTTCAAACATAATTCATAAAAAACTCATTTTATACCCAAAAAAAGTAGATAACATACTTGTTAAAAAGATCATTTGCAATCTTCTCAGCCATATGCGTTTTCATAATACACTCCCCACATCCTGACAGTGTCATACATACTGACATGTCTATGTCTTTCCGTTGTTCTGCCCAAATACCAGCTCCAAACACAGTACTGTGGCCCAATCGGCCTCTTTTCTTCAACAGTATGCCTCCTGATGATATAGAAGCTTCACATTCACCAGTTTCCTAAAACGCTACGTTTAACAGAAGTAACATAACACGTAAACAAATACATACAATATGAAAAAAATCAACTGAAAATACATATAATCTTTAGTGAATATCAAAGCTAATGTCAAAACCTTACTGATATCCTCAAAGCTCCAACAGTATCAAACTGTTCCAACTGTAACTTAGCCTTCTTCCTAGCCACTTCTCCAGAATCTGATATCAATTCTGACTGTGAACAAGTAGGTACGTCCATTTTAACAGCAAATTCACCTGCTCCCTTACCTACCAGAACCATCGGCCATATCAAATTGTCATTGTTTGTAGACTCCACTAGCTTTTTAGATAACAAACTTGGATGTTTACTATTTGATAGAGCTCCTACCGCTCCAAATAACATATTTTCAGACTGCATATAAGCACCTTCACATTCAACTTGACCATCCTCTGTTAATGATGAGCCTATGCCACAGTTTGTTCGAGGATCTGATTCTAAACACTAAATTTGAATATTAACAGTAAAAACCAAAGATGAAACATACCATAACAGCTTTGACTGTGTCACGTTCTTTCACCGCCTGAGAACATAACTTGTCAATACCAGGTAAATGCCTACCTATACCACAATGTACTGCAAGCATCTAAAGATACAATTATAACTTCACCATGAAACATTCAATATAATAATGTAAAAACATTTAAAACAATTCTTAAATACGCAAAAAATCACAATTTCAACATGTATTTAACAAAGTATAAATAAAGAATGACAAAGATTGTATTTACAGATAAAATATCACTATAAAACTATTTTATACCTAAAACAATATCCAGTTGTTCAACAAAAGCTTTCACATCAACTCATGTTCTTTTCCAAATACTTTTCGAGTTGTGCTTTGCTAAAACGATGCTTCAGAACCACTTTGTCATCTTCCATCAGCACTGGTATATCGTACTTAAACTTCTGAAATAAAAAACTTTAATTTATAGTAACAGCAAATAAGTAAACCATATTATAATACCTGCAAAATCACTTTAAAAACCTAAAAAAAGAAAAACAAGAAGATAAAACAACTTACTTCAAAAATAGTCTTATCGATTCGAATGTCTACTTCAACAAAGTCTAATTTCAGCCCAGTTTTGCTCAAATACCTCCTCAAATCATCCTTAAAGTGATAACATAATGTACATTGATCAGATGTAAGAAGTTTTAGAGTATTTTTGAAACAGCTTCTAGAAAGTTGCATTTCCAAGGTTTTTAAAAATCATTTCTAAAAATATTTTTTATTTTATTTATTTCCGCTGAATAATCGACTTTGACACTCCGCGACAACCCCGTTTCAAACCAGTCAATTGTGACACTTCGTCGTAGTGAGTTTGAATTGGCGGGCGATGTGCTACGGTATGTGCCTGAGCGCCCATAGGGTTGAGAAAAATAAATTCTTTTTGTCCATTAGAGAGGTGGTTCCTCATCGTGAAAAATGGTAAGTTATCGTTAACTCTAGGCTTATATTTAAATTTTATGTTGTTTATTATTGATTTAGGCTTCTGTTATTGCATACTGGAAATTCTGGTTTCATTCATTTTTTGATGTTTTATACTTTAAAAAAATTAGGCGAACTTTATTTTAAAATTTTTAGCTTTTTTATTTTTTAATGTTACCTTCTTTCTGTTTCAAGGTGAAGAAGACCGTCAAAAAATCCAAGAAGGTGGCTGCCCCACCAGCCCAGTTGAGAAAAACTGAAGCCAAGAGAGAAGAGAAAGCTTCGTTGTTCGAAAAGCGCACCAGGAGCTTCGGAATTGGTAAGTTATTTATTATATGTTTCTGAGTTTAGAGTTCTAAAGGTGTATATCATATTTGGACGCAAAAGTTTGTGTTCGACATGATTTGTACCTAAAATTATTGAGTTTTACACTTTGCGGAAAAGAATAAGGTTGTTTTTATCGTTCTTAGAGGGCTCAACATATTTATAAGTTTTCATTTATGTTTATCGCATAATTTTATACCTATAAATAATATTTCAAAGTTGAAAGCGACAGGTTACGTGGAAATGTATAAATGATGTTGTTTTAGGCCAAGACATCCAACACAAGCGTGACTTGACCCGCTTCGTGAAATGGCCCAAGTATATCCGTCTCCAACGTCAGAAGGCTGTTCTCCAAAAGCGTCTGAAGATTCCGCCACCAGTGAACCAATTCCGTTTAGCTCTTGAGAAGAACAACGGTAAGTTTTTATGTTTTTGGTTTTGTTTTAGGCATTGAAAGTTGTTTCTACGGAAATAAAATTTGATTTTTTACTTTTTTATTACTTTTTCATGAGAAATACATGTAAAATATTTAATTTTGTTTTGTTTCAGCTCGCAAGGTCTTCGAATTGTTGGACAAATACCGACCAGAGACCGAAGAGGCCAAGAAGGACAGACTCCGCAAGAGAGCTGAAGAGAGAAAGGCCGGCAAGCCAGAAACTGTCACCAAGCGTCCAGCTGGTGTCAGATTCGGTATCAACAACGTTACCAAGCTCATCGAGAACAAGAAGGCCTCGTTGGTCGTTATTGCTCACGATGTGGACCCATTGGAGATCGTCTTGTTCCTTCCAGCCTTGTGCCGTCGTTTCGATGTCCCATATGTTATTGTTAAGGGTAAAGCTCGTCTCGGACAAGTTGTGCATCGCAAGAACTGCGCCGCTGTAGCCCTCACTGACGTATTGCCGTAAGTTTTTTCACATATTATCTTTTAGGGTTGAATAATATTAATCAATTAGTGAATATTGTTGTCAAAATAACATAGGAACTTAAATAGAAGTAGTTTTTAGTAAAATATAATTTGCTATTTTTAGTGAACACAAGACCCTCCTCAAGAACATCACCGAGGTCGCCACTGAGAACTTCAATGACAGAGGTGACGAACTCCGCAAGAACTGGGGTGGTGGTATCATGTCTCAACGTTCTCAAGCCCGTGCCAACAAGATTGAAAAGGCCCGTCAACGAGAACTCATCCACAAATCGTAAATTGTTATATGCGTTGTTGATAAAAGTTTTTGTTATTATGACAGATTATCGGAGATATTGGGGCGGGCGGGGTTGAGGTTGAGATAATTTTGCTTTCTTGGTAGTTGACCTATTTTTCCGGTGTGAACTCGGTTTGCAGATAAGCATCTTAATATCCAGAGAAAGGAGTCTCGAGGTGTAGGTAATTCGGAACCTCAGTATTTTTGGGAGAAGACGGAATGGGTGCGTTTCGCTTTCTTTTGCTCTCGTACTCCTTGTTTTCATTAACTACAGCTAATTTTGCTATCGATAATGAACTTACTGGAGAGCCAGAAGTTGATTGTGAAGAAGGCATGGTATCTTTAACATTCAAGACAAAGAAGCCTTTCACTGGCCGTGTATACGTACAAGGACAAGCTGAAGACGAGAAATGTTCGCGGAACTTTGCTAGGAATGCTGACCAGTCGACTGTTTCAGTGATGGTTCAGAATGGAGACTGCACGATGTCAAGACAACGAGTTTCTGGTTCTATCGAAGTAAGTTATTTGATATTTTTAGACAATATTTTTTTAGGGAATGATGGTGTCGCTGACCATTGTCGTGTCTTTCCATGGTACTTTTGTGACTAAAGCTGACAGAGCCTACAGATGTATGTGCTTCTTCAAGAGCGTGAAAAGATTGTCGAACGTGATTGACATTGATTCTGTGCCGACTACAGAATTGATGAACACCGTGCCAAGTCCAGAATGTGAATACTCGATTAGGTCTGGTAGTCCTGATGGACCTCCAATGTCGTAAGTTTTTTTTGCTAGTAAATATACCGTACCATATTAAGTATAACAGACAGACAATAAATATAACTCAATTTAGACTGGGTCATGTTGGAGACCGTATCTTCCACGTGTGGAGCTGTAACTCTCCTAACCACAACTTCCTTGTTCACTCATGTACTGTCGATGATGGCAGAGGACTCAGATTTGACTTGGTATGACATTTTTGGTTTACTTTGATACTTAAATGCAACCTTAACCAAAATTTTTGAAATATTATGTTTAAAAACTATTTTACAAAGATAACTTCCAAACACTTTGCTTGCAGCTTGACATTGACGGTTGTGCCATTGACCCGATTATTCAACCAGATGTCGTCTATGACAACAATGGTAAACGAGCCAGTGTGGAGACGTTTGGGTACAAGTTCAGCGACACTGCTGTCCTCAACTACCAATGTGTGATTGAGTTGTGCAAGATAAGTTCAGGAGAGTGTCGTGGACTGACTCCACCAGCTTGTGGTCGAGTGAAGAAGCGTCACGTCTTCAAGAGAGAAACTGACTCTAAGCTGAGTGTGCTACAAAGTCTGACGATGACAAATGGAGCTGATGACATCGTTCCAGCTTCGATCACGACATCAGCCAACGAGAACAGTGTGGAGTTGGTGGAGCCGGGAAAGGACGGCAGATCGAACTGTCTGGAGTCGCTGCTGTTTGCTTTTGTCTTGACCATCTTGGCCGCGATCTCGTTTGCGATGGGAGTTATCATCATCATGTTCAGAAGGTCGGTTTAAGCAATTTTTAAGTTTGAAAACAGTTATTAGGTCAAAAATTTCTTAGAATACGGATTTTGATGCTATTTTTATAAAAAGTGACACAATTTTTTATATTATTGTAGCCATATTGTTGTAGGCGAAACGACTCGACAGAATTGACCTTCTAGACCTAAACTTGCTTTACTTTAACCAGGCGTTCTTTTACATTCCAGTTGACTCATCACCTCATATTAAATGACCTAATAAACAAAACATTTACTCGAGATTCGAGCACGATAACAGCCGTTTCGCCGCCGTTCCAGGTATTAGGGGTTTATTTATGTACAATAGATTACCATCAGGAATGTTACAAAATGACACTTCAAACAACAAACCTAGATTCTAAGGTTGGCAACTACAACAATATTAGGTATAGAGGAATAGTAAGACACTGCGAAAGGATTATCCTGGAACCATGAACAATAAGAGATAGTATTAATATTACAATCCTAGTTAAAATGGTATAAAGTGGTACCATTTCCACTTATAAGACCAGTCTAAACAAGTCCCATCTGCCCTTAGGCTTGGCCTTGGCCGTTTCTTTGGTCAGTCTGGTCCTAGTACAGTTGAACACTCGCTTGTCAAACTCGATTATGTTTTTTCTTGCCTCAGGCCACGAGTGTTGACCATTTAGTCGATATTGATATGGCACTAGACCATGGAAGATCAAGTGTTTGGCTAGCCGAGGGTCAGTCAACAGAGCCTTTACTATTTTAGGCTTAACATTGATCAGCTTGGCCAAACTGTCCATGTAGTTCACGTAGTATACCTAAAATACAGAGCATGGTAAGCTAGGGTAGGGTAACGTAGGGTAGGGTAGAATATATTAAAACAGAGTAAGGCAGAGTAGTCTCGGTATCTTACCTGTAACGTATGTCGTCGCCTATCGATGAAACGTCTACAGTTGTCGATATTCATCTTCAACGCGCTTTCTGTCATTTTCATTTGACTCGGGAGCTTAGCCTTGCCTGCCAGTTGAGCACAAAACACTCGACATTGCATCTCCGAGATGGGCATGATACTACCAGTCGGCTGGATCAACCCAATAATGGCTAGGGAATTGTTTGGGGCCAATTGGGGAGGGAACATTAACTGGTACAGTAGGACACGGTTGTTCTCCACCTTGATCAATCGACCATCTTCGATCAGATCAAAGTTGAAGGAGTAGCCGGTAGCCAAGATTACGGTATCCACGTTTTCTACCACGGTATTGTCTTCGAAAATGACTCCGGACTCCGTGAATTTTGAAATGTTGGGTTTGATCTGAAAACAGGCATAGCTATTAGATCGTATAAAAAATATTGAGCCACTGAACTTCATACCAATAAAATTGTCATTAAAGTATAAGTTTAAGCATAAAAAAGGTTGAATAGATAAAAATTTAAAATAACATACGACTACAGTGCCACTGATAAGTCTGTTCGGTAATTCGTCGTTTACTGTAACATGTGCTTGGAGAAAACGATGGTTTGGTTTGACACCAAACCTGCCATGGTCAAAACGACGATTTACTTTGCTTTCCATTACTCTAAAATAACACATAACTGCGGTATTATATAAAGTATTTACTGAGTACTAACAATATCTCAAAAAACTCACGTATTTTGAAGCCATTGTGGAGCCAATCCCTTCGCCCAGAACGTAAAACGATTCAACAATGCCAGATCTGATGGTTCTCCGTAGTCCCAGACTCTGTTCATAATCCACGATCCACTTCTTGTCGACAAGTACACCTTCTTGGCGACTTTACTCAACTCTACAGCAATATCACCTCCTGAGTTGCCTATGCCAACTACTACAACAACCTTATCCTCAAAGCCTTTGCAAGTACGGTACTTCTTACTGTGCAATACTTCACCTTTGAATAGGTTTTGGCCAGGAAAAGGGTCTGGGATATAGGGGATGGAGTGATGGCCAGTACACATCATGATACCATCAAAGGTCTCTTCCAGGATCTCGTTGGTGCTGTAATGATTGTTGTAGTACTACTCAACACATTATAATACAAAATTTTCATTTTTAGTTTAATATTAAGTATCTTATTCTACAGTAATCTTGCAACAAATACAGCATGTACAGTAAGACTACAGAAACCTACTCCATGATTTCGTACTTGACCTTCCATTGGCCGTTCTCAGAGAAACACTTGGCCCTCTGAATACTCAAAACCTGATGCTTAAAGAATACTTTTGATCGCAGCTTGAAGTGATCAGCATATCTGTGTAGGTAACTGTACATCTCTGAGTTGTGCATGTAATTGGGGGCATCATCCAATGGAGGAAAGTCGCTGTAAGCGGTCATTTCCTTTGATGTGTTGATCACTGTGCTTTTCATTACTGTGCCTTCATCTATAAGTAAAGTATGTTTTATTATGTACACATTGTGTATTTACTATGTGTATTCAAAAAATTTTTACCAAGACTTTAATAAAATTTTCTATAAATACTTTAAAAACAAGTACTGTAAGTAAACAACAAATTATTTGTTGATCAGTTTTTACTATCATAATCATTTATCTGGATGTTACTTTTGCTCCCGCTATAAAAAGTAATAAAATTTTGTTTATAACTAGTTGAAGATCAAGTGAAACCTCCAAGTGAAAGTAAACGAAACGGAAATGACGCAAATATGCGTACACTTCGTATACGCACATCATTGTACTAATTGGGACGTCGAATTTTAACACCTTGCCACAAATAATCATGTGTAATTTGGTAGTTAAAAATTAAAAAATCTTAAAACGACCAGCTGAAACATTTTATAAAAATAAGTAAATAACTTGTTTGTTAATATAAAGTGTAACAAAAATTAGTTCTATTGAACACAAATAAAATTTTGATAAAAAAGCTCACCATTCAGAGGATTTTCCTTGTACCTCCACAATCCCCCAATTTGGTCTGATCTCTCAAAGCATCGTGCATCAAATCCGTACTCCAACGCGGTCTTCAAGGCCGGTAGCCCTGAAGCACCGGCACCCACCACCAGTACCTTCTTCATCGTTGTCTCGAAAGTAATGAGACAACTCTATTGTACCTCGAGATAGCTCTGCCGTGTACTAAAGAGCTTCTACGTCGAGAGAACTTTGTCGTATGTTGAGATAGGGATGCGGTATGTTAGGGTAGTGTCGTCGTATGTGGAAATAAATAATAAGTTCAGAGGAACAAATTGCTTTTTTATTGCCTCCCCCACCTTGGTTGACCGCTAGCGTCGTCGCGAATCCAGTTTGCATGCAAGATTCTCCCCATTTCTTTTCACGAAGCACGTCTTCCTCGACTTGCGACATTTCCACAGACGTTTCGCGACTTTTTGACATCTGATGAGAGTGTACAATCGCGAGGAACCGTTCCGTGGCTATCTTCATCATGGACTCGGTGTTCAAGTCCGAGTCAAATTGGTTTGGGAATGGTTTAGATGATCAAAGTACGGTCGAATAGTTAGTCGATGACGTTCATAGGTAAAGATACATTTAGACTTAAAAACCCAGCAAAGCTGTCTTACATGGATAACACAATAATGAATAAAAGTGCGGTTTCGCTCAAAAACCAAAATTTGTTCTATAATTTTCATATAATATTATAGTTTATTCTCATAAAATACTGTTATATATTTCTGTAACAAAATAGGTTTTGACCCGTCAGTAATTATTATATGTTCATGCAGTATTTTGATTAGAATATGCCATCCTCGTTAGTTGTTGTATTGTGCTTTCAAACTTTTCCTGTAGTTTGTTATTCTGTTTGGCTCTTTTCCTTTTGAGGTTTGCTATTTTTAGGTAATCGAAGCCAACCTTTTCGATCGGTATAGATGGGAAACTCTTCAAAATGAGACGGCCTAAAAGTGAGGTTATTATTGATGATAATTTAACTTTAATAAAATAGTTTATTTTTACGGAGTATTATAAAGTCGGTTAAGTCATCTTCAGTTTTATAACGCCAGAAGTCAACAATCAATAAACTTTACCTGAAGACCAGTCCAAATGTGTAAACGTCACAACATCAGATCGGCATGCACGATTTATCGTTGACGGTGACAACAGACCATTATTAGTATAGTATCTCTGTGTGAAACTACTCGCTCGATAATGGCATGTTCCCATTTCTCTCCATTCCTTTTTTTCTTTTACAGTAGCCGATCAGCTAAAATCATAAAATTTTAGCTACTAACTTTACGGGGCATACAATTAGAAACGGCAACAAGAAAAAAATTTAAATATGTCGAAATCTTCTCTCATTTATCACAAATAATTATGTTAGTTTACAAATAAACTATTTTAAGTAACCATGCTTATGCAAACTTACTTTATTGTTGTGAAGCAAGTGCATACCATCCATACCTTGCATCTTGTAATCTATACCAGCGCGATACGGGAAGTTTTTGAATACACAGTCTCCGGTTTTAATTTTGTATATTCGTGTATTATCCCCTAAAATACAATATATATTTTTATGTACTACATAAGTATATTACAATAACTACACATATCATATTAAAATACGTAAACGTCAACGAATGTTGCTTACCTTGCATCATTACTTGATTCAAACAACTAAAAACACGTATACTGGAAGTTTCGTACAGACTGTTTGAAGAAAAAAGGACATAATGTTGACCAGTAGCATTCTCAATTAGGACAAATTCTTTTTGATCGTTCCAGTACCCAATGTACTTTATGTAGCCGTACAAATCGATGTTTAGTATAAACGTTACTGGAAAGGACAGTTGGACTTTGTATTCTTTTTGATTACATAAATCAACTAAAGTGCCGTCGTTGTAGCACAATGTGTTAGCGTTGTAACTATGCAAGTTTATCCTTTCGTAAACTTTTGCAATTCTATCGTCCATCAAGTCGTAAACAATAAACGATGTATTCGTTTGTACAATCATTTGTGTCGCTTTGTTAATCAGTTGTACTTTATGCAGATCTCCATGAATTCTTTCATGAAATGAGTTGACACATTTAAAAATTTTCTGTCCAAAATCCAGCTTTGTGATCAATAGTTTGTTGTACTTTAAAACCATTGCCAGCGTTCCAGTGTAAGGACAACACGTTATAAACCTGCTGAACTTTTCTTCCGATCTCCACTCGGCCATGGCAAGTGTACGTTGGTTGGTACTGAATAAAAGATGATATAATTGAGTAAAAAAATATTAAAAAATTTTATGTACTAGGTTGTCCGAAAAGTTCAGCACGTATAAAAAAACTATAAATTTTATTTAAAATTATAATTTTGACAATTCTGCATGAAAAGTTATAAGTACGATTTTTTTGCGTTCAAATCGTGTTATTTATACGTAAATGCAAAATTCACTTACCACAAAAAAGCCTTGGCCCAAGTTTCCCCATTAAGTCGGTATACTACATTCTTGTAGCATAAACTTCGGAAGTCCATGTTGTTTAAGCGGTCGTTTGTTAACCATTGCAAGTCTACACACGTCTTCCATGTTTGTAATGTGGTTCATCACACGTAGCCATATCTAAAAACGTAAAAGTTTAATAATTGAAAAGTTTTCTGTATAAAAAATTTTACTTTTTTGCAATTACATATTAAAATTAAAAAATTATTAGCAAATATGAATAACAACGATTTTAAACTTACTTCAGGAAGGAAGCTGCGATACAAAATGTCCGTACTTCGACAGAGTTCAAACCGTAAATGGCTATCTCTTTACCTTACACTTCCCGCGCCACGCGTTTATACCGCGTCCAATTTATGTGTGTGTTTTCATAGGCAATCGACTAAGTGAGTCTTATCAGCGTTTATTACCTAACATATTGCATTACAACAGTACAGTATTATTAATAAGGCTTTGGTATGAGCAAACAACGATTATTGGAAGTAGAAGTCTTTGACATATAACTAAAAAAAGGCAATTACAATCTCCTGATGACCAACTTGAGGCAACATCAACGTATTACAAGGAACTATGACATAAAAAAGTAACTAGAACAAGATGAAGAGAATGTCGAGCATAGTAGTTTTTTTTCAAAATAAAGTAAAAGTTTTTAAACAATAAAAAATTAGACCTAACACAAGAAAAGAATACCATAGTTATAACATACTTTGGCATACTTGTCTGTAAGCCATAGTACAAGTGTCAAAATGTAATAAAAACACTATATTCACCATCCCAGAAGTCAAAACTTACAAGAAAATGGAATTAAAAACAAGAATTAAATGTCCGCATACCATTAATCAACGTATTGAGATTATGAATGACATCAACAGTTGCCAGAACAACAATTCAACCAAATAACAAACAATGTCACAAAAGTGTCACAAATTTTAAAAGTGTTGCCAGATTCGGCCGAATGTCAAGAACAGCGGCACAAGAGTGTCGCCGGATGAAGAAGATAGCCAAAAATATAAAATGTACAACACAACGAGATCCATGAGTCGTTAAGAAATGGCACGGAGATTATTAATATTATACCAGGTCCGATCGTTCCGAGAACAGCGGCATCGTCTCTTCGGAGCTCGCGATCCGGTTGCTGGTCTCGCTGTTGGCCCGTTTTCGAGGTGGTCCAAGCTGAAATAGATGTGCGTTAATTTAAAGTATATTTTGACATATTGTGTAACATTTAAACAACTTGGGGTGAAACATCTACATTGCTTCAAATTTTAGGTCTCGCAGCGAAAACATTTCTTAAAAATTTTCTAGAATTTATTTTTTGCAAATTTTTACCCACAAACCCTCCTAAAGGTCTACGTAGATATTTAGTCCCTCAAAATGCTATTTTAACACAATATTAGCCATGTCACCCTGAGCTCACCTCTTTCCGCCGGAGTGACCCGTTTGTCCTGACTAAAGCCACATCCTCTTCCACCAACCCTTCTGACGTTATTTTATTGATGTTCAGGGGTATAGTGTCGCTGTCGCGTGGTTTGTCCAATGAAGTGATTGAGTCGCGGTTTTCGCTATAGTCACCGCGATTCCTGTTAATGAGAGTTGACTTCAAGGCCAGGAGATAGGTCTGAGCGTTGATCTCCAAGTAGGTACACTCGTCTTTGATCACGGCACTGTAGTCGGGGATGAAGCTCACCTTCTTGGCGTCGATCTCGTTGAAATTGCTCGGCATCGCCGGATTCAGAGAGGGTTCTGAGTTTCTGGGGCTTTGGGAACGTTGGGGACGCTTAAGGTTGGACGTGACCTGGTGAAGACGGTCCAGAAGTTCGTTGCCGAAACAATGCCATGGGCCGGCTTCGAAGGTCATGTCCGTCTGAAAGGATATCACTATATTATGTTAACCATCTTTTACTAAAAACCTGGTTCAAAGTACTATAACGAGTACCACTGACCTCACAGTACAAGACTACTAATGTAATATTTCTGACTGCATTTCGACATTTAAACTATCAAAGAAAATAATGACGTACCTGACCAATAGTAACCAAGGCACGACCTTCCAGAATGAGGATGAATTTGTCTGAAGGCTCTTTCTTTGAATAGAGCTTGCTTTTCCTAGGCAGTACCATCTTGGGATCGTTCGTATCTCCGAGATGTGTCAGCTCAATCTGAAAGCAATTAGTATGTCATCAAAGAATAATATATTTCTAAATAATCTTGTTACAACATTGTTCCTACAAGAAAGTAAGTTCTAGTTTTACTGTATTGCTTGTCATATTAAAAATACACTAGTTACGTATTTCTATTATGGTTACCTTGTGCACATTTTGTCGTATGACCTTCTCCAGAACACTATGACCAATGAACTGTTCCTGGAAGGCTGGATGGTTCGTAGCCAGCCATTGCATCGTGACCAACTGCATCTGCATAGATATATGACAGGCAGACACGTCGTTGTCCAGACAATGAGTGAATTCGTGCTCCATAGCTCGTCGGCGTTTGATTCTGTGCACGTTATCAGTGATGGCATCGGTTTCGTCCACGATCTCAGCCTGTAGAATCTCTTCCACAATGTCTTCTAACGTAACGATGCCAATAAGTTCATATACAGGGTCCTGGTTGTCGTACTGTACGATGCGTTGTACCATGGAGAGATGGTAGTCGCCTTTCTTGAACTCTTCCAACATTACCCTTAGGGGTGTGTCGTCCATTACAAAGCGTAGAACATGTTCATGGTAGCCACATACTGTTTTCACAGTAAAGTTGTCATCTGGGTCTAGAAGGGCAAGATCTTTGACGAACAACAAAGATACGACGTTGTTACGGTCTTGGTTGTAGACAGGGATTCTGGTGTAGCCCATACGCAGAATCTCGGCCACGGTCTTTGTGTTGAGGATGGTAGTGTCTGGGAGCATGAACACGTCCTGAAAAAGTAGTATATTTTAGTAAATAACCATTTTATATCTTACATCAAATACTATCCTCTTCCAACATAATATTTTTGGCTGTTAATTTTGTGTTACTCTGCCAAAAAAAAGAGAACGGCAAAATAATTAGATATTACATACAAACAAAGGTGAATTCTACACACTTATGGACCGTTATTATACGTTGTTTGTTTGTATTTGTGATGGGTATAAAGACGTGACCACAAGTGACCGCTCATGAGTGACTCTTGATCGGTCATCTGTTAAGATAACGACTGATAGACACCTTAATTGACATTGTTTGGAAACTATAATTAATGGCTGTGTAAAAAGTGTTGATATTAACTTTCAAGACTGTTTCACTCTTGAATATCGTTCTATTTATAAGCATTTAACATAATATAGCTATGTAATATGAAATACAAAAATTTACCTTACAGTAATTAAAAGAACAAGATTTTTTAAACTTACATCGATCTTCGTCATGACATCCGAAACAGTCTTGTCGCTGATCTCCATAGCTCCAACAGCGATCTTCAGCTCTTCTGCCAATCCTTTTTCGTTCCTGGTCGACATCTTGATCAGCTCCATCAGCCTCTTCCTATCGTATGACACTACCTCATCGCCCAATATACAATCCAGTATCTTACTAATCGGATATGCCAATGGGAAGGTGAGCACCATGAAGAAGCGAGTGATCCAAATGGTTCTGGCACCCACTTCTAGGCCTTTCTTCACACACAGCGATTGGGGACAGATCTCGCCGAACACGACAATCCCAGCTGATGAAACGATCAACGCGACATAGCCTGAGGTAAGGTCGTCAAACAGGATGGAGATGGCAGAGTTGACACAGACGTTACCGATCAGGAGAGAACACAACAGATGGTTACCCGACTTTCGGACCGGCAGGATGGTCTCGGCGAAGATTCGTTCTCGTTTCGACCCTGAAGTATTGGTGTGGTTAAGGTCAGATATATTTGTCTTTGGTATGATTAACATGAGATATAATATATTTTTTGAAAATTGTGAGTAATATTGATGTGACTGAACAAATTATTACTATAGCATCCCTTTTCAGTGTAAATTATGTAAGTTTTTTAGATGTTCTAATGAACTGAATATGATTTGATCTCTTGCGTTCGAAAAAGTAATATCAGGTCTATTTTCAGCTAAACATTACAGCGATATCTAAGAGACAATAACAAGTTTGTTTTATAATATAGCTGAAAATACAAAAATAACTATGAATCATTATTCTGGATACAAAACTTAATATTTGGTCCAAAAAAGAGGAGAAAAGTAGAAAACCCAACATAAAATCAAAAGTTCTTCACTTAAAATTAATCTTGGACCAAAAATAGCGTCATTATTACTGTCAAATGCCACAATGTAGTAAGAAAAGATATTATCCTAACACTAAAATTAACTATAGTAATAACTTACCGGATTTAGAGATAAGCATCAATTCTTGAGGAGTCAGAGCCATAAGACCGAGGTTGAGGCCAGAGAACAGAGCAGAGAGTACCAGAAGGAAAGAAATTATCACAATCTGAACTGCCATAGGGAAGTAGTACTTCCGAGGAGGTAGATCGGTTGAGACTGATGTTCGCAAGTCATCAATCTGCAAGAACAAGATTTTAGTTTTATAAGTATTTATAGGTTTTCTAAAATATTGTACCTTTTTCAACTAAAAAAGCTTCAATTATAGTCAAAACCTTCATAGAAAAGCCCTTAAATTTAATTAAATACAAAATACACTTTAAATAACTTCTAACCAAGCCAAACAGTATTAACGTACCATAACAAACGGCATGTCGATAATCTTCCCATCCTTGGTCTCTCTGGCCTTCTGCTTCAGACAGATCTTGTACACGGTGCCCACCGTTTCAGAACCAGGGAACGAGTAATCCACCACCAATCGCTTCTCTGTATGAACTGTGAAGTCGACTTGAGTGACGTTGAATAACGTATTAGCACAGGCATCTGTAGGTGTGAAGCCAACTACAATAACTTCGTCCAACCACCATCCGAACAGCACGATTCTGACCGGTGTATCCGGCTGCACGATGCTTAAGCCTTTCTCCCTAAATTTGCGTAAAATTTAAATTCTGAAGACTTACGTGTAGCCGATGAAGCCAGAATCCCCGGGTTCCTCGACCTCCACACGTAACCCTGACAGGTGGGCCTTCTTTTCAGTTGTGATAAAGCCTCCGGCATCTAAGGCACTCGTTACTATTATGTCCTGAAATTGAAACTTTTAAGTTAAAAATATTTTAAAATGTTTTTTAAAAAATTTTCAAGAAGATTTTAAAATTTCCTTTTCTATAGTCTGTCATTATGACTTTATAAAATGAGTCATGATGACAACTGGTAATCTTTAACGATAAAATCAAAACACTGTAAACCTAAAATCGTCATAAAATTTTAATGGTAAAATGATATTATTTTAGACTTTTATATGCGACATCTGTAGCCTGACGTAACGCCATCTGGATCCGTGACGTCGGTAATATAATATAGAATACGAAACCAAGTATGCAAAAAAGGTTTAGAGAGAAAAAAGTTTGTTTGCAAAAGTAAAAAATACAAAAAAATGTTAAAAAAGTAAACTTAAAGGTTAAAAATGCATTTTAATTATATACGCCTAGACAGGTTCTTAATTAAGCAAGTTCATTTCAAATTTCAAAATTCCTCCCGAAAGCCGGTTTAAACAAAGAAAAACGTACTTTGAGCTGTTGCGGTTTGTCCGAGTCTTCAGTGACGGCACCTTGGGCCAGGAAGAACTGGCCTAGGGCCAGTGCCAGCACGCCGTACAACAGAATACGGTACGTCCGGCCAGTCCATAAGGGTGTCACCATTTATTGCGGACGCCAATCTCAGTCCGATTAATGCAGCGAACTACCTGAAAATGGCACAACTTCGACTGTGTTCAATACTAATCACATTTGCAATTGTATAAGAAAGCGTAATTGGTCAGAAAATAAATAGAAGTGTCAAGAAAAAAGTAGTTTAATAGAAAAAAAGCAGTTCCATGCCATTTTAGAGCAAAGTTGCAAAAAAAATTATTTAAAAGAAGTAAAACAGATAAAAAATAATAGCTTTTGAATAATGCAGGTCAAAAAGTTAATAGAAAAAGCCGTAAAACCCTTTAAAAGTACAATTCTACGCACTTCTTGACCAAACTCAAAAAATTAAAATTGATAAGCTGAAGAAATAAACCGTGATAATTTATTGAAAAACCCGCGATATCATGGCTAAAAACGCAGCGATAGGCTAAGGAAAACGAGCACGATGAACTGATAAGCCTCGCCAATATTATCTACGTTTCCTAGGTGGGACCGGAAGCCGAAAAAGACCACTGTTGGGGACCCAAATATAATACACTTTGCCGAAAAAAGATAGAAAGACCAGCCGGGGGGAGGGAGAGGGCCGACCTGCCAGCCGGGGGACCAAAACTACGCAGCCCACCATGCGAGAAAGACCCCGAGCAATCGGGGGGAGGCCAAGGCTTCTTGGCCGTTTGCACTTAAAAAAGACACGTCCCCACACTTTTCACGGACAAAAACCACTCAAACCGTTAGTTTTGTAGGAAACCCTCGCCTTATGTCATCTCGTCATGTTATAGTAGGGTATAATAGTAAAGAAGCGATCCGTTTCGACCAACTTAACAAGCAATCGTATCGAAAAACAAAAAATAAAAGTTTATTGGACAAGAATAAGTTAATATATGAACAGTTTGAGCTATCATCGACCAGGCTTGACTCAAAGTTTTTGAGCAAACATGGCCCAAAAGCTGCGCAAAGCGTTTTAAACCGAGTAATCGGTGACTTTAAAATGATTACAATCTCTTGTATGATCACAAAAATCTGACAAAAAACAAAACATTGACATAAAACGTTTAAAAGCTTTAAAAAATAATAAAGTTCAAAACCTGCATGTTTCAATGGTACTCTTTTAGGGTTCTGCACCGTGCAGAATTTAAAAAATTAACAATTTTGTCGATTTTCAAACACATGTGAGACTCTTTTACAAAAATATGTTACCTTATTCAAAAATATAAACAAAAGCCCTACAAAAAATAAAATCCACAACAATTTTATCAACAAAACCAAAAGTAAACCAATACTCAGGGTGTGTAACCATTAGAATCACAAGTTACTGTAAACAAGGTTCACAGTCGGAGGGACACGTCCTCGAACAGATCTTGATTCAGATGACGAGAACAAAGGTCGCTCTGAAACGAAGAAAGTAAGGTAAGGTGAAGAAGGGTGAGGTAAGGAAAGGAAGAGAGGTTCATATCGTAAAGACATTACTCTAGTTAAGTTATGAACCTTGTTGAGGAGAATGTTTATGTCTCTCCAAAAAGAGAACAAACGTCTACTATTATACTTTCACAGACCATCAAGTGCTACGATTCTAACATATTGTAATAGGTTTTACTATATAAAAGTGCATTTTAAAGCTTTTTTTTCAAAAAAATCATTTTACAATAGTTTTTTTTTATCTTTCAAAAATTAAAAATCTAAAATTTCCTCAAGTTATTTAAATTAAACTGTATGTATTCAATCATTAAGCCCCTTACCATTCTAATGAGATGACAGTTTCCTTTCCCCATCACATTAAACACCACATTCAGCACGGAATTCACATCAGTTCCTGTTCTCGCAGACAGAAACATCAAGTTGGCTCCACGTTTGGTTACTACAACAACTTCACGGCCATTGTTTCGAACTTTCAACACCTCCTTGTCAGTCCATTTTCGAGACTTTAACCACTAAAGCAATACTATCAAAAGTTAAAATGATAACACAATAAATTTTTAATAATATTACAAATTTTAAAAATATAAATTCAAAAAAAAATTAAAAACAAAGAATTTAAAGTTACTGTAACTCATTTGTAAACAAAAAAAGTTTTCAAAGAATAAAACATATAATTAATTCAAATGTCGCCTTACGTGAACAAAGCCTTCTGAATCATCACAAAAGCGAGAGAATGACGCTGACAACTTCTTGGCTACACCAACTGTTGAAATCTCAGTCTGACTCTCTACATGACATCCCAATCCAAAATCTAAAAACACTATACAAAATTTTAATTGTTTTTTAATCTTGATATAACCCTATTTTACTTAATTAAATACGTTTATTCACAATATTTTCAAATCTTCAATTTTTTTAAAAATTCATACCGAAACCTACCTCTGATATGTAGACCTGCGTTTCCATCAACTAATAGAACATCAGGTTTAACTTTAGCTTTTCCATCGTTTACTATATTAACCATGGCTTCAGATTCACGCAAAGCCAAGTAATTCGACAAGTAATCATACTTTATAACTACAGATTCATGGTCATGATGTAGCACCTGAAACAAACCTTTTTAAACTCGCATTTTCTATAAAAAGAATAATAAGTTTAATTTTTATTAACTGCAAGACTAATATTTCCTTTTATATTATTACACCCCCCCCTATGTAGCCTTAATTCCTGCCGCCATGATGAAAAACATTACCTTCAAATCAGGATAGCTGAGAACGCAGTAACTGACAGTTGACAAGCTCGGTATATCTTGATTCTGAGTCATGTCTAACCCTCCGACCACTTTGACATCGTCGTTTTCATACTTCTTGCCATTGCTTTTGTACCATCGTTCCAAACACAATAACTTCATTTTAGCGTAAAATACGTTGACTCCACTAAAGTGTAATACCAGATGTAAGTAAGTGTAATGTACGACTACTGAACATAACAAGGATGTCATCATTAGAGGTAAGAAGTCTGCTCGATCTCCAAAAATAACCTAAAATCACAGGTTAAAAATCCGTCAAAACACATTTTACGGTAAAGTAACGCTGACTACATATAAATATTTACAAAAAACAAAATACAGTAACCTACCGTATGAACAATTCCTTTGTAAACCTCCAGAAATACTGTCGCAACCAAGAAGACTTTGTTTTTAAAGTCAAACACAGAATTAAGGTTGAACACATTATGATATACACTCTTAAGCACAATGATATATCCAAAGTGCAATCCGTATTTTATCAGATTTTCGATTGATTTATCGAAAAATAAAGGAAACAGAGCAACAACCGAGGCTTGAGTGAATAACATGGATATACTTGCGTATATTGGGTTCTGAAAATAAAAAAAATAGTAAGAAGTTACTCTTATAACTATAAAAAAATACCTAAATTACTATAAAAGTTAAACCCGACCATGTTTATGACTAAATTACAGTAACAACCTCAATATATAATAGCTTACCACAAACCCAAGAATCACCAAAGGTATCTGAATCAGAAGAACGGCCTTCTCGTGAACGTGCCATGAAAATAAAAAGAAAGAAAATGCACTTAAAATCATCGTACTCAAGATGTTTTCTCTGCCATTGCTTCTTTTGACAACAAGTACTGTAACTGATGACAAAAGTACCAAAGCTAGTGTCACTTCCACTGATATGTTCGGCAAAACAGAATGATTGTAAGTCTGAAATTGAAAGCAAGTCATTAATATTGTTTAAAAAGTTAATAAATATAAATAACAGATAAATAAATATAAGTGGCTACATTGTCAACTATCGTATTTTACCTGGACCTGCCCATTAGTATACTGTGGGGCTGTTTCTGTAGTTCTCCATCCTTTCACTTTCAACTTGTATAATATGTAGTCTACTGTATTATACAAGGTCCAAAAGTTCGGAGCCCAATAAGAATGAGTTAGACCTCGTTTGAATGGAAAAAGTCGTGATAGTATTTGATGAAGTTGAGCTATACCTCCTAAAAAACTTCGTATTAAAATTAATTTTAAAACACAAAAAATAGCGCGAACATTGCTAATTATCATACGAAGCATTTGCATTAAAATTACCTACCTTTATATATAAACGGTCCAAACGACAATATGACAGGTGTAACAACAGAGATACCCAGTAAAACAATCCTCAATATAACCGTCCTGTTAATTGGCAACAAGTACTGTGCTACGAATCCATATACAAATGCAAATACGTAGTAAAGGAAAATATGTTTGAAGTTTAAGAGAATTGAAAGCGCCAATCCAGCCTAAAAACATTTAAAAATAAGTACCTAATCAGTATAATAATATTTTTATGCCAAATATTATAAGCACCCAATAGTTAAACCAAACTCACTCTAAAATAACATCCGTCCACAAAGCATCCAATTCCCATGAGAAGAATGCCATATAAGAATGAATTGTACTGAAAATGAACATTATCCAACAAGATTAGTCCTGGATTCAACACCAAAACCAAAAATAGTCCCAAAACGAGATTCTGAGCTTTCTTTCCGGTCACATTCAATGAGTTCACCACTCTCTTTGCACAAAAGTAGCAGCCATAATACTAAAAATCAAGAATAAAAGTATAGATATCAACTTACAAAGACAATATCAGCAAAAATCACTGAAATACGTTGAAATAATAGTACATTAGGTGTTAACAATGCTTCCTTTTGTATCTTCAGTATGTCGACGTCATATAAAGCAGCAAATTGTGCCAGAATCCATTCGAAAAAGGCGAAGAACGGTGGATAATCTATCGTCCATTCTGAAGTGTCCTCAAAATACCATTTGACCAATGGCAAATTGTATGTTACTGCTAGCCAGTTCCTATGTACCTAAAAAGTTTATTTTGAACTTCATTTAAGATGAACAACAATTTAAAGTAAACAAAAACATAATTTTAATAAACCAAATAGTTGTTCATAACCAATTTACCTCGAAATCCGTTGAAACATAACAATTTAACAAACATAACTTTAAAGCAACTAGAAACCCGCAAATAAATAATATATCACCCATACGTTACAGTTTTACCATCGAAGAATATGTTCTTCTATAAAAAAATAATTTCCGAAATATTATTTATTTCAGCATGCTGCGCCCTAATATGCGCGACCTGCAAATTATTGCCTTTTTGGTCAACAGAACTGGCCAGACTTGATCGACGAATGGAATTGAGTGGTCTTTATAAATGACAATTTTTTTGATTAATTTCACTAAATTCTTTATATTTTATAAAATTTATGTTACATTAACATAGTCTAGTCATAAACGAGATCAATTTGGTTCTGTCGCTGTCCTTGTGGATGCATCATTTTGGTCAATTGACAGTCGGGAAGACAGAATCGACCAATTCCACATTGTTTGGACAAATCACACCATCTTTTCTGGCAACATTTGTATCGCTGGCCACAGTCCCGCGATGTCGTACATTCATCGCGTATGTTACCTAAATTACTGTAATTTTAGTTTTAGCTCACAACTTATTTTATGACCGACCTTACATTTTTTATCAGTTGCAGTAGTCTGCTTAATCTTTATTACAAAATACAAGGGAATGATTACTGTAACTTGTTCACTCACCGTTCACATTATCCATCTCTACTCTGACCGGTCGCTTGTACCTATTGGTTTTTGAGTAGTCAATAAATATTCTAGTGGGATCTCCTTCTACTTTGTCTATTTTGGTCATTGATACCTTTAGAGGCACATCCAGTATATCAGGTAGTGTACTAAAATGATATTACAGTAACCTTTAGTAATATAAATGTAAAAACGGATAATATTGTAGAGTTATACTGCACAGTTATACTGTAACTAACCTTGTATCTGTTTTCTCCGTGGTACGTCTGACTTCTGTAACCTCAACATCAACATTTTTGTCATCAACACTCAAATTACCGTCATCACGACGTATTTTATTGCTTTTCTTATGTTTCGACCGTTTTGTGGTCGATTTGACTTCGGTATCAACCACTGTAACATCTTTTTGTCTTCTTGGTGTTGCAATAGACAAAGTTATCGTATCTTCATCAATCCCAAAAGTTACAGTATCCTTTTTCGAAAAACTGTCGAACTCATCGCTTACTGCGTATCTTACAATATCTTCAGTCATAGTAAAGGGGTTTGAGTCTAAAGTTGATGGTGTACTACCAAAACTTATACTACCATCATCAATCTTGGTAACTTCTTGATCCATCTCGTCTTCAGTATATAATACCGGTCGGACTGACTTGGGCGTGGTAAATTCAGGATGAACATCTTGAGGTAGGATAGATGGAGGTCGTATCTCGATGTTGGGGGTATTCAGGTTGTTACGGTTGTCAGAAGGTGGTATTAGGATGGCGATGTGACGTTCCGATGGCTTTACAGAATCTTCTGGAATCTGAACTTGGGAGGTGAGGATCTTGTCGTCGTCTGTTGTCGTTGATATCTGTTTCGAGTGATTGAAGTTATACTTTATAATGTTTTTTGGTATCTTAGGGTACTAGAAGGTAGGGAAAGTTTACAATTGAACATTTTTATGTTATTTTCCTATTTTAAAATTAAAAATATTCTTAAATTAGTTTTTTTAAACCGTTCATGGTACATTCGTATTTTACCTCAGACTTGACGGAGTCCTGAAATGCCCTGAGGGGTTTTTCTGGGATGTGCCAACAATCGTAGTTGATACAGTACAAATTAGATGGACATTGTGAGTCGTTGTCACATGGGCCTGTATCAAAAGTGACATTTATTTACAGCCATTACCGATTAGTGTGTTAAAATAGTTAATATGTGTTATATAGGTACATATATTATAGGTATATGTGTTATATAGATATAGCAGAGTACACAAAACGTGATAAAACATGATGATGCAGAATGCCAAAGAGTTGGAATAGCTGGCAGTGCTTTAAAAAAATTTTCTTGTGTATCGTTGGTCAAAAAGTAAGTAGAACATCCTTTTAAGCTCTTTTTGCTTGCTATTGCTATTTCAAATCCAATAGTGTAAATCATCACGTATCTACACTAATATGTGTGTTTTAACAAAATCATGTAAAATAATGTCTGTGCTATCATATAAATCAACTTTTGTGTCATTATATAAGTGTCTATAAACTGAAGTGGTGTCATTGTTGTGAAGTGTTACCGTGCTGACCTGGCCACTGAAGCCGATCGTCGTGCCGCTTCTTGGGAATGGACCTTTTGCGGCGAATCAACTTATCGTCCGGGAGGATCTCGTCGCGGTAAACGCCTGCAATGGTCGTCATAGATAAGAGTACATTCCTTTACCTGCGCCGACACGCTGACACACTCCCGACTGTCTGGGATGCTGACGATAGCCACGTCCGCACTCACATCGACCCAGATCACAGTACTGACCTTCGTTCACGCAGTCGTAGTCATTGTTGCACACTAAAAAGTTTTGAAACAATTGATATTAAGGTCATGTTAAGAGTGAGTCATCAGTTATAAAGGTACGGTAGTGATTTGAACATAGATAATACTCAAGTAATAATAATATACCTTCACGTGCTCTGCTTGATAATTTAAGCGTATGTACTCTACTTGCTTTAAAAACCTGCACTTTAGTATAAGAAAGTCAAAAAAGACCTTACCTTGTGATATCCACAAACATTGACATCCTTGACATCCAAACTCGTCGATGTATATACCACAGTTCGGTCTACATACTTCTGGTGGTGGACAATCTCAAAAAGCAGATTTTAACTAGAGCTTTTAAATAAATCAGGCATTAAAGATATGCAATAAACTTGCTAATTAGGCAAAAACTATTACAAACTAAAATTGAAACATCATCAGAAGTTGCAGCCTGCGCTCCATGGACGCAGTCTGCCAAACTCAGTTTTTATAAAACCTACTTTTCACAGAAAAATGTTCGGATATTCGAGGATCGGGGTTCCAGATTGGTGGTCCGATTGGTGCTTTTGGTCTAAAAAGGTAAAATTTGATATCAATGTTAATTTTTTAGCATTTTGTATAAGTTCAGGTTTCTAATAATGTGGAGTAAACCTATATTATCTTATTTTCTATCAGTTATTCAAAAACGTACTGTACATGCTCATTAAACGGGACATTATTTAGACTAGTTGGAGGTTGTGTTGGAGCAGGTGGATTGGGTTCGAAAGCTGGGGGATCTCTGAAGATCGTTGGCTCTGACTCCGTGTTTATAGGTAATGGCGGACGGAGCCTCAGGGGTTTTCTTCTGAAACATTTTTATATCATAAATACTAAAATAGTGACTTTTTGTGTTTTAAATTGCAGATATAACGGTTTTTAGTAAAAGTAATTTCAAGCTTCAAAAAAAGTTTACCTTGCAAAAGTCAGGTCGATACACATCGTATTGCATGTGTTCTTACATAGTAATCGACATACGAACGGTTCAGGACAGTCACTGTCTGTGTCACATTTTTTGTTCAAAGTTACTGTAAAGGGTTTGTTAAGTATGAAATGTTTTGAGAGGGGGGGTGCAGAATTATTTGAACACACTAATATATTGGTTTAACGTATAAACCATGGCTTACCCGCTAAACCCAAGCTGGCTAGCCAAAAGTAGAGTAGAACAAACTTCATTGAAAGTGAAATGTTATAATGACCTCGGTACGTCGAGAGATATATTACAATAGTTATTACAGAAGCAAAAGGAAACTGGGTCAGGTTTATAATAACACTACCGATACAGCGACAACCACGACTGTAATTAATATAATCGTATCTTGGAGTGGCTGATCTAATTGTTTCCAAACTATTTAAAAAAGTTACAGTACTTCGCTTTGTTGCGTAATTGCCTTCTGCTTCAGCTACAGAAGAAGCGACAGCAGAAGGGGTTTGGCGACAAATTGAGATTCACATACTTAGATTTTGTACTGAAGTTTAAAAACTAACTTCTAGATGTTGTGTTCTTGTTATCGAAGTTTAAAATTTTAATATTTTGAAGTTTTTGGTCCTGGTTAATACAATTTGATTACTAGTACCAAATTATCTTTACATTCTCTGCCAATCTAATTTAAAATGGCTTAAAATTGTGTATTTTGTGCCTCAAGATCTCCCAGTTATTTTTTGACCCATTCGTTCTCCTTCCGACCAGTTCCAATTACAGAATCCTCACGCTGATGTTGAAGTAGCTTCTAAAACCAAGTAGTTCCTTATCACTTCGTATACGATAAGATTGCTGATATGTGGTTTGTGTCTCGAGTACCTGTCAAAGTAAATAGGTCAATTTACTCAAATCAAGATTAAAACAAAGAAACTCTCGGAAATGAGGCTACGTTCTGTGTTTTGCTACTACTTCCCGAGCGACAAAGCTGTAGTCTCAATAACTCACGCAGACAAGTACTTTTACAAAAGAATCTTGAAAGTAATAAATTTAATTTTTGCGGTTCGATTCGGTCAAAAAATACGTAGAATAGCCAAAAAATCACTTTGAAAAGTCATGTTCAAGCTTTTATAAAAATTTAGGTAACACATATAAATATAGGTCAAAAAACTTCGAACTAACCATCATTACGACTATTAATTTAAAAACAAAGGTTCCTTTTATTACTACCTACAAATATTAACATTATGTTACACTCTAGTCCACCCCAGACGTAGATATCGACCCATAAGACCGCTCAGGTGGAGCCTTCAACCCTGACAAGAAATTGGCATTTAAAAGTGGGTAGATCTGGTCTGGACTAACCCCCTTGGTCTCTGGCAAGAACAAATACAGTATGACAGCACAAATAGACGCCGGAAGACTTGTGATCAACAACAAACTCCAGCTGGGGATCAGCTGATCGACTGACAAGAATACAGAAGTCAGAAGACCGACCACCATCAGAAGCGAGCCAGTAGAAATAGTCTGGGCTAGAGAAGCACGACGTTCTGATACCAGTTCGGAGCTGAGAAACCAGGCTGGAGCACCTGCCCCTAGTCCGATGAAGGACTTGGTCATTATCATTCCTGTCGCTGTTATCACCCAGTTTCCTATGGACGATCCAAGCGAGGTGAGGGCGTTGGCTATGGCTGTACCGACAAGACCATATACTATCACTTTGCGGTTACCATATTCGTCTAGCTACAAGTTTTCAAGTTACATACTATGATAAGCTTTAATATAATAAGTATTATAGTACGGTTATAGTAAAATACGGTAAGACGAACATCCAAATGAAAAATTACCTACCAAAAAGGCGCCAATAACACTACAAATGATAAGAACGACACCCATTAGCAAGGTTATGTTGGTAACGGCGGCTTCTGGACTCTTGGAATGGCTCTAAAACATATTAACCATTTGAGTTGACAATGTAATACAAAACAAACTTCGTTACAATATAGGTTACTGTTGTTGTAACCTACATATAAGAACTCGGTAGAGTAAGAATCAACCAAATCATCGCCAGTAAATCCAAAGCTGATTGCTGCTACAAATCCCAAAATGGCTCCCTATAAGTTTTACATATACGTAGTTATAACACATAAAGTTATAATATTATATTAAACAATGTCAAACCAAAAAATTGAGAAACAATGCCCAACCTTAATATCGGACTTGATCACAGAGCTGTCTCTCACTTCCGCTGGCTTAGTCCGTTCTCCTGCCACTTCCGACTTCATCCCCAGAATACAATCTTCAGCATCTGGCCCTTGGTAGAATCTGGCACTTTTGTAAAGCTCTGAAGTTAACTACCATTACAAGAAGGCAATGCATGTTATTTAACGCGATAATTCTCTATATATCTTTAGTGATTTATATTTAATAATCCGTAACTTAAACAAACGTTACCGGATTCATAAGCTTCATCCGAAGTCATATGTTCAATGATGTACTTGGGTGTTCTAGGAGCGACAGTAAAGAAGATTAACCCAAGTAAAGAGGGCAGCAAACCAATAATCTGAAGCCATATCACCTTTATGTAACCTGAAATTTGAAATAATATTAGCTTACCATACCCAAGAGTTTTTCAAAACATAACCAAAAGTATACTGTACCTATAACAAACTTTACCACTAATCAAACCTCAAATTTTTTCATAAAGTTGAGTTTGACAAAGAACTATGAGAACGGGCATAACACGTATATCAGGGTTCAAAAATATTGCTGATCAGTCAACTGTTATCGAACAAACAATACCTGGTGGAAAGATAATATTGGTACCACAAAGAAAGCCAATCAAGGTTGAGACTGCTTGGAACACTTGCTGAAACACAAACATTATAAGCTATAAAATGTAAATTGTGCCATCAAAAAACATTAAATTTGTTTTGAAAGTTTCATAAAGCACAGTGCACTTTCTTGACCTATGAGTACTGCACCGTGCAATAAATTTATATCTTGATCGTTTACTGCATTAAAAGATGGAATAGATCAAGAAAGTGTTGTAACTTACTTGTAACGCTACGATAAACTCTCGTCGCTCCTTGTCGCAAGTTTCATGAAAAAACAATGGCAGTAAACACAACGCACATCCACTTTGCATTCCTGTCATAAATCTACCGGTCATTAAAGCTCCTAACAAACAGGTTGGTGCTAAAATATCATTAATAATTAAATTTTAGTTTTAATAATATTTTTGTTGCGATTACCGTATTTTACATAAATTTGAAAATTTTTGACTAACGTTTTTTACCTGAATTTATGTTATTGAGACGAAACTTACAGATCACAATAAAATTTTGCACAAATATCATAAGAAGGCATCCAAAGACAGCTGGAATCGATGCGTACGTCATGCCCGCTCTAACTCCGACCTTATTTACAAGAATTGGTACCTAAAATAATGTAGTAAAGTTCAACAGTTAATTTACTAACAAACCTACCAAAATAATAATTTAAGCATCAATAACTAACACTTACTGCGACAAATCCAAGAACGGAGCCTGGATAGAAGCTGGAGACTACAAAACTCCATTTTTGTGGCCAATCCTCGACAGTCGTACTGGAGTCATTCAGCTCCAGCGAATGTTGATATAGGTCGTAGAATTCATCAGAAGCTGTATTTACATATGTTATCTTCAAATACACACAAAGTAATCTTTATCAGCTTCCTTTGTTTTCATTTTTTTAGTTTTTGATTTTGTAAATTTTTTACTTCATGATATGTTTCATCGTATAAAATGAGCAGTGCAGCCTGCACTGTCGACAAAAATACTGAAGCTTCGATGAAGGCCGAAACAAAAATTTGTCTTATCAAAAAATCGTTGTTTTACAGTTCGTTTACAGGTTCAATAAAATATTTAATTGTAATAAGCACAATTTTAGGTAACTACAACAATATTGTGAGAGAAGCTAAGGATAAAGTTTATTGAACTACTCAAAAACATGGAAAACAATTACTTGATAGCCAAACTGCCAATTAGAGACAAAACTGACGAATCCAGCGACAATCAGAGCTCGTATACTTGGTAACATAATACGAAAGCAGAGTGAGTTGATGTTTATGATTCGAGAAAAGCCAAAGGCCTGATAAGATAAGCCTGTTTTGAAATGTTGTTGTTCACAGATTAAAGAAGAACGATGCTCGTGCATGTTCATGTCGTATTCAAATGTTTTTCAGTAAGTTCATGCATTGATTTTGTGATTTTTTTGTAAATCTTCATGACTTTTGGTAAGACCTTACAGTTTTTTGTCGTTGTTTTAGTCAAAAATTCAATTTTAGGCTAGGAATTTCAGTCTTGATTAGAAAGGCTTCTATGTAATTTTGATGGACATTATAAACCTTATGAGTTTAAAATGGAATTCATTGATTCTTGTTGCTTAAAAATGTCAGTTTATACCTGAAAAATTGCATTTTAGCTCAGTTGTTGTGGTCGCAAGGACTCATGAACACTTTGAACTATTGTCGATGATGTTTGGTTAACGAAGCCTATAAATTGTAAAACAGTTTGAAAAGTAATTACGGATATGCGAAAAGAGGTCGGGTTGAGTGACGGCGGAGGCGGGCATGCGGAAAAGGGCAGCCGGCTGGCTGATAACGTCGTGGATTTGTTTATCGTGCCTCGGGATCAAGGGGCCCTGAATCGACGCGGAACCGGTCGACTCCGCCCGGACCCTCAGGCGCTACCCCGCCCTTGAGCGACAAAAGCCTGCCGCGGCAGCGTATTATCCTCAATTGTCGTTCATAGTTGTTTCGCCAACCTCGCATGAGTCGTTCATGAGTGGCCAAGCTCGCAAAGTGTTGTCGCTGCAGCCCGTGTTCATTTCGTTGTACGTGCTCGGTCTGGTCATCGCCGTGCCTTTGTCGCTTTTCGTTTGGTTCGTTCGTCGCAATCTTTTTGACGAGAAATCTGTCGCCGGAGGGTCGCAGCCCAAGATTACCGTAGGTTTTACTTTCGTTCGCTTTCGATTTTTTTGGGAGACTGTATGTTTACTTTTTTATTTTTGGAACGGTCAGAAATTAAGTGGAATAGCTTGATTTGGTATAGGGTTGGTTTATAAGCTATGAAAAGCAATATTTGTTACCTACGGTTTTACGTGATTTTAAAATTATTCTAAATGCAAAGTTAGGTTAAGATGCTATGGTTTTAAAAAATATTTTTCATAACATGATTATTTCATTTTAGGCCTAAACATGCAGGTAGTAATAATTCATCCAGAACAATGGAACGGTGGCTCAGATCGTTGTACGATCGCTCTGATCAAGCATTTTCTTAAGGGTAATCACCGTGTCGTGTGGCTGACTACCATGATTGATGAATATTGGTCCAAAGAGGACTTCAGTGGAGTCGGTAAGTACTTTACTTTATTGTTACAGATTTTAATGTTGTTAGAATTTAAAATTTTGCTGTTTTGTCGTAGAGCTGTAGAAAAATCATCTTTAAATGTTATTTTACCGTATTTAGTTGACATTTCTGTGTTACGTATTTTACAATTGAAAATAACCAAAATTTGTTTAGAAATCCGTGAAGTCCCACTAAAGCTCCATCCCGGAGACTGGTTCAGTCAGAATGTCGCTCTCGGCTACAAACTCGTCTTCTCGGATTTGAATCCGGATCTTGTTATCGTGGATCACAGTGCCAGTTGTGTGCCTATGATCAAGTGGCGTTTCCCATTGTGCAAAGTATTGTTTTACTGCCATTTCCCTCAGCAACTCGTCACTCCCAACAGATTTTTCTTGTACAGGTGGTACTCCAACCTGATAGGACTAATCGAGGAGAAAATGTTCGAAAGTGCAGATTCTATCATGGTCAACAGTCATTATACTGGTAGGTTTGGCCATTTGTTTCTTAGTTTACATTTTTTGAAATATTTTGGACAAAAGTCAAACATTGAGGCTTTTCTAAGCATAAAGAGAAGAATAACTTTTTTAGCCAAAAACTTTATGAATGTGATGCCGACCGTACCTTCAAACAAAGTTCAAGTAGTATACCCACCATGTGATGTAGACTCGATATCCTGTGGCATGACGCAGTCCATCAGTCGAAAAGACCGTGCTCCGAACTCCCGCTACACTTTCTTGTCGATGAACAGATTCTGGCCCGAGAAGCGCCTCGACATCATCGTGGAAGCCGCTTCGATTCTCCGTGAACGAGGTCTGAATCCCAAGATTCAGCTAGCCGGCTCCGTGATGCCTCACATTCCTGAATCCCGAATCTACTACGCCGAACTACAGAAGATGGTGAAAGACTACCACCTCGAGGATTCTGTGGAATTCATTCCGTCGCCGAGCGAAGCCGAGAAGTTCAGACTGTACCGTGAATGTGACTCAGCGTTATACACTCCACCCAACGAGCACTTTGGCATCGTGCCAATTGAGGCGTTGGAGCAGAGAAGACCGGTTATTGTGATTGACAGTGGAGGACCGTCAGAAACGGTGGTTGAAGATGTTACTGGGACGAAGATCGCCAAGCCTGACGGTCATCTACTGGCTGAAGCCATGATGAAACACATGAAAAGGACGACGTGGGAAGACCTTGATGTTGACAGCAAATACTCCAAACAGGTAAGGGCTTTATTCTATTTGTATTTACTTTTTATTTTAATTTTTGTCGAGGAATAAAGCGGAGTTTCGGGCGCGACTTGGGGCTTTGTTTTCCAGGTTGCACATATTTTGTTTATAAGCTTTTAAAAGTCAAACTATCATTAATACAAAATTTTCAATACAATTTTACAATGGAACTTTTAAATTTACAATTTTCAGCGTGAACGCTTCATCCGCGACTTCAGTGCTCAAGGCTTCGGCAACAGAATCGACGAAGCGGTGAAGAAAATGATTCCGAACTACATTCCTGTCGCGGCTCTACCACAATCGGCTACAGAAGGCTTTGTTTCGAAGATTCCAAAGGTTTCCGAGTTCAGAAGACGCGCCAATCACGCTTAATTCAAAAGTAATCGGACTTTTTTCAAGTTCTAGGTCGGGATCTCTTCGGCTTTATTTATTGTTGCTCTTACAGTATTAAATAAACAGTTTTGGGAGTAGACGGCGATCGTACTTTGTTGGGTTTTACATCTACTACAAGATATTTTATAAAGCTTGGAGTGTTTTTGAGCTCGTTTATTGTTTTGTGGCTTTAGATGAGGTTTCTTTTACGTTTTTGTAGAATTATGACATTTTTAAGGGATATAATGTAAAAAACATGTTTTTATGTAAAAGTTAATCTCATATCCTTAATTTTGGCGACATTTCTTGCTCCAATAAACCCTGTTTTAACCAGTTATACTCAAATTAACCGTACCACCTCCAAGGCAATAATACTATCGAAGAGAATACAAATCGTGTTTTATTTGCGAAAAAGAATCCCGCATTTCCTGCGTACTGTAACGAGCATACTGATAATGGAATACGGTAAACTGGTCTAAGTAGTGTTGGTCGAACCCGTCGCGATGAACGTTGCGAATGTTTAAACAATTGGACACGATGCCCATCATAATGTCGTCGAGATGCACGAATGGGAATTCGCAGATATGATTCAGGATTGAAGCCGCGGCGGGCCTTGAGATCACGAAGCTGGAGCCCTGGGACGGTATTGTTAGTTCAAAATTTAAAAAATATTTTTTTAATTTGAAAAAAGTTACATGAAGTTGCCAAAAATGAAGTAAAAGATACTATATTAGACTGCAAACGCCACAAAACGTCGACTTACTTGTACAAAAGGTGGATAACATTTGTGTGGATACGTCTCCGACGACACGTACCATGGTAGCCATGGGAAGAACAACCTCGGGTACCCCCTAGATACCTTCCCCAGGATGTAGCCTTGGATGGCGTCGGAGTTGAACATCTGTTCGTCACAAACCCTCATCAAAGACGTCGCGTTGACTATGGTGTCATCATTTATGACGACAATCTGTTCAGCTGACGTTTCTTCCAACACGAACCTGTAGATGGACATCATCTTCATCGTCAGATTCTGATATGAGTCTACAAAGTCAAACTGTAGAATGTCACCGTGCTGTTCGTGTTCTGGAGTCATGTCGCCGTTGTCAGTACCACTCACGAATAGTACTGGCATCCATTGCTCCACTAATGGTTTCCAAGTGTCGCGGATGTAGTTACGGTAGGCGTGGGCGTTGGGAGCGGTTCGGATCACCATAACCCGCTCCAGATTCTCGAGTTTGTGCTTCGGTGGCTTCAGAAGGTGATTCACTTTGAGGTTGAAGTTACAGCCAGGGTCGGCATTGCGTTCAGGAAAAAAGTATTTGATACATTCTTGACGATCTTCTCGGACTGGTCGCTGGACTTCAAGGAACTGGGATTCTGTGTAACATACAAGACGAAATGGCAACAACGATCTTTCTAGGTAATTTGAAAACTGCAAATTAGAAGGTCAGGACTTGATAAGGATTCTTAATTAAGTTGTTTTAAAAAATATTTAAAAAGTATTCAAGTATAATATTGCCTAGGTAATATATTGCGTAATAACACAAAATTATTGTATAAAACCCCTGTCCTCAAAAATCAACCCAACTCACCAACAAATAGGGTATAACCCAAGCGAACTGCACGAAGAGAAGGTAACGCGGCGACAGAAGCTTGTGTGTCCTATCCACCTGACCCTCAACGTAGCGCCGAAGCCACATGGAGCAGCGCCAAAAATGCGGTTTTCAGACTGATCGCCTAAGGCGGCCCGCACCGGACTCGAACCAGATATAATCAGGCAATATCCGGATGCCTCCGAACGAGTTTCGGAGTCTCGTCTCCAGGAAGTTGAAGGCAAAGTGAAGATGACTCAAGCACGTTTCAAGTTCGCCGCCTTTCATGCCCAATTAAAGCCGATCCCTATCGCTGCCTCGAGAGACAAAATAAGATACGGTACCGAGATTATTGTATGCCAAAACAAGCCCATCCGTCAAAATTTTCCTTTTTCTTTTGTCGGCGAAAGTGAAATCGCCTCCAGCTTCGTTGACCGAAGAATCTCGAGAAAAGTCAATTAATACCTTTAGGTATGAAACAATATCTTTTTGGGTTTTTCTACGTCTGATTTGCGAAATTTTTTTAAATTCGCTTTAGAAACGTTTCAAAAAGATTTTTTCAAAAAAAGGTTAATAAATTTGAAAAGGATCAGATAAAGGTTATACTTATGAGCTCGTTCTGTAACTTAATAAGCATGAAACGTATTTTTAACCACAATTACAATTGCAAAACATCATTACAATCATTTTTAGTACCACTAAACCAGCAGACTTCTACTCGTTTATTTAAAAAGATTCTAACTATCGTATTCTACGACGTTGAAGCGGCGTCAACGTGCACCTTGGGGATGGATGTCTTCACGTTCGCGACTATTGGACAGTTCTCGTCTTCGGTCGGCCGTCGCTGCTTGCGTCGCTTAATTGAGCTCAGACTATGAGGCCCGAGACGGACATTGTGCTTACTCCCAAACTGCAAAAGTAATTGTAATGCCAATTATGTCGAGAACGACAAACATTCTCAAGGAGTAATATTATAGCTGCGAGGACAGTATTGCTTACGCAAATGTTTTTGGCGTGAAAATACGGACTTTGCACATTCTTTTACTTAAAATGGCAAAAAAGGTAAAATTAAATATTGGACATGATTAAAAAGCCTTTTGAGGTGCATAAAACAGTCAAAACTTATAAAATTACTGTTATAATGACCTCGAAACCGTTTCAAACCCGTACCCTTTCGAACACCGTAAGCTCGTCATTCTTGAGGACAAAACAGAAGTTGAGAAGCAGAAAGGAGACCACCAACAAGCACACTGCGAATATGACAGCCGCCACCAACGGCCCCATGTAGTCGAAGAAGGCAAAGTCCTGCTTGGGCATTATCTGAAACACAAAATAAACTCTTGAGGCGCGCGGCCTTGGCCAACAAACTCGTGAATCCTCACGGAATATAAATGCCTTAAGGTATTTTGGTTCGATGGCCGCCATGGGAACGGGGGGCCAGAGCTACGGCCGCACCTGCCCCAAAGAGTTTCGCATTTGAATATTTATTGTTATCGTGAGATTTTAAGAGTTCTTTTTTGTAATTAGAGAGGCTTGTTTTGGCGTTGTGAGACTTGTTTATTGAAAAAGTGTTAATCTCGTTTATTTACCCACAAGTACTATATTGTATATACAAACAAAAATGAGATTTTGGGACATAATGCTTTGAAATGAGATAACCGAAAGATAAGTGATATTACGACTAACATGAGAATTTATAAAAGTGCAATTAGTCAAAAAGTTGATAGAATCTGTCTTCATTGTTTTAATTACGATTATCTATCGACTTATTGACCAAAACGATAAGAAAAAATTACGTTACAATAAAAATTAAAACAGTTGTTCAAACACTACCCATACTCGTCTCGAACAATATCATTAGAGTTTGTAATCCGAAGACCCGCTCATATAACCATTTTCAATGCAAATTTTCCATAAACCTAATGCAAACCAAAAAGTTGCACTAAATTAAAACAAAACCGGTATCCAGGTGTCCTTTATTCCTCTTGAGTGCCATTTTGTAAAACTTTAGGCAAAGGGGGGAACTCGTGTCCTTGCCCGGAACGGCCGCTTCCTCCAGCTTACACTTGAATGCGTTCTCGACCATTTCGGCCACAACTTCAGAAGCAAGAAAATTCAAGACAATTATCAGCTCGGCATCTAATGGCTGCGTCACGCATAACCATTCACTCAGCGCTCGGCGGTTTTTGCACAAAGACACTCGTCGGGCCTTGCTGAACTCGATGTATGCATCTGAATCCAGTGCCTGAAGATGTTCTACAATTCGCTCCATTCGTTGGGATTTTTCTGCGTCTTCTACATAAGTATCCACAGATTCTGCGACTTGTTTTAGGTGAGGAAACTGCTCGGCCAAAGAGTCCAAGGCATCCAAGACATGTTCAAAACTGAAAAATTAAGTAATAGTCTGCAAAATTTTTTAAAATACCCATAATATTTTAAATACACGTGCTATTTTACAAGAAACACCACAAACAGTCCAAAAGCACAGTGTTTTCGGAATAATTACCTAAAATAAAAGACAATCAAAAATTTCTTACCTTCTCTTTTTTCCATTATCACTCAAACACTCCAACAACTGAATTTCGTCCCTTTCCTTCAAGAATTTGAACAATCGCATCAAAAGTCTAGTTTGATCCTTCAGACACCACAAGACATCACAAAACTTGACGTTACGCCGCCTAAAAAGCTACAATTAAGTCAATTACTACCTTACCCAAATTCAGAAGTTCTTTCTACAGCTCGATCCATCAAATTCTTAAGTTCTGTTCTCAAAAGTTCCTCCATAAACTCAACAACTTCACTTTCAGGTTTCTGATCATCTCCGTTTGTAAAAATTAATGTTGAAACGTTTTTCGTTATGAATTCTAAACTATTACCATCCAAACGTTCATCCTCGATGTTAACGTAGATACTGTCGTCCATTTTTTACTGATGAATCCTGTAAAATAAGCAGTAAATTTATCAGAATTTCTTCGAAAATTGAGAAATAAGTCTTTTTTTTCCAGAAAATGTGTCATTTCTTGTTGCTTTTACAAGTTTTACGTTGTTTTCAACTATCTATATTTTTTAGTAATAAACATGAAATTTTTTTCGTAGTATACTAAAGTTGTTGTCAACTTATATACACTACGGACAAACTCCGTCACAATGACTTATTTTCTAAAAAACAGCAAAACCTGACTCAAAAGAGAGACTTGGCCTTGTTTAGATGAAATCTTCAGAACAAACAACAATTACCGCAATCAGAAACGTTCTTTCCAAATTGTGATGGGGCGTGTGTTTCGATCGCCCGACCTTTAAAATCGGACCATTCATTATTTATCGTTCATTCGTTTTGCATATTAACTTAGATTGTTTCAGTTGGGTCGTGAACAATGTCAAGTTTGGAGTCTCTGAAGAAGCACTCGACTGTGGTCGCCGATACTGGTGACTATCAAGGTAATTTTGATGCTAGTTTTGAAGATAGTGTAGTATATTATAATAATGCTTTCATGATTTTTATATCGTTCATATTTTTTTAATAAGATTTTGACTTTTTTGTTATGTTTGCTTTGTTATTTTGCAAATAATCATTGTTTTGGATAGGCCAACAATTAGAAACTTCAATTATTTATAGAAGTTTTAGTGTAACAGTGTAATTGAGATGACTTGTGGTTGTAATGTAGCAATTTTGTCTGTTAGATGACCTTGAGTATGTTGTACTTTGAAACATTTTTTGATTAATGGCTTGTTACTTTGTAATCAATGGTTTTTAAAGGTTTAAAAGCTTGTACTACAAGTGATTAACATATGTTTTTGCAGCCATCAAGGAGTTCCAGCCAACTGATGCCACTACCAACCCCAGTTTGATCTTGGCCGCTTCTAAAGTCGATGCCTACAAACCGCTGATTCAGAAGGCTGTGCAATATGCGAAGGAAAAGGCTTCTGGAAAGCCAAAGGAGGAAGTTAGAGCATTGGCCATTGACAAGTTGTTCGTTTTGTTTGGAAAGGAAATCCTTCAGATCATTCCTGGACGTGTTTCTACAGAAGTCGATGCACGGTATGTTCAAAATATGTTTTTGGTTAAAAATTTGCAAAATTGTTCGCTACTTACTGACACGGCACTATTATTGTATATTCGCATCTTTAATACTATTATTGTTCAAGTTTTACGTTAATTTAATTTTAGCCTGTCATTCGACAAAGAAGCCTCGGTTCAAAAAGCTTTGTCGCTGATCAAACTGTACGAGGAAGAAGGTATCTCCAAGGAAAGAATCCTCATCAAGTTGGCTTCAACCTGGGAAGGAATCGAAGCTGCTCGTGAGCTTGAATCCAAACATGGCATCCACTGTAACATGACACTGTTATTCAACTACGAACAAGCCATAGCTTGTGCGCAAGCTAATGTCACTTTAATCTCGCCCTTCGTTGGCCGTATCTACGATTGGTATGTGAAGAGCACGGGAAAGAAGGACTACACCAGATCTGACGATCCAGGAGTCCAAAGTGTCACCAAGATCTTCCACTACTACAAGAAGTTTGGCCACAAGACTCAAGTTATGGCCGCTTCCTTCAGAAACACAGAAGAGATCAAGGGATTGACTGGTTGTGATCTTTTGACTATCAGTCCAGCCTTGTTGGGACAATTGGCTAAGGATTCCGAGACTCTGGAGCCGGTATTGACTGTAGAAAAAGGTAAGCAGTTTCAAAATTTGGCCATTTTTTGAGCTTATTACTTTGGCCGAAGTTCAATTTGTTTTTATATGTTTTTCAACATATTTTAAGGCATGTGTTCTTTAAACGTCTTCAGCCATGTTTACTAATTATTTCAAGCCTCCGGCATTAATAAATGGCGTTTGATAAAAAATTTCTTTAGTTTATTATTTTATCAGACGTATTTTGCAATATCAAGCTGTAAACACAAAGTATAACATAGTCTTTGAACCTATTTTTGTCGGTTTGTCTAAAAAAACCAAAAATTGAATCAAAATGTTGTAGAAGGTATAATTTTTTAAAAATTTTTTAAATGAGGCAAAGTTTAAGCATCATAAAAAGGTGAAAAAATTCTTTTTTATTAACTAATTGCTATTAATTGTAGCCAAGAACGCTGACCTGAAGGAAGTTAAAGTGACAGAACAAGTGTTCCGCTTCCAACTGAACGAAGATGCTATGGGAACAGAGAAGTTGGCCGAAGGAATCAGAAAGTTCGCGGCCGACGCCATCACTCTAGAACAACTGGTAGACCAACAACTCTAAGTAGCTAGCTAACTATCATATTTTGTCATTTTATAACAAAACTTCTATTTGAGCCATAAAATTTATGCATTTAATAAAAATATATTATGATAGACGGTCAATAAGTTGCTAGAATTGCAATATAAATGTTATTTTCTACAAAAAAACGTCATCCAAAACACAACTGTAGCCAGAAAGTCCATGTTTTGACGCAGGACTTTTTTAATTATTCAAAAAAAGCCCGACTATAACATCGCGCAAGGTAAAAAAGGTGAAGTGGACATGCGCGAGATCCGAGGACAGATTTCCTCACATTCTGCGGTCAGAGAGCGTCGAAATCTTCAGAAGTCCGCTTCTGAATGACTTGAAAATCTAATTCATGGCACTCAAGTGCATTACGTTCACAATCATCATGTGTAATATACGATGCATTGAGGGTAAACATTCAGTGTCTAGTTTATTGGATTCTGTTTTGAGTCAGTTGGATCCATCTGTTTCTACACGCTACGGGGTCAGACAAGGTAAATATTGTCTTATATCTTAGTTTTGGGCTATTTTAGCTTTGTCAAAATACTAAAATAAAAGTTTGACAAAGAAAAAATACCTTCTTCTTACTATTATTTCGAAGTAAAAAGTTTTTTACAGACTTATGTCCAAATGGAGTAGATCCTCAACGAAATTCGGATGGAAACATAAAATGGTGCCGTTTGGACGCGGAATGTCGTCTCAATTACGAATGTGTACCAATAGTCGGACTGAACCACTTTGGCAATCCAGTCAAATATTGTTGCCCAACCAAATGTAGCTAAATTTTCCAGCCTGTTTCGAATTATAGAGTTTAAATTTTTATTGTGAAGTTAAATCAGTCATTTGTGCTTCTATAATACGTCATAACCAGGCTTGGACACAGGGCAGGGCAGGGCATAGGGCATAGTTTGAAATTTTTTTACGGGGCAGGGCATAGCTTGGAACAGGGCAGGGCATGCCCTATGCCCTGCATTACCCTGCAAATGCCCTGTTTGTGCCATGGTAAGTTTTGGCGGACGCCTCCGCCGAGCGGTCGATAATCGGCGGACGCCATAACTTGGTTAGTTTAGCAGCTAGAAACATGTAGTTCAATTCAGAAGTTATTAAATGTCATACGCTACAAGTAAAAGCATAATTTTAAGATTTTAAAAGTAGTATTGTTATCGACCGGTTGATAATTTTTAGTATATTTTAATTGCAAATTTTATATATATTATTATCGCTCTGTTGTTCTAAATTGTACAGAAATTGCATCAGATACAATTCTAAGCAAAAAACTTTGTTTTTTGTAAAAATTAAACATTTGTAAATTATCGACCGGTCGATAACAATATTGTTTTTAAAAACATAAATTTCTGGCTTAATGTGTAGGCTATGACAGATAACAACTTCCGCACTTAATTACATTTTTCTAGCTGCTAAACTAACCAAGTTATGACGTCCGCCGATTATCGACCACTTGGCGGAAGCGTCCGCCAAAATATACCCAAATGCCCTGTAAATGCCCTGATGCCCTGCAGGGCAAGGGCAGGGCATAAAACCCCAATGCCCTGTACAGGGCAGGGCATGGAAATTTGCCAATGCCCTGCCCTGTGTCCAAGCCTGGTCATAACACAAAATTTACTTTTTTTTAATTTCAGATTCGTATTGTTCGCGACAACCTAAAATACAGGATCTAATAAACTGTGCCAAGCCAGCGATCACTTTGTACTACTTCGACACCAATCGACTGAAATGTCGACCGTATGTCGTCACTGGGTGCGATGACGTTGAGAGTACGGCAGACGAAGTACAAAACAGATTTGGTACTATTAAGGATTGTAGAGCAAAGTGCGAAACTACTGGTATGTTATCATGCGTTTTGTATAAAGAACATTTTAATTAAAGCATTTTGTGTTATAGTTTTAAGAAAACATGTTGTTTTAGCTTGTGAAATCGGTGAAACTCCGTTGTACCTTGATGATGACTTTGCCAAGCCGTTTCTGTGTGAAACTAGAGACGCCTGTCCTCATGGCTACATTTGTAGATACGACAAGTTGTTCCGACGACAAGTTTGTTGTGGAAAAACGTCATTCGGTATGTTTAGTATTTAATATCTCACACGAAACAAAGCATGCACATAACATTACTAACATAACATTATTAACACGTATAGTACAGCTAAATAAGACTAACAGTAAGTAATTACTATTTTACCGTAACGTAAGGGTAATACCAAATGTTGTCTTTCTGATGACATTACTAACACTAACATTCACTGTACTAACCCAGATCCCTGTCCTGGTTACCGTACTTACATCGTGCCATTTACTGGTCGACCAAGAGAATGTGACCCATTAAACAGAGAAAAAGACGAATGTCCATCTGACTACTTGTGCACATCTACACCTCAGAATGCACTAAGTTACTGTTGTGCTCACATACCAGGTCATTTTCTTTAATAAAATATCCTTACTAACATAACATAAGTACTTATATTTTTTTAATTTATTTTTTACCATTCCAACGTTTATTCATCTTTCAATGACTAAAGATGACTAAAGTATAGACTGTCATAAAACAATACCATTTAAAAAACTAAACATGTTTAGGAGTATGCCCCGTGGGCCAACGACCTTGTATACATCCATTGACCGCAAACACAATCAAATGTAACCCACACAGTTATGACGCAGCTTGTCCATCGGGCTACGTATGTTCACCTACAATAGTAGGTTCGTCGTGGGGATTCTGTTGCTCTCAAACTTTGGTTGGTATGTTTTTGTCAGCATATATTATTTCTGACCTTCTATATTTATTATAATGTAATACTATTTATTTATTTAGTTTAATGTCATCAATTATGTCATAAAGTAAGGCGCTTGTTTCAGCGAATTGTCCTCGAAATACAAAGCCTTACATTAACATTGCCACCAATATGCCCCAAAAATGTACCGTAGGTGTCACTACATGCAAGTAAGTTAAGGTTTTGGTAATTTCTTTACCAAAACCTTTTTACCTCTTGGTAGTTGCGATCTTGTCACTATTGTATTAACAAAAAAGTATTGATGTCATATTTCTACGAATACGACCATAATAATTTATACATAGCTATAAATATACTCGTAATATCTTCAGCCATGGCTATGTGTGTCAAAACAGTGAACCAAATGCAGCTATGGGCTTCTGTTGCACCCCACCACATTCAGCAGAGATCGTTGTCAGACCGATGTCACGATTACAGACAACCACATCACGTCTGACAACGCCTCGTCTGACCACTGTGGCAAGTTTTGTGGTCCAGAAGAGCAAGAGTAAGAGCGAGAGTGCGGAGGAAAAAAAGAGTTCGTCAGAGAATGTAGACAAAAGTCAGGAGATAGGCAAGTTTCTTCTGTTATCAGTGATAATAAGCAGTTCGATAAAATAACAACAACAATGTCTTTGGGAATAATGGTTAAACTAATTTTGGCATTCAAAAAGCGTTGCCAACAATATCAATAATATTTTAGAAACCACATCTAGAGCATCTCTGGAGTTCAGTAAAGAAGACAAGAGTACTTTCGAAGAGGCAAAAGTCGTATCAACTCTAGAGCAAGAAGTCAACTCAGTAACCACGACTGTTAAACCGACCAGAACAACCACTCATACGACCACACACAGACCAAAGACGGTCAGAAACAAGAATCACAAGGAAGACCTGAAATGCCCTGAGGACTTTAATCCAATGAAATACCCAAAAACTGGGCAGATTATGCACTGTACTCGGAGTAGAAAGAAAGATTGTCCAGGTGAGATACATTACTATGTTATTTCAAAACATGTTATCGTACGATATATCGTTCTATTGACTTTTGGCATTGATATAATGTTGGAGGTGACATTTAGCTCCATCCAAATGTTTAAAAGCCAGAGACGACCAATTTAAGAGAACGCTGTGTTGTCTACATCAAGATGACCAGGTGAACGAAGATGTTTCTTCAAATTCTGAATCGAACGAAGCTTCCAAATTCAAAATCATCCCTGACCTCAATCTTGGACAAAGTGAAGGTAAGCCTTTAACCCTTGTATAGAAGTTTAGCTAGCTACGGTGCAGTTCTGTGTCAATACTTCGCCTTACCTCATTTCTTTTTAGACCCAACCTGTCCTACAATAATATTGAGCAGAAGTTGTCGCCCGGGGTCTGTAGATGACTGTGAGGACAACTTCTTCTGCCAATTCAACAAACAGTACAAAGAGTATTTATGTTGTAGTTACCTAAAGAACGCCGGTCCTAATATTCTATACGGACCACCAAGCTTTGTGCCATTCAATTGATCTCCCATATTAGGCTTAATTAAGCTGCCTAATACAACAAGATACTTCTACACTTTTGGGCAATTTTTTAATTTATACATATATACAAAATAAAAATGTAAAAGTTACCCGACAAAAAAGGTTTGATACATTTTGTAACTCGTGAAGGTTCATAATGTTAAAAAAAGTAAATTAAAACATTAGATGTCATAAGACTAATGTACAACTTTAGATGTTTTAGCTTTAAAAACTCAAAAGAATAAGACATACCTACAAAAATTCAAATGTAAGACCATATATCTCCATAAAAATTTAATTGTTGGACTACCATCTATAACAGCCCTAGCCAATTGGGTGTTAAACTTTCATAGACTGTACAAAGTTGTCCAACACGCTTGTTTTTCCTTTGAAATGCTCGATTTGTTTGTCGATCAAGTTCATGTCCTCCATGTCAAATGACTTTATAGATGATGGAGCAGATGACATCTCCTTCACAAAGATATTCAAATCGTCTCCAAAGCCATCTACATCTGTTGCAATTGGAGGTAGGACTGTGGATGGAGAAGACGTTGAAGGGATAGAGTAATCTTCGTCTTCGTCGATGAATCCAAAGAGTTCATCTTGTATCCTCTGTTTGTTTCTAACCATGTCTCTTAGAGATGACGATGCTGAGGACGAGGCTCCACTGTCGTACTGTTTAGAGCCAGAAGAACTGCTGGTAATCGATTGAAGGTCGTTTGAAGCGTTAAGGTCTTTGGCTTTCACGCTGGTGTTGTCGCCAGAATCTGTAGACCTTGCTAACGAGGAAAATGGAAACTCTTTCTTTTGGCTCTAAAATATTTTAACTTATACTATATTGTGTGGTGGCATTATATAAAGCATTTTAAAATACAAACGATGTTCTAAAGTATCCAAAAAATTACAACAATTTCAACTTACTTTCTGTGAATCCAATGAATTTGGAGCCAGTTCACTTTCGGAAACTCTTGCCTTGATCTCCTGAGGCATAGCAGCCAACAACTCGGCTGGAAGATTCTGGTAAATAGCCGGAATGCCTTCTGATCCTCCTGAACTTGCTGACGGATTTCTTGGCCGACTCATGTCGCCGATAAAAGGTAACTCCTAGAAATTCATTTATAAGTTCCACATAAAGAAACTAGTCAAAATTCTTATATTTTGTAAGATTTATTTTTAACTAATATTGTAGTAGATCAGGAGCAAATAAACTTACATCAGTCAAAGGGTTGAACCAATTTTTAGCTTTAGGCTTCGAATCGCTGGACAGAACCAATCTCTGTTTTGGTTCAAACGGCTTATTAATTGGAATGGAAGCTTTCACGAAGATACCACCTTTGTCATCTTGAACATTGTTATAGTTGCTGTCTTCCATGTATGGTGGCAGAGATAACTCCATTTTTGTCCTATAGTGAAAGTCTAGCTGGACTGCCCCAAACGGAGATGGATAATTGCCTAATGTCATTGACTTCCTTTCTGGGCCTAGTAACTCTACATCTGGTTCAGTATCTGACACCTAAAACAATGTATATTATATAAAACATCGTTAATATCACTGTAAATTCTCCTAAAAATACAAAATACTAAAAGTCCAAATTAAAGCAAACAATAAAGAACTTACTCTATAACACAAAACATAAGTTTTGTCGCTTTGATTCTTAACATAATGCCGAGCTGTAGGTGTAACGCGAGCTGCAGCACATACAGACTTCAACAATGTCCCCAACTGATGGTAAAAATTTGAATATATATTGACATTCTCGTCCACTTCCATTTGTAAAACCCTTACTACCCTAAAATATACTAGTTTATCTTACAATACAATAATTTGTATTTCTGATAAGGATCAATTAGCAGGAAAAACCCCATAAAATTTTTTTCGCCCAGCGAACAGTCCATTTACGATCTAAATTTTAATAATAAAATTAAAGATTTATACTTACCATGCTTCCAACGGCAGATTGTCTCCTCCAGCAGTGTGAAGGAAGAATTCAACAGTCAAAGCTGGGATTTGAGGTGGATACCTAAAGCGTATATAAGAAAAAGAAAGTAAAACATACTTTTTACAAGTTGTCTTCAAGTAGGCAGATACTTCTCCAAACTCATCTTGTTTAAAATTAAACCATTCAATATTATCTGGGTCTGGAATACATGGCTGATCTAAAGGAACGTCCATTCTCGAATGAACGACAGCTTGGACGAAGCGAACACAGAAGAAACGCATAAACTTCTGGAACTCATTGGCTTCGTTTACCTTTCTGAAACAATAACATTGTATATAACATTAAAACCAATAAAAGTACAAAATTTACAAACTTACGAATCTCTCCGAGACATCTTGACCACTCTGATGTTATGCCTCCTGCTTGCCCAAGCGGCGATCGAAATTCACGTGGTGAAAACTGAAAAATATGTTTTGAGTTGTGTTAGACTACGTATAACAATGTTTGACAAAGAAAAAAATACGAAAAAACGTATAATAAATCATGTACAATATCGTAACGAAAAGATTTATTTTTCTTTTCGTCCCGAAAAAAATCTGAAGTTGTGACTGATTTTCCGTAAAATCAATTATCTGCATGTGATAGCGAAGTGTCACACATTGTATTGGAATTTATATTTTAGAAGAAAAAATTAATAATTTTAAAGGCTTATTTTTAGTTATTGTTTTGTATTGAAAATTTACTATTTCTTATCTTACTTTTATCATTAATATTTTCTTATTATAAAAATTTAAATTTTCATTGATAAGCAATACGTTTTAACAATAACAATAGGACATGTTTAAACAACTCGACGTGTGTTTAATATTTATTAGAAAGCGATCAATGGCGGTAGAAAACAATCCTATCTTACCACTGGCATATTACTCATAAATTTGCATTTTAGTTGCGATGCGTTGCCGAGGGAACCGGGGACCCCCGCGAGAGCAAACAATCAGCTCGAGAAGGAGAAGGTCAGCGTTTCATATAAGCCACAAACAAGGACCAGCTGACTCATGTTATGCCCATTTTAATATTAGTGTTTGTGGGCTTTGTTGGGGCCCAGTTTAGTGAACCAAGACGACCGGTCGATCTCTGGAATCCGTTTGGGACGACAACAACGAGAAGGCCCGGACAAGTAAGATAATTTTTATTATGGCTTTTGGTGTTTAGGAACGATAAGGTAATAAATTTGTTGATAAAGATGCATTTTATTGGAAGGTGATAAAATGTATTAAATGAACATATTATTAACTTTATCACTTTAGGGGACAGCTTCAGACGAAGTTCTGGTTCGGCTATCAATTGGTCATGTTATTGGGCGTCGTGCAACTGTGTATAACGTGCCATGGACAGCCGATAAAGATCCTCTAGAGACGGAAAGACCTACAGCGTCTCATTTTGATCCAGACCCAGTGCCTCTTCTCAACAATGTTACAGTATACACGTTTTTGGGGATACCGTATGCCGAACCACCAGTGTCTCAAAGAAGGTTCAAACCACCTCAGCTGATGACACAACTGCCGGGAGAAGGACCTTTTTCAGCCTTAGAATATGGTCCTACTTGTGCACAAGAGATTGAGACTAGGCCCAATCTTAAGATAAACAACTTGTATCCGTTCAGAGTCAGCGAGGATTGCTTGTACTTAAATATCTTCACTCCTGATGTAAGTAGTGTTTGTGTTAGTTTATTTTCTTAATTTAGGCTGCAAAAACGTCGTCGCGCAACTACCCGGTTGTCGCGTTCTTTCATGGCGGCAACTTCCAAACAGGCTCTGCTAATGAATGGCCAGGACATGTTTTGGCGTCACGAGGATTGGTTGTGGTCACCATTAACTACCGTTTAGGACCTTTTGGTAAGTTTGCAAGTTTTTTTAAGATTTTTAACTTGGATCACCGTATTTTACACAATTAGATTTAAAGTTTAATATTATTGTAAAAGTTTATATTTGTGAAAACTTTTAAAATTGGACTGTATTATTATTCTTTAGGATTTATGAGTTTGGGAGATACTTATACTGGAAACTACGGGATCCAGGATCAGAGGTGTGCGTTACAATGGATCCAACAACATATTGCTGCTTTCGGAGGTAATCCAGGCGCAGTATCTATCGTTGGACATGACGCTGGCGCTGTTTCTGCTGGTATTCACATGTTGTCACCGTTATCTAAAGGTATGTTTATCAAATACGAAACTCAAAGCGTCGATTTTGAAATTATTTGTTACATTTTTTAAAATAATTGATTTACTGACAAGACGAATATTTACAGGATTGTTTAAAGCTGTAGTAGCTATGTCAGGCGCAGAAGTATCTTACCACTCAACTATTGGCAAGCCTATACTAGCCTTTAATAACACGATGAAGCTTGGCAGATACCTAGGATGTGTTCAGCCAGTAGCCCAACAAGTTTGGGATTGTATTCTGACGAGATCCACTAACGATATTATTCAAGCTGTATCTCCAACCAACGTGCCAACAATACCGGTCGAATTCAATCGCTACCTATTCATGCCGACCATTGATAACAGGGAATTGTCATCTCATCCATTGCTTTTACTCAATGAAGTACCTACTGGAGGAGCAGATCTACCTTCTCCTGTACCATACTTGACAGGACTAAACAAGCACGATGGAGTTGAGGCGATTCTGGAGAATCGACCATTGGGGGAGTTTTCAGACTTTGAAGTGGATGAGAGTTTTATGAGGAGCTGGATTATAGAGTATACCTACAGGCACAACTACACCATGAATAGGGAATCTATAATTGCAGCAATATCAGATTATTACACGTTTTGGCCTGACAAGAGCGACATTTGGAATATTAGGGACAAATTTATTGAGGTAAGCAGCCTTAGGTGTCGATCAGGGACGTCGCTACGGGAAAAAATTTTTTTGGTCCACAGGTACCTGTGGATTTTTTTTCGGATCGGCTCTGGGGGGGGAGTCACCCCGAACCACCCCCCCCAAACGACGTCCCTGGTGTCGATATAATATACTATGTCATTCGATTTTGACTTAAAGTATTATACGATTTGGTTAATATAATACGTTTTAGTTAGTGACTGATGCCTATTACACAGCACCAATAGCTCAATCAACTCACTTACATTCAGCAGCCGGCTCTAGAACCTTTATGTATGTGAACAGCTACAACTTCTCGGAAACACGCGACAATCGAGAGCCTCGAGAGTCGAATCAGGCCTTCAGAGATTGGATGGGGTCTTGTCATCAATGTGACTTGTACCTTCTGTTTGGATTTCCCTATTTGGAGCCTAATTTGATGCCAAAACATTTGAATGAAGTAGTTTGGTACAACACGGACAGAAATGCCAGTTATTTGTTCAGTTCGATGGTCAGACAGTTTGTCAGAGTTTAGTAAGTTTTATTATCCTTGGCATTGTTTTATATTGTTTTTGTTTTTATCATATTTTTTTAAATATGATAATATCCTATCTTGATTTTTCAGCGACCCAAACCTGCCAAATCAAGGCATTTGGCCAGCTTACCAACCAAGAGCACATTGGTTCATGAACTTTACTTATCACGCCTTTCACCCAACTGATCGTCTCGGCACGGTAGATCGTGATTATCGCTACAGTGAAGTGGGATTCTGGAATAATCTGATTCCAGGCTTAGTCAACTACATGACGACAACGTTCCCACCAGATGGAGTCGTGGAACGGCGAGAACTAGTACTGTTTAAGATTGTCTGCGCTATTCTTGTCATCATCGTGATGCTGCTTCTACTGGGAGTTCTTTCTTGTGGCTACATGATGTTTGACAGAAGGAAAGGGGAAGACTTTGATAGGAGAACATTGATGACACGACAATCAGATTATCACGAAACATATCAGCCACCTCATCCTGGCACAGTCGGACCTCAACGAATACCTATGAATCAGTTGTCTTCACTTTGATATCTTAAATAATACGGGAAATAAAGATCTCTTGAATAAGTTTGTGTATGTGATTAGTGTTATTTGTTGAGTGAAATCACAATATCTACATTTTAAAAGTAAAGAATGTATTTTAGTAATATCTTCGTATGTTTTTTTGTTAATCGGCTAGGTATTTAATGCATTGTTGTTCAGATATGGACAAAGACACACAAGAAGTAAATGCTGAACTTAAGTTAAGGTATCTGTCGTTCTTGAACAGCATCAGAGACAAAGAAGTAAGTTTTATTATACTTGGTAGTCTTTTTGGTATCTTAAATATTTGCTAAATACAACTCTTTAGGTAGACGTACAGCTGTGTGACAACATTGCCGTGAAAGGAAACTTCATTGGAATGCAGAGAAACGGCGAACACTTTCTTCTGAAGCCCTTAACTACTCCGACTGGTCAGTTAGACAGTGGAGTAATACGGACAAAGGATACTGTAACTCTAACGGTTGATCTCAAAAACTTTGAATAAATATTAATGTTGAATTTCGATTTTGGTTTAATGGTACATCCCATTGCTGTTATTGTCGCCAATGTTGCTTTCAATTTTTAAAATTACTTTGAATAGTCAGTTGTATGGTATAGTAAAGTGTATCTGGGTAATTCTTTCGCAATTTTTTGACCAAAATAAAATTTTAAGACATGAATTGTAAGTAATAAAATGATACAGTTTAGAGCGAGATGGACGTAGTCGGCGTTCTGAAGGTGTACAAATGGCTAGCCGACAGTTACATGGTCGACTTTTTTGTTGAAGATAACTGGCAGAAGCTCCAGAAGTCATGGAGAGATTACTTTGACACATTTTCTGATGAAGATGTTGTAGTATTCGTTAGACATCTTCTGAATCCGGCTTCCTCAACATGGCCCAACTTGTCATCACCACCCCCATTGTCATTAATATCGTTGAAAAATGTTGCTTTTTCTTTGAGTGTGCCATTTTTTAAACCTGTGGAGAGTTTAAAGGAATTGGCTACGCATTTTGAAATTGATACTGTGAGTTATTAGTAAGCAAATTTTTGCATTAAACTCCAATTTGCACATGATTATTAAGGAATTACTAATTTTAGGACAAAAATTTCACGGATGTTTGTGTAGAACTGGACTCAAAGAAGCGGTTGAAGATAAAAGACAAGAAGATTCACGAGATTGGGAGAATATTGGACTTGACCACGTTGGTCATCGAAAGTGCTAAAGCTAAGAAAGAAGAGATTGACGAGGTGGTTGATGTTGGAGCAGGCTTAGGTCACTTATCAAGAGTTTTGTCAATGTATTTGGACAAAAAAGTGCGAACAATCGAAGGAGATGAACAGGTATGGTCTCGACAATCATTTATCTTTACCTTTGCTGATATTTGCAGCTGGTACACCGTGCTTTGACAATCGATGCCAAGGTGTCGAAAGGTGAAATGGAAATGCCAGACCGTATTTCGGCTTACATAAAATCAGAAGAAGAAATTCAACAAACTCAGAACGCGCTGCTGATCGGGTGTCATACTTGTGGAGACTTGGCTCCAACGATCATCCGACATTACAAGAACAACACTTCGGCCAAAGCACTTGTTCATTTCGGCTGTTGCTACCACAAAATGAATGGTGGACTAGATAAACCATTCCGAGTTGAAACAAAAGAACCATTTAAACCTGCTGAAGATGGATTCCCTTTGAATAAGAAGTATAGTGAGGTCGAGATCAGCTACATGGCTAGGGAATTGGCATGCTTTAGCTACGGACAATTCGTCGATAAAATTGGAGAGGTAAGAAAGCGCGTTTAAATTAAACATTGGGCAGATTTTTTCAGTAGAATGAAAAGACCATCTAAAGATCTTTCTAATAAAATGACATAAGTAAATGGCATTTATTTTAGAATGAAAACCAATTCTACGTTAACGGGTCTAGGGCGGCATTGGAGTATTTAATAGTCAACATCCTGGGAAAACGAGATTGGCGACATAGTAAAATGGTTGGTGTGAAAAATGGTCATCTGATGGATTTCTGGGAATATGCATCGAAAACGGCCAAACACAATCCACAAGTTATACAGCTTTTGGAAGAAAACGTGGGTTTGTACATTCAAGTTTACTTTAAAAACATAACACAGCTTTCTTTTGAAAGGCACTGTCAGACAAATACCTAGATCAGTTAAAAATCCCGAGCTTGAACGTCCCAACTTTCAGAAGTTGGACAATGACATCAATAAGCAGATAAATCAGCTTTTAAGCGTGAGCCGAACTCAAGTCCCTGTCTTCTACGCCTTACGGCTCTTAATTGCACCACTTATCGAAACAGTTATCTTATACGACCGTCAAGAATACCTCAAAGAACATGGAATCACATCCAAACTCATCCCGTTGTTTAACCCCAACATATCCCCTCGCAACACAGCTCTAATTTCAATTAAATAAAAACACTTTAGTAACAAAACTTTCAATTCACAAATCAAACCAACAATTATAACAAAAACCAAGGTTTAGATGATACCAATCTTGTTAGCTACATCAAGAGCATCGAAGTCGGGACCCAGTCTGATGAAAGCTTTCTTGGTGTGGTGGGGAGTGATCAAGGTGTTAACCTGCAAAAAGTTTATTTTATTTAAAAAAAAGTTAAAATAAATCAAAGATCGTTTAAAAATTGATTTTTAGGTATGAAATGTAAAAAGTACTTAAATTTTTCGACAAAAAAGTAAAAAGTTATGGACCCAAACGTCAAAACAAAAACCCTACCTTTTGTGCTTCAATGTTGTACAGTTTCCTGACGGCGTTCTTGATCTGACCTTTGTTTGATTGGACATCGACGATGAAGACCAAAGTGTTGTTGTCTTCAATCTTCTTCATGGCGGACTCAGTGGTGAGTGGTCGCTTGACGATGCCGTAAGCATCCAAACGAGGCCGAGAAGGAATCGACTTTCTTGGGTACTTTGGGGTCTTCTTCAAGGTCAAGGTGTTTGGCCTGTTGAAGCGGGCAGCGGTTCTGACCTTCTTAACAGTCTTGGTTTGGACGCCCTTCAAAGCCTTCTTCTTGGCATCAACAGCCTTTTCGGCGGCTTTGGCACCTGAAAACTAAACCATAAGCAAATTTAATCTACAAAAAAAACTGAATCCATCTGCTTAAAGCAATTAAAATGCAGAGTATCTGACGAAAAAATTAAGTAAAATAAATTTATGCAACCTTATCAGACTCTACAACAGCTATCTTCATCACCTAAAAGCCAAAGCAACAATTAAAAATTACCTTTTGGAGCGACAGCTTTTTTGGCCTTAGGGGCCGATTTGGCAGCAGTCTTTGATGGAGCCATTACCCTGAAAAAATATTACTATTAAAACTGTAAAACGGTAAAATTACTACATTTTGAAAGAATTTTGTTATATCGCGAAAAAATTTCAAGGGTGGAAAAATAAAATTCAAGAAAATAATACCGTATCTTGGCATAAAAATAAATCGTGGTGGGACTCACACAAAAAGAAAGTGAGTCGCAAATTTTTTGTCAAAATATTGTGGAAGTAAACATCATGCCTTTATGCCGTTCGTAGATGCCGAAAAAATACACCTGTAAATTTGAGAAAGGTAAGTTAACGAATTTTGTATGAATTGTTGTGATTTTTAGGTATAATGGGAGACAGTGGAGTCCAAAACTCTAGAATAGAGTTCAGTGGATTGTCTGAAGCTAATGAATCAGGACCGTCTACGTCAAGAACAGCCAGGAAAGACTCAGATGGTAAGTTCGAAGGTTTTGCATTGTTATTAAGGTGGTTTGAACATGGGTTTTTTAGTGTTTTGCTTTGTGTTCTCAAGATGGATCTCTATAATTATACGATGTTCGGATTTCAGATTCACACATATGCGAGTTAAAACATGGAGCAAGTCAAGTCATAGATTTGTTTATTCCGGTGTCATTATGCATGTTGGCCGTGATTTTGTCAATGAGGTCAATTGGCTACTTCACTCGACCTGATGGCGTGTATATGTATGTTAATATATTCTTTTTACTTTCTGTGGTTATGAGTGGTTTTAGCAGAGGTAGTTATTATGGTTGCTGCTTTTTAAAGTCTATTGCACTATGGTAGATTATAATTTATAGGATATACACTCCGTTCACAAAACCAACAGAAAGTGCTGGTGAATTGTTCATAATGTCGATTGGCAATGCGCTTACGTTGCTGGGTGTTGTGATGGTAATGACATGTGGCTTGTATCTTCTCTATAAACACCGTTTTTACAGAGTAAGTTTATGTTTTTATTACTGAATTTAACTTTTAGGTAATACATGGATGGCTATGTTTGAGTACCGTGATGCTGCTGGGGTTCTTTTCTTCAATGTATTTTGAGTAAGTCGGTTGAAAGTTAACTATTGTTGGCTAGAGGGTATATATATTAATATAGGACATAGTTTTTGTTTTATGGTACTATAGCTTTAAGGATTTGTTTTTTTTAGTGTTTTACTTTATACCTGCTTTTTCAGAGAGTTACTGAAGAATTTCAACGTAGGTGTAGATTACTTAACTTTTCTTCTTATTGTATGGAACTTTGCTGCTGTTGGTATTATTTGTGTACACTGGAAAGGGCCGTTCCGAATGCAACAGGTAGGTTTTGTCCTGAATAATACATATTACCATAATTCTAAAAATTATCATAAAACAACAAGTTTCTCTTTTGCTCTTATATCTTAAAACTTAAAATTGGTTATTTTAGGGCTATCTGATCATAATGTCGGCATTAATGGCTTTGGTTTTTATTAAGCATTTGCCTGAATGGTCAGTTTGGACAGTTTTGGCCGCTTTAGCTATATGGGACTTGGTTGCCGTTCTTTGTCCTCTGGGACCTTTGAGAGCATTAGTGGAAACGGCACAAGAAAGGAATGAACCTATATTTCCAGCTCTTATTTACTCTTGTAAGTTCAGTTACATATATATTTCTTTAATTTTATTTCTACAATTGGTTTATTTTATTTTTACGATTAAGTGACGATGTTTTATTTGTTCGATTTTAGCGACAATGATGTACATGGCTTCTGTATCTGCGCCCACCTTCTTCTTGGGTTTGAGTGGGGAAGATAATGGCAATCAGCCCTCTTCAGTAGACGTTCCTCAAAACATTCAGCCATTGACAGACAGAGGACAACGCATAGCTCCGTTAAGAGGTCAACAACAAAGCACTCCACCACGTCCACAAGAAAACACCCAACAACGTCCACAACAAAACACATCTACAACCAGTCAGGGTCAGCAGCGACGTGAACGTCAAGAACAACCACATTATCATGAAGAAGAAGAGAAGGGCGTCAAGCTGGGATTGGGCGACTTCATCTTCTACAGTGTCTTGGTAGGCAAAGCGTGTAGTTACGGCGATTGGAATACCACAATAACTTGTTATATATCGATTCTACTCGGTCTCTCCTTTACCTTGATGTTGTTGGCGATCTTCAGGAAGGCGCTCCCTGCCTTGCCCATATCTATCTTTGCTGGTATAGTATTTTACTTTGCGACATATGGAATAATCACGCCGTTTATGACTGAAATATCTGTCAGACAATGGGTAGTGTAATATCAACGTGACATGAGTTGTCATTTTTAATCTCATTTCTTATTAGATTTGTTATGTCTTTCACTTTACAACCGCAGATATGACATATTACTTTGAATTCTTAATTTATTCACTTTTCCAATTATGTATTTAATAAATATGAAGCAGTTATTGTAGATATTGTACTTGTTTTTGGTGTCAAATGACATTTGTCGTGTCTTATCGTTATTAGTAATATATATATCAATTACAACATGACTTTATGGTGTTGTTGCGGAAGTAATATAGACATTAAATGGTTTATTATTTTTGTTGTAATTATACATGCTATTATGTTAACTACGCGTATACCGTCGTATCTTTCGATGTTGAGTAAAGTGTGGGTGTGGTAGTTGACGTAGTTTAATTGTGAAAAGTCGATTAAGATTATGAAAACAAACACATAACTCTGTGATGATAGTGAATTTCAGGGTCAAACCCTTTCAGTGTAATATATTGTAATAGCCGGAGGGGTTTAAGTGTTCAAGGTACTTTAATTCGGACGCCTTTTAATTGGTTTAGGCACAGCTGAATGTGCTGTGCTTTTACAATTGACAAAAGAATACCAATTTAAAATGTCAATGTTAAAGACCTTGGGCTTCAGATGATCTAAATTTACTTGAAATTGTCATAAAACACAATATCTTCCCACAATCAACAATATAAATCTGTTTATTGACATTATGTATATACCTGTACAATATACACGAAACGACCGTGCTCCGGTCGAATGTGCGTGAACCGAGTTGTAAATCGAGTAAATGAGGATAATTAAGTAGTTATTGGCTTTCCGCTCTAATACCCGCAACAAAAATATCTTGTCGTAGTTGAGGAGGCTTACCCCATCGAGGCTAGTCCACCGGTCTGTGGTTGTATACTGAGGCTTTGGAGCACGTCCTGAGGCACGTGTTCACGGAGGATTGAGTTTTCTGCTTCCAAGTGCACTACCTACAATATCATGGTTATATTTGTGGGTTTTGGGTGTTTAAATGTGATACTTTGGAGTAAAATAAGAATTGATAATTGCTGGTTAATTATCAAGATAAATTTTTACTCTACAGTGCAGTACTTGTATGTTAATATCTACTCTAACAATGCAAGTTTAAGCCAGTTCAATGTAATTTTAAACGGTATGTTATCAGAAGACCAAGTGCGTCATTATCAACCAGATTACACATCAAAAAACTGCTTTTAATTGAGTATTTTTCTCCAAAAACCTAGTTATCAGCAATTATTACACTGGGCGTGTACTGTAACCATCATTTATATTGTAATCTTTGGAACAAACTTGTACTTTTTCAGGTAATATTGTTTTAAACAAAGCTGTAACTTCAAGAACAACTCTGTCATCTAAACAGCAGTAAGATGACAGATCTCCTTATTTTAACAGCATTAACATGACAGATCTCTTACAAAACTGATAGAGTTATTAAAACTGATCGGGTTATAATTCTTTTAACCACGCCTACTGTAATTTACACTGTTTTCCTTATTTTTCGCCGCAAAATCAACAAATTTTGGTAAATTTTGTAAAATTTGTTAGTTATCATGATAGTAATGGCACAAAGAACCTTCTCCATGTGACTGAGTGCACAACGGAGCGAGACACACCCATTAACGTGGTAAACAGACTTACTGTAGTTTCTAGTTCCATGATTCTCGACCGCAAACTCTCCACTTCTTCACGGACCGCAAACATGAGGTGGGTCTTGACTAAATCCTGAAAGGTATGGATATTAACATACTATATGAGTGTTAACATAAGTAATAGCATGTTTAAGTCATCGTATTTGAAAAATAATAGTAAATTATCTGCACTTTAAATTACACTTTGGTTTGCTACTCTACTCTGCTTTTCTACGTGCATTTTTAAAAAATTTTAAAATATTTTGAAAAATCTGCACGGTGCAATATAAATGTAAGTGAGTGCACCGTGCAATGAATCCGTTAATATTCAATAGAAGACGACAACTGTCATTACTGACAACTAAAACAATATAAAAAAGAATACCATGGCAATATAAATACATACAATGTACTATGATGGCATCTGACACAAAAGACAATATAAATAAATATAATTTACCACGATGTTATTGTATGACATTGTGGGATACTACAAGGTATAAACTAGCATAATACTAAAAGATACCGAACAAGACGACGTATACAGTAAGCATGCAAAAACTTATGTCATTATATTTATTAGTTTGTTCAAGTAATTCTGGGCCCCCTCTCAAAGCCAATTTACATGTTTAGAAGGCACAGAATTATGTAAAAATACTAATAGATAGCACTATCAGATAAAAAGTTTAAACCAAAAGATATCTCAACTTGACACCAAGGTATCATGGCACAGTTTACAACTTGACATCAAGATACCATGCCGTTCTTTATGACATATAATTAACGACATATAAGTTATGACATACCGCAAAGTGTTGGCCAAAGTCCTTCTCGGAGCTCCACATGTTCGCTTATATAGACGGGTTTGATGACAGAACTGGTTGTTTTTGCAAGGTGATAATGAACAAAAGACCAATTTAAAGGATTGTAAAGGGCGTGGCCTGTTGTGATAGTATCTTTAAAGGTTACTATGTGGTGTCAAGGTCACTCATGTACGGTAATGTCATAACTGTTTATCTTGTTGTTTACTTCCACCCACAAATAATGAAATCTACATACTGTAACATTAAAATATGATCTAGAGAAGAGAAAAAGTACTGTAACTTTAAAATTTGATTTAGTGAAGAAACAAGGTACTGTAGCTTTTGAAAATTGAAACTAGATACTGTAGTATACGAAGACCAAAAAGTTTAGTATCAAAAAGTCTTGAGTTTTCTACAGTAGCAACCTTATAACCTTATTAAGTTAATTTACAGTATACCCAAACTTTAAAAATTTAAAATTCTAGTTTGTGTCGCAACTACCGTAACCCAGTTTTGTGTTTTGGTAGAGTTATATTGTTACTGTTTACAATCTGACCTTGACAGAGTAACCATCGAAGCGTACACCCGATTACATTACCCTTACCACTACAACATCAATTGTAATCAATTCTAATTACCATGCCCTGAGGCGGTGTAATTGCGAAGGAGGTACCCTGGGGGAGAAAAGAGGTCATAATGATGCAACGTACCGTGCATTTGAACATCCGAACTATCAAATCTTTGGTCGATTCCAAGGCGGAGTGTAAGGAAAGTTGCTGCGAACGACGAGAGAGTGTGGAAAGAGAGAAACGGCAGACAGAGAACGGTAGTATAATTGATGGAAAGTTTTAATAATTCAAGGTCGAAATGTCATCCACCTAACAGATGACTTCAGCAAGTCGGAATTCCTCCGAGAACTCCGCGATGGCGTGACAAATTTCAAAATTTTGTTCAAAAGTACAAAATATAACTACAACCTACAATATCATAGTGATATTGCTCGTGGTATTAATTAGGGTTTTGCACGAAAACATATTTGTCACAAATATCATGTTATTTGCCTTTAATTTTGCAAATTTGGCTTTTTTATCGTATAACTTGTCACGTGCAGGCTGCAGGATTAAAAACAAGCTGGGCGCAAGCTGAACTTATTAAAATCGCTTTAGCCTTTTTTTCATCAAATATACGACTTACCATAGCCTGTTCAATCTTGGAATCGATAGCCACAATCTGCTGACATTGTTGTTGTTGTGCTGGACTGGGCTGACTAGCTGGATTGGCTGGAATTGGGCTGACGGGAGTGGCGTGATTGCTGAAAACAAAAGATCTTCGGTTACGAGTCAGGATAGCTCTGGGGGACATGGAGCCGTTGGAGCAGGTAGCTAGTGGGGAGACGTGGAGCTGTTCAGGATTAAAGGAATGTCGCCTGCGGGCATTTAAGGCCATTCGACTGTTCATGATCATTTATATTGTTGTAGGCAAAGAGTTACGTGTAGTTGTAGACAAAATGTTAACCGTACTGATAATACAGTACGTATAGTTTAATAGCTCAAGTTCGCTAATAGTTTGTTTTCTTTTAATAGCTCAAGTTAGCTAATAGTTTGTTTTCCTTGCAGTTTATAAGGTTTTATTGTAGTAATAACAAAAGGTAGTGTAATATCAGGTGTGGCTCACAGGCTTCCAAGGCCGAGGCTCAGCCTATTACAGACAAGTTAGGCCAAGTAATGTTAGATTTTTTTTCAAACAGACGAAACCAGCTAGCCGAACGGATTAACAGGTCAATCAGTTTAGTTACAATAACAGTCAGGCAGCCGGCTGTCTCTCCCCCACGGCCCTCGGGCGAAGGTCCCTTCCAACCGTTTTAGTGTTAATTCTGAATGGAAACCCATATATTATTGGTGTTTTCGATCAGGTACCTCCCCTCACACGCGGATTATTGTTATGCATGTACAATCACAACATAAGCACTCAGCTGACGGACTTACCCTGAGGCGAACAAGGCCTCGCCATTCAGCCAGTTCCTCAGTTTGGACTCGCGGAATAACAATGTCGACATTAGACAGGAAAAGGGCTGGAACAGGGTGGAATTAGGTAACATTGGAGGGGTAAAGTGGTAAGAACGAGGTGAAATTTTCAAAAAAATCGGAGAAAACTAGGTGGAATTCAGCAAAAATCGACTGGAACTTAAGTTTTTGTTGACAAAACTTTATGAAATTCTATTTTTTATGAACTAAAAATAAATTTTCAGGTTACAAAAATTAAAAAATGACTATTTTTCAATAATTTAATTAAAAAAATAAGCCATAAGAGCCAAGGAACACCTAATAGAAGCCCCAAAGAACGGATCTCTGGTTGGTTTTCCAGCCGGCTTAAGGCAGTGTAACATAGCAACTGGAGGCCAGAAACTTGTTATGTTACTGCATTACAAATTAACGCATATTTCCTCAGGGTTTCGACATTTAAAAACGAAATTCCGAGTATTGCAAATGGTTTTTTGATCAGCTATGTTATGATTGAGCTATTCAGATCTCGAAAGAACTTGAACTATTCTCAAAAAAAACGTGCTTGAACTATTGTTTTTGGTTAGAAAAGTCTTAGATTTTCATTATTTTCGCTCAGAAATGTCTTTATAAGGCATAATAACAACTTGCAAAGCTTGTAAATGTAGTTATCCGCCTAGCAAACCCAAAAATATTACCTGAACCTAATTGGAACGGCGGAAAACAAACAAACTGGAACTATTAATTAGCCGTTCATATCATATGCATTACGAAAACATGTCAGAATGTGACACGAAACCCTTCAATATAGTGATACAACCTCAAAGACCGAAGTGAATCCCATAAATTTTGTTTGGCCAGACACGAAAACAACCGCTAAGCAGCTAGCTCTAGGTTGGACATAGTGTAAAGGCGCCTTTTGGGGGTGGATAAAGTTGAAAAGATCCTTTTTAGGTATAGAAAACGTCTTGTTTAACCTTAAGTTTGTTTACTTTTCCCAAAACAGTAAAATAGCTACAAACATATACTCTTAGTCTAAGCTTAAAGGCTTGTTTACCCTTCCCAAACCATTAAAATAACCACCTTTAACCACCCCAATGGAATGTCACCCCTCCCCAGCTGTAAACGTTACTTTCCCGCCGCAAGACTTGGTTAAATTGTACCCTGAGGGAAAAGAACGATTGTTTACTCTCCACCGTTCCTGCTCTCGACTTCTTGAGGTCGGGAACTTCACACGCAAAAGTGACTCAAATGCCCTGAGGGGATTCGATTTCAATAACGTTATGTTATCTACAGACGGATCTGGTTACGTGGGGATGCGGTTTCCAGTTCACTGAGTCATCCTACTGTACTTGGGGGTTATAGAATACAGTAGTAGAATCTAATACGAGGGCAAAGCAAACATAAGACGAACCCTTTGAGATGTTATATCATTGTTAGACAAGCTTTTCAGAGTTTAAAATGACTTTTAAAGGTAAGTACTTTAACGTGTTTACGAGTCAAACACAAGGTAGAGGGCAATGTTCCCAAAATGTGACAAATATATTATAAATAGTAACAATAACAAGATACTAAACAGAAAAGTTGTGTTTACTTTGAAAAACAAACAAACTGCACTTTGTCTATGCCTGATTCTGGCAGATTAGGACGTTAAAAATAATATAATTCCAAGTAAATAGTGGCCAAAGACTAAACTAAGAAGCAGCAACGCCTAAGACAAAATTTAACACACTTCAAGACTTGCTTGATGCAAAAAGAATGGCGCGTAATTAATTAACTTTAAAGTTTCTGATAGAGAGGTGCAGTACTAGTAAAGATATACAAATATGATAATATAGATAGTGTTTTAAAGATATACGGCCTTACCAAGCGCCAACATCCTCCTCGAACCATTGACTGAACAACGATTCCAACAACGGGTTGATGTCGTCCTTCAGCAACGTCAACGTTGCTGTAGCCGGGTTGGCTACAAGCATTGTGATCAACGACGATGACTGAGGCATCTGACCTTACTATTTACACTGTAAAGTGGTAGATATGAAACAGTTACGCAAGGCTCAAATACGATCTATGTTATCGTAAGCTCGATATTGTAGTAGATATTACTACACAATTACTATGAGGCAAATGTGATTCAAGATACTAAATCAGGTACGGTATTCAAAAAATGATACTATTGTACTATAATGTACCGTTCAACTAATTTGACAAGTAAAAACCCAAAAAAACTTATAAACTGTTGTACAAGACCTCCAACCCCAAATTGTATATTATAGTAAACAAAGTTCACGAACCCGTTCGAGACCGAGCTCGCGAGCAAGACATTGTTTATGGTGCTCTAAAAGCGGAACAAGTTAATATTTGCTCATCCAAAGTATAAATACAACACGCTAATTAAGCCGCTAGGAGCAGAGATACGAAGATACGAAGTCACGCACTTTGTTCATAACAACACAACAACATGTTCGTACTCTGTACAAGGTTCATAGTACAGTAATAAGACCTATAGCTTCATATTTAGTGTATCCGGGAGTATGATACTATCATCTACATGTCATCTATATCGGATACTAAGCTAACATACCAGGGTAACGTCTACTACAACATGTCTTAATGAGTTATAAACAAGGCTTAAAGTATATAGCTACATAGAGCATGGTAAAGTGCACAAAAACATATTAGGAAACACAGTACGGGTACTGTAATTAGTGTTTATGTACTTGCTATTTACCGTGCATATACACATAAATCTACTATTACTTTTGCAAATCCCATTTTTTTACAAAACAACATGGATCTGATGTATATAACACTAAAATAAGCACCTTCTACCTAAACATTTACCTAACACATCATTCCCTGCATCCACATAGTATATATTACCCATATGACACTGCCTATTGCAACATATCACCTATATAAACAAATTAACTTAACATCTGTAATATAATGTAGTACATAACACAATTACTATAAGACAAAAGATATATAATAACTACTATGGGTCTTACACTAACATATCATCATTACCTAGAACACCACAACAAGATCGTGTTTACATCTTAAGTAAACACAGTCGTCGTATGTTAAGCTATCGTATGTTCGGATTACTGGCCCTTATAACATACCACATTGAAGTTATTTACCCCAGTGTAAAAAGAACAACAACCACATTACATTACTCTAAATACGAGATGTCACGCTCACTCACTCAGTAATGTTGAGACATTTGGAACGGAAACATGTAATATATCTACATCAAACAGGTGGTATTTGATGGCATACGAACATGTATAAGGGCAATGTATAGAATAATGAGCATTATCAAATTATAGCTAGTAATAGGTAGGTTACTGTGAGTATACATACGATGTCGTTAAGTATATAGATGTTTTTGAAAGTAAATAGGTACAACCTAATACTATTGTTTACCTTGGCAACAAACATTACCTTTATTTAGCATACCAATTACTGTGTAAAGACAAAATAGTACCATATTTACTATGTTTTACGTTAAAAGTACTGTAACTTTAACCCTTCTAATTATTTTACTGTAACCTTAGCCCTCCTCGTTATCTTACTGTAACTTTTGACACTACAATGCTATAAGCCATATTAACCCACCATAAGATACCAAAGTATCTTATCTTTAAATGTTTTAGACACGATCATACTCCCAAACAGCTCCACCGTACCCCAACGTTCCAACCAACCGTACCCAGTATAACATATAAATATAGGTATTGTTGACCCGAAGGGCTGTTATCTGCTTGATCCAGCCATTATCTTTGGTTCCATTAATCTTACCTGTGAGAGATCACGTGCACCGTGCCGTCCGTTCCATACGATGTCGCCGACAGCGACCGTTCCAGCCCATATTGATGTAGCATCTCGGATGGCGTGATTCGGCCGCTCAATGGGCCGTTGACTAAAAATGTGACATTACTTTATAGAGTTTGAAAACTGAATGTAAACTTTACTTTTTATATTGTTTTAGCTTCATATTAACATCAACTGTCATCAAATTTCGAAATTCAAAAAAAATTCATTTTTCAAATGAAAACTGTCAATAATAAGCTATAATATCAGTTAAAACAATAAATAAGAAGAGCAATAAAACACACAAAAGTACCCTGACAGCTGACATCAACTGATAAGACTTACAGAACTCGGGCGACGTCGCTAGTCTAGGCTTGTCGTCGTTACCCAAAGTATTGTCTTCCTCGATCGTGTCATTGAAGACGCGCACGTTCGGTGGGAACTGTAACAATTAATTAGATCAGCTTTCGAATACATGGTAAGGATATTATTTGGGGTAACTTGTGGATTACATTGTGATAGAACAAAAATATTTGTAATAGATTAGAGGTATAAGAATTATAGCCTTAGATGAAAGTTGTATCGTAAAAAATCAATAAATAAAACAAAATTTCAGTTTTTAAATTACAAATGACATGTTTTAACAAAAAATGAATTTAATTTCTAGTTTGTGCCGGCTTGATTACTGTTTACATTACATTATTCGATCAAGATCAAAGTTGAGAGAGCAATAACAAGTTAACCAAAGATAACGAAAACATATCGATTATGTCTACTGATATATGCTTGCAAAGTGAATGTAAACATATAATTAAAAAAACAAATATTAAGTAAACATATATTTTTCAAATAAATTACAAGTTTTGTAAAATTATAAAAACACTGCACCGTCCAGCCATTATAACTTTGGTTAAAAACGTCGTATTTTATTCATTTTTATACCAAAAAATGAGTAAAATTGACTTTATAAAAGATTTTAAAAATAATTTTGAAACAAAAAAATAAAAATCAAGTCTTTAATTTTAATAAGACACTTTAAGTCTAATTTTTGCACCGTGCAGTAGTGACTGCACAGTGCAAAAACTAATTTTCGTATTTTAAAAGCCAACACACTAAAAATGAACTTGTAATGTATTTCTACAGCAATTTTAATATTTCTAAAACTAACTTTATACTATATTTCGAAAACCGCTGTCAAGATATACAATAATTACTACAATGTAACCAAGTTCCAAGTGTTCAAAACATAAGTTGCAAACAATTTTCAAACACAAATTTCCAAAAGTACAGTCATATGACTGTTTACTCTGTAAATCATATCTGGTAAACAGTTATTGTAATAATAGTGTAGTAATGTTACGCAACCTGATTCTTGAACATGTTATTACTTACCATGGTGAGCTATTTCACAAACGACTACTTTTTCCTAATTTATGTAGTTGTAATGTTGCTGAGACAGTAAAATAACTGGTTTTACAACTTTAATTGATAAAAGAAATGTCATTTATAAACTTTTTTAGGATTTACTGTATATTAGCCATCAAGATACCTACTATAATATCGTAGGTATATGTAAAATAATATACTTAAAATTAAAATACAGTAACACAAAACTTACCCTAAAAGGCAAGTTGTTCTCCTGATCCCCATCCTCAGGCTCCGACGCCAACGATCGACTACTCATTGGCTCGGGCGTAGCCAACGGCGCTCTCTGGACTGTCTGCGACATTGGCTGATGAGGCTTTTTGTTGGCCACAAAGCCCAATTCCAAAGAGAAATTAGAGGTCCAGCCCGGCTCTGAAAGTTTATAAACAATACAAGATAAGCGGTGAGCAGCAGAATAACAAAAATACACAAACAATGTCTACTACAATATAAAAAATAAGATTTTTAAAAACTTAACAGCCATATTTTGACCTTTTACATGTAGTAAATGTGCCATAAGTTATTTCGTCTTAAATTTTACGGGCCTTTAAAAGTAAAAGAAGTTCAAAAGCAGCCTCTTTTAATCAATGTTTTACTAAAAATGGCTAAACAACTATAATATAGAGCAAACAGAAAAGTATACAGCTCAAATAAAGCTTTAAACCTCAAAACAACATAACATTTTGGATGATACAACTAAAGGTTAAAACGCTTAAATTGAGAAGGTGCTAAACAGTACGATCTACATAAAAATAGGTAGCAAGTTTGAGCTGAAATCAACTATTGTTGATGCTTGATTCTGTTACAATTTCAAATACTTTTCACTTTTCCAAAACTTGATTTGATTAGCTGAGAGTTCAAGAACTGACCACAACTTCCGATTCCTCTTATTTCAATTCAAAAACTTATTGATCAAACTTTTGAATTTTAAAAATCAATTTGAATTTCTATTTGCTTTTAATAGGGTGAGAAACAAGCCAGCCCCACTTTTAAAAAATGACCCCCTTTTCTAAAACTCTGCCAATCCCATTTTTAAAGCCCAGCCTAAGCAAAGTTTGCTCAGCCCGCTCTCTTCCAAGCCGGTTTAACCCGGTTAAAAAAATCTAAGCCCGGCCTAGCTCAGCCCGTTTAAAAAAATTTAACCGTTTCAAATTTAGCTCGGCCAGGCCTGATAGTAAGACGGCCCTGGTCGATCGGGCCGGTCGTTCATTATCCGTTTCTCACCTCTAGCTTTTCAAGCTCTTTCAATTATAAAATACGAAAAACCAAGTTTCTAAGTCCAAAGTAAAACCTTTGAAATGTGTTTCAAATTAAAAATTAAAGTTAGGAACGTTACCTCTGTTGTTCTCGGAGAGAATGGGACGTTTGGGCTCCTTGGGGTCGTAGTAGTCGAAGGCTTCCCATCGGCCGCGTTTGTATTTGGATTCGATAGGCACGATCTAAAGCAATTAATTAGCGGCCGTAAACAAACACTAACTTTGTTACTACACAGGCAGCGTCGCAGTAGGCTTAGTATCGTGTACATATTCTTATGGTAAGAGTTATAATGTAGACATACTGTTATAGTAAGCTTTAAAATGTAAGTTTGTATGTTATTTAATATATAAATGTATATCTTGTTAAAGCGCAGATATTTTTAACAAACGGAAGTAGTTTAGCGACATAACCATAGCAAAAAGTACTCAAACATCTTATAAATTACAACCTTTACATAAATTAATATAACAGCTTAAAAACGACCAAACTCTGTCTATATAGTACATAATGTCACGTAACTCAGTAAAACAAACAAGTTTATCATTAATTACCCTAGCAGTAAAGTCGGAATTACTTCGACTTGTATCATGTTCCCAGTAACGAGCATATATACTTTACATTTTATGCTCAATTAGCCTCACTCAAGCTATAAAGATACAAACATACGTCTGTAGATGCTAGCATATTCATTAAAAAATAAAGTGACAGAGTAAAAGACATATACAACTCTGTAAAAATAGATATACATCACCTCTTTGATTACCTATTCAAATAAAATAAGCCGAGTTTGTTTTGAGACAGCTATAGCAGTATTATCTAATAGTAATACTCAAAATACTATTTAGTACGTCTATTACACACATTGTTTTCTATATTTTTAGGTATCAAAAGATCCATTTAATGATAAATATAATTTACTCAGTATCATAAAGAACAACTAAGTCTTGTCTAGTATTATATTTCTAAAAGTCACGCAGTAAAAAGATATATAACAAGATATCTTAATATAATGATAAAAATATATATAAGAAGACACACCAGCAGGGCCGGGCGGGGACTTTTAGTCTGGGGGCAGGGGTCCAAAAAATCGGCACAGGTACCTGTGCCGATTTTTTGCAAATTTTTTTTCCGAAAATCCACAGGGGAGACCACGTTCAACATTTTTCAAAAATTTTTTTCTGGGGGGTACCCCCGTCCCCCCCCTCGCGCCCGGCCCTGCACACCAGCACAACAACATTTTCTTCCGTCTACACCAAAACTCTCGCTCAAGTAGTAGTCTTTTTATGCAAGTAAAAGCAAAGTAATTAAAAATTTAATAGAAAAAATTTTTTTTTCGAAAGGTTTGAGGTCTTTTTGTAAGCTTTAGAACACACTTTGAGTAACACAATTAGGTGAATTTACATAGATGTGACTAAAGTAATATAATGAAAAAGTCAGGTGCTTTTGTCTACAAATTAAGTTACAGTTTATAAATACAAACTTAAGTTTGGAAACTAACCATAAGTATGCCCTGCCTTATATTATGTAATAGAAAGCAAGGTAATAAACATTTGAGTATTACATTTACTACTGTAAAAAAGTACATTGAAATTCCCTGCCGACGTGATCCTATGCCCTACCCTACCATATTTGAAAACAAATTTTAAGATAATGCCGTATTCTTCACTTTTATCTTGTCATACGTCAATTTCTGTCCCTATGCCTCAAAATGTCATATTTTTTACTATTCTTTATAGAGTAAATTAAATACCACAAAATGACATAGCCATATCTTTTACACTATTCTTTATAAAGCAACAGCCGTTATGCTGCTTTGTTTTTACTGATAATTTCTGTTGACGTAATGCTAAACCAATTTGAGTCCTCAGGCAAAACGAACATTAATTTGTAATCTTTTTTGATAACAGCTATAACATTTTATCTTTTTTCTGGGAAAACCTTTGAACTCAAGATGTTGTTCTTGATTCTTTTGCTCGAAACTCAAAGGACTTTCGAATAAAACTAGTTTAGACATGTCGACAGCAAATGTCAAAGCTATAAACTACACAAAAGAATTCAAAAAAAATTTAAAATAATTGTATTATACCTATTTTTACAAGAAAAAATGTAAAACCGACCTTATTTTGATTAACCCTTATCATTTTTTTGCCTTTTCTAGCCACTTTTAGACCAAAAACAAAACCCTTACACGTACATATACCTAGTAAGATAACATAACATGTAAAAAAATACAAAACCGACCTTAAACCGGCTGGTGGAATGTGCAGTGGTCATTCGACTGGGCTGGCTGATGCTGTAGTTGAGGTGGGGAATGTTGGGCGAGGAACATTTACTGATATAACAACCTGGAAAAAGAGGATCAGTCGGATCTGTTTACAAACTCTTTTATCACTCACTCTCGTCCCTCTCCCTCCGGCTTTATGTCCTCAGGGCTTTAAACGGCTCAAAGTCCAGAAATATTCGGTCAATTTTTTTAAATTTTAATTTTAGGAATTTAAACTTATTTTTTAATTTTAAAAAATCTGTTGAAATGCTTACTGTGGTTCAATTTGACAATACTTTTTATTTTTTATTCACTTCTTGACCACGATAACACCTTTTACTACAGTAACCCTTTAAAGTGATTCAAAATTTTACTTTTGTTACAGTGACCCAGAAAAGTGGTCAAAACGACAATTTTGTTACAGTAACCCTTAAACTCATTCATAAGTTTACTTTTTGTTACAGTAATCCAGAAAAGTGTTCAAAACCACGAATTTTCTTACAGTAACCTCGATTCTAATTAAGTTCCCAAACTGACCTGCCATAACAACCCTAGACTACCTTTGACAGTTTAAGAACACAAAGTCAAGTTGATATAGCAATTAATAACTGAATGACGTCATCGGTTTTAGCAAGATCATTTCGAACAAAAACAAAAAGTAATTGTAAAGTGAAGGTGGAACAAATAACAAGTAACAGTTGTTGTTATCAGTAGCGTATTACAAGTTTGAGGGTTGGTAGTAGAGTCACCACATTTTTCGAATTTTTTTAAATTTAAAAGTTTAAAAAGGTTAGATTTAAACTAAAATATAGTGATATAAAAAATCGGTCAAAAAGTAAAGAGAAAATACCAAGAAAAGAAAAAACTGCGTGTAAAAGCTAATTCTTTAGGCTTTTAGGCCAAGTTTAGTTACCTAAAATATTTTTTTTCAATTTTTTGACCTTTTTCATGTATTTCGATACACAAAACTAATTGTAAAATATGTTAACTGTGCTATCATCAAAGAAATACCAAGTCTTTTATTATCCTCATAAACAACAATACTATTACCTACAACTTTGACCAAATCCTGAACTTTAACCCCTTAAAATGACAGTTTCCTCCCCAAGGTTACTTTCCAAACCATTACCACCTTCCCAGCCACAAAACCTACTTTTGGAGAACTGAAAGTTGTCGTTCGAGTCGTTGTCCGAACTCGACGTCTCATCAAAGCCATCCGAATCGCGATTCTTTTCATCCAGGATCACGAAACGACCATCGGTACTACTTGGCAGTCGTCGCTCGTGGCTGCGAGGCACAGACAAAGTGGAGTTGAAGGTTGTCATTGTGGAGCGAAGTAACTAAAGATGATCGAAAAAAGAACTTTTTTGCGACGAAAGGTTTCTCCGTCCATCAACCATCATCTTCCTGTTTTCCATTGTTAAAGTATCATGGAGAAGATGACGGCTACAGGTGGCGTAAACAACAATTGTAGTGCGGGATTCTAGAGGTTGTGGAGCTTCTGAAAAGAATAGACATTATGAGATTGTAAATTTTGTTTCGTCAGTATCAGAAATGAACTTTATGTTAACATTTGAAGGTAAAATCAACAAAAACAAAAAAAATTTGAACAAAAACAATCAACTTTAAACACCTTTAAAGGTCAAACACACAATTAACCTAATAAAACTTTTAGAAACATAAGAGAAACATACATAACATGTCAAAATAAAATTTAATTTGCAGTATCAAGATCTAAAAATACGTAAAATTTGATGTTTTTCCTATTCTTAAAGTTTTGACCAAAATTAAAATTCCTTAGTCTTTTCATTTGGTTTACCTCGATTTCCATTAACTAAAAAATCAATTAAAAAAGCTAATTCCTTGAACAAAAAATCCTTTGACAGTTTAAAAACCTAATCGTTTCATGTCTTTAATACCTTAAAAGTTACTGTAAAATTGAAAAAAAACCAAAAAGCAGCTTATAATAACTAAAAATCAAGTAAAACCTCAATTTTTCAAAGATCAGAACAAACTGAAATATCAATTTTATGACAGAATATTATACAATAGAAGCCGGCTTGTTTACTTCATTCCAAATCGTTTTATTGAGATGAGTAATAACAGTTACAGACAACAGTAGCACCCATGACGTGCAAAGGTCAATTCACAGGTTTTACTCAAAGAACGGCAGAGAGAGGCTTGGGTAAGGCAAGAATAAGTTTAAATTTGAATTTACATTGAGGATGACCTATTCAGTAAGGCGATCAATTTTTTAGTGACCCACTCCTGTATAAGACCTATTCAGAGTTGACCTACTCAGTAGGGTTACTTATTCCCGAGAACAAAACTGTACGATGCCGACGACTCCACAAACCAATCAAAGTCAGCTATCACTATCACTTTTGTTGTTACTATCACTGTTGAACTAATGTTTTGAATTTCAGGTACTGTACTTTAAACCGAGCGTTGTACTATAATCATGTTTGTTTGTTGCATCAGATCAACTTCCATTTCATTATCCGAATTCGTTTGTTTTTAATTACTGATGTAACCGTGTACTCTCAAGGTTGCGGGCAAAGTTACAACTCGTTCAATACCTTCAGACAGCAGGATATTACACACACTACATTAAACCCCATTAAGACCTTTAAACAATGTTATAAACGACAAAGATTTGTTTTAGGTAACAAATTTTGAATAGATTTTTGGATATTAAACTGTGATTGCCATACAGTTATTTGGCTCATAGACTAAAATTGTTAAATTTTGCCAACTTTTGCATGGCATACAATAATTATACGTATTTTATGTTCAATTCAAGCTTAATTCACGTGATTAAACTGTTTTAAACGTTTTTAACGAAGAATTAGCAGAAATTGAACACTTGAAATGGTTGACAGATCGTTATTGACACGTTTCTAATGACTGTTATTAATAGGTATGCACAACACGAGTCTCGCACACATAAACAAGCGATAAGCCCAACAAAATTTAATTTTATTTTGCAAAAATACGAACATTTTTAATGTTATTGTAAACAATGCCTGTTTAACCGTTTATGTAAAAACAAAAAAACATACGGAAAAACTTATTAAAAACTACATTAAAACACAATTATAATAAAATTGATAAACATTTAATAATTTAAAACAACATTTTGCATTTTAAAACTGTTGCACTTACAAAAGTGTTAAGTCCCACAACGAAAAACAACTCCTTGGCATAACGTGTAATTAATATAAAATAAAATAATTTTACAAAATTTTGACAAAATATTGTAGACAGATGAGGTTTACAGCAATATTGCTTCGCCGATCGACTCCAAAATGGTTTAAATCCGGCCGAACAGCAGGATTGAATTGTTTCGATGTTAAACATGCTGATCTAGCTGTTTCGAGGCATTTTACTCGAACTATGGGTCAAATGTATGGTCTGGACACAGGAGTAGAGGATATGGTATGTTTCTCGTTTTGTTAATTTGTTATTTTTTAAATTTAGAAGTTGTTTTTGGGAACAAAAGAAGCAAAGTACAGGAAGTTGGGTAGTCAGAAGGTGAAACAGTTATCCGGGTTATATCAGGAGAAGATAGCCAATATTGTGTCAGAGAACGAAAAACTATGTAAAATGAAAGTGGAGATATCTGGTGTTAAGGTTCCAAAGACTTTGTGTGAGATACAAGTGTTTTGGGTTTGTCAAGGAGACGAAATGGATGAAGTAAGGATAATGTAATTATTTTAGGTATAAAAAAGTAATATGCACCTGTAGTAATAAAATGTTGATAATTACTTATTCTTGTAATTTTGTAGTAAAATATTTTATTTTCGTTGTTTCAGGTGATTGAAAAGAACCTGGAAGAAGTTTCATCGGATCTGAGACGAGCGCTGACATCTCAATGCTTTGGAACTAATGTTCCTCCACTCAGATTTGTTCCAGACAGAAGTTTATTAATAAAGAAGGTAAGGTTTTTTGCTAATTTATTAATTTTAACTTTAGGAAATGGATCAACTGTTTGAAATGGCAGATTACGGTGTACAATATCGAACTCTGAGTCAAGCAGCAGCCACTTTGGGATCAAAAAGTGATACTGGAAAGCCAAAAGACATTGACAAGATTCCTGCGTGGAGGTTGAAGCAATAATCTTGCACTCATCAAGATTTAGTTGTTATTTATGTGTTAGAATTTGTTTGTACATAGTAAAAAGTAAAGAGATTGCTGATTTCGATGATGAATTTATTGTTATGATCAACTAATGTTATCTTCTATAGGGTTTACTTTATTTCATGGTTTTTTGAATTTGTTTGGTAATAAAAATAATGTATATTGCCAATTGTAGACCGATATGATATCTGCTAAAAGGTTTGGTATCAGATCGTTTTCAAAACTTCTGAGTGTCAATCCTGTAGTCAAAGAAGCGTTGGCATCTAAAAAGCCAGTTATTGCTCTTGAGAGTACAGTAATTACGCATGGGTTACCGTATCCACGGAATTTGAGGTGAGGCTTTAGGCTGCAGTGTCTACAAATTTTTTTTAAATATAAGGCTATTTAAAAGGCTAGACTACAATTTATTTTTTTATATATATAATTTGACTATAGAGTAGCAAAGTCTTTGGAGCAGATAGCTAGAGATGAAGGAGTTACTCCGGCTACAATTGCTTTACTGGATGGTAAAGTATGTGTTGGGTTAGATGAAGAACAGCTGGATCATCTGGCTTCTCCGAACACAAGAGCTGTTAAGGTGTCGACTAGAGATATTCCTACTGTGTTGGCTGAGGTAATTTTACTTTATTTATTTAATTTATATCAATGCTTTGAGGATATTTTGCATTTCTACAGTGCATTTCTTTATAAAGCCTTATGTTAAAATTTATTAATTTTAGAAAACAACCGGAAGCACAACAGTAGCCGCGACGATGAAGATTGCTGATTGGGCTGGAATCAGAATCTTTGCTACAGGCGGTATTGGAGGGGTTCATAGAGGCGCTGAGGATTGTAAGTTCCTTTTTAGTTTATAAGTAAAATACGATTTGTTAAATGGAAAGCTAAAAACATTATTTCGAATGATATATATAAATGTCATTTAGCGTTTGACGTAAGTGCTGATCTGGTAGAATTAGGAAGAACACCAGTAGCTGTTGTTTGCGCTGGAGCCAAGTCGATATTGGACATTAGAAAGACATTGGAAGTGCTGGTAAGTTTAATTTGATAGTTTAGGCAAGTTTAATGTCAAAGAAGTCTAGTTTTTTGTTATAAAATAATATTTTAAACTTTACTCGGTGTTATACATCTAAAATATGTTTTTAAAGCAAGTAAACTATACGTTGAATGTCATAATATAATATCTATTCTAGGAAACGAATGGAGTCAACGTTATCGTACTAGATTCCCAACCTTACTTTCCTGGATTCTTTGTCAGTAGGACAGAATTCAAAGCGCCGTATCACACAACATCAATACCACTGATAGCAGATATTTTGAGTATGTTTTCCTATTATATTATTATCATTTTATAAATGAACTGTCATAACGAAGATTACCAGAGAGATTAAACTTTCATTTTAGAGACAACTGACCGACTGAACCTTCGTCACGGTACTCTGGTCGCTTGTCCGCTGCCAGAAGAACTGACGAAAGATGGTGATGCTATTGGCAATGCTGTGGAACAGGCATTGAAAGAAGCTGAGTAAGTTTGTAATACCTTTATATAATACCTCCGGTTACTGTAATACAGTTTTAAAAAAGAATCGTCGATATTCTAGTGGGTTTATTGAAAAAGTCTATATTGTAATAGGTTTATTGCAAATGTTTTGTTTCAGGGAATCACAGATCGTAAACAAAGACTTGACGCCGTTCTTGTTGAAGCGTGTGGACGAACTCACGGATTCGGCGTCGTTAAAGATCAGTAAGTGATAGGACTAGTCGGGCGAGCAAATAGGGAGAGATTCAAATGAAAATGACACTAACTGTACTGTCATACCACGACACTAATTTGCAATGTCATAGTATGATACTAATTGTACTGTTAAGGCTAAATTAGTACTAGTTTTATGAAGAAGCCTAGTATAAGATATGAAGAGTACTCAACTAAAATATGTTTTTAAAGTTAGGTTAGTGATATAATTGATAAGAAAAGTGTTGATACAGTAGTCTTAACAGTTTTCGGTAATGCCTATTTGAGTTTGATTACGTATGATTTGATAGTTGTTATCATAGACAACATTTCTTCAATGAAGTGATTTGAGACGATGTTGATATAGTATTCATGGTATTTCCTATAACTGAGAGAGCCTAATTTGAGATGATGCTTATTGACATAATACCACATGTTGACTTACCCATAGATAACATCTTAACCATAACATGTTCTTCTCCACACTTAACATTCTTCTCTTCAGATGTAGCCCTATTGGAGAACAATGTCCGTATGGCCAGCCGGCTGGCGCAAGAGTACGTGAAGCGAGAGCGTGGAGTGATAACTGGCCAGAACACTGCCCCAGCCCGATCGGAAGCACCCCCCAAAGTTGTATGTAGTGAATAAACTTGTAGATAGTATTCTAGCTGTGTGTTGGCGCCTCCATCCTCGACTTCGAAGTGGTCTCGGCCCTAAGGCCTCAGGTGGGTAATCAACGAAAACATGTCTTTGGAGGGGATTCTGGGGCTGGGGGTACGGTCTTCTGATGGAGATTCTAGGCCTTCGATCTCGTCTAGCTCCCACCAGTGTCTAGAATAAGGTTAGTTAGGGTAGAAGTGGCAGTTTAGAAGGTATACGTTGGTAGTTTACAGTTCTTTTTATGTACATGTACTGTAGTAATTCCTTAGGTACAGTACTCTTATATGTACTATAGCCATCTCTTGGGTACTCTCTTTATAAAGTTTTGGTTACCGTACACTTACTTATACTCTCCCTTGTGGTTACTGTAGAAGATCTCGGTCACCAATTCCATAACGTCTTCTCTAAAAATACAAGTCAGAGGTTACTGTAGCCTTACCGTAATACGAAAACTACAATCAGTTTAAGTGGGTAGATCAAAAAGTACAGTATGCCAGCCAAGGTGTCAGTTCGGCTATGTAGCCAGTTGAGCAGTGCATAGTTACACTTTGAGTAACTTTCGTCGCATTTTAAATCTAAAATTTTATTTTTGTTAAATTTAAATTTTTGAATTTAAAAACTTCAAAATAAAAACTAAACCTTGACCGTACCGTTCCAACAGCTCTGTGTGACAATACTGGGTGGACAACATTGATATTCTCTCCAGAACTGATCCCACGACCCACACCATGCACTCCAGTCGCCAATGTGATTCTCGATCACAGTAGCACTGCCCAGATATTCATCTACATTGGCATGTAGAGCATTGAACGTTCTGATCCAGACAAAGGCTTCTACAGTGTCCATCACGATCAGAGGAATCATCAAGGTCCAGTAGAGACGGACCAGAGTTCGGTGGGAGAAGTATACTCCTATTAGGCCACAGGCACAGGCGAAGAACTAAAAATTTGATTGTTTAGGTATAAAATCTATTTTTTAAATCATTTGGTTTTAAGGTTTTTGTAGGTATAGAGAAAGGAGAATATTGCTGTTTTTTGGTCTTTTAAATTAGAATTGGTCTTTAAAGATCACGAAGATGTTTACAAAAGCTTCAGAATCTATTAAAACCATATGTTATCAAAGCTATTGTAGTAATATAAAAGACAAAGACTTCATATTGCAACAGAATGCAAAAAATATTAGGCTGTTTACATAATTCTGTGCCCCTAGTTTTGAAAATTTGTTTTGAGAGGGGACACAGAATTATTTGAACAACATAAAAAAAATATATTTAGAGACTGTTTTATATAAGCGAGTACCTGTATTGGGATTACTGTAGTTACGGTAAAAATTAAAGCTGATGCTTCTTTGTACGGTAGTAGTTTCATATTGGGGTCGTAGATGAGGTCGATCGCAAGGTAAATGAACCATAACTGAAAATAGTTAGGCTTTACTTTTAAACTAAGTTCATAGTATATATATTACTATTAAAACTAAGTTTACAGTAATATTTTTATATCTTTCTGTAGTTAAAAGTTTTAAAAAAATTATTTTACAAGTCGATTTTTAGCCATTTTCAAGCATTTTGTACTTATTTTCAAGCGTTTTTTAATTTTTTTATTGAGTTTCGGCACTTTAGGACCATTTTAAAAATTTTTTTAAAATTTCTAGACCGCTATTCATTTTTATTTTACTTCATTTTGTTGTACTTTGCCCCTCCAACTTAAAAATGATTGTTTTTTGTTACAAATTGTACCATTTCGTCTTAATTATGCACGATTTTTTGTACGATTCGACCTGCAAAAAAACATTTTTCTCCCAAACATTTCTAATTTTTCGTAAAAATGAGCCGAAAATCGACCGGTAAAGGCAGACCTGAATGAGGACGATGGCCAGGTTAGCGGAGTAGATCCAGAGACGGTAGTGCGCGACATGCATGTCGAGACTCTCGATTCAAAGGCATCGAAACGAGAGCAAACTAAAATAATAATCGGAACGTTGCGCGTTCACGGTGATTCACGGTGGGGCAGTGGGGCGTCTAATCCCCTGCCCGACTATCCCTTTTTGTGTTCGGGGGACCTTTCGGCGTTGGTTTTTGGCTAGGGGACCCTCCGAAAGGGGATCCGGGGGGGGGCTTTTTCGGAAATTGTGTTTGGGCTTAAAATGTTTGAGCTTATCTGGAACAAACGTGAAACATTACAATGATAAGTCTTGAAAGCTTATAAAAAATCATATTTATTGTGATCAACGGTTTTTTTGGACATAAAGTGGTTTATCAGGCTTGTGCCAAGGATAATATCGTTTGTATCACTATTTTGTACTTTATCTGCAAATTCGGGTTTTTCAAGGACCACCGATCACTTTTTTATAAAAATAGATGTTTCCAGAATGATGGCGGCTCATATCCAGGAACGTTGCATTGTCGTGCCGGCGGCGTAGCTAGGAATCATGCAGAATGTTTGCACAAACTGAGTAATCAGGTATCTTTTATCAGTGCTATTGGCGATGACGAAGCTGGAGCGTTCTTGAAACAAATGGGACTGTACTTTGTCGTAGGTTGTCTATTATATTATAATTGAATTTTGAATTTGGTTTTGGTCAAAATTTTAATATAGTACTGGTCAAAAAGTGTGTGGAAGGGCAAGTGTTTTTACTTGATTTTTGCTGACTTTTGAGCCAAGTCATTATATACCGTTATACTATAGTAATGTGAACGTATATTTAGTAAATGTAATGTTAAAAGCAATGTCTTTTAGCCAGAAGACCAAATAATATGTTCACAAACAGCTCCTACCGCGTCGTATCTCTCAGTCAATGTTCAAGGTAACATTGCTCATGGTTACTCGTCAATTGATGCTATTGTGGGTGAGATCGTTCCTTCTGAAGTAAGTATTTTTAAAATAAAAGAATCTTTTACTTCAGTGTAATTCTTTGAGCGATGTATGAGTAAGTTTTAAAATTAAAATATTTTGAATGTAAAAGGTATTTTTGTATTTACTATAGGAGCACACGTTCAAACTTTGACTAAAACATTGTTTTCTGACATAATAACTTCAATTTAGATTCAAAAACGAAAGCATTTGTTTGAGGATGTCGATTGTATTGTCGTGGATGGTAACATAAGCACAGCGACCTTTCAAACAGTCTGTGATATCGCGCGGGAATTCAAAAAGAGAGGTAGTTTAAGGTTATAAGCAGCTTATCACTACGTAAAGTACTAGACTTTGTGAAATTTTCTAAATTGAAAGAAAAATTTACAGAATTACAAAATTAGTACTATTTACCATGTTTTATACTTAAAAAGTTTTTTTTGTTACTACGAAAAACATGATCATTGTAAAATAAAGAGTATTGTTTTAGTATGGTTCGACACCACTGACATAGCTAAGGTGGAACGTTTGAACGATGACATTCTGACCTCAATTTGGGGAATATCGCCGAATCAAAATGAGTTCAAAAGATACTGTAACTTGTTCAACTTTCCTCAGGTTCCAGGTAGGACTACTTTATTGTCTTATGTATGTATTACAGAAATATTGGCATTTTATGACATTAAAATGAAGTTTATAATTAATTTTTACTAAATCAATTACTCTGGATGTTGAAGATTACTGTAATTTTGTAAAATACGCTTGTCTTAATTCGTTCTCTATATATAATATATAATACTTCCTTTATCTAGATAATGTACTGTAACGTTTCAGAAGACGTGTTCCAGAAGTCTGAGCACTTGGCCGATTACTTTTACAAACGGCTGTCACTAACGAGCAGTCTTTTTCCCGCGAATTTGCATAAATTCCTTATCACTTTGGGCGAAGCCGGAGTCGTTTTGTTATCGAGGTCGGAAACGAATCCGGAAATCATCGAGATACGATCGGTCGAAGCACCCAACTTCCAGAACTTTGTTTCCGCTTCTGGAGCTGGCGATTGGTAAGTGCATGAGAGTGATGTAATGTGAAAGAATCAAAATAGGTTGTTCAACTAATTCTGTGCCCCCTCCGCAAATTTTCAGGTTTAACGGAGCACAGCATTATTTGAACAGGCTAATAGAAATTACATATTTGTTTGTAGTTTGCAGCAGTAGTTACTTGACAGGGTTACTGTAACATTATTACTGTAATATGGCTACTGTAACAGTATTACTGTAGTTTTAGGGTTATGAATTGTGAGATAATTACAGCAATTTGACTTTTATCTTGTTCTAGCTTTAACTCTGGCTTTCTATCATCGTATCTTCGAGGAAATGACGATGAAACGAGCTTGGTCTGGGGACAAAAGACAGCTGGACTAAGCTTACAATCTCTTCAGACTGTGCCAGAGACTATTGATATTAAAGTAAGTATTATATGCTAAATTTACTTTATATACCACAATATAATTCAACCGGAAATAATGTAAAAGATAGAGTTTTACGTTTTACAGTATGTGAAGTTACGGTAAAGCGAAGTAAAAGGTACGGTAAAATAAAGTTTAATTTTAAGGCTATTTCCGAACTTGAGGCCGCAGCTTGTGCTGCTTAGAACTATCAATAAGGTCGTAGGTTCTTTACATGACACTACTAGAGTTATATCATTGGTATATATCACTTGCCATTCACTTTTCATTCCAAAGTATATTATATTGTTATGACGTAATAAATGTTTACTATCAACAATATATTGATCTTAACTTGAGCTTAATAGTAAGTTAGTTATACTATACTACGATTAATTATGGTCCAAATACGGTAACATGGTCATGTTTGTAAACAATGACTTTACGTAACTCAATATGGTAAACTAAATATAACTTTCTACAGTAAAGCTCAACATGACTTACTACTCTTAACGTTTAATACTATACTTTGATATAGTAAACATATAAAGTGATAAGACTTAATGTCGTAAACATATATCTCAACATAACTTATTACTGTAACATGTAAAGTGGTAATAGTTAATGTAGTAAACATATACCACAACATATTTAACATGGTAAACACATTACATGTTTTATTACACGTTTCACCATGCTTACTATACGAAGACAGTAGCCGTGTGACGATACGAAACGTTTACAAAAGTTTAAAGTAGTTTGCTGATTATAATGTGTCATCGTATATATGATTACTGCACGTTTTACCGCAGTCTTCCGGTTTGCTGAATCCCGAATGACTTCTGTATTTAAAGATTTCCAAAAGTTTTTTTTTTAAAAAGTTTTGTTTACTTCTTACCCAACAGCCTGCAGGCATTCAGCTGATTTGCAGCAGTAATTCGGTCAATATTGGGCAGTTTGCTACATTATTTACCTGTTTTTCGATATTACACTTGCTTTTTAGGTATAAAAGGTATATAAAAGGTGAAATATGTAGAGAATAGACATCCTTATAGACTATATCTTAAGGAGAGATATATTTTTAACTCATAGCTCGACCTTTACAGACTGTAAAAGACTGTAAAGCATTTGTTTTCGACTTATCGACTGGTTGTTACGAACTCCTTCCTTCCTCGCTCCGCTTCTTTGTCTCGCTCTTTGTTCGCTCACAAAATGTGTCATGATGTCCTTTTTGTCACATTAACCGCTAGTTAACACCTTATCAGAAGGCGTTAAGCAGAATCCGACTGACCAGAATCTGCTTTTCGGTCAAAAAGTTCGTGTAGTTTGTTTTTTCTGAAAAAGTGTTTTTGATGTTATTTCTATTTACTTTTTGACCATTATATTTGAGATTTACAGTTCAACTGTTAAAAATGTGGCATTTTTTGAAAAATTTTGATTAAATCTATTATGGATACTCGGTCAAAAAGTTTTTAGAACTCTTTTTTTTATTCGATCTCTGTTCATTTTCTATCAACTTTTTGACCAAAAATCGAATTAAAACTTTTTTAATCAGAATCCCACTGATAAGACAGAAGCTGTTCTCGGATGCCCTGAGGGATTCTTGTTTTGTCGAGAATGCCTCGAGCGCCGATGGAATTCGTGCTTTTGGTTAATCGAAAGTCGTTTTCTCAGAGAGCCCTACGGCTCTTCGTAAAATCCGGAACGGTCGCTGAGAACGGTCAACTTTTTTTTTTAATTTTAGCTTGTTTTTCTCAAAATTTGCTGTGATCTGCACGTTGTTCTTTGTAAGATTATATTAGGAATGGGTTTTATGATTGTTATTAGTGGAAAAATTCTTTTTTGAGCGGTCAAATTTATATAAATTGACGTTATAACTTGTGTTACCTCTTAATATGATGGTTAACTTACTGTGTTAGTTTACTATTCTACTTTTACTAAAGTTATAACATATATGTTTGATAATGCGTCTTTAAACATCATTTTTATTATGTTTTTCATTTCATGATACGATTTTCAACTTCCAAATCGTTACAGTATGCAGTTGTTGTTTACTGTCAACATAACTGTACATGATCCAATTATACAGTAAATTGTTACAGCAAATTTAAATAATTTGATGTAATTTCGAGCTACCTTCATTTTTTGAATTTGTTTTATCAGTTTTAAAAACTGTTAACCTCAGCATACTGTAGCTAGTATACTGTAGTCTTAGCTGTTATACATACTGTAATCTGTACTATTATCATCAGTTGTGATACCCAAGCACTTACCAGATACTGTCCAATCTTTGAATTTAACTTTGTAAATCTGGTGGAAACCGGTTGGCTTCTCTCTTCGCCCTCCGGCCGCTCTCTCTGGAATTACTCTCGAGAACTCGAAATTTCAAATTTTACTGCCATTTCCTGTAAAACCGTAACTTTATTCTCGACTAACTCAAGGTCTAGCCCTGCCGTGAGTTGACGGTTGTTTCAAGTTACTCTGCTTGATTTATTACTCAGTGTTTTACAGTGTACACCTTGCTACAGACTATTTTTGAAATTTTATGGATCTTATAGTTTAAAATTTTATATTTTACTTCAAAAGTCTCTAGACATGCTTACTACGTATACACCTTGTTATACGTTATTCTTTCTCTATTTTCTATCTGCTTTTGGTCCGACTTAGTAATATTTCAACATTTCTAATGATAACATTCTTACCATTCTTCAAATAATCTTATCATTCTCAATTTCAATAAGTAAACTTACTATATTAAGCAACACTACCGTTCTATTTATAGCCAATGCTCTCTTACTGTAGTTTGCAAAACAATTGTCTAGCCAAACATATTACAACATGATGGGTTAGTAACTTGTTTAAAAGGAAGCAAAATCAGTTATTTATGAGTAACGTTGATCAGCTTTAACACTAGACGGTTTTGCTTTATGTGACATCAAATAATATGTCCATGCTTATGCTAATGTAGTAATTATTATGGCATGTTTATAGATATAACATACTTTTTAAATTTAATGGCGATTTGGCAAAAAAAACTAATTGTACTTATCTTGCAATTACCTTATAATCAATTAGTATATGCCTTAATTACATGCTCGTGTATTAGATGTTAACTGTCACTAACTAAAAAAGGTATCTAATTCACTACTTTTAAGATATCGCTTCTACTATAACATCCTTAAAGTCTATACCCAAGTTTAGTGACTATTTCCCAAAATTTATAGACCAAATCACTAAGATCTATCCTATAATCTCACACCACAAATCATCTGACAATATTATACCAACACAGTAACTTACCTTTGCTAACCTAACTTACCATTGCTACTTGATCGCTGAACTCGATTCGTGTTAAAATAATAATATACGTAACGCTTACGAAACGGAGACTGTAATATCAGTAAATTACAAAACAGCTGATGACTAAACATGTCCACAAGCCTAAAATAGCTCATTTCAGTAAACATAGCATGATGTTGTCATAGTCATATTTACAAAATATATATTTCTTATAGGTTTAGTTATTACCATGTTGTAATACGAATGTAACCTTAGCTTTACTAACCTAAATTACGTATACCACATTCCTCGCATTCCATAGTTTATAGTTTTTTAGTAAAGCTCAATATATTATAATATAGGTCGTATTTTAAGTAAATATTCTTTGCCATTCTCATCTGATACATTTTTTATATTGTCCTTACAATATGTTAAAGATACCTATAATAAGTACCATTGTAAATTTCCTCCCATAACATACCATGGTATGTCGAGAATGTTACATTGTAAATCGCGTCCCCTTTCTGGAACAGGTCTACCTCAACAAAGTAATGTTTTAGATGTCGATCAGTGTTGTGAACGATCCCCAGCTGCCCACCGAGCTGTACGAGTTGTTGTTCCATCCGATCGGTCGATACTTCTCCCCACTATGGCCCTACATACCACTGGTTACTCCGTTCAAACGTATCTTCTCGACAAATCTGCTCAGGTTCACTCAGGGACATACCTCAACACATTCCATATTAAACTACCTGCGACGACGCTAGCCACCGAGCCATTGTAACATAATATTACGGGTATTAGAAATAAATATTGCGTATTCAGTTCGTATGTAATTTAGGTGGATATTAACATTGCTTGTATATTAAGTTCTATAGAGGTTTGACTGCATAATTAAGAATGATTAAGTGATAAGGATGATTTACGTGATTGAAACGGGAAATCCGAACTTGAAGGTCATTGAAAGCAACATAAAATCTGAATATCTTTTTTGAAATTTCACTTTTATCGCTTTCTAAACGATGAAAGGTTTTGTTATCGCTCTAGTTTTAGTAGTCGCTTGCACTGCCAATAGTAAGTCAAAATATTGAAGTATTCATATTGTAGTATCGGCCTTACTTTCAAGTAAAAAAACATGTTTTGATTAACAAGCTGTGATATGTCATTTTTAAATTGATTATAACCAAATGACATTGCCATTGATAATTTTGAACTATAGGAGTAGAAGACGAAGAAGATCGATGTATCCCGGAGAGATGTCTGAATGGAGGCAAATGCGTAGAAGAAGATAGCACCGTACACTGTGAATGTCGCTTCGGATTCAAAGGAGTCTTCTGCGAAACCAGAAGTCTGCCAGTGTTCAACTTCTTCCAACACGACCCAGAATACATGTACGATCACCCCAAGAACCCGTGGTCTCCAAGGTAATCTAAAGCAGCAGCTAAATGATAATACACCCACAATCACTAATTTTAACCTTTTTAAACCTCCAAATTTATTATTGTCATCACATTCAAGTAACTACTTTTCAGATTAGAAGACGAAGCTATTAAGCCTATCCTAGCCAGCAGCACCAAAACAATCGCCGACGTTCTAGAACGTTTCTACAACAATGTACAAGAGATGTATAACCGCGTCAAGTTCGCAGAGAAATATCAGCAAGCGGACATGTTCTTTAATTGATCAGAGCTATGTTTAAGTAATAATTACCATAGAAAATATATTCAAAACACTTAATTAATAATAAACTTGGTTAATACACGAATATACAGTGATAAGGTTAGTTAGTGTCTACCAGACGAACACATTGTTTGAGATTAAACACAGCTTTTTGCAACGTCAACGCATCTCCTCTGAACTGGATACGATTCACTTTGTCTAGGTAGTAACTGATGTTGTACTTTTTCATCTATAACATTCAAAAATGTCAATGGCAAAATAAAGTTAAAATTAGAAGTAAAGTTAAATATTATTACGTCAACGCCATGATACGCTGACATTCAAAAACTTATTATCAACTAAATTAACACAAAATAAATGTTATAAGCAACACTAACTGCCCTAATATAAGTACATCGTATACACAAACAAAGTGACTTACCACTTCTAGAGCTGAAGGGAAATCAGTGAGCAGCTTCAATGACCTTGAAGTTTTCACAAATATGTCTTTTATATCAGCATCAACAATCCCACTTTGCGGTCGATATTTCCTCAGATTCTTCATCAGCAGTTTGGCTAGGTCTGTAGCGTGAATTTGCACAATTCCAGATTCACCGTAACACTATAACATTTTTTAATCTCACACAAAAATTCAAAATAAATTCGGGACAGCTCTTATGAGTCCTCTTTAATATAAATAACAGTTTAGCATAGCTTACCACAATATTCAAAATAAGTTGTGCCACCGCCTTCTGAACAATCACATCTTGAGCACTTCGTAACAGAAATGTGCTACTATCGACGACAGCTTTAACGCCTTGCCGTTCTACGAATATATTCACAAACTGATGGTTGTACTCGAATATCCTGTCTGAAACAAACATTGTGAGCTAAACAATCCTACAATACTCTGAATAAACCATACATTTGACCAACCTTACCTACACTTCATAAAAACTTAAAGTAAACTTACTCATGAACGTAACAGCGACCAGCCGGTCGTATAAAGAGTCCGATACCAGCAATGGAATGTATGTAGTAATACGCTTGAGCACGGTGAAGTTGCTGTGACTCAGAACATTGTACTGTAGCACCGCTGACTTTTGAGCGACGTTCCTACGCAGCTCTTCCAGACGCTGTTTGTTTCGTTTTCTGACTCTGTAACCTCGCCATACCTTCTGAAATTGCAAAAAAATCATCATACATTCTAATTTCGATTATATGACAAACACTAACACAAGTATATTAAATTCTATATAATAACCTATTTAAAACGTAATTTACTATCACTAATACCTACCTGAATCACGGTAGCCCAGTAATCCCAATCCGCATTTGGATTGCTTATAGGAGGTTCTAACCTATTGGCTTGTTCATCCAGTGCATTGTACTGCGCCATGTTCAACTGCAATCCTGTTCTCGTTTGCTGAATTAAAAAACAAGATTGTAAATGAGAAAAAACCGTTGAATCCGTCGAATCATCATAAACACTCACTTCCTCGATGCACGGTACGTTTCGGTGAAGTTCGTATGTCACTTTGATTTCTTCTTCTATCACTGCACTTTCTTCCTCATTCACTGAACCAGCTTCTAATTCAACTTCATTTCCTTTTTCTTCTTCCAACTCTGTCTCCTTCTCTGGTTCGATCTCATTTTCTCTTCCTTCTCCAAAACTATTTGTACCCATTTCTGATTCAACGTCATTTTCTATTATTGTTGTTAACCGTGTACCTACTTCTAATTCACAGTCTTGATTACTCTCTTCATCTAACGATGTACCCATCTCTAATTCAATGTCATTTTCTTTTATTGTTCCTAACCCTGTATCTAGTACTGGTTCAAATCCATTCTCATTCCCTTGTTCTAACGATGCATCCACTTCTGGTTCAATTTCCTTTCCTTCGTTTAACTCTGTAACAGCTCCTGACTTAAAGTCATTTTCTGTTTCTTTTTCTAAAACTGTATCCGGTTCTAATCCAATGACATTTTCTTTTCGTTCTTCATACTCTGTATCCCTTTCTAGTTCAATATTATTTTCTTTGCCGTCTCTTAACTCTATATCAGATTTCAATGCAAACTCATTTTCTTTTTCTTCTTCTAACTCTGTGTCCATCCCTAGTTGAATCTCAATTTGTTTTAATCCTTCAAACTCTGTACCACTTTTGATTTCGACGATATTTTCGTTTCTTTTTTCATACTCTGTATCTCTTTCTGCTTCAATATTATTTTCTGTTCCTTCTTCGAACTTTGTTTCTCTTTCTGATTGAATGTCATTTTCCGTGTCTTCTTCCAACTCTTTTTCAGATTCCAATCCAACATAATTTTCCTTTCGTTCTTCAAACTCTGTATTCACTTCTTGTTCAATTTTATTTTCTTTGTCTTCTTCTAACTTTGTACCAATTTGCAATTCAACCTCATTTTCTCTTCCTTCTAATCCTGTGTCCATTTCAGTTTCAATGTAACTTTCTCTTTCACCTGAAGAACCAGACTCAATGCTGCTTCTTCCAGAACACTCCTCAAGGATAACTTCCAACAAAGGCCGACTTTGTTCTACAGTTTCATCAAATAAGTTGTCCCTTGACTGCAAAATCCTAGTAGAATCCATGTCAAGTTTAATATCGGGCCTTTTGAAAGGACTTCTGGTACTATTCAGGCTCCTTTTAACTTCTACAGGTTCTTGAGTGAAAAGTGGCTGTGCTCCAAAGATATGAAGAAGAAGGCTGATGATCTCCTTCTTATCACCAGCATGAATCAGAGTGGCGTTAACGTTCAAATCTAAAAAAATTAATATAGCATAACAAAACAGCTTGGAAACACCAAAGTAACTGACAAAAGCTTTTTTAACTAACCTTATATCAAGAGATAACAATAATACAATAAAGCAACGAAAACACTGTATTTACAGCAAAAAAACAAATGACAGTGACGATGACATACCTGTAGCAATCACTTCCCATTCCTTGGCCAATTCAATAACATTCTTAATGTTTCTAATCTTGTTCAACCGGTCGTTCTCAGCGTTCAACCTTAATCCAGTTACCGTTTTCAACTTGCCACTTTTTGAAAACTGCACATTCTCAATCAGCCTCGACAACACAACTCCATCATTCAGATCACTAGACAGATCTGTGACGTTGTAGTTGTGATTGTGTAACATTGTTTGTTCGTAACTAAACTGACAATTACACAAATTGAAGAACCGTGGTAAGACCACCGAACCTGGCATGAACAACTTGCTTATTTCCATTATCATATCTTTGCTTGTCTAAAAAATGCCAATTACTACAACCTTCTTTAAGCCTTTCAAAAAAAACCGTAACTAGATTTTACAGATAAATTGTGTTAAATATGTGCCAAAGATAGATACATTAACTATTAATAAAGCAAATATTAAATGCTTACAGTAAAAGTTGATTTCAACGTGAACATCCGGGTCAAATTGAGTATGACACGATCGTTAACCATATATTCCATTAATGCAATCAGCTGACACGAAAGAGCCAAGAAATGAACGTATGCAATACTTTTGCCTTCTTCTGTGTAAACTTTACTAAAACATTTAACCATAGTTAAATGCTCGAATATTAAAAACCATATATTATAGTCCGTACAAACATTAAAGAAAGTAATATAATAGTAAACGTTAAATTAATCTTGTCTGTTCTTTCATATATTATATAACTCAAACACAACAAGAAAGCGATACTAATTTTAATATCAAGAGTAAACTCACGTTGCAGATCCATATGCATATTTGGGATTCGACATGATCCTGTGCGAAGTAAACAACTTCTTGTTTGCCACCTTTCTAAACTCTTTCCTAAACTCTTCCAACGTTTCAAACTTCACGTCCAATATTGCCTCAATAGCCAGCCGTAAGTATTCTGGCTCATAGTTAGCAATCAATCCAAAGAAACTGTTTTGCAGTGTAATATCCTTGGTAATGTCATACTTCAACTTCTGCGTGAAATCTCGATGTCCAAGTCGTTTTATTTCAACGATTGTTTCGTCTTTGTACAAGTTCTTTACCCTAAATAAAAAATAATTATAGTTAGAAGTTATAATATAACATAATTTCATAAGTAATAATATAAAATAGAATCTAAACCACTTTTATTGTAAAAAATGTTTTTAAGAACATAAAACCACAAAAAATGCAAGTACATCCTTAACAAGAACCTACTTTATCCTGGCCCGTTCAAACTCTTCGTCTCTAATACCATAAACATCGTTAGAAACCAGTTGATTCACAGAAGACGTTAAAACCTCAGTTATAGTCTCATACTCTGATTGATTAAGTTGATCTAAACATAAAGCATCACAAAAAACTATACTTACCTCTAATTTCATCCAACCTCTCTTTTGCTGAATTAAAACGACTTATTTTGACAAGATATTCCTCTGATAGCCGTCCATCTACTTCCATTTTACAAGATAAAGTTCGTGAATCTAAAATGTAATTTCAAAAAAAAAACAAAATCTTTGAAATTTGCAGTCAAAAATGGCGGGAAAAATGTTATCGTGGCGAGACTAAATTAAATAGTTTCTAAATTATTGTTTTTTGCGGAATTTTGTCTGGAGAGAGCAAAATATTTTATTTTCTTTGTCAAAAGGCAATCTTTTGGACATTTCTTTGTAAAGTTGCTTTTTTGTAATGTATTTAAAACTATTTTTAGTTACCATGCTTAACATATGCTATTTAATTATTCGTTTTAGATAACAAAAGCTACAAGCTGGTCTCACACATGAATTCAAGTCAAGAAACAACTACAAAGGTACGTTTTTCCTGGTTTTTTAACTTAGGTTTTTAGGGCAAAAGTCAACCTCAATTGACCTTGGAAGAACTAGAGCCAGATGAGTCTGAAGATGAGCAATTAACATATTTCTTGGCAAATTCACAGTTCCGAAATGAATGGAGGTGGAAGGATAGAGAATCGTGTGCTTTGTTCGATCACCTTGAGTGTGAAGAAACAAAAAAGTTGAACGACTTGATCGACAAGGTTATCAATAATTCTTGGTTTGAAGATGAGATGAAGGAGAAGCTTACTATGGCTGTAAAGGATGTTATCTACAGAACATTGTCTCGCGGAGCTGCTGCAGTTACTAACGGTGTGGATTGGATGGATTTAGCAGCATTATTGGCTCAAATTTACGAACATTTGGGTTTGGACATGTTTGGAGGGACAGATACTATGTAAGTACGATTTTGTTTTAGGTTTTGTAATTGTGAGCTTATGTTAATTTTTTAGTATAAGATTTAGTTTAATTTTTTATTAAACATAATACGACAAATTTCAGAATTCCAAAGTTTGAGTTGCAATTAATGGAGTATAAGCAAGAAACTGGCTTGGAACCTCTAGAAATGGCTACAAAAGCAGCAGTCAAAGAGAAATCAGTGGAACCGGAAGATGCGGAAGAGCACGGCGAATCTTCCGCTGAAGACGAATTCACTTCATCAACCGGGCCTAAGAAAACCCAGAATTGTTACTCGAATATTGGTGTTGTAGTAGATGGAAAGAAGTACGCGAGATATGGAGTGGCCTACCCAGACTACTGGAAGCTTTATCCGAATGGTATGTTTTTAGTGTTTTTTTTGTGAAAATTAAACGGAATTATGTTTGTTTTAGTTTTTCAATATTTTTAGATACGATTTTTCTAGTTAACTTTTTTACTATTAGGTATAGGCATTTGTTATGTAATACTACTATACTAGTAATACATTTGTTATTTCAGTAATTAAAGCAGGAATTCTTAAGTCGTTGGAGATGAGAATAAATAAAATTCCGTCGGAGAAGTGTCACATAGTGGACGATAAAACAAAGTACAAAGCAATCGAAAGAGTGTTGCTACATCACGAGAGTTGCAAGGCTAATTCGGTAAAATACGGAGTAAGTTAACCTTTAATTAGCTGTTGTTACCGTATTTTTAAAAATTTATATTTTATACTTTTCTTCAATGTAACTTTAGATAAACTACTCGACAATGCAAAACTATGTGCACCGTGCAATTTACGTTCTGTCCAAAATTCTGGGCACAACTGAGGTACCCAAGAATGTAAAGAAGATGCTGGACGACAAGGTTGATGTAACTCAAATTGTGAATACGTTTGACATTAAAAGGCCCGTCTCACAAGTCAGAGTGTCGTTCCCAGCCTCAGCATGAAACAATGTGTCTTAACTACGAAATATATTATATTGTATGGTATTTGACTTTCTTAATCTCGGTTATATGTATGGATCTCAATAAATTCACTGAATACTACAAAGTCGTGTAATTGTGGTAGATTTTCCAGTATACTATAAGGTTTGGGTAATATAACTGTCATTTTTATTGAATCTACAATTTAAAGTAAACAGGGTCTTGTTGAAGCCATATTGCTTTTTCAAGAATGATTATATAATCTTTTTGACAGATTAAACAGTTTTGACCGAACCACTTATCATTTCTTTTGAAGTGGTGCAAGTTCGGTCAGTTTAAAGTTACTTGGTATGTTTTTAACCACGTTTTTCAGTTTTGTTTGTTTCGTAATGGCTAACAGATATCCACCAATCGAGTTGCTTCCAGCACGAGGCGAGGTTGTACGAGAAGAAGATCTCAAGATGAATCAGGTTAGAAAGCATCTTTACTTTATAAAATTACCATTTTTATACGGTTAATATCATTTTGTATGAATACCTCTTTTAGCATTTAATGAAAGGCGCAGAATTCGTTATAAATAAGACCTGGGACAATAAGGACATTGACCACGATCCCATCGAAATCTCGATGAAATGGCACTTTGAGAAGATTCCGAAACGACCTCACAAACGAGTAATCAGAGTTAAGATACAAGCTCCATTGTTCGATGACCCAGAACCACCTAACGACGGTACTGGATACGTTTCTAATGTGAGTTGTGTGTACCGTTGAAAAGAGAAAGTCAAAGACAAACTTTTACAATTTTAACGAATTTTCTATCAAAATATACCTCATGAGATAAATCTTACGCAAAACACAAGTTTCAAAATTATATTTTTAATGTCATTTTTAGTTGTACGACTACGAAGTAGTGGAGTTCTTCTTTATGAACGAGAAGGGACAATATCTGGAAGTAGAAGTAGGACCACATGGCCATTGGTTGGTGTTACTGTTTGACGGTTACCGGAAATGTATTAATAATGGAGAAGACATTGATCTGGAAGTCAAAAACGAGTTTGATATGGACGTTTGGAACAGCACGGTGGACATTCCTTTGGCCTACTTGCCTGGAGGTATGTAACTTTACCAATCTTTTTGTGTTATTACCGAGCAATATCTTGTGTTTGACATACTTTACTTTGTATTCTTTAGAAGTGACAAGGTTTAACGCGTACGCGATTCACGGATCTGGAGATGACCGACATTACGAAGCTCTATCGCCGGTGACAGATGGTGAAGTTAGTGCACCCGACTTTCACCTCAAACAATACTTTCAATTATTCGATATACGACGAGTCGTGCCCGAAGGATATAACAGAAAAGCATACACAGATATGAAATACGGAAACATGTGGGATTCCGTCGACGATGAAGAATAATTCTAATAAATTATTTTATTTCAGTTTTGAAAAACAATAGTAAAAAAGGGTAACATCTATGCCATCAAAAATGTGAGATTTTACACTTGCAAAAGAAAAAAACCTAAACAAAAGTAAAGAAGTAAACATTTGAACTGTATAGTAGACAAACAACATAAGCTTATTGGTCTAATAATTATTGTGAAACCACATACACAATCTACCTAATAATACTTTCCAACAAACTGCTATCCTTGAACAAGTGTGCATATCTCTCGCACAGCGCTCCAAATTGGCCACATTCCTCTTTGAACAAAGCTGGAGCAGTGTAATCGACTGGAGGCCGCGTCAACACATTGTCACTGCTTTTACTGTCTACCATCTTCATGGCTTCCCTCAACTGAACTCCCAATGCTTCTGAACATCCTTTAGGTTCAGCTTGTTTCTCCGGAGGTTTGTTCGCGATCTGTCGCTTGATCTTCTGGGCTTCCTTCTGCAACGTGAAGTTGGTATCTTCGTACAACTTGAGAATATCAGCGAAAGTCTTGGCGTTGGGGAAGAGTTTCTGTAGCATAAGTTGAGAAGCCCTTTGTTTGGCATCCTTCTTGTTGCCTCCAGTTACAGTAACCTCGTACTCCTGCCCCAATGTCATTGTAAACTGATGTTTCTGATGTCCCTTCTGTTCCGTTTTCATTTCGATTTTTTGATTTTCCAGTGAAATGTTGCGTTTGACAAACTCTTGTAACATCATGAACGGCTGACGTTTACCAGTTTTGGCACACCAGTCAGGGATTTTAGAGTCTGTAATCTCCAACATTTCGAAGAAAGTGGGCTCCTCAGATGTCGTGGGTTCAGAGCTTTCTTCTTCGTTTATCGCAATGTGTTCATCGTTGAATTTTAAGCCTGGGATTAGTCCAACAAGCACCTTCTCAGCTGCTGCCATCTTGGCGATCTTCTTGCTCTTTCCGAAGCCTACGCCAAGTAGAAGAGTGTCATCTCCGTCTGAATATAAAAATTATAATATTATTCAGTTAAAATAACAAAAGTATATTTTTCATCCCTAAACAATCCAAAACATTGTTTCACATTAGCTAATGCATTAGATCTAATTTACGTTTCCTTTTTTACATATTTTATACCTACAAAACAAAAGTAGAAAAACTTACATTCTGAAGTGTCAGCAATTTCACTGGAATGCAAATTAACCTCCTTGTCGTATTTCTCCTTCAGCAACAATAGCTTAGCCTCGATTGTCTTTTGTTGGCGAATCATTTGCAACGCATTCGACTGCTTTAACTTTGCGACACAACGATAAGGGTAGGTGACACTACTGAAATCAATTTATAGTATTATAAATAACATACAACAATTGCTTTAAAATTAAAGTAATCTTAAAATGAGCAATAGAGATAAAGATACACCAGATAACATACCTGAGCTCTGTGAAATCGTATACTACCACGCTTTTGAGTACTTTCTGAACATATTCGTGTAGAATTGTAACAGAAGTTTTGTTGACAGGATTCAGACAGAACGTACGATGTGAGGGCTTCGCGGTTTCGTTGATTTCAGGCACAGTAATCACTTTAACATCACTGGCAACTCCTTAAACATGTTTTAATATATTTTTTTTCAAGTTTTACTTAAAAAACATTGCCAATAATAAAAAAAGGAATTGTTTCTAAATATCTTTATTTTCTACCACCTACCAGGTGTAGCGTCCTCATGTAGCTTTCGTTTTCTGTTTCTGTGAAATTGCCGTGTTTCAGACCATTTCTTAAACCTGACAACGTCGATTGTTTTAAACTTGAACACAGACTTTGCATACGCATTCAGCTGGTTTCCGTCCAGGTACTGATCTCTATCTCCTACTGAAACTATCTCGATCTTTGGTGTAGATCTTATTGGGCATTCCTCTTCCCTAACTCTGATCTCTTCCAGTTGTCGTTTCATATTGTAACATGGAATGGCTGGGATCGGAATCAAGTGTTTTCGTACTGAGGTTGGCCCAATGAAATACGGACGGGAGAACGCGCACACTCGTGTTTGACGGTGCTGAAATGCTTTACGTTATCAAATGAACTTAAGAAAGCAAAGTTATTGTCTACCTAAAGTTTAAAACTATATCAAATACCTACCAAATAAACGGGAATTCCAGCATCATGAGTAATTTCGATCCAACCATCAGGTAATGAGTGGGAAAAGTCATTTGGTCGAATTTCAAGAACCGTTTTCTTTCTGAAGGTATACTGGTTAAGTAAAATATTAAACATAAAGCTTTCTGTGCATCGAACAGATTTAAAACTTCTCAAATTTAATCAATATAAAAAGTCTAACAAATTATTTATGTAATGATGTAATGCCTACCTTACGATAGCTTCATCTGGATATTTTTGAACATCTACGTCTTTCTCCAACAAATCTTCCAAATCACTCAGATCATCATCCATATCTTGAGTAGAAGATACGTCTGCCATAAAGGGGCACGTCTCCATAGTCTCATCATTATGTGAAGCACTAGTACCTGTCACACCTTCGTCTTCTGACATTTTCTGCAAGAAAAATAAATCAAAACTAAATTTTTTAAAAAATTCCTATAAAGACGTTCAACTTCAAAAATATAAAAAAAAGACTCTGCATCAAACATATTTTTATACCGTACGCGTACGTAATAATCTGTAGGCGCAGTAAATCGTCAAAAAAAAATAAAAAAGCCGAGAATATTTCTTCGTATAACAAATACCGCCCAAACTGCACTCACTAGGGCGCAATCAGCAGTTAAATAATTTTAGAAACATTTTTACTTTACTACTGAAGAACGTTATAGATGGCAAGGTACAGGCGAGGATGACAGAACCTGGGTCGTATGCATCCACACAGGTAAGCATTAATATAGGTAGGAATTATATTATTTTTTTCAGATATCGGATGTTTTCTGTGCCGCCACGTACACTTTCGATCATCTTACGAATTTGGCTCTACAATTGAATAGAATTGATAAGGAAATGGAGATGTAGGGTTTAATTAATTGTTTGTATTAGTTAATGTTATGTGTAGTTTGTGTAGGATATTTTGTTAGAGTTTTAAAAGTTTACATTTTGTTTTAGGTACGATGAGCCATGTTCAATGGATACGATACACGACTCTGTTAAGAAGTTTACTGCCAATTTAGAAAATGCTTCTAAAATGAAACAAGCGTACGTTTAATTTTATTTTGCTTTTTGTTTAGGAACGTGATGTAAACTACAATACCTTTTTATGGTTTTTTCTGATGGTTTACCTACTTTATACGTATTTAGTGGACAACCTTCAATGTTCGTTAAACTTTTAATTTAAATTGCAATATTGTTTCAGTTCTTACATGAGGCCTTATACACAACAACCCAGGCGAACGTCGGCTCAACCGTTTAATCGGTTACCAATGCATGTGGACATGAATAGGGCACAGACTTCTAAACCTCAAAACAGTTACCGGTTGATGCCTGCAACCGGCTTAAATACAATTCAAAACGGATCGTTAATGAGGCATAATTCTTTGAACAACGTGAGGAAAAGGCCAGTACCTGACAACCTATCATATGGGATATCCAAACAGCCTCGAGACATAAAATGGGTTTCAGCGGATGGAAGCATAACTAATAAGGTATGTTAAATGAAACTAACATTTGTGAAGTAAAGTTTAATTGGAACAAAGCATTAACTATTTGATTTTCTACCCATATTTTTACTTTTCAGCCCTCAATGTTCTCGAGACAGTCGGTAACTCCACAACCTTCAAAAACGAATGTTCGACGAGAATACAGTGTAACTCCACGAACAGGAAACGAACCTCAACGGTTTCTGATCAAAAAGGAGTTGTTCCAATCTCAGAACATTACTGCTATAACGATGGACGACTTGAAGCCAAAACTGCCAAATGGGATCAATGGGTCCCTTACCCATACTCCTATATCAACATATACTTCTAAGACTATTCCACTGCCAACGTTAAGGCCCACTGTTCCTTTGACTGAAGACGATGTGGCCGTGTCATCTTTATTGAATACTCTTCAGCAACCAGACTCTGAAATGAGTGGCACCGAGTGATTGTTGTTTGTTACATGTTGTTGTTGTTATTAAACTGTTAAACTATGTTATTGGGAGTTGTTTATGGTTGTTGTTGGTTGCAATAATTATTTATCTACTTTATATATGGTTATAGTGTTAAATGGATTGTATTTATAATTACATTGTTTGTAATGCGTCGAATTTTAAAAGTTTAAACAAGTTTACGTGTTTTAGTATCTGAAGCCTATATTATTGTATTGCTGTATTTTAGCTTTAAAATGGATGAACGCCCGATGTTTTCGTTTGATCATGTCACAACAGAAAAGATCACAAATGTCGTAAGTGACAGTAACGCAGAAGATGGTGAAGCTACATTGGCATTTCCTGGAGCTGTTCTAAGTGATCATGCAGATTTGATAAGGTACATTTTAGTTGTTTTTTGTATAGGGTAAAAAATTTTTGGTATTCATTGATAACAACAAAATATTTAGAGGCCATGGAACATACACAGACGATGCAGGCTACATCGTGTCTTCTATTGCTGGAATAACGCACAGAGTAAACAAACTATTAAGAGTAAAGGCGTTGAAGGCACGGTAAGCAACTTTCTAACGAGTTTTCTTTATATTACGACAAGTCACAACCTGGGCCTTCGATTTTAGGTACAATGGTGAAGTCGGCGATGTTGTTATTGGTAGGATTGTTGAAGTACAAGCTAGCAGATGGATGGTGGACATAAACTCAACTCAATACGCAGTTTTGTTGTTGTCTAGTGTTAACTTGCCTGGCGGAGAGCTGAGGAGAAAGTCGTGCGAAGATCAACTTCTGATGACGGATTACTTAACCGTTGGAGATCTTGTTAGTGTAGGTTATATTAATGTTCCGTTTGTCTTTTGCTGTTTGTTTTTGAGCTAATAGTACTGTTTAGGCCGAAGTACAAAGGACGTATTCTCAAGGGTTTGTTGGATTGCATACGAGATCTATGAAGTACGGTAAACTTGGGCAAGGAGTACTAGTTAGAGTACCGTACTACTTGATCAAACGGAGGAAAACTCACTTTTTCAATCTTCCAATGGGCGCTTCGTTAGTCTTGGGATGTAATGGTACTGTCTTCATATCAACTGTCAGATCGACGGAAACTACTGATCAGGCTAGTGGTGGCTACATTCATTCAACAGAGGTAGGTACACTTAATATTACTACTTTTGTGTTTGGTTACAGTAAGGAAAGGCGCATTGTAGGCCAAGGTTATTAATTTTGGTTTTTAAAAAGGGTGATCTAATACATTTTTATTTAAAATTGGAGTTAGAAAATTAATTTAACCTTACGCATACTGTATCTAATCTTGTTTATACATATCACTAAGCTAATCAAGCAAGACTTTTTAATTAGTTTTGGGCTTCTTGCGGTCCGAAGCCGGCTTCTCTTTTACCGTATACATAGTAGGCTGGCCAGTAGTAGCCGTTGTAGCCAGGCCACCCATAATAATATTGAGCCGTCGCGTGTTCAACGCAAATTACTAACAATAAAATGGCACATACGGTGATGAGAGTTGGGTTCATAGTTCTGAAAGATACACATTAACATATTATAGTAGGATTTTTAGATATAAACTAAAAATTTTTAAATATAGGCTATAAGTTTTATAGATCTATTTTTTAAGTAACAAACCTAGGCTTGTAAAAACTAATGTTTAAAAGATATAAATATGAGGAAAAAAGTTAGTTCAAGAAAATGGTTGAGCTTCATTGAGAATGACATTAAGTACGGAGCATCCTAAGGCGATTAAGTTGAGTATTTTATAATTATGTTTTGGGATTAGCTAATTTTTTGCGCACAACTTCTGCTGTTGTTTGTTTTATGCATTGTTTTAGGGTTGTCGTTTGAAGCCTAAATTAAAGTTTTTACAAAACTTAAAAGCAGGAGCAAATTTGTTACTTACTGCGGTAGAAACTTGTTTTTTCTAACAATTTTTTTTGTTTACTAAAAATATAAAAGTTTATTTACGGAAAATAGGCTATTTTTTATCATTTTTAACCGTTTTTAGTATCATATAATGTTAGGCTTACAAAATAAACCAAGCTTTTGGATTAAAACGTTTATTTCACCAATGTACACATTTAAATACAAGCTTCACAAGTTAATGTTGTTGATCTTCGGGACTGAAGCCAGCAGCACGTTTGCCGTAGATTCCGTAGCCGTAGTAGGGGTTTCCGTAAGCGAGGGCGTTATATCCGTATCCAAGACCGTAACCGTAGTACGGTAGTACTTGAGCTTGAGTCACAACGACAGCGACGAGGCACACCAAAAGAGCGATGAGAATCTTGGAGTTCATGATTAGATTTAGAACAACTTGAAGGTTGATGACACCACCGGTTTGGCCGCGGCTTTTATAGTTGACATTTGTTGGCTCATCATCTTAATCACCAGTTTATTTCTGGTATTCGTAAGAGCTTCCTGACCTGTTTTAAGAACACATCTAGGCGTTTGCACCCGCGTTAAACAAACATCCCCCACTTGATATTCTAATATCACTTTAGCCAACAAAATATCAAGCATTTGAGTACAAATTTGTGATTCTTGTGTAGAACCTAAAATAATAAGCAGCTATTTTTAAATTTCAAATAAAATTTTTCAAAGTTTTAAAATTTAAATTATTGCTTACCAAAATAAGTTAAAGTGAAGTAAAAGATGTATGATGCAATTCCCCTTTCTGTTTTGTCCAAACTTTTAAAAATTTTATAACTTATACCGTAAAAATTAAAAATTTGATTTTCAGAGTTGTGGAATTGAAACTCGGAAAGTGATCTCAAGACTGGCCAATTGTGTTAAGATCTTGGCCAAAGCATCGATTTCCTTGTCAGATACCACCATTTTGGTAGCATACGAGGCCTCACTCCAACATGAAATCAGTTCATTATTGGATCCAAAAACAGCGAATCAATTGACGGAAGAAGTTATTCAAGAGTGCAAACAGAAACAAATCGGGATTTGAATACTTTTCTCAACATTGTTACAGCCTTTACATGTTGTTGATTGTTCATTGTTGTCGATAAATGTTGAAGCATTAATGATGGACGTTATTATTACGTAATGTCGTGTTAGATACCGCGAAATCTTATTTATTAAACGTAAATTATGTTTTTGAAAATTTTTAGAGTTTCAACATAATTTCACTGTAATAGATAAGTTTTTTGTAATAGTGTCTTATCTATGCTTTTTAACATTGTACTGACCGTTCTCAGTCTAAGCGTCCTATACATAAGCACCTTACTCGTTTATTTTAAACCCATTGTAAGATAATTTTAAAATCCAAATTATAATCCTTATCATTAAAGATGCCAAACAGAAAAGTGCATATCACTTCCGATGCTTCTGATCTAGAAAACGGACTGTCAGAAGTGTTGAAGACGGCTTTCTCGGATTACCTGGCCAGAGGAGATGGGAAGCCATTCGTTATCGGATTCTCTGGAGGATCTATGCCAAAGACTTTGATTCCAGTCTTGAAGGCTACTATTCCTTCAGAGAAACGAGGCTTGGTGAAGTTGTTTCCAGTAGATGAAAGACTTGTGCCATTAGAAGACCCGGAAAACAACACCAACTATTATCTGCAAGGACTGAAGGACACTTTCAACGATGATCAGTTTGCTGTTGTAGCTAAAACTGGCAACGAAACAGGTACGCGTTGACTGTTTTTTTTAAGTTTTAGGTAATATTTTTTAATCGCTAACCTTATATTATAGTAATGTTTTATGGTTTTTTGGCTAAATTTTAATAGTTAATATTGATGGAGACTAGTTCTAAAGTTAAATTTAGGCGAAGAGGCTACAGAACAGTTAAACGGTCTTCTGAAGAAGTGGTCCGATGTCAGTGGAGGCTACCCTGTACTGGACATCTTGTTCTTAGGTATGGGTCCTGATGGTCATACCTGTTCTCTCTTCCCTGGACATCAACTTCTTCAGGTAGGTTTGATCACATTAGAGTATGTCACATCGGAAAAAATTGTTCAGAAGCCAACATAAAATCTAAAAAATGGCTTGACTTTAAGATCGAGAGCAGTTTTAAAATCTCTTGCACCAATTCCTAGCATGTAAAGACAGCAAAAAAATTAAATATTTAAGTCAACCAAGTGGACCGATGTTATCACGGATTCTCCAAAGCCGCCAAGCAAAAGGATTACTGTAACTTTGCCACTTCTCAACAATGCCAGAAGCGTGGTATTCATCTCGACCGGTGGCGGTAAAGCTCAAGTCCTAAAAGAGATCTTGGACGAGGATTCCAACAAATACCCAGCTGGACTAATCTCTTTGAACAACGGTCAGCCAGTCCATTACTTTTTGGATAAAGACGCGGCCGAACATTTGAAACCAAAAGGAAATCTGTAAATCACACATACCTTGCCAATCTTTTAGATATTCTAATTGTAATAGTATTATATACTATTTTCATCCTAATTAGTTGTTTAAGTCCATATCATTACTATATTATCCAACCCGACACACAAATTTACTCAAATAACTACAGTTCGCTTTGTAAGCTGAAATTAAGCAACCAGATATTGTGATATGTTAGACAATAAATATTTTACTAAATAAAAGATACCCTGCCTCAGCCAGCCTCATCCGACGGCACTTTACTTTCCATCTTGGCTTCTCTTCGCTTTCTTCTCTGACTCTTCATCTTCTGTTCGTACTCTCGTGTGATCCGGTCGAACTGAGCAGTATAACATTCGTCTTTGTTTATGTGTTTATCCACAGCATACTTGAGGCGTTCGTAGGCAATAGAGACATTTTCTGGGAGGAGGCGGCTTTCGTGAACCTGAATTGTTTTCAATTACTAAACGTTCCTAGTACTTTGATTAAAACTGCAAAAAAACAAAGGATTGGCCGTTTTAATGGGCTTCCTAAGAAACTGTAGTTTCTGGTGAATTGACTCAAGACAGCCGCGTCAAGATACGTGTATCATGCCGTTGCAGTCCTGAGAACAGAAACTAAAGATAAAACAAAAATAATAACAAAACATACTTTAACTGATACGTTGGTAGGGATATGTTTGAGCTGAACAGCATTCTGGGCCGTGTTGACCTTCTGACCACCAGGTCCCCAGCCACTTATAAACTGCTGTTGACAGTCGTCTGCTCGGATTTCTGGGAATTGGTAGCCCTTGAGCAGTTTTCGAGCTCTTTGGGCTGCTGCTCCTCCACCGCCGATCTTGACTTTCGCTTTCTCTTGCTTGATCTGCTGTGAGTATGATGACAACGTGCTCCATCTTCCAATGCCAATCCACGACCTTGTTGTTGCCAACGAACTCCACGCCAAAAGTTTATCCAGAAACATCCTGCAGGCCCAAACAACTGACGCATATTATACTACTTTTGCTAAACCAAGTCGAGTGGGGGCTGAAGCCCACAAGAGTCTCTGATCAAGCAGAGGTATCTAAATGGACAGAATGTTAAATATTCTTCAAAAAAAAAAACAAAAAAAACTGTCTCGAAAAAAGTATATAGAAACCGACGCACCTTGCGCGTATGTTTTCATCCAGCAATTTCTACGAAACTAACGAAAAGCCACAAAGATTATACGAAAAACCTTAAAGAACAGGTTTGTTGACACAGAACTTATCGTAAATAAATAAAATACTACAAGTATTAACATATTTAAATCAATCGTAAAAGTATAAGCAAATAAAAACTATCCAACTGTCCTCCATCAAGTCAAAGTAGTTATAGTATGAGATTTATTGACATTGTTATTCACACCTATACATAAATACAGGAAATGGATAACATCCAACGTATTAAGGCCATATCTTTACTTAATAGTCAACAATCTAGTATGATCTTATTTTCCGTTTAATGAGTGACAGTAATAAAAAAAGTATAGCAAAAGGGCGACGGTATCTTTGGCAATCGAGTGAAGATGTTTAGAAACATTTGCGGTGGACGATTGATGGGCCGGATTCGTCGTATTCTTGCTTGGAGATCCACATCTGTAACGAGTAGAGTAAGATAATGTTCAATTACAGTCACATATATAAGTAAATTTAAAATAACATTATTACATATGTTAATATAAACAAGAATTACCTGTTGGAAGGTGGAGAGGGAGGCCAAGATAGAACCACCGATCCATACGGAGTATTTGCGCTCTGGTGGGGCGATGATCTTGATCTTCATGGTGGATGGGGCAAGGGCGGTGATTTCCTTTTGCATACGGTCAGCAATACCTGGGTACATGGTGGTACCTCCGGAGAGGACGGTGTTGGCGTACAAGTCCTTACGGATATCAATGTCACACTTCATGATGGAGTTGTAAGAGGTTTCGTGGATACCAGCGGATTCCATACCCAAGAAGGAAGGTTGGAAGAGGGCCTCTGGGCAACGGAAACGTTCGTTACCGACGGTGATGACTTGACCGTCAGGAAGTTCGTAGGACTTCTCCAAGGAGGAGGAAGAGGCGGCGGTGGCCATCTCTTGCTCGAAGTCCAAGGCGACGTAGCAGAGCTTCTCCTTGATGTCACGGACGATTTCACGCTCAGCGGTGGTAGTGAAAGAGTAACCACGCTCGGTGAGGATCTTCATCAAGTAGTCAGTCAAGTCACGGCCAGCCAAGTCCAAACGGAGGATGGCGTGGGGGAGAGCGTAACCCTCGTAGATTGGGACGGTGTGGGTGACACCTACAACAACATACCATAAGTTAACATAGAATCAAAGAAACATAATTATGCCAAAAAAAATACAAGTTTAGTCAAAAAATTTAAATTAAAAATGACATTTTAAAATCACTCACCATCTCCGGAGTCGAGGACGACACCAGTGGTACGACCGGAAGCGTACAAGGAGAGTACGGCTTGGATGGCAACGTACATGGCTGGGGTGTTGAAGGTCTCGAACATGATCTGGGTCATCTTTTCTCTGTTGGCCTTGGGGTTGAGTGGGGCTTCGGTCAAGAGGACTGGGTGCTCTTCTGGGGCAACACGGAGTTCGTTGTAGAAGGTGTGGTGCCAGATCTTCTCCATATCGTCCCAGTTGGTGACGATACCGTGCTCAATGGGGTACTTCAAGGTGAGGATACCTCTCTTGGATTGGGCTTCGTCTCCGACGTACGAGTCCTTCTGTCCCATACCGACCATGACACCTTGATGACGGGGTCTTCCGACGATGGATGGGAAGACGGCACGTGGAGCATCGTCTCCGGCAAAACCGGCCTTGCACATACCGGATCCGTTGTCCACGACCAAAGCGGCTACTTCTTCGTCACACATTTTAACGTTGGGTTAATGTACTGGTATAAACCTGAAAGCAAAGAAAGTAAGAAAATGGAAAAAAATCAAAATTTGTTTATGTATAACATATTTTATCCCGAAAAAGCAAAGATCACGTCAAAAAAACAATATAACATCGTCTAAAAAGCATTCTCAATCTATTTAAAACAAAATTTAGTTAAAAAACCTGAAAAATACCAAAAATTCGAACGAAAATCAGCTCTTACTTGTGCACAACAAATAACGCCCGCCAATCTCACCAAAAAAACGCAAGAAATGTTCGAAAGCGAAAAACGCAATGGGCCTAGAACAACCGCCCGCGATGGTCCTGCCGCGACTTTGGCATTCCGATAAATAAATTCGGTCGAGTATTGGTGGGAAAACGAAAAATTAGCAAAAGTGGCAAGTTTCAGGTTTATTGCGAAACCTGCGGGGTGTTTTTCCAGAAAATTTTGAGTTTTTGAGGCAATTTACGAGCTTTTTTTCACAAAAATTTTGACTGTTTAGCCTAAATTTATAGTTTTTTTTAAAAACAGTCTGGTTATCGCCAAAAAACGTTGTTTTTTCTCAAATTTCTAAAGGATTATTCAAGAAAAACTTGATAATAATTAGCTAAAAACCTATGCCATCGGCTGAGACCGGCACAGAGTGCCCAGTGCCCAGTCGAACGGTGAGGAAAAGGGCCGGAAAACCGGCGGTCTTTACCAGCCGGCTGGCTCTGCGAATCCGCCCCGAGAAGGAGGCGTTCGACTCTCTGCTGGTCTCCGCTGAAAGTCGTTGTGTTCCAGCCCGCCCTCTTCATCTCTGGGCACAGCTGGCTCGAAAAAAGGAACGCCGCGCGCAAATGTTCCAGGCCGTTTTTGGGGACGAAATGGCCGGGTGAAGAAATAAAGCGGTTAAGGGTCAATGAGTCATCCGGATATAGCATTAAATTATGCCCGAAAACTATTAGGTTGATTTGATTTTGCCGCAAGCTGGGTTTTAATAGTTGGATGGGTTTTAATCTATAAAAGATGTGGTGACGAAAAGAGACAATTTTGGTGTCCAAAAGGTTTATCTGGTTATTTCACAATGTAAAAGATGTGGAGTGACTCATTTTACTGTGCAGAAAGGGATTGCCGAAAACGTTTTAATGTTCAAAGTATTTTTAAAATGATATTAGCATCTTCTATCTCTAAAGAAACGTTTTCAAATCTCTATAAACAAAGACAACATCAAACAGATAAACTTTACAAGGCAAATCATAAATGGATGTATCAGTCTTTCCACTAAAGAATGTTACAGTTGCACAGTGCAATCCCTGGGAAAATCGCGCCCTTTTTATTCCGCTGCACAGTGCAGATTTTTTGCGCGACCACCCGATACAGCCAGCGATGTTAGGAAAGGCTGCACAGTGCAATCCCTTCAGTGTCGCACCGGTCGGTTGTCGCAGAAGTCAGGGGACCGCAACAGACAAAAAATCTTGTCGCAAACCTTCCACTGAACACAGTGTTGGTTTGAGCGTTGCGACAACTGCGACACGCTGTCGCATCGCCATATGAACCGCGACACGACAGTTTGTTGCAAAGCTTTGCACATGCGACATTGCAATTCCATTGGAATGTTGCAAGGTGAGGTGCAAGCGACTGTCGCAGACCTTGTCGCTTGTCGCCCAATTCTCGGCGCCACAGCGATTCCTTCAGACTGCACTGTGCAGTTTTGTAACATTCTTTTCCGGAAAGACTGATAAATTACAAAGTGAAAATTAAATCCAATCACTTTCATAGACAGGATTCAGAAGGAGAATTCCGGTCACTCAACGAATTTTTTGTTTTTTTTTTCGAAACGGAGGCACTAATTTCAAAAAGGCGAAAGTGGCATGAAACGGACTTCTTGAACACTGTCTGTATTCTGCTACAAGCATGTTCATTTGGTCGGAATGGATGCGAGTAACGGATAAAATCGCGCCGTCTTCAATTGACCCAAGGTCGAGCCTAAGGTCATTTTTTCAAAATATAAAACTGTTTACTGAAACGCTCACTCGAAAACATTCTTTAAACTTCTTTAAACGATACTTTTTAACTCTTCTGGAAAGCTTTGTTAAAAAATAATAAAGCTTCTTTAAAAAAGAATTGAAACGCGGTCTAAAGCAATGTTCTCGGGAACGTTCATATACAAATAATGTTCTCAAATCAAAGAAATCAGAATGTTATTAAAAGGCTATCAGAAACAGGCTGCCTGAGGCGTCTATGCTTTGAGACGACTTCTGAGCGCTTAAAAGTGTTTTAATTATTTGTTTTTTCGCTCGAACTATACAAAGTCTAAAGCAATGAGTCATCGACGTACAACTTGTCCGGAACGGCAGGGTCTATGGGGCTTCTGAGTCACGACGTAGCCGTGTTGATTCATAACGACTGATTTTGTGCTCAGAATCATAATTTTGAAATAAAAATTATGGTGTCAATTCGGAAAAAGTGGGGTCTATATTTAAAACTGTCTCAAATATGGTGTGGCGGATCTAGACTGATCATATAGGACTTATAAATATATCCAGATGTCAAAAAACATTTCGCACATCTTTCTTTAAACAAAAACCAAGATAAAAGTTCAAAAGCTGATTTGTTTGTTTTAATGTCCATTCTAAATGACTTTGGACCGAAAACCAACTCGAAGTTTAAATTTGAATAGTTATGATCAAAAAGAGACAAAGTTTTGTCATTTTTCAGTGAAATATAATTGTTAAAACTTGGTTTTTGAAAAATTAAAAGTGAAAATGTGACATAGGATTTAAAAATTTAAATGTAATGTAAAACATGTAAACCAAAAAGTACAATACAAAACTACAATAAACAAAGCCTACATGACATGAAGGCATGCACGCCGTTAATTATTAATTGAGTGTTGATACGAATACATCCCTTATGTGACCCGATCCCTGGTGATAAACTAAAATGACCCTGAAGAGACTCAACGGCAGCTTTTATACTCCCGTCGAGATCCCATCTGTCCATTTTTGTACGGCCCTCCAATTATTTGGACCTCGGGCCGCTTTTTATTTTATCTTTTCGAATGCCCTGAAACAACTTTATTGACAGTTGTTTTGTTTGCGGGGGATGCTGAACGAAACAAACCAGCACACCCAGATGGCTAGCGGCTCAGAGAAGCAAACGGGAACCGAGGGTTCTGGCTTTTGTTCTCGGAATAAAGTTATGGCCGCGAGAAAAGACTTTAAAACAGAGGCGAGAGGCTGCTTCCATTGATCTGATTGGATTCGTCGAATCCCCCCGCCCGAGAGACGCGGCCCCGGCCGGAGGGCCCAGCCGTCGCCAGTTCGTCGGACATGCTCCTCAGCTCGACGGCGCACACTTCCTAGAAGTTGAGGAGCACCTGTCCGCCTCTGCATGATGATGAGGTCAATTCCTCGAAGAATAAAGGCAATTGTGGAGCATGAGCCTGATTGATGGCTGAGATGTAGGTGGCCAAAACAGAAATAAACTTGCAAGGAAATGGAAGAGGTAATTACAAAAAATGGCCAAATTAAATTTTAAAATAAGAATTTTGGGGTTCAAAAAATCTGCAAATATAATACTACTAATTGTTTTACTGCAAAATGGCAGTAAAATAAAGCTCGTTAACAAATAAAATTGTAGTAAAAATTCGGATTGCACGATAAACGCTACACGTTTTCTACGAATTTTTGGACCTATTGAGCTACAGAAATAAAAATTTCGTTATCATAGAAACTTTTTGCACAGTTTTAAAAAATCCCGTATATGTAGTATGTTTTAGTCAAAAGGGGCCTAAGATAACTTGTTGTACTCAAAAAATTGATTACTTTAATTTTTCTTCGAACTTTTTGCTCAAGTTAGTATGTACGTGGATTAATTTAACTATAACCATACAAAAATACAGGAAAAAGCTTGCAAAAACGTTTCCTAATAAACACTTTGTTACCGTCTAATTCACAATAAACAAATCCACCGCCCATGTTTTATTTAAATTACTTTCGGTCCGATTAAAAATGCGCGATTCATGAAGAGCGACACGATTTTGACGCATTTAACGGCATTCGGAATGACCATACAAGAATTATGAAGCGCATTCCAATCATCTTATTGTAGTTGCAAAAGTGAAAGTACTTGCTGATAACGAGGGAAGCGATGAACAGACCCTCCAAGTGATGCGCACTTTAGGATGACAAACACAATGGATTATGTTTGTTTTTTCGTTTAATGACTTGGAATTTGTCGTTTTTGACAGGAGGTAAACACTTACAGAGTCATTTTATATGGTAGTAAAGCTTTATGTCCCTACTACTATATTTAAAAACCAAAGTTAAACATTGGGGCTTAAGTCATCGTGATGAGTAATATCTATTTACTTGTTGTTTATTTGTAGTTTTGGCGACGTTTGATAAGTAATGAAGGTATATTAACAATTTAGAGCCGCTGAAGAGTAATACGCAAATTCCGCTTCACTGATTTCTTATCAGTGTTTGTGATTTGACATTGATAAAATCTGGGAACCATCTTCAAATACCCATTCTTCGTTGTTTCAATGGTCAATGACCTTAGGCTCTTTATTGTTTTGTCATAAAATAACTAGAATGTAGTCTTACATACTATATTATACTATGTTTGTTAACCTTTTTTAGTTTTACGATATTTGTTGTAGGTATAAAAGCCTGGAGAAGAATATGTTTCTTGAAATAAATTTAAATTGCTAATGTATCTATGTTATCTTTTTGTCTATATTGATACTGATCATCTAACTTTTTCATAATTTTAATTAAATTTTGGCCTCAGGCAATGACATTGTTAATCGTTTTTTATTTTTCACGTTTCCTGGAAAGATCAATTCTCAAGAATTACCGGTCATTCCAGTAGTCGTTCTCGGTGGGTGTGCTGTGATTCGGCAAATCGATTTAAAGAACACGCCTTGAGCCAAACGAAACAAAAAATGGGAAAGAAAAACCCGGAAGGCATATAAAATGCAGTGCCAACGGCTTTTTGAATCAGTATTTTGCCCTTCTTCCCTTTCGACCTGGTCTTGTCTCGTTTTGATCGCTTCAGAGTTGTATTTGATCTGGTCTTGAGTTGGTTGGAACGTGAGTATTGAGCTTTGAGAGTAGTTGAATTTTAAACTAGTGCATTTTTTCATTGAATTTTAGGCTAATTTTTGTATTTTGAGCCAATTTTTTGTCATTTTTAATGTGCTTGCAATATTTCTTTTAAAAACAGTAGAAATAGGGGCCAAAATCAACCTTAGTTAGTAAAGTTATAGTAGTATGCTTTTTCGAAAACAGGGTACCAAAAGCCAGTGCTGTTTCATGCCTTCTTTATCGGATGACATAGTGAATGTGTGAAACTTTTTGCTTTAAGTGCATGGTCGACAGCGAGACGAGGTCGAGCGGCCGAGGCTCGAATGACCACTAGATCCGTGCAAAACCCCCCCGATTTGACAGATGGGATCCGCGATTGGGGCCACAGATAGGAAGATAGATCCCCGTTTAAAAGAGATCCCCGTTTAAAAAAGATCCCGGGATTCGAAGAAAAGCGTCGGCGGTGCGGCCGATGTAGGTGGGGAGGGAACAGTTGTGAAGGGGTGGGACATAGAGAGATCTAGGCCGATCGGTTGGGGCCGAAAGCCTTCATCCGCCTACTCATTTTCAATCTCAAGAGGTGGGTTGTGTCCTCGCTTCCTTCCCAAGGCCCTATTCACTCCATGGAATTGCATTTGGATCGGTGGCACTCAACCAACACTATCGATATGTTGGTGTAGTACTATCGATGTCATATAGTGGTGGTCTCGACTATTGATAGCATGTCATGTTGGTCTGGTAACTTATCTCGGCTTGGTCTGGTAAAGTTTACTGTTTCAAATAGTTAGAGTAGGGTTAAGGATACCAGTTGGTAGTGCATGTAATTGTTTCTCATGCACTAATGACTCGTTTTTCTTTCATAAGGTTAGTCTGGTTTACATTATACTCTTATATTACCGTACACTTTAGTTTAGTATCTTCCTTTTACTCATTCATAGTTCATAATCCTTTTATATTAACTATATGATTCAAATCAAACACTCTCTTGGTCAGTAGGTCCCCTGCAGTTCGGAAAGTGCGTCTCCAACCAAATTTGTTGTAATAAAGTAGTAAACAACCATAGGCATCCTGGAGCCCCGCTTAGTCATTCCCAAAGCTAATCATCAAAAAAGGCGCGATTCTTATTTTGTGTGACTTTCGAATTTCGGAAATCGCGTTGAGGGATGGGGGCGTGACCTATCGCCCGGTCTTCGCTGAATCACCAGCCTCGCCCTTCATTCACTGGGAGTTGGGACTGTTCCCCCAGATCAGGAATGACTGACGCTTTTTGATTTCAGCGGCGGCCAATAGTGGACATGACTAACCGTCTTTGAGCGCGCATTCATCAGACCGGGTCTGGTAATGTTTGGTATCCTAACCCCATCTGACAGCTCTTGTTTATAACATAGGTCTTTACAGAATGTTGTGGGGATCTGCGGCATCTTTCGCAACAAACCTCTTCATTAATCGACTGTTCGCATGCAAATTCCTTTTCGTATCGAGGTCATCGCTGCATAGGTAATCTATTTAGGATCATCCTGCTGGGCGGAGAAAACAAGCCGCTCTTTTCTTAACCCACCAGTCTCGATCCGTTTTTGACTAGCTGCTATTTTATGTCGCGGAGATCACCTTGCGCTTTTTTATGATCGAAAAATTTGTGTTCCGTTCTGTTCGCACTGACGTTGGAAAAAAGAAGAAGCGATTAACCTCGATTTTTGTACTAGAGTAAGTGGTCGCCACATCCTCTTCGCTTCCACCTTCTGTAGATGCTGCAGGTAGAAGCGAGAGATTCTGTATGTCTTCTGAATGAAGGAAGCGCAAGCATTTTGAGCGAACTTTTCAAAAGACTTGAATGGAGGAACGAGCGCACTCAAAGTTCACCTTACAGTGACCGCGAACGTTGCGCACTTTGAGGTCAGTCGCCGCTGTCGTTCCACAATTCATTTTTGCGTCGGACGGAGGGAAAAGCGAATGTTTTTTGTGTTGCCACGTCCGCACTTTCTGATGCAAAGATCGAGAGCGGCGACACCGTTCCCTTCTTGTATTTTTAAGGCAACGCTTCAGTTTTTTAAGCGACGTTTGCTTGCATTTTTTGAATCTTTTTCATCCTTTTGCAGTCTTTCATCACGTTCTCTTCCTGGCTACATTCTTGGGAAATGACGCTGCTTTTTCTTACGTTCCAGATTCTCGCCCTATCTGAGTCGAAACTGCACCCCTCTGATCACTGATAACTGTATCTTTTCCGCCTTCGGAATGCTAAAGTCCTCCTCTCTTCTCAGAGGACGCGCTGCTTCCTTAGCCTTCGCTCTTCGCGAATATTCCGTCTTCACCTTTCCGAAACGGCGGGATGTCCAGGGCGATCGAGTTGCTGACTCATTGACCGTCGAAGTTTGGCTGTTCGAAAGCTTCAATTTTATGAAACGTATCATTTTATTGCCTAAATTATATTGTAAAGTTTTTTTTTCAAAAAGAAGACGGATTTTTTTCGAGTGTTATATAAAAATAATTAATTTTTCGTCCAAAAGAAGATTTTTGTCTGTTTTTTCTAAAATTGTTTTTCTCATATTTGCAAATGAATTTTCTCGCGAAATCATCGGTTTCTGGCATAATGCACTTAAAAATAAATAAATTTACACATAGTCCGATCAGAACAGCCAACGCAATGGATTATTTCAGAAAATGGGAAAGGAACGAGCACATTTCGCTCGATGATTCATCCGTTCTTGCTTTTTGGCCATTTCGAAAGTTATTTTTGTTCAAGATATTGTTATAGTCGCGTTGTGTAAAATGTTTCCCGTGTTTTAATTGACTTCTGATTCTAATTTTGCTCATTCTTGCAGGTTGACACACCCTTTTGGCCTAGCCGAAACTCAAAGACAAAATGTGTGACGAAGAAGTAGCCGCTTTGGTCGTAGACAATGGATCCGGTATGTGCAAGGCCGGTTTCGCCGGAGACGATGCCCCACGTGCCGTCTTCCCATCCATCGTCGGAAGACCCCGTCATCAAGGTGTCATGGTCGGTATGGGACAGAAGGACTCGTACGTCGGAGACGAAGCCCAATCCAAGAGAGGTATCCTCACCTTGAAGTACCCCATTGAGCACGGTATCGTCACCAACTGGGACGATATGGAGAAGATCTGGCACCACACCTTCTACAACGAACTCCGTGTTGCCCCAGAAGAGCACCCAGTCCTCTTGACCGAAGCCCCACTCAACCCCAAGGCCAACAGAGAAAAGATGACCCAGATCATGTTCGAGACCTTCAACACCCCAGCCATGTACGTTGCCATCCAAGCCGTACTCTCCTTGTACGCTTCCGGTCGTACCACTGGTGTCGTCCTCGACTCCGGAGATGGTGAGTGATTTTAAAATGTCATTTTTAATTTAAATTTTTTGACTAAACTTGTATTTTTTTTGGCATAATTATGTTTCTTTGATTCTATGTTAACTTATGGTATGTTGTTGTAGGTGTCACCCACACCGTCCCAATCTACGAGGGTTACGCTCTCCCCCACGCCATCCTCCGTTTGGACTTGGCTGGCCGTGACTTGACTGACTACTTGATGAAGATCCTCACCGAGCGTGGTTACTCTTTCACTACCACCGCTGAGCGTGAAATCGTCCGTGACATCAAGGAGAAGCTCTGCTACGTCGCCTTGGACTTCGAGCAAGAGATGGCCACCGCCGCCTCTTCCTCCTCCTTGGAGAAGTCCTACGAACTTCCTGACGGTCAAGTCATCACCGTCGGTAACGAACGTTTCCGTTGCCCAGAGGCCCTCTTCCAACCTTCCTTCTTGGGTATGGAATCCGCTGGTATCCACGAAACCTCTTACAACTCCATCATGAAGTGTGACATTGATATCCGTAAGGACTTGTACGCCAACACCGTCCTCTCCGGAGGTACCACCATGTACCCAGGTATTGCTGACCGTATGCAAAAGGAAATCACCGCCCTTGCCCCATCCACCATGAAGATCAAGATCATCGCCCCACCAGAGCGCAAATACTCCGTATGGATCGGTGGTTCTATCTTGGCCTCCCTCTCCACCTTCCAACAGGTAATTCTTGTTTATATTAACATATGTAATAATGTTATTTTAAATTTACTTATATATGTGACTGTAATTGAACATTATCTTACTCTACTCGTTACAGATGTGGATCTCCAAGCAAGAATACGACGAATCCGGCCCATCAATCGTCCACCGCAAATGTTTCTAAGCTGGAAGAACCCCTTTCTATCGAATGCCCAAAAAACCATCGCCTTTTTGCTATACTTTGTCATTCATTAAACAAAAATGTAACATCTGTTGTTTGTTCTTCATCACGTACAAATCGGCAGAAGCCACAATTCTCAGTTTGGTGTTGTTCTTTTCCCCCTACTTCTACCAAAGAACCTACCATCGTGTCAATGTTTCTGTTATCACCTTGTAACGAACACGTTGGCTTTTACTTATCCATCTATATTAATAGCATTGTGTCCTCATTTTGAAACTTGGATTGTTTTTTACGAGCAAAGAAAACAAAATAACAAACTTTCGCTGAATTGATTCGGAGTTGGGAGCGGGCGGGGTAAAATATGAATTTTGGGAGAGGGTTAAGTGGAATATTGGAAGTTTGAATGATAAAATACGATGAATTAGGTTCTGGCAAAATTAGAGTAAATCTTGGCAATGTATGACAAGATATTACTAAAAGTTGAGCTGCAAACTTTTTGGCTAGACTAGTGAGCTGTAGAGATTGATAAAGGTTAAACTATGCGCATAATAGTGAACAAAGTATTGGTGGACAGAAGATGCATTCAAATTATGTAGATAGTGGAAATTATCCATGCAACTTCAATTTGAAAGAATTGAGATTGACCAAGTAAGTGAATAATTTATTTAAAATCTTTTTATGCCAAGGTAGCGGGAGAGTGATACAATCTATTATTAGAGCTTTGAGAAACGAAGCTTGCGAGTTTAAAAGACAAAATAATAGTAAATTACAAAATATTTTTGCAAAAGTGGTTTATGTAAACAAAAAATGGAACAAAATGCCAAAAAATAAAAAAATCAACTCAAAACACACGTTTGTTTACTAAAAACAATTAAAATTGTGTTTTTTTTTAAATTGAATGTTCTTATCGATAATTTTTGGATAAAAAAAGAGGTTCATCTAAAAATGGATAATCTAACACATTACCTTTATTAAAATCACTGCGTTGCACTATGTAGATCAATAAAAGATATAATAATCTTTTCTGACCACATGGGCTTAATTCGGTCGTATAAAACATCTCGAACTTCAGCTGGCTTAAAAAACCTAGACATATAAAAGACCTAATCATTGCAACTCATTATCCAGATCAAGCAGTCATAACTTGGCCATAAATAACGTTTGTTTGGCCTGTTTTGCTGCTGCCTTCGGGCGAACTGATGAAGACGGATGTAAATCAGGGATGTTCGTGTAAACACGGAGTTATATCAAAGGATTGCCACCTCATTGGACAGCTGCCCACCCAATTCAAGGTAATTTTTTTCGATAGCCTAATAAATTTTGAGACCGGCGGCAAAAGTTTTCGACCAATTCATTCAACACAATGGGATTGGCGCCTCGAGTCAGATTGCGATGAACCCTGTCCACGGTGAGTGTAACAAAAGATACTGGTGTTAATGTAAAAATATAGAAAGTACCTTTCTTTTTTGTTGTTTGACTTTATTTAGTAATTGATTACTTTTAGTTCTACTAACCTTGGTCTTCCACTATGTTAACTCTAACATGTACGCGTCTCAGTTGTACGAAGACTTACTGTACTACTACAATAGAAGTGTCAGACCAGTAAGGAACACGTCAGAGCCTTTGAGAGTAAAATTTGGAGCGTCGTTAATCAGGATCATCGATGTTGTAGGCCATTTCGTAAACAATTTAAACTATCTTTTATTACTTCTAACAAAACGACTGTTACAGGACGAAGTAAACCAAGTGTTAACAACAAGTTTGTGGCTAGAGATGCAATGGTACGACTACAAGTTGGTATGGGATCCAGCCAAGTTTGGCGGGATCAAGAAGATTCACATTCCGTCGGATCAGATCTGGATTCCAGATGTTATACTCTACAATAATGCTGACGGTGAACCTCATGTTTCAGTGACCAGTGATGCCATTGTATATTACACTGGACTGGTTGTATGGAAACCTCCGAGTATCTACAAGTCATTTTGTCCAATTGACATTGAGTACTTTCCTTATGACCAACAACATTGTGAGATGAAGTTCGGAGGATGGTCGTATCATGGGTTCTTGATGGATGTCATGCAGCTTACTGTAAGTTGTTTCGTGGTAAACTACGTTTTGTATAAGACGGACATGAAAGATGCCAAACAACAGGCGATTGATGACGATAATAGGATCATTATTAAATTGCCACAGAAAATAATATACTTGTAGGAGCACCCAGAAGACATCAAGAATCAGCTGGACCGTAAGGGGAAACATTGTCAGTTTTTGGAGCAAGGAATGGATTTGTCATCGTATTACATGTATGTCTGTCGCATTTAAATATTGTCGTATTTTAGGAGTAATGAATGGGATTTACTAGAAGTGTCAAGTGCAAGACATGAAGAACTTTATCCAGGTTGTTGTGGTCCAGACTACTATATTGACATTACTTTCCACATTACTATACGAAGGAAGACATTGTTTTACACTGTCAATCTGGTGCTTCCTTGTGCTATGATTGGTACGAAAACTGCCGCATTCAGTATATGATCGTATTTCAGCTTTCCTCACCATCTTCGTATTCTACATTCCTGCCATCGAACACAAAATCACCCACTCCATCTCCGTACTTGTTACCTTGACTGTGTTCTACCTTGTCTTGATCGAACTGATACCTCCTACTTCCTTAGTCATCCCTCTTATTGGCCAATATATTCTGTTCACCATGTTTTTGGTATCGTTTTCGATCATCTTATCAGTAATCACTGTCAATTGGTACCGAAGAGATGGCACTTTACATACGATGAGTCCATGGCTATACGTACTGTTTGTCAGGTATTTACCATGGTTATTGAGAATGGAAAAGCCAGAAGAAGACGAAGATCACAGCGAGGAAGGGAGCTTGAGCGACGTGTCTATATCAGGTAAGGAGTGTCATATAGCTTCCAAAGTAGCACTATATATGATTATGGTAGTGTAAAGCAATATTATATTCATAACATAAACAGATGATTAATGATGCCATTTCAGACTTGTACAACGCTGACAGTCCGGACAATCCATTTTTTGAAAACATCACTCAAATGGCTGAAACGGAATTGAGATTGTCGCAGCTGGCGCAACTGCGTGGAATGCACCCAGATACGATACGAAGAATGGTAGACAACGTCAACTTCATCGCGAACTACTACAAGGATAAACAGAAGAAGGATAAGGTAAGTGAAATAAACATAAACTATTGACCTGGTCGAAAAGAGAGTATGTGTACTCAAAATGTCGCTTTTCATATTTTCTATTTACTTTTTGGCGCAACCACCAAATAATAAAATATTGTAAAACTTCAGATCAGTGACATGTGGTGCTTTGTGGCCATGGTAATGGATCAACTAATGCTATACATCTTCACAGTCGTCTTCATTCTCGGAACCTTACTCATCATTGCTCGCTCTCCCTACCTCGCCGAATCCATATCACCATTGGGCGTTCAGCTGGCTACAAAACCCCTAAGTGGAGACACGATCGAGTTCGCCCTCAAAGACAGCAACTTCACTTATTCAAACTTTAATTTTCAGTAATTTCAAGCTCTCAAAGTCACTTTTTTGCCTCAACGTCAGCTGCCAAATCGGCCCGAGGGTCTTATAGAATTATTCTAAAGAGTCCATAAAATATTTACGTTCTACTTTTAATGCCCGGATATGACACATCTTCTTTTATGTGAGTTTGATCTTTATTATACAATAATTTTATCTCTTTGGTCAAAAATTATCTAGAAATCACTTTTTTTAATATAATGTGCTGATATTGCAATCGCCAGCTCAATTCCAAAAACACTTTTTTTTTCAGAAAAACTTGGATATTCTTTTTTCCATATTTTTAAAGGAATAATATTGTAAATGTTTTTCAGTAATTTTAAGTGCACTGGTAGTGTCTGTTCAAATGAGCAAACATGCCGACCAGTTGTACGAAGACCTTATGTATAGTTACAATAAAAGCGTGCGACCAGTCAGAAACACAAGTCAACCGGTTGTGGTTCAATTTGGAGCTTCTTTAATCAGAATTATTGACGTCGTAAGTCTAATTTAATCAATTTCATCGTTTGAAAAAGTAAATCCACCAAAACATTTACAAAGTAAAAAAAAACTTGTACCACGTTTATGACAGTTAACACCAATCAACAACTTGGACAACATATTTATTCATTTACAATCAACAAAAATAAGAATCTGCAAAGCTACAACAGACAAAATAATAATTACTTAGTAAACTACTCTAGATACGGATAAAGTTGGCGGAACGGGGTTTAGAGTTGAACGAGCGACCGGTGGGAGCGCAGTTGCCGTAAGAGCGGTAGTTGGGACGAGTGTTCATGTAGCGGTTTTGGCTCATACGACGTTGATATTGGTTTTGGTTGCGAACCGCGTTGGGGCCGAAAGTTTCTTGGTTGGTCTGGCGTTCCTTTCTCCAGTTAGGGCGGTTGTACTTGCTAAAAAGTTTTTTTTAAGCCTTTGCTTCACGCTAATATCTAAAAACACCAAAAGAAAGTGAACTTCGTCATGTTATAACTACAATAAACTTACCCTTCAGACTTTTCCAAAGCTTCGCAAGAGATCTCGTCGAAGAACTTGTCCTTGTTGTAGTAGGTCTTGTCCTCTTGTTCCTCGCTGGCCTTCTCAGGTTCTTCTACAATGTTCTCAAGCTCCTTCTTCTCTAAAACAACAAAGTCAGGCTATATTAATACTAAACTTCATACACCTATATAATTCCCGGAAAACAACAATAACAACTCTTACCTTCTTCACCCTCCTTCTTGGTCTCCTCGGACGAGCTGTTCAACGACTTTTCGAATTGTTCATTGGCCTTGACGAAGTCGTAGTCGCTGTCAAACTGGAGCTTCTCCTTGGCGGGAACATGAAGAGATTGGGGACGGTTGTAGTTGTGGTATCCACCATTGTTGAAGTTGTGGCGATGACGTTGGTTGCTGTTGTTGAAGTAGCCTCTGTCGCCACGCTCTTGATGGTTGGACATGTTGTTAGTTGGGCGAGAAGACTTGGCCATGGATACGATAGCGGGATCGAAAGAAGTCAGCTCGGAGGGGCTGATGTCCTCCATGACTACGAGATCCTTGATGTCGGTAGCCTTGAAAATGACATATTCAAAGACTTCTTCGCGAGCCTTCACTTGTCGAGGAGCGGGACGGTCTTCGGTTCCAAAGGAGCGAACTAAAAAACAAAATTAACATTATATTCGCTGTGAAACTTCGGTCATAATTTAGAACAACTATAACAATATCGTCTTTCTTATCCTTCAAAGAATAAAACCCCAAATTTCAAAAAAACCTTCAAATAGTAAACAGAATCCAAAATAACTTACCCTTGGACAAAGAAATAGTTGATGCCTGACTGTCAACGGCAAACAGAGTTCCTTCATAGCGGATTTCCGACTTGGAGATCAAATTGATTCTACTGCCGAGGTACGGCGATTTCGCGGCCATTTTCAAACTGAAAATATCAAGCTATGATCAATTATAACAAGAAAAAAGTATAAAACAACATTATAACGGAAATGACGCCGTAAAATCAGGAAAAATATGAAACTAGAATTTTGAAGCGAAACTCACAATAATATACCAAAAAAGCCTATATCAACGTAACACAGGCAAAAGAATGTAAAAAATTAATGTAAATCAACCTCGAATCAAAAAACACTTTCAATTTCCAAAATTCGACAAGATTTCGTCAAAGAAAAATAAAGCCGAGGTGCTGGAGGCAAATGTTGTCACCAAAAAACAGGATCCCACCAAATACTTTTCGTGGTGGGACCAATTTCTCGCGCGATTTCAAGCTTCAAATTTCAGGACGAAGTGAACCAGGTTTTAACGACGAATTTGTGGCTTGAGATGCGATGGTATGATTATAAATTATTATGGGATCCATCAAAGTTCGATAATTTAAAGAAAATTCACATTCCTTCAGATCAGATTTGGATACCTGACATTTTATTGTACAACAAGTAAGGAAGCTAAAGTCATTATTAGTCAAAGTGATGAAAAGCATTAACGCTTTTAGCTTTGTGACCTTAAATTAAAATTATATTTTCATTATGAATGAAATAATTATAGTGCAGACGGAGAACCCCATATATCGGTAACAAGTGATGCCATCGTATATTACACTGGATTAGTGGTATGGAAACCACCAAGTATTTACAAGTCGTTTTGTCAAATCGACATTGAATACTTTCCCTATGATAAGCAAAGCTGTTCAATGAAGTTTGGAGGTTGGTCGTACAATGGTTTCTTATTGAACATGGTTCAGCTTACTGTAAGCTGGCATTTTAAGTTTCTAATTGTCACTACATTATAAGTATGCTAGGCAATCAATACAAAAGTATTTTGCAGTTGAGTAAAAATATGTTTCTTTACAGAGTGACGCAAGTTTGATAGAAACAAGGTACGACGAAGAAGGGAAGGAGTACCAGTTTGTGGAGCGAGGAATGGACTTGTCTTACTTTCATCCGTAGGTGTAGCAATGACTTTACATTGCAAAGATATTCAGTATTAACGTTCATAAAAGGTGCCATATTGTCACATATAAACATATATTATATTAATATTGTTGTATACTATTTTACTACCGAAAATCTTGTTTTAGAAGTCTCGAATGGGATCTGCTAACTTTACACAGTAAACGTCATGAACAGTTGTATCCAGGTTGTTGTGGACAAGAGTTTTACATTGACATAACATACGAAATCAGCTTGCGGAGGAAGACTTTGTTTTACACAGTAAATCTGGTTACTCCATGTGCTTTGATCGGTAAGAAAACCACTCATAGTCTATACTGATGCATCTATTGCATTTTAATGCTGATATTGCACTGTTACGCAGTAAACTAGACGTCTTATTACAACTTTAATTTCAGCTTGGCTGACAGTATTTGTATTTTACATTCCTGCCATCGAACACAAGATCACCCACTCCATCTCCGTGTTGGTTACCTTAACTGTGTTTTACTTGGTATTGATCGAACTGATACCTCCTACTTCATTAGTCATTCCTCTTATTGGCCAGTATATTCTGTTTACCATGTTCTTGGTATCATTTTCGATTATCATCTCGGTAGTTACGGTAAACTGGTACCGAAGGGATGGGTCGCTTCACAAAATGCCAGATTGGATGTATATCGTCTTTGTCAAGGTGTTACCTAAAATATTGTTTATGGAGCCTCCAGAAGACGACGACGATGAACAGCGGTCTACAGAAGGCAGTGTATCAGGTATGGTAACGAATACACTTATCAATATATTGTGCTCTACTAAAAAATTACTTTTCTTTTACTTCAAAAAAATTATTTGATCGTAAAATACGAAGATTAAAGAGTTTATTATATATGTTTAATACAGATTGTCAATCTCCACCCAGCATGGGATCACGGAGACCCAGCCCTTACTTGATATCTGTTACCGACACGGAGTTACGGCTATCTGAATTGGCACAACGGAGAGGAATGCATCCGGATATCATTAGACGAATGATAGATAACATAAGTTTCATCGAGAATTACTATAGAAACAAACAAAAGAAGGACAAAGTAAGTATTAATACTTGTTTTGGGCCAAGTTTGTACTATATACTAAAAAATTGTTTTATTTATACCTAAACATACAAGCAATCTTTAGATCAGCGACTTGTGGTGTTACGTAGCCATGGTGACGGACAGGTTTATGCTGATCACCTTCAGTATGTTATTCATAGCCGGTTCGGTATTGATTTTGGGCCGTTCACCCTACATGTTAGACACTACATCACCATTAAGTATACAGATAGCTACACAACCATTAAGCGGAGATACGTTAATATGGGACGGGAATCTGATGGTCAACGATTCGGGAATGGTTTAGTTAATTTTATGAAAATACTGTTTAACGCTTTGTTATATCCATTAATTCATTCGTGGTTATTCTAATATGCAAAAGAATTAATGGATCAAGTTAATATAAAAAATTAGTATTACGTGCCACATAAAAGTAATACACTGTGTATTCAATAGGGACAAAATAAATATTCAAAAATTTGTAGTCTTTACTCCCTGATTATATCCTTCACATAAAACAACAATGGAATTCTTGGTTAATGAAACAACAACGAACGAACATCAGCTTGAATTTGAAAATTGCAAAAAATACCGAAATGCGATCATTAGGTGGCCATTACAATACTATCTCGGTCAAAAAGTTCCTCGAGTTTTCCTAATTCTGAAATTTCTGTCTCCATTTCAAATGTTGTATACACATTTTGACCAATCTAGTACTGCAACACCCAACATTAACTTCTGGGCACAATGGCAAAGGCAGAAATGTCAAATGGCTATAGCAAAAGTTAGTAGATAAGATTCGTACAACAATATAAAAGACTACAAACTCAAATTGGCACAATATAAACAGAAAATGTTGCTGAATCTTACACTGACTCACTCCGCGAGGTTCAGTAACTATACCATCAATATTGTGGTATAATCATATAACCAATATTTGGAGCAATCTTACCATAAATACAGGCAAAATACGGTCTATTGTCGCAGTATAGCTATACCACCAATATATTGACAATATTAGCTCTCGGCCGCTTCCAGCTTTGGGGCTTTACTATTGACCGGTGATGGGTCAGCTAGCGTCCTCTTTATACTTCTTTCTTGTGGCCCGGGCGAAGTGTACACTATCTCCTCATTTACATATCCATTTCCTAGTTGAAACCGATTTCGTGGTACACTTGATAGTTGTCGTTGACGATCCGTATCTTGTGGTGTTACTACTCGGACGAAATGATTCCCTGCGACTAGCATCTTTCGACCGGTCGGGGCGTTTTGTCCCGGAATCAGCCGCACACTCGACTAAAATATAATATGAAAAACGTTAAATAAATGGATGCAACAGCAATGGAAAACATAAACCGGATCAAAAACTTTCTGGTCAATATCAAACAAACATTTCTATACTTGAAAATATTTTTAAGATAATAGTTTTATGCCTCAAAATGTAATATTAAAATAACAATAACTTACCGATGCTCCACTTGGTGCTTGACTTCTATAAATTGGCCCAGGTTGCCGTCGTAAAGGTCCTAAAGATGTGCCAGAATTTGGAAAAATGACTTTTTTCAAAACTGGGTTCTTCGATTGTACTGAGGTTGACGTTAGAGACGTTGAAACAGCTAAAAACGAACATTGAAACTACTATGAACTTAATAACTTGCTACAATATCGTCTTTAAGCTTTAATTTCTATAAACAAGAACAATATACAAAAAATACTACAATATACTCAAAAAATACATCATTTTAAGAAGTGATAGAAAAGAATAAATAAAAGCTTAACTTACTATGGCTTGACGTAGGCAAAGAAGATCCCAATGAAATGTGTGATCCATTTGATGTCACACTATTGTCATGAGAATTCTGATTCTGCGTCCCACTTGTAGAAGGCTTCTGATCAATATGGCTGAGCGAAGAAGGCACTGAAGTTGTCGCTAACGAGCTTTTCGAGGTAGTGGGATTTAAAGACAAAACAGACTGCTGAAGATAGGGATCTGTTTGAGAAACCGGCTTCAGCACCGTCCTTCCACCAGTTAATGTGGTACCACCTGGCTCTATACCCATTTGTAACGTTCGTCGTTTTATATCAGTTCGAATCATTTTCCTAAAAACCAATAATAATAAAATAAAGGCTAAACTTACTTAGATCTCGTCGAAAGCGATCCGGAAACATTGTCCAACTCATTGGCAAACCTTGTTATAGCGTCCCTGAGGTTTTCAATGTCTTTTTCCGTCCATCGACTGAAATTAAACACTGTAATAGATCAAAACAAAACGGAAAAAGTCTAGACGGTTTGCTAAAATATTTTAAGTTTAATAACAGTAAGGTGTCTTCACTCACTTTTCTTCGTGGTCCACGTTAACTGCGTTAAGTTTCACCGTCAGATCTCCTAGCTTTTGAAAAGCATGGCCAGCAGTTAGAAATAGTTCGGCAATCTAAAACAATGTTGTTAAAACATTCTTCCTCTAAATTCATAACAACATTATCTATCTTCAAGATCTCTTACTTTAGCTGAAAATGCATTGTTTTGAGGATTGGGCCTTATAGAGGTAGAGGACGGATGATGAAACGCTGAGGAAGTGTTAGAGGTTATGTTATCTTTATTATCGTCGGTATTATGCGCCATTTTCACTCGATTTTAGTACCCATTAACGGTGTTCGATCTGTAAGTATCCAAAAATGAAAAAAACTATAAATTTTAAATAAAATCACGCGCTAATTTGACATTTTAAAATTAAAAATAATTTAAATTGCTATAATAACATCAGTGACCGCCAAAGACGTATTACGCGCGTAAATCGGACTCCGATCAACACTCATGTGACGCCAAATAGTAGTCAGACGGCCGATTCGAAGCGGGGCTTTCTTTTCTTGCTTTTCCGATTTTTCGACAAAAAGTGTCAAGTGTTGCGGTTGGTTTGGGTTAAGTGTTACACTGTAAAATATTTTGTGGAAAAAAGCGAAATGTTGATCTTCATCTTGTTTTACACCTCTTTTTTGGGCGATACCTGTTGGGCTTGTATTGTTTAATGTTGTTTCATTGATTTAGATAGGTTTAGAAACATAATTAATTTATTTTTACTGAGTTATGGTTCTAGTTTTGGCAGTACTAGGGTCGTTTCAAGTTTGAAAATTATTTTTTTATTTACAATGCTTGTATTACAATTCCTAGCCTCTATATAAGTTTATGTCTTCCAATTTGATTATTTTTATTGTGTTTAATATAATATAATGTTTTTTCACATTATTTTATGTATTTTTCGGCTATAACAATATTATATCATGGTGACGTTTGATGCTTTTTGTTAGGAGGAAGCCGTGGACATGTTTCTGGTTTTTGTCGTTTGTTTAATGCATTATTTTATTTTTATTACACTGTGCTTACCTTGAGGGGGCTTTCTTCCAAACAATTTAATCAAAACATATTTTGTAAATAAAGTTTTACAAAAAACAAGGACTAATATGCAAGATCGATTAAATACCTCTCAAATTTGTGATTTATATAATAACTATTCCAAATATTACAATTTATGTAATCTTATCTTGAATTGTGCATACTTTGACACCAGTATTCTATGTAGTTTTTGACCAAGGGACTCGTTGTAGTTAGAAAACGTACATATGAACAATACTAGCAATTACCCATGATCATTGCAATAATCAGATTTATTAACTTAAATTAATGGTAGTGAACAATGAGATTATGTTTTTGAGCAATTTGAAAATGGACCGGTATTAGTTAGGATCACAAGTTGTGAACCAGTAAGGATTGTCCTTGTCAATAAGGTGTTGTCCTTGCTGTTTCACAAGTAAGTGCTCTCCTTGTTGGTGTCGCCGTTCAGGAGGCTGTCCGACTCGTCGCTGATGTCGTCCTCGCCGCTGGCCAAGTGAATGTCGACGGTTTCCTGTTCTTTGTGTTGATTTGTCGTGCCTTCCAACGTGCTACTTCGCTTAATTGAGGAAATTCCCATTGCCATGCTCGGGGGTGGCGCGTTCTTGCCGTCTGCATGTTTGGTTTGAGGTCTCCTGATAAAGGAGCGCAGTTTCTCGCGATTTGTGTAATAAGCCTGAAAGTGAAGTTAAGATTTTGAATGTGAATGTCAGGTGTAAAAGCAAGAACACGTTTTAAGAGGATTCAAGGATTTTTGACAAGAACCTGTTGAGTTCGTTACATAATATAAGCAGCCTTGTTTTGAAAATTCATGTTTTCTTACCTTAAAGCACGGAAACTTGAGCAAGAATGTAGCGCGATAGTCGGTTGAACACACGCAGAAGATGTAGAATTGAGCAGCATGGTTGGTGATCTCGAGAAGGTTGGCAATAGCTCTGAATATCTGATAGTCGACCCTTTTCTTGACGGTCTCGTTGATGAACAGCAAGTTGATGGCTGCTGGAATGTTGCATACGAAGAACATGGCCACGATGCCGCCCAGGATGTAGAGAAGGGTATCGTCACGCACTTGACTGTTTTGGTCTCGGTTCTTTAAGCGAGCAAACATTTGCTGTCGCTTTCGAAAGGCCATCATTATTTGAGCGTTGAGAACGGTGAGGACAATGATAGGAAGGAATCTCAAGAATGCTTCACGGCTCCATTTGTAAATCTGTAAATAAGGTTAGAGCAAGGAATAAAAAAACGGAAAATATCCTCATGATGTCACATATATAACATTGTTATTGTTGTACATCGAAAAATTAAGATAAGATGAAATACAATAATACACTACAGTATAATTCACATAATAGTGCATAGCAAAATAATAATTTAATTATAGGTTTTAATACTCGAAATAATGAATTAAACTCACTTTCCAGTACATTGTCTTGGACACTTCACTGTCGCTTTGTATGTAGTTTATTGTACCGTCTGCCAATGTTTTGCTTTCTACCGTATACCTTCCAAAGGCATACGGTAGGTAGAACATGGCCGGTAACATGTAAGCTATACATATTGCTCTTCGTGCTCTTGATGGTGAATTCCATTGACGAAAGTGCATGGGAAACACAATAGAAACGTATCTCTCTAAACTTAAGGCAACGACGATGAAGACTCCCGTAGCTAGCGCCCAATTAATAAACGATAAGATGATATGCGACTGGTAGAATCCATACCAAAGGTAGCGATTCAATGGATAACCATTATATACTAGCACTTCGCATGATACGAAGGACAGTACAAATAACATGCATAGTAGGTCTGCTATCGCTAGTGCTCGTAGGTACATGTAGGATACAGCGCGTAGTTTTCGACTGGCTAATGTTATGACATTCATAACATTGCCAATAATCCCAACAACACAGATGATGGGTAGTATATAACAGTAGGCGACGACTGTAAGCCTGACATCTAGTGGTAGCTGTTTAATGGAAGGTACGATGATGGGCGTCTCTGTGGAGTGTAGAATCGAGACTCCAGCAGACGAGCTGTTCATTGAGTCTTCTGAAATTGAAACAGTTTAAGGCGTCGATGGAAAGAGTATTTAGGGATTGAAGTGTTTGACATTGAAAGTATAAGAACTAAGAAGGCTGTAGAAGTTAGGACAATGTTGATTTAATAAGAGGTTAGAATTTAATCAAGGTTTCAATATTAAGACTGTTTTGTCAGCAAGATCCGAAAGATAAGGCCAGTTAACTCAAAAAACTCGAAAATAAAGTTGAGACAAGACCAGACGCGGACAGCACGGCCCCACCACCCCCGTTCTACTGTACTGAATCGACTTGAGTTCGAGTCGTCGCTACTGAGATGTCGTGCACAAGAAAACGGCACAGATCCGGTTCTTTTTTTCCAGATTCTGGGGGCTTTTTGCAGCGTCATTGGGCCTTATTTTCAGCACGACAAACAGCATGCGCTTCCTTCGTTTTTATGCACTCGGAACAGGCCTAGACTGGGCGGCGGTCGGGCTGGGGGTCCCACAGGGGCGATCACAGCACCAATAGCACACATTTGCGGGTTTTAAACCGGGATCGTGTGCGGCTTCTTTCCGGGCCGGAAAAGTTTGCCCCGGGCTCGTTAGCGTGATATCCATGCCATCCGTGAGATTCATGCAATCTTTTGTGACTTTTCCCTGTAATCTTTGATTCCCCACAACAATATCCACCAATTAGCGAAACAATAACCGTCGACAACGTTTTTCAGGGAAATGGCAGAGGACGACGATGTGGGACTGCCCCAGAAGGGCCTGAACATGATCATCAAAGACGTTCTTCCTGAGGTTCGCATAGCCAACGAGTCGCGCGAACTGCTCAACGCTTGTTGTGTCGAGTTTGTCAAGCATGTTGCCAGAGAAGCACAACGGATCTCGTCCGACGATCAACGCAAAACCATATATCACGAACATGTACAGAAAGGTAATTTTTCATGATAGGGTTATGGTAGAAGTGGTAATAAGGTTTGATATAGAGGGAGAAATTCTTAAAAAATATTTATAGAAAATAGGATAGGCAAGATTTTTTGAAAATAGTGAAATTTTAATAATTAGGAAAATCTATTCAACGACTTTTTTAGTTTTCATAACATATTACTAAGGATAACGAGTATAATATATAGGCTAAAGTTATGTAAGCACAAGACATTACTAAATATATTGTTGTAAGCCTAATATAACCTTGTTGATGCAAGGCCCCTTCTCTCCCAAATCTGTGAAAGCTCTTAAGAAAACGGCAACATAAAGTGACGTTCCTTTCTATTGCGCGCATTTTTAATATCAAATGGGCCTTAGTAACCTCGATTATAAAGTAATGGGAAAACTATACAATGCCGTTATCAACCGACCGGTAGCTTCCGAAATCCTATAAAGTTTGCCGAGTTTTACGACGTTCTTCCGGTAATAAGTTTCGAACTGAGGTCGCATTAACATAATGTATGCAAATGTTTGAATGCTTTAAGGGGGCGCCCCACCAAGTTTCATTAAAGGCATGGGTTTAAGGGGGTTTTGTGAGTGTAGCTAAAAATGCAACATTGTCTGAGGACGAAAATAGGGCAGAATTAAGTAAATAGTATTAATCCAGCTAAATTGAAATGATATTATACTAGGCTAATCTAAGGGTAAATTTTTGTGTCTAATAAAGGTAGCTTTAGTACCTATAACCCCTAATATACCTTAACTCAGTACCTTTTACGTAAGAATGCAACTTAAGCCAGCGAAAGTTGGGTAATGCCCTAAAGAGTAATTGTCGTACTATTTTCACGATGAGCTGAGTATTTGTGGCGGGATCGGTCCATCCGCTGGCGGGCCGCAGATTAGCGACGATTGGCTGCTGTCTTTCGCTCCTCGGGCCCTTGTCTCTGAATTTCCAAGGTTTTATTTGTTTTTTCTTTCAGCTCTCCAGAATTTGGGATTTCCTCTCGATTACATCGAAGCCGCCGACTCCGTCCTCGATGAATGCAAAATCGCGGCCGAAAAGCGGCTGAAGCGCAAGAACTCGAGACTGGACAAGTGTGGGATACCCGAGGAACAGCTATACCTGCTTCAACAAGAACTCATCGCTAAGGTAAGCAACTTTTTTTAATAATATGATTATTGAAGTTGTAAAAGATTTAATTTTCGACAAATTTACGTTAAAATTTGTTAAAAAATGATAATTTTAAGCAAAAAAGAGGGGAAAATAGCCAATTTGATGGAATATTTATAAATTTGGGAATTTTAAATTGAATTATTTTTGGAAATGTTTACTAGTTGGTCGGAAAATAAATAGAAGAGCAAGAGACAGGCAAGTTTGCAGATTATAACACCATTTTCGGCATAATAATAGGCGTTCTGAATAGTAAAACTTTAATAAAAAGGTCAAAAAATACGTAGAATGGTGTTATGCTGCTACTAGTTTTACTTTTACTTACTTTTTAACTTAATGCGCAATATAGAAATATAGGTACCATTTTGCCCCATTTTCACAAATTATCTCTTAGTATTTCAAAATTTGGAAAAGATGATTTTGAAAGATTGCTTACTATAGTGACAGTTAATTAGTATTGTTACGAAACGTATTACACGAAATTAATAGGGAAAAGAAAGTATTTTGCTCAATTTTCATGCAATTCGATAGGCGATGGTCAGCACAACAAAAATAAGAGCTAAGTACGGTGCTGCTCGTACTGGCTTTATCTTGCAGAATTGGTACATTAACAAACTCAGAGGTAGTTGTAAAGAAAAGGTTTTAAGTACAACATATCTTTGGAAATTTAACAATGTCAAAGTTATTTTATGTTGAAGGGGAGAAATGTAAATTTAGGTAACAGTAGTATGTTAACTAGGGCAAAACGTAAAGAGAAAAGCCAAAATGAGACGGAAAACTTGAAAAGATGGTTAGTCTAGGGATTTTCTGATTAGCAAGTAAAATCAAAGATATTTTGATAAAATCAGTACTGATATGGTACAACAAAGACCATCTTAACCAGTTCTTATATAAAAACTTCCTTTTTACATAAAAAACAACTGACATTCAACTACTTTGTCAGTAATCTCACTACTAGGGCTTCTTGTGTCATTTTCGTCAAAACAAAAACGAGATTTCTGAAACTTTGGAAATGACAAAGCTAATCGACTTACTCCATTCGTGCCGGTGAAACTCAATCAGATTGCTCATGCTATGACCGCGGGTACGAGTGTGGCCTGGAAATATATAAAAGTCTATATAAATGGCAGAATTTGAACGCGCTCGGTTAAATCTTGTTTTCGGCGGATACAAACTATTGTGTCGATGACAGGGATTTGTTTGGGGGGTGGTGGTCCCCCGTAAACAGAGTGCTTGCGATTGACAGCTTCGTGCTCCGCTAATCTGGGGCCCTTAACCTGACCATTGGCCAAATCGGGGCCCCCAAATGTTTTAAGAGCGGAGGAAGCAGCCGACTGCCAAAAACTCACTCAGCGCCGCCGGATTTGGATTTGAATTTTGGGAATGTCCTCACCAATTGCTTAATCCCAAAAGTTATGGGAACTTTTATCTTTACCCCAATAAGCGCAAGTCATTCCTTCCTTCGGCCGGGCGGCCGCTAACCCCCTGAGGTCTCAGTTTTCTGCTTGGTCGCATCCACAACAGTTTCACGTTGAGCGGCCCATGAGATTGACACAACTTGTATATAAGTTGTGTCAAATTCAGTGTAATCCATTAGTTCTTTCCAATTTCGTTTTTTGTTTGAAAAAGAGCGAAAGGACTAGCGGATCTAATGAGCAGGTTAGTTTTGTCATCATCAGTTTTATGTTGGTCTAAAAGTTTGTAGAAAAAGGTTGAATGGGTGAGAATTTGCATGTAGTCAGTGACATTAGGTACTTTCTATCCTGGTCAAAAAGTCAATAGAAAGTTGAAAAAAGGCGCGTTGAAGACAACTCTGCACTTTTAAATAAACAAACGGTCAAGAAGTACGTAGACGCGTAATTTGTGTCAATCTCAGCCAGTTTGTCATGGTTTGCCATCTGAAGCCCACCCTTGTTTGCCAAACTTTATATGCATTTTTAAGGGCGTTCAACGTTTAGCGACTCAAAAAGTTTAATTTTTTGCATTTGAAATACGGTAATATATGTTTTTTGTTCAGGCACGCAAGGAAGAGGCCGAAAAGCAAGCGGCCCAAGTTCCGGCTGGTGTTCCCACCTCCAGCTTCCAGTATGCCATGCCTCAAGCTGATTACCAACAACCGGTGATGGATCCAACCGCTTATCAACAACAATATCAACAGAACATGTACATGGCGCCGGTATCTTCGATGCAAAGCGTGTTACCACCACAGTATCAGCCGAACACCACGGACGATGACTATGACGCGTAGATGGCTCATGGTGAAGATGACTTTGTAATATATTTGAAAAGTTTAACTTTTTTTACTAATGTGTATAAGATGTGTGTTCTTGAGTTCAGAAGCATACTTTTATCTCTTAAGTTATAATGTAATGACTAGACATCTTACGTTTAATAATCAGTCACCCATAACTTACTCAGTGTACGCTTGTATAACATGCTATGTTAAGTTATTGTTGTTCTGATTCAGAATGCGCACAAAGAATGGTTGTGATTGTGTATAATTGTATTTATTGCGAGTAAATTTGTTTTCGAGAAATGTAAATTCGGTAACCTTTTAAGTATGCTTTATTGCTCTCGGCCGAAGCCCAACGAGGACGCGATAAAATAAATGGCAGTGTCATTTAAAAGGGCAGCTTCAATTAAATGCGAGAAGAGGAGCTGTGGATATGTTACACCTTCCGAACGACTAGATACAACTTTAGAGGTCTCTAATAAGCTCTGATCACAAAGTGCGTAGTTTCATGATATTAAGAAAGGGTAGTACTATGTTAAGAAAGATTAGTACTATCTAGTACAATATGTTGGGGTTGGAGGAGGTACTGCACGTTGGAGTCTTAAGTACAGTATGTTCATAAGGTACTGTAAGATGAGTTTTTACAATTTACAGTACTTTTATAGATGTAGATGGGTACAATTTGTTAAGTGAGTGGGAGTAGAATATTACAGTAGTCGTATCTAGTGAGCGATTTCTGTTATGAAGTAAAATATTGGAGTAAGATGACATTTTTTACGATAGCTGTAACTCCTCAGCAGAACGATTAGCTTTGCATCAGAAGATTGACCTTATTAGCGATAACAATAACAATTTGTATCTTGTCGATGTTATCCATCACTAAGGTCTTTAACCTTTCTTGATGATCTTGTTTACACCAACAACATGACGTTTAACGACTCATTCTGCCACACTGAAGCTCATCTTCATATTGTTCAAACATCGGTCGGAACTAAAGCGCCATGCCGGTCGTATTGCCTGAGGGCAGGATTTCGAATCGGTTTGTTTATAGCCGAGTAGGGCTCGCCGAGCTGAGCGTCAGGGGGTGGAGTCTGGGGACACTGCTCGATGTCAGCGATGATACTCACGCTGAGGATGAACTTCTCTTCCGGGTTGTACTTGCGACACAACTGGATCAGCGAGGGCTCTTTCCGTTGATGGACTAATTGCTGGATGGGGTAATAGAACAGCAGATTCTCCGGGTCTTCGTAGGCTAGCAGCGACTTCCAACCGTATTTTAGGTACATTTGAGCCGAGTGTGCAGACCTAAAAGATCAAATTTGAAGATCAACAAAATTTCTATGGACTTTTTGACCGAAAATTACTTCATATTACACATAATTCTCATAATATAAAGCTACTACACAAAAGACAGCAAAAGTAAAAACTTACAGTATCCTGATGTTAACGCTGCCCCGCCCTTCCTTTCTGTAGCCATCCCGAGCGATCTTGGACATGTGATACTGTGTTTCTGGATCGTTCCTGACCTTCACGATCACTTCTTTGCACAAGGTTGTGATTCTGGCGAAGGAACATCGCTCCTTGTGTCTGTCCCAATCGTCAGCACGACACATTCTGGAACAGTAGTACGTGTAGCAGTGTTTACAGCTGACGTAAGTGTTCCTGGCATGACTGATGTGCTTGGTACGGTCACACTTGCGGCATCGTACTATCAAGGGCTCGTTCTGAAATGTAATATGTATTGTCCTTGTCATAATAAAGGTTTTACTTGTTCTATTATATCATATGTCGATTTTATACATCTTTACTTACTGTAGATCATACTGTAACTTACCCTCAACAGATACTCGGCGTTGTGTGGGTCCTCAGCCAACTGATCCATCAGATTCTGATTGGGCGTGTAGATTCCAGGGCCATCGATATTCCTCGGGGGCGGATAGGCAGAGTAACTCGGGTCTGCTGGTATGTCGTTAGGGTTGGTATCTTGGAAGATAGCATCCAACACTTCTTCTATCGTGATTTTTCCTCCGAATCTGGCGTCGGCACGATCGGTTTGGCCTACGAACGTGTCCGCGACCTCGATGACACGAGAGTTGGGGTTTTGGTACAGATTCCAGCTTGATGGTACTGTCGATACAGTATACCCAGCCTGCACTTTGTCTCCCGTGCTTATCGTGCGCACGTTCGTTCGAGCATATTCCTATAGATATGGAGTTAGGCTACTTTCAGTTAAACTACCTTTATATAACAGAAAACTCATCAAAATTAAAGTCACTAACAACACTATATTAATATCAAATTGAAAGGTTAACTATATAATTATAACAAACCTCTCTGCTGTAGCCGGTGGCCGGGTCGTTATACGATACCTAAACAACACATTACTCATCTTGTCAATAGTAGTACACAAAACTAGTGGAATAGCACGGTACCAAACGAACAAAAACTCTGGGGTTTATTCGAAATAAAAGCACTGTACAACATAAATGGAAATGTGAACCAAGGGGATACAAAATAGTACGAGGGGAAAGTAGCACAACACAAAAAACAAAAGTCAGAGAAGTCACGCTACACCGTGCACGACATCAGTACATCACCGTGGTCTACTGTAGGACACAAGTTACAGTACGATGCAGCACGGTGTCTACAGCAAATTGTGATAGTACGATGTATAGCACCGCTACTACAACACACAGACCTTGGTGTGTTCGGCAGGCACTCCAGCTTGTTGTAGCGACGATCGTGACCTTCTCATGTCTTCAATCTCGTACTTGTACCGGTCAAACATGCCCGCAGGGAACGAGATACCTCCAACTGGTGATGTAGCACGAGCTGCACTGCTACTGGCTTGGTAGGTTTGGCTTGGTGAAGTCTCGAAATGTTGCCGAGAGTACGGTCGGCTACTGTAACCTAGGTCAGTAGGGGTGTGGGCAGGTAGCTGGGTACGAGTACTGTCTTGATACCACGATGGGGTGATACTAATGATCTTATCCATGGATTTACGGTATCTTTCGTATTCAGTGTAGTCTGTAGCCGGCAGACGAGCGGCGCTGTCGCGGTGAAGGCCGTCAGCGTTCTTCTGAAGCTCGTTTTCTGGTGCTAATGCGTCTTCACGGAGTCTACAACAATATTTATTAATTTTGATAGAGACTTTTGTAGTAAAACTATTTTCTAAACCTGTCTTTGACGTTATATCATGATTACAAGCTTTTTATCCTTGAAAAACCTACTTCTTGTCCATTAAATAGTCAGCGCTCTTGGAACGGAGATGTGAGGTTTCTGGCAATGTTTCGATGACTTCACGTCGACTCTGATGCTGAGTGTAGTCCAACACGGACTTGGAGCGACTCATGTCTTCGGCCTAAAGAAAGGGCAATCACAGAGGTAAGGGTACTGTAATATACAGAGGTAAGAGTACTGTAACAAAGCTAGTGGAAGAAGGAGAGGGAAAGAAAGCAGAAGCCAGAAGGAGTGTAACGCTGCTTACAGATTCGGGCTTCAGACGGTCAATGTTCGTCTCCAGAAGGCCGACCTTCGGATCAGTGGAAAGCAAAGTTGAGGTAGGGCCTAGTAAGGTCGAGGTTTGGCCTAGACTTGACAACAGATTGGAGTCTGGGCCTAGCAAACCCGTCTCCTGGCCTAGCCTAAGCGGGTCGGCGGACTGATGCAAGCGCTGCCTGTAGCTGGCTAGCTGTTTCTCGGTCTTCTCCAGCAGCCGATGGTATTCCTAACAGAGAAAGTAAGCAAAGCCAATGGGAGTCATGGTAATATTTATTTACAAAAGACGGACGGTGCTGTGCATTATATACGGTAATGGACTTGGATGGGGTAGTACGGTAGCAGATGTATAGTAAAGGGTATAAAATTTTTTTGGGTTATAAGTTTAACAGAAGAGGTAAAAGGCCTTTTAAAAGGCTTGACAAAATACAGGATACTGTACCTTTCCTCTACCGTACCACCCCTATTTACAATAATAAGCTAAACGAATTCACTTACATAGTCGTATGGACTCGGCCCTACTCGTGGGTACGGTGGTGGATTCTCGACCCGACTTCTCAGTTCTCCAGAATTAAACTTCTGAAGCAATGGACCACGGTACTCGACCTGTCGAGTCTCGTACTCTTGGCCACTGGGAATGTCGCTCAAGAAGTCTTGCTTGGCCTTTTCAATTCTGGCCTTGACTTTAGAAGATCGTGAGGAAGCTCCACGACCGTCGTCTCGTGAGGTATTGTTGATGTCATAGCGTCGCTCTCTAGGCGGATCGTCCTGAGTGTCATGGGAGGAGTGAGGGTATTGGGTAATGGGGTAGCTTCTGGTGTCTTCGCCCGACCACAGAGTACGATCTACACGTTCGATAATCTGGCGTTCCACTTTGGTCGTAACTTCTGGCTGAGAATCCAGAGCGCTGAGGTTTTCGCGTGAGTAATATGGCTGGCGGGTCAGTTTCTCGAGGGTTTCCTTTGAGGTTAAAGCTTGGCGACGTCGTTCCATGGCTTCGTGCTCTTCCAGAAGCTTTCTGCGTTCAATCTCCCACCGTTCCTTCTCCGTCTTTTCACGGTGAATCTGTTCCAGATGTTCGCGGCTTCTACGATCTTCAAGGCGACGTTGTTCTTCGCGAGCAGCAGCTTCGGCGCGCTCTTGATCACGGCGTTCAGCGTTGCGTCGTTCTTGATCAGCCAAATCTTTAAGTCGTTGTTCTTCGGCCAGGCTAAAATGTACAATTATGTTCAATAATCTCATGATTATGTATATCTCTAATCTCAATAACCCCCTACTTTTATAAAATCAATTCTCTGTCTAATAAACTCCTTACCGTTCAGCTTCACGTTGTTGTTGTTTAAATCTCTCCGCATCTTTGATCTCCCGAGCTTGTCGTTCCAATTCAGCTCGTCGTAGCTCAATCTCCCGCTCTTGTTGTCTTTGTCGTTCACGTTCAGCTGCCGTTCGTTCTAAAGGTGCCATGCGTTGCCTATCCATGGCTTCCTCCAACTGTCGTTGACGTTCACGTTCCTGAGCTTCTAATCGTTCGCGACGTCGCTTTTCGGCCGCCAACCGTTCTTCTTCTTGTCGTTGGCGTTCCCGCATTTCCTCTTCTAAACGTTCCTTTTCACGGCGTTCGTGATTCCGTCTCTGTTCTTCCAGGAACTCACGTTCTCGTCGTTCATCTTCTAACCTCTGTTGTTCACGCTTCTCGGCTTCCAACTTTTCGTTTTCCAATCCTACATTATTAAGTTTTATTTTTATTAAATTTTTTAAAAGAATTTAGACCCTGAGTTTCGCAAACGACTTCAGCAATTTCAAAAACGTTTCAGCTAACGAAAAAAAATTGGAGTTTCCGTTTCGAAACGAAAACATTCAAAGCTTTGGCATTCTGTTGATCAATAAAACAGGATTTTGTTATTTTTGGCGATTTTTAATTTTATTAAAAAAATATTTACGTACTTTCTTGATTCCTTCTCAAGTTCTCCAGCCTTTCCTTTTCTTCGAGTTCTTTCTGGATTCTGATTCTCTCACGTTCCTCGGCTTCAAGTCGAGCACGTTTCAACACTTCTCTATCGCGTGCTTCATCAGCTCGTCTTTGAGCTTCTCTCGCCTGTTCTTCGCGACGTTGTCGTTCACGTTCTTCTGCTTCTCTTCGAACTTTCTCCAGAAGTTCACGTTCTCGTCGTTCCAACTCGAGACGTTCTTTGGCTATTCTTTCGGCTTCTTGACGTTCTTTTTCAAGTCTTTCTTGTTCTTCACGTTGTCTTTGACGTTCCTGTTCTTCTTTTTCTCGCTGTTCTCTCTTGATCCTCTCGATTCTTTCTATCTCTAGCCTTTCAATTTCTCTGCGCTCTCTCTCAATCCGTTCTCTCTCGATGCGCTCTTTTTCGATCCTCTCGAATTCCAATCGTTCCCGTTCCAAACGTTCCTTCTCTATTCGTTCGGCTTCCAATCGTTCGCGTTCTAGCCGCTCGCGCTCCATCTGCTCAATGCGACGGCGCTTCTCGAGCTCGGATTCTTCGAGTAAGCGACGTTGTTCTTCCAAACGTTCCCATTCCTTGCGACGTCGTTGCTCTTCCTCTTCACGCAGAAGACGGTCACGTTCGATACGGTTCCGTTCGTTGGCTTCACGGGCCAAGATCTCTTGTTGGAATTGGTCCTCGATCTTCTCCCTTTCCCTTCGAAGTCTCTCTAGATGTTCTTGTTCCTTGATTTCCCAGATTCTTCGCTGTTCCTCAATGCGACGACGGCGTTCGTCCTCATCTTGTTTACGACGTTCTTGATCTTCTTTGATGCGCCGTTCTTCTTCCTCTACGTTTTTCAGGTATTTGATGCGATATTCCACCGTGACATCGTCTCGTGGTGGAGGTAACGAGGGCAGGGGCCTCAAATCGACCGGGGAGGATCTGTTCAGGGGTTGCGGAGCCGACAGGGCTTCGGTCGAGCGAGTTACAAGTGTTCGAGTGAGTACCTAAACAAACAGAATTACAGCCAAAGATGAGTTTATCGTTCACTTTTGTCGAGATTTAAAGGGAATTATATAACATTATTCTATAGATAAGCAATTTAAAAAAAATCGGCCTCCAGATGAATGGTTATTGATTGTAATGGAATATATGAATTGATCAAAATAATGTTAAAACAGCAAAAAATTAATTAAAATCCCTTCGTTTTTATAGTTTTGGCCTCCATAAAGCGAAGAATTTCTTAAAAATTAATTAAAGTCAAGGTTAAAAAGTGTCATAAAGGTTACTCATGAAGAAGGTTAGCTATAGGTTGACTGAACTATTTTTCAAAAAAATTATACAAGGTTATATTAAAAGCAATCAATTATAACATAAAATATGTTTTTCTCATCCTACTCTAATAAATATGTTTCCTTCTACTATAATATGCCCAAACAAAACAACTTACTTCTCGTCGATAATACTCCTCTTGCTGAGGCTGACCAGTGATAGGATCGAACTTGGTAGTAGTCCAATGAGTAGTGGTGCCACCTTGATTGTATGGTGCATATGTTGATCCTCCGCCAATGCTCGAGTTCGCCGTGACAGAAGGCCCAAAGGCACTGTGAGAACGATGAATCGGGATCTCGCGGACGGTGGCCCGGGAGCGGTTACGTTCAGACATTAATTCGTCGTCTGTACGATAGCCAGTACTGTCAGCATAACTCTGAAAGGATTACCATGAGAAAGAGAACTGTGTCAAGTGGACGTCGCTCAAGTAGAATGCCAACAGAATCGCGAAACATACGAAGAGCTCTCTACAACACACAACATACGATCCAGACAGAAGTATTACAGAGGGCATAATGTGTTTTACGATGAAGAATTAAGTTTTACAGTGAAAAAGGTACAAATGGCATATTATTATGACAAAAAATCATCATGACATCTTTTATGTAATCTAGAACTAGAGGCATACCAATTTAGCCAACCTCAATATAAAAGCGCCAGTACCCCGCTTCTGCTGGTTAAAAGTTGAAATTTGCATAAACTTTAGAACAAAGCCCTCATACCAACTGAAATCTAAAGCCAAAGAACATACGAGATATGCAACTAGAGAGATACGACAAGAGTGCGAAGACTGCGCAAATGACCGGTTAAAGGGACCCCAAGAAGACGCGCCCTCAGGTTATGAGTCAATGTTTGTCCCCATCTTCAAGCTCGGTTGATCAGCACAACATACGACGGCCTCAAAGAATGTGTGATGGGTCATGACATACGATGAGTTGTCATTAGGTTTAGAGTTACACGTTTGTTGTCTGGCATCACCTACTAGTGGATTGTAGTTAAGTTAGCGCTTAGTTTAGGCTATTAGAAAAAACTAAAGGTTTATTCTACACACTTTTTGACCGGAATAACACAAAACGACGATTTTTAAAAAAATAAGACAACAACACACTCAAAAACAAACTCAGATACGATGGCCCAAGACATACGACAACAATGTCGCCAATTAAATTCCGATCGATTAAGTTCGGAAAAACCAGTCGGCTGAGAAGCTACAGTCCGAGAAAGGAGAATCAGAATTAAACCCTCGCGTGAAACACTTAAGGAATCTGTCCCCCCCCCTTTTTTGACAATTCTTAAAGGCCGCCGGCTGAGTCAGCTGCCCTCAGGCACAGTTATTCACTCTGGAGCACAATGGTATGTTTTGTACACGACTGGTAGGATATAATCTGTTATACGACGTGAATATAACGTGTTATACAATGAGTGTCAGAGTGAATGTAACGTGTTATACATAGTGAAAGTATTTTTTATAGTGAATGTGAAGCTAAAGTGTGTTCTATAATATTACATTAGGAGCACAATAGAGATTCAGATGATTACAATACTGGTTTACATGGTAATAACGGTTGTTTGGATGGTTATATTGGTTTAAATAGTTTTGGAAAGACCTTTTGAATGTTGTATGCAGTAGTTTTTGCTACTTTTTACTCGACGGAAACCAATATTTTATTTTGTGTGTAAGAAAGATGTTACACATGCTTGCTGGAGACACAAAAAAGAATATTTTTGGACATGGTTAGTAGAATAGAGCTGGAAAATAAAATGTGGGTATATTTTTAGCCTCTCTATATAATTTTTGACCTTAAAGACTATTTACAAATTTTTAATCTAATACACGTAATATATAACATCACATGTTAATGTATAACACGCTCCTCTCTCTAATTCATCACAACTTGTTTCAAATCAATAAAAGTCCAAGAAAGCGACCAACAACAACATATTCAAATACAAATGTGTATCTAACACTTCCAAATTTCGACAAAACATTTAAATTCATTTCGAACCCCCAAATCCGGTCCATTTCGAATACGACCGGCGGCCATTTTATGCAAAACAGTCAAAACAAAGGGACTCGCTCTGCTCGTGGTAAGGTAAAGGTAGAGGGGGCTTAGCTCTCACGCACAAACACACTCTCGACACTACCCTCACTTACCTTAGGCGGTGGGGGCGGGGGCCGTTCGTTCGGCGGTTCGTCCATTATAATATTATCTGAAAGTGCACAAATGAGTAAATAACAACATGACCAGTTTGATATATTCAGTTTGGTCAGTTTTACACGTTTTTTTCGAACTGATTTAATAAAAAATGACAAAACATATTGTTTTCTAACATCAATATTTACACTTTACATTACAATGACCTTGTCATAGGTATCCAAGACCTTCTAAACCACTTTTGATGCCTATAAACCCAATTTGAAGAACCAAAAGCCTATATAAATAAAGTAATATACCTATTTTAGTAAAAACGGTTACTGTACGAAAGCCAATGTTAAAGTAATGTCATAAAAGAAGAGCATTTTCAGAGATTTCTGCTCGAAAAAGGCTCAAGGTTAAGATGCAAAAAATAAAGTAAACAAAAGTCGTAGTAAAGACTACTCTCGGAAGTTTAAAAAGTAAATATTAAAGGTTACACCAGGTAAATATTGTCAGTTTAAAAAGGGCACGGTATTTATAGAAATTTTAAAAATAACCAGTAGTTATGAATTTTCACAGTATCTTCATATTGTGCTACTAAATTAAAGTTTTAAAATTGAAAAATTAAAACAAAATAATATTTTAGGTAAAGATTAGTTATATAAATTATAAATCTCAACATTACCCTGAAAAACAAAGTAACCCCTACTATAACATAAAGCAAAACCCCAAAAGTAAACAATAATATTATACTACCCAAACATATTATCAGCAAAAGCAAAACGGTCTACAAAACGTTTCCTTGAAGAAGACCTATGATATGTTTGGGGGAGGAATGAGTTCGGAGAAACGTGTATTCACCTCCACCTGCCTCGGGGCGGCAAGAAACCGTAAAAGGAGAGAGAAGCGAAGGGAATGGTCAGTCGGCGGTGGGGCAGCTCAATCTCACAGATCCACACCCCCGGAAGCCTTGACTCAAGACCTTGACTCAAGCGAAGCGCTCGGAACGCCCCAATACCTAAATGGCAGGTGCTATGAGACGCGAGGAGAGGCCTCGGATTCTGACGTAAAAGGTGGAGAGATTCTGACTTTAAGAAAATGATAATTTCTAAATATTACAAGGCCTATCTCTTTTATGGTTAATGTAATCTTATGGTATGTGCACAGTCAGAGTTACAAGCCAAGAATATGCAAAAACAATATCAGGAAATGTAGGCCTTGAGAAAGAATGACCATCGCTCTCAGAATTCGCTTACTCAAGCGCCGTTTATGAGCCATTACTAACAGGCCTACTGTACTATAATTTAGGTGAATTCAATCTCGTGGCTACTCTCATATTATTAGTTTAACCGCGTCTATAGCAACCAAAACTAAAGTGTAATATCCTCAAAACGTCAAAATTTTAAATTTCTCACATCAAAGCTAGTTTCAAACTTGAAACACAATGCCGCCAAAATCAAGAAATTCAAATTTTAAACTCAAAATGTTTGGTTTTTTTGTCCTAAATTATGACATCATTTTGGTTTCGAATGTGACTATAAACTACTCAATATACCTTTTTAATATTATGTACTACATTAATTTTAAGTGTTTTAAATACCTTACTTCAAACTTTAGGATAATATAAACCCAAATCCAAGCCTTAACCTTACCATGGCTAGCCAACGAAGACCCAAAGACTGGCGGTGGTCTGAAAGAGCTTGAGTACGACGTCTTGACGTATGAATCCTTGAGGTACGGTTCTTCCAATGGCTTCGGCTCTTTGTTTTCCGAGTTTTCTGGATTCAAACTCTTCCACAGGAGAGGCGACTTCTCACCGTACCCATATACCATACTGGCCAGACGTTCCGGGCCACATCTGTGTTTGTTCTCTTGTTTCTTGGCTTCTGATTCTACTGATGTTGTTGTAGTAGGATCGGCGGCTGTCGAGGATTCTGGCTTTTGGGTCTCAGCTGGAGGCCCCGGCAGATCTTCTTCGTCGCTTTGATCTCTGAAGGGCTTGTTTATTGGTTTAGGCGACTTTATTGGGTGGGGTGATGTAGCATGAGGGTAAATCGAGTTTAATGCTAACTATATTACAAAGTTATATATATTGTACTACTTTAAGGTTTAGACTGTACTTATACTAAAATTGAGTCCAACAAAAGCCTTAAAAGTCTCTTCCTTTTAACAATAGCATTAAAAACATATTTTAGTCCTTAACTGTTATCATTACCGGGTTTAAAACATGATAACGAAACATTGGTCTTTAAAACCAAACTATAACAATATATATATATAAAATGATATTAAAATTTACAATACTACCTATATAAAGTAGCCTTTTCTAACATAATCTCTAACAACTAACACGACAATTTACCCATTAAGCAAACTTAACCCACCCTTTCTTGAGTTCCTCCAACTTTCGGGCCGCGAGCACACTTTCATCTTGAGGATTGGAGCAAACCGACTGGTCGAGCAAGTCATCTTTGCTCTGGTCCAAGGTGATCGACATAGAGGTATTGGAAACACAACGTCCTTCTTCCCTGAAATTATTCAAATATTTGTCGCTCTTCTCCCCTCCGCACGACCTTCAGAAGGCGACAGGCGGGGGAGACACGTGATTACTGATCAAGATAAATGTAGAGTTATTGCCTTTAGTAAAGGTAGAGAAGTAGTAAAAAAGGTTGTAAAGGTTGATATTAATATCTTTTTAGCGTTAAGTTTTTAATCTAAGCCTAACTATAGGTCAAATTTGAATATTGGCTGCTAAAAACCGTAAAATTCTCAAAAATGCGAAAATTTTATGGGAAAAAATTGTAAAAAACGGTAAAAAGTAGCGTTCTTGTGAGGTACAAACAAAAACGAAGAGTTTTCGCTAATTGTAAGTGAAGGTAGGGTTTAAAAACTTATTATTGAGAAAAGTGACTCATTACTTTGCAGGAAACCCTAAAGTAAGGTGAGAGCGCAAGCAATGAGCCTAAAATCACATTTTTTATCTTTCAGCATCTTTTAAGCAATTACCAAACAAAAATTTTAAATTTTAGGTAACAAAATTTCGAAATAATAATTAGCCGTTCGAAATTTGCATAAACACACCCTAAAGCGTTCGGAATTTGCATAAACACTTGACCCGACCAAGACTCGGTTCAGAAAGTTGGAAACCCTTCGATCACCTTTATTCCCCTGAGGGCCGCACATGTGCGTGCAATACAAACTGTTTGGTGTCATCTTTCAGCGCCATAAAAAAGCGAATAAACCCTGTCCCCCACCCCTCTCCCCTCCCTTTGCAAACCTTGCTTATCACTTACGGACTGAAGCAGGAAAACTGGTCCGCATTCGAGACCAACATCTCCGTCTGGTCCCGGTCCAGATCCGCGTCCATCTGAAATTATATTGTTTTAGGTGGGGAGATAAGTTTAAATTGTACAAGGCATAAGAAAGCTTAAACATGTATAAGATAATTCAAATAGTCAGTAAAATGCTGTGATATGACTTAAAATAGTTTTATTTTTACAGTTTTTATGTTAACATTGAGTTTACATTAAAATTTGACCCATTTAAACTGAAAAAGCACTTAAAAGCCCTTTAAAATAATGAGTAACTTTCCGCTAAAAGTAAATACAACTTGTTTTTGACGTAAAAAGTAATAACAAACAATTAAAAAAGTAATTCGAAAGCAAAAAATTAATATTCGACTATAAAATATTCCGTTTTCAGCGTCTGAAAATGTAAAGAATTGTTCTGAAATGGGTTCAAAGGTTTCTGAATTTGCAAACAAAACATATTCAAGTTTTTTAAAGTTTAAAATTGTCAATTTTTACTCCAGTATCAGTATATAATCTATAATATCAGTATAAAATCTGTAGAAAATAAATTTTAAGCTATACAAAGTTATCTTTCACAGTAAAGTGACTTCTGAACCTAAAAACCGTAAATTTTCACAACAAAGAGTTTAGAAACAGAATTCTGCTTCCAAAAGAAGCTCGGAATCTGATAACTTTGAACAAAACTTGAAATAGTAAGAGACGTTGTTATGACGCATCTCTTGTTGTTTACCTACCAATTCGGGCGACTTCACGTCTTTGGATACTCGAATCACGGAAATCATGGACTCGCCGGATTCTGGACGATCGTGGAACACCGGAACAGATTCTAGCTCGATTCGTGGCTTCAGATCTTTGACTTCTGAAGCTGCTGCGGTCGATGGGACTTCAGAAGTTTGTTGTGTAGTGACTTCTACTGAGTGCTTGATAGGTTTAGAATAGATCTCTGAATCTCTTGTAGCTTTTGGATGTTCTATAGATCCGGGTGAATCTTTTTTAACGTCAGAACTTTCTCCAGAATCAAAACTCTCACCGTGCCCCTTCGTTCCGTCTTCTGTCCTAGCCGTCGCCTCTGATGACTCAGAAGTCAGCTCCACCACTCGAGGAGACTCTTCACTCTCAACGAACTCAGGATTCTGTTGTAGAATCGTATTCAGACGTCGTGTCACTTCGTCAGCGACTTCTGACGACAACGGCACGGGCTGCGAGGTTTCGCTGCTGTGACTTCGGGCGTCGTCGCTGTCTTCCTGCATATTTGAATGATAAGAAGGGGAAAACAATATTATTCTGTTCGAAAGAGAAAGATTATCAGGAAAACGATGCGTAAACAGTACTTTCTTACAATGTTTTGGGAAAAGAGGTAGTCTACGGAAAGGATATTCGTCTGGATGGGGGTTTAAAGGGGTTTGATGGTTTAAAGTAATATAAAATAGTCTTTTTCAAAACAAAACTTCCTTAAAAACCTAAAATAATTTTTACACTTTAACTAAAAAACTACAAAATTAAACAAATTAAGCTAAAACTACAGTTCAAACCAACAAAAACTCCTAACTTATGTCGCAACCTGACCCACTGACAGATAAAACCCTCCAAAAAACGATTGCCAAAACTAAAATACCGAAAAAGGTCGCCGCAATGACCCGAAAAGCAAGGCCGAGACTCTCGACTGCCCTAAAAGGTCACTCTCGCCCCTACCTCAGTGATGGAGTCGAGACGTCCATAAACAGCTTGATCGAATTGCAAATACGACGGCTCTTCCCATTCATCGTGAGAATCCCGTTGGACGCCGATCGACTGAATCTCGGGGATCACGTCCGTCTCCAGGAGATGGCCCACGCCTTTAGACTGGTCGGTTCGACCGGTCGATTTGAAGGATTCGGTTGAGGATGAAGACGAGGTTTCTGAAGAGGTATCGTCGTTGTGTTCTGAAGCTTCTTTGTCGTGTTTTTCTGGATCTGAAATTTTATGCTTATGAATAACGTGTATCTTATAAGGAAAGTGCCCGACCTGCTCGCTCTGATTGACTAACTTTTTATATAGAAAGATCATGTAAATATAAGATTTTCGGCAAAATACATCGCGCTTTCCAGTCAAGTTCGAGAAAATCGAAATCAAAAAATAATTTTTTAAATTCCAAATTGGCATTTCTAACCTTATACTCCACTCCAAATAAGTTTATAAACAAGCTTGTCATTTTTTTGACATTTAATCATTTTTCTTTGATATAACTCTTTATTATACCTACATTTAAAAATTTTTTTGCGTAAATTATCAGGAAAGTCGAAAAAAAGTGGTTGAAACACAATGCCAAAGTTGCCAAATTAGCGGAAAACACAAATATTTAAATTTTAAAACTCAAAAGCGCGGGCTAAAATTTTCCATATATCTATTAGTGGTATGAAGAAGTTATATAAAAGTTGTAAACTGATTCTGAGCCGGGCAGATTCGGTACTTTCCCTGTAAGATTCCAACTTTCTATAAGATCTTTCTTACCGTGTTCTCCAAGTTCTTTAGTACGATGAAACTCTAAATGTTCATGCCTTTTAGATTCTTTAGCGCCTTCCAAAGTTGTTTGAAGTTCAGCTACTGTATCTTCTTCATCGTGTTTCTTTTTCTTCGCTTCTGGACTGGACTGCTCCAGTTTGTCGGCCATTCCAGCCCGATCGAGTAGGAGCTTCCAAACCAAGGCAAGAGTCTGAAAACGTCATTTAACAAGTTACTTTCTATTACGCAACATAATTTTTCTAAAATACTAAGCGATTATTCACGTCGTTCAATCCATAAATTTCGCTGAGCTTATACCACAATATACGCAACTTTATATAAACATTGGCAACACTCGGCACCTTTTTCACAGTTAAAGCATGATTTTTTGTCATAAATAATGTTATGCTTATTTAAAACCGTTTTAAACCTTTGACCGCAAACTTATTTTATGCAAATTTCCCTCGCGAATATCATATGGGTCATACGTTTAATGTCATCTTATTCAAACAAACCCTTTAAAAAACAAAAAACCATTGAAATTTAAATGCCCTCAAGACAGCAGCAAGATCCAGAAGGCTTATTAATGTTTATTTCAGCACTGACCTCAAAAATCGACCCAAAAACAAGGAAGACACCTCATTTCCATATACATTTTAGGCTCGCGATTAAACAAACATCAGGTCGAGAGGCCGGCTAGAGAAGGAAGGGCAGCTCAGGTCGCGAATAAGAATTACCTCAAATAATCGTCTCCACTCTTATGCCTCGAGGCAGTCCGCCTAATTTGTCGCGTACAACTTTTACTTTGTATTTACGACAGGTGAGACGCATATTAGACTAGCTGGGGTCTTGTTGCTTATGAGAGTAAGTAATATACGTTGAATTGAGAAGATATGAATGAAAATCAAGAAAATATTACTTTAATCTTGAGATATCAGTGATAATATAGCTTAAAATTATGAAAAGTAAAAATATCTATTGAAGATTGACAAAACTTTAAAAGTTCTGAGGCTGTGGAATATAAAAAGGAGGAAAAGCCATCAACTAGAAGTGTACTTTGGGAAAGATACGATGACTGTATCACAGGTTTTGTGACAACAAAAGAAAGTCGTTATAAACCACGTTTTTTCAAAAAAAGAATTTTTAATATTAAAAATACCTATAATAACAAAGTTTAATATCCTTTTATTAATTATAACCATCAAACCCTTATTCCCCTACCCTATCTTTAACAATTGAATAAACAATTTTCCTAACAATACAAAACCTCCTCCTGTTCAAAACAATATAATATCCCCTCCCCCCAATATAAAATTACACGAAATATGTCAAACCTTTGGGAGAGATGTAAACAGCCATTATTAACGCTGTTCCGGCTCTTTTGCCTGAGGGTTTTGTAGTCAGAAACCTACTAAAGAATGGAAATAATGTTGTAAAGAAGCTTGGCCCGGCGATTATTCATGGAGACGGAAAGGAATTGATTGTACGAGGGTCATTGTACAATAAGCGAACCCTCCCATCGCCTTAGGCAGAAGTCGGGCAGGTCATAACCAAGGTATAGGATCTTACCTGAGGTATATTAAGTATATAAGGAAGAGCGGTCTGATATTATTTTAGGTAACAAAGACATTTTAAGGTACTTAAACAACTTTTTAGCTAAAACATCCTCTTTTTCTTGTTTTAGAGGTATACCCTTTCAGTTGCCAAAGGCTATATTCAAATAGGTATTACTAATGGCGGGTAGCCCAGGAAACGGAGATCGCGCACATAGTAAATGATTCCCCATTTAAAGGATACACTACTGAGCCAACTGGCTTGGCTTCAGTCATTTTACATCATTTTATGACTAATTTTATCCAAAATCTTACTAATCAACGCCATTTTCAGTGATTAGTAATCATTTTCTAACAATTTAAACCTTCTAAATTAAAAATAGTTGTCAGAAAATGATTTTCATTCGTTTTTAAAATAGTTTTAAACTAATTTTTGATTATTTTAAAATTCAGTTTTCAAATTTTGAAGTTCAAACTTCTGCTAAAAATAAAAAAAATAGCCCACTCGCGCCCTACAGTTGCAGTCTGCAAAGTAAAAACAATTTTTAAATTTGAAAATATAAACATACCAAAAGTGCAGATACAGTAGAACTCAGAAAGGCATTCCAAAAAGTTTTGTCGGATTCTGGAGCGGCTTCTCTTGAAAATCGGCGGTCGTAATGCTTCTTTACCACATCTTGTGCTCCCATCGATCTAGATACAATATGATAATAGAAATATCAACATTATTATCACTTTCTCACGTTTAGAATTACGATAGATGATCATAAATAAAATACGTTCCCTACACATCAAAATCAAAATGTGAAAAAAAGTTTGCACGGTGCAAGTATTAAATGTTCTGTACGGTGCAGATTGTTTGCCAATATAGAAATATGAATGGTACTCAATACTTAAAATTATGCGAATTTGTGACTAACATTGAGCAAACAGTATCACATTACATTAAACAACAATTTTAAGATTACTATTTTTTCCAAAATAATATTTACGTTAAAATAAAAAAGTGTTCAAACCTAACTTATATACCTACTATAATATTATTTTTCAACCTCAAACCTATTTGACACTTAAAAGAGTCAAAACCAGGTAAGTGTGATCTAGTTTTGCGGCAAACCCCTTAAGCGGCGAGAAGGGAGGGGTAAGTTACACGATAGCTCTCTAATCAGCACTGTCAAGGTCGGCAACCCAATTCGCTCCAATTTAATGCTTATATTAACATAACTTCGTATAACCGTTTATTACCGCGCGATTTCCGATTCAAAGGAGATATGACTTTTTCAATTTATTAAAGTTGATATACGAAATGGTATTTACAAGATACCATGGTATTTAAATGTGTGATTATGATGAATAAGTAGTTGTAACTTTTGTTTTCTCAGCGGTTTTTTACAATCACCTTTAACAAGTTACTTTTTATGTTTTAAACAGTAAATATGAGACCTTTTGCTACAATCATGATTGCCTATATTATCGTATGTAAAGCAAGTTACCTCAATGTCCTAATGCTTTAAAGACAAATATCGTTTGTCAAAATTTACTGTACATTTTAAAACTAGCCATGTCATCTGTAAATTACTTTACAAAACACAACAAACGAATGAATCACGATATATTGAGGATGATACAAATAGAAACCTGGCCAAAGCGTGTTCGCAATTATGAAATTTAATCACAACACTGAGTGTCTTTACGATTATTCGCTTCATTATTTGAACACAAACAATATTCACATCAATATAGAACATCTATTCAAAGGATGATATAACAGATTATGTCGTATGACAATCCTTTACATACCTCTTTGTAATGTATTTCAATATGGATTCCTGTCAAAAGTCTATAGACCTGCGATTAGTAAGCAAAATTTAATATCTTTACAACCTTATGTATAATAGTTCCAGTTTGATATTGTTTATCGTTTAAACTATGTAAATATTAGTGTACAATCACACTAGGTAATTTAAGAGCGAAAGGTATAAACCTTACATCATATCATTTATAAGTTAACTTTACACTCAAACAATCGCAAATTGTGTATAAACAATGTCCCTGACCCGGTAGTACTCCTCGCAAGCTGGTCCTTCCACTATGAAGCGACCGGCCGTCCTACTGATCTTGAGGGCATCGTTAACATAAAGCTCCCCTGAGCTGAATTCGGCCGCGAATCCATTCTTGCTGAGGAAGGTCTTGAGGTCAGAAAGCTTGGGATCATTCACAAAGACAGCCTCGTGAGATGGTATGTTGTTGGAAGGTAGGATCTCGAGACAGAGCTGCTCGTTGTTACCTAAACCTTGTTGCTTCTCAATCTCCATCAACTCCTCGGCCAACACCGCCATTGACATGTCCACGTTGTTCTTGACCTTCCGCTTCTTAATCTTGGCATCTACCCAACTTAACTCGACTTCACGGACCTAAAACAATGTATGATTTATCTACTATAACATGTTTTACATAATTACTATAATCTTATTTTACTTTTACATATAGGTTAATAAACTGCAAACTGTAACACATCGGCCAAAAACCATCTAATAGGGTCGTTTAAAAACAATGGTGCTATAAATTTAGCTTTTCTATTTACTTATTGACCGCATACACTCTCTTTTAACTTTATAAAGTAATGACCTTGTGCCTTTCTTTCCCATAAACAGTAACAAAAGCCAACTTACAGTCTGGAATACCAGCGATGACATTAACTGATCGCTTAAGGTCACTTGGAAGATGTGAGTTTCAATTGTCAAATCGATTATCTCTCCGATCGCTGGTGTAAATATCCTCTCCTACAACAATATTGTCATCCAAATAACATTTTTTGAAACATATTAGATCTACAAATATAAATACATAAGTAAAAGCGTTATATCTATCATGAGATTAAGCTACCTGAACAGCTTTTTGTTTATCGCAAGCTTCTGACAAAGACTTGGTATTCTTTTCGTTTCCATGGATCAGTACCAACTGTTTTGGCTTTATTTGTCCAATTATCTTCTGTACGGATTCTGAATCCGCTCGTCCTTCCAGGTCGATAAAGTCCACTTTACAAAATACCTAAAGTTATACTTTAAAATATGAAGATTGCGTATACAAACAGCGTTATCCTACTGTAACTACTGTACACAAGCGTAATATTGATGTATAAATATCACTTAAAAAATTATATCACGCAGTTCAAAACTTATGTAAAACAACCTCAATAACAATATATAGCTTTACCTCAAACGTTTGAGTATACTTGACACACTTTGTAGGCCACTTCTCCATCACCATATCCTGCTCCTCGTCTTCTGTATCTTCATCTTTCATTTCCTCTTCTTTCTTCATTCTGGTAGGATTTAGAGTCGTGTTAACGGTGTCAGCTTTGGTATAGTCTTCTGGTCGAATTATCTCTCCATAGTCGTCCCACTGAAAGTAATTTACTTTCAACACATATAACTTTAGTAATTTAGTACAAAAATATGAATCCAAACCCAATTGGTCCTGTTTTCCAAAAACCAATAAGTTTTTTCAACATAAAAATGCCAAATAAATTACAGTAAACATCAGCCTATAGTAAAAACCACTCCTTACCCTTTGCTTCTCTTCAGTATAAGGAAACATGGCGAACTGTCGTTTGCTTTGTTTGAAGAATGACACTTTCTGATGTTGCTCAAACCTTGCCAGCAGATCATACTTGTTACTCTGCTCTCTAACGCCATTACTTTCACCGTTCTCAGCGTTCAGAAGCCTCGCTCTGCTGACGTTGAAGTTCTCGTCTTCATCGTCACTGTCTTCCGAGGATTCTGAATTGTCGATTCGAGGATTTCGTCGCACATTCTCCAACCTAAAAGATAACAAAACCAGTAAGCTTTACAAAGAGTATGTTACATAACCATGATATTAAGAATCAGCTTACCTTTGTCTAGCTTCATCCTGTTCCTGTAGCTTCTTAGCAGCTTTGTAGGCTTCTAATTCAGAGCCTTCTAATCGGATTCTCTTCTTTATCTCCAATGTAACTGTTTGGTTTACCTTGTCCTTCTGCCTGCTTATATCAATCAGTTTTGACCCTAATGTATCATCACTTGCTCTACCTAAAACAACATCATAAATAAATTTAAACCAAAAATCCAAAATGTTACCTAAAATCTACAAAACAATAAGATGATACATCAACTTAACTAACTTAAAAACAATCTCTTTACTTTTTGACCAATAATAATAGTAACTTACCCGTCATGATGACCAAATTTTTGGAATCAGCACAACTTTCCAGAAACAGTTCCCTCGATAGACCGCATTCCATGTCCATTCCACTAACCAATACTACTTTTGGAGATCGTACTCTTAACAGATCACTTAAAGAATGGCAGAATTTCAAACTTCGAAGCTCGAATGGGTTCTCTTGACCTGTTTCACAAGCCTTTAAGATAGAGTCGGACATCCACTCCAACTGATTCTTGGCTACGTCAATCACAGAAGACGCTACATTACTCAGCATCACGAGATTGTAGCCCGACAGACCTGTTTCTCGTCTAAAATTGTAAGTTAAACCATCTACTTTAAATAGTAATATAGTATAATACGCTATTTAAGTTTAGCAGTTCAAATCGTCTAGTAAACTAAAGAGTATATACATTTATTTAATAATAAATCCTTACTGCTGCCATATCTTTTCGAGTAAGTGAGCGATTTCCAAAATACGACCAGCTGTGTCAGTTACAATTACAGCATCTCCACCTTCTCGCAATGTTGATATTAATTTAGAAAACAAAGCCTCGTCTCTAACTTTTCGACGTTGAACTACAGTACTATAGGCATCTGTTATCAACAAATGAGGTCGTACAACACCTTCAAATGTAGAAGCCATCAAATGCCGTTCCTTTCTGTGATTGAAGTCTACTGCATAAACAATCTCTTCGTCTCCCATCTTTGTTATCCTCCATATAGCCCCTCCAATCATATGTCCGGCAGATAACGGCATCACTTGTAACCCATTGTCTCCTTTCAAATTAATCTAAACACCAACATCAATAACACAACTCAACTTACAATTTGACCATACTTAACATATTGTATACGATTGAAAACAGCATCAACATCATCACAGTTAAATAGCTCAAAGTCCTCAGCATTCTCATGAGATGTGACCCAGTCGTACAAGAACAACTTGCCCATCTGTTGAACCGGCAAGGTAGCATAAATGGGACACTTGAGACCACATTTGGCCACCAGATAAGGTAAAGCTCCAAGATGGTTGATATCTGCATACGTAATTAAAACAGCATTAATTTGAGAGATCCTAGGCTTCAGAGCGTTAATAAAGCTCATATCAAAGTGTTCGTTCCATCCACAGTCTAATAGAATGTAGACTTGGTCCACTTGCAGTAGGTAACATAGAGGACCATTGTCTTGAGCCCCAGAAAGAGGCTCTAACTTTATGATTGAAGTCATCTGAGATGTCTACAGTTAGAAAGGCATCTAAACAGTTGATTTACAAATAAAATTTTGCAAATTAATTTATTTTTTGCTATTTTTTACAATTTCTAGAAAAGTCGTCATTGTAACAATAGTTAGTTTTGTTGTTTAAGTATTTCATAATAAACAAATAAACAAGAAATTATTTTTAAAAAAGTCGTTAGTTTTTTAGTTCAAAGGTCAACGTATTTTACTAAAATAACTACTGCGCAATGACATATTTTCTAGAAAGTAAAACATGACACGCTGTCATGTGTCGAGTTGTTCGCTTGCTTTTTCTTTGGCGCGCTAGGTCTGGGAGCATTAAAAGATCATGAACACGAGTTTTACAAAGTATTGCGTTCCAGGCGATCGTTTATTTTCTATAGACGAAGGCTACAGTGCAGGGAACGGATGCTACGAGATCTACGGTTATGTGCACGCTGCTTTAGTGGGAAAAGTGAAGGTTTCTGTCCAGCCATTGCCTGTAAGTCAATATGAAATTGTTTATTGATGTTTAGAATGGGAAAGAAGTTAAGCTGGTAGAAGTATGTGGAGAATTCGACGAGAAGAAGTACATGATTCCACAACAAGGATGCATTGTTACAGCTAGGGTAAGATAACATTGTTTGAATAATTTTTTTGTAAAAATTAGTTTTATATTGCTTGCATCATTTTGGGAGTTGTTTAAAGGACTAACATTTAATGTTTGTGGTTAATTTTTACATGATATTGTTTTAGGTGGAAGCCGTTGGGTTAAGAGCGGCAAAATGCTCAATTCTTTGCGTTGGTGACAGTTTGTTATCAGACGAGTTTAATGCAGTGTTAAGGAAGGAAGACATACGGGAAATTGACAAGGATCGAGCAGCTTTGTGGAAGGCAGTTCAACCTGGCGACCTTATTTTAGCTCGAGTTGTTGGAGTTGGAGATTCGCAAACACAGTTCCTTCTAGGTATCACAGAGCGTGAATTGGGTGTTGTTTATGCAGTAGGACAGAATGGAGAAAGAATGGTGCCAGAAAAGGAGGGAACAGTCAAACACATAACCTCTGAGTACCGAGAACCTCGAAAAGTTGCAGATCTCATTCATTAAATTGTTATTGTTGTCTTGACTTTGCTTTTTATTAGTGTTTTTGTCACTTTAATATTTGAGGGAGACAGGATTGGCGGTAATCAATTGTTCAGGTATGTTTAATAACTACTACTATGGAGGAGGTCAGGATCATTATTATGCACCGGTAGGTCTTTTTTTTATTTTTTTTTGTTTTAGATAACCTTGCAGTTACTTACTGGCATTTGTGTAATACTTCAATTTTATCGTGTTTTAGACAACTTCATATTATCCGGCAAATAGTAACTATTACAATCAAAACGAGTACGAGCCGATCACATATCAGCAACCTTTTTTAAACCCAGAACAAAATCCATTTCACACTGACTTTACATACAAATTACCTGTCAGTCTTGCTGATCATGGATTGGTAGATGAGGAAGGTTAGTTCACTCATCATTTGTTTTGCATGATTTTAAAGTTTTAGGTGTTTAAATCTTATAAATTTTATATTTTTAGTTTTAAAAGCAATATTTTAGAAGAAGTAGATATGACAGACGAGGAGATAGCAGCTCATAAAGCGAAATATCCTTACAATCCTTATGAGAAGTTGCTGGAAAAGAAAGGCGGTCCAAACCGTCTTATTAAGGTTCTTTTCAATGCTCAAATCACGGCCAAAGACAAGCCTGTAGGATGTTCTCAACCTCAGAAAGCAGACGGTAGCTTCAATCCCGAAGTCTTGCCAGTAATCGAGAAGATGTTGAACAACGAACTTGAATCACAAAAGGAAATTCGGCCGAAGTACAAGTTGATTGATCCCGGAGAGGTAAGACGTTATAACTTGCTGTGTCTATAACTACTAACATTTCGCAAGGTGTTTGTTAATATTTTTCTATAGTTGTTTTAAATGTTGTTTGAGATGGTTACTTAATTGACAACGTTTCAGTACGATGCAGTTGGGTCATCTCGAGGCTATATCATTAACAATGGAAATACCTGGGTGAGGAGAAAAGAACCAGAGGCACAAGCATTTGTACCATCACCTCCAAAAAGGTTTGGCAACAAGTCTTTGGTGATTGTGGGAGGAAAGAAGATCACTAACGAGTCGAACGAATGCATCGCTTTTGCTAAAAACAAAACTTGTCCGGCTTCTAACATGTGTATATACAATCACGATGGTGATTCTGGACATCTGACGAAACGGTTTTGTTCTAGGTATGATTTGGGTTTAAATTTATTACTTATGTTTATAGTGCAGATAGTTAAAGTGGTAATGTTATTTATAAGTTAGTTTATCTTGTGGTATTGACGGAGCATAGGCGATGACGAAAACTAATTCACGACGAGTCAAGTGGTCGATATTCTTCTTGGGATATTGACTATGACAAAGATCTTGTCTAATCTTCTCTCTGAGCCTTACAGCTTTAAAAATAAAACTTTTTATTTATTAAACAAAAAACGTTTAAATTTTAAAATAATGGTTTAATTTCAGTCAAATGAAAGGAATGTGTCGCAACGACAAAACTTGTGATCAAGGTTATCATCTGTTAACCGAGAATCAGCTACCGGTCTGTCACTACTACTTCAAGATGAGTTGCTCAGAAGAAGAATGTCCATACCTTCATGTCAAGCATTCAGATCGTACTGACACTTGTCCGGACTTCCAAAAGGGTGTTTGCCAATTGGGGATTCAAGTTAGTTGAGAGATACTGTAACATGTGTTTAGTGTAATTACATTCATAGGTATTCGTCGTCGGTGATCGCGCAGAAGACGGATGTTGCTCTGGAGTTCTCAAGGTTTGTTTCAGATGCAGGGGATACTGTAGTTTTTAGGATTGAGGAAGAACTGCCACCTCTTGCCACTTGGTTTCTGTAGGTATATCAACATTCAGGGGTATATATCTTTCACGACATTTCATACGAGTAAGTTTAGCAATACGGTGAAGAATATTGTTGTAGAAAACAGAGTTGACAATAAACATTTATTAACATTGCCTTGGTCTTTTGTGTTGATTGTAAGCTGTTATCGACAGTTGAATATCTGATTAGGGTATCTTTTGAGAAGAAAACTAAGTAGAGTAATGTGTTGTAGAATATACAGTGAAGATGACAGAGCCGTTGTCTTCGTCTAGGCCTCGAAGATCAGCTGGAGTCAAGGCTACACAAGCATGGGCGACGTTGATGCCCTCAAAGAAGTTCAACGAGTACGGAGAGCCGGAACAATGTAAGATAATTATTTTCTTGGGTACACTAACGTGTTTTGCGTTGTTTTTTGTTAGTAGCATTTCATTAGGCAATGACGAAAACTTTATCACGAAAAGTCTAAGTTTGAATTCTTCGGAATTTAAATCTTGGACAGTGATATATGACTAATCTTCTCTCTGAGCCTTTGCGACTACAATAGTTATTTAATATAATAAAAAAACACTTTTGTAGGGCCTTATGTTAAGGATGTATTGTACTACAACAAACAGAAAAATATTTATAAATGTCATTTTAGCACCACAACAAGAAAAGGTATTGGAGAAGAAGTTGATCAAAAGAGAAGTGGCTGAAAAGCCGCCAGTAGACGAGTCAGTTGTAATTAAACAAGAGAAAGTAGCTAGTAATACAGTAACAGTAGCTAGTGATGGTAGGTATGGGCAAGGATTGTTAACCAAGCAAAGATTGGAGGATATTGAGGTAGGTTTTATATTGTAAAAGTTATAACAAGGAATTTAAAAACTCGTTTTCCTGGATTTATATTTTTAGGTGACACCCCAATATTTGTAAAAAAGTATGATATAGCATTGATAAAGTTATTGCCTTGTTTACAGAAAGAGATGAACGAGACCTACAACAGTGAAAAGGATACAGAAGAGTTTGAATACGAACGTCACTCAACAAGATCGTTCACTTACAGAGACGACGAAGACGATGAAGATTACAATTATGCCAAAGAGGTCGGTCATCAAGCACCATCGGACAGTACCAAGAAGAGAGGCCGACCTCTCGGGTCTAAGTCTACCTACACCAAGAGAAAGTCTGTAGAAAGAAGACCGATTCCTGACTACAGTAGAGGGGGTAACATCGTATACCCGAGGTCTATACGGCCGTTGGAGAACAGACCTATCAAGATTATTATGCGGTAAGTATAAATTGGTTTTGGCACTTTTAAGGTCTTGTTGCGATATATACAGTATGCTTTTGTAAATTTAATCTTTTTAGGCAAAACTTTAATCGACCTCGCCAAACTTTCTTATCATCACAAGTTCAACAGCAACCTCAACCTATTGTTCAAAGCACAACATCTGCCAACACTATGTCATCCATGGCCGTATCAGCTAAGCGAGAAGTCGATGAACTGTCAAAGAAGTATGGTCAGAAGATCGTAGCAGGAGATTCTGTGGGGAAGTTCAACGACTTGAATGCTACACTTTTGGATCAGATGAAGTTGATCAGCGAAGACAGAAACCGACTGTACGCTAACTATCAGGAGACTGTAGAGCAACTGAATCTGGCACATACTACTGCTTTGGATCTTAAGGACAGCAGGTACGGTAGTTTATAGGGTTTGGGTCGAAGAGCAAATGGGTGGCTGGGAAGGTAATAAGTATGGTTTTATGATGTACTATGAGTTACTTTGTTAACTTGTAAACGTTAATATTTAAAATTGATTGCAGCTGAAGTTGATTAACAACATTGTAGCTAATTGTTTTTGTTGCAGGATAAGACAGCTGGAGAATCTGGTGAATGAATTGCAAGCCAAGAACTTTAAGCTGACAACTCAGTTGAACGAGGCTTACTGTCTCCACAAAGGTCAAACCAAGGTGGTCAAGGATGGTGAGCCGGCTTCTAAAATGGCCAGAGTCGGTCAAGAATTAACGGACAGTCCCGAGGCAGCGGCGGAACGGGAATCGCTTGAAGAATTCGTGAGTTCTTAAGCGCTATTAATATAGAAAGACTTAAATTAATATAAAAATGCTTTCTCATTCTTTGCAGTGGTCAAGAAGTAAGTGGAAAAACAAATACAAAATATACCATAGAGATTCTATGCACTTTTGGACCAAAGTACTATTACTTTCAAAGTAGTATCTCGACTTTTACTTTTTAAAAGTAGATTTTGCTGGAGATTAAGCCCTGAGGAGATTCGAAAAGAATGAAATTAATCGTAGGAAACCAAAATGGGGGGAAGAAGCCAGGTGCACGAAAGAATGGGTAACATAGAAACGGGTCCGTGGCAACGGGAACAATGATTTAATCTGACTTTTCTTTTTCTAGAACCACGAGAACAGCACGGAGATGGCGTGACTTTACTGTCACAGTAACCCGACCCGAGTATTGTCGCGTTACCAGTAATTATTCGCATTTTGACACCTTATTTAATTAACAACACCTCTGATCTCGGACTGTAATATTAATAAATTGTACATGAGGATCAGGTTGAGATTCCCATTTTGAGGTTTATGTGAGTAGAGGTTGGGCTAATTTTAGGTATCAGTCGGTTTTTTTAAAAATTGTAGTGAAGAGATACTATTTTAAATTCAAGAAGAGCTCCTTTTCTGTTTTCACTCTATCTTTTCTACTTATTACATACAACATTATGTAGTCCACAACCTATAACAAGATATCCTCGTATTACCCTTTCACGGTAATGTAATCGGAAGCAAACCCTTTAACGACGCTGTATTTGGCTGTTTTTCGGTTGGTTTCTCACGCCCTATGTTTATTGTTATGGGCCTAATACTTGGTTTCATACTACACTGACGTGCTTAATGGGTAAACAGTACATTAGGCTACAATAAGTGGTCTAGACGGGCTTCATTCATAACCGATTTTGAGGGTAAATCCGAGAGTAAATCTAATCCAGGCTTAAATTTGGGTAAAGATGGTCGATTTTGAGGGTTTTTGGTCGTAAAGTTTGTGGATAAGGGGTTGAAAGGTTTTATTTGAAGAGTTACTTTAGTATAACAACGTTCAGGACATATATGTATTAAGAAATGTACAAAAATCTATTAGAAATTATTATATCTTAACTGATTCTGCCAGAAAAAGGTATAAAATGTTTATAAAATACCGTTTTTTTGCAGTCCTACGCTCTTTTAGACCTTTATTTAGGTATTAATTAGCTAAACAAAGCATATATTGTTATTCTATATTAAGTGTTACATCAAGACGGCACTTGTTATTGGCCAAAACAGAATAGAATTGACCAATAAAAATTGTTTTTGGATTAACTTAAATATCAGCTTAAATTAAAATGTAATGTATTGTAAAGTAAGGTTTTATACTTTTTTACAATTTAAAAAAGCCTTCTGATATTTTGACATGTTTACCACAGTAAAATCAATATTTGAATTTATTTCTTCGAACCTACTTTGGCCATTAACCTTATCATTACCGCCACAAACCTCGCCAACCCCTAAGACAACATTGCCTAAACTAATTACTATAATACGTTTGCAACCTGAGAGCTCGTAAGCCGCCTGGCAGTGTTTAAGGGTTTGGAGAGGGTATGTAGGCATGACAATTATAAAAAGGACAAGTAACTGACTCTCTCTTTCATTAAAATGGAGGCAGCCGGCTGCCGTTTTGGACTGGGGATTAGAGGGTCGCGCACCGGCCGGTCACCACCCCCTTGCCTTTTTCGGTCACGTTCCCCCCCCTCCCGCCCCCCCCATCTTTGCCTGGGGCAATGTTTTGGGCTTTCTCACTTGTCTTTTCTTTGGTTCGGAAAGAATGGCATTTGGAGGTTAATCTCTGCCATAACTGATGGACTGGCAATGGCCAGCCATCGGTTATGTGGGGCTTAGCGTGGGGCGACGTTTTATACGATGAAACATGTTTTTGCGGCTGTTTTTAATCATGTTTTGAATTTTAATTAGAACGTGAAATTTAGGTGTATTTAGAAATGGCAGCTTTGTTTTTCAAGACCTCGCTGATAAACAGATGACTATTTTAATTTTAAAATTTATGCAAATTTTTTGAAGTTATGCACAGTGCAGACTATCTTAATATTATTGCCATTTTTAGTCTATTTAAAAAAAAACATTTTTAAATTTTATTACCTAAAATTGCAGGCGAATGTTTCCTCAGCCATCCACCCCTCGCCACCTTTACACCGCCCAGTCCGCCGTTCTATGTGAGCCTAGGTATCCGCCCAGCAACTGGACTAAACATTCATGATTTCAGCCAGTCCAAGTCCAGCTAAACTGTCGCAGAATCACGGCTTCAGTGTGGATTCGTCAGCATATCAGCAGGCCATCGATCGCCGCAAGGGATTCAGGACTCGCGGGTCGCTGGTGGGTTACTGTAACTTTATTTTTGGAGTTTTACAGCTTTTTTGAGGTTACGGTACCGTACAGTTTTTGAGGTTTTTGTACGATACAGTTTGTGAGTTTACTGTAACTTTTAAAATTAAAAAATTTTTTAAAATTGCGAAACTCCGTTAACTTTTGGCTCTAAGATTAGGTATTGAGTTACCCTGAGGCAGCTACTGTTACACGGTACTCTGAGAAGGAATCTATTTTCGCCTGAGGGGATCTTTTGTTTTATTTCGTAGCCAAAAATACGACGACAATAGATTGGTTACCAGTAAACAATTAGCATTAACTTGTAACGAAATTAGACAGGATTCTTACTGTAACAAATCAATTCAAATTTGAATTAATTTTTAAATTTTAAAAACATTTTTGTACAGTATGTGAATTGAAAGTTACAAAAAGTTACAGTAAACTTAAAAAAATATTTCAAAATACAGTATACCAAGTTTTGTGTAAAACTCGTATTTTGTAATACTCAAAAAGTACCCTAATTTTCAAAAGACAAGGCTTTAAAACTTTAACTGCACGGTGCAATGGTTTAAACTGCACAGTGCAAGTTTTTTCAAAGATCTGCACGGTGCAAGAACCCTTTGCTTTTAAAGAAACACTGCACTGTGTAGTCGCTCTGCACCGTGCGGATCTCCGAAAAACTTCTCATTGCCAACTGCACAATGCAGCCTTCTTTGAGTTCGCGACGTCAGCGACAGAAAATGCACCGTGCAAATTCGTCAAGTTTGTCGCAAAAGCCATTTCATTTGCGACAGTCGGAAAACGTCGCCACGGCCATCTTTGCAGACGCAGTCACTGTCGCTGCGACAAAGTTCTTTACTCTTGTGAATGCGACTCAATCATTTGCGTCGCAAGTCGCAAAACGTTGTCGCGACCGTCGCTCAATTTCTTCCAATTTGCGGCAAAATGTCTTTCAACTTGGAAACAGCGACAAAAGTTGAAAAAATTTCAATTTGAAAAAGTTTTGTCGCGCTGAGAGTTGAGCGATAAATTTTGTAATTAACGACAACTGATTGGATCTTGCGACATTGCACCTTGAATCTGACTGTCGCATAGGCAAAGCGCAGCGACAAATTGTCTTGTCGCTTTTGGAAGGCGATGAGACTGTTTGTCGCTGCATTAATGATTTACTCGATGGAAGGTTTGCGACAAAATTTTTTGACTGTCGCAAGTGGAGGGGTCCTTGCGAAAAACCGACATTGAGGAATTTTAGCCATTGCACCGTGCAGTCTTTGTGTAAACTGCACGGTGGAGTGGTTAGGGAAGGATTTTGCACGGTGCAATGGTAGGGAAAGTTACTTTGCACAGTGCAATGACAGACAAAGGGTTTTGCACGGTGCAATAAGGGGGACGAAGGGTTCTGCACAGTGCAGTGGTTAGGAAAGGGTTCTGCACCGTGCAATGGCAGGAAAAGTTACTTTGCACAGTGCAATGACAGACAAAGGGTTCTGCACGGTGCAGTCTTTCAAAAGCTTTACGTTGCACTGCGCAGTGTTAAATTTGTTTTTAAAGTTACTGATAGTATTGTTTAGGGTCCTACGATCGCCTCAGCACCATCAGTCGAACAAGAAGACTACCGCACGCCGCGGGTGTCTGTAACATCAGTTAAAAATGGCAAAAGTTTCGATTTGGGAGCGGCCGAACGAGGACCTCGAGCTTCTGATTCCAATGGTCTTATCAAGGTAGGGTTTTTTACAGTTAGACATGAGAAACGGGCCTAACTTTCAGGCCCAGCCTGATCAGAAAATTTCTAGGCCTGGCCCGTTTTAAAAATTTTTGAAAATTTTAAAATTTAAAAAGTAAACATAGTATCCAATAAAATCAAAAAACATCAATTTAAATAAACAATTTTAAAAAATTTTTTAATTTTTTTTCAATGTGCATTAGTACTGTAGCCGGAGGGCGTTTGGGAGAGAAGCGAAACTGTGTAGTTTAATATTTCAAAACAAACAAGTAAGGCAAAGATTGGGCCAACTGTTTTCTCTTTATTCGGGACTCATTAAGGACTTTTTGGCTGCCGTCTTGGCTACTCCAATCTCTTCTGGATTATCAGCCAAGTTCAGCCGGCTTCCTCCATTTCTCGCCTTAGGGCTTCGCTCGAGATTAGGGTTGGAGGGGAGATACGGCTGGACTGGAATTCATTGTGTAATAAGGGGGTTGTATTTTAATATATTAGCTGTTTTATGACATTTTATATCGGTTGTTAAGGGGAGGGTTTTAAAAAAAACTTTAATTTAAGAAAGGTGGGGAGGAGTAGACGTCAAAAAAATTTTTTTGATACATGAGTTACATGTGGATCTATTTCTCGAATACCGGTTTGGTGGGGTTGATTCACATCCGCCCCTTCCTCCCCTTGCTAGAAATGAGGAACGGGCCGGTCCCAATTTTCAGGTCCGTCCGATAAAAATTTTGCTTAGGTCCGGCTTGTTCCTCATGTCTACTCCTAGCGACATCTGTGGGGTATAGTTATTACTCAGTTTCACTTCCCTAAATTGACTTTACTTTTTTTTGATTTTGAATTATTTTTAAAATTTTAAAATTATTTTGTCGCATTCCGAATGAATTTTAAAATTCAAAAATATATTATAGTTTAAACACTGACCAAGCACTACAAACACTTTGAAATAGTTAAGAAAACAGGTATTACACTTCTCCCCCCCCCCTTTCATAACTTGATGTTATTTATGCAGCACCCTTAAGCGTTGTTTTCCCTTACCTTAACTACATTACCCTACTACGTTACATATAGCACAATTCTCAGATTATAAATAAAAAGGGGCGGACTGTTCCCAATGTCCGCGACACCAGACTAACACCTAGACTGAATGGCGGCCGAGCAGCGAGAACGGAGAGCGTCGTCCATCCATGAGGTCACTAATCTTTTCTTAATGCTCTAGGCAATGAGGTTTTAAAACTGATTTTAGCTTTAGGGAGTTGTGTTTTAAAGATCATTTTAGACTACTTAAAACTTATTTTTAGATTTAAAGTATACGTTAGGTTGTTCAAATAATTCCGTGTTTCCTAACCCCAAAAGTTTTCATTGAGAGAGGGCACAAAATTATTTGAACGAACTATTATAACATGACAGTTTAATACTGATCTGCCAGCTCATTTTAGAAGCTGCAACTTTATTTTTTAAGTTTAGATAGTACGATAATTGCGATGCTAAAATTGCTTTACAGACGTATTTTACACGACATTTTTTAAAAAATTTTTTAGAAAAAATTAAATTTTATGAAAATTATTTTGCCTTTTTACCTTTAACCCTACGTTACTATCTAAAACTACTTTTTTTTGGAACTTTTAGGCTTAAATTACTTTCTAAACTATAGAGTTACATATGTTGCTTTACTTAAGTAATCTTAGGTTTAATTTCTTTTTCAGACCAATTTTAAGGTTTCTATTTATATTTGGCACTGTGTGAACCTCAAAGTTCAACAAACTTTTTTGAAAATTCAAAAAAAGTGTCATTGTTTAATGTAATGGTTTAATATAGTGTTCACTGTAAGATAATAAGCTCAAAAATATAAATTAAACTATGGTTGTTATACATATTGGTAAGACAGCTAAAAATATAATTAAAAATACTAAAATTGAGTATAAAAAATATTTTAGGTTACAGTTTCAAGTTTTTTAAGATGGTTAATATAATTTTTGCTCTTTAGGTCAGCGCCGACTTCCTCCGACTTCATGGCTCGCGACAACAGTTCAGGAACTTACTTTCGGCCAGGAAAAAGCTTGGCCAGATGCCACCGGCCTACACCAGAATCGACTACAGTCACGATTCATTTGACTCATCAGGTATGGGTTACTGTACATTGGCTAAATTTAGTTTTAGTTTATGATTGTAAAATACGGTTTTTATGACATCTTTCAGGTTTTTGAAAGGAAGTATTATATAGTTTTTGAGTAGTAAAGGTTTAAAAGTACAAGTTTAAACAAAATTTTTAAAATTTTAAGTTTGAAACATGACATAACACTACCTTTTACATAGTAAAGGTAGAATTATGTCAAAAGAATATAAGGAGAATGTTATATTTGTTCGATTACCAAAACAAGTCTAATTACTTTCACTTCAGCCGGTAAGGGATTGCCATTTCAAGGTCCGGTAATTACAATCGAAGACACGGCCGTGCCCAAGGGGCCATCGTGCGGGCTCAGTAGCGCCGTATCTTCATGTCCAGAGAGTCAACGGTCTTCCATCGATGATAGAGTCGCTGAGAATGGGTTACTGACCTCACCCATAACTCCAACACCTGTCAACAACAACAACAATGTCTTGAACCGGAATAACAGTCGGTAAGATAGGATGCCAAGAGATATGGTAAAATACGCTTGGCATTTTGTAAAATACGAATCTTATTTAAAAGTACAGGTTATAAAAGTTACAATTTAATGTGTATAGAAAGTTAAGCAAGATACGATGTATAGTAGGCAAAGTTATGGAAATGTTACGTATATATCTTCGTAAAATACACAGTAAAATTTAGTTACTGAGTATTTACGGAGATACACGTGCATGTATCTAAAATAACATAAAAGAGATTTACATTAGAAAGGTTATGTATAATATATACTATGAACAAAAACATAGTAAGTTGCAATAATAGTAGTGTTATGCATATTTAATGCAGTACACATTTTGTAAAATGCAATAAATATGTACATACATACATATTAAGATACAGACAAACAAAGTATGAAAGACGTATTATGACACAAAGATATTAAAACAGCAACTTTTGAAATGAAACACTAATTTTAAAATAATTGAAATAGCATCAAAAATAGTTCAAATTACAGTACTTACAATCATATATTACAGCTACGGCGTTCCCATCGACGATGCGACAGTAAAAATGATCTACAAGATACGATCACAACGTTTGAATACCAGAGTAAAAATCACTGATCGATGTTTGATCTTGGCCATAATTGGGGTTCTATTTATGGGATTGGACTCTGAAATGAACATTATCGGTGTTACCAAGGTATCATACTATTACATATAGCGTTATGTAAATTATATTTATATAGAGGTTATGTAAAGCAAAACATATTATGTATATTACAATGCATTAAAAGGTATTTTGATGCAAAAATAATGGCGTATACTTTCAGAACGATCTGATCTCGATCTGTTTTCGTACTTTTGTCATCTTTTCAACATTAACTTTACTGGTCGAGATTGTTCATTACCACGTCAACGAGATCATGGTATGTTCAGATATTTTTAAAACTTATCGTTATCTTACTGTAAAATGTTTTTTATATTAACAATGTAATTACAGCTAGATCTGATCGACTGTGGAGCAGATGACTGGCGTGTCGTATGTACATGGCGTCGTATCTCTCGGTTTATAATCGAGTTTCTACTCTGTGCACTATGCCCATACCCAAGTACTGGTACTGTTGAGTGGTGGTTCGTGGAGCCATCTCGAACATGTACACATACTTTTGTGATACGAGAAGTACCCATCGATTTACTTTTGTCGCTATTCATGTTGGGGAGAGTGTATCTGGCTGGAAGGTTTGTGGTGTTACACAGTAAACAGTTCCAGGTAAGTAGTATATTATATATGTGATATATTTACTGTTACACCTTTCTTAAGTACTGTAATCTGAGTAGATATAGTCTTTTTATTGTAACATAAGTAACGTATATCTCTTTACAGGACGCTTCCACCCGCACCTTAGCGGCCTTGAACCGTATCCAAGTCAACTTCACCTTCGTCATGAAGTCGTGGCTAGACCAGCATCCGATGCGATGTCTCTCGCTGTTCCTTCTGGTCTTCTGGTTCACGTTTGCTTGGACGTTCGTCCAATGTGAACGTTTTGGCAGAGAAGAGGAGGCCAAATGGCTGATGTATTCGAACGCCTTGTGGTTTATCGCTTCTACCTTCAACGGTAACGGATATGGTGATGTTGTGCCTAAGACTACAGCTGGCAGAATGATTGGCATCTTTGTGGGACTTACTGTAAGTTTTTACTATGGTATTTGGGATCTGAAAAGATATTAAAATATATTATGGCAGAAAATGTCAGAAATTTTTAAAATGATGTTTTTGTAACATATGGTGTGGTAATGATTATATGGTATCTATATTATTGTTTTTGACTTAAAAATTATTTTTATCACCGGAATATTGTTATAATACAGTAATAACACATTGTTATACGAATATATTGTGCTATTTTGGTACTTCTTTACAATTCCTTGTTGTGATTATTATAGTAGCTATAGAAATGAATATAAAGCTGCAGTAAAATACTAGATAATACCGTTAATTGAAGCGTCACAGACTCACTAATCTCTATAATCCAAACAAACAGAATGCCAAAGGCTTTGAATACCTTGTGCAAAATTAAATTTAAATTATTGACAATTTAATTTATTGTTTTAAACCTAACACTTTATCCATGAGGGTTGATTAAGACCTTACTTTATCTTAACTTAACGTAACATTAACACTTTACCTATAATATCAATATAACATCAATATTGTTATAGGGAGCGATAATATCCTCGATTCTGATTGCCGTCATCTCACGGAAGATCGTGTTGTCCTCAGGCCAAAGGAATGTGAACAACTTCATGAATGACTCCAGACTGACCATTGAACACAAGAATGCGGCAGCTCGCGTCCTACAAAAGACATGGCACATCTATAAGAATCTGCATTCAAATGACACTGGGGATCGACTTCTGAGGCGACATCAACGAGAGTTCTTGAACGCCATACACAGGTCAGTACTAGTTTATAAAGATTTGACAGAACCTTAATTTGAGGCACTTTGCCAGCCATGACCAAGCTTGACTTAAGATATTGTGAATAGTGAGCAGTAGAACTGTTGTGAATTTATATTTTTTATCGCAAATGTATGTGGTTCTTGAGGGTTTTTCAAGCAGAATGCATTATTATAGGGCTGAAGATGAAGGTCTATTATAATAATCATATTTGTAGTTTCCGAAAGGTAAAGAACAAGATCAGAAGCTTTAATGAGAGCAACGACGTGTCGTCTCAGCAAGCTACACGGGTATGTTAATATACTTTCACTCTTAACTTGATTATTATAAGGGGACGTCTTATAGGAAGACAATATTTTTTAGAAAATTCTAGTATTCTTTACATTTTTATCGTTTTTCATAAGTAAACACCTTCAAATGCTACTTTTAGATACCTAAACTAATATAAAATAACTCTTCTTTCAGTTGATGCTGGAGATGCACACGAACATGCTGAAGCTGATGAACACGCAAGAAGACATGCGCACCCAGATGGAGGTTATGCAACGTGCCATCCGCAATCACTTCACTCATCAGCACGCCGTCACGATAGCGGCTCAAGACTAACACAATATCAGGGTACAATTAAGTTATTATTTATAGCCTCCGGGATTAAACACTTTGCGGATTAGCTATCTTGTGTTACCTCGTCCCACTTCTAGCGACTTTAATATTATACTTTGAGAGCTTTTCGTATTTTATACGGTTATCAAGGCAATCGTATTTGGTATGATTGTAATTGGAATCGTATTTCATACGGTATCGTATTTTATATGGATGTAAATTGACTTTTGTATATACAGTATGAGTATTATTGAGTTGTGTTTGTTATGTTTGGGCTTGTTTGTATATAATACAATATTGCGCGGTTGTGCGAAGTGTTGTATCTATTTATTGAATAAATATTAACGTTTTAACTACCTTAACTTAATAACTTTAACAATTTTGTTTTAAAATTTTGATGACTTTGCAACAAGTTTTGAAAAGAGTATTAAACTTTTGACTATAAGCTTACAAGATAAGTACAGTAAGTTGAATTTAAAGTTCGATTCCGTAAAGTATTATGTTAGCATTTACTAAAAACCAAACTTTCAATGTCTTCTGCCCAAGTTAAACGGCAATGGTAAGGAGAGGGACAGAAGGGGTGCCCCTTCCTCACATTTTAAATGATATACTTTAGTTAACTGTTTATAAATATATGTATATTAAATGTTTTAGTAAGGTATAACGTTCAGTCACTCATTTGTCTTGATTACTTTTTTTTTCAGTAGTATTGGTTTTCACTCTAAGCTAACTTACTATCTTGATAACTGCAAAAACATACAACATAGACAAGTAGAACCACCTGAGACTATCCCAGTTATAAAACACACAGAGTTCAGACAGTTGTAAATTTGTACAAATGGTTTGCTTACACATTTTATCTTGTCGCTAGTTATTTGTATGTCATCTCCAGACAAGCATATGTTTTGAGGTTACATAAAGAAGGTTTGTTATGTTTTATTTTACGGTTATTAAGACATATGCTGTTCCATACTTTCTTTACCTTTATATTTTAAAATAAATTTAAAAAAGTGTTGTAAAACGTATATTTAGAATTGTCATAGCAGTTATTACAAGTCTTAACAAGGTAGTTAATATAAAAAGCCTTTTACATTGTAAAAAGTAGTTATGGGCTTCACATTACAATTACAGGTTTACTCGTTCTACTGGTTTACTCGCTCTCTACAACCTATAAACCCCGTTACTGTGCCTATAAACGCTCTAATTTGTCATAAACCCAATTACTGTTGGCGGTTGTAAACAGCGCCGGCTTCGTATAAAATTGTTATTCTTGGCCCGGGGTCTAAAAATAGATGGAGCTAAAAATAGAGCGCCCGGCCTCTTTTCTCTTAACGTTGTTTCAAATGGACGAGGGCGAGAGAGCACGAGACTCTCGACGGCAGAGAAGCAGAGCACCGCTCTTTCTCTATTTTTGTTGTTCTTGTTCTGTTTTGTGTCCCCCGGAACGGAGGGGACCATTGGGGAGGAAAGGGGACCATTTTCAGATTGGATGGAGTACTTTATATTACACTTGAGGTTGTGGTACTATTTAGTATTCATAGTACTTTGAAAGCCCTGCATATTGGTTTTGAAAAAGCAGAGTCACATTTTTTGGAATGAAGCCGGCCTTTTGGCCATAACAATTAAACCTCGAGTAGTCATACTTGTACTGCACGGTACTTGCCTTAGTTAGCCTGTAGTTGAAGGGGCTTTGTTGGTTTTTGTACTCTACTCCCAATGTTATGTTGTTTATTGTAGCAGTTTCAAAATAACTACTTTTTGTATATTTAAGCTACTGCTTTCTCTTTTATAGAAATTCCTAACCAAGGTACGTGTACATTTACATATAATTGTAGATTCGACTGCTTTTGTAGGTAACGGTTGTGCTTTACATACAAAGTATGTTAATATACATTTTTATTATTAGTTTTGGGGTTTTAAAGTTAGTTTTGGCCGAAAAGTTGGTAGAAAGGTCTGCAAGAAAGTTCATATATTGTTTTAGTTATTTTATGACAAAACTTATAGATCTACCTTACCACTTCAATTAAAAAATGTTAGGTTGCTTCTATCTTTATACTTATATCAATTTTCATACCTAATCTTGTAAAATGTAACCGATTTTACTTTGAATTCGTGAAATTTAATTAAATCTGGGCTATTTACATTAATCTTGCAGACACAGTAATTGATGTTCCACTATGGATAAAGAGGAGCCCAGTTCTTCGATTACAAAATTCGATCTGGAACAACAATTAGCATACTTGAGTCAAGTAAGTCGTTTCTTACTGTTTCGAGGTTTAGATTGTCACAAGTTTACTCTCAATTCATGCGGTAGTTATTGTCAAATGACATTGTGTGATAAAGGAAATGATATGATTTTTTTTCAAATGTGCAAGAACTATGATTTTTTTTGAAATTCACAAAATTGCCTTAGGCATAGTTCAAAAAAGCTTACCTTTTTTGATTTTTAAAATCCTAGTTTTCTTTTAAACTATCTCAATGTTACCTAAACTTTAAAACTTTTAGCTACGCCAACCCCAGCCGGGCCCAGCAGCCCCCTTTGCACCGAACCAAAACAGTAGGGATTACCTACAAAGTCTACAGCTTCTGGCTTCACAGATCAATTCTGGGAATGCTGGCTCGAATCCTCTTCTCGGCTCTTCTAATCAAACGTCATTAGAAGAGCCGGATCCACCTTTAAACACATCAACTGGTTCAGCTCGGGATCTTAGTCTACATGCCAGGAACCGACGGACCTTCTCTGGGTCTGGCCAAACTATATCACAACACACGAGGGACCGGCTCAAGTCTATGATTGCTACGAAGAAACAAAAACAAAAGTAAGTTATAGTGATGGTATTAGTGCTTTGGTACTATCTTTACTTTGTTATACACAACATACAACATATTATGTTACTCTTGACATTTATCGTGATATCAAGCTTGATGCTTTCAGTAGTCTAACCTCAGCCAGTGGATCAGCAGCCAGCTCAGAAGTGAACCTCCTCAGTCAACTGGCTTCACAAGTGAATCCGACGCCGATTGTGTCGCAGAAGCCGAGTATCAGCAATATTCTGAATGGCACTCCCCAGTTCGAAGCCTTCAATCCCACGATTCAGACGCCGTCAAACCAACTCAACGACTTCCAGCTACGGAAAGTGAACAGTGAACCGAATCTAAAGATGCGGCTACGGGCACGGCTACTGAATAAAGGGTCTAGTCCAGTCACTAGTCAACAGCATCCTTACAACAATGTCCCTGGGATACACAAACCATTGCAACGGTAAGTTATTGTGTTTTTGTATGTTAGGAATGTTTATATGGTCACAAAGTGTGTAGAAGTTGTTGTTTAACATGTTTTACTTTATTTTTGGACCAATATAGTAGTCCTTTTATATTTATGAAATAACTCCACTTTCAGCTGCGACAGTGACAGTGTGTCCAACCAAATGGACCTGGGTGGCCTAAAAACTCAGGACACGCCCAACCTTCTGGCCCACGCCCAGTCCATATCGAATATGGCATCGGCCTCGAACCTGGTCTTCCCATCCCCATCGCTACCTAATCTTTCAAACAACTTCGAACAACTCCAAAATGATCTGAACACCTTCCTGATGCAGGCCCAGCTGGCTAGCTACTTCTCCATGCCCTCTCTAGTCAAGAACAACAATCTCAACCCCTACTCGTCGAACGCGATCCTAGAGTCGCTTCTGGAGAAGAACAACGGAATGAACGCGGGGTTGAGCTTCAGGACGGCGTCGCAGCTACACAACGGCTACCCAAGTCTTCTGAAGCAGCAGTTGAGGGATCTGGTGCTAAGGAGGAAGTCACTGGTCAGGGAAGAGCCTGAGGAAGAACAACTGATGGGAGCGTTCAGTCAGAGATTCAGCTTCAGTACGAACAGTATCAAGACCGGTGAGTATTATAATATTATAAAATTAAAATGTCATCGAAATACCTTAGTTTTGGCAATACTTAACTTATATTATTGTAGGTATTGCTTATGACGAACTAATGAGTGGACACAGCTGTGTGTGTGGGAACGACTCGAATCACGTTGAGCACGGTGGTCGAGTGAGCAGTATATACAAACGACTGGTCGATGCTGGCATAATGGATGTTTGTGAAAAGATCTCTGGGAAGAAAGCGACGTTGGAGGTACTGAAACTGGCACACACTCCAGCTCACGTCAACTTCTTTGCGGGTTCCATTGGTACCGGATTCAGGACGGATGGTACTGCCTTGGAAAAGTTTATTCAGGTAGGATATTAACCCTTATGAAGTGGTACTATTTAGACAGGTATATCATAATTGATTTTAATTTGTCTTACTCTTCGATAGATCGTATCATCTTTCAGTTACCGTGCGGTGGAATCGGAGTAGACGCCGATACCTACTACAACGCAGAAACCAGCAAACAAGCCATCCAACTCTCAGTTGGCACTTTAGTAGAACTAGTCAGTCAAGTAGCAGAAGGAAAACTCAAAAATGGCTTTGCCTGCATCCGACCCCCAGGGCATCATGCTGAACGAGAACAAGCGATGGGATTCTGTTTCTTCAACAATGTAGCCATTGCTACACGATACCTTCAGCGAACGTACCAGAACAAGAGGATAGCCATAGTCGACTGGGATGTCCATCATGGTAATGGTACTCAGCTCTGCTTCGACAATGACCCTAACGTACTGTACATATCGCTACACCGTCACGACAACGGTAACTTCTTCCCTGGTACTGGCGCTGTGACCGACAATGGGTGTGATGCTGGAAAGGGCTTCTCGGTCAATATTCCATTCAGTGGCGACATCATGGGAGATCCGGAGTATCTTGCCGCGTGGAGGGTACTAGTGGTACCATTGTTGGACTCCTTTAGGCCAGAGTTTATTCTGGTGTCTTCTGGGTTCGACGCTTCTCGAGGACATCCTCAAGCACTTGGAGGGTAGGTCTAATCTTAATGTGTCCATCAAATGTTTTATACCTTTTCAACTTCTGGTAAGATTATCTAAATTTGTAGTATAATCAAAACTTATCAGAAAAATTATTATAAGGAAGATAATAAAAAGTGATGTTTTAGGTATGAACTGAGCTCAAAAATATTTGGTTATTTCACAAAATCGTTGATGGGATACGCTGACGGTAAAGTGGTACTAGCACTAGAAGGTGGATACGAAATCAATGCTATCAGTGACGCCGCTGAAGACTGTGTCAAGGTAAATACACTACTATAAACAATAGGGAGAGTGTCATCTAAAAAGATTACATACTTGAAGCCACTTTATAATAATAATCAATAGACGAAGAACTTAAAATTTAAACTTCAGGCTCTATGTGGTACCGGCGGCGACATAACCGAACTGAACCCGGAGTCCCTGGAGCGGGCCCCCAACCAGGCTGCCCAAGAAACCATTCAGAAAGTGATAGCTGTACATAAGAAGAGCTGGCCCGGCCTGACCGGCCTTCAGGGCATCAACATGAGTGAGATGCACTGGCAGACCGTCTCCCAAGGGCTACAGTCCCTCACGGTGCGGGCCTGACCTCCAGTTTTAGCCTAGACTAGCATTTAGCTCAACCTAACTTATTGTGGTATTCTTGGCAGACTTGAACGCGGCATATCGAGATTATTATTGTTCTCTGTTGACTAACCGGTTATTGACACCAATGTATTGTACATGTTGAATATATTATATTGTACATGATAAACCACCTTTTGTTGTTGTACATGATAAAACGTCTTATCTTTATCACCTCCGTCTGTCATAAAACGTTTTCGCGCCATTTACAGAGTTTTAACCGGCAAGTTGTTAATTTATACATTCTACTCAAAGACTTGTCTCAATTCATTGTTTTCGTCATACATAAAGCATATTATTTAAACTATGGTGTATATTGGGATGTATGTTGATATTGTACATAACTAAAAATTTTAAATGACTAATAAACATATTGAATGTGGTCGACAACATTAAAATTACCATAAAACAGTTTTTTGTCCAATTTTATTCACAGAAACACAAAGAAACAACGTGACCCAAATAGAAACACTTGACGCAAATAATAATTCCACGCGAAAATTATTTTTTCACGAGATTTATGTCGGAAAATCCACGACAACAGTGCAGATGACCGAAGGGGTGAGTTTAATTGATTGAGATTACTTGTATTTAGGAGCCTGAAGCACTGAAACAAGAAGGTAATGATCAGAATGAAGGAAAAAAGTCAAACAAGGTAAGTGCAGCATTAATATTGACGTTTCTTTGTTTAGTTGGATGCATTGCCACGCGAATCTTTGATCAATCTCTTGAAGAAACAGGTCACGATTACCAAAGACTTGAAGAAACAGTTAACTACAGCTAAAGAAGAGGTATGTGTAATGTTTTTGCTTTTTATTAAATTTTTAGGCAGATGGACTACGGGAACAACTGGGATCACAGAAACCTCAGGAGGATGTAAGTTTTTACCTTTTGGGAAATTAATTTATACCCATTTTATTGGTTATTAGAGTTATATGTGTTATAATAAGTTTAAATTGATAAATGTATTGATTTAGAATGATACGGCATTAATACAATTGGAGCTGTTGGATTACAAAAAGAGTTTGGAGCAGCTCAAGAAGAAGTACGAAGCTTCCGAAGCTACATTAAAGCAAAAAGATAGTCTTCTGGATGAAGTCGTTGAGAAAATGAAGAGTTTGACAGAGCAGAATGTAGCATTAGAAGATGAAAAGCAGAAGGTTACCTTGGAATTGAACCGACTAGCGGCTGAAATTCAAGGTAAATTTACAAGATGCATGCTTAAAGTTTTAGCAAACCAGCAAACGTCGTTTTCAAATCTTTTTAGCTTGAATTTATCTTTATACAAACATTAATAATTTTAGAAAAAGACGAATTGCTCCAAGAAAATGGGAAAAACGCAGATGATCTGAAGAAGATGTCAGATGAAAAGGAGAAGAAGATTGAAAACGAGATATCAGAACTGGAAGAAACTATTGTAAGACAAACAAAAGTATTAGAAGAAGTGAGGAAAGAACTGAAGGACACAAAGGAAGAGAACCTAAATCTGGTTAGAGTCAATCATCGTTTCCAAGATGATCTCGACCTTGTGAAGAACGAATTCAAGAAGTATAAAGAACGAGCTGAGTTCTTGTTGAATAGTTCTACCGAACAGAATCAGCGACAAGCGACAGACGGTTTTGAATTGGAAGAAATGGAGCGACAGTTGGGTCAGAAGGACATCGAGATCTCCGATTTGAAGTAGGTTACTGGCATTTTTTGAGATTCTTAGGTAAAAGATGGCAATTTTTCTCTTAAAATATCTTTTGAGGACAAATATTGTTTGTTTTCAGTGAGAAGATCCGCCATATGCAACACGAATTGCACTCACAGAAAGAACGAACGTTGACGCTAAAGTCTGAGCTAGAAGACTCCAGAATGTCGATATCGTTTGTCCAGAAAGACTTTAACGAACAACGAAAACAACTTGTCGCCGAATACGACGAAAGAACCAAGACTTTGGCATTTGAGAACGAAAGACTTAAAGATAGTGTAAATGACTTGAAAGAGAAACTGGCGACAAACAATCAACGACCTACTAACTTCGACAACTCACAGATTATTGAACTCAACAAGGAAATTAATCGACTGACAAACGAGTTGATGGAATACAAGCAGAAGGAAGAATCTTCGGATCGGACTATCACTGTAAGTTTCGAATTGGTTGATCTTTTGATAATCTATTGGAAAAAAGTCTTACGTTTCTGTGATTACTTAATGTTATATGAATATATTTTATACAAATATTAAAATGAAATTCATTTCAGAAACAGCAAGAAACGAATTCAAAGAAAAGTGTACCAAATCCCATCAATTTCAACTTTGAATCCTACTACAATAAGCATCAGAATCCTCAAACAACTTCTGAGCCCTTTGCCAGTCCAGAAGAAGATCTTGTCAAAAGCCTTAAGAACGTAATAGATGGTGTTGATGATGTTGAAAGCTGCTCCACCTTCAACCTTGATGCCTACTCTGTAGATGACTCTTTCCTGATGGAACCAGAGTTGGCGATGAAGCAGATGGAGAACATGAAAGAGCTTCTGAAGGATACAGAAGAGACAAACGCCAAACTCGAAGATCAGGTCAGACTTCTGAAGGAAGAGATCAGGAGAAGTGAGAGGGACAAAGAAAGGGAGAAACACGTTTCCAGCAATTCAGAGTACCTGAAGAACGTGGTGTTGAAGTTCCTGGCTCCAGAGAAGGTGAACGATGGCAGAAGTCAACTGCTGCCGGTCTTATGTACATTACTCAGTCTAACGCCTCAAGAAAAACAGAAAATCGAAGAATACCTGAAGTCGCAGAACGTCAGCAACACGACTCCGCCGCCTTCTGAATGGTCCGGCTACTTTGGGCCGTTGTCAGGAATATTCTAATCTTGTGATAAGCTATGCCTTTATCAGCCCTAACACTGTCCGGTTGTCGATTGTATTATAAATCTCATCAAGATAACACCTTGTCGAGAAATGTGTCACTTTGTCTATAAAACATGTCAGCTTTTCAAGATTTTTTTGTAATTTGGGCTTCAAAGTCGCCTGGTTTACATACGTTGTAAATTATCTTTAGCTAACCGTAATTTTAGTAGCCGGTCTTTTATAATAGTCATTTTAGTGACCCAAGTGTAAGATAATTATATTGGCAACCGTTTGATACATTCCCCTTATTGTGATTCACTAACTTATGCTCTTTAAAGATGAATAAATATTGTTAACAAAGTTTTAAATGTTGTAACTGATAAGACATAAAAATCTAAAATACATTACGATAGAAACGATAATAAAATACCTAGAAACCCTATTTGTCGATTTTTGAACGGTGTCACCATGGAGACGATACAAAAACTTGAAGAAAGTAAATATAACGGTTGTGTTCGGTAAAGCATGGCCAATACAATGTCGAGTGTCATTTTGGAAGGGCTGAACTCCGAGCCCTTCGACATGAATCTGACATCGTTGTCGTTGGAATCGTTGAGTAATCAGAAGCTGCTGCAAACTCTTAGTGACGTCCTTGTGTGGATTCAGGGAACAGAAACCGTGGACATTAGATCAGAATCACCGGAAGAAACAGCTATTAGGATCTTGAATACGTTGAGGATTCTGAAATATCCTCCACCACGCGACATCGAGCAGATGTAGGTATAAACACTTTGTTCAAGTTAAAAGTACTTTCAAAGATTTCAATTACTATACTTATTCTGTTGTCCATACTTGACAAACCAAGCTATAAGTGGCAAGACAGAACATAATATTGTGTAGACAAATATCTCGTTACAGGCAAGCATGGAGGCTAGATCTTCTAGAAGGCCAAAAGCAAGCCGTGTATCCTATACTAGAGTGGATCTTTAATGATATAGACAGGCTGAAGGAACGAGTGTATCTTGCCAACTACCTTACTATAACAGACATACCAATCGAAGAGCAATCTCCAGATGTACAACAGCTAATGGGTAAAGTACAACAGAAAATGCAGGAGTTTAAAGTAAGCGTTAGAAACTATGCTTCACACCTTTAAAAGTACATTTTCTTTCATATAGGTAACATTAGCGTCCTTACTAAATACCGTGGTATTACATTTTCAGACCTTGCACTCAAAAATTGTCGAAATTCGATCAGACTTCGTCCATGCTGAAGACATCCGCTCAGATCTGAAGACCATGTACGAAGAGAAAGAGCAAATAATAAGGTCCATCGGAAGAAGCAAACAACGAGTATCTCATCGACAAAACATCAAGAATGAGTTGGAGTTGGCCAAGAGATATCGACAGGTTTCGGAGAAGTACAACGACCTTGTCTTTCAGCAAGAAGAACAACGAAATGCTGTAAGCTTATCAAATTTTTAAAAACTCGTACAACTTTTAATTTTGTCTGAGCTAGCATTGGAAGGACACCTTATTTTTGTGCATTAAAAAATAAGTTGACATACGCATATGAGTAGTAATCGATGACATTGTAGCTAATCCACGCAGAACAACGTGCCCAACGCCTTCGTCGGCTACTTAATGATGCTCAAAAAGAACGAGAAATGATGGATCCAACAAAACTTATTCAAAAATTTAAAGTAAATTTTTAATAGTCTATTGTTAACCTTATACCCTTTTACAGCATATCTTTTCACTTTATTTCCTTGTACTTTTAAGCCTATATCCCTTCACTTTACAGCAAGAACTAGACGTGAACAAGTATTTGGTCAATGAAAAACTCAAAAACGACAAAGAAGAACTACTGAAGGGCATAAGTCTTGTAAACAAAATTCTTTCCACAGCTCAAGTCAACCAAGAAGACATTAAGAATATGACACAACAAGTAAGACACAATTCACTTTTTTTTTAATTTTAGACTATTTGCTAGTATATGTACGTATCAATAATCTTACTCTAAATATGTTATAATGACTTATACCCTAGATTGATTCACTCAACCAAGAGATCAAAGAAACATTGCTAGAAAGAGACAAGACAGATGAAGATCAAGAAGACAAACTCGGCATCTACCGTCATCAAAAGACTGGAGTACAACGTCGAAAGGCCGCTGTAGCCGACAAGCTAAATTCATTACGGTAATTTTTTGAAAGTTAATTTATTACAGTACCAACTACAGTAATTTTAACAAGTCTTTAAAAATAATGCCTAATTAACGTATTCAGACAAGAATTATCGTACCTAGAAGCTACAGTAGCTCAGAAGAAGAAAGACATAATGCAGAAAACTGGCATTGAGGAATTCATAACTTCTGCCCAAGTAAGTTTTGAAACGTTAGTAACTAAAATATTGCTGAATCTATCACCAATATGATTATAGTTCAAAAAGTACATAAATGTTGTGAGAACCAAGACCAACACATACAAGAAGAAAAAGATGGAGATTGAATCATTGACAAGCGAGATGAATATACTTCAAAGAACGGCCGACATATTGTCCAAAAACTGGGAAGATCTCAGGGAACAACTTGTAAGTCATTTGTAAAGACAACTTGAACTAATAAACATATTATGTATACAAATACGTACTTTTACTTTATCTACAGAGATTTAAGTATTGAGAGAGAGCACAGAATTATGTGAACAACCTAATATATAAGATTCCTATAGAAATGTAAGCTAATAGAAACTGTCTTAGGAATCAGACGGCCGTGGAATCATAGAAGACGAAGAAGTGAATGTTATGGAACGACCAAAAACGGCGAAACCCCAGAACACAAACCTGAATGAACTGAAAGAAATGGTCAAAGAACTAAGTGATCAATTGGTACAGAAACGAGAAGAAATAGCACAACTTTCACAACAAGTTCAGAATATTTCCAGCGAACGAAAGGTAACACTACATTAACCGTTTGTCAATAATGATTGCCTTTCAAAACCACATCTCTATTACTAAACTGATGCTATATTCTTATTTTTTATTACTAAACTAATGCTATTTAGAAAGAAAATGAGAGTATTATGGAGATGAAGAAGACCATCAAGGAGTTCAGAGAGAACCACACGCACCAAAAAGAAAACTTGGATAAAGTAATTTTACCTTTGTTAACATAAGAAATGTGGACATAATAACACAAAACTACACATATAAAGTATCAAAACAACAAATAAAGTACCTGATCATCCCCTTCTTCCAGGAAATAAAGGATCTCCAAAAGACAAACACAGAACTCCAAGACAAAAAGGAAAAGCTGGCCAAGGAGATCGACCGGTATGAATGGTTCCAGGAAACGGTCAACAAGTCAGAAGGCGAAGAAGACTTGATTCGAATTATGGAGCGACAGAAGGCAGAAGCTTTGAGCCATGTCGAAAGAATCGACAACGAACTTCAACGCTTCAACAATCTGTCAGATCCAAGCGAGCAAATTGTCATGTGGAAGTCACTGATCGAGCTGTATTCCCTCAAGTTAGACATTATAAACCAAAAGTAAGATAAATCCATAAAAAATGAGTATTATAGTTGGCCTTGAAGCCTAAAATCAGGCTTGAAAAAGGTTTTTAGGTTATTTTTGTAATAAAACATACTAAATCAGTTTTTTTTCAGAAAAGGTTCGGATCATCCCATTGGAGACTAAAAACAGAAACTTCCAAGGTTTACCAGAAATTAAAATATTTTTGCAAAATTTTGTAATAAATTACACTCCGTGGTCCCATCACGAAAACAAGGAACGAAAAATTGTTTGGCATTGTGTTATTTTAATGTATATTTTTTGTAATGTTCTTATGGCTCTAGTAAAGTAATATTGTAATGTATATACACTAACTTCTAAGTATTTGACTATATATTGTACATAATGGATGACATGGGGGACTTCTCTTTAATTGTCCAACTGAGCCACCGAGAGCTGATTCATGTATTGGAATCAATCCCCGGCCAGAAGGACTTGGTGGTGGAGTCTACGTTAATGAGACCTTTGGATAAGATAGCATCGATGAGTTTACTTATTGAACATGGAGTACCCCGAGTTCAACAGCTGAAGGCGGAAGGCACCATCTCGTGGGATCCCAACCTACCAGAACGAGTCTTTCTGTGTCGCCCGACCTTGGCCAACATGCGCAAGATCTCCGAATACATTCGAGCTGACCCTACACGAACATATCACATGGTACTGGTGGATAGAAAGCGAAGTGTCTGTGAAATAGAGCTGGAGAAGTATGGTGTATATGGCCAGGTATACTTTCACGAGCTGAATCTGTATGTTGTGCCATTGGAGTCAGATGTGTTTTCTTTGGAACTCCCAGAGCCTTCTTTGAAGTCTACAAATTCAGCGTTGCCTTCGATGGCGAGAGCTTTGTGGCAACTACAATGTCTATATGGCCTGATTCCAGTATCGTATAACTTTGGAAAGCAAGCCAAATGTCTTGAACACTGTTTGAAACAGATCTTCTTCGAACAAGGAGAACCCACCGCTTCTGCCGACCGTCCTATTAGTCATATGATAGTATTCGACCGAAGTCTCGACATCGCATCCGTACTTTTAACTGGCCTAACATACGAATCCATGTTGAATGACTGCTTCCAATACTCGTGCGGAAAAATAATTTTTGGAGAAGCTGTCGAGAACAAACTGAAGAACAAGAACAACCTGAAGAGTAAAGCCTACAGTCTCAACAACTCAGACGCCATCTTTTCGGCCATCAGAAACAAACACATGACTTCTGTGTTCCCCTTTCTCAGTACCAAGGCGAAGACACTACAATGTAGTTACGATAAAGCAAGCGGTAAGTCATCGTATGATTTTATGTTTCTGTTTTTAGCTATGAGCAAAGTGGATGAGGTCAAGTCGTTTGTTGTGAACGAGCTGAAGAGTCTGCGAGAGCAACATAAATTACTCGAAGTTCATATATGTGCATGTGAAACCATGTTGGAGATCAACAAAGGCTGTACGGAACGACTAGCTATGGAACATTCTATAGTCAAGGGACAATTTGAAGCCACAGAGGTCATGAATTACATAGAAAACTTGATTTGTCGTCAATACAACCCATGGCAAGTCCTGCAGCTGATGTGTTTATGGTCTGTCACAAGTAATGGTATCCCTGTCAGACACTTTTCTTCCTTCCGAACATTGTTTTTGCATGCTTACGGCTACGAACACTTAACAACCTTGTTTTACTTGAACTCGGCTGGACTGTTGACCGAAGCAGCAAGCGCCAATACCATGGCTATAACACAACGCGCCAAAGTGGCACAATCCGACTTTGGCCATGTACTTAAGACTCTTGAGCTGGTGCCAAAGCCGGGATCGAAACAGAAAATTGAAGCCAGCTACGTATTCTCTGAAGCCTACACGCCTGTCGTGTTGAAGATACTCGAGCTGTTGGTGGACGAAGGATGGGATTCTCAGACACTGAAGAAGGCATTCAAAGATGTGTATACGAATTGTTCCAGTCCGACGACCCCCAAGCCTGATAACCGCATAATGAGAGCCATTCTAGTCTGTTTCCCTGGCGGAGTAACTTATTCAGAGATTGCCGCCCTTAGGCGATTCGCACAGGACAAAAACTTTCGCATAATAATAATTACAAGTCATATCATTTCCCGTGAAAGATTCTTAAAAGGGTTTACTGATCAATAAAATTAAATGTGTTTATGTGTCATCGTAAAGAATTGACGAACGATAATAGAGATGAGTTGCTGGTAACGGAGCCTTTTTCTTCATCCAATCCGGCTAACTTCCGCAGTTTGCTCGCTCGATTCTTGGATTTGACCGTTGTTTTACTTACTAAACTCGGAGCTGGTTTAACTGCGGATATAATCGGTTGATGGGGCTTATCAATTATTTTCATCTTCTCTCCCTTCGAGCTTGACTTCTTTATTTTGACGGATTTGATGTTTGAATTGCAAAGCCGACAAACAATGATAACTCTGAAACGAGAATGCCGTTTGTGTTCGAACTATGGGTAGATGATAGATATACATCATGTATAAATGCTCGGTATTCGTCATTTACTCTTACTTTTTCTTGCTGTAGGTAACAGCACAATCAGTTGAGGAACAACGAGAACAACTGCCCGACGGAAATGTTTGACCTAGTTCTTTGGAACATACGGCTACATTCGCAAAGATAATGCGATTTGTCGAACAACTGGCTAGCGAAACTAGATAGCGCTTCGTGAGTTCGTCAATCTCACATTCCATCTACGAAAAAATGTCATTACTAATAAAGAGAAAAGCCTACAGTAAAACTAGATCACTACTTTTCAAAATAAAGTCCGAATTAAATAAGAAAATTTTAACGATAACAATAGTTAAGGGAACAATTCCACAAAACAAATAAGGGGATGGATATTATAAGGCACCGTCGCTTAAGCGGTCTGAGCGTTGGGTTTGCCCATCAATGCCATTGAAGCTTCGTTGACACGGTCGCCCAAGATTTCTTGGTTCTCCAGACACATGAGAAGTTCCGAGTTCTCCATTTCCAACAACATACCAGTGATCTTTCCAACCATGTCATCCGAGCACAAGTTCGCGATCAAAGGATACAACTGTTCGCCCAAAATCTGCTTTTGCTCCTAAAAGACCAAAGTTAATATAAACATTATTAGATATCACAAACAAAATACAATTATATACATTAAGAATAAAATTCATTTGTAAATCTTACTTGAGGAGCAGCAGAAGCAAGCTTAGATGTGAGTTCTTCTCTTTGAACGGTGTTGTTAGGGGCTCCCTGCGCGTGGTGTTGAGCGCGAACTTGTTGTCCGACTGGATAGCTGTATTGACCTTGTTGAGGTTTGCCTTGGCCGAGAGGTTGTCTCATTTGCTGTTGGCCACCTTGAATGTTACCGGCTGGAGCACGGTTCTGTGGTCGGGATCCTTGTTGGTATTGGCGCATGTTTCCTTGTTGACGCTGTCCACGGTGGTTGTTACCGTATTGGTTCTGTTGAACGAAGTTCTGCATGCCGAAGGTGGAGTTGATTCCGTTCCAGCGAGCCATGTTACCTCCACGAATTTGAGGAACGTTGGCGACGAATGGTCTTTGGTTTGGCAAGGCGGATTGGATGTAGAAAGCACCGCCAGCGTTTGGATACATGGCATTTGGGATGCCACCACCACCTTGGATTCTCATGGTGGCCATTCTCTGCATGTATTGAGAAGCCAGCTGAGCCTTACGCTCTTCCTTGCGTTGAGCCAAAGCGACGTACAAAGGCTTTCCGTTGAGCATCTTGTTGTTCATGTCTACGACGGCCTTGGTGGCATCATCAGGTTGCTCGAAGCACACGAATCCGAATCCCTTGGAGCGGCCGTGTTCATCGGTCATTACCTAAACAATATGCTTGAATTATAAAAGATTTAACTCACCTTAGCTGAGGCAATAGTACCGTGTTTCTCGAAGTTCTTCTTGAGGTCATCGCTGGTGACGGTGTCATCCAAGTTCTTGACGTACAAGTTGACTCCTTGATAACGCTGAGTGCGTTCGGCCTTGACTTGTTCGTAGACACGAGACAATTCGGCTTCACGTTCGGCCTTCTTCTGAGCACGACAAACATTCAGCTTCATTTCGGGTTCGATTTCGTAGTTGTCGAGTTCATTAACAGCCTTCTCGGCGTGTTCTGGGTCTTCGAAGGAAACGAAGCCAAACCCTTTGGACTTTCCTTCGTTATCCTTCATGACGACAGCGCTGGTGATTGGGCCGTACTTCTCGAACAACTCCTTGAGCTTGTTGTCATCCAGCTTGTCGTGGAAGTTCTTAACAAAGACGTTGGTGAATTGATGGGTAGCTTCTCCCATCTCACGAAGACGAGCAGCACGTGGTTGGAATTTGCCAACGTACACTTGCTTGTTGTCCAAAAGCATGCCATTTACCTTTTCGATAGCCTTCTGGGCAGCTTCTTCAGTTTCGAAATGGATGAATCCATATCCCTTGCTATGACCTTCCTCATCACATGCGATCTGAAATGAGATAAACATAAAATTAAAACATTCAATAATATCAAATTAAAGATAAAGTAGACACATAATTGAAAACAGTTAACCAACCTTGCAGCTGAGGATGTTACCAAACATAGAGAAAGTGTCATAGATGGACTTGGTATCAATGTTGGGGTCCAAGTTCTTGATGAACACGTTACCAGCTCCGGAGCGACGGATGGTAGGGTCGCGTTGAGACCACATGATTCGGATAGGCTTTCCACTGAGCGTATCAAAGTTCATGGTGTCCAAAGCTCTTTCGGCTAAAAACGAGCAGATATTAGAGTATAATACACTAATAAGAACAACTCATAAATGAACGCTTAGCTAAACATTAAAAAGATAAGAGGTAGTTTAACCAAAAAAATTAATCAGTTAATTCGAAACGAGCTATTTAACCTTACAGCGAATAAAACCTAAAACAATATCAAAACCAAAAATACTCACCATCAGCTGGTTGTTGGAAGTTGACATAAGCGTATCCCAAAGAACGACGAGTGATAGCATCACGACAGACACGGATTGACAAGACGGGACCAGCTTGGCTGAACTTGTTGTAAAGAAGAGATTCGGTGACGCTGGGATGAAGATCGCCAACGTACAACGAAGCCATCAAGTAGTTGCTAGCTGGGGCCGCATTTCCAGTAGCTGGAGCAGCGGCGGGCGCAGCAGGTGCAGAAGTCAAAGTCTGAGCAGCCATCTTTTTCGAAGTTTTTAGACACAACTGAAAACAACAACAATATTAAAATATCTAAAATTACAAAATTTGCATAAACTTGTTATACTAATAAAAGTCTAAAATATTTACAAAAATTTACATAACTGTACAAAATGCAACTTACCTTAGAGTAGACGATAGCCAAAAATATAAAATAACGATTTTTTTGATTTTTTAGATTTTAGAAAAAATTAATTTTTTTATTTTATTTTTTATTATTGGGGCAGGGAACCCGAATTAGAGCGTAGCAGAAGCACACTCACTCCAACGGGCAAAACAAGAATGGTCGGGGAATAGGAAGGGTTCCAACTCGTGATGAAAACCGCCCAGTCTTATTCAGGGCGCGCCGCGTGTGTCCCACCGCGAAAAGGGATTTGCGTTTGTTTTTCGCTTCAAATCCCTCCTTTTTGGGATTGCATCGCGAATACAAGACAATGTGGACGAAAAAACATTTTTTTTTGTAATAGTTGGGCAATCTTCTTTGAATTAGGAATTTTTCTGATTCCGATGCATTTCTTCGAGCTTTCTTACATTTCTCTTGTGGTAAGCTTAATATGTCGTTGAAACGGCATCAAGCTGACCTGGTTATTCAAAAAATTGATCTGTGATGTTACTACGGTAAAGTTGGTACCTTTTTCAAATATAAAAATGAAGAGAAACTAAAATTTTTTATATGCATTTAGAGAAGAAAATAAATTTCAAATATAAAATTATGAATCTTGCTGGGTTCTTGGCAGTTTTTTTCGGTAATTTGTATCTTTTCTGATGTTTAAAACATCCGGATTATTTAAAAAAATAAGGATATTCGATTATGTAGACGTTTATTGTGTTGGTTTGACCTTTGTATTTACAAATTCGGAAATTCTTTCAAGTTAATTCGTGTTTACGGCGTGTGACTATCAAGAACAACATGTTTGTTGTTATTAAAACTGTAGTAAATAGCCTAGAGTTGGTTCATTGTTTATGCAAATTTATGAAAATCTGTAAATGTAATTTGGTCCACGATTTGTTATTACATTAGACGACAGGTGGCTGAACATAATCCTCCCGCCGAGGAGAAGCTTTCCAGGTCCTGAAATAATGAGGTATAGTAATATGGATCAGAAATCAATGTTTAGTAGATCAATAACAGTTCATACTTTCAAAAATTTGAATTATAATCAACATTTTTATATTGAACTTTCAAAAATCAATTGGATTGACGATACAGTAATATTGGAAGGCTTTGATAAGGTGATTTGCAAAGTAATTAAAACTGCAATAGAAAAATAGAATTTTAATTTACAAACGTGGGAAAGACTACATTAATCGCGTACCTTCTCTTTGTGCTCGTTGACACCATTCTTCTGTTCCACGGCTTCTGAGTGTAGCTCCAAATAGCCGTCCAAAGTGTGTTCTGTAGCCCGTTCTCTGTCGCACAGTTCCCACACGCTCTTTCTCTCGTTCTTCTCCAGGAAATAGGTGGTAACGGGTTCTTTGCCCATCTTCAGATCAATCAATCCTCGTTCCGTAAAGCTGAAGCCCGAGTTCGTTTGGAGGGCGCGGGTGCGAGTGTGGCTACTTACATGGATCTTGCACGGTATTCCTTGCGATTCCATCTTGTTGGCAATGTTTACAGTGTCCCCAAAGAGACAGTAGCGTGGCATCTTTACTCCGACTACACCCGCGACAACAGGGCCACTGTGGACACCTACACGGATCCTGATCGATTGATTCTTGTTTATTGGACTGACTACAGACTTGGACTCCATCAACATTCCGATTGAGATGTCGAGTATTTTCTCGGCATGGTTAACACATTCTTGAGGCACTCCTCCTACTATCATATACGCATCCCCAATAGTCTCGACTTTGTACACATCGTGCTGAAAGTTGAAGTTTCCATTTTTGCTAATATTTGGTTAACTTACAGTAAAATATCGTACAATATGAAAAAATAAAAAAGTAGTGTAAAAAATATAACACTTAACAATAACAATAAAAATAAGTAAAAATCTCAGATTTGAATTGAAAAAAAAGCTATAGTAACACCTTACCAAACCGACCAGTCGATCGAACCTTAAGTACAAATCATTTAGAAGGTTGACAACATCGTACGGTGTACACATTGCACAGATGTTTGTAAATGTGACAATGTCAGTAAACAGCACAGTTGAATCCTGGAATTCAGAAGCTTCTACCGTGGATCCCTGCCGCAGACTTTCGGCTACGGAAGGCGGCATCAGTTCACAAAGTAGTTCTTCTGTCTTCTGTTTTTCGGTTTCTAATTCTGAAGCCATCTTCTTCAGGTTACGAGTTGTTTCTTCCAAGCGGCGACTAAAATATATCTTAGTACTGTACTGTCATAGGTTGTGTCAGTACAGGATAACATTTCTGACAACATTGTAATAAATATGAGTAAAAATCCTATTTATATTATAGAAATGACTTACTTTAACTCCACTTGTGACATCCTGGACTGGTTCAACATGATCAGATCCCTGGTCGAGTCGTGTCGCTGGATGTCGGATATGTACAGGTTCCTGTCCATGAGTTCCCTGATAGAAGTGACGTTTAAGGAACACATGAACACCAAGTAGTTGTTGTTGTCCACACTGATCATGGCTCCTTTCAATGTGATCGGGAACTGACTTATGGCCAAGTCGACTGAAGTTGGCTCAGCGTTTGGCCCAGCATTGTCTTTCATTTGAAACACAAACATACTGTTACGGAATGTCATGATAGAGTCGAAGTTCAAAGGTATTTCAGGGTGGGTGAGGTGGAGAATGTCAGTTAGTTTGGTCTCGCCCTTCTTTATGAACGGGAATGTCTTCTTCATGTGAATACCTACATGTTCGATGACGAGATCACGGTCGAAACAGAAGTGATGTGGGAAAGCGTTGCAGAAATCTACCATTTTTATTGGGTATTGACCTGCGCTCTAAATTTTTTCCATAATTTGTATTTTTCAAAATATTTTATTAAAAATTATACGGTTATAATACGTATTCCTTACAAAGATAATAGTTACATATTGTGTTATAATATAATAAAAAATATTAACTCGAAAGATAGTATTGTAACTTACATTAACAATCTCAGCCCCGCCAGAAGCTGATTTGCTGGCGATTGATCGTGTCGGTTGACCTGAACTGTTTTCAATCTAAATACAGTATAATAATTATTGTAAAAAAGATCGAAAATTTTATAAAAAGTTAATTAATCAAATAACGATAAAATATAATTTTGTACTACAACATACCTGTGTGATACTGAAAACAACATGTTCCGTGATCAGCGAGTCCCCATGTTCTTGCTTCCGTTCCTGCACTTTCATGATGACTTCTGTGTCAAAGATCCTCCTCACAGCTTCTCGGATCACACCTTTTACAATTGGATATAGCCCAGATCGTCTGGAATAGTAGTGTAACAGCAGAGATCCATCTTGTTGAACTTCACAACGGAACGATGGTCCTTTCAGTTTGGTACGGTAGACCACGTGGTCGATAAAATAATGCAGAGAATCTAGACCGTCCAAGAAGCCTTCGAGGTCAGGTGACATTGCTCGTAGAAGCTCGTCCCAGCCCGTTTCCATAGTGAATTGAATCAAAAATCCACCGTATGCTTCCCATACTTCCTCTATCGGAATACCTACAACACTAATTTAGTTAAGTTACCGTTTGACACCGTAAGAAATAGTATATGTAGCTGATACATTGTTTTTTTATGTAAATGTCCATAAAATAAGTGCATATTCAAATAGATATTACCAATAACAGATCCCATAGCTGCTACCAATCGGAAAGTGTCTTCATCCTTGTAGTTCTTGTTGATTTCTCTTTCTGTTCCATCTTCGAACTTGGCTATCTCTCTGAAGTAAACATAATTTACATATAATTTTTGAAAAAAAAGTTATCAATATTACGTTTAATTTCTTACAGTATCTTTAGCCAGGTGTCTCTGCCATATTTCCTGGTAACCAACTGACGGTAGCTCTCGTGAATCCAACCAAACTAAAACAACAAAAATTACTCAAAAATTTACAAATTCTCACACTTATCCTATAAAGTCGTCATAGGGCACAATATATAGTCCCCAATTGACATACCCAAAATCAACTAACTTTAAAGTATACTGTAATGTGCAACTTACCATCCCAGACGCCGGCCAATGTTACACAAGCGTGAAGAAGACCGTACGACACCAAAAGTGAAGATGGAATCACGCAATGTCTTCATTTTCTATGACAGCACGCTATCAAATACACCTTAAGTGAGCGCTAATCGTGAATATCTGATGGAGAAGACCGCCGCCGGGTCTAATTCTAACTTTACATTTTTGATTTACGTAAATCATTGTAAATATATATGTATAATTTACGCACGAAATACAACACCCACATCAGTAAACATAAGAACGTCTGCACAATTCACTAGTTACTGTCCAAGTATAAATTAACCAATAATTATGTAGTCATCATATTTTATGTAAAAATATAAAATTACGATATCGATTACATGCAGAACAAAGATAACATTCCTTTCTAAAATAAATATTATTTATTGCTTTATATACATAAAAGTCATCAATATAGCCTATGCCAACCCAACCCGTCTGAAGTCTGTTTCGGCTTCGTCTTCTGAAGAAAAGCCTTCTAGAGATCCATCATGACTCAGTTCATCTTTCACTGTCACTCGGTTTACTTTGGTCACGTTTTCAAACAATCCATTTTGTGTTAATCTAAAATTACGAAAATGTTTTAGCCTTTACATTTAAAATTAACGAAGTACATAAGGTACTGATTAACACTATCACAGAAACAAACTTACGCCATTCCATCTTCTTCATCTCCTTCTTCCTGTTGTGATATCTTCAAATAAGGATTACGCTTCACTGGTTTAAACGTGTTACCCACAACTATGAAGAAGATCAACGTTACCGTCTCTGTAACAGCTTCTGCTACCGATTTCTGATTGAATGGTAAGACTTGCTGAAACATACAAAAAATAAAACAAAAAAATAATAATTTGTAAATGACTATGAAAGCAATAGTGCAGAAAAAAAGTGAATAAGGTTATTTTTAGTTAATAAATATCAAAAATTCAAAAATAATAATGTAAAAACTCACGTCCAAAAAGAAAGCCCCCAGCCTTGTAGCGTAAATGTAGCTGATGACAACGATGTAGAACCGTCTAAACATGATCAGCCGTTGTAAATTAAACATGGCCTTTCCATCAGTCATTGCACCGTGTTGTAAGTGATTGATCGACCAAATGATTGGAAACAGAACAGCAGCACAACATACAAAGTCTAGAAACGTGAATAACTCAAACCAAAAGATATATCGTTGCTCTGCAATTTCACTTTCATTCAAGATAACCATAGCGATGTTGTCGATAACTTGTAGTGGCAACACGACGATGAAGAGACTTCTGTCTCTGTCCGTTAAGAAAGACTTGAAGAAGGTATAGCCAGTGCCAATTAAAATTAAAGTACCAAAAAGTAGAGCACCTTTCAGCCTAAAAATGTTTATTATCTTCAATAAGTCAATAATAAATTTATAAAACATTAACATCAAATATTAAATATATAAAGTAACTTACAAATGAGTAATGTAAAACAATATAGCCCATGCTTCCCGCTGGTGTCCGTATAGCGACACAAAATAAAAGTTCATTCCGTGACAAAACACTGACATTGTTTTCAATATTATCAACGCTGTCATAAGATGATGAATACGAAAGACTGAATTCGACCTATAAATAAAACTTTTGGTTAATAAAATATGACAAATAACTATATAGCAATCCTCATAAACCCGTGTTTGTAAAGTTATTCATAAATACATCTAACTTACTCTGCTTTACATAGAACATTAAACCAAAGAATAGCAGCCAATGCCGAAATGAATGATATAATTAGGTAAAACTGAGGTTTAGGTATGTCTCCAGCTGACAAATGAGATCCAAGATTCTTTTCTTCTATGGAAATCTGCAACAAAAATTGTTCAGTTTACACCGAACCTATTAAAAATTCAGCAAAATGAAGAGGTATCACAACTTTAATAATAATAAAATCTTACCGAATACTCCACAGCAACCTTATCACTAAACCCTTGCTGATGATACGTAAAACAATTGTGGTATATTAAATGATATAAACCAACATAATTCTTTCCAAATCTAATAGCGAACTGTGTTGAGTACTGACCATTGACATTGTTTAAAGGTATGAAATCCTTCATTACATCACCTTTGGGTGTCTTCTTTCCCCATATGATTTTGTCAAATAATCCCAGCTTTTGAGGTTCAGGTATCTAGAAGTACCTTATTAAAATAAAAACAACAATGCATGTACGTAAATTTAGTACCAAAAGTTATTTTTGTCAAACTCATACCTAAAGATCAAAACAAAATAATAAAAAACTTACTGTTCGATTTGTAGGATCGAAAAAGCAATCCTGTACTGTTGGGCATATGTCTAATCCCTTCAGACTACCGGATTTAGTCAATGTTAAAGAAGACGTTTCAAAGTCGAATATCAAAAATATTGCATCCAGCTTCTGATCTTCTTGTTGTAATTGACAGAGACGAGGGTTCTGTCGCGTACTTTCAGCTACATTCGCTCCTCTGCTCAATGTAAATCCAACAATACCCTAAACATAAAAACTATTAAAAACCGATACAATCCAATAGAAGCAGAATAAACCCCAAGAACAAGCCTAAAACACCATTTATAATACAAACTTTAAAGTAACTTACAAATCTGTCGGCTTTTGTGTTTTCATCATTAGATATTACAGCGTCCGGCACTGTGAAGTTGTTTAACGTTATAAACAACGTTCCATTCTCATTGAAGCCGAAACTGGTCAATAGAATGTTCTTCCTTGCTTCGTTCTAAATATTCAAATATTATACACCAGAAGATTCCTTACCTTAAAAGCGATATTATGGTACTTGGCTGTAGCTATTAAAACACATATCGAAAGCAAAATTAACTTCATACTTTCAACCCGTCAATCAAGAAAGAAAAGGTAACATCAAAAAACTCCGGTATTTTAATTTTTTCCAATAAAAGTTGTGACGGACCTCTAAAATCCTCGCTTTCGAGACGAAGTGTCACAAAAATTAAAATATTTCATGTGCCAGAAAAGATGCCTTAAAGCTGCGTAGAAGGGTGCAAAGAAGAGACGATGAGTGAAATATCGTTGAAACGAGCACACAGTGAGTCCTTTTTTGCTTTTTTCACATAATTTTAGATGAATCACAGGAGAATCAAGCAGTGGAAACCAAAAAAAGACAAAGTATGTTGTTTGTATAAAGCTTTTCTTGCATTTATTAACCGTGGAATGGGGAAGATGAAAGCGAATGTTAACGTTTAGATGTTGCTGAGCGAATAATGGAGAACATGGGACATCGAGAAGGTCAGGGATTGGGTCAGAACGAACAAGGTATTACGGAACCGATACAAATTGGGGTGCAAAATGGAAGACTTGGCCTAGGCCATGAATATAATCAGGTAAAGACATAAAATAAAAACAAACAAATGAAAAATGATTAAATACTGTTTTAATATAAATTTAATCAAAAAATTTTGTACATCAGAATACTTTACAGAAAACAGCTGGCGAATGGAACGATCAAGAAGAAAACAAGAGTGTCGAAGAGGTGCCAGAATTTCTTTCAGCTACACAAGAAGACAGAGATTCTTTTTCCAAATCTTTTGATATCAACTGGATTCTGAAGGGAGAAGTAAGTGTGTTTACTTGATTATTAAGTTTTAGGCATTAACAACCTTGCTGGATGAAGAAGAATTTTGCGACAATCAACTGATATGTGATCTGCTAAAAGCTAAAGGAATATTTGATCACATGAACATACAAGACATCCAAAACGCCAGACAAAGAGCAAATCCTTATGAAACTGTTATGGGTGCCATTTTTCAAAATAGGTGAGTACTAATACCAAACAATTTTTAATATTTTTGGTGATGTAGTTTTAAATTTTACGGTCATAACTTTTAGAGCAGCGATGAAAATGGCAAATTTAGATCGTATATTTGAATGGAAATTGAGCAGAGAGTTTGATGACGAGCTTCGCCAAGCCCACAATCCTTTAACTATGGAAGATTGTACTCACAATTTCAAGATGAACGATGAAATATTTTACTTTGCTGACATTTGTGCTGGTCCGGGAGGTTTTAGTGAGTACATGATGTGGAGGAAGGCGTTTTACAATTCTAAAGGCATTGGTTTTACCTTGCGAGGACGAGATGACTTTAAATTGTACAATTTTAAAGCATCTTCTCAAGCTTTCTTCGAGACTTACTACGGATCAGTTGGTGATGGAAACATCTACAATCCGGAAAACATAAAGTAAATCTGTGATAAAAGTTGTTTTGTCTTTTTTGATTAATCAAAGGTCTCATTGCCTTAGTTTGACTGTTTGTATAATTCTTTTTTTAACTTGTATTGCTTGTAGGTCACTGGAAGAGTACGTGAGAAAGAGGACGGGTGGCAAAATGTGTGAGACTGTAATGTCTGATGGTGGCTTTTCAGTAGAAGGCAAAGAAGATATCCAAGAAGTTTTGTCAAAACGGATATATCTATGTCAATTTATCGTCGGCCTCTCACTTTGTCGTGTAAAATCGGATACTCAATCAGGTGGCAACTTCATTTGCAAGATGTTTGATGTCTTTACTGCCTTCAGTGCAGGCTTGGTGTATGTTATGTACCTAGCATTTGAGAAAATATCTATTCATAAGCCTAACACGAGTCGACCTGGTAACTCTGAAAGGTAAGTATAGTGTGAAGACTACTTTTACAATATTTATAAGAATAACAATTGATGCTTATAAATATTTAAAGTGTTGATGATGTTAAACGATGAATTTTTCTGTTCTAGGTACATATTTTGCGAAAATTTGACTGAATTTGGAGCTACAGTACTAAAGAACTACTTGATCTACATCAACGATGAAATGGAAAAGACTCCAGAAGACGCAGACGAAGATATTCTGGAGCTTATTCCGTTGGAAACAATGACTGGAGATGAAAAGTTTATAGAATATTTGAGGAAAAGTAACCACAAATGGGCTACACGACAAATACTGTACCTCCAGAAGTATGAGACGTACACCTTGAACAAAGGAGCATTCGATGAAGATCAGTCGGAGTTGAGGGAGAAATGTTTGAAATATTGGGAAATCCCAGACAAGCACCGACCCCTGGTCGACAATCAGCCACCGGCTATGGCTTTACGGGTATTGGTGGGAGATCATATGGTAAGCTTTGGACATTTTTGTACACAATAATCTCACTGTTTATCATAGTACAATATAACGTTCTTTTAGGATTACAACTTTTCATCGGCACGTTCCCTCAATATCGAGACTTTAAACTCGTTCAAGGATTATTCAAATTATCATCTCTCTTTTCTACCTGAAAATACACCCCCTCTACTATTGGTAACAAATGGAAAGGTAAGCGGAAGCCTTATGATCATACGGTATATGGCTGTACTAAAATAATATTGTTACTATCACTTGTATGAATTATTTAATTTTTAGGGTGAAACCTTTCTGATTGACAGTGCGCAATCGAACATAAAGCAACATGATCTCTATCTACCTCCAAAAACCTTACTGCTTGTACAAAAAACGTGTATTTATACAAAAGTAAGTCATACTTGTTCTGTTTCAAGATTTTAGGTATGAAAAAAAATTTTGACTTGTAAGGCGGATGATACATAATGTTGTGACATTTTTGACTATATTCCATTTAGAACCAAAAAGGAGCACTATTAAACTGTGCCGATTGGTCCAATACGATAGTTATCATAGACGCAGCCTGGATAGCTGGAAATGCCGTTTATGATCAGAGTTTGCCTGAACGATCGGTGTCCATCCAAAAGTTCTGTGAAACTGTCAACAAAACGACCGCGAATTATCAACAGAACTTTGAACATCGGCTGGAAAAGGTATGGAATGTGAAGAAAAAGGGCAAGAACAGAAGTCACATGAACAGTCAACTCAACTCATACCTTCTCATACCTTCCAAGACATTGCCTCTAGTACCATCTGTCGACAGCTTTTCGGAGCTAAAAGTAGCGTATCTGGAAGCGAACAATAGGTGTGAGACAATGGCAGTCGATAAGTATGAGATATCAGCAAGGCTGGCGGATGACAACAAGGAAAGATATGTCTCGGTAAAAACGATCAGGATATACAAACGAAAAGGTAATATTTATTTACAAACTGTACCTGTTCTTAACTTCAACGGTTGTTATTTTGTATGTTACTGTAACAATACTTTCAGACGACAAAAACCAAGTCATAGGATTCTTTGACAGCTGGAAGAATGACACCGTGTGGGACTGGGTATGGAAGTCAGATGCCAGAGGCAAAGTCGGTATTTCAGAAATACTGACAAAGACGATTGACAATTTTTTAACGGTTTCAACTTTAAAACAACTTCTCGTTGAATAAATATTTATTGAGTTTTGTTATCAAATAAATATTATTATAACTATTGTAAAGTTACGGCTTTCGCTTAAAACATTGGTTAACAATATATCTTGTTGACTACAATTTCTGTGACAAATGTAAAAATCCTGCGAATTTGTTAGGAAAATCTAAAAAATATTATATGATTCATCAAAACTCATCAGAACTCCATTTTTCCAAAAGACAAATTTTAAATTGGTTCTATTTTCGAAAATAGTTCATTTTTATTTTTGTTCTATCCCGGAACGAAAATGTTTTGTGGCGTTCTGTTTTGATGATATATTTTTTGTTATTTTAAAAATTTTTCTACTAAAAGTTTGAGATGTAAGTATTACAATACCGCTTGTTGTATTTATAACAAGACAGTTTTACTTTAGAACTTTTTTATTGTTTTACTTGTTTTATATAACGTTTTAGTTGAACGTTCTAACGTTTTATGAGCGATTACAATGTATTTTTTAGAATGTCTCGTGGTAGCAGCGCTGGTTTTGATCGTCATATTACTATCTTCTCTCCAGAAGGTAGAGTATACCAAGTGGAATATGCATTCAAGGCCATCAACTCTACCAATTTAACTGCTGTTGGTGTAAAAGGAAATGAAACTGCTGTTATTGCTGTTCAGAAGAGAGTTCCTGTAAGTTTTCTCCTTGCTGCCGTATTTTCTGAGTTTAGGATAAGCTGATCGTCTCTGATTCTGTTACCAGCGTCTACAAACTTTCACCAAGCATCGGATGTTGTGCTATTGGCATGATTCGTAAGTGTATATTGTTTTAGCTGTTAATGTTTTAGTTCAGACACGGATTGAAGTTAGTATCGTGTTGATTTATGGTTTTTACTACTAGTCTTATTTTGGTTTTAGGTTGTTTGATAAAAAAGTTATATTACGGGTTTGTTTTTAGCTGATTGCAAGTTCCAAGTGAAACGTGCTCAAAGTGAAGCTGCTGGATGGAAGTACGAAAACGGTTACAACATGTCAGTTGAACAGTTGGCTAGAAGAATGGCAGATTTGAACCAGTATTATACACAGAACGCTGAAATGCGTTCACTGGGATCCGGTATGTGTTATATTTTAGGTTAATTATTTATTAAGGTAAACGAAAGGATAGTTAAAGTTTAATGTTTAAAGTAAGCTATCTATGTTTGTTTTAGCTTTGCTAATGATTTCCTACGACGATGAAGATGGAGTTCAAGTTTACCGTGTGGACCCGGCTGGTTACTACCGTAGCATGAAGGCTGTTTCTGTTGGCGTTAAGCAACAACCGGCTACCAGTTTTCTGGAGAAGAAGTTCAAGAAGCAATCAGAATTCGACGAAGACGAAACCATTCAAACTGCTCTAGAAGCTCTTCAAACTGCTCTGGGGACTGATCTGAAGGCTCAGGAAGTTGAAGTTGTTGTGGTGACCAAAAAAGACCCCAGCTTCCGGAAGCTATCTAACGATGACGTTGATCACCACTTAAATGCTATTGCTGAACGAGACTAATTTAATAAATATTATCATCTGTATTTGGAAGAAATGATTACGGATTGCGTTTTGACACATTTTATTTTTTATATTTAACGTGTTTATATGTATTGTTTGTGTAAAAAAAGAAAAAATACCTAGATTTGACGTTTCTCGGCCATTATTAGCGACATTGTTGTTAATTTGCTATTTTCATATCAAGTTTTTTTAATTTAAAAATTTTCATTGAAAAATCAGTCAAACAGCTAGCAGGCCTTGTTTATTGCGATTATTATGTACGAGAAGGCGGAAAATAACAATTACATAGTGACAAATCAACAAGTAATATATATATACTCAGGGAATTATTTATGTCAAGTGGAAGCTATAAATATATTGCAAAGCGACTTGGAACCGCTCTTTAAAGATCTCGATGGTAGTGTACGGGGGGATTTTCAGATAATTGTAACATGTCATGGCTGAAGGTAGTTCTTGGTCAGTGTTACCATAAGACGCCGTCTTCTTGACTACTGTCAAAGGTGGATGAAGTGCTCGGAAACCTCCAACTGGAAGGCGAGGAGAGCCGGTCACAAATTGCAGGAACTTGCGGCGCTAAAAATAAGACAATAAAAATAAAGTCAAGAAAAATATCTTTTTCAAACAATTACGAGACTAAACAGCATCTGAAGATGTCCCAAAAATTAATATCAGATAAAACACAAACCAAAAAGCTTACGTCTTCTCTGCTGAATTCCTCGAGCATCTCCACCAACCAGTGGACTTCTTTGGATTCGTGAGTGTAGCCGTGATCTGGTCGGATACATTGATGGAGCAGAGAACTGGACCACAAAGTGTCGGTGTCCTTGTCTGAACTGCCACAAAACAGAGATTCCATTTCTTTGGCTTCGAAGATATTCAGGTGGTCGATATTGATGACTTGTTGAAAGCCTTTTCTCAGCGACTCCATTGGCAACTTGACTCCTTCGACCAATCTCCAATGACTTACGAGCTGAAAAACCCCAAATTTAATCAAAAACAAGTATAACATAGTCAAACAACGAAAGCAACTTGTTAATATACGAAACTAAGACACCAAGTGACAAACTTACTTGAGCGAATTGACCGAAAGAATCGTATGTCACATTTTTACTATCGGAATGTTTGTATAAGTGGAAGTTGTCTTGACCGGGGTAACTGAATGGGATCTCGAGTTCTTTGATACTGTCATTATCTAGTCTGCTCATTTGTCTTAACGAGTTGTAGATGGTAGGTTCGAGTTCTTCCATATCCCACACTCCGAGGGTATCTTGTTGACCCAACAGCCATTTGAATATTGGTACAGCCAATGGGAGATCCAGCTACAATAGCAAAATAGGCATAAAATAGAAAGAATATTCGTTTTGAAACCAATAACAGTTAAAACTGTACAAGTTACTTAAAGTATGTCACTTACAATTCTGGAATCGAGAAGAGATTGTCCCATTAATCGGCCTAAGAACTCAAACTTCTTGGCCATGTTCTTGGACACCGGATTCATGGAATGTATGGGGTAGAGCCCGTTCTCACCGGTGATGAACTCCTCTTCTTTTCCGTCAATCATCAACGTATTCTTTGTACCACTCCAGAAGCCATGAGACGCCTTCTGAAGCTCTTGACTCAAGGTTGAGTAGAACTCCAAGGTCGGACCGAATCCAGTACCAACTTCATTGTCAAAACTGACTTCTAACAACGGTTTTGAACTTCCTAGAGTCGTCAGGTGATCTTGCGCACTCTTCAAGAGGTTCGACCGGTTGATGACAATCTTTCTCCTCTCCAATCTGGGTACCAAACGAGAGTTGGATTCAGATTCATGATCATCTGGGTTGGTTTCGTTTACCAAATGCATCAAGGCACGATCGCGTCCGAAAGCTGTGCAGTACAAGAAGTTGCGACGGTTGATGAAGGTGAAAGCAAACGGCCTAAAATACAAAAGTAAGAATGCGGAATACACCAATCATAATGAAAGTCACATAAGGTGGTATATTAACTTACACTGATTTGATGATACTCTTTGTCCATGCTGGAATCTGTTGTGTGGCTACGGTCAAGAAGTCTGACAACTGACGGGACACTTTGGAATTCAGTTTTTGGGAAATGAAGCAGCTAAAAGAAAACAATTAACGTCATAACAGTAGATTTACAATACGAAATACTCGACAGTAAATTACTAAAACAACTTTGAGTTAAAACTAACTTTTCTGACAAAATAGGAGCATAAGTTGTTGGAAGGACATGTTCATCAAGATAGAGGCACCACCAGTACTTGTTGATTCCACATAAGGCCTTCAGAAGAACCAGGTCATTGATCGACGGATCGTCTAGATTCTCATCCAACTTTCCATCCAGATACTTGTCCAAGAGGTATTTCCTTGGAGGTACATGACCATCTGTATGATATTAAAACAATGAGCTACACATCATGCCAAAATAAAAGAAAAATGGAACTAAGGTGGCCGTGGCATTTCGTTAACTCAAAAGTCTCAAATATTGATTCAAAAAATAAAATAAATATTTAAAATGTTGAAAGAAACGTGTGAAATTATCAAATAATAGTTAAAATAAATCATATTTTGAGCTGTAACAAATATTAAAAAATTCGCTATGTTTCGGCGGTTCTTTGAAGGCCAAACTGGTCTTGATCCGTCAAAGAATCGTCCAGATATCACACTACAAGTTTACCACAAACGAATTTCATTTTCAAAATTCCGACCGATTAATTTCAAACAATTTTTTACAAAAAATAGAATTTCACACTTCGCATCGTTTTTTACACGAAATGTCACTCTGTCTTTATTTCCTCTTTTGGCATGACGTGAGCTATGTTACAAAATGTAACTGTATCAAACCAATAGCCTTACAACCTTGCTTCTTAGTACCTACCCAACAAAACTCCACGATCATCTTTAACCTTGGTCTTTTTGTCCGTCTTCTTATCCTTAATTTTCTTCGTGACTGACTTCTGAATCCTCGCCACCTTCCTCGATGGTGACATTGAAGTTCTGGCTGATTCACTTGTACTAGGCTCTCCAGAATTAGCGTGACCTGAGGATGTTGATGGCTCGTTCAGATCAGGTTCTTCCACGACAGCTCTGTAGTATAAAGTGTGTCCAGCGACCCAGATGCTTGGAGGGATTGTTTCCTGATCGTCGTCATCACGAGGCAAAGAATATTGACGAATCGCTTGGAGAATCGACATGTCAGATGGAAGTTTGTGATCGCCGATTAGGATTTCGATCCTTCCTTTGAATGAAGCCAAATTGGCATACACGGTCTCCTAGAATATGAAGATTCATGAAAGAGTTTTTTCGGTAATCATACAAAAGTATTCCGTATATTAATACTACTAAAAGTATCCACCTAAACACAACATATAAAATTTAAAAAACATACGTCATCATTTTCACTAGATTCTTCATCCTGTGAAGTCGTGCCGATGCCTCTGTCCACCAGATATCGTTCAATAGCCGAGATAGAAGTGAACGGATCTACCTTGATAGACCCTCTACCTCTTCTCCACTCTCTCAACTGTTTACATGATGGATGTCGCTTCAGATTACACCGAATCTGATGTGATTGGAAGAAGCGTAGTGCTTGAGCGCCTCTCAAATACGAATTGGACCCGATTCCGGAGAAGGAGCTGGACGTGCTACTGGACGAGTACGACGAGCTCGAAAGATTTGATAGGTTTCCGCTGAGATTTGTGACCCGCACATTGAACTGCTCCAGGCGTTCAATGGCCAAGATCAACTTGGAGACTAGTTTACTGAAGGCTTGAAAGTGTTCGTCGTTACCGACTGGTCGCAGATTATCTGGCTGAAAGGTAACTGGTTAATAAGTATATCAAAGACCAGAAAATACAACTTTAACAGCATCGGCTCAACACCTACCGTTAGCATCATGAATACAGAAGCAAAACGTCGAAGTCTGGTCAACCGGTCGGTTTCCCGTTCTTTTTTATCACATAAGTAGGCAGTTAATGCTGGAATGATACCGGAATGATTGATATGGAAAGCACTGATTTCTCGTTCGAGTAGAACATCTGCCAGAAGCTTCAGAGGCTTTGTGCCACAGTCGACTGGAGCTTCGAGCTGAGAAGCAATGTCCTTTAGGATAATGACTCCATCGTAGTCTCCAGAAGCGAGCTTCTCGGACTCTTCGTACCGTTGAATCAGGATATCGGATTCAGATCTGATAAAGGCTTTAAACTTATCGATCGCTTCGTTCTTCAGAGCCGTAGTTGAAGTAGATGATGAATGTGAAACATACGATGACGCGTAGTCCATGGAACTGGCAATCGACGCATAATTGAGGCCGTAGACCGAGTTTGAATACGCTGAACTGACAGCATTCTGAAGGCTTTGGTAGAGTGTAGCAGTCGAGTTTTGTAGTGGCACCGTCGAGAAGAAATGAGGCTGAAGACCAGCTCTGCCCACATCTGTCGAATACCGTAAATTAGAGGCTTGGTAGTTGGAGGAGTTGGCTACAACAACATTGGACGGAACATTCGGGTCGTAGGGTTGGTTCAGTGACATGGCAAAGTTGGAGATGTTAGGTAAAGCCATCGCTGGAATGCCGAGTTGTTGGTTGATTATGGACACCGGAGCAGGTTGATGTTGTCTCGCAGCCAGAAGTCTGTTTAATGCTGCTACAGCTGGAGTTCCAACGGAACTCGATACTGTTTCATCCACTCGTTCCTGAGCTGTAGTAGTAAGTTCTGGAGCTTTAACTTCAGCTTTCGCGGACGACGACTGCATTCGCTTCTTGATTTCGTAGAACACGCCTAAAATGAAGTTGTCAACCAGTAAAAAAAAATATAAAATCCCACACACATCTAGATAGTAACGATATTATCACGATATTTAACTATCCAAACTCTTACCTTCAGCTTCGAACAACGGAGTATATAAATCAGGGAGTTTATCCATCAAAACGTGTGTGATTTGCATGGCCAAACAAACCAAAGCCAAGTTCTTACTGCTCGACAACGTATTGGAGATGTAGCTAGCTAAGGGAACTTTCTCCAGGAATGTCAGGAGCTGGGCCTTCCCATCTACCGCATATACCATCCTCAACATCACTCTCATACAGTCGTACTTCAATGTTGAACATGTTGAGCTTGCTCCGATCTCTACCAACAACGGAAAGATCGAGACGATATACTCCAGTAGTCGACTGATGTGGTCTGTCTTTAAAACATCACGTTGGTCTTCTAAAAATGAACATCAAATGAGTTAGTTAATTCGTTCTTTTAATTTCAGAAAAAATCCTTACAGTATACCCAGACGAGAAAAGGAATTAAAAATTACAACCTAAACTCAAAATTCAAATTAAAAACTCACGACTTGTGTTGCAGACTTTCCTCGTAATAGGAGTCTGAGCTCCACTCCCGATAAATCTGCATACAGAAGCGATGAAGTCGATCTCGGCTATCTGGCCATTGATCTCCATCGTTACCAAGGTAGATCCCAGAGATCGGTTCCTTTCCAAAGTCTGTTGATCAGCTTGAGAGAACATTACCCATTGGCCATAGTTTCTGCCCGACTCCAAACTTTTGTACATCCAGGCAGTAGTTGTGGTCTGAGGTCGATTCCGACTGTTCTGGATGTAGGCACTTGGATTCAGGTATTGTTCCATGTAGTTGTTGATCTCGAAAATGCCATCGACCGGTAGTTTTGGCAAAAGTTCGCCACACAAGTCCACTATCTCTCTGAGTTGTTGAGAAGGTCGAGTAGTGATGGAATCTGCGTAGGAATTGTCTACAGAATTCGGCCTTTCGTGGCCAATCAGCAGGAATCTGATGACTTTGGCAATTTCCATAGAATACAATGCCACAGCCAGATCCCCACAGCTCGTCACCATGTGTCGGAGAGTCTTGATCAAATTCAGGAAGGTGTTAGAGTTGACTTGTCCTGGATGAATCGCCATAAGATTCAAGAATATCTGAAGGACTTGATGATTTGGACCCGCAATTTGTCGCAATCTTTGCGGATAGTACTTCAAGTTCTCCACCAGCCGGCTGTAGAAGACGCAAATGTACTCGATGCATCTTTTGTCATCAATGTGGATTCGTTCCGTGATCTCTGCCAAGGATTCCTGTACCAAATGAAAGTCTGTAGCGCCAACATACGCAGCACAATTGGCGGCGATCTGATAGGCGACACGCTGAGTACTGATCGAGAAGAAGTCGACGTGGTTGATAACAGAGAAGACACCGTTGTTGGCCAATATACTTTTGGCGTTCCTTCTTGAAATTACTTCCAGAATAAACAGTGCTTGTTCAGCTACATCAATATACTCAATCTTCTGTAGCTTCAGAATCAGAACCGGTATGGCTTCGGTTAGAATTGAATGAGATCTTGGCAGAGCTTCCTGAAGATTGCTGATGCATCTCGAAGCACTTAACATCAATTCGAAGTTGTGTTCCTTGTGGAGTAAGTTAATGAGACAGAGAACCAACTCTCTGATAGGGAAGTTCGGAAGGCTTTCCTCGTTTCCCAGAAGAAGCATTTCGGAAATCTCGCCACATGCTTCGGATTGTTTCAGTTCGTTGGAATCGCATCTCAAGTCCTCCAGAAGTGAGACAATTCGAAGATCTAAAGATATTGACTTAGGTTTTTTTAATTAGCAATTTTCGCAATAATTTTATCTCAACGATATTGTTATGAAGTATTGAAATACCTAAATTACAATAAATACAATTTACTACTTACGAGGCACATAATCACTAGCCATGACTTGATTAAACCCTGTCGCTCCTGCTGAACCTCCAAGGAGATGTTGCATTCGCGGCACAAGACTGCCCAGGAAAGCGGACGCTCGTTGGACGTGTTGAGATCTGAAACAAACGCAGAGGTAGTTGCGCAAGACGGCATCAAATTCAGGGGGTGTGGGTACAACGCCTCTGCTGCCTTGCCCTTTACGACGGCATCAGAAATGTTTTTTACGTTAAAAGCATCAAAAACTACGTTATGTTAGAGGCATTATAGTTATCCACTTCGTATCAAAAAGATGTGACCTGATGTTGTTTTAGTTTTTTCTGATAAAATAAGAATAGATATATACTTTTTTGTCAAACTTATCTCACCTCGCTAAGATATGTGATGTGGGGTTGGTGGCTTCATCTTGGCCCGTGGACGGAGGCTCGTATCCCTGATTAGAATCTGTGTTTTCTGTGTCCTGAGATCCTGTAGCTGACATTATCACCGTGCTCGTGCTTTCTTCACCACTCACAAAAGCGGCTTCGTCTGATTCTGCTGTGTCTCGTACTTCTATCTAAACAGTCGCCGTGTACATCGTGATTACATGAAACAGCCATTTACATACTGTATCTTATCTTTCATCCATACTATTTTACGTGTTTCTTTTGCTTTTTTCTCAATGTGAAATGTAATGTTATTCGTGATTTCAACTGGGTACTATTATGTTTTGACTATATACATTAACATTACAGTAAACGTTAACTCACAGCAGAGACAAAAGTATGACCCGTATCTGTAGTTGAAATTGAATTGACTGAAAATCCACTGACTTCTGACTCTGGTACTGTCAAATTCGAACTGAAATTCCAATATAGCTTTTACCAATACTTCTTGGGTTTAGATGACATGAAAACCCAGTTTAATATCATATAGACTTTGATATTAACTTAATTTTAACACCAGTTTTCCGAACAACCGGTCGTTATTATTCGTTAAAACTATAATGACTTGCATCAACTTACAATTGCTGATCGTCCAAAGAAGGAGAAGATGCCTTCGGAACCTGTAGGCTAGAACTTTTGGTCTTCTTCGACCGGCTGCCCTTTACTCGAGTCTTTGGGGCTGATAATCTGCTTTCAACGTGACGAGTCCGAGAACGAGTCAATGGCCTGGACTGATCCTGCTCGGGGAAAAAGTCGGTCAAGAATCGAAGCTCGGAACTCTTCTTGGATGATACTTCACTCGACGTACCTTGACTACTCGAAGAACATGGCTGTGCTGCACTCCGGGTCACTTTCCTCACCTTCGAGCTAGACGGTTCTTCTGAAAATTTAGATGCTTGAGGTATGGATACTCTTTGGTTTAGTTCTGTTCTAGCTTTGTTCAGAAACCAGAGAAACCTTCAAGATATCTCCCATATCACCGTAATTAACTTTACTGTAATATTTTCTCCAAAAGCAGGAGTTATGACAATCAACTTGCCACAAAACTTCGCTGAAAAACAAATAAGACTGTGAGCTACCTGATCGGTCATTACTGGAATGGCGTTTCTTGGCTGACGAATCCGGATTGTGATGTAGTTGGCCTCCAGCTGTGTCGCGACCACTATTGCTAGACATACGGACGAAAAAAGACTAAAATCCGAGTTTATTGATTAGACTTTGCTGGTTACCTAGATGCAGATCGAGGCAGCGTCGGAAGGCACGTCGCAAGGCTCCAAACACAGTCAAATGTTACCTTAAAAGACCAAATCAATACAATTCATACATCAGATCGATCGAATATACGAGCCCGACAAATATAAGGTCATACGGACAGTCAGCCCAATTTTCTCCCACCGAATGCAACGATCGAATTATCAATCGTGGCGGTCCGGAGGCGAACTCGGCACTCAAACCAACCAGATATTACACTAGACATTATCATAGCCGATGCTCAGTACCTAAATTCGACCGGAAAATGCGAAATTCGTATCGATAATGGGCATGAAATGGAGTCACAAGCCCTGAATGTATGTAATGTTTGTATCCGAGTCCTGAGGCTGCAAGTTTGACCTTATCATTGACCTCGAAACCCTCTGAAAAGTTGGACAAGTATCCGCCTCGCGCATACTCCAACATTATATTATATTTCTTGGTGCTTCGGAATAGTAAGTAAAGAGAAAGCGTTGTTGAGGACAGACATTTCCGTTTCTCCATCCATTCAATTTATTTCGCAAAAGCCCGTCTTTCTTTTTCTTCATTTTTTGCGTCAAAAGTTTTCGCGCCGAGACCTCGCCCCACCGGCTCTGTCTGTTACCCCGTTTTCTTTTTCGCCCGGTCCGACTGACTGGGCACTTCTTCCTCGCCAACTGCTTTTCCACTAGATGGACATTTCTTGCATCTATTAGGCCATAAGGGATAAAATCTATTGTACCGCAGCGACGGCGGTAAATTTGTCCGTTTTTCGTGGTTTTAGCCTACTTTTTTCATTTCGATTTTTTATTATCTTTTTTGTTTATACGATTGCGAATTCGTGGTGCTTTTTTAATGCATTTTCATTGTTGATAAGGTTTCATTATTAACAACGGGTTTTTCAGGTACATTTTTCTTCAACAGTTATCCGAATTATGAGTCAAAATGAACAAGCAAATGGAGGCCAGAATAACGGTCAACGTAAGTTTCGATTTTTTGGTTTTTGTTCTTGAGTTTAGCAGAGTCTACGTAGATTGTGATAAGAAAAAAACATTGTGTAATGTCGTAATATCGAGAATCTTTAGCTAAACGCTACATTCCGCCTGCTCTGAGAAACCAAAACCCATCGTCGTTGGGTGAAGTGCCCGAGGGACAAGCTACCCAACACTTTCAAGACCGTCGTGGCGGAGGTGGCAACAACTACAACTCTGGTGGCATGCATAAAAGCCAAAGCTTTGCCGGAAACCCTGAATACGGAGGTCAACGCAGCTACAACAACGGTGGAGGCTACGGCCAGCGACGTCACGGCGGTGGTGGTGGCGGATACGGAGGTGGGTACGACAACAGAGGTGGCAACCGGTAAGCCTTACTGTTCATTATTGCGTAATGTTGGTTATTTTCGTATCTTTTTTTTTATTTTACGATGCTAAGCAGTTTTTTGCTTTGTTAAGGCAAATTGAAATTATTGAACTTGACGTTTTCACAAGTATAATAAAAGGATTATTTTATAAAGATTTCTAATTTCAGCGATGACCACAACAGTGGCTTCGGAGGTGGACGTCGTGGAGGCAGTCGACCCAGCTACGGCGGTCGTTTCTCGTACGACCAGCGCAATGTTCACGATGAACGACAATGGGAAGACCAATCGTATGTTTTGTTAACCTTAAGATTAACCTAAATTTAGTCGCCAGAATAACCGTATGAATCAGAGAAGCCGAGATGCTGAGATCAACGAGAGAGCCTGGGAAAGCCAAGCTCCCCCAGATCAAGAGCTCGAAAACGAGCTGTTTGCTGGCATGAACTCTGGCATCAACTTTGACAAATACGAAGAAATCCCAGTAGAAGCTACTGGCAAAGACTGTCCAGCACCAATTTCACACGTAGGTTTAACTAATGGTTTTGAACTTTGAATATGGTTTACGCGAAATCCGTCAATAAGATTAAAATTTCAAATATTTTTTACTGTTTTTTGTATTTATGATAGTTATTATTGTTTTTCAGTTTGCTGATTTGAATTTGCATCCTTGGATAGAAGAGAACATCAAAAAGAGTGGATACGATCGTCCCACTCCAGTACAAGTAAGTTTCAAGACAATATTTATGTAAAAATGAAAATTTAGGTAATAAATCTGAATAAAAATCGACTTTATAACTAAAATGTTATTTTTATAATTTTTGGTTTAAACTAAGAAATATTAACACAAAAAAACTTACAGAAGTACTCAATCCCCACCTTGAACGCGCGCCGTGATCTGATGTCGTGCGCCCAGACTGGCTCTGGAAAAACGGCCGCTTTCCTCGTTCCTGTGATTAATAGAATTCTTATGGATGGTCCTAGTCAGATGAAAACGCCATCAGTTCATTTCGGAAGAAAGTGTCAATACCCACTTGCTCTTATCATCTCCCCAACTCGAGAGTTGTCGCTTCAGATCTACAACGAGTCTAGAAAGTTCGCCTACAGAACGCCCATCACGTCGGCCTTGTTGTACGGTGGCCGTGAAAACTACCGTGACCAGATCAACAAGCTTCGTGTAAGTTTACATGTTTTGGTTAGGCTTTTGGGAAACATATTGTTTTGAATAATTAAAAATAAAAAGTTACGATATTTTTGGAAAGTCTTGATCAATTAATTTGGTTTAGCTTGGATGCCACATCTTGATTGCTACTCCAGGCCGTTTGATCGATGTTATGCAAAACAATTTGATCGGTTTGGACGCTTGTCGCTATCTTGTTCTAGATGAAGCTGATAGAATGTTGGACATGGGTTTCGAACCACAAATCCGTCGCGTAAGTTATTTCTGAAACTTTAAAGTTCATCGAGTAATTAAAATCTTTTTAAATGAAGCCACCTTTTACTGTTTTTGAACTGCATGTTTCCTATACGATAACTAAAAAATGGTATTTTAGATTGTGGAACAAAGTTCGATGCTTCCAAGAGGCGAGAGAGTGACGGCTATGTTCTCAGCCACATTCCCCAAGGAGATCCAATTATTGGCTCAAGATTTCTTGCAAAATGAGTACGTCTTCTTGGCCGTCGGCCGTGTCGGATCGACCTCTGAAAACATTGTCCAGAAGGTGATCTGGGTGGATGAGCACGATAAGCGTGCTGTTCTCATGGATCTTCTGGACGCCAGCGACCGTGAAGCGTTGACTTTGGTATTTGTGGAAACAAAGAGAGGAGCTAGTGACCTGGCCTACATGCTGAACAACGAAGGCTACGAGGTTGTCGCCATTCATGGAGATTTGAAGCAGATGGACCGTGAAAGACATCTGGACGCTTTCAGATCTGGAGAGGCTCCGATTCTGGTGGCTACTGCTGTCGCTGCTCGTGGATTGGATATTCCAAATGTCAAGCACGTTATTAACTATGATCTACCATCTGACGTTGACGAATATGTTCACCGTATCGGTCGTACTGGTCGTGTGGGTAATGTCGGTAAGTTTTACATTTATTATTGGAGTTTGAAACTTGAATTATCTTATCCGTTTTAATGTTGAATACGTTTCAAATTGCTAAAAACGTGCTAAATTTATGTTTTTAGGTATGTCGACATCGTTCTTCAACGATCGCAACCGCAACATTGCTCGCGAACTGACCGAGTTGATTGTGGAGACCAACCAAGAACTACCGGAATGGCTAGACCGTGTGGCCAACGAGGCCAGAACGGGCGCTCGCGGAAACGCCAGAAGAGGTGCCAGTGGAGGCAGCCGCTTCGGAGGCCGCGATCATCGTCTTCAACAGAACGGCGGTTTAACCGGCAGCAACGGCACTGGAATGGGTGCGGCCAATCGTTTCGGCGGAGGGGGCAGCGGATTCCACAGTCAGCCGGCTGCTAGCGGATTCAGTCGTCCTGGAAACAACCAATCTCAGAACTCCTCCAAAGCTGTAAGTAGTTTTTAAAATTTTTTAGTTTAGTTATCGTGCAAAACATTAGTTTTTGGATAAAACTAGGGAGGCTGAACCAAATTGTTTTAAAAAATGTGTTTTATTTTAAAATATTTTGCTCGGCCATTCGTACTTTTGAAACCGCGTGATTAAACATTAGTTATTTTTTAGAACGTTCTTAACTTTTTTTAACAAACTTATTGCTGCAATATTCTAATGAAATCTGTTTCAGAACTGGTGGGACTAAGAGATCCGGCTCCATTGCATTACGTCGTTTGTTATTTGCGCTAAATTAAATATTTTGTCAATTCTTGTGTTTTCTTTGTCTAGTTTTTCACAATGCTCTCAACTGAGGAACCGGTTGTCGCAGTTTATACTTTCCCAAAGCAGTTCAATATGGTCACGGGTTTGATCGTTCTTTTCTGATCGTTCTGCATCGTTCTTTTCGGCACGTCCCCATGGATAAGATGGGGACGTGGGTTTCTTTCATCCGCTTCTTGTAGGTCGTCGGCGCTGGATTTGATGATGATCGTTACGGTTCCATATACTCTAATCTCACATTAACGGGTCCCTTGTTCTCACTAATGATATTGATATCGGGCGTTCGTGTGAGGAGTGTTGTCGCGTCGTGATGGTCATTTTGTGCCGTCAGATTGGTGTCATCTGCTTCCTTGTTCTCTAACGTTTCTTTTTCGTCTGCTCAGACCTCAAATATAACTAATACGATTTGATGTTTGTTAAATTATTTTGATGTTACCGTTACCTCTGTTTTGGGATTACAACTTACACACGATTGTTACAGCCTCTCTCTCTCGCATGACAGTTGAGGACATACTCTTTTGGACTACAATCTCTTATTTTTTACTTTTGCAATGTTAAATGACGTCTGAAATAAACATTGACTAAACAATGGGATTCGCATGGATTGGCCGTTAATTCGGCGGCTAAAAGCTTACAAAAACAATATTGCACTAGGTTGTAGCATAACATTAAAGTATTTTAAAATTAAGGATTTTTTTATCTAGCTGAAAATTATAAGTAACTGGGAATATAAATTTAAATAGTAATTGAATTTTACTGACAGATATGTTAAATGAGCTCTGACAAGGGATTGCCTGTGTTCGTACAGCCGCCCGAACTTCACATTGTTATATCTCGACCAGAATCGTACAGACAACTACTTACTGTACTCAATCCGTTTGACTTTGTTCTTCATTACAAAGGTAAGCTTGTCAATAGTCTTTTTTTAAAATTTATGTCGGGTTTAGAATTGAAACAATACATTGTCTGTAAAGGACGTATTTTATCTATTTTTTGTTTAGTTTTGAGTAATGCTCCGCACAAGTTCAAAGTAACCGAATCCAGTGGATTTGTGAAGCCAAAATGTTTTGTCGATGTTATGATAAGACATCTGGCCCCGGTGGAAACGCGAGAGCAGGATTTGTTGAGAGTCGAGATCTATAGGGACGGCGATCATCATGTAAGCTTATTAAGTTTAGCTGTTCAAACAGTTTTTTCGGGGTCTTAGCATGAGTATTTGAAGGCAAGACATATCATTGATGCACTTTTTTAAATAATGTTTTTATATCTTTTGAATATGACAATCGACCACTTTACAACATAATATTCTAGTCCTGCGGCAAAAAAGACGTTGCTGTTATCGTATCGCCGACAGAGACCTCTCATAGGTCAGCTCAAGAGTTCCGCAACTTTCCTGATCAGCAAAGAGGGTCGCGACAACGAGGCAACAGATTCCGCGACGATCGTGACCATCAAAACTTTTACTGGTTTGTTATCGTAGCGTGCGCCTTCTCCATAGCTACGGTAATGCTGCCATCGTACAATTCGGAGAACTCTTCTAATTCTATTGTGCCTTCGTATTTTCATCCAACTCAGAATCTGCAGCTTGTGGCCGCTTATGTGCTGGGTTTGGCAACAATGCATTTATTAGCCCGACAGAACGCTTAAAGTGCTACTTTTTGGTCAAAAAGTGTAGAATGGCCCTTTATAGCTACTGCCTTGGGCAGAATTTGCCTTTTTTACATTTCTATTGACTTCAGGACGAAATTAGCGCAACTTCGAAAACGTGATAATACTGGTTATTCAGTTTGACATTACTTGCATATATCAATCTGTATATTCATTTTACATACTACACATAACCTCATAGACAACATGGAAAAGGGTTTCTAACATATTAGCTTCTAACAACTTGGTATACGTTGTAGTCTGTACATCTTTCACTGTCTTCGTATTTTGTTACTTCCTATATTGTAAAACGACGTGCATCTTTGTTACTTTACTGTCTTATACTTAAGTATGTTGAAGTAATGAATTTGGCAGACTTTTTGTCTTGATTCTTCATGAAAAATGACGTTTTTTAAATTGACGTTAAATCCGTGATTCAGTTTGGTACGTTTTTTAATGTGCCATTAGATGTGATTGTATTTGGTCATACTTTTATACATGCCTTACTGTAACATCTTTCTTCAATCTTATTCACCTAAAACACGTCTCATAATCGTAGAAATTTAATCTGAGGAGTTGTTGTACATATTGACATAATAAACGGGTGTGTGATCTATTCAAATGTATTCTGACTTCACCGTGCGCGCCGAAGAATCGTCGCTTTGTGCTTCCGGACTGTCTGATATTAGGGATCGGTTGTCCATGGCTGGACTACTGCCCCCTGGACTGGCCGAGTCGCGGATCGAGTTGGTGAAGGTGTCTTGGAATACGGTAGGGAATTCAGAAGGCCGTTCTTTGCCCATCTGACTTCGACGGTGCTTCGCTCTGGCGTTTTGGAACCATACCTTCAAATAAGTGGGTAAGAGTAAGTTGGGATTGGCAAAATACGTAAAATATGTATGATAACATGTTTGTTTTGTTGATCGTTCAAAAAGTAATTGAGTTTGGAATGAAACGTTTATGTTATTATGGTTTTTTTGGTAGTTTCTTGACGAAACTCGGACTATTATTACCTTTTTATGTCTATTTTGACACGAGTTTTTAGATATAATTAGGTATTTGTTTTTCAATGTTATCTTGTGACCAAGCTTTTGTCATTACTTTTTGTACAAAAGCTATAAAAAGTGTGAAATGTCTTGTAAAACCCTACTAACGCTATATTAGCTTATGCATAAAATGTTTATGTTCATGCCAAAGTCTATAGCACTTACTTGTAGAACTCTTTTAGTCAGTCCGGTCTTCTGTGCCAACTGTTTCAAATCCTTGGCGTCCGGGTTCTGGTTCAAGTTGAAGTAGGTCTTCATGGTCTTGAGCTGGTGGTGCTTGAAGCTGGTCCTCATTCGCTTGGTCTTGCGACTTCCGGCGGTGTCTTTGTCGTCTGGAAGAGTAGATTGAACTAATTATTTATATTATAATTCCCCTCTTCCTTCGCGCCCTAAACAAGAGCCCACCAATTAGGGCCGGGTTACGGTGGCGCGAGGCCCCGAGGGGATTGCCTCACTTACCTGACTGGACGTCAGCTGTGCTGTCGAAGCAGCTGGACGTGTTCTCGTTGCCACACTTTCGACTGACTTTGTGCCGTTGATACGACCGGACTGGACTGGTCTTGCCGTCGATGTCAGTGTTCTCGTTCAGAGGTAGCAGTTTGTCCATGAACACTTCGGAGGGGTTGAAGGTGCTGGCGTGGGCTAAAACATGGTTTGTAGATTGAAAATCTTTTTGAAATTTTGAAAAATTTTTTTAATTTAATAAAAAAATAATTTTAAATATTAAACTTTAAAGTATAAATTTATAACCTAAAACAGTTTGAAACGTACATTCACAATAAGCGACCCCATTCCCGAGCAAAACGTAGCGGTCTCCGACCAGGAATGGTCGATTACACAGAAAACAAACAAAACATTCGGTATGATACACGGCGTTCTTGATGCTCATGAAGTATTCTCCGCTGTTTATGAAGCTCGAGCACCGTTGACATCTGAGGCCGTACTTTCTGGAATATATTGGGTTAGGTACACGTATGTTGTAGTAGGCACTCATATGTTGTGTTAGATACAGTTGGGGTAATAATGGGTTGGGTAGGTTTATATTGACATAGTTGTAATAAAACTTGATTTTTTGGCAAAAATATTTAAAAAACATTCAATTTGCCACTTTAATATGACTTTTCAAAGAAAAATTTCAAAAAATTTTTACAAATGGCTTACTGTAACTTTTGTTAAACTTACAGTAAATAGTCTCGTTTGCACCACAGGTTGTTATCCTTGTAGAAGCAAGTTGGCTGATTGCTCAACTGTTCTTGACAAGCAGTACATTTGGCACAGTCTTCGTGATAACACTCTCCGCCAATCAGTAGAAACGTCTTGTCGTATATACTGTTGGAACAACACGAACATGGGGCTGAAATGAGAGTAAATAAGCACTTCAATAGTGATATTGTTATTGGACAAGCCTTGTGTAAGGTTGAGTGGGTAAAAACATACTACCGAGATGTACATGTTGTGGTTACCGATAACATAACTTTATTACTTTACGCTATATTTTTATAATTTTGTATTGTTGTACCTTTAGTGATATACTACCACTAAAATGGTTATATGCTACTATTAATATAGCATTGGACTACTGTAACATCGCTATTATAGTACCCCAAGACTCACCTGGTGGTGTACTAACAGTACTATTTTGAATACTCTCAAGGAGTTGTGTAGATGACAGCTGTAGACTAAAGGGGTCGATCAGACTGCCCGCAGTCGATGGTAGAGAACATACGATGGGTAACTCTATCAAAGGATCGGCACAGTCCTCGAGAGCCCCGAAGAAGATCATGGCCTGAAACTGAAAGTATAGCGACAAAGTTGAGGTGGCGGGCGCGGGGAGAGGGGAGGGGGGTATAATCCGCTACAATAACAAACAGCCACGACCACACCAGAGCTCGCGTAACAGCTCGCATGACATATTACATGGCAAGGTGAGATTTGACATGGTAATCGGGTAGCATCACAGGGTGAGGTGTAACATAAGATGGCGGGTGAGACTTAAATGGTTTTTGTAATTTAAAAAGCAACAAATTTTCATTTTTAAGCTTAATATTGTGAATGAAATACGATTTATAAAAGTGACAGTAAACGTGAAAATACGATAGTTATTACTTAATTTACAACATTACAACTTAATATGGTAAAAATATTTAAATTTATTACTTGATCTTTACAAATACATTACAACGCAGCAAATTAGAAACACCAAACATACTATTCTAAGTTACAATCTTTAAAAAATAATAAGAAACGTATTATGACAACACTTAACCTAACACAACATAAATTATTCAAAACCCAACACTTTACATCCTAATCCGTGCTGATCGTATAAACATGACACTTGACATGCTACGCCGTGGTCATCGTATAGCATGACATGGTCAAGAACTCAGGTGGCGGCCGCACTTGTGCCACAGCGGGTGTCAGAAGCAGGGCGAGCTGAAAATCGAAACCCCACCCACCGTAACCCCCCCCTATGACACTCGGAGTAAAACGAGACGGATTAGCGGCTCTCGTTTCACGATCATCGCCGTTCTTCACCTGTCCTCATCGAAGCCGGCTTCGAGGATCATGACTTTCTTTTTGCTTCGGCTTGGCCATGCCGCTGGGCCTATAAGGGGGCGGAGTCGGATGGTACGGTTGTTTCCCGCTCGGCCAAAGTTATTGGCCATGAATCTGGCTTCTGATTCCGAAGGGAGTTGGGTGTTATTACCGCTTGCCAAGGGAAGCTTGTGTTATAATAGGGAACCTATATTAGCCTTGGTATTACCTTTAATACTCAGTTTGTTAAAGATAGAGTATTATTAGAGTCTAACTCTTTGGGGACTCTATATTAACATACCTGGTTCTCTGAGATACTAGGTAGTGTCTGAATACTCAAGGGATGGTAAAGTAATATCTAATTCTCTAAAGGATCAGGTATGAATTGATATGTAAAAGTAGGTATTGACACTTGGAAATGACTAGAAAAGTTACTTTTCTGCTTTTAATAATGTCATATTCACCTAGAGAAAGGCAATTACTGTGGTACTTGTGGTGGTATATTGCTATAAGAATCATATAAAAGATAAGACTATATTTACAGAGTAACATTATTATACTGTAAGCTTTATTTCACTGATTATAATAAGGTATTACATAGTAATCTTGCTATTACAGTAGGCTTTACGAGGAAGTAAGATATGGTAGTAGTAAATGACTAACTGGTCTAAAATTACTCAGAAAAATCACAATAATGGTTAAAATCAGTACTCAGAAGCCATCTGTGGATCCATAAGCATATGTAACCATTTACAAGCATTCATCCGTATAACATATACAAGTTAACAACAATGAGATGTAAACAATAAAATCACCAAAAACTAGTAATTCACCGTGCAATCACAACCCAATATTGTACTTGGTATCTTGCGTCACTTAATTACGGTAAGTTAGACTGCGGAACTTTGTTGTCATAACATACCACGGTAGACTTTTATAATAACAAAAAGCCGAATTTGTATTTCTGATACTACAATACCATTAGAGAAAACAAAAGTGGATTACTGCTTTAGCCGAAAGTATGTTGTGATTCACGTTCAGAACATACCACGTTTACACTGAGTTCATTTTGCAGTTCACTGTTACTTAAAAAGGTCTTCAATCTGGTTGCTTTTAACAAATTATAGTGATAAAGTTATTGTGCAAGCCATAAGCTTTTGGTCACATTTGATTTTAATGATTAATGCCAAGGCACCATCATATAAGGCGCCTCTATATAATGTACATTCGTTGTTTCAAGTTTACATAAATTAAGTTCGTTTCATTTTTTTAGATTTTACTTTGAATGCTTTGTTACAAATACATCATTTTCATAAGTTGGTATCGTGAAGATGACACAACCTAACTTTCAACCAAATTATCATAAAGCACAAAAGTACCAGAAAATCCTATTTATTACCAATTTATTACCTAAAACGTGAAAAAAGTCAAATTTAATGAAACGTCAACGTTACCATATTTTTCAAAATTCAAGTCATTTCTTGTGATTTAAAGTTAAGCAGATGCAAGTGTTATATATCAGTTTAAACTTTTATTTAAAATTTAATAATTTTTAAATTTTATTTAACTTTTGTTATTGAAATATGTATGTAATTATTATATTATTGGTTGATGAGAAGAACACCGATTCAAGAGAGTTCCATCGCTAAACAAAGTGAAGGCCTTGCTTTAGTAAATCTGAAAATTACGTTATGTCTTCTAAATTTTAACTATAACGTAGTGATCTACAAAGTAAAATAAAGATATACAATTGAAAATACTTGTACTCGTCATTTAGAACAAAACGACGTATAGGTGATAGGAGTAGAGGTAGAAATTGCGATGTGTGCGCGGATGTTTTTTACCGTAAAAAGTTGCCTTAAAAGCTGTCCCAAACGTCGTGTCCTAGCTGTCGTTTGTTCCAAATGACTCTGCAATGACAACTTAAGTCTATAATAAGAAATAAACCAGTTTGAAAAGAAAATATAGAGCTTTAAAAAGTGCAAAAATATAATTTTTGAAAGTGTATTTTAGAGCTGTATTTCATCAATAATTCATTTAGGTAATGTAGTATCTTTCAACCTTTGGAACTTCTTGAATAATCAATAAATATAAGAATGTCTCATAACTGACATTGTTTTTTTGACTTTACAATAGCTGTTTTTTCCTTATTAAGCCTAAGTTTTACTTTACCATTATTTTTTAAAACTTTTTCAAAATTAGTTTAACAAACATGTTAAATGACGGTTAAAGTCAGCATGGTCTTAAAATACGCATATGCAGATCGTAAAAGCGCAGTAATCGGCTGTCAATTAAATTTACAAATGTTGAACGAATCAAGTTGCTTATAAAATGTCATTCGACGTCTACTTCCCGTTTTTACGTGGTATGTTAGGCGAAACGCATTTGCTAAATAGTACTGTTTTTCTAAAGTAGTACTTGTAAAAGAAGCAAGAGCTTGGCAGTCAAAATATGCTGAAAATAAGTGAATATACTTACTTTGCCACGGTCTATGAATAAGTATTAGATATTGTTGTAGGAATATGTAAAAGCGATAGCTGGCTTGGGCTCCTTATCAGACTTCCGTCCAGTGCACCAAGCCAAAAGACGGGACCAGAAGCTGATAAGCACCCATGCCTTTATAAGCTTTTGAATGTTTTAGTCTTGTGGTTACAATAAACTTTAGCTGAAGCTTAAAGTTGTAGTGTCATTTGCTTAAGTTAAGCTTTAAATATAATGTAATTATAAAACATAGATTTTGATCAACATACAGGTTGAAAAAAGCAAAAAATATAGGAGAACCACAAAGAATACGTTTTTTTAGTATTATTTGGAGCTTTCAGTACTGTAAAAATCATTTAAACATAACACAAAATGTAGCTAAAGAAAATACAATACTTAAAGCAAAGCAACGCTTAGCGAGTACATAACAGCTCAACCGCTATATAATATTATAGTAGCCTCGGCAAGTAAAAGCTTGTCCAAATCCAGTCAAATAAGTCCGTGATCAAGTTGCCAGAATCTTTAACCGACGGACCATTGCGACCTTCTCCACCTCGAGGATTTGGCCAAGTTTCGGCCATCCGTCGGAATTAAGCAAAGAGCGGCCGAAGGTCTTCTGGCCAGCCGGTTGCACTTGTTTTCTCGTTGAATGTGCTAATTCGGCGCGCGGAGACGAAGAAGCGAGGAGGACACGTTGAAGCCGAGGCCATTTTGCCTCAGGAGCTGTCCTATTATGGGCTTGAATGGAAAGACTTTGGCCAAGTCTTCAACCTTTTCTACACTTCTTATTTCGGCCGAAGCCCCCAGGCTTAAGCCCCGCCGAATCCGCCCTTTTCAACTTTTCGCGCACAGACTTACTCTCCTGACTCATGGTTAATATAACAAGGTTCCTTTTCGAATTTACTACACAACCCGTTTGACAAAGGCCTCCGATCTGGAATCTGCATACAATATGACTTCATGGGTACAGTAGGGTAGTGGAAGATACTGTAAGACATACAATATTACAGTAAACTTAAGATGACATCAAAAATGTTACTGTATGATGCATAACGGTCAATTATAAACCGAAAAAGACCAGGAAAGAACATAGGCTAAAGAATACAGTAAGACAGACAGCAGAAGATCATAATACACACTTAAAGTACAACTCCAAAAGATACAGTATGACTATATATAGATTCAAAATGACTTCAAGAGGTAAATATTCAATATCGTACAGTATGACATCATATGTCAAGTTGGACAAACAAACCTGGACACAATTGTCAAATGTCACGTAAACATTACTCTTACTGTGTCTACTTGATATAAAGTTTACCCTTACTGTGTCTACTTGATATTAAGTTTACCCTTACTGTGTCTACTTGATATAACAACAACTGTGTTTACTTCGAAACGTCTTCAGTATCTTGTTTTAGTACTTTAAAACAGCATACTTTGACCTCTTGATACCTCAATATCCAAAAAAAACTTTTAAAGATACTGTACTGTGACGAGAGTAAACACTATTCTTGGTATACCAAACCATTTGTCATATAAAGCAGAATCGAGACCTTCGGCCAAAAAATAAAAAAATAAAAATATTTTAGGTCTTGAAGCTGTTGTTGAACTTGCTGAGGAAAGCGCTCGTCATTCCGATACATCTGATCTCCTGCTGATTCGAAGAGTTGTACGACACTGTTACTCTGTAAAAAGCAAGTAAAGTATTATACATTCAAGTAATTTATGAATAAAGGTTGCATATAGAGGTTCCACCAAGTTCTGACTAACAGTACTCACAAGTATTCCACAAAACCTACTTTACTATACACAATTTTTAATTAAATATATATAGTAATCGTATTTTACACTGTTATATCATTCATTTAAAAGTAATGCTAAATCTACATTTCTACTATGTAAACCCTACAAAACCAGTAACAATATAACCCTTTATTACCTCGACAAAGATGACTGTGCTGAGCCATGAAACGTCTGTTCGTCCGGATACACTTGAAGGTCTCCAGATTCCTCTGTAGAATCCCGTAGCGGTTGAGATTCACTGTAAGGGAACACCTACAACTACTGTAAATTCAGGCTGCAGTAACCTACCGTGAACGATGAATCCCTTTGATTTAATGACAATTTCAACTGCTGATTCGTCCATTTACTTTGATCTGTGTTCTGCCATTGTTCGTCTGGACCCGAGATTCTCGAAGACATTGATGTAGCGTGCACCATGTGGTCCTTTTCGCCACAACAGTCCAGTACACTGGTACAGCCTGAAGGTAAAGTGAGGTTTAAAAATCTTGTTTTTTAATTTTTAAACCTTTTTTATCCGTATTTTATACCTCAATTCTCAATGTATACTTCTTACGACCAAAATTGCAACGCTATGCCAAATGGCGGAGATATTAAAAAATCAATTTTAAAAATGTAAAACAATAACACCTGTCCTACCTGGAGCCGTGTGTATCACAGATGTCCCAATAACAGACTGTCCCATTTCTGTCATCAGATTCGTCTCCAGAGAGTACTGTATCGCCTGAATCAGATACGGTATCCCTCTGATACTCTTCATCAAGGTCTCTGTCGCATCTTGTCCCAACTGTTGTTTCTCTTGTCGCGTCTGGTCCAACATGCCGATTAGTGCCAGTTGTCCCTTCTTCAAGTGGTACTTTCGTCGCTTCGACCAGAATCTGAACCAGTTCGGAATCATATTCAGCCATATTAATATAGCGAATATGACCAGACCGAGGCCGACTGCCAGGCAAGCTGCTACTGGAGGCAGAATGACCTTTAGATAGGCCAAGACTAGACCAGTTGTGAAGAGAAGGGTACCAGCTGTGCCGAAGAAAATCACCGTGAAAATTGTGGATGACATACTGTAAGTTAATTTGTGTTAAATATGACTTTTGAAACACATTTTATACACTATGTGATAAGAACAAATAATAGGTAAAATCAGATTCCTACTACAATATACTCTTCTGAATTTACATTTCAAAATTACAGAGTAAATAATATATCATGGTAGAATAAGTAGCAAGAGGAAGTGCATGAATAATATAAAGTACAAAGATAGTTCGCAGAAATGTCATTCAAATACAAACTGATGCTTACTATCTACTCAAAGTTGCACTGCCATACTCTAAGTACTTAAACTACTTTAATACAAAGATGTATATTAACATAGACACAACCACATACTTAAAAACAACAATAATAGCTTAACTTGCTTTACTACGCCTTAAAGCCGTTTATCTACATAAAATAAGCCATTCCAGACTAAAATAACCCAAAACTTTGCCTAAAACAATATATTCCTCTTATTAAACCCAAATAAGCCCAAGAAGAACGTAAAATCAAGATACGACGACCAAAAGCCAAGTAATTAGTGTAACTCTACTGTTTTGCTCCGCCAAACTCTCAACGTCTTGTGCCATGTTAATTATAGTATGTGCGAAAATAATTGACAAAGATTTGGTGCTATTTTGTATCCAAAACAAAAAATATGCAAATTTTATACTCGGAAGGGAAAAAACAAAGCCTATTTGTAGTAGGTTGGAAAAGCAAGAGCTGAACCGTAACATTCGTAGAAGACGCATATTACTATGGTATATTGTGATATGTATGTTGTTAAAAAATGTAAAGACAAAAGTTGCAGTAATGTAAAAAGTCGATAAAGTTCAAAAAATTCTGTGCTCTTCTTAAAGCGACTTTTTGAAATTAGGCACAGAATTATGTGAACAAACCTAGTAACAGAAAATAATTTTTTACAAAAAAAAGTTAATTAACCTCCCCCAAACCTAACCAAAACCCACTGCCAGCTCTGTATTAAAAATCAAAAACTTTTTCGATATAATAGTACCAAAAAGATAGATCTACGTGGTTTTCTCTCTCCTACAAAAACATAAAGTTACTACGTAACCAGCCTCTTCAGCCACATAAATTACATTATCCTTGAACAATACAGGACCAATGCTCAGACAAGTAAAACAATATCGAACTTGTCCAACAAAGTTCTCCAGAACTTTCTAAATAAAGTTCAAGCTGAATTCCTGGTATGCTATTAGTAAGCGAGTAAAAAGAATCACATTTCGATAAAATTTTGCGCAAAAAAGTGACAAAAGTTCATTAACATTGGATATTCCACTCTTTGGTAATTTATTCTGCATAATTTGACTAAAAATTAGCACTTAACTTTAGTTTTTAAAAAATAACTGCCTTAATTTATACTAAAATAACAAAAATTAAAAACTAGCTTTAGGCAATGTTAACATCAACCCAACACACTCAATATTAACAAAACTTCACCATCCCCAACAAAAAAAACCAAAATGATTCACCCCGCCCCAATACCCAACAGCAGATACCGAAACCGACTCCAGAACGGCTACAAAACGGCCGTAAACCAGGATGAGAAATCCAACTGTAAACCAGGAGAAGAGAAGCGAAAAAGTGGTGGAACTCGAGCTGTCGTGCCGGGGATGAACTAACGTTAATTAAAATTGAGAGCGCGAAAAGTCTCTCAGATATACATACGACCGAGGAATGGGACAAATTGAACACTCCAAGGTGAACACACGCCGGATTGGATTCCACACGCAATCCAGATCCATTACTGGCGTCGCCAAGCCCATAACTTGATTAGAACCCCACTTCCTGCGACAAACAGAAATACGATTAGGAGCATGTTGCAGTAAGAGTAACAAACCTGCAAGTCGTTTCTGATAGGCTTGATTAGAGAGTTTGTTAAATCAGTTTTGGCAGACAGGGTTTGGCGGTCTTGTCTAGTCCTTTACATGGTTAAAAAATAGTCAAACCACTAGTACTGAAACTACAGTAACTTGTGAGAAAAGTTTACCAAACACAGAAATGACAATAAATACCAAAACACTATAATATATGACATATATCGCCTCTAAACAGAAGCAAATCGGCTTTTGCGGCAGTAAACGTATTTTGTCATCAGCCATAGCAAATTATTCATATTTTGACTTGACTTATGTTGACAAGGAAGACACTTGGAGCAATATAAGCTTCATAAACGCCTTTACTGTAAATAATTGCAAATGTCTCATACTTTAACAAAAAAGGTCGAAAAATGTTTTCCAGTTTATATTTTACTTAAAAATTAAAGTTTAAAGCAATAGAAATCATTTTTAAAAATTTTTTTAAAAAATATTTCTGAAGTGAATGTTAACAACTTTGCCATAAAAACCTCGCCGACACTTTTGGTCATGAAAGTAACGTAAAGTATAGTTGCTACCAACATCCCATGCCAGTTTAAAACTTGCCAAACCTAAAACCTAAAGTGTTGTTTGTTTCTGATTACATTATTCCGCGCGAGTCGGCCGAGTATATCGTGTGAGCATCGTACATCCTGAACGGAACCTCGGAAGGCCGTGTAAATGAAGCCAAAAAAGGGGGCCGGCTTCCCTCGTCGCGGCTGATTTATTCCGGCCGTCTGATTGATGACTCTTGCTAATGGCCTCGGGGGCTAAGTAAGCCGGCTCTTCGCCTCAGGCATTAAGTCCTCATGCATTTCGCCCTTTCCGGCCTCCTTTTAATTGTCTACCTCGCGGATCAGTCCACCCCGGCTACTGTCAAGTGTTCCCAGCCCAGCCTCAGCCCCAGGCCAAGACACTGCCGCAAGGCATGTAGGAACGATGACAATTGTAAACGTTCCAACAAGCGGTGTCTGTGCGACGGGGAGTGCGGACTGAGTTGTGTAAATCCGCGTAAGTTGTTTTTTGTTTACTGGTCTGAAGTGATAAATTACTAATTTACTGTTAAATGTCCAAGATGATAAGCATAAGACATATACAAGTAAATTCTGCAGTAAACTGAAGATGTTAATACACGTACCTTTCTATATTTTAAATTATAGATTCATTTGCAAATTCCAAAATATTACAAAAAATAAAGCTTCTAAACTTCCAGAAGCAACATGTCATCCCCTACTAGACATACCAAATGGCTATGTTAGAGTACCGAGTGAATTCTCATTTGATACGAATGCAGAGTACGGCTGTAATGGTGGATATGTACTAGTAGGACCATCACAAAGAAGATGTCAAGGAAACAGAGAATGGAGTGGACCTAAACCATCATGTAGACTACAAAGTAAGCCTAATTAAATAAAATGTATTTCGAAATTAATTACTATGTAACTCCAATGATACATATTACAAATGCACGCTTTCAGCCAAATGTGGACCGCCACCAGAAGTACCATACGCTAGACACTTTGGTACATCAGTAGAAGGTCAATACGAACTAAACGACGAAGTAACGTATACATGTGTCAATGGCTATGTTCAGACGTCTACTGGGTCCGGAGAGCCTGTAGCCAAATGTTTGCTGAACAAAAAGAACGTAGCTCAATGGTACGGGCCTGACATCAAGTGTAATGGTAAGTTTACATTACAAAATTAAATATTTTAGATATTCCAAACATGTACGTAATTAAAATGTATAAAGATCAGTAAATACAATCGTCAGTATATTAAGTTGTTCAAAAAATAATGAGCCATATAACAATTAAGAAAACAAATATTGTTACAGCCCAATCTTGTCCAGACCCAGGTGTACCACTAAACGGATTCAGAAGCGGCGATGTCTTTCAGTATCCCCACAACGTTGAGTTTTCGTGTAGCGCCGGCTTCAGACTAATGGGATCAGCTTACAGATCCTGTACCAGTAAGGGGGAATGGACTGGACAGAATGCCATTTGTAAACGTAAGTGACAGTTCACATGGCACACTTACTACGTATTATAGTGGCTTAAAAACTATGATGACTACCTTAATAGACTTCTACCATAACAAAAACAATAACTGATCATGGGATTACAATAATGTAATCCGTTTCAGCAACAGAGTGCCAACGTCCAGCTGATCCACTTCACGGTACGGTACTTGGAAGTTCGTTAACGTACCAATCAATGGTAACATACTCTTGCAATGAAGGCTACCGTCTAGTAGGTCAAGTGCAACGTATTTGTCTGGCTGAAGGTGTTTGGGCTGGTCAAGAACCGCGATGTGAAGGTAGGTAACAGATAACAATACAAATTATAATTACTCTTCTCCCATTACTTACTTCCTTCCGTACCACAACATTTTATACCTTTTGATGTAGCAGTAGGTTGAATGTCAACTTCTTGCTTACAGAAATCAGATGTCCACCACTCCCAGTCCTCGACAACGGCTACATTGAAGGTGAAGATGTCAGCTTCGGAGCCATCGTCGTCTTCAGATGCCTCGAAACGATGAGTCACGTTGGAGCACCGTACGCCAAATGTGAAGAATCGGGAAAGTGGAGTCATATACCACCAAAATGTTTGGCTGGTTGCAAGATACCATCTATATCGAGTGGTAGAATTGATAACCATGAGGAAGGAGATCATATTGCTCATGGATCAGAGCTGAATGTGCAATGTAATCCCAAACACGAGACCAGATCGGACGCTCGGATAACTTGTAACAACGGTACCTGGTCGCATATACCACAATGTATACCGTGTAAGTTAGGCATTGTTTATGCTACAAAGCTAAGTTTTAAGATAACTCAGTGTAGCGTAGTAACATCGGTAATTCTTTTTTTAATTTTTTAACTATAATCTTTTACAGTAAGATGTAAATCATGGCCACCACGTGTCTCCAACTCCCGGGTCATGTTCACAAAGTCAAATCACGGAACGACGGCCAAATACTACTGTAAACATGGCTACAGACCCTCCAGTCCCAACAACCAGATCAAGTGCTTGTACGGTAACTGGAACCGAGAAGGATCTCCGTTCAGATGTCTAGCAAGTAAGCTCCATTCTAACTATCAAAGCTACACTATTGAGAGCCTAAAACAATATATTTTAATCTAATTGTGTTCTAGTGTCTTGTGAGCACCCGAGCAAAGTATACGGTAATCTACAAGGAGGTCAGATCATGTTAGAAGGTCAGATGGGGGCATATGACTTTGCTGATTACATTCACAGAGTCCCAGAAGGCAGAGCCATCAGTTTCTCGTGTCATAAAGGAAATCTTCTTATAGGTAATCAAACGCATAATATTACTGTAACAGCACCTTATAAGCACTACAAATACACTTGTTTTAGGCCCTCCAAAAGCATCATGTGCCAACGGACTATGGCGACCATTAATGAAGCCAAAGTGTGTTTCACAACGACATCCAGACATGGAAGGTACAATAATATGGGCGCGGAAGAAGAGGAGCATCACAGAATGTCCTTCAGTGGATTCAGATGACACCAGAGAAGTTACCATCAAAGGACAACAACTTATGGTAAGATTGATATTACTTCAAACTAATGAATCCTTTAGCTCTATGTCTACAATATAATTCTAGGTGAAATGCAAGAAAGGATTCAAAGACAAAATAACGTCATCACGCTGCATCGACGGACAATGGAGACCATCGATCGGTTCTTGCGAGAAAAGTAAGCATAATTACACTACAACAACATTAACCTGTGCTACTTGTCAAAATATACGATAGCCTTTTTAACTCTGTTGTTACCTAAATACTATGATGTCCTTCAGAAGCCTGCAAAGTGCCATACAGACTTCACTCCTTCTTCGTGATGCCTTCAACTGGCAAGATTCTAGGATCTGGAGAAACATTCGATCAGCCAATGAACTTGATTTGCCTGCAAGACTTCCAGCCGGCTGGGCCTACTAAACTTAACTGTATTGATGGAAAGATTCTCAGTCCGCCTGGATTCTGTGAACCTAGTAAGTACAATTACGAAAATAATGTGCCGTTAGTAGACTTATATAACATAAAACAATGACTTGTCTTCAGAATCATGCAAAATAACGCCTATCGAACATGGTAAATACATGGACGAGACAGTAGACATGATAGACCACGATCAAAGTATAATTCTCAAGTGTGGGGCACATACAACAGAGATACTATGCAGATTTGGTAGACTACAGCCAGAACCAACCTGCGACGGTTTGTAAGCCACTTTCCTTATTTTATATGTCATCTAGCTATACTGTTTTTAACCACCCTAATTCAAGAAAATCAAGATAACTTTACCTAGTAAAGCTTTAAAGACACGTTACATCCTCTTATATACTCCCAGATATGTTACAGCGACAACGACGCCCAAGACAACCTACTGTAACAAACCGGAAGGTCAAATCGTACCAGTCGATATCTACTACACCTCCACAGACACTCAGAAGAGAGTTTACATCGACTTTAACCGCAATGTGTTCCCAAATGGCACCACAATGCACTTTGGTTGTGATACGACCGAAGACGAGGCAGCTGCTATCAGATGTGTGAACGGAGAATGGATAAGTTTGTTGGAGGAATGTGTACAACAAACCCACAAAGAAATGCCCAAGATAGACTCGTCCTTGTGTACTACACCAACTTCAGAGCCGGGCAAAGTTGTGAGTAATATAGCCAACTGGGGATCTCTCAAGCACCCTGTCTTCTTTCCCCACGGATCATCGTTAACGGTAAGAATGACAATATGACATAGTTAAAGACTAAAAAAATCGTTTTTTGCTAAATTTAAAGTTGGAATTGATAAAATACATTACCTTCAACACAAATACTATAATGTCATAAAGTTGATGTTTCAGATATCATGCGAACAAGCCGAGATATACGACCGGTATGAGGAATGGAAGTGCAGACGAGGGAAATGGCACAAGAAAGGATTCGTAAATTGTCCAACAAGTGAGTGTTACCATTGTAAAACAAAATATAGACCAATGTATAATGATAGTATAACACAATATGTAGATTTATAGATTAAAGTAATATTTCAGAAAAAACGTGCGAATACAAAGTTGATCCAATGTCCAAATTAAACGTATTTTACGAACGAGGCCGAGATTATGTCTACTTCAATGACAAATTCATGGGTAATCTAATCCTTTAATCAACAGTTTTACAAATCGCTTGATCTTGTTTTATTTTTATAGTTAGTTATAATTGTGTTAGTTTCAGAAGGCTCCAAGTTGTTATTCACCTGTAAAAACAACTTCATGGCCAAAATGCGAGGCCCATCGTCAGCTGAATGTAAAGACGGGGAATGGAGTCCAGGTCTGCCACGATGCAACGAACTTGATGTAAACAATAGAGGCATGTTACCTAATCTTACCTTAAGCGATGCTGTTCCTTATACCTCCATAACTCAATATTCATCAATTGGATTTGAAAAAAAATATTCAATTGTTGCAAAATTCGGTTTTAGGTAACAAGTACATAATAATAAAACCAACATTATTTGTAACCTAAAACACTCGTTGCTTCAGGTAATTCCCCAGCAATTCACTTCCATGTAGACAAAGGTCCCTTCTTCATATCCCCTGAGGGCATGTTGTTGGTCAACCGCTCGACTACAGTTCACTTATATTGTCTGTATCCGAAGCCCACAACTTCTGAACAACCACGCTGGGTAAGAGATTTCATAACGGCATCACAAATGTTTAGGAAAGCTCATCACCGTACAGAAATTATCCACAGAAGTGGGTTACTGGAGCACATCCCGATCATCCTTACGCCAGTGCTTATAAGGTGAGTTTCTTTACTTGTCACACATACTTAAAGTTCCTTATTTGGAACACATACTCGTCAAAGCCTTCATCTGAAATAACCAAAAACTTACAGTTAACGATCACAGTAGCTCAACCGGAAGACAGTAGTATATTCTACTGCATCCTCCCCAATCATCAACGTTCTGGAGTCAAATTAGAAGTCTCTGACCAGGAATGTCGACCAGTGTTTAATACATCAACATTGAGAGTCCATTCCACATCCAGATCAACTTTCCCTGGAGGTACCATACACTTTTCTTGCATAAATGGGTATGAACTTAAAGGACCGAGGACAGTAATGTGTTTGGATGGAGGCAATTGGTCCCATTTTCCTCCCAATTGTCAAGGTAAATTAATAATGATCAAAAATAAAAAAAATATAAACACTAAACAAGTAGAAGACATTCTACATCAACTTTAATAACATTACCAAACTGTAATAACTATTTTTCAATAATTTTAAATAGTAATGTCAAGTTTACAATACTATAAATGTACTTCTCAGTCAAACTGTGCCCACCAATAGTAATATCAGACTCAAAACTGACCTGTGCTGTCACTTCCCACAAGTTTGGAGGGATATCACAATGTAACTGTGCTCCTGGTTATGCATTGCGTGGTAATGATGTCCTACATTGTTCAGATACAAGCGAATGGAGCGATTCTGTTCCGACGTGTGAAAGTAAGTTGTTTTATATGTTTTCAATGCATATTTTCAGTTTATTTTATTTGACAAAAAATTGTTGGGAATATTGTATAATCGATAGTGACACTCCGTCCTTTTGAGAAGATTTTATTGATATTTGGTGAAAATAAGAAAAATCAGTCTTATTTTAACGTTTAAAGTTATATAAATATAGTTTTAAATGTTTTTCTTGCTTTTTCATGTTTTTATTTTATGTTGTTTTAGCTATTGTATGTCCAGCCCCAAAAGTTCCATCTCAAGGCTTTATTATCGATGCCAGAGGTCACAAATCTTCGAACATTCAGTCCAATTACTCGCTGGGCAGTGTGATAATCTTTGGATGTAATGATGGCTACATGGTATCAGGAACCGACTTCATCGTATGTCAAAAGTCTGGTGAATGGTCGGAGATACAGACCCAATGTAAAGCCTACTGTAACTTCCCCGAGGTTGGTGGAAATGTGAAGACAACTCAGCTAAAGAGAGAGTACTACCTGATTGGAGAGAAGCTGGTATTTATTTGTAAGAACAGTCAGTTTAGACTGAAGTCAGAGAACGTTCTCGAATGTCTGAACGATGGGGAATGGTCGAGAACGGCACCAGTTTGTGTACCAAGAAGGAGGGGGCAGTTGGTGGTGTAGATGGGGCTTTGAAATGACATTATCTATTGTAATTTAGACTAATTATTGGTTTTTAGCATACTTAGTATATTGTACTTGACGGTATTATTGTAAAGTAAATATTACCTAAAATAACTTGTTTATTAAATCTTTTTTAACTTTATCGTCATTCAAGATACTGTTTTTTCTTCATTGACTTTTGTAAAGGGGAAGGCATTAGGTTGTTGAGATTAGGGCCATTTCTTGAGTACAGTACCCTATTTTCAAGCTATAATAAGATGCTAATATGACCGTTCATGACATGTGAAGCAAAACATAATTCTCGGCGTTGCGTAACGGGAGTTTATTAACTCTTTGCGGCAATGTTATTAATGATGGAATGACCCTAATTAACTCATTCGTCGCACGAATCAACTGGTCTATCCACACCTGCCGCGGCATTTCAAACGCTTTCAACTGGCGGCTAATATGTTGCTAATGCTCGATAGTTAACCTAGTTAAGCGCGTAAAGTTCTATAAAATACCTGTGGTAGCGTATTGATACCAACATTAACTCCGATAAAGTGTTATCAAAAAAGCTGATTGATAATAAGTAAGATGTACCTAAAGATGCTTTAAACATGAACTGTATTTCTTTCCTTACCTTACGGTTACTGGATAAGCGTTTTGACTCGAAACGGTCTGACACAGTCATTAATGTACTCGCAGGCTTATTACTGCCGTAATGTCCTTGTTTTTTCATGTTATTGTTTTTGAAATTCGAAATGGTTTAACGACTCTTAACGACTTCTCTGGTATAAGGAGCTGACTCGCATAAAAAGCTTTATAAAAACGTGGCTTCTGCATAAAAACTAGTAACTTTAGGTATAAAAAACAGTTCAAAACATATTATCATACTAGTTACCTAAACTGGACTGCTTCAAAGGGACCGCCGTGTTCCGAGAAGCCTATCCTCGATGGGTGCTAATTGGCTACGAATGTAAAAAACCGCGTTTATGTTATGATAAGACATCTCCGACCTTGGGGAGTGTGCTTCGCAGGTCATTAAGTGAGCAGCATCAAGAAATCTGTTTATTCGCTCAACCGGACAAGATAATATGGACACGATCTTATTTATGACTGTTGGAGGAGATAGACCAGTTGCTCGATGTAGGCTTGGGCCATCTGAAGGGTCTCGAACTTGGACAGACGACGACCTTGTTCTAGGGGTGGCAGCACGTTGCGCAGCTATAAATTAGTACATAAATATAGATATGGGAAGTTAATTGATTAATATTTAAATTATGTCATAGATTATATGATAACTAACACACTTTTAGGTATTGAATTCTCTTTTCTATTTACTGTTCAAACAAAATACTATATTTAAGAAATAATTATGAAAAACTGTGAATCATGGCTTATGTTTTGCACAATAAATCACTGTTTTCTGTTTCAAAAATTACAGTAACCCACCTCTTCGAAGGCGTCATTGAGATGGTTCATTCGTCGTCGTTCCCTCGCATTGGCCGCTTCTCTTCGGCTTCTCAAAAGCTGAGGGGAGGGGGTCTTATACCTTCTGGCACCACCTTTCTTGCTCTTCTGATTGCATTCGTCTCTTTCTGGAGAGGTCTTTACACTTCTGAAAAGATAACATTGTTTCTATAGAAAAAGAGTACAAACAGTGTATAATAATCATTTTAGTCATATAAAGTATTTTTTGAGTAGTTAGCCTATGTTAACATAGACAAAACAACAAGGTTTTTTTGTTATAATCCTTCAAGTTTTACAGTCTTATGACAAAACTCACGATGACTGATTAGAGTCGGAACTGTAAAATGAATTGAAATGGTGTCCGAATCTCTGTTCGAAGAGTTGGTTATGGTACATGTGCATGTCGATGTTGTTATAGGGTGGGAAGACGGGTGATGTCATCGGGGACATCATGGACGTCGAGGGCTGAGGACCAGATGGCCAATAAACATTCTGATTCATCGTCGCCATTCTTCAACACAATCTTAACCAAGGTAATGTCAAATAGGTTTGGTAACTGTGATATGGCACAAAAGTTTTGGCAATGTTACAGTAAGCTAAAAGTTGTCGAATGAGTTAAATTTACAAAAACTTTAATTACAAAACGACAGTAAATGTTTTTTAAAAACCCCAAATCAAAAAGTTACAGTAACCCGAGTTTTAAAATAAAAAAGCTACAGTAATATTGTATTTGAATAACGGAATCCGGAGTCGATGGAAAGTGTCGAGTCGTTAAGTGAGGATCGCAATGTCCCCAGAGGCCAAGCGACCCGCCCAGCAGGTGCAACAAAAAGGGGCGGGGCCTATTACGGTAGCGATTGCGCGATTGACCGGTGAAGAGATTCCGTTGTAGGACAATCCGGTAATTTGAAGGTAAACAGTTAATTACAGAGCGAACAATGTAATTTCAGACATATTCTAGACATTGTGACGTAATTCTGGAAGTCTACAGTTTACGGTTTCTACAATAATTTACCGTTACTTTACTACCTTATATTACCCTTTAGACTTCTTTAAGGCTAAAAAAAGTAATAATGGTAAGTTTTTTTTAGTTTTTCCGACTCTTAAGTACTATATAAACAGTTAAGGGTAATATACAACAATATTGTACATAAGGAGTTATACTTATCAACCAGTCGAAACTACACCTTAAATCAAACTTTACATTATCCTCAAAACATTAAACCCGCTATTCCCAGCCCGAAACATAAAGTATATTACTGGAGCAATATAACCACTCATCGGTTTATGCCTTCAGATCTGTAATAAAAGCCTTAACATCATAAAATTAAGCGGACAGATGCAGAGACATCTCGTTATTTATAGCCGATTTGAATAAAGCCGGGTCGGCTACAGAACTACAAAATTTCAAACAGAATTTGTCTTTGAAATGATATTAATTTAGCTAAAAGTTACATAAAAACTAGTGCTTTCAAAGGTAAAACAATGTCAAAGGGTACCACAATACGTAAAAAATATTCAAATGCTAACGTTTTTCCAAATATTATCCAAAATTACATTTATATCGCAATAAAATTACAAGTTTGTATACAAAATAAATAAATCACAATCAGTTTCTGATAACATTACTATAGTAAATGTTTCAAAAGATTATTTTACATCGTACATTTACATGAAGCTCAACTCTCCCAGAGACCTTTTCGTCATACAAAATATTGGATCGACTGGTTCTAGTCCAGGATATCCCAAGAGACTAAGACCGGCTAGTCCAAATATTGTGTGAAATGGGTCCGGCTGAAACGATCTTTTATTGGTAGTTAGGTAAAATTGCTAGAACGTTATAATACGTTTCAAAAAGAAACATAATATGGGTAAATATAATAATAATTTTTGAAAATTCAAACAAAAACTTACCATATCTCCAGGTCTATCAGCGATACCTCCAGTTTCATCATCCTGAGCTGCCAATATGAACTTGGTCAAGTCTTCCTAAAAGAAAAATTATAAGATTTCAAAAACATTTTATAAAAAAAGCTTTTATTCTTCAGGTAATGAAAAGATTTTGTATATTCCTGCAATACATAATACTGTTCAGAAAGTTCTGAGCCAGAACTCTTTTTAAACAAAAAAAGTGTTTTTAAATAAATAATTTGCCATTTTATAAGCTATATTAAGTTTCTGATTTTGTAAATTGTCATAAACTAATTTATTGGATGTAGGTAATCAATGAGGACCAGGACTTTCCAGACAGCCTAATACAAATGAACAGGAAAAAAATAAAAAAAATCATTCTAAAGCAATATTATTTTGATTAGTCGTAGAACTTCATAAATTAAAAGTCAAGTAAAAGTTAAAGCTCTTATTACCTTATCAATGTAATCCAGCTTTCCCAACATCGCCAAAGACGCTAACACCCACCATGAATAACATACGTCAGGTAGTTTCTCGGGTCGGCCTGCAAAGACACGTTACAGTAATCCCGCGCACCTATCGATAAAGTGCGAACTTGATTTATGTTCAACAAAATGACACTTTCGGCAAACGAAACAACATTACACTACATGAAGCATCGTATCATATCTTCGTAAAATGCGTTACCATACTCTACTCTGATGTCAGGTAGTGGTAAAATGTAATGTAAATCTTGTAGTTAACTTTTTAGATGTTTATCAAAGCAAGTACTTTACTTACCACAAAGTCCTCCAGACCGACATTGTCTATCAGCAAGCCATTGTGCCGTCCTGTCCATGTTAATCTGCTCCAAACACCCAGTCAATGCCAATGTCCCAACACAACAATATACTTGGCCTGAGTGACTTTCCGAGCCCGGTCTTGTCCCAAATCCACCATCAAAGTTGTAGCACTTGAAGACGAAGTCTACTGCCTTTCGAACATCCACAGCATCCAACCGGTCAATCAGATACAGCGACAACAAAGCACAAAAGGTGAATCGAGTATCAACCTCTTCTGCAAATACGCCTATGACGCAACATTACACAACCAAATCCATTGTCCGATTAGATCATCACACCTATTATGACACGCTGTTTGTGGTGAATTATACAATCTCTAGGACAATATTCAATTATCTCGTTATGCCCATCTTTTAAAATGTCATATAGAAATAAGGTTTTTCTAATCAATACTTTTAGAAAATACTTACACAATTAAATACATAAGTATTAAAGATATCCCACAACATATAATCCACAACTTACTGTTTCTGCTTTCTCCACAAAAACTGCCATCTTCATTTTGCAAATTCTGAATAAACGATACGACACTGTTCTTGTCCACCAAGTCCAATCGTTTTAAAATTATGAATACCTAAAACAATATCAGGCTTCATTCTTTTAACTATAATACGCTTCTCATATTTGGAACATTAAAAAAGTAAATAACAATTCTAATTTAAAGTTTAAAAAATTAAAAAATCGACCGTAAACTATAAGCCAATAAGCTTACCTGAAGAGCACAGAGCGTGTGTAAGATCTGACTGTCGTGACCTTTTGCCGATCCATATCCACCATCTTCGTTCTTTGAGTCGGTTATGATCTTGATTATGTTCTCGATATGCTTCTGGTCTTGCTTCTCCAACTGATTGGCCAAATCCAAAGAGCCAACACACCAGTATATTCCACTTACCCTCAGATACTCTGTCAGAATGTATTCCTAAAATAAATTTACTTATCAAGCTATTACTTAAACACTCTTGAAATACGTTTAAAGTAATCTGAAAAGCAAGTTATCTTAACCACAAAATTCACCTTCAAAGTAATGATTTCTCAAAACTTTTCAACCAAAAAAGATCAATCAAAGATCAATACGTAGTCCTATAAAACAAAAACATTTTAACAAACCAACTTACGTATCCTTCAGTGTTTGCACCACTTTTTACAATGAAATCAACATGTTTGTCCCGCAGTAACTCAGTCGGAGACCCTAAGGGTATCTCAACATCCCTTCTGGCAATGTTCCAGATCGAAGACAAGCCTTGACTTCCTCTGTTATTTCCAAACACCTCAAACAGATCGTCCGTAGTGACCATTTTAAATTCAGCGAACTGTCGCCAGATGGTACTCGATCAAATCGGCTGAAGCAGCAAGTTTACTTCAATATTTTACTTCAAACGTAAATTATTATAAGCCAATAAGTTTTATTTATATTTTTTGATAAGATACTCACGCAGAGAACTTTCGAACTTATACAAAACAAACTTCAAAACAAAGAGAGAGACAACAAACGTATTTTAGAAAAAAATGTCATGCATAAGATCAAAAAATCAATAAATATTATAAATTTTAAAACATGTCAGATATCTGAAATCTCTCAAAATCAAATTCTGTATTCGAAATTCAGTAACTGTGAGTTTACAAAGTCGTTTTAATTCTTCGTAGAAATTTTTCCGAAATAAAAGAAAAGTAAACTTGACTTATTAAAAAGCGTGTCAAGATTTTCTCTTTCTATTTGCAACCGACTTGCCATAAGAAACCCTTTTTTGAGTAAAGATCTACTTTAGTGAACTTACAAGCTATGATAATACTAAAAAAATATAATATATTTATTATTATTAAAACCGAATATCAAGTATAGGTACTGACAGTAGGAATAGTTGAGCTTTGAGATGATATTGACGTACTATAGTTGATATGACAAGTTTATTGTGGAATGTATTGATACCATTTCAAGTGACGATAAAAGAAGATTGTGCAAATGCCTCCAATTAGCTAAAAATAAAATTTAATTTAGTTTTTATTGTATTTCTTTGCAATTGTAAAGGATTATTATATTATAGATACTATAAAAAGGAAAAAATTCAAAAAAATGCTCAAAACCTACTAATAAGACAGCAGTAGCACTTCCAGCGATGACGTAGTACATGATCATTTCGTTCATTGCTGCTTCAACCTTATCATGACATCCTTGAGTATTCACAGCTGTATTGAAGGCAGTGGTACCGTATGGGTATGTTATACACAAGGGGTCTATTGGTCTTGAAGCCCAAGCTCGTCCATCTTGGGACTGTTTGCAGCAAGACGATGGTACAAAGCTTCTGGTACCTCTTTCTACATTGGTTATGTACCAAAAGGAGTTCTGGTAGTCTAGAGCGCCTTTGTTACCTCCACAACACTTTTGCTGTAATTACAGTAATTTAAACGCCAATAGTTATGATTGTTGCTAGTAAAATTATAGGATAACATTGTTGTATTAATGGTGAAGATAAAACTTTTCTTCCTGTTTCTTACTTACATAAAATTGAATAGAATCCATCAAAGGAATAGTCCACTTGTCTCGATAGTACCTGTTGTAACTGATGTTTCCCAGATACACACCCATTCTGTCGTTGTCGAACTAAATATCATACTAGATAAGATGATTTTACTTACTTTGGACTTGAAGATCAACGGTAAAGTGATAATGGAGGCCGCTGCTGCTAACAAGCATACCATGAACAATAGGTACTAAAAGTATATAAATTACTTTACTTTTCAAAATATTTTTAAACTATAACTAACTTATTATATGTCATGAAATACTTTACAACAAATACTTAGTTTATACGGTATCAAAAGGACCTGTTTTCAAAAATCTTACCATGCCCATAATAAATTTGCCAGAAATGACAGTGCCAAAACATCCTACAAACGCTACGAACAATATGCAGATTCCGGTGCCTAAAGCAATGTAAGCTGTGAACTTTAGGAGTGGATCATCTTCGGAAAAGTCAACCAAGTCCAATAGGTAACTTTTAGAAGGATCTAGAAGAAACCATAAGGACAGGGCTATCAGGGCCAAGCCATTGATCTAAAAGTGGAATAATAGTTTAGAAATCAGTGTAATATACCGTTTTGCAACGTAAAAAGACTAGTTCATAGAAATTGTTAAATTATACTTTAAGAATAAACAGAGTAGACAACATAATATGTCATCCAAAGTTAACGTTCTCTCACTATACAGCGTTCAACCATAAAGATATTACTTACAATCAAAAGCAAGGTATAGAAAAGGAGACACGAGCGAGATTTGGACCGCATTAGTCGAGAGCGGCGAGAATGAAACTCTCGTATAAGGACAGGTAGAGGGCACAACGGGGTCTTCGAGGTTGAGTGAGTCACAGAGCGACCGCAAACAATCAGGTCGATAACATCTTTTAATAGCCATTATTCATACCCCGAGGTGATTGTTCAATGATTATCACTGGAATTCCAAATTCAATTAGGTAAACAAACAAAGCGACAAACAACTTCAAGTCTTAAAATTAATAAATGAAGAATTGTAAATTTAAGCTGTCGCAAAAGCGAACAAAAAACAAATTAACCAAATAAACAAAAATATTTGCGTAAAACGAGGACAAAGAAAATTGCCAAATCGTCTTCGCCTCACATCTTTAACTGTTTTCTCGTTTTGTAAATGAGATCAGTCTTTCTATTAAAACCTTGTGGGAACGTGATCCCAACTGCTGCTAAATAAATATTTGTTACAGTAATCTAAAGTAGTCGATATTAAACTAAGAAGCTATTTAAGCACAAAGCATGAATCTACATAGCTTTAAAGTTTTAGCATAACAAAACTTTACTAACTATATTTCACTAAGCCAGTCTCTATATGTTGTTGTTTTCTTTACGATCGTCTTCTGTTTATTCTCGTTACCTTTAGCTAATATTGTATCCTTTACTACTTATTGGTCTACTCAACTTACAAACGAATTCTAGGAAAAAATAAATTTTTCAAACTTGGCCATTGTGTCCCACCACGAAAATGCCTTCTGCAAGGTGCCTTTTGGCGCTTTCAAAATCTCACGTAAATTATTTCGAGCCGGCTGGCGCGAATATTTTTGTGGGGAAAGGCTCGTAAATTCAGAATCAGCACGGATTCTGGCCTGACGCTCGTTCCGCGGCCGTTTTGGATGGTATCCTTTTAGAAGAATATAATTGTCTATGCAAATCTGCGAAGAAAAATAATTTCGAATAGATTTTCTCTTTAAACTCGCGTATTTTTCTAAAATTGAGGGGATTTTGAAGCTTCTAATTGTAAATAAGGTTTAAGAAAGGTTGATAGAGGTTATTGTAGGTGAAATATACTTTTGAATTGTTATATTTTTTAACTTTTCCTGTGCTTTTTACTTGTAAAAAGTTTTTATACTTATTTTAACTAAATTTTAGGTAACAACGCTCCAATTTAACTTTTAAATTGTAAACAGTAAGGTTTAAAATATTTTTAATATTGTTCTTTGTTTAGATGGCAGTCGAGTGTTCGTTGGGAGAGTTCAGAGGAGCTGATGGATCTTGTTCACTGTCAGAGAAGGATCAGAAGTCTGTTGTGATTCTACAGGGTCCCTCAGCTATTGGACATGAAAACGAAAAGCTCTATAGACACATTGGGCACATTAATCTACATTGCACATTATTTCAACAGGAGAATCCTCGAATAGGAGATTTGTTGTTGTTGAGACTGATCGAGAATTGTGTGGATCGGAACTTGTACCCAAGAACGGAGATCTTGATCCACTGTGATGTGCAAGACCAGTATAATGCCGGAGTTGACGTCAGATCATTCAATGCTACTTCTTTGTGCTTGTTAGATGCAGCTATCAGAATGAACTACTTCTTTTCGGCTGTTTTGGTTATCAAAGTTGTGGATCAAGAACAAAAGAGGAACGAACTTGTTGTGAACCCGGATCCAGATCTGTTGGCAACGGCCAAGAATGTGTTCTTGTATGTCTTTAAGCCGTCTTTACTGGAACCGGTATTGATTGCTGAAACTTGTTATGGAGGATTCACTTTCGAAGAGATGGGCAAGGCCATGGATCTGGCTAAATCAAACGCTTTGAAGGGCTTGGACTTTGTTCGGAAAGAGATCTCATTGAAACTGGCCAAACACTTTTAAATTTTATTAATTTACAACTTTTTAAATAAGTTCTGCCTTCATTTGCCGTTTTTGCGTGATGTTCGAGTTTTTTTTGATGTCATTGTTGTTGAGTTTGATTAATAAATAATTCTTTCAGATTCCGATGTCTCTTAAACACGGGGATCTGGAGCTACTGTGTAGCCTGATCGATGGGGACAATTCAAATGCTACCGAATATTGTCAAAGTATTCTTCATAAGGTCCACAATGTCAGTCTTATTGAAGAAGCCAAGCTGCTGAAGAAGTCAAGACCTGAAGCTGTCTATGGTTAGTAGTTTTGTTTTAATATTTTACAGTTTAGTTTAAGGAATTGAGTTGTACTTCTTGTTTTGTGGGCTTAAATTAAAAATTTTGAGTAGCTACTTTATGAGTTTAATTAATTTTGATCTACAATTGCTATAATTGTAGTTATATGCTAATGTTTTAAATTTTAGTATGGGGTCTTGGCATGACATTCGTAACCTTGATCAGCTTATGTGCCATGGTTGGAATCTTGTTCATGAGATACTTGAAGAAGAGCATCTTCAACAAGTTTATCACGTTCTTTGTCAGCTTAGGGGTTGGATCTCTCAGTGGATCTGCTGTTTTCCATCTTCTCCCTCAGGCTTTTGGACTAGTTGAAGAGTTTAACCCAAATGCTAACCATGACTATCTTTATAAGGCATTTGCAGCCATATTTGGAATATACTTGTTCTTCTTTTGTGATAAGGCGATCAAGATTATACTGGAGACAAGAAAGGTACGTTAATATGGTAGTTGATATTTGCGTTTAGAAAAGACGGGCTGAAATCGAAATGACAACTAAAAATGGAGGAAAGTACGAGCATGTTCACGAAGCCCACTCTGGTAGATCGTCAGATGCGTTGATCATAAATGGAAAGGCTCACAATACAACAGAGAAACATTTGGCTCATATGTTCAGACAAGACAGCGAAGCTGATGATAGTATGCATAGACAAGTGAGTTCAGTTAATTAAAGGAAATTAAATTCAAATTGAGTAATGTTTTTAAATTTTAATAATTGAAATTTGCTTTGTGTAGGAGTCTATTAATATTATTTCAGGCCCATGCTGTCTGTGTCCACGATCACGACATGGAGTACAAACAAGGAGATTCTGTAATTGCCACAGTAGCCTGGATGATTATCTTTGGAGACGGGCTACACAATTTGATCGACGGTATCAGCATTGGAGCTGCATTTTCAGAATCCATCCTATCTGGAGTCAGCGTGTCAGTTGCCGTGTTGTGCGAGGAGTTCCCTCATGAACTAGGTGACGTAGCCATTTTGGTGTCAGCTGGAATGACTCTGCGACAAGCCCTGGTCTACAACCTTTTGAGTGCTTTGTCGTGCTACGTTGGCTTCTTTATTGGAGTGCTTTTGGGTAACCTGGACGATTCTTTTGCATCGTACGCATTCGGATTTGCTGGTGGAATGTTCTTGTACATTGCTTTGGCTTGTATGATGCCAGAGATGAAGAACGCAATGGAAGAAGCCCTCAACATATCTTTGTCTTACAGTCTGGAAGTACTGTTCTTCCAGGCGTCGGGTATGATCTGCGGCCTCTTCCTGATGGTTTGTATGGCCAGATACGGAAGCCAAATCTCATTTGAGTCGACATGATTCTAGTAGCTATCCATGATTAGTTTACTATGTACAATTTCACACTAGGTCCACTTTTCTATTCTAAATTTAATCGTTTTTTTGTTGTTTTTTGTAATACTTTAGCATAATACTAAACCTTGTATCTCGATTTTCCAGGTGCAATGACTTTATTTACAGTTTTAACAAATCTATCTCTCTTTACGAACTTTTAAAACGCAATTACTTTCTTTAAAGGTTTTAATTCACATGATCTTTTTTGAACGATTCCATTAGGTCTGCAGCATCTTTAACGGTCTTACCATACCAAAAGTAACTTTCACCCAACGACATAATGAGTTAATTGATCAACCTGCATTTGCCATGTCCGTAACAAACTTTTGTCCATTTCATACGGTTATTTTTTATTTTTTGAATAAACTGATAGTATTCCGCAATAAGCTGTGATAACGGTAAATTGATAACAATTTAACGGATTAGGAAGTACGAACTGACACTTAATGCTATTTCGGTCGATTCGCAAAAACTTTGAAGTTTCTTCAAGACCTCAATTTAAAAAAATGAACATTATGAGTTATGTTTAAACAATAACTATAGTTTTTCTAAACTGTGAAGGTTAAAGTTAGACTTTAACCCTTAAAACGGAACACCGTTCATAGCTCGAAAGTAAGATCGTTACCCAATGACCACTTCAGAAGCAAATAACCATGCGTCGACGGTGTTCTGTAAGCGAAAACAAAGCTTTTGTATGTTTAGGGATGTTTTGGTTGTCTGCTGGTGCTGGGCACGCCCTCGCTCTCTCGCTCCCTTTCCCCGTTCTTTTTGGCGTTGTGTTAGAAGGAAGGCAAGGCGAGCGAGGGGGTTGCTCAGGTCATGTGTGAAGCAGTAATTGTTATTATTAAAATTTGCATTCGAGTTTGTAAAAAGCGGGAGTGACGCAAGAAAAGGTTTTTGCTGCTGCGCGAGTCCTCCATCCGGGAAGGGACCGCTCTTCCCTGCCTCCCCCCCAAACATTCGATCGCTTTATATTTTATTTGAAGAGGCGAGCAGATTGTCTGGTATGGCGACGCTTCACATTACTTAGAACAACGTCTCCCGATTCGAACATCTTAATCATGGCTTGTGGTCAAGTACAATGTCAGATTCCAGTAAGATCCTGAAGATTTAGTTTTAGTGTTTTTAGGAAAAGAACTGGAATGTGGACAATTGGAACAACGAGGTGTTCAAGTACGAAAGAGACACATTAATAAAAAACAAACTCGGTTTGATTGTAAATAAAAGGTAACAGCAAGTTTATAATTAAGAAAGTAAATCAAAAGACTTCACTGTTCTTACTCTAACAAGCATCTTAAGTTAAGTTAAAATTTAATAGTTTACGTAATTTTAGGTATGAGATTGTGCAAAGGATCGATGCCGGTGCTTTTGGTTCGACGTATGTTGGAGAAGATTTGATGAATAACAGGCAACGAGTGGCAGTCAAGTTTGATACTGGAAGGCCGGAGTTCACGAGATGTAAGTGAATGCAGAAAAAATACCTTCTTAACAATCAAAGATGTGAATTTCCTAGTTAAAGACGGTACATCATATAACTTCTCACTTATATATCACACCTAACTCAATAATTTCAGCCAAACGCGATGAAAACCATTTAAAGTACGAGTTCGAGGTGTACAAGTCAGCATTAGTAAGTGTACCATTAAGTAAAAGTATTCGAAATTTAGTACAATGAAGGATCAGACACTGTAGAAGGCTACGCCAAAGTGCACTGGTTCGGCTATCAATACAAGCATAATATTCTGGTTATGGAGCTACTGGGGGCTTCTGTTGCGTCACTGTTCAACTTTTGTAACCGAAAGTTTGGCTGGCAGGTGGGTGTTTACAATTTCACGTAATAGTAATGTAGTTGCGCAACTTTCAAAAAGTTGACGTCACATCATCGAAGCTGTACGATTACCTTAACCCTCTAAACCATGCTTTTCAGACGATATTATCATTGGCACAACAAATGCTTCACAGAATCCGCCACCTACATTACCGTGGCTTCATTCATCGTGACATAAAACCAGAAAACTTCTTGATGGGTCTGAACCAAAAAGAAACAACTTGTTACCTAATTGACTTTGGATTGGCAAGACGATACCGCTACAGGAATAACGAAGACCGTAAACTAAAGCACATTCCTTTCAAACGAGGACGTTCCTTCATTGGCACGGCCAAGTATGCATCCATAAATAGTCATCGTAACGTGGAACTGTCACGACGAGATGATCTGGAGTCTCTTGGTTATGTTATAATCGAAATGATGAACGGTAGCCTGCCGTGGAAGAATATCTGTAGACGGAACCAGGTCAGCAAACAACTCACCTTCCAGAGGATCCGAGTATCCAAGGAACAGACCAACTGGAGAGACGTTTGTCCTCCAATGGCCGACTTCATACGATACTGCAGAGAGATGTCGTTTACAGAAGAACCCGACTACGATAGGGTTCTGTTCCTGCTACGGAAGGGCATCTCGGAACAACCTCACAATGAATTCGGTCTTCTGGGACCAAAATGTGATTCCTGTTCTGTTGTGAAATGTCAGAGATTGACCAAGAGTATGTTCGAAGACTCAGGTCTACAAGATCTGAACAGTCTGACTACAGAGATGACATTAAACGACCGAGAAGACGACGACATTGAAGAAGAACCGTCAGACAATCACCTAAACGTAAGACGAGATGTTACCGTTCCAAAATCACACTCAAATTTGGAACGATTCCAGCACAACGTTCCTTCAGATGGGCTGAAACCTTGTTTGAGTGCGCAGACAGAGCTTCGGTCAGTATCGCCCGCTTCGTCGATGAGAACGAGGGAGGAAGAGGAAACAGAATCCGTAGCCAGCTGTCAACATTGTCGAGAGCGACAACAACAGTTCTTCGACCAGGAATCGGTCGGTGGTTTGAAGTTGAGTTGGCAAATCTGGAGGGATAGTAATGCTGAAAACAAATTTGAATACGACAATAGGTTTGGGTAAGAGAAGTCAATTTACAAAACAATGTTATCCAAATAGAAACGATTGCCAATATTAACATACGCTTCTTTCAGCTGGACGTTGCCTTGCATTCGACCAAACCAATACAAGAACCTGGTCCCTCCCCACCCTCCGCCTTCGTTACCGGTGAAGCAATGTGTCAACATATACACGATCCCCCCTCCTCCATTCCACATTCCCCCGCCCACCCATGTATATACCCCCTTCAACGTTTGTTCTCCCTTTGTGGCCGCAGGTATGATAGCAAGGCCTATCCACGGCCCCCAACCATTCCCACCCCCCTTCTGTATGATACCCCACAACCCCGGGCCCTCGTTTGTGCCGATTTAAAATTTTTAAAATATAAGCTCGATCCGTTAATTCTTTCGCATTCTAGTTAAATCTTTTTGAAGATACGAAACGATTAACGGATCGATCTAATATTTAAAGAATTGGCATCAATGAGTGTATATTACACATGTACAGTATTATATTAGTTACAGTAAACTATTTATTTATAAAACACGAAAGTAAAGTAATCCTTTAAAAATACAATAACCTTAGAAAAATCTACTAGTTTATAAAATACAGTAAACATACAGTAATCTATTTATTCATAATTAAAAGTTGAGGTAATAATGACAAACACTGAGTAAAATTAAAGATTAGTCGGTTACGGCATGATTAAGGTTAAAAGGTGCAGATGAAAATTAAATGGATAAAGGTAAAAATGTAAAAATCGGGGTAGCAAACATGAGGTTAGTAACTTCACCTTACAACACTTCCATCTCCGAGTCCTGGTCTCGGTCCATCAGATGGGCCAAGTCAGTGATATTGGTCTTCCGATTTGTGGTGGGGGAGTAACGACGACGGTTCTGTACCTGATAGCTGTTGTTACGCATCTTAAAGCAGCAGTAGAACATGATCGGCGACAGAATGGCACCAACAAGGAAGCCGACAGCAGCAGCGATCAAAACTTCTCCGTTTTGGACACATGGAGTCGACTAAAACAATGTCAAGGTAACAGGTTTTAAACTTTTAGTTTTTATCCAAAAATAGAACTAACAGCTTATAAATACGTCAAAAGTTAATACAAAACACTGATTTTACCTTTTCTAATCTAAAAATAGCCAAAAACATCTACAACAATATAATCTTACCATGACCTCGTCCCAATACGTCTTGCTTTCGTTCATCAGCACCTTGGTCGTGTTCTGGATCTGGTCCACCTCCTGGATAAGGTTCTCTTGAAGCCAATGAAGTAAGTTATCATCAGCAGTCAAATTCCCAGCCAAATCCGTTGAGTTAACCATCACTTCACTAACAATACCAGTCGAGTTGTCCAGATCACTTGAAGTGACCAAACGCGTCAGATTAGCAAAAACATGATCGGTCGAGTTGTCCACATCACTCACATCGGTCAGATTGTTCAGACCAAACATACGCGTGAGGTTCTGAGCAAGATCATTGACGGCGACCACAGATTCGTTGAACAATCGATGAGTAGCAGCTGTAGAGAGAGAGGTATTGGTGGATTCTGGAGATTGAGAAGCTGCGAACAGTGAGAGCGACAAGAATATTACAAGTTTCATGGCGGAAATTCCCAAAATAATGGCCACAAAACGAAAAACTGTCTCGTTTTTGCTGAAAAAACAAAATCGTCTACAAAATCGGTCATCATGACGTTTTTTCTGGGTCTTTTTCCAAAATCGGGCAGAAAATGCGTCATCTGAGGGTTATTGTTTACCAGTCGAATTATACGGGCTTCCAGTTTTAATTAAGAGAACAATAATGCAGTAGGTGGCATGCTTGTCGAAATGGCTACAAAACTCATGTTAGGCCTGTATAAATTCTTCGCTACAAGTGTGGGCTCTTTTGGCAGCGTTATTAGAAGGCCTAATAGAAGTGTAATTGTTGAGATGCAGTGAAATTGGATGCTGTCGGAAATTGAAAAACCGTTTCGTCCCATTAAGTTAAATAAAGAAAATTAAAAAGGGAAGCCGGCTGGCTGGATTCGACTCTTCCGATGACCTTACCGGATCCGTTGAATTGTACCGAAGCTTTGGTGGTATCGACCAGTCGGCCGTTGGTGCTGGTGGTAACCGTTCATTGGTTGTGCTCCTTCCTTTTCCTGCTCATTGTTGTTGTTTTTGTTGTGAAAGGGTCCTTTTCCAAGTTTTTTTCGATCATTCATCCTAATTTTCGAGTAAGTGTTTATATATTTGGTTAATATTTCTGTCTTTTAATTATTTATAATCAGTATTATAACATTTTTTAAGTTGGAGTAAGATTTTAGGTTTATCCACTTTTTTTATACATTTTTATGCCTAAATTTATAAGTTATTCACGGAGATAAGACTATATTATAGTTAAACAAATTGTATTATTAACAAGTAAGTATATATATTGTAAGTATATATTTTGTTTGCAGATATTGTTCAAGTTAGCTACATTTTTTGGTGTTTTACATTCGTTGTTTATTATTGCTTTACGGACAGAAAACCTGGTAAGTGTGATATTGTGATTAGAACAAGTTATGTCTTGTTATAAACACTTTTATTAATATATAACTTGTCTTTTTGGAAATAAAAATGGAAAAAAAGAACAAAATGATTTTGGCAAAAAGTGGGGTATCGGACTTGTAAATGAGGCCTATATCATCTGAAAGGGCGTAAAAAGTTATGCCAAAAATAAAGTTTTTCACGGCTTAAGATCATATTGATACCAGTTATGGAGTAGTACATTTAATGGTCATTTAGTTCTAGGTCTAATACCCCACTTTTGCCGACCTTTTGTTAACGTTATTTCAGCGACGAGTACTGTTGTACGAAGACAACTGTGACTTTCAATGGAGTCCCGTGCACTGCTTATCACTCAAATTACCTATTTACTACTGTGTGTTTAGTTTTACCGCGACACACTTTTGTTTATTTCTGGAGCGAGCTTATGCCACGTTGTACACACGAACATACCATGATGACAAACGAAGTGTTGGGTTTATTTTAATGACTTTGCTTGTAAGTTTGCACTGTCTCTACTGATTGTTGGTTATCATACATATAAGGGACGAGCTACATATAAGGGACGAGCTAAATACATCGGATGGAAAGTAACAGACAAAAAATGCAATTCCTTGTCTGATATTTTTTTCAACGATCTTTTTTTTTTTCTCTAACTGCCGTCGGCAACGAGAGGAAAAAAGATAGCGGGAAAATGAGAGACGAAAATATCAGACAAGAAATCGCATTTTTTGTCTGATACTTTCCATCCGATGTATTTAGCTCGTCCCTTATATATAAACCAAACGTTTAGAACTATCTTATACAGCCTGTGATTAACAAAGTATATATTTTTACTACATTTTTATATGATTATATTGTCTAAACATGGTTACTTTAGATATGTGCAACGACAATTACAATATACTTTTTGTATTATACGGAAGACCTTGTCAGTCTACGTAGTTATTGTGTATCAACGACTAAAACCTCAGCTCCTAGACTTCAGTTTACTATGATATGTGCAGCTACTGTAGACTTGATTGCTACTATCGGTGATTCTATAGTATTCAGAGTTAATTTTAAGAGAAGGTAAGTGTTAGTTTTACTATGTTTGGTTGTATGTATATAGCTTGTAAGAAGATGAGGACAATATCAAAGTATTATAGATGTATTTCAGCAATGTTGTCGTAGCTTATGTGAATATTACTTTAGGTTTTTCAGTTCAACTTATCGCTTCTCCAACTATTCTCTGAGCAACTCCTTCCAAACCAGAGAGAACAAGATGACGATCCTGCTGATATTACCATTGTCTATCATTCATTCCTCTTTCTTCTTGTCGTATCTGGGTATTTCGATTGTTATGCGGTCATATATATTGGACAAAGATCCGCTGGTTCATGTTACGGTTATCGAAGTCATGCAAACGGTATGTCATCTTATCTTATGTTTGTCCAAAATAATGACATTTTAAAGTGGTGTTTCATTATTTATATTTTAGTTGCGAATCGAAAGGCTTTTGTATCCAAAAGTGTAGCACTTATACTGGCAAAAAAATGAGATTAATATTGCAAGATTGTCATAAAAACACCGTTTGCAGTATCGTTTACATACGACATGCTCTTTGACATGGCACGTCACATGTACTAAAATTACATTGTGATTAAATAGGTTTAATTACTTTTCTGACCAAACTGTTCGAAATGACGGCAATCGTAATTGGTAGACCATAAAAGTAATATTGGGTTAGGGAATAGCTTTAAATTAGTTTAATTAAACCTTTTAAAATGTTGTAAATGATAACAGTTGATTAAGTGTAAGACTAGAACGACTTACTTTTATCAGTTATGTAGTTTACTCAACTTACTCTGCTCTTTTTAGGCTGTCTGTACCTACTTGATTGTAATCTCGTTGGCGTTGAGTTACTTATGGAAAAGGACTGAGAGACAGTTTACAATTGTGCAAGACAAAGGCCCTGGGGGAGAATTACACTTTGAGCAGCTGAGGCTACAGTTCGAACGAGTTGTACCGTTCAGACGGTGACCTTGTGGTCCATTTTGTACTATTTAGTACAAGACACTGCTTGTGTTTGAGTGGCTTTAATGTAGGAATATTGTGAATAAAACTAAAATTGACATTTTTATTTTTAGCTGTAGCACTTTAAAATGATGATTTTTTTTATTTTTCCATCGGCCTTTTGACCTGCATGATCTTAAACGTCTATGAAAGCTGTGCTTTCTTCTACAGCTTTCTTACATAAACACGTTCGAACACATTTTTACAATTTATAAATTGGGCAGTAACTCTTGTGATAGATGTGAACCACTTCTGTCTGCTCAAAGTAACTTCAGCTGTTTATGTGCAGATCACATGTTTAACTTGATTGAATCGTGCCGATTGATCCGTGAACCTAACAACTACTCCAAATTGACACTTATTACTGTGGCTGGCACGGTTCAGGCTTTACCATAAGTGACTGTGATTAAAGTTGAGCGGGGTTGTGGAATTTTGAGAGTAATGATTCTTTTTGACATATTGAAGATAGTCATAGTCGAAAAGCAATAAAATATTAATTTTAATAACGAAAACAGTAAACTTTTTAAAAAATTAAAATTTTTTTTCGCATTTTCCAACCCAATCTTAAACATATACATCATGTTTTCATAAATTTTGATTGTTATCACCTTGAGCAACGTTCCCCATCCAACATATAATTGTTTACCACGTTATTTCGCCGATTGTTCAACTTTGAATGCTTTTTGCTCCAATTAGGATTACCTTCATACCTAAAACAACTCTTTTTAATTCTGGCACAACTGGTTGAAACTGGAGCGATAAGCGGCGTCTCGAGTGATAAGCGGTGATTAATAATTGATATGACTTGTTTTTATGTCATACTACAATGTACACTCAACTTTCGAATCACTGCGATTACTGTTTTTGCTTTTGAAAATGATTTTGAAAGGAGAGGGGGGGGAGGGGGTTAGGGTTTGGATAATAGGTACAAAAGCCGTCAGTTATACCTGTAGTATAGAGGTAACAATAAGGTTAAAAAAGCTTCTATTTAGTTTTTGACCGCCTTTTAAGATTAATTAGGTCAAAAAGTGTATAGAAGCTCAAAAGGAGGGCACTTACACATTCTATCTACTTTTTGACTGAATTGGTAAATAAATAAATACTCTACTCAAAGTATCGGGATTGTGTTGTAATAAACTGTCACTGCTCTACCTTTGTTTTTTACCTTCATGTGACAAAGTACATGGGTAATAGGTAACGATTACCATTTAAGACCGAAAAACAAATGTTATTTGAAAACAGTTTACATTAGTCATACCACTAAGTTTAGTATATGATTATATGACTTTTCTGATATTCAAATAAAGATTATAAAGCAATTTGACACAATGTTTAAAATTGTAAACTTTCTGATAACCAAAATATTAATTGTTTTGCTTCTTTGTGCACTTTTAATGTTAACATAATCACACTAACAACTGAAGTTCGCTCTTCTCAAAGCTGAAGATTAAAAGTCTTTCTTTGCGAATTCAGCTAGCCAAACCTAGATAGGAACAACAAACTCGAACAAAGAAACGGAAATATAATTTAGACAAAGATACGCCAATCATCCTAGAGATAACAATGTCAGAAGAGACGGGCAGAAAATGAAAAGACAAGTAGTGATTCTGTGATAAGGATAAAGAAACAAATACTTCAAGACTTATAAGCGACAGTCAGAGAAAAAGAGAAGGAAGCTTGCAGATGACAGTGATAACTGAAGGAAGGTTGAGTAAACTCAACGAGGAACTTTATTGACAACCAAGATAACTAATAAAAGCCTGAAGAAACCACCAGCCAGCTAGATGAAACGACAAAAACCTGCCGAAAGGAAGAAAGGGAGAGCTAACCAGACGTTTAAAGAAATAAAAGGAAAAAATGACAGTGATAACCGAGCAGAACCATGAAAGAACTACTCAGTCAGCCAGAGAAAACCAACAGACAGAAAAGAAACGTTAGAGAAGCCGAGAGAAAAGAAGAAAGGCTAGAGAAGACAGAGAACAAGGTCAGAGCAGCGGAGAGAACAGTCGACCCAGTGTTCTCTGAACTCGGTGTTCTCTGATTCCGAGTGCCTCCGATGCCGTCTCGTTTATGGTCTCGAGCGGACCCGACAGCCGGTGCAGCAACAGCCGAGAGAGCGAGGCGGGGAGAGAGGCCACAGACGGACAGAATCCCCCATTGACGTGGACTTTTCCTCTTTTTATTTCTCACGCAGACTCGCCTCCTGAGCATTCTTTATTTCCCCCAAAAGAACGTGAAGACTTGCCGCAGGGTCCGCTTTAAAGGTTAAAAGTTATGGAAACTGTTTAAAAATGGGTTCAAAGTTGTCAAAAGCTGTTTTTATAATGTAATTTTGATTTGCTGTCAGCCGGCTTATAGTTTTTCGAAAAAGCTTAAAATTTTAAATAACAAAAGCGAAATTTTAAATTTGGGTAAAAAACCTTTTTGTCTTTCAAAGCGGCTGTAATTTCAGGTAATAAAACAGAAAATTAAGTTCTCAAAAACTGGCAGATAAAGGTTGAATCACTTTTTTCATTTTGGAGTTTGGAAATTTCGTTCAAAATTTTAAAATTTAAAATTTTTTCAAATTAGCGTCTCAAAAACTTTTTTTCCATAAACTTTTTCACTATCGCAGAAAATGTGATAATATAAACTCGGTACCAGTCCTACTGTTATCACTTACAGTTTCTGGTCTTATGACGTAATTTGGTAGCTTCTGGAGCGACTTTCACTGTCTCCGTCTCTCATCGTTTCAAACACTCTCTCGTCGCCCCAAATCAGTGCCAAACCCCGCCCCCAATTACAATGTGATTTTTCTATTAGTGGTATTGTTGATATGTGCAAATTTACAATGATAATGCGTATTGACAGCCGTTGAATTTGAAAAAGTTTCGATATTATTGTTTGTGCCCAAACGAAGGTATTAAACTTTTAAATGCAGAAAATGGTTGGAAGGTTGTATAAAGTACTGTAATGTCCTTTTAATGACAATGTTTTACTTATGTGGGCAGGATGTTATGGACATTGCATAACTATGTTATACGTGCTTACTTGGACCTTGTAGTAGGTAATATATAGTGTCCTTCCAAAATTTTTCTAATACTTTAAAATTCAGAAATCACGTTGTATGAATGCACTTTTAATGTAGGTTGCGTAATCTCGGAATTTAATTCAAATTAATTTCTGCAAATGCTGTCACAATGACTCTTCGGCCGTTGTCATGACGACATCGAACTTGAGAGTTGGGAATGCTTTTCGACTCCTTATTTGCATAATTAACAGTCTGTTTTGTTGTCGTATGTCCTGTCACTGACTTACATGATTAGCTCATTGTTTATGCAAATCTCTGTTTTTTCTTAATTTTTAATATTCTGCTCTTTTAATTTTAAATTTTTTGAAAAAGTACTGCCTCGAGTGTCTATTAATTACTTATAATAGTGTTTTAAAAGCAGTTTATTCTCGTTGCTGACTTAAACTCCTTTTCAAACGTTCAAAAACTCCACTTTTGCTAATTTTTATACTTTTTCAAATTCGAAACCCTCCAGTTGTTTGGTCCGACCTTTTCACTCACTTCAAGTGTATTTTAATCACGACTCTGATCGTCGTATCAGCGGAAAAGAATGCAGAGATCAAACTTTTTGTTGCAAACCCAAAAAACAGGGCGTTTGAGTGGCGGGCTGATAGCAAGCGAAATATATTTATATTGCACACGTGTTTGCCTCCATCAATCGCCGTTTTGTACCTTGTTTCTGGTTCTTTGCACTACTCACTTGACTTCGATAAAAGACTTACTTGTTGACCGCGTGACTAATTTTTTTTAATTATCGAACACGGTCGTATGGTAGTGTAAACAGGGTTCAAAGTAGTAATTTCGGGCGTTTTCAGCACAGTCTCGCCCAGACTCTAAACATGGACCAGATGGCTGGAAAAGAGAACGGACTGGGCCTGGACTCGGTCATCCAGAGCGCGCTAGCGGCCGGCATCCCCATCCCCCAAGTGCTACAATTTCTACAGAACTCCATTCAAGTACCACAACCTTTCGCACAGACTCCGAACCAACAATTGTTAGCTGCCGTAGCTAACCCAGCCCAGTTATTGGGAGCACAAAACGCTTCAAATGCTGCCGGACTAGGACAATGTGAGTACTTTTCCAACATAAGATGTCTTTCTTGTGAATTTTAAAAACATTTCATATTTTTTATTTTTCCTAAATTAAAATTTTACGCAAATTGAAGAATTCGTTATAGTAGGTAACCCCAACCTAAACTTCAACTTGGCCGCCCTCAATCAACCACAACAACAAGTTCATGCCGTTTCATCCCAAGCCCCTCAATCCTCGTTGAACTCAAGCATTAATGGAGCTGAAAACGGCTCGCTTCCATGGCCCATCTTCCAGCCGGCTGTCCACGTGCCCCACTTCGACATGACCACCTACCAGAAAGTGAATCTAGATGCCCAGGCTTCAGCGTTACCCAGTGGAATGGACCTTCCTCTTCATGATATGAACACACTCAGGTTCTTCTTCAACTTCGGAGTTCACCATGCTCGTCAGATTCTGCTAAGAGAACATTTTCAACTTCAACCAGGTCAAGGAGGTCAGGCACAGCCAAGTAGTAGTAATGCTGCTGCTTCACAACTAACACAACAAGGGCAGCTGTTGTCTAACATGTCCAATCAAGACCTTTTGTATCAGCAAATGTTGTTAAAGTAAGTATAATTTATCAGTTTTTATCCATTTGAGGAGTTTATAACCTTTTCGATCAGACTTATTACATTACCATACAATGATTACAAACATTACTTGATGTTTAATAATCTACATGACTTTAGAACGAACCAAGATCTCACAAATGCCAGTAAACCGGTCGGAACTCCCCTTCCTGGCTCCACAAGTGCCGTCACAGATCCCCGCTCAGCCTTCCAGCTTCAGAAAGACCTTGCCAACAGTCTGGTATGTTATTGTAGATGATTATTATTCTGGTTTTAGTTAAACAAACCACAAGGATTACATGTCAAGAGCGAGCCCATGGATAATATTCTAATGCAAAGCTCACTACTCGGCTCGACGTCAGCAGGTACGTTAAATAAACACAAAGCAACATACTACGTGTTTGTGTTGGCATATTTTATTTGTTTTGCAACATTTTTTGTAGTATGTTTTGGTTATGGTGTAATATTTGTTTCCAAAACTAAAAGTTGTAATTAATTTTAGCTCGAGGTGTGTCAAATGTACCGCAAAGCACCCCTTTAGCCATTTTACAACGGCAACAACAAGCTCAACAGATACAAACGAGTGCACAGCAATCTCAGCGACATGACAATGAGGTGGGTTACGGTAACTTATAAATAAGCACCTTTAAAGTAGTCTATTGCAAACTTTTTCGAAATATAGCTAAAAAGACTAGACGAGCGGTTGTCGTTGCAGGTGCTTCGCCCGCAGGCCGTCTCTCTAAACGAGCTGACTGGATCGGCCCAAATCCAGCAACTTCTTCAGCAACAGAATCTGGGCGGATTGTTGCAGAACAAAAGTCTAACCCAAGTTCCATTGGATCCGGCACCACGTCAAGTTATTCCCACCCGAGATCATGCAACGTCGGGCGGGGCCGCCTTGCCAACGTCAGCCGGCTCTACTTTTCCCCAGGTGCGCGATTTTAAAACTTTGTAACTTCTTTTCAGTCCTAATCTGTGTATAAATAAGCCTTTGACATAATGAAACCGTGAACGTAAATTCAAATGTGTTCTAAAACCATAATTTCAGAAGGAAGCCCAAGACCAAGCTGATCGTATGAAGCCGACTGCCATCGTGCGTGGTGCCGTAGCAGACGTAGCTAATCGGACTCAAAGTAGTCCACCAAAAGGATCAGAAGCCAACACAGTTTCGTCTTCTTTAAGCTCGTCGAATGGAGCTGCTACACAACCAAGTTCGAGTAGCCAAGATGCAGCTGCTGTAGCCGCGGCCAATGCCTTCGTGAGCCAGTTTGGCGGCGCTAATGGCCAGGTTCCGTCGCTAGCCGCTCAATTAAGCGCCGCCATGGTGGCTTCAACATTTATGAATCCGTCGAAGCTACCTACAGCTAGTTCAACATCGTCGGCGGCTACGACGAATGAAAACCCGGATGCACATCTACTGGCTGGAACGTCGCCCTATGCCAAGTTTGTAAGTACCTTTTTTATTTCTTATTTTAGATCATGCCAATAAGAAAACATCCTTGGAATGTTAAAATGTGTTCAAATTACTAAATATGTTACTTACAGCCAGCCCTAGCTCAGAGTGCGTCACGCGCGACAGTGCCGACAACCGAAAACAGTCATTCCAACGATATTAACCTATCAGAAATCAAGGCAGAATCAATTCTACAGACCTCGGAACAACACTTTACAGAAGCTTTCAAGCGGTCGATTCATCAACAGGTTCAAGGGAAGAACGGCAAAGGATCGCCAGCTAATGAGCAGGCCGAATCTCCTGACAAAGTTCAACGGAAGTCGGGTGTTAACATGTTGAATGTGGACAGAGAAGGCGGAGAATCCAGGAAGAACAGCGACAAACCTGTATGTCCTTGTATATAAGCTTAGGCCCAATCGAGCGCTTTTTTGGATTAATTTTGTGCTTCTGAACCGAAGAAGGACAAGATTTTGTTTGACAATGGGTCAAGTCTTCTTTTTTTCTAAAATGCGAGTCAAGTATTTTTTTTCTTATTCGCCCAATTGTTCACCGTTTTTTTCTAATTATGCTTTCTAAATTAATGAAAACTTTTGCAAAATTCACTATAACATGTACAATCCACCAAAGGATTTCCAGATACCGTCAATGATCAACTACATGAACTCCTGTTTGACCCAGATCAAAACCCAAGTTCAAAGCCAAGGCGGTGCTCTTCCGATTGATCATAACGGTCGGCCAATAGACTACTCTTCACGGCCTCCTGATCCGATCTTTCGTCAGGCTCGCGAGAAGTTGGACAAAGATCGTGACTTCTTGATGATTCGTCGAGGTTCTCCAAGTCTTCACGTTCAGCCAGAATCCGCGTCTTCTGATGCCTGTCCAATCGGAATCAGCGATGCGCGGGCCAGAAGTGAGCAGCCACAAGACGTACAGAAGAAGGTGAACACGTTGGCTTCAACTAAAGGCCAACGACCACGATCTACACAGCCTGGGGCAGAAGGCGCGTTGGAGAATCCAGACGACGGGCCAGAAGAGAAGAAGCAGCGTCTGGAGGGGGAATCTGTGTAGAAATTGTGAAGTTGTGATTGTTTTTGGTAGATTTAATTAAATAATTTAAACTGTTATATGATAGATGTATACCTCTTGGGACTTGTTCTGGACATGATTGATATATGTTGTGTTAAGTATCGTACGATTTGTTGTAGTATACATCGTTTACTTTTCTGCTTTATAGTACACATTATGTGTTTTTTTGATTAATCTTGGTATGTATATTGTGTTATATATAATACTATATTATAAATGAGTTTCTTATATAAGATCTTATTTGTACATTTCAATTTTTTTCTCTGAATCCCGGTTGTTTACTTACAAATAAATTAAGTTTAATATTCTGGCTGGTCGTATGATTAAAAGCCTTTACTTTAGACTAAAATGTTTACACGGTTTTTAGAAATTTTTATAACTAGCGAAGTACAGTAATATTAAAGTATAAATTGCACTTTTGTGTTAGTATCTCGCAGGAGAAGAGTTTCTTGACTTAAGGGCTCCAACCAGGCTTTTGTGAGGTCGTTCGGCAGTACAACTACGTTGATGAACCGCCAGTCGGTCGGGTTGGAAGGTGCGACCACAATGTTCACATCCGACCAGTTGTTGTTGGGCCGCTTCGTACATGGCCGCGTTCGTTGCTTCGTGGTTTACTTGACCATCAGCTGAAACAAGGGGGTGTTTAATAGTCAAATATTAAGCTTAAATGTGTCAAATATTAAATTTAAAATGCGACAGTATGAACCTACAGTGTCTGACAATTTCTGGCTGGACTGGCTCAGGTCGTCGTTGATGTTTGGGTAGTTTCTGATTCTCCACACGCCACTTCTGGAGACATTGAGGTTGATGGATGTCGATGGACTTTGACCCGAACATACGGCCACATATGTAGCAATAGACAAAGGTTCTCTTGGCCCGGGCCGGCTCTGTTACGATTTGGCCAAACGGCTAAATATTTAAATTTTGGCTAGGGAAGGTAATATCAGTACTTAAAACATTTTATAATTAGTATTGACAGTTGTTTTAAATAGTTCATAAACTTTAAAAAGCCTGGTATTTTGATGTAAAAGTTTACAGAAATATTTCTATTTCTCTTTAATCTTTAGCCATAACCAAACTCTTTAATGCCATAAGTTAACGTTAGTTAAATTAATTAAAAACTTAACAAGAAAGATATTTTTTCTTTTCTCAACAAATAATATTAATAAAAACATACCATTTTGACGTTTGTTGACTATACAAAATAACGTGAAATGGGACGTTAGAGAATGTTCCGAAGTCGAGCACGGCCTTCCAAAAACAAACGAAGCGTTCAATTCGACATAAACAATATTCCAGAGTTTATGCTCAATATGATACAATTACTGGACAAGTCACCCTCCCGTATTACCTTGACAACAATGGCAGCCTTTACGGCCGTTCTAAACATTTGTGGCCGAGCTAATTGCTCTTCTTCGGATTCAGCGTTTGTTCAAGTCGGTTTCTGGATTGTTATCAGGCGACATTGTAGTTAAATGACACATTCTAAAACTAGTGTTAAAACATCATCAACTGTTTAGTTGAAGCATAAAATGAAAAGTAACTCTGAATTGTTAACATTAGTAACCGTTAAACATGACCATGACAGTTGCTGCATCAATTGATAACATGAGAAACATAATTTATGTGCATCTATTCGGATGATAATTAAATACCTTCATAATCTTTTTGTTTTCAGTCGTTTCGGCTGATTACACTACAACTTTAAGGCAATTGAAATGATATACGAAACGATTGTAGCACCGGTTTTGGCTGGACTTCTCGCTATTGCTGCAATCTCGGCGCAGCTGGCTTTCCTCTCCTTATCAGCCAACGCCGGATTCAGAGCCGGCTTCTACGGGTTTCAGTCACAGTTTAAAGGCTTCTGTAAGTTTTAAAAAAATCTTTTACAAAATTTAAAAAAAATTTTTTTAAAGGTTATTTGTTACAGTAATCTCCGTGACGTTTTCCCTCCTATCTGCTCGTATTTTGCCTCGAACCTCAAGTCCAGGCCTCTGTAGTTCAGTAGTTTATGGCACTACAGTAACTACTGGCATTGCCGTTCTGTTAGGATGGTCGATTCAGACTACGGTTACTGTAACACCAGCAGTAGCCGCTTTGTTTTACTGGTTCTTTTTGGAGAAGAAAAGCGAAAGTCTGAAGAAGTTGTTGTTCTGGAGCTACAATAAGGTCCGAGGGAAGGGCGAGAAGAAGTGGGAAGTGTAAAGTGCATAATAGTAGCGTTACGTTTGGCATTGTATAGCCGCCTTATTTATATTTTTACAATAAATTGTTACATTTTGTCTCTTCTTTTTTTAATTTCACCTAAATAAGGCATTTCAAAGTTCAAGTGTTCAATATTCCTGCAGCAATTGCTGTGATTTATGAAATTTAAATAGATAAGAAATAAAGGTATGCCAAAAGAACCTGCAATCAAACGTTTATTGGAAAAGGGCGGTTAGTGAAACTCTGTACAATAAACACACAAACACCATTAAAATAAAATTAAACCTAAATCAAGTCTTTTAACTTATCCCAATTGGTTAAATTGAAACGATTAAATTTGAAATGTATATAATAAAGAAGATGATTCTATCTGAATATACATTTCTAGAAGTTGATGACTACTTTCTGAAAGTTTTACCTAAGGGTAACAAGAGCAAGGTGACGTTACTTAATTCGTTGAGGTGGGCGAGATAGTCGGAAGTCTTACAATTCGCTTCAAATTTAAATTAAATGGTTGTTTGTGTTGACAACATAAGACTACTATTGAGACTTCTGAATCGCGCTTCTAGACTTTTTTACCTTTTAAATTTAAAAGCAGTTTAAAAAACAATTACTTACTACTATTATATGCTTATTAGTAGTCAAATATACTGTAAAATACACTCTACTGTTTTAGATGCACTATGTATTAATTATTATAAAACATACAGAATACTGTATGTTTTTGTAGTCACAATATGATACAGTAAATATTTTTCGAGTATAGAATATAATATAAATTTTAAAAAAATTAATAGGCTAAAGCAGCGATTCCAGAAGCCTGTACTGTACGATTAAATGGTATGAATGCTAAAAAAGAGGGTTACTGTAACTTAAAATCTAGACTGAGTATTCGGAGTGAAGGTGTCGTGTTCTTGCTTAAGTAGATTCAGTCGTGGCTTTTTTGTGACAATTTTCGTGACGATAATATCATCAAATGGGTCTACTACTTCAGTCTTCAATTGGGGTACTGGACTTAGAAGTGGATCCTCACTTAGACTCAATAAACGTTTCGGTGCAAGATTCTAAAAACATAACAAAATTTAAGTTTAAAAGGAATATTATATAATGCCAAAACAAATTGTCTTCTATCTCAACTGTTACTCAAATGTAAGCTATTATACAACAGTAATATGACATAACATATACCGTGACTTAACAGGAATATCACTTTAAAAATAACATACCTCAAGGCCTTTTTGAGAACGTGCAAATGTCTCATTGCCAGCAACAAAATTGGCCTTTCGAGTCTCGACAGTCACAGAACTTGTCACTTTATTTTCTTGGTTTTTCTCGACAGTAGCAGTATCAACAACCTCTTCTGTTACCGTAGTACCTTGCACATTTAGACTGTTGCCGGCTTCCGATTGGCTGGACAACTTCTTTCGTACCTAAACATTAAAACATGTTGAGATTTTTAAAATGTTATGATATAAAGGAAAGACTAACTATAAGCTTGTAGTACTTTTTTAATTAAAATTAAAACAAAATTTGTTTATTCTCAATACAAACCAAAACCGTGGCCTTTTTTACATTTCGATATTTTTTCCTTAAAAAGGCTTAAGTATGTTCTACTAACAGAACCAACAAGTCTTTGGATTTGCGCTATCACGACAATAGAAAGACGTTCGAAGAACGGACTACTGTGACACACAACGTTTTACCTCAACTGTCTCATTATATTTGATTCGATAAAAGTCCAAATCTCGAATCATGTCGACGAGAAGCGCCGCCTCATCCATGCAACGATTCAGCATGTTGGTCTTCTTTTCGAGTTCAGCTTTAATTATATTAAAGCTATCTACCGTCTAAAGAAGGCAACTTTAACATGTTATCACTAACGTAATCTACACTAAAGTAAAAGTCAACAAAACACACTTTTACACAATCATAAATAACATATTACCTCATGCAAACTCTGGTTCAGCCTCTCACACTCAGCTCCACGTTCCTCCAACCGTTTCTTGAGAGTAGCAATCTCCTCGTCCTTCTTTCTGACCAAAGAATCGCATCCCTTGTACAGAGACATGATCTCCTCCTTCTTCTGGTCCATTCCCTCGTCATAGTCCTGTCTGATGATCTGTAGTTGCTCTTCGTATCCAGTAGTCTGGAGATTCATCTGCACTTTGATATCATCCAACTCTATTGTCAACTTTTCGTTGATGACATTCTTCTCATTTATAACGTCCTCTTCCTCTTTCAGCTTGTTCATCAATATTTTGTTCTCGCTCCTCAACTTATCCACAATAGAAGCATGTTTTCTAGCATCTGATTGAAGCTTTCGTATCTCTTCCTCCTTCTGTTTGGCATCCATTTCAAGTTTCTTCAGCTTCTTGTCTTTCTCCTTGCTAGCTTCCTTGACGGTGGCATACTTGGCCCTTATCCGTTCAATTTTCTCGTCCTTATCTGTCAATTCCTTCATTTTTTCGTCCAAGTTGGTTTCGGCTTCTTTCCAATTTGTGTGGCAAAATTTCTGAAAATACAGTTTTAAAATTTACTACCACTGCAAAAGATCATTGTGATTTTAAACATTGTGTGAACCATGATATTATTCATTTCAATAACTTACCAATCGCTCTTCTAACATCTCTATACTCTGTTGTTTCGTTGCCAGCTCCTTCTTAAGTTCAGCAACTTGGCTAGATGTATTAGGTCGTGGTAAATTCTGAAAACTTCATTTTACTCTATGTAAGCATAACTTTACGTCACAACTTTTAAATATTATGTCAACGTACCTTGGAGGAGGATGAAACTTTGGAAGTGCTGGGTTGTGTATTCTCTTTATGTGTCGGTGACTGGTAACAGTTCTTTAAGGCGTCTTTCTAAAGATGGTTATATTGTAAATCTTATTAAAAAGCAAGACATAAGCAAATATAAAACAACAAATGAAAAAAATAACATTAGTATGACAAACGTAACCGCTAAACTCACTTTGAGATCGTCCCGAGTCTTCTGATCGCTGGAAACCTTGGCCTTTGCTGGTAATGACGTTTGTCGAACGATTTCTTGTGGTTTAAACATGGAGATGTTGTCATGCCTTATTGGTTCTCTCGCAACGTGCTTATAGTTCTTGGGCTTAGGCTTACCAGCATAAGGTTTAATATAACTTTTGATCTTTTTCCCTTCCGTTTCATCCTCCATTACCTATAAGTGTCAGTTTAATTTTACTGTGTAAAATATTCGTAATGACATTTGTAAAAACGCGCAATATTTGATTTCAAAAACTGTTTAATCAATCGTTCATAAGTTCGTAAATCAAATATAAATTAACAAAATTCATAAAGCAAAAAAACGCTTCGCTTCTTCGTTAAAATTCTTTAAAAAGTTCACCTGGAAGTGATATTACCTACAAAAACTATCTTTCGTCTCAATTCTAAAAATAAAAAAACTAACTCCCGACACATTCCATGCCTACTTTAAAAGCAATGACCAAGAGAGAACGTCCAAAAGAAAAAAATGGCCACTCTTAAAGTGCAAATAAGTCCAGAAAGGGTCGCAGCAGACGGTCACAAGATGTTCTCAGCCGTAAAGGCCTATAAGCCTTCCGCGCTATTATCAAACAGGCGGATAGCAGAAGGTTGATTAAAAGTTTTACACGAAGAAAGTTGCATAAAGCGTTCCGTTATAAGATTAAATACAGTTATATAAAAAAACGAGACTCCCACCAGGTTTTTAGATCATAACTGATAAAACATAAGTGTTAAGATAAAAAAGAAAGAGCTTCTCGTCGTAAATCAGATACGACTCCAAGTTTGAACTAATATAACATAAATACTTTAAATTAGCGAAAAGAATGAATGAATCAGAAAAAGTCATTTTATTATTATATTAAACTTTAAATCATAGAAAAACCTTAAATATTGATAAAAATCGGCTTGAAAATCACTGTAAAGTTACCATCCACGAACAATTATAAATTAAAATCATCAAAAAGTAGCCATCTTTAACATAAAAAAGCCAAAAACCCCTCCGAAGCCAAAAAGAAAGACCCCCAAACGTCGTCCAAAGATCTTATCTTTAAACCATAAAGTCAGTTGAACTTTCAATCCCGTTCAAGTTCAATAAAACTATTAAAGCAACTATAAAACAACAGGTTTCAACACATAAAACATATAAAAAAATCAGGTTTAACTAAGATAAATTAATATATCGAAAATCGATTATTATTCCTTAACATTTATCATTCCTTGATTCATTTTAAATCCAAAACATCTTTAAAAACAGTGTTTAAAATAATCTAAGAAGAATTGACCTATAATTGGATTCTTATACTGCTACCACGCGCTTTTTCGCATTCGGCCGCCGAATCAGCTCCTAAGAACTAAAAGACGTTTCGAAACAACTACTTACTTTGCAGACAGCCGGCTCGTGTCAAACGTACGGCTCGCTCTTTGCAAAATTATTCCAATAAATTCTATGATCAGATCTGTGATAAAGAGCATTTACAAATCATCAGAGGTTTGAAAATTGCTATGTTTATATAGAAAACCAAATACGCCATAAAAAACACGGCCCAACATTGGAACTCAGAATTTGAACGAAATAAACAAATAAAAACTGTCATAAAACGAAGGCAAAGGTTGTATATTGTTACGCACTTTTTCAAGGTAATCCTAAACAAAAACTATTAAAACTTGTTCATGCTAATACAATTTATAACAAACCTCATTATAATTTTCCCGTTGACACGATGATGACAATCAAAAAAAAAAGCATAAAATAGGTCCTGATGTAATCAATCATATAGACTACAGATGACAACTTATTCCAAACGCCGACGTCAAATTCGAAAGAACAAATTTATTAAAAAAACAAAATTAAAACAAATTAACTACTACTCTGTAACAAATAACAAACTTAAATCAACAAACAAAATCTACCTAATATGAATAAATACAATCGTTAAACATCGTAATAACTTAAAACCCAAAAATGTCTTCGTCCTCTACAGTATCGTCCAAGTTCACCTTTCTCATCTTGGTCGGAGTCATCGATCGTGCACGGAAAGCATTCTTCTCAACGTCATTCTTTCTTCTGTCAGATCTCTTTGGCGAATCACAAAGTTTCTTCTTCTTTGGCTCGTCAATCTTCTTCTTTCTTGGCTCTTCCACCTTCTTCTTTGGTTCCTCGATCTTCTTCTTCCTTGATTCTTCCACTTTCTTACGTTGCACCTCAATTTTCTTCTTTGGCTTTTCAACCTTCTTCTGATGCTCTTCTTGTAATCGCTTCTTCTCTCTCTCTTCATTTTCAACACGTTCTCTTTCCTCGAGCTTTCGCTTTAAGTGTTCTTCTTCTTGGCGTCTTTCCTCTTCCTCAATCTTTTGCAGCCTTCGATTTTCTTCTTCTTGACGTCGCTTCTCTTCGTGAATCTTTTGTAGCTCTTGCTCTTCTTGCACCCGTTTCTTTTCTTCCTCTTCTTGTTCAACACGTTTTCTCTCATCAAGCTGTCGCTTTAAACTTTCTTCTTCTTGGCGTCGCTTCTCCTCCTGAATCCTCTGTAACTCTTGTTCTTCTTGCACCCGCTTCTTTTCTTCCTCTTCTTGTTCAACACGTTTTCTCTCATCAAGCTGTCGCTTTAAACTTTCTTCTTCTTGGCGTCGCTTCTCTTCCTGAATCTTCAGTAGCTCTTGTTCTTCTTGCACCCGTTTCTTTTCTTCCTCTTCTTGTTCAACACGTTTTCTCTCCTCAAGCAGTCTTTTTAAATTTTCTCCCTCTTCTTGAAGTCGCTTCTCTTCCTGAATCTTCAGTAGCTCTTGCTCTTCTTCTACTCGTTTCTTTTCATCTGCCTCCTGTTCAAGACGCTTTCTCTCCTCAAGCAATCTTTTTAGATTTTCTTCCTCTTCTTGACGTCGCTTTTCTTCCTTAATCTTTCTTTCCCTCTCTTCATGAAGTTGACGTTGTTCTTCTTCAAACATAAGTCTTCTTTCCACTTGATGCCCAGTTGCCTGTTCCCAATAGCTAGTTTCGGCTTTAGCATTTTCAATTTTCTCATCCAAATTTTTCTCAACGTCGCGCAACCGTTCAAAACAAGTTTCAATGTCTACCACACACTTGGGCTTCTCTTTGGTACCTAAAAACAACAAATTACCAAACGCTTAAATAATACGTAAAAAATCAATCAAAAGTGATCTTTAACAGTGAAAATTATTTTAAAACCTTAAACAACTCTAAAAACACATAAAAATAGTTATATTTAAAATACTTAATATGTTCCTGTTGCTAAATTGCTAAATATCTTACTGTTAACAACTTTAACTCGTTTATCCAAATAAGTCTCCAACAAGCCTTTGAATCGTCGGTTGTAAGCCGATAGTTCGTCGTTCTTCCTTTCAAATCGCTCCAATACTTCGTTAACTAAACAAAACAACATTAAATAAAAAAGTTAACTTACTATAGTTCATAATGGCAGTAGAATCCTTAAACCTGTCGCCGATTAGATGCAGTTGCCTTTCTAGAATCTTCACGCTAAAATAAACTAATGTAAAACAACATAACTAAAAGTAAATCTTAAGTTAAAACGTAAAAAAAGAATAGCATACGTAGAAAAACATAAAGCGACAATATAAACCTACAATTCATCAGCCTGTTTCATAAATTCCTCACAATTGCTGTTGTGAATCGTCAGTTCTTCAGAAATAAACTGGTTTTCGGTATAAGACATCTTTTTCAGTTGGTCTTCGGTCAATGTTAGATAATCTTGCTCAATCAGTTCACAAACATCAACATTGCAAGTCATATTAGCCACACAATTCACAAATATACAATCTTGAGCTCAAAAAACACAAAACGACGTCGAAAATCTCGAAATTTTATTTATTCTTTTTTGTAATTTTTGAAAACAACCCTTTGCAACTAAAAAAATTGTTTTCGTGCTGGGACTCATAAATACCCAGAGTGAGTGGACAAAGCATAGAAAGATTGATAAGAAATAAGTATTATAGATGTATATTGTATAGTTGATTGAAAATTTTAATTCAGTTGTTTCCATACAGTTTAAGTTACAACAATATTGCCAAGTTGTTACTGTACTTCTCCTGCTTAGCTTGTTATCCTAAAAATAAGTTATATAAAAAGATCGTTGTTATCATTGAGTTTTCTTGCTTTTTATATTTCATAAATATCTTCCAAGCCTTATTATAACAAAAAATTATTCTTTTAGTGACTGTTGCCAACAATAATAATTCGAATGAAATTATCATAACAATGTGATTTGGAAACGGAACGTTCCGAGAGAACACCTGTGGTTTGGTGCGACATCGTGAGCCCATAAAAGGTTGTAATTACGGTATTCTGGAGTGGTAAGACAAACGATATTGCGCGAAACAAATGTACTCGCCTCGGGCCTCGCCCATTTCGAATTCATGCATTTGAGACCAATGAGATGGAGGGGCGCGTTTACTGTCACTTCTCGTTAATGTTTAAGTGGGGTCATACCTCAGGCCAAGTTGGGTCGGTCCAAGTTTGGCGTGTACTGTACTTTTTATTGTGTTGTAGAGGATAGGCAGCTTTAAATTTTGGTGACTAATAGTTAGATATTACTGTACTTTTGCATTAAGTGTGTTTCTAAAGGGTTTACTGTAGTATTTTTCAGATGGATGGCTTTAATTACTTACATAAAGTTAACGTGGAGCCTTTGAATGCTTTAGGCCAAGTAATAGAATCCATCTCGTCGACTCGATTAGATACCAAACCTGTAAGTTTGTTGTTTTTGGTTACTGTATTTTTGTTTTGAAACTACAGTAAAATTCTTTTCTTAAGATTTTGAAACAAGCTTTAAGAATTATGGATTTTCCTGTATTTTAGCCATTAGATTGTGTGTGTTCATTATGCGGCCTTCGGATATTTGATCAGTTTATGTTAAAGGTAAGTCATTATAGATGTAAAGGACATAGACCTTGTTAATGTTAATTTAGAATATGTTTTTAATCTACTTTGTAACTTTTTGTTTTGTATTATATAATGTTGTACTCAAATTGATTTGGTAGGTTCAATCACACGTGTTTCACGAAGCTTGTGCGCGATGCTTTAAATGTGGGTGTCAACTGGATGAAACTTGTTACGAGCGGAATGGGCTACTGTATTGTAGGCTGCATTACGCAAAGTAAGCACATTTTACTTTCATTTAACAGGTCTTTGTAATATTATAATATTTCACATTTCAAAATTTGATTTTTACTCTTCAGAAGTTACTGTGCTGGTTGCCAGATGCCAATCAAGTCTTCAGACATGGTTTACAAACTTAAAGTAAGCGGATGACAATAGAAGTAAATGAATTAGAGTCTACAAAGTTATTTTTTGTTGTTTCCAGTTTTTAATCTTTTCCAATGCTTACTAATAGATTACAGACGGATATGGTATTCCACGTGCAATGTCATGTATGTATTCAATGTGGAAAGCCTTTAGCCCCAGGAGACCAGATTCTTGTTGACGAGGAGTCGAAAACAGTGTCTTGTGCCAATCATTACAACGACTCACGTAGGTCACATTAATATAAATTTACGTTACAATGGCGATTAAGTTACCTTTGTTAATGTTAACTTTTCAACCAAGAACTAAAGAAAGACACCTATATATTTATATATTTCTACCTCATTTTCAGAAGACGAGTCGTTTTCGAAAAATACAGTAGCCGTAAACTTACCGCCAATACCACAGTATCCGTTCGAGATGTACACATTTGGAGAGATGTACTCGGACGATAGCAAGTATATGAAGAGAAGAGGGCCGAGGACTACTATCAAACAAAGTCAGGTAAGTTTTGATAGTAAATTCATGAGCGCCTAGTCATTTCAATGATATTTTTAGTAAAACGTCTTTTCAAAAACACCTCCAGTATAATTTTCATTATTCCTATACCTCCAAAATCTTTATCTATGCTCGAAAAAGTATGTTAAACGCAGACCTTTTGACTTGAACATAACAGTTTTGAAAAGACAAAACTAAAGTTAGGTCATCAGCCATTCCAGTTGAGTAAAATGACATTAATTTCCCGCACGACTCGTTATAATGACATACTGATCGTAGGGAAGCGCGATTAGACATCTGTTAATTGCGTGATATCGGGGAATAGCTGATGGCCATCGTTTCAGTTGGATGTTCTGAATAGGATATTCTCCACCTCGCCCAAACCCTCCAAACATGTCCGCGCCAAGTTGGCCCACGAGACCGGCCTCAGCATGAGGGTTATACAGGTAACAACAATATATATTTTACGTTTACAAACTTGGCAGGAAACTATTTTTATATTATTGTAGGTTTGGTTTCAAAACAGACGATCCAAAGAGCGTCGACTCAAGCACTTGTGCAATTTCCTCAGACATTACGAGGAGAAAGGATTATGTCCACCTAGTATGAACTTCGCAGGTAACTTTTACCTATCTTTACCTTGTTTTACTTGGAAAAGTTTAAATTTTATGCAAACTTTAGACGTTTTTTTGGGCAAAAATTAACGATAAAAATTGGAAATAATAAAAAGAAAAGGTACCACACTTAATAAAAAAAAAGGTTTTTTCTCAAGGAATGTTGTGATGACCAATACTGCTTTGTAAAAACACTTTTGACGCTAGCCATTAGACCACCTAATTTTAGTCATAAAAGTCACATAATTCAACTTGAACCCATAAAATCAAATTTCAGAGGACCACACATTAAACCAGCAGTATTCGCCGACTCAATTCAACGACGACGACGACAACCAATGAACATTATTTTTGGACCGGTATCGAATGAAAAGACATTACTATCTTGACGACGATTAACAAAAGTGGCTCATTAAACGGAATTTATGTCTTTGAAAGAATAAGTTACACACAGTTTATTGTAAATAGCACCAAATACCACACAACCAGTTATTCTTCGTCGATCGCTGTTAGGTTGATCCGCTCGAAGCCCAACGACGAGTAGTTCAGCGTGGAGTTTAGCTCGGGCCTACAATAATATTAGGACTAAATATTTAAAATAGCGTTTAAATTGAACATTATGAAGATACCAAGTTTTAATATTATCTTTAAAAATACTTTACAATAGATTAAAAAACTCGAATCAAACTAACAATAGTTTTTACCTCATTTTACACTACTAATAACTTACGCAGACATTGCCAAATTCCCAGATTCGATGTCATCGAATCCTTCATTATCTAGAGCATTCTTTTTCGCACTCAGCCCTGCACTCCTCCCCAGCAACGTCCTTGGTGTCATGATCTTTCGAACCCGCCTTTTTGGGACTTCTGGAGACCTTTCGTCCTCGTAGCTGAACCAATTTCGAACAAACTAAAACAACATTGTAGTTAATAAATGAATAACGTCTTTGACAATCTAAAACAACATTGGGAGCAAAACCAAACAATATTCTACCCAACTAAACAACTCCATTTCAATATTAGCTATATTATCGTAAAAGAATACCTTCAACCAACTGTCCTCTCTGTACAACGTGTTCTCCTTGGGAGGATGGGACAAGAAACTCGTGAATTCCTCGGCTACTTCGTTTCTCATATTCTGTTCTCGGTAATGCTTGGAAAATTTCCTCCTGATACCCTTGGATATCCCGATCAAAATCAAAAGAAACACGAACAGAGCTATCACAACTCCCACCAAAGTGCAGAAGGCCAGCAACAACAACGTCAAACGGCTTAACTGTGAATGGTTGTAGGTTTCCTAAAACGACATAACATTTAGTATCTAAAATTTTGTTTTTGCTGCATAATATCAAAGCTTTTTGTCAAAGTTTTTACTATTATAATAAGACCTTGACTTAAAGCAAAGGCTTATCTAAAGCAAATCTTATAAACAAACCACAGAAGAGAACACTGTGACATAATATAGATAAAACATAAACAATAATCTCAATACAATAAAAAATAACAAGAGAATGTAAACTTACAACCCAAAGTCGAGTTAGTTCTTCCATAATTTTAAAATTGTTAAAGTGCAAATGTGAGAAGATGTCAAAAACAACAAGATAAAGAACAAAACTGGGATATAGCGAAGACAAGAGATTCTTCTTTTCTTGTTGAACTTTGGAACATCTACAAAATACGACGAAAAGCAAAAAAATGTCGAAATTAGTGAAACAAAACGCCAAAACCAAATTGGCGCTGCGCTGGTTTGCTCGTTCAATCAGTAATTTTTGAATTTTATTAATTTTTTGAAATTAAAAATTTATGGAAATAATTAAGTTATATAAGTCTTTTACATTTTAGACTACATGCTTAAACCGTCCGTTATGTACGCCTTTGTCCTCATAATATTAGACATGATTTGGCTGAAAAATTGTTACTAACAGAAGTCTTGGTTTCAGAAGCAAAAAACTTTATTAAAAGTTCATACTTGGCTCTTCTTTAATTGTAAGTTTGATTCTTTTAATTGGAAACGGATCAATTTGCGTTCGAATTTCAAATGATTTGTGTTTCGAGTGTAATATGAAGGCGGCGATGGTCAAAGTGGCAAATTGACGTAATTAGATACGGGAATGGCCAGATGCCTTTGGGTATTTGGCTGATTGATAATAATGGACAAGAGCACGGAGACCGACGACGAGTTTATCGAGGCCTTCTATGGGACGATTCGGTGAGTTAGATCTAATCGGTTAAACAAATATTGTGACCGTTCATTGTGGGTAATCTGAGCGGGCACAAAAGGTGGCGCTATGCCAACTGACCGCTCAAGAGGTCATATTGGGTTAGGGGCGAGGTAAAGAAAACCTGACGGGCGAGGCAAAGTCGGGCTGGGGTAAGGAGGTGGTTAAGACAAGGTTGGGAAGAGTAAACGGATGTCAGGCTAAATAAGCAAATATGGGGTTACTTCTGGTTTATTAGGGGTAGGGTAACATTAAGATTAAGCATTTTTTAGGTTTTCATTAATCTATGGGGTATGTTTTTGTATTTTTAGGTGACTTAATATATTTTCTTAACATTGACCTTTCCTTGGTCTAACAAATGCAATATTACTGTCTTCATCCTTTACTATTATAAATACTTTTTTATACTTAACAGTTATAAGTTAGGCCAAGAAATAGCATTTATTAAAACGGTAACCTGAAAAAAAACCCCAAAAAGGTTTAAAAAGAAGGCAGGTGTTGAAGTCGTTTGTACAGCTAGTTTTGAGGTCACTACCTTATTTTCGGGGATATAATTGTACAACTTGTGGTTGTTGACTTCAGGTTTACGTGATTTGATTTTCGCATTTATTAAATAACTTATTTTAAAATACCTCTAGAGTATAGTTTTTTTTAATTTTGGTGATGTTAAGGTAGGTGTGCGTTGATTACATTCTTTTTAAATTAGTTTTGCAACTTTATTTTTAGCATCAAAAACTAGGTCTAAAGCAAACCTACATCAGTATAAATTAAAAATTTTGGTGGTCTAACACATCTTTTTCTTATTCATGCCCATCTGTTTCAAAGTAATTCTAAAGTTAACATCGTTCACATGTTCCAGTTGACATAATTAATTAGACGCTTCATAACTCTTTCATCCGAAAGTTGTTCATCGAAAGTGCCAAAATTGTGAATAGCTACGTTTTTGATGGAAATTACTCTCTGGAGGATTATATATTGTGCTGGCATTCCTTTCCGGATAACACTATTTTTGTTTTTTTTCAGTCGAATGCCTCGTTATAACACGACAGACACTAACAATGTCGACACGACCGAGTTGGACCCCTGCTTGGCGGCTAAAATACGATTGGAGGGGAAGGGACGGTGCAGGTGGGTTACTTCAGCTATTTTATTGATGGTATTAGTACTACTGTATACCTTTCTTTGTGGGCATAAAAAGGGCAATCGGAGTGGTACTATTTTTGTTTTATATGGTTAAACTTTCAGATCAAGTACGATCTACGTGTTGATAGCTTCCTTGATCATCTTGTTGATATCCATATTTATTTTGATATTTCTACTGGTTACATGGATTCCAAAAGAGGTTGGTTTTGTTTCTTATCGTGGGTTATTGATGGTTATAAAATGTTGCTTATTGTACGCTTTTACTGTAATATTGTAGTATTTTGTAAATTAAAAAAATTCATTAATAGGTATAGCTAATATTGATGTTGTAAAGTGTTGTGTTTAGTACCAACGCCTAGAATTTCCGTCAAGACCTCTGCCAGTACACGATCGTATCTTAGCACCAATTAAAGTACATCGAGATCCAGATGAACTACTTCCAGACGTGGTACCAACAGAACCGGACAAGCTACTGGAACATTTCAACGGAAAGGTGTGTTAGTAACTAAGTGTAATAATGTGTTTGTATTAGATATTCTGGAATCAGAATCCAGAAACACGAAGAGCTCCATCTAATAGTGATAACGGTAAGAAAGAAGAGGTAATGGGTATTGGAGAGGCGAAAGAGAAGTATGGTTTGGGGGCAACAGAAAGTGGCAGTACATTAGAAAGTAGTACTGGAAGGGATAGTACCATCAGTTTTACTGTATCTCCAGATGCTTTTCTACCGTCATCTAATGACGTTAAGGCTACTGATAATGTTGAGGCTATCGATTTGATCTTCACATCTGCTTCTTCAGAAAAGCCTTCTGTAGCTGTTGTTCAACAATTGAACCCGGTACTTGTTTTTGAAACAGTTAAGCCATTTGAGCAGGCTACAAAAGAGTTGGAAGTGGCTACAAAACCTGCATTTACAACATCTTCAAGCAAGGTACCAACAATAACTACCACTACATCGACTATTACTGAAGCATCAAATAAACCTTCAGAAACTCAGACTCTTGGCCCTTCAATAACTGAAGCTACTGAACTTGCTACGATAACCACTAAGGCTACAGTAACAGCACAAAGCAATGGCACAGATAAAAAATCAACGGCAATAATAGATCAAACAGTTTCAACGACATCAATGACAGAAAGATTAGAAGAAGAGAGCACTATAATACGACTCGAGCCATATGTAAACAAAAGCAGAGGTTATCAACCGGTCGAGAGTGATGGTGTTCAGGTATTTGCTGTTTATGTTGTTTGTTCCTTTGCTGATAGCTGGTCTAACTGGGGCGTTGCACGAACTATAATCCGGGCTTATTTGCATGTTTCGATGTTGCTGATATGATATTATGACATTTTCATGATTTTAATAATAAAATTTTGCATGATAAACAAAATACATAACTTGAAGTTTTAAAAACTTACTTCCAGACATGCTCCCAATATCTGAAATCAGGCCAAACCAAGTCAGGAATCTACAAACTGAAGCTGCCTGAGGTCGGAGAGTTCTATGGTTTGTGTGAAATGGATGAGAACGATGCCTGGTTGGTGATACAACAACGTCAGAATGGAGACGAAGTCTTCTACAATCGTTCCTTCAACGACTACGCTCTCGGCTTTGGCGATCAGGCTTCTGATCATTGGCTAGGCTTGGAGAAGATAAGGGCGTTGCTGAACAGATACAAACTACAACTTCGAATTGAAGCCAGAGGCGACAGATGTGACAAAAGAAAAGATGACCTTTACCTGCTTGGGTTATACGACTTTACAATTGCTACACGGAAAGATGGCTACAGACTGACAGTGTCGAATATTCTGGAGGGAAACTTCACGGATCCCTACTCGGACTTGAGTAATTGTAACGGAGCCAAGTTCGCTACGGTAGACCGACAGTCGAATACTGTAAATTGTGCGGATCTGAGAAAGTTAGGGTAGGTCGGATACTGTAACTAATGATATCCAGGCAAAATCTATATAGTATTTTAAATTGTAAGATATCTAAAAAAGTTTATTAAAGCCTAAAGCCTAATTTCTACTTAGTATCGTAATACCTATTATGCAAATTTACTCCTTTAGAGCCTGGTGGCATCCACCAAGTTGTTCCTTCATTACCTTAAATGGTGCTTACAATAACGACAAGTGCCATAGCTGGTCGGGTGCTCAGATTTACGCTCGGGAACGGTCGGTTCACGCTTCGGTACATTACAAACAATCACATCAGAAGCCGCGGTTTACCCGGCTGTCAGTAAAAATAGTTGAGTAGTTCGCTAGATTATGTACAGAGTTTAATAAACGTCTTTATACCTATACTAACATCATTTTATCCAATTTAAACTTTTTAAAAATGTTGCCTTAGATATCCGTAATATACAGGGTGTCCCAAGAAATTTGCAGGATTTTAAAAATTTGTAATTCATCTTTGAGTGCTGGCTGAAATACCAAACTTGGTACGGTGGAAGTATGGCCAATGTATATTTTTTGTGAAGAATTTTGGGATTTTAGAGTGCATATTAAGGTCGTTATGAATTTTTGAAAAAACCCATTTTTACCCCGAAATACACATATTTTCAGTTGAAAATCACTTTTTTCATCAAAAATTTCTAAGTTTTTGGCTGTTTTGTGGTTGGAAATGCATTTTTGAGATGAAAATTTATGTTCTCCGCAATGGCGGAGAGTCGGCGGACGCTTTAAATCATCGGCAGAAGCCATAACTCGTTTCAAACTTTATGGATAAACTTGAAACCAAAACCGATCTTTCTAAAATTTTATGCTCTATCCTCCGATGTATACATTCATTGAAACGTTAAGGTAAAAACAAAAGGTTACACAAAAGAGACAAATCAATCAGTAAGATATTAAGGTAAAATGTGTAATGTTGTTTATATGGGCATAGGTATAGTAAAAAAAGTTATAAGGTTTTTATTTAAGAAATTTAAGTTACTTATTTCACCTTTTTTAGTATTAGATTGTAAAAACCACTCAAAACATAAACTGCAACTGAAAAATTCCGCGAAGTTTTATTGTAATAATTATCCATTGGTGAGCACCAGGTCGAGCAGTACTGGCCCCTTTAGTCAGCCATGACAAAGCTACGAACAATTTGAACTTTTTGTTTAGTTCAGAGTTACTAAGTGTCATATATGTCACCACGGTTCGTATAACCAATGCGAATAGTATGATGAACAGTCCCCAAAGTGTCATTGATAAGGTCACCTAAAGTGGAGTTATCAATCTTTATATTTTCGGTTTAATTAAATTTTCTCTATAATATTGTAATCATTGATAACAGTAGTAAAATGTGTTGTTAAACACATATTGTAGTAGAAAGTAAACTTACCTTGTCCAAGCCGAACATGAACCCAATCATTCCAAAAATAAGTGGCTCCACCATGTAATCCCACAAAAGCTTCAAGACCTTTTCTTCTTTACTCTGATGTAACTTTACCTCCCATTCATTTAGTTCGAAGTGGGCAGCGGTAAGGTAACTCTGCAAACCCAATATCTATTATAACATAAACATATCTTCAATTTTATGATACGAAATCAAGCACAGTAACCATAAAAGTAATCTCCACTGACCTCAGGATTGTATGACTTCCACCGAAGCGAAGCTACAATAGCCCCTGTAATTACAGTAACCACACCCATTGAGTTCACTTTCAAAGCTTCGGCACCAAACATAAATGTCATGGAACCGACAAGCACCAGACAGACTCTTTCCAAGGCCAAGTGCTGGGACTCGTTTGAAGGTACCACCCACAAGATGAGACCAAAGAAGATACCAACCATTACACCAGCCGTCCATTCGACCGGTGCTTGGATGAAGACGACCATCAGCTCATGCCATACGTTTGAGGCTACAACAATGTCATAAATCAGTCATTAGCTCACTTTTTTGCTTTAAACAGAAAAAGTAACTAGTATATATACAACTAAATATATATTAACTTAACCGATCTTATCTACTTACACGGGTTAGTGATCATTGAAAGTCCCATAGCGAACCACGCGATCACATAAGGGACGTTAAGTGTTGCTGCCAGATTGATTAGTGTGGGTAGACCTTCATCTGTCCCCAGACCGTGCTTCTGAATCCACAACGTTTGAGGCACGATGATAGCTGGAGATACGGCCGTAAGAACCTAGCCAAGTAGAAAGGAGAATACTGGGGCTAAATCAAGCCAGGGGTACCCGAGTAGCATGACGAAGATGGCTTCCACAGTGCTGGGAACTATGGCTAGCCAAATGGCAGTCCACTGAAATATTTATGTTACTCTCAACATCTACAGTTTCAGAATATAATATCATCGGACCTTTTAATATCGATTTGATAACATGGACCTCTAATACGTTTAAACACAGTCGCTTTAATAAGTACAGTTGTCTATCTCTAATTAGATACTGTAAAAATAAAATTAACCTACCTTAAACCTCTTTAATGCTCCAATATCTACAGCAAGACCGGCTCGCAACAGTACCACCATGAATCCAAACTTTCGTACAAAGTTACTCAAACTCGGATGCACAAACAATGAGTATTTCCAAAAAGCAAAGTTTCTCAGTATCAAACCACTTATCAACATTCCTGTAAGACAAAGGTATTTACTGCACGTTATTATTATTACTGTACTTTAAGTGTTTACTACGCTAAAGATATTCGTTTGTTACAAAAAGTAAATAATAAGATAATACGACTTTAAAACCTTACCAAAGAGTAATGGCAATCGTAATATCTTTGCCACAAACCCTCCGGCAATAGCTGCGAAGAATACGGTAGACAGAGTAATGACACTTTTGTAGCTGTAGTAGTTCGGGTCATGTTTGTTAAGACTGTCAAATTGAAGAAAGCCAGTATTGATTGGCTTCTTAAAGATACTAACCACTGCCAGGATGAAGAACATCAAGAATATCAGATATGTCAACACAGAATAGAACTAAAACAACATAAAATCGTTATTAAAAAAAGAAGAAATTTATGCATTTCTTATTCTAAAACATAGTCTTTTAAAAAATGTCACCCTTTTTGCGTCAACCACAGTAATTACGGAGTAACCTCATACTGACCTTGCCAATACATTTTTCCAGAATCGACAGGTCTTTGGCTGGGGACGGCGGATCGCTGATGGTACGTCTGATGAAGAACTTGGTCATGGTTTATCTGATCTGGCTAGCGGCTTAGCATTGTTTTTATAAGTGGCACAAACAAAAACATCTTTGTTCATAACAATATGTCAGTCCTAACGTCTGCTTACCAAAGGGTAATTGAAAAGATCTGTCAAGTATGAGTTTGTTTTTGTAAAATGTTTTTCGATATAACCTTGGTTCACTTTATATATTTCATGTTTATTGTCATAAATAGACTGTAACATGTCATCGCATTACCTATGACAATATCGATTAACCTAACTCAAAACTTTTCCAAAATTCAAAAGTCTTTTTCCCCCGGAGGGCTGAGAGGAGGTCGGATGCCATGAGGAGATTTGTTTTCCTTCAGGTGAATCCAGCCTCTCATTTGCACTTACTCCGACTTTAAACTCTCAACTTTCCCGTCTCTCTCTTTTCCAAAATAACAAATTTTGTTTTATTTTGTGAACTGTCCAATATTTATGAGCCATTTACATTAGTAATAGTCCATTACACACGTTGCTTTTATGTTTGTTTTAGAGCGATGGGAATTAAGGCTAAAATAATATAGAAAAATGGAACGGGTTTAAATTGTTAAAAAGATATTTAGCTCTCTTTCTATTCTTTACATATTTGTTTTTAATAATGTTAAACATAAATAAGACAGACCTTATTTTCCTAACATTCTAGACTTTATTGTTACCTAAACTTGTAAATAACCTTAATCCGCATGAGATGTTAAAAATTATAAGATGCGTAACATTTCCTTTTTTATAAAAGTAAAAAAGAAGACTTGTTACCTAAATTTCAAAAAACCGCTTTTTGTTACCTAAACTTTTTCCATAGTCCAATCCTCAAACAAACATTGTTTCCACATGTTCTTTTTATACAAACCAAAGTAAATGTTGCGCGTTATGTTCGGAACAAGTATCCATTCCCATTCCTTATTCTATTGTTTCGGCCGAGTGACACGCCAATTTCTGAGGGGTCAGGAAGACTTCTGTTGCTCCGGATTCGGGGGAACGGAACGGTGGCGAGGAATTAGCGCGTATTTATTGACAGATTATTACTGGTTTGCAGGAAAATAGTTTTATATTGTTTATAATTGCTTCTGCACTAAAGATTTTTGAACAAAAGCTTAAAAAAGTAATGAGTGAGGGACAAGTGCAATATAAATAAACTTTTTGGCCAATTTGTAAAACGAAATTCTAAAACACTCACTTTAATATTGAAACTCTAAGCTTTAAAAGCTTTTTTTGCCATTTTATGCCTAAAAATTAGACATAAAACTCCAAAGTGCGCCCGTTCCGGTTTAAATTCGCGCAGACTGCAGACTCGAAAAAAAAAGAATCTTCCCTGTTCCGGATGTTCTCACATAATGTAGTTTGCTTGTTAAAGACAATACCTTATTTTTATACGTATTTTATAATATTAAAAAATAATAACGCGTTATTATTGTTGTTGTAGGTATGCCAGATACATCATGTTTGTGGCGTCGGAACTACAGAAACCCCAAGAATTCCGAGTACGTTAGAGTGGTGTTGCTGATCATTTTCGTCATCTACGTCATGAGTAAGATTGTGGATGTGATTGGCTTGGTGTACCCACAAGAAGAACCTTACCCAGAAGCAGTCAATGGGATGGATGGCATGAACATTGTGGCCAAGGAGTGCTCAGCCACCACCAATGTCTGTTACAACGTGGTGGATTACAGCACTGAGTAAGTAGTAGTTGATTTGACGGCTTAAAATTATCAATCATAGTTTTATAGTTACAATACTTAAGTAACCGTAGTGACTATTTCATCACACCTATAACTATATGTTGTGTTACAGTACCCTCGGATTGAAAGTGAATCGAGTAATATACCTAAACGGAATGGAGAAGGAAGTTGACACTATGGTATCGCTGATACCTTTACCAGGACGAACATTTCACGATTCTGACACAAGGTTCTGGCCCGTGAATCATACCATCGTACAATCACAATACGTCGCTTTGATATGTATAGCACCATTTGTGGTGGGAAGTGTACCATCAAGGAATGTCAAGGAGAGTAACTCGTCGGTTTTGATGGTGGGATTGGGTGGTGGAAGTGCAGACATGTTCTACCATACTGTGCGACCTAATGTAAGTTTATTATCCTAAACTATAAAAGAAACGTTGGTTGAATCAAGGGATAGTTGATATTAAATTTAAGATTTAGTTCTAAAAGTTCTAAAAATTGTTTCAGTGGAACATCACAGTATACGAAATCGACGCTACAGTAGTAGATCTAGCCAAGAGATGGTTCGGAGTAATAGAAGACGAAACCAGAAGAACCATCGTACAAGATGGAGTTGTTGCGATAAAAGAAGCTGCCGAAAGGGATTTGAAGTACGATGTTGTTGTTATAGATGCTTGTGATGAAGATGACACTTTACCGTGTCCTGCAAAGCCATTTTTGGACGTACAATTGCTCAACAATGTAAAGAAAATCCTTTCACTTCGAGGTAAGGTTCATTACTATAATTAGAATACCTTAAATGCTTTAATTTTGTATAAATATTACAATAATAACATAATGTTACTTTAGGTTGCGTAGTATTCAACGTGTTAACTCTCAAGAACAGTGACCAAAACGAGAACCAAGTTCAACAGAAACTGCTGAATGTGTTCCCAACGTGCATCAGTTTGAGGCCAGATCAGGAGACCAATGTCATCTTTGTATGTCTACCGTACTCTTTACAACAGAGTAACGTCGAACACACGAAACAGTTGTGGGAATCTGAAGCTGCCAGTTTGATGAACCGGTTTCAATTCCAATTTCAAACTTCAATTAATGTAGTTAGGTCATAATAGTACAAGCCATGGTTATCTTATTCACAGTCAGGCAACACCATCAGGAACAGCTTTCAGTCACCGCCATCCATAATACGATACCAAGAACGGGTAACAAATGGCACCTTCACTTAACTTTTTTCTCAGCCTTCAAATTCTCAATCTTATTACAGGTATTTTTATGTATAGTATTATGTATATCCGATTCTGAGTTTGCTCATCACACAAATATTATATTTACGCTTTACATATTTCTATTAATTTTCATAGTTATATACTTGTTATTTAACCCATTTATTATCATAAAGCTTTAACACCATCTCAACTACCATCACTGCCTTAAGGTTATATATTATTTTTTATTATATTTACAATATGATCACATTATGTACAAAATGAAAGTTTAAATACCGGCTTCTTATCCAAATGGTATTTGTAATAAAGCCAGTAGCACTAAAGTTTGAAGACTAATTTGAATGGTACCATTATTACTGGTAAGACTAGAAATTAACAATACTAGTGGCTCATCAGGATCATAAGAAATAGCACTAGTATTACTCTAAAGTACTTTCAATATTACATACACTGAGTACTAGAACAGAGACTACTTTCCTGTAGCACGTGCTATCTGTACTATTGACCGCACCAACCTTAGTACTAAAAGCCTAAAACTTAACAGTACCATTCTTTTTCTGACTTATGGCATCTAGAATGGCTTTTCTTTTGGCATGGTACCGCGCTTGCAGGGCTTCTAATTCAGCGTCCATCTCTTTGTCTAACATCTGCTTCTGGGTCAACAATTCATCTGTACTTAATTCGACCAGCTAAAATGTGTCAATCAATCAGCCTTTCACTTTTGATAATCGGACAATGTATTATCAAATCTTTTTTACACACAAAGTGATCATGATAACCGGTAATAAATAGCACTTACAGAATATACACAATGGGAGGTTATAAATGAAATGAATAACTTGAACTTACATATCGATAGTCAGGATCAGGGTCGTTGAGCGACTTTCGTATCAGATTGGTTACAGTATGATGATAATGGTCCATTTTGTCATGAGATCTGGATGAAGCTTGAGATGCATCGTACGACGGAGGAGAAGCTTGGGCCTCGTTTACATTCAATTCGGTAGCAAAAGCATTGTTTAGAGATTCGTACTTGTCAGCGGCCGTAAAGAAATCATCGCTTCGACCTAAAATACTTTGTTTTAGTTATAAATAAGACAAAGTCATAACGTTTTTGTAAAAAAAATTTAACTACTTCTTACTCTCGGTTAATTTCATATATAACTCACTATCTACAGTTTTGTGTTGAACTAGGGTGCTGTCACCAAAGTCAAGGCCAGTATTCTGGTAACTCTTGATCGTATCTGCTGGTTTCATTAAAGTTGATGTTGCATCACTTGAAATCATGTCAAATGTGTTACGCTAAAACAAAGAATTTATAATATAATATAGAATAAATATAGGTATTCCCATTAAAAACTCAATAATGCTGACAAACTTACAGATTCCTGTAGCAGACACTGTGCTGCAATGTCTTGAGCATCAGCAATCATGTCTTTCACTGCTTCTGGGCCTTTAGCCCCTAAAATGAACTCGTGTTCAAGAAGAGCGTCAGCCACAGTACGATCTTCTGGGTTTTTGACCAAACATTGAGCGATAAAGTCGTTGAACATTGGAGACCAGTCTTCGGGGTTTTTGAGCGTCGGTGGAGGTTTCGTTGGAATCATGAATATCGCCTAAAATGTATGTAAGTTACGCTTAACCTATTTTAAAACCCAAAATAACAGTAAAATTGGCTTCTTCATTATTAGTCTCAAATTAATCAACAAAACTCACCATTACGCATCTGAACCAATACTTACCCGCATAGGATGAATCTCGGCGTGTGGAGGCCTGCCTTCCGCCATTTCAATTGATGTAATTCCCAAAGACCAGATGTCGGCCTTTGTGTCATACCCAATCTCCTGAATCAGCTCTGGTGCCATCCAGAAAGGAGTACCAATTACAGTATTCCTCTTGGCCATCGTATCAGTCAATTGTCCCGCAACTCCAAAGTCTGCCAGCTTAGCGTTCCCGTCCATATTAAGAAGAATGTTGCCAGCCTTTATGTCTCTGTGTATCTTCTTCAGCCCATGTAGGTAGCTGAGTCCTCTGATCGTATCCCTTAACACAGAAGCTACTTCCTCTTCAGTCAACGTCTTTCGTCTCAACCTCATAATGTCAGATATGGAACCAGCTCCACAATACTCCATTACTATCTTTAAACGATAAAATAAATTTTAGAGTTGTAATATAATATATGAATTCTTTATATATCAGGTAAAAAAAGAAGACTTACCCACAAATCAGAATTCTTAAAATACGATCCAAAGTATTTTACAACAAAAGGACTGTTGCATTCCTGCATTATTGTAATCTCTTTGATGATCTCCTGAAGATCTGTATCCACAGGAACCTTCTTTACCGCCAAAACTTTGCCACTTTCCTTATGAATCGCTTTGTGAACAGATCCATACGATCTACAAGGTTTATCATATAATCGTAAGTAATTTACAATAGTAAAATATAAAGACATGTATTTAAAACCCAATCTTCCAAAATCCTAAAAACAAAAAATAATATATTACACTCACCCCTCGCCAACTTTGCTCACAACTTCAAAAACATCTTCTGGAGACTTGTTCAAGTCAGAAGTTGACAACTTGAACTCTTTTGATGTATCGGCAATGTTCTCGGTACTTTTCTGCACTTCCGATTTAACATCAGCCATCTGGGCGTACTCCATGTGAGCAACAGGGTCTTCTAAAACATCTATATTCACATAAATTACTTAATTTTAAGTGCACGAATCCAATACAACTATTATAATGTGAAATGGCAAACACAAAACTACAATTAAAGGTATACAAACAAATTATAAAATAAAAAAAGCTAACTAAGGAAACCAAAACATACGCTAAGCTACAATAATATAGTTTAGACCATATTATCTAAAACAACTAAAAATTAAAGATGAGAACACGTAACAACACAAATTATCTATGATTCACCGTATATAGGAGGATACTCGTAGACACGGTCACCATTGAAAGACACCAATTGTCCCATTCAAGAGAATGTTGTTAATGGTTAAGCTGAAATGGACTAGAGGTTAGCGGATCTAGTTGATCCCATAAAGCAACGAATAAGTATTGTAACAAACACAAAAAAAGTCGAAACAGCCACGGAAAAGTTTTCTTTATCTAAAACCCCACAAAACGAATGAAAGATGAATGGGTTTTCGGCGACTTTACACATCATTTATAAGATTTATATGACCAATATTCCAAATTATTATTTGAATACAACAAATTAACATGTAAAATAACTCAAAAAATGTAGAATCAATACAGAATTCCAATAAAAGTGCAGATGCGCAACAAGAGTCAGAAAATTTCTAAAAAAAGTCGAAGTGAAAATACTAAAATCAATAGTTGCAGTTTGTCTCAAATAAAAGTAAAAAATAAATTTCGTAAAAAAGAACAATCGTTGTTACATATTTTTGTTTAGATATGTCTGCGCATAACATTTTTTGCGTTGTTTCTTTTTTTTAGTTTGTTTTCTTACTTTAACTTCAGTTTGTTTTAGATCTTGGTATGGAGTCGGTCATTGAGAGCCAGAGAACTTTGCACGAAGAAAGAGAACGATGTTTAGATGTTATAGTTAAAGAATTTATGGCCGAAAAGAAAACAGTAAGTTATTTGTTATTGTTTGTTTTTAGTTGTTTTACAGTAAGGAATGTAGATGTAAATGTTGGAAGTATCAGTTATTGGTCATTTAAAACGTTAATTTTAGCAAAGGGAACGTGTAAATTCGGACCAACGATGTAAGTCATTGTTTGAAAGATTCAACAATGCTTCAGAACAACTTATTGACAGCTACAAAGATGAGACTGGTGAGAGAGTCAGAGAAATCGATCAGCTTGGTGGCCCAAATGAGTTTGCCGAGTTTTATTCACGTTTGAAGCTGTTGAAGGAGGTACACAGGAGGAATCCGGATGAAGAAGCCAGTTGCTTGACTTTGGAGTTCGAAAAGAAGATTCAATTTATTCAGAATCCGGACAGAGTCGAAAAAGAAGTTGTCAAATTTTCGGATGAAGAAGGTTACGGCAAGTATGTTGACATGCATTTGTTGTTCGAACAGTACAGAAACCTCAAAAGTGTTAATGTAAGTGTTACTTGAAGTTGTTTTTTATTATTTTTTTTAGTTTGATTATATAAACATTTTATTTGTGATATATTAAGTATTAGTTGAGGTGAAAGCGATATTTTCAACTGAATTATGTCATTTTAGAAATCAGACTACATTACCTTTTTGGATAAGTTTGACAGATTTGAAGAAATTTCAAAAGTTCCAACGAAGAAGACTGGAGCTTACAAAGAATACCTCAATAAGCTAATGGAGTATATCTTGGACTTTATCTCAAGAGCTAAGCCATTGACAAACGTTGATGGAATAAGGAAAAAGGCGGAAGTTGTAAGTATTTTACTTTTCTACTGTGATTTTTAATGTTTTGTTTTGCATCTTAATAGGTTTTAAAAAATTTAGAAACCTTTGCTTTGTATAAAAGTGTTTTTTCTATAAAATATGAAATATAATAATTGTTTTAGGAGTTTGAGGCTTTGTGGAAAGATGACAAGGTGGAGGGATGGTCTAAAGAAAAGAGTGGCGCTTTGAGCAATGTTGGAGTACCATTAGATTTGGCTGATTTTGAGTCGGTAGAACAAATTGAAGCCCTTGGAGGTGACAGGATAAAGTCAGCGTTGGTTGCGGTCGGCCTTAAATGCGGAGGGTAGGTTTGGATATGTTCTTGTAACACTTTATGCTATTAAAATTTGTTAAATTGTGGTTTAGGTATGACATTTTATATAAACTTTTCTGCATTATAATGAAATTTAATTTTGTTTATGTGTGCAATTTATAAACAACATTGCTGTATGGTATCGTTTAATTAAGCTTTGACATTTTAGAACACCAAAAGAACGTGCTATTCGTTTGTTTGCCACCAAGAATATGTCATCGGATGAATTGGAAAAACTAAAGCCGAGGAAATCCGCGGAACAACTGAAGGAAGAGCGACGGGTCTATTATTTAGCTAAAACTGAATTTGAATTGAAGAAGTAAGTTGTAATTAGGTTTGTTTAAGCCTAATTTTTGTTTTTGCTTGTGGTACAACAACAAATATAAACAGTTCTCAATTGTTTTTAATGTTAACCTTTTGTGTAGTTTATGCTTAATTGGCCACAAAGTTCGTATCCATATTTACGTTATTTTAAGGTTGTCCGAGTTGCTGACTGAAGAAAGACAAGCCACAAAGGAGAATGTAGAGAGGAAACAAGCACGTGTAGCTGGCGAAGATGAAGATGCTGATGACATGGAAGAAGATGTGCCAGATGAAGTGGAAGACGACGATGTACCCTACAACCCCAAAAATCTGCCGCTTGGATGGGATGGTAAACCAATTCCTTACTGGTTATACAAACTGCACGGTCTCAACATCAGCTACACATGTGAAATATGCGGAAATCAAGTTTACAAAGGGCCCAAGGCTTTCCAGAGACATTTTACAGTAAGTTTTTCTTTTTCTTCAAATATTTGTAAAAATACAAGGTTTACTTGCCGGTTTTTATTGAGAAGTCACAACAATTTCTACGATTTTAAAAACCTTTTTACAAAAACATATTAACTTTTGTGATGGAATAACAATTATTCTTTCAAAAGTCACGTAGAGATGTAGTGTATTACCGAAAAAGTACGAAAAAACACGTTTAACTTTGAGTAATACAATAAAGTGGAAGTGTTGAAAAACGAGTAAAATAAGATCAAGTACAATATAAAGTTGAAAAAGGTATAAATTTTTTATGATTTTGTTCGTTTTAAAGTCGTTTGCACGTTCGCTAACAAAAGTTGTAATTTTTTGGGAGTAAAAACATTTGAAACGTGAAAAACACATTCAGAACTATTTGGTCTTGCTGTTATTAGATGTTATCTATAACGGCGTTATCACGTTTATAAAACAATAGGGCCACGTTGTTAATGTTTTGCTTGTAGGAATGGCGCCATTCTCACGGCATGCGATGTCTCGGAATTCCCAACACGGCGCACTTTGCCAACATCACCAAGATCAAAGACGCGGTTGATCTCTGGGGTAAGATGCAGCAGGAGAAGGAATCCACCAAGTGGGATCCGAACGTGGACGAAGAATACGAGGACTCCAAAGGCAACATTCTCAGCCGACGCACTTACGAAGATCTGAAAAGACAAAACTTGTTGTAATACATTAAGGACGTTTGGTCGAAAAGTATATGGAAACTGGGCATTTTATAGAAAGATTAAGGTTTTTTTACTTCAAAAAGATTGTATACTTTTTGACCACACAAGTGTTATTACGTTAAATATTACTTTGTTAACTTAAGAATAATGATAAATACAAAACTTGGTCCGATTGGTTGTTTGAGCACTAACGGCTTTAAACGCCCTGATTATTTTTGGTATAATGCCTTAAGATCACGGTTAAATGGCCTGTTTCGTGTTATCTACAGTGCTTGTTTACGGTTTACAGTGTTTTAGGGTATTTACAGCTTTGTTTATCATTTACTACTATATTGGTCTAACGGAGGGTAGAGTTGTCTATCTATCTAAAAGAGGGTTCTATTTGTGCTACTTTTGAAAAGCTATTTCTCAGGTTTCTACAAAAACATGGTTGTTTTTTGACTACGTTGTTGTTTCTATTTTCATTCTGGTATTTCCTTTCACGTGAAAAATGTGGTTACTCCCTGCGGGCCTTTTCGGAAATCCAAGTTTTTCGACTGATAAGACTGTTTGACCTCTGAACCCTCTCATGCAGTCATACCCTCTCTCCGGCAGTTAGTAATTCCCTCAAGTAAGTGCATGAAACAAAACGTTTTCATCGTCCCACATTTCTCTCCGTGGGACCATTTTGAGACTCCGCCTACCATAAACAGTGATAATCTTACCACCGTTCGAAATGTATTGTACTGAGGCTCGGGGAAGGGGGTGGAGCTGGCTTCCAACTTTTTAAGGTTCGATTTATAGCGGGGCAGTTTTGACTCGTTACTCTTTTTACATAAATTTTATGGATTTTCACTTTTAAACTCGTTGTTAAACTCGAGACTTCGCTTTTAGGTTTAGAGTTAAAATCTACGTTTGTATGTGAAATTGGAAACGTAGATTTTAATCGCTTTTAAATCACTAACCATTACATATAGTGGTTGGCAAGTTTATAGTTTCCTAACTCTATAGGCAGCCCTGCAGAGAATGTATTGACCTTTTGAACCGCCTAGTATAAGTTCACATTTTATAACCTTCAACTGCAACATGTAGCTGAATTCTGCGAGTTTTCGGCGCCAGACTTACTTTCCACGTATGGTTTTTTCGTGTCTTTTTTGGGAATCAGAAAAAGGAAGACGAATCCCAGAATATTCATAAGAAACGAGACGAAAAAGTCGATAGAAAAAGGTCGGTGTCCTTGGGACTTTGGGCGTTTTTCAGGCGGTCAGTCGACCCTTTTTTACCACAACCTTGATATCCCACTTCTCGACGTGTTACAAACTGACGGAAGCGCGAGCCGACTGATCTATGTTACGTTCTCTTTTATGAACGTAACAAAAAACCGTCATTCTTGGTGGTTTTCGAGATTTTTTTGTTTTGTAACTTTCAAATTGAGCTTTTAAGTTGTGAAGGTTCAAGTTACATTTCAAGATAATTTATCTTACTATTTTAAAGTCAAACAATTAAATTGTTTGATAAGGGTCAATTTGCGGGAAATTTTGTTATCAGTTTACAGGGTTTTGCAAGGCTTTAAAAAGTAGCGAATTGTAGCCTTTTAAACTCGTTAGTGTGAATGCTGGGAAAGTCAAACGTGAGTAAAAAATTAAAAACTCAACTTTAAGCAGAAACATAAGCAAAAAATAAATTATTTTCAGTGGGTTTTACGTTGAAAACAACTCTGTTTTACATTTTGACATGTTGCACTGTATTCTTATGTCAAATATAACTTTTGTGATCAATTATAACTTACAAAGTGATATAGTTTTATTTCATTTTCCAAACATCCTGCAGACTTTTAAATTTAATTTTGAAATTGGATCGGCGGCTTATTTTGTCCGTTTTTAAAATTTGAAATTTGTTTTTTTAACCAAAAATGAATCAAACAATATTGGAATCTCTTGTAGCCGAAAAGGGTGCCCATTCTATTCCAGATATTGGGCTTTCGATCACTTTTATCACAAATGTTGATAAAATAAAAACCGAATTTCCTATTTTTCTCCGGGTTTTTTGTCATTTTTCGCGTTCGAAGAGGAAAAACCTTATTTTTCGTTTCCAAAAACCTGCTTTCCAGGCCAATTGAGAACCAGAAATGTCGGCCAAAGCTCTGAGTGAATACACAGGCAAGGAGCTGTTGTACAGGCACCTCAATCACCTCGACTTTGTGGCCAAGCCTCAGGCCGTTCCCTTGGACGAGTTCAACGACTTTGAGGACAAATCCAAAGGATGCAGATGGATCCAGCAAGGAGAAAAGGGAGTGATCAAGCCAGATCAGCTCATCAAGAGGAGGGGAAAGCACGGTCTGGTCAAGCTGGGCTCTGTTCCTGAACTCAAGGCTTGGTTCAACGAGAAAAAGGGTCAATATGTCACAGTAAGTTTGCTGGTTTTATTATTTTAGGTATATGTTGTGTTCTTTTTGTGATTTTTAGCTGATTTAAAAAAAATTTTGTGGTAAATGAAGTTTTTATCATTAGTTTTTATGTTTACAAATATTTACTTTTCATTTTACAAAACTTGTTTTACGGATATTGTTTTAGATAAATTTCTGTTTTTTGGCATACTTTTGTTATTAAAAGCACTGATTATCTAATACACATGTTTTGCTGATAATATTTATGAAGAACATTTTGATTTTTTAAAGGTTTGTTATTTTAGGTAGGAAAAACTACAGGCCGTTTATCTCGCTTCATCGTGGAGCCACTGTGCAAACATGAGGACAATGAAGAATTCTACTTGGCCATCTACAGTCGCAGAGAAGAAGATATCATCTTGTTCTACGAGCAAGGTGGTGTTGATGTTGGAGACATTGATGCCAAGGTATGTATACTCCAAATTGTTTTGTTAAGCTGTCTTCCAGATTTGTTTTAGAAAAATGATTGTGTTTAAAAAAATTATGTTAACATTTTCAGGCCCGCAAACTTGTAGTTGGTGTTAAATTGAACGACGAAGAACAATCGTTCACTGATTCTGAGCTTGATACACTTATTGGAGCCAATGTTAAGGCTGCTGACAAGAAGTAAGTCAAATACAACTCTTTGTAGGAGTGACACCTAGCATTAGTTTATTCTTATTGTTTAAATTTTAAGTAAAGCTAGTGATGTTTTAATAATTTAAATTATTTAGACATAAATTTAAACTTTTCAGGTTGTTGACAGTATTCATCCGCGAGCTATATACTTTGTACAAGAGCCTGTACTTTACATACCTTGAGATCAACCCTCTTGTGTTGACCGGAGGTCAAATTCACATCCTTGACTTGGCTGCTAAACTCGATGAAACAGCTTTGTTCCTGTGCTCAGAGTTGTGGAAGACTCGTATTGATGAAGCAGTCGAATTCCCAGCTCCATTCGGTCGTGACTTGTCTAAGGAAGAGAAGTACATCGCTGAACTCGATGCCAAGACTGGAGCATCATTGAAGTTGACTATCTTGAACCGTCAGGGCAGAATCTGGACGATGGTGGCTGGTGGAGGAGCTTCGGTTGTGTTTACGTAAGTAAATGTTGTTGTCGATGTCTTTTACATATTTTGAGTAATTAAGGCATACGATTGGTTAAGGTTTTAAATTGCAGTATATTGTTTTATGTCTTAAATTACGTTATTTTAGTGACACCGTATGCGATCTTGGAGGAGCATCTGAATTGGCCAACTATGGTGAATATTCTGGAGATCCAAGTGAATCTCAGACTTTTGAGTACGCTAAGACCATTCTCACCATGATGACTGAAGGAGAGATCCACCCACAAGGAAAGGTGTTGATCATCGGAGGATCTATTGCCAACTTCACTAATGTCGCTGCTACTTTCAAGGTAAATTTTAAAATTAATGTTGGAGTTAATGTCTTTTTAAGCATTCAAACACATAAGATGCATATTACTCATAAAATTAATTTTAAAATTATGAGTCAATTCTAACTTAATTTTTCAGGGTATCATCAGGGCTTTGGAGACCTTTGCCGACCTTCTGAAGCAACACAGCGTCAGTGTCTACGTCCGCCGTGGAGGTCCCAACTACCAAGAAGGTCTGCGTATGATGAAGGAAGCTGGCCAGAAGGTCGGAGTCCCAATTCATGTATTTGGCCCAGAAACTCACATGACAGCTATTGTTGGTGCCGCTTTGGGAGTCAGACCTCTGCCAGAAGTTGCACATGCTCCAAAGACAACTGGTACCTTCTTGCTTCAACCCGGTACAAACACTGCTGGCATGGTGAAAACCCCAGAAACCTCTCAGAAGACCGTCAAGGAGTTGACCGGCCAGTCTACTCAAACCAACGCTTTGAAGTCAGCTGATGCTACTCTCAGCACAGCTCAAGGTAGATTGTCAGCTCTCTTTGATGGTAACACTAAGGCCATCATCTGGGGCCAACAGACCAAAGCCATCCAAGGCATGTTGGACTTTGATTACGTCTGTAGCAGAACTTCACCGTCAGTTGTTGCCTCGACCTACCCCTTCACTGGAGATCACAAACAAAAGTTCTACTTTGGCCAAAAGGAAGTCCTGATTCCAGCCTACAAATCTCTGAAGAACGCTTTCACTTCTCACCCAGACGCCACAGTAATGGTGACTTTCGCTTCTTTGAGATCTGTGTTTGATACCGTGATGGAAGCTTTGGAGTTCCCTCAGCTCCGTGTCATTGCCATCATTGCCGAAGGTGTACCAGAGAACCAGACCAGGAAGATCTTGGCCAAAGCTAATGAGAAGGAAATTGTCATCATTGGTCCAGCTACTGTCGGAGGAATCAAGCCTGGCTGCTTCAAGATCGGAAACACTGGTGGTATGATGGACAACATCTTAGCATCTAAATTGTACCGTCCCGGTAATGTAGCCTACGTGTCACGATCTGGTGGAATGTCAAATGAACTCAACAACATCTTGGCCCACAACACAAACGGTGTCTTCGAAGGTGTAGCCATTGGTGGAGACCGTTACCCAGGATCTACCTACACTGACCACGTTCTTCGTTATCAGAACGACGACAGAATCAAGATGATCGTTCTGTTGGGAGAAGTCGGTGGAGAGGAGGAGTACAAGATCGTACGAGCACTGGAATCAAAGAAGATCACGAAGCCTCTAGTAGCATGGTGTATTGGTACCTGTGCCGATCACATCACTTCAGATGTTCAATTTGGTCACGCTGGAGCTTCGGCCAACGCATCATCTGAAACCGCCGCGGCCAAGAACGCTGCTTTGAGGAAAGCTGGCGCTGTTGTACCATCTAGTTTCGATGACTTTGGAAAGTGCATCAGAGAAGTGTACCAAGGCCTTGTGAAGGATGGAGTCATCGAACCTCAACCTGAACGACCACCTCCACCAGTCCCAATGGACTACGCCTGGGCTCGTGAGCTTGGTCTTATTCGCAAGCCAGCTTCTTTTATGACATCAATCTGTGACGAGAGAGGTGAAGAGCTTTTGTACGCTGGAGTACCAATCTCCAGAGTGTTGGAAGAAGACATTGGAGTTGGAGGAGTACTGTCGCTTTTGTGGTTCCAGAAGCGACTTCCTGACTACGCCAACAAGTTCATCGAGATTTGCTTAATGCTGACAGCTGATCACGGTCCAGCTGTGTCTGGAGCCCACAACACGATCGTTTGTGCTCGTGCTGGAAAAGATCTCATTTCGTCGTTGGTTTCTGGGCTTCTGACAATCGGCGACAGATTCGGAGGAGCTTTGGATGGAGCAGCCAAGATCTTCGCTGATGCTGTTGATAAGGGATTGAGTCCAATGCAGTTTGTCAACGAACAACGACGCTTAGGAAAGCTCATTCCTGGTATTGGACATAGAGTGAAATCGGTAAGAATTTTGAGCTTTTTGAAATTTTGAAGTTAGTGAAGAAAAGTTTTCGAAAATTGAATAAACTACCTTTCTCATACGCGAAACTTTTAGATCAACAACCCCGACAAACGTGTAGAAATCTTGAAGAAGTTCGCGTTGGACCGTAGCCGTTTCCACCAAGAAACCCCTCTTCTTGACTACGCTCTCAAAGTCGAAGCCATCACTACCTCCAAGAAGCCCAACCTTATCCTGAACGTTGATGGAGCCATCGGTGTCATCTTTGTTGATATTCTCAGATATTCTGGAATGTTTACAGCTCAAGAAGCCAACGAAACGATTGATATTGGCGCTCTGAACGGATTGTTCGTACTGGGTCGCTCTCTCGGATTCATCGGCCATTACCTAGATCAACGCCGCCTGAAGCAAGGCCTGTACCGTCACCCATGGGACGACATCAGCTACGTGCTCCCGGAAGACCACTCTTAATATAACTTTGTGAATTATTAACTTTTAATAGCTGTAACGAGTATAACTAGAGCTAGGACTGCTTTAATCTCTAACGTCCTCAGATTTATATTGTTTGTCATTAATTATCATTGTGGAAATAAATTACACACATAAGCTTCTTGGATTTACAAAAAGCTATCTGGTTGGTAACGCACCGTAGTGGTCTACTAAGGTATTTGGTTAAGTATTAATAGAAGCTTTTATTTTCTGTTGTGGTAAAGATACATGTTTTTACCTTTAAATTTTTTTTTAAAAGTAGTTTTTTTGTAAAATCAACAGGTTTATCTTAAAATTTATTTTCATCTACAGGCAGTTTTATGAAAAGACTTTAGTATGACATTAAGGTATCTTAGATACTTTGTTTGCTATTCCAGATAGAAGCCTGGCTACATTATTTTGTTACAAGCGATGGTTTGGAGTTATTCAGCAAGTTAGTGAACTTCTTCCTTTCTGGTGATCCTGACTGATCTCGAGGAACCAGATCGAGAACGAGAGTCGCCGAGCTCGGGCGCAGGCCGCAAAAAGTGGTCATCGTTTGAGTTTCGGAACGATGAACGTAGCGGCTCACGGAACGGTGATGCAGCTCTGTAGTCGGCTCCAGATGAGCTGTATTCGCGACGTGAAGACCGTGACGCGGAGCGTGAGTAGCTCTCGGTTACGGGTACTGACAATTGTGGTGGTGGGGGTGGGGTTCCTTTGAATTCTTCACGGAACGCCGACCTTCGGCTTTCGTGATGAGTACCGGAACCATCACGGGAGTGGTGTACGTACTCGTTGTTGTAGCCGTTGTTGTGGGGCTCATTCAAAGCGTACGAAGAGCCACGGTAGTCGCCGTTCTTAGATTGAGAACGGTAGCCTGAAAGACAAAAAGTTAGTGTTAAGGAGTTAGTGGTAAGTGTAGTTAAGATATCACTGCACACGTGGGAGTAAAGTAAAGGGTGATTGAAAGATTGTTTCAAATAGGCAGTAGCAGTGTTTTGCCGGACCCGTCCGGTCCGGACCGGACCAAAAGAAAATAAAGCCGGACCGGACCGGAAAAAAAATTTTTTTTTATTTTAATAAAACTGTTTTAAAAATTGCAAATAAAACATATTTTTAAGAGTTTTTAAACGTAAAGAAAGCAGTTTTAGCGCTCTTGGCTTTTTTTAAAAATAAAAAAATTTTTTTCCGGACCGGACCGAAAAAATTCTCATCCGGACCGGTCCGGCAAAACACTGGGCAGTAGTTAAAAGTTATTAGGCAACAGAAGTGGTTAAATAATGTTAAGTTAGAGAAGAGATTTGAGGTGCGATTTGTACCGTAATATGGGTTGTCATCGTAGTATCTGCCGTAATCGCGATTACAGTACTCGCAGTAATCTATATCTCTAGTACTATCCCTAGTACACTGCTCCATTAAGTCAAATTTACTCTCAGGATAACGCAGATCTGGAGTGGAATAGAAATGAACACTCTTAACTGGTGCTACTGGTCCTATTTTTGGTTTTGGCTTAAGCAGACTCCTAAGAAATCCACAACACTTTCTTTTTTGCCTTAGGCCTAAAATCGTTTAACAAAAAATAAAAAAGATACAAACTCAAAAAGGATATGTCAAAACAAAAAAAGGTTAACAATCACCCTTAGCCATTATAACATAGGTTCAGATGCATTTGGTTAATCCACCAGATCAATATTTTTCAAAATTAGCGACAAAATTAATGGATCTACCAAAAACAACCTTAAAATAAAACTAAAACGAGAAGAACAAAAAGACAAACATACCATTCGACTGGTCGTACGATACTCTTCCAGAATCATTTCTATCTCTCACATACGAACTGGCTCTGGAGCCGGCTCTGGCTGATCCTCCTTCGATCGGGATGTTCCTTTCTCGTCCTTCAATTGCAGCGTACGGCTTCTTGGCCTCCACCGTCAACCGACCGGAACTGTCAATGGCACTGGTAATGTCTTGTGGGTGCACATCTGGAGGCAGTTGGTACTTTCTGACAAAGTACATCTTGGTGTAGTTGTCAGAATCCTTGACATCTTCGTGGCGACCTTCGATCAGCAAAGTGTCGTCGAGAGTCTTGACTTGGAGCTCCTCTGGTCTGAACTGGTAGGCGTCGATGTCGACACAGAAGCGGTTACGGTCGTTGGAGATGTTGGTACGAACGTCCAGACCGTCCTTGAAGATGGGCTCGGCCCAGCGAGGATAGAGGTCGCGCCAGAAAGGGTCGTCCCTCCAGTTGCTGTCGAAGCGGTCCAAATTTGAAGAGAACTGTAATTTCAGATCGTTAATCTTGTCAGAGGTGGACTTCTTATCAGAAGACTGATCAGACTTATCAGAGGACTGATAATGTTGTCTACCTGGGGCGTGGTAGCTTTTGTGGTAAGAATTATCAAAAGTTTGATAATTTTCGAAAGACTTATCATCTGAATGATAATTAGTTCTATCTGAATATGGACTACGAGCCTTTTCATAGCTAAAGTCAGATGGACTGAAGGTATCGTCGTGAGAAGCCGGCTTAGTAGAGTCAGGTCTATAATATTCTACATCCTTAGACTTGTAGTGATCAGCCCTGGGCTTGTAATATCCATTCTCAATCGCAATGGGACTGTTGGAGCTTATCTTGTGGTAGTACTTCTTCTCATAAACATCTTCGTCCCGAAAGTGAACGCTCGGCATGACTGGGTTAGATGCGCTCGAATTAAAAAGGGGCGCCCGCTGTTCGGAAGAGCGGGTCGAGACTGAGCAAACAGCCCAGAATCAATTCAGGGCCTCGAAGGAAACGGCAATTGTTCATGGAGGGGGACAGTCCTATTGTGATTCATCGTCAACATTTAAGGGACGAAAATGTTTTTCCAGCCATCTCTGGTTATTACACCGAAAAACGTTAATTACCGACCTCAGATTGAGGTGTCAAAGGGAACGTTCCTCTGTTTACGGTATTGAATTACGTAGCTACAAGGGGCTTGGAGTGCTCAACTGAAGTTTCAATTGGATTCTAGCAAACATACGAACTTTGTGGAAACCTAATACTTAAAATCTTGACTTAATTGTGAGAACTTCTTCTTTTAGCTTTTTAGGTAGAGACAGTAAGTTATGACAAAGCTTTGGTGGTATACTGAGTTGTCAGCTGGCAATAGACAACTCAGTAGACCATCAAATATAGCTTTTTAAAAGATTGTGACACTTTTCATGAGAAAACGTGATCAAATACTATGTAAAACAAAATTAAAAATCCAAAAACAATCGAAACCAGCTTACCTTGGGCATGATCTGATCCATGCGAGGCCAGTCAGAAGGCCAGTCCCTCCACCATCGGTCCGAGTCTCGTCCGAACTGAAACGACAAAGGTTGAGAGAATCGAACCCTTTTCATAATGAAAGAGTTTCCAGCTCTGATTTTCCACCTCAATCCCCCCACAGAAGGCTCGTGAGCCGATTTCCGGATTACGTAACTCACTTCAGCTATTGCACTCAGAAGGCGATTCATTCGAGATTTTTATGCTAATACAGCCTTCGTACGATAGGTCGCTATTTGGATAAAAATATACAAAGTTTTTGCACTTTTTGAAAAGTTGGTAATACCAAAGGTTCGTTATATTACTTTAGGCAAGTTTTAAAATTTAATTCTTTATTTTTTTATTTTTTTAAAAGTAGATCTAAATTAACAGTAAATACGATTTTCTAGAAGCAAAACTTCTTGTTTTGGTAGCAAAAGTTACTGTGTTATTGCAGGTGTTAACCCACGTACTTGTGGAGTCACGCACCCGACCTCTTTGTCATTTGTTTGTATTTGGTCTGAAGAGTTTGTAAACTTACTCGACTGACTAGTTCCCTGGGCCTGGGCCAATCTCTCGGCCAATCATCCCATTCCCGTTCCAATCGATCTCTCCACGTATCACGCCAGAATGGATCACGGTCGAACCAGTCATCGTCGTAGAATCTACGCGTCAAAGCCATGTCTGTTTGATATTAATGAATTGAATAAACGTCCCCAAGGTTTAGAGGCAGATTAACGGGTAAAGACACGAGTTAAATACATAAAAGTGTGTTTATATTTCAAAGTTTAAAAAATTTTATCAAATTTTTATAAAAGGTTAAAATATATGACAATATACACTTTTTAATTTCGAATTTTATCTTGTAGTACTTGGGTATACCTTAACAACTTCAAAACATTGTACAAATGGCCCAAGAAATGTCAGTACTATAAGAACAAAAATGTCTCATTAACAACTCAGTGCCAAAAAACTCTAAAATTTGTAAAAAATTTCCAAAATCTATCACTAAACACTAAAAACATATTACTGTAGCCACCAGAACAACAAACTCAGAAAACCTCCCATTATGCCCTTTTCAATTACAACCATCTCCAAAAACGAATAAAAAACAAACAAACAGGCTGTTAGAATTTGAAAAATCGAGCTTTCCTTCAGAAGACCCTCGATCAAAGTCACCTATATAGTAGTAAACATGACCGACCCATTAAGTGAATTTAAGGCGGAGCCCGGTAATTTCCTGAGTCATCTCACAAACTTTTAATTAAGGTGGCATTGTAATGCAAACTAGTAATACAATTTAAAAAAGTTTACAATCGACGTGACTCAGCCTTGAATAAAGTATGATATTAATCATGATGTATAGTATTATCAATTTTAATGTCAACGTTCCAGATGTTTCCGGATGTTCCTATTGTACTGTTCAGAAAAGGAATGATTGGAAGTAAAAGTTAATCAAATCAGTGCAAATTGGTAAGAATACAACTAACCATTAACAGTTTAGTTTGTTTTACTGGCATACCTGAATTTAAAATTAACAACATTGTTTGTTAATTTGCACTGTATAAGTCATAAAAATTAATTTTTTCTCCATTTTTAATTTATTTTATTTCGAAAAATTAAATTTTCAAATTTTTAAAAAACATCTGCGCGCGTCCCGCGCGAAGAAACTTTTGACACAAAACATAAGAGGAAAACTTGACACATAAATTATATTTTTCGGAAAAAGTGAAATCTTATAAAATAGTTTGACACCTACAGAATTATGAAGGTTTCCAAGCTTCCGTACAGTTTTAAGCTACAGGATGCTGGAGAGACCGATGTCACAAAGGCCGAGCTGCCAGATTGGTTGAACTCTCAGATCGCCGAAGCCAACGCTTCAAGCACAAAGAGTTTATTGGGCAATGTTGATGTTGGAATGGTTACTGGGGAATTGAAAAGCAATGGAAATGGAGTAAGTCCATTTTAATGTTATGTTTATTATCTTTAGTATAACCGAGAGTTTGTCGGCCAAGGAATGTTCTCTATGACAGCGCCTACAACGGCTCCGAAGAATGGAAATGAAGATAACTTCAAAGACGACTATGATGTGGATTACTTCTTCCCACCAACGAACAACCTGGATCAGACTGTCGATGCTAACAATAAGTCATATGCTCAGAGCATTGGAATGAGACTACATTTGGTGTTGAGGAATGCATCTTCAGAACAGGAAAGGTAAGGCAGTATCTTCAATTTTGAATTAAAAATAGGTGTTTTTGGGTTGCTTTGAAAACGTAGGAAATGGGACTTTATTATTATTATGGTTATAAGAGGGATAAAATTGTTATTTGGAAAAAAGGCTACAAAACTGTTGGAATTCTTCTAAAAGACCTTATAATTTTGAATTATAATGTGGTGCAATACAAGTCAAGTAATTTAAGTATTTTAGAAAAATGATAAAGGGCGAATTCAACTCCTTACTGTACAGATTTGAATCCAGCTGCTGAAGTGTCTTTTGTAAAAACGTAATTTATGAGTAAACTATGATTCATATCGTTGCACTTGTGAAATTTATGCAAATCTTCTGATGTCAGCCGTTACTGGTATATAAACCTGGGAAAGTTTCTCTCAAATCTAGTTATGAAGCCAAAATCATTATTTTACGGTTTTTGAAACGTTTTTTAATTCTTTTGAAACGGTGAGTTGAGATGTTAATCATAATCTTAAAACAAAGCCAATGTTTGTTTATTTTGGCCTCACTCTGAAAGTTTTGCGTTGTAGTGTGATAGGCTAAAGTACAATAATTTAGCATAAACCTGTATTATTAACTAACTATGATAAATCGCTGTTGCCATGCCTACTCTGTATAAGGTTATTTGGATGGGTTAATTATCCTTTTGCGTCAATGCCAATAATTAGAGTGTTTATATTGCTTTGGTTGTAAAAATAACTTGTAAGGGTTGTGTTAAACAGTACATCAAACAGGGTTCAGTCTCAATTTGGATATTGGAGTTGGTGGCGTCGGGTGGGTTTTACTACAATATCTCGTATTTTTGATGATATTATGGGAGTAAAGGGGAGTAGAGGGGTTTGTTTTGGATTTCATAAAAGTATTATAAGGGGCGTTTTTGTAGGTATACGGGTACCATTTGGAATAAGAAAACTTATTGACTTTGAAAGTTTTTACTTTTTTATTGTTTTTAAATAAAAATGATGATTATTGTGGTTGAATGTTGGCTTTTCTTTGAGTTGAAGGTATCTGGAATATTAATTATATTACAAATTTTTTGCTTTGTATAACAAAACGCGGAAACTGCTTTCTGTAAGTGTGAAAATTGAATTTTCTTTAGTAAGAAGACGATTTTTTTAAATTTAAAAACGTTTCATAGAAAAATTTTGTAAATTCAGATTGGCCACGACACCAAAAATCACTCTTAATTTGACATTAAAACAACTTTAAAATGTCGAATCACGTCAATAAAGCCCACTAAGTTGCTGCCATTCGTCCTCAATCACGCTCTTATATGGAGCGAGGCGAATGTTGTGGTAGGGAGGGGGTCTCTCTGCTTAGCCAAGCTCTTTCAAGGTCGTTTTTTTCTCGGACGCGTGTTGATCCACATTTCGCGTTAAAAAGTAACGGAAGAATATTTCAGCCGGAGGCAAAATGGAATAATTAATTATGGTCGCCGGTGTCCAGGATCGCAGTCGATTTGTAATCGAGATGGCTAAGAACGAGGTAAGAGTTCGTTTTGGAGTGGGTAGGGTTGTTTTGGTCTTTTACTATGTTTACTGCTTCAGCCATGTCACATCCTGCAACGTAGTAGTGTTTTTTGGTCATATTTACAAGTTATTTTACTTTTTTTGAGATAAAATGATATAACACAGTTTTTTTTGTAGTCAAAAGACATTCCTGATGCAAACTAGGTTAAAACGTAAACAGTTTACATTAGAACCTATTAAGACATTACTTTTGTTGATATTTGGTGATTCATTGCCCTTTTCTTTTGCTCTCCAGCTGATTGATCGAAAGGTAATGTAAATTACAATCTAAAGACATTCGTCATACAGCTATTAAAGTATGATTCACCAGTTTTAAGTCCTGAAGACATACGTTGTCAACAGAAAATACGAAAATTTAAATAGTAAAAAGAGGTCAAAAAGTACAGAAAGGAGGTTAAAAAAGTAATGTAATTGTCGAATTGTAGGACATTACGTAATTGCTGTACGATTACAGCGTTTATTTTTACTTTGTAATCTCAATAACCTTTATATATTTAGCACAGTATACAAATTGCATAGTGTACAATCTCTTTGTATCTTCTAGTGTGTATTACTTTCCATAGAATAACATACTTTAATGTATCTTTAACTTTAGTGTCAACGAGCACGCTTGCCGTCTTCATATGGCCAGGATTACTATCCCCACTCGTCATTGGTACGAAGAGCACGGTTGATACGACGATCCACTACGAATCAGTACTGTGAACACCTCAAGAAGCTACAACAAGAAGACGACACCGTGATCAAACAGATTCTCATCATCAAGTTGAAGCAGTCGACTTCAATCAGTGACTTCGACAAAAGGTGTGTCAACGATGTGACGTACGAACATGTGCCTGTGATTGACTTTGCATATCCGCCGGTTGGCAATAACGCGGCCAAGTTCCAGCCGGCTATCTTTTACCCGGACTTCATGAAGTATTCAAATGTGAGGAAGGAGGATCTGGAGTCGTACCCCGTCGTTCTGACCGACGAAAAAGGAGAACGGTAGGTCACAATATTGATATAGGTCAGCCGGGATTTTGTTCATTCCTCTAAGTTATTTGTGACATATAGATTTGAATTTTCATTTTGATTTATAAGTTTGAATAACAAATTAAGTTTTGTTTCAGAACGTTCGCCTACTGCTACAAGTTTTTGCCCAAGAAACGAAGTTCTTCGAGCACTCGAGATCAGTCGAAAATTGAAGGTAAGTATAGTTTAACTCATCGTCTACTAAAAATATCACAATATGTTTAAACTTATTGATAAACTAATACTCGTGTAAGCAAACCATACTAAAACAATATCACTTGTTTCCAGAACGATGCTCCGTCCTTGTGCTGGTCTCCCACCTCCCCAACGAATGTCTGTTCCATCAACTGGCTTCGGACTTTGTGACCAACTACCACAAAGACTCGAGTCGATTGTTCTCCATGAGCAAAGACCTACTCGAACTTCGAATGGCAGACTCTTCTGAAGCCCTGAAGAGATCCAAATACGTTGTGAGCCGAGTCGACAGTCGATTCTCGCGGAGCTTGTGTAGCCTTATCGAACAGATTGGAGTCGAGAATTGTGTCTTCGGGTTTCTATGTCTACTGGCAGAGAAGAGAATACTGGTCACTGGGTCTAATGTGAGTTATGACTGAGGAAATGTCTCTTAAATTTAAATACATTTGTAATAAATGATGTATTTTTGTAATCTGCTTCATATAATGATACATCATATAACTAATATAAACCATCCTCTTGCAGGTGTCCGATGTATCACGCGCAGTACAGTCCTTTGTCAGGATGCTATCTCCATTAGAATGGCCATACACGTTGATACCCGTCGTGCCTGACTCTCAATCTGAATTGTGCTACAATCCCACTCCTTACATCTGTGGTATATTACGGTACAATTTGAACAAACTTCGAGATTTACTATGTCCTCTACCAGGCGATACTGAAGACGAGATAGTGATCATAGACGTGGAACGAGGCATTGTGCTTCCCTGTCTGCCACTACAAAACATAAACAACAGCGATATGAAGTACAAGGCGCTTCTGAATTGGACTCACAGCATGGGATTCCCGAAGCCCATCGTGATGGACCTTCTGTCGTCGTTAAAGAGTATCTTCCCGGTGAAAATACCTGCAAAGGCTGACGAAAAGATCGAAAAGGTAAGGAGTATGCATAGTAAAACAAATTTAAAGAACGCGTCACGTAAACATACAAGATACTTTGTTATAAATGTCTTAAGAACACATTTTAGAAAGTAATGACGTGGTATGCTCGAATATTTGGACATTATACTGTATTTGGAGGCGCTCTGATGTCCACAAGGAATAGGAAGAAGCTAGCCTTGGCTCACCCATCTCCCGACACCAGGGAGATGCTACAGTGGTTCACAGAGACGGGTATTCTACAGTCCTTCTTTTTCAATCATGTAAGTCAACTTATCTACGACATATTATACGTCAACTGTGATAATATTTAAAAAATATATAAACAGTATTTAAAAGTTAATAATCCTAATTTTCAGACAAACAAAAACTATTTCTCCTCAGACATTGACCGGTTCCAGTCGATTCGGAAGAAGTACGCGCCTCCGGTCGATAAAAACGGGAAACGCAAAAAGGCCAGATCTCTGGTCTGGAGGATATTGCACCATTAACGAAGCCCCATGACATATACAAACAGTGATCTCCAGGTCCCCGTCCTATATTATCATAACTAACCTGTATTGAAACCCATATATTTAAGCCAAACATTGCATAATAAAGAAAACATAATTTATCATCGATAAACCTTGTAAATCACATTTAGAAACATAAAGAAAGATGCAGATTATTGAAATATATTTCTGAATCTTCCCTAATAACTTTACCTTATCCCCATAATTGTTCTCTTTACGTAAATTTACTATAAAACATTGTTTTTACAAGATTTTGTCGGTAAAATAAGAAAAGAAACAGTTGACACAGCAAGGAGATCAAAGTTGACACAGACAAAAAATTACCGGTAATTAAAAAATTATCCTTGATTTGTTGCTTTAATGCCGTCGGCTTTCGAATCGAGCTTCATCAATACCGAAACTGAGCCAGGGACTCACCAAGAAGAAGGAGAGCCTCCGGTAGGAACAATATGTTGTTTTAGGTGGATTGTGGGGTTTTTTACTTATTTTTGTGATCTACTTACTTTATTTCAGTTACTTTATTTATATATTGCTTTTCAAAACTTTAAATTGTTCTTTAGTACGTTGATACAAGTCTGGAGGATATAACTGAGCTTGGAACTTGCAATCACTTGTCTTGCCTAAGAGAAAACGTAAGGTCTACTATAATATCGAGCAAAAATAAATACATAGCACTCAGTTCTTTATATAATTTGTTGTTTAATTTGTCTAACTATCTATAATACTTTTTATACATTCAGGCTATCATAATATACAATCTTTTAGGCTAAGAGGTTGAGCACTTATGGGAAGGTGTTTGACTCGAATGACGCATTGTATTGTGGTAAGTTCGCAGCGGATCTTGAAGTTGTTCTACAGTATGCAAAGGCCAGCCGTTGCGAAGATAAGATTCAATTCTACTCGGTCGAGTTTCTAGCGAAAAAATGTGAGTTTTTTGTTGTTTTTCGAGGTTTTTAGGTAATAAAAGAATTATTGTAGAATAATATAGATAGGAATAGGTTAAAATATAAATAAAATGTTGCATATGGGTCTTTGTGGTTCTATATTGCACTTTAATTAATGTTTTTTGCAGTTCCATCGAAAAAAGAAGTGAATCCACCTAAAGCAATACAATTTCGTGTTTCAAACTTCAAACATCTGAAGGATTGTGTAAAGTCGGCTGTATGTTACATAAAGGGAATACCATGGCGAGTGTCACTGATTCCGCGCAAGACCAACGTTAATGGTGTGAAGGAAGTGTCATTAGGAATCTTCCTACAATGTTCTGTGGTCTCTTACAATGAGTAAGTTATATTATTAGGCATAGTAAAGAGATTTTGGAAAAAAAATTGATAAATTATTTTAGAATAAGGTACTTTTTTGTTTTTCTTATAGTCATATTAATGTTACAGTTCGTGGAAAGTGAACGCGCAAGCTGATATAGTGTTACATGGTGAAAAGGAGTTCAAACGAAAGACGAATCACAACTACACTTCCAAAGAGTGTGATTGGGGCTATTCTACGTTCATCACTTATAAAGTAAGTTTATTCAACAAAACTAACACAACTTTGTTAATTTAACATTATGGTTATTGATATTCAATTTTAAATTTAGGAGTTATTGAACGAAAGCGGAGGTTACTGTAGAAACGATTCGATTATGGTCAGAGTTTTGGTCAATTCTGTTGAAGCCAGTGGAATTATGTATGTTTTTCTAAATACTTTTATTGTTTATTTTTGTCTTGTAGCATTCAAATGTGTACTTCATAAAGGGAACAAGCTAATATACTGTAACGTAAACTAAATTTTATAAAAACAGTGTTTTTAGGGAGTTTGAAGATTTTCATCTCAAGATGAAACAATACATCAAGATCTGTGAGTTGCAACGGGAGAAGGGTTACATAGACAAGGCCATAGACTGTATCGTCCAAGCGATCGCTTTGGCGTCATATTATGTAGATGTCAAGTCTCTGAGGGAGCTGGAAAAGTGTAAGAAGGAACTGATCAGCTACAAAGTAAAAGAATCTATCCAAAGGATTGAAGCTGGCCGCGAAGCTTCTACGATTGACGCCAGTAGTGTCGTCAAAGGTAAAATACGGTTTTCAAAATTTTGCTGTTTACAACGGGTTAAATTTGATGTTTTTAAAAAGTATTTGAGTTGTAGTAGTGTAATATTGTAGATAAATAGTAGTATAGCTTTTTGCTTTTTAATATCAATATGTCTAATAATGAAGCAGATAGCGATTTAGGAGGTTTGGCGGCTGAGACTGGTCGATTGGTCAACAAAACAGCTAGAGCTCAATGTGAACGTAAGAAGAGGAAGAGCTGCAGCAGTTCTAATCAAGTATGTTTCTCTAACGTTGTCATTGGTTAAGGATAGTTTGATTATTTGAAAATACTAACATAATACAATCAAAAGTAGTCTTTTTAGTACTTTTTGGTTTAATAAGCTACAAATGTTAAATTTTAGACGATTTTACTCATTTTAAATAATTTTTTTAGAATTCAAAAAAGAAGACGTCAAACGCCAAACAAGAGTTTATCAAGACAGTCCAAGTGACCAACTACAATTCATCGTGCAAACAGGTGACCACTTTTGTGCCATTTAATTGTAAAGTCAAGGATTTGCACGCCCATGACACGACGATGAACAATAATAACAACAATATGATAACGATTCAGAAGAATATCAAAACCAAAGATTCTTCAGTGTCTGTAGAGTATACGTCAACAAAGTTTGTGAACAATATCAACGTTCCGGCAGTCGACGAAGCCAATATGGCTAAGCTACAAGATATCCTGAAGGCAGGAAAGCCGGTCGTTCATTTGAGTTTGACAATTGAAGCTGTTAACACAGAAGGCGAGTTGGAGAGGGTGATTGTGAAGCATATCGTATCAGGGGACATGAACAAGGATCAAGTTGCTAAGGACATTTTGAAGAAACATGAAAAGGTAGGTCCACATTTGCATATTATTTATGGTTTGCTAATGATGTATAGTATGTTAACGAAGTTATATTGCGCTTTACGTTGATATCATAGGAAAACATCTAATAACTATGTTTTTAGGATTGGCAATCTGATGCTGATCTAAAAAGATTCATTCCCGAGCTGAAGCGTGTTACCTCAAGTGACGAGTTCAAGCTTCTTCTGGACGCTCAGATGAAACCAGAAAAGAAAGAAACGTTATCGAAGACGAGGTCTAGAGCGGACAAGACTATCTTCTACAAATCTCAAATTGGGGAGGAGATCAAGGAAGCAGCAATCAAAGGAATGGCAGGATTCTTCGCGAGTAGAGAGAACGATAGGGAACAGTACGTGCCCTCGGAAGTTACACCGCCAAAACCTTTTGATTTGTGTGTGTCATGCGAAGAAAAGTGCAAGGTAAAGTTGTAAAATATTACTTTAGCTTGAAACACAAGGCCTAAGATACAAAATTAAATTTTAAATTTGCATTTTTTAACTATAGAGAACTGATAATAAGGTTACATATTTGATGTTTAAAACTTTTTAGGGAATGATGTCTGAAAGAATACTCAAAACGAAGAAGAAGCTCATTCTCTTCTACAAGTTCTTACAAGGTTATTACTACTCAAAAGAGTTCAAAGACGCCTACGAGAAGATCATCAACTTTGTGGATGTCACTGCAGAGAACAGTAAGTGTTCTACTGGGAGTTTTTGTTGTCTGGACTCTGTTTCTGAGTTTAAATGTAAACAAGGTTTATATTATATTGGTTTGAAATTATGTAATAATTTATATTAATTTTAACTTCAGTGAAAGAAATCGACTTTATAATGCACGTGAATGAAGTTTTCGTGGAGTTTGAGCATTGGGATCCGACCAAAGATACGGTGTTTGACTTGTTATGTCAATTCTACAGTGTTCTGGATGCTGTTTTACTACCGGTCGATACGATTCTACCTTCCTTTTACGAAATGACAGCGAGTGTCATCACGAAGAACCGGATGATCATAGAAGCATATGAAGAACAAGAAGATGAACTAGACGAAGTTCACAGCAAACTCGAACTGATGGAGGATCAGGAGATCGAGAACAGAAACATCATCAAGGATCTGAAGAAGGAGAACAAGAAACTCAAGAGGCTGGAGAAGAATTGCACCACCGAGTTGGACAAGTGCAAAGACAAGTTCTACAAAACGTGGGTTTTTATTAAGTTTGGATAACTTTTTTTTTGTTTACGTTTTTTTATTTATATAGTTTGATAAATATTGCATTTTAATAAAATTTGTAGCGATGAATGTGTTAAATCGCTGATCAAAGACATGGATAAGGTGACAGTAAGAATCAAAAGTCTCGAGAGGGAATTGAATGAAAAAGCCAAAGCTGAACAAAGTTGGAAGGATTCGAAGAAACGGCTACAGAACGAGCTGAGGGAGAGTCAGAGGTTGGTCAAACAGCTGAAAGAACAACTCGAGAAGTCGAAAGATCACGTCAAGAAACTTGAAACGGTAAGTTGCTATCAATTTTCAATTTGGTCTTCTAAGATTATATTGTTATTATGTTTATTTTATGAGTTCCTATACATGTAAATTGATTGCCAGTTCTATATTTACGTTATATGCATTGAAGTTTTGACAGCTAAGCGTCACTATAGAGTTTTGTGCTTTTGTTTGTTACCTTACTGTTTATTCATGATGTTTTCAGAAGAAGACAGCTCAAATGGCACAGAAACCGATAGAGTTGGGTAAAATTAAGGAATTGGAAAAGGAACTCAGTAATTACAGAGTTAATGAGAGTGTCCTCAAGTTTGAGAAGTCGATCGTTACAGCTGATGTCACGTTACGAATGATCGGGCAAAGAAAACGGCAAGGGTAAGGTCAAGTTTATTGTTGTTTTGCTATTTTAGGTATAACTTTTAAGAAAAGTCTTTGGAGATGTTCCGTTTTAAGTTATTTCAATCTTGTTTTAGATTCATGAATCCAACGGATGTAGCCGACTTAGACAAGCAAGAGCTGTGTTGGTCTAGCTATCGACAAGAGATGCAACGTTACGTTGATGTATGGAGGACGCAACAACAACGCCCAACCCATCTGAGGGTACCATTGGAACCAGCCGGACTTACTTTGCCTCCGGTGATAAGAGTAGAAAAGGTGGTGCATCTGAAGCCGGTCTACTTGAACGAGTACGGTGCTGTGACTACGCAGCCGGTTTGGGATCTGGAGTTTTGAAGATTTGTATTTTGTTTTATAAATTGTTGTTTTTTACAATTTCAAAGGGTTTTGAGTCGAGTATCTATGAACTGTTTTGCCAGTGTGACATTATTTTTACTATTGGTATAAGTATAGGTTTACTGTTTTGCTGTTATATTTCAGCTAAGGCTGCCTAAGACTCTCAATAACTAATTTTTAATACTGCGCTTCCAAAGTTTGCTAAATTTAAAGTTATTTATGAAGTATACTGTAAGCAAAAGAGTCATATTGAAATCTGGTAAGCAATTACATTTACCACGCCTAGCTGTAAATTACTTTTTATTTTTAAACCGCAATCATACTCTAATATCACGTTATATGAAGATAGGGCTTCCGTTATATTTGTTACTCTTTTGTTTACGGTCATAACAATTAGATGAATTGAAATTGACAGCTACTATACCCGCATTACTGGACAACTTATTTTTGTACAGTAACTATTTTGGAAACGAGGTGGACTAGGGTCGGGGTTATAGTGGTATTGTAGTAAGCGGGCTGCAGAATTTTATTGGTTTTTCTTGGAAGTGATTGAAAGAGTCGAGCGGTGTAGAGGGATATGGTGCATCTGGGATTATTAGCTAGCTTTTTTAAAGGTAACACACTTTTATTATTTTTGAAAACTAGTAGATATTACAAGTATTCGTGGACCTAGCTTAAGATTTTTTTATTTTGTAGTTTGGCTGGTGTTTTTTGTAGTAAACCATTTCTGAAATCACATTAAATTACCATTTTTTATATGCACGTAGTTAAGTTATGTTTTTTGGGGATTTATTGGACCTTCGGATGGTATCTAGTACGTAAGCATTGCGTAGCCTCTCGACTGACTACTCGACTTCTGAAGGGTCATTTTTTGTAAACGTGTGTCTTCTGCTGCACTTACGTAGGAGTTGATACATCCGGGTCAAGTGATCTACCGTGTGTACAGAGTAGAATGTACGTACAGTATATAATATAATCAATACGTTACTATTAGGTTGTTTAAATAATTCTGTACTCTCTAACTTTTAAAATTTGCTTTGAGATAGGGCACAAAATTAATTGAACAACTTACTAATTAATATTTTTGGTTAAGAAGTTACTAACAATGCCAACTTAAAGGCTTTATTCAATTCAAACCGATACTGTAAAATGGTTTTTATTACATATTGACAGCCTATTTAGTATACTATAACATAAGTGTAGGAAAGAGAAGTATGAATAATATAAAAGTTTGTCAGAGTTGACAATGTTTTGGGCTTGCTTTTAATTAGTTTTGGCAGGAAGCAAGTCTGTGTATGATGCCATCGTACAGTGCTATCTCTCTGTTTCAATTATGTTATGTCAGAACACGTGATGTGATCTATTACAACGTGTTTTTAATGTTGTGTCACGTGGTAGGTCAGTTCGTAAAAAGTTACCATGTGGTTGATATTGGTTTGTATAAAAACAAATCAACTTTTATATCTAGATGTATATGCATGTAGGTGTGGTGTATTACTGTAGTGTTTTTTTGCTTAGATACTCTCTTTAAGTACATTAAACTACTTTTATTAATATAGTATGTACGTTTTTGAAATTTAAATTACTGTGCAAATCAATCAATTAAGTCACAGTGGTTAACATGTACATGTACGACAACATACGAGCATGACATGATCGTCGAAGCTGTTTGTCCACCTACGTTATGACGGTCAATTTAACCGCTTGACGCATATTATGACATTTAATTAAATTCGGGACTAAAAGTTGGATCCGATATATATAGCGGGCTCTATGTTGTTGTTGGACAGTCGGTATAGAACAACAAGTTACCATGCTTATGTACGAATACTTAACTAGAGGCAGTACGGTAATTTTAATATTTCAAGGTGTATATGTTAGGTCACATGCAATGTCTCACGGTTTACAGTTTTTATTTTAAATTTAATTTTGGTTAAAGTATCGTACCTACATAAACATATACATACTTGCATGAAAGTATATCTTCAGCATCAGGAACCTCAAACATATTATTAATAGTATGTAATAAGTATACGAGTTGATGCTTTGTGTAGATGCTGCTATGTAGGTACGTCACCATCCTTGAGGGTATGTTTATGTTACGTAGCCAATTAGAAACATTTTAATTTTAACTGTATAACGCTACATTTCGAGTGGGTTTAATTGCTTTTCGGTCTAAATGCCTGAGGCGTCGCTAAATATAAGTTTGAGCGGAAACACAGCTTTTTACATTATTTTGTTTTGATGACATTATAGTATCACTTTTGACATTACAATTACGGTATGGAACGTTTAGGCGTTAGTCTTTATTTAGGTGTACTGTAGTAAACAGAAGGTATAAAAGTTTACTATGTTAATGATTAATTTAACCTTAATTTTGGTTAATCTGAGCAATAAAGAAGCGTAATACAGAATAAAAAATGTTATACTGTACTTCAAGCCGTATGACAGCTCATTGTGTCTTTCCAGTATCGTGTTTTGTGACAAGTCGTCAGACTTGCACTTGTATTTGGACACATGTTCTTGGTATGCAAATTGTAATAATTTAGGTCTTAATTACTTTTCGTTTATTTCTTATTTACCCATTTATAGCTCTGACTCATACGTGTTGACTTACTCGTCATGGTATCTTCTACAGTAAATTTGAGCTTTTTACAGTTAACTTTATGGGAATCTACTGTACTTTTGTCTTTTTTGATTTTTAAAGTTTTTACGACTTTTTATTGTATTACGCGTTTTGAATCTACCATGTTGTTATTATTGAATTCAAGATAATTTGTTGAAAGTTTAAATTTAATAAGGTAATGCTTTAATTTTAGGATTAAGTTTGGCTTTTTAATTGAAGTGATATGTAAAATAAGTTTACCAGAATTTTATTTTTCGTAAATATAAGGTTTTTAAGCCTTCGAAAAACAAATTTCTGGGTCAGGGAGCACATAATTATTTGAACAACCTAATAAAAAGGTAAATTGAGTTTATTTTGCGTGGGTTTTAAATGTTTTGTCATAATTTTATAATGTTTTCAAACGACATATTACACAAACAATCAAACACATGGTACGGTAACAAAAGACACTTACAGTATACTTCTTGCTGGAGGCCTGTAGTTACCCAAAAATACCACATAGCTCTTTGTATTCACTTTGTTTCGAATGACCATTCTCTTTTATTAGTATGACGATAGGTGGGATATATATTGTTGATGACGTTCTGGTGATCAATCACCTCCCTCATCTGATCCTCTTTACTATTTTTCAAATGTTCTGGGTCCAAAAATGTTTGGAATGCGATTTTGAAATACAAGTCTCATTACCGTAATCTTGAAGAAATTTATTTTCATTGGCTCCGCCCACTTTTCGAAAAGTTTAAAGTTTTTTCAAAAAGATGCAAATGCCCTGAGGACAAACTATTAACACCTTCGTTATTAAGTAGGTGGGGCAGTTTTTGCATTTATGGTTTAGGGTGTTTTTTAATGGTTCTGGTACTATGGTTTCTCTGTTCAGGATGTTATAGTTTTATAAAAGGGTACTATTTAAGTATGGCACTATCTATGTCAACCTTACTGAGAGTCCAATTCTGTTTATGTTTCTTATAACGAGAGTCAATTGTAAATTAAGTTGTTCGAGTTAAATACGGTGATATTAACGTTTCAGGTTACCAAAAATGCACTTACAGAAAGTACTTTTGTTGATTGTTACTTTAATGGTGTATGTCTTATTGCCAGTCCAGTCCAAACCTACAAATCAGATGACGAGGATTCAGGTAAGGCTTGAGGTTATTATCATTAGGACTGGATTAAAAAGAGGGAGAGGAGGTGGGCGGGGTGGTGAAGTTGATAGAGACAAGGAGAGATTTCTCTTGTCCAGGGGACACTCCAAATTTACTTTTCAAGCGGTGGTTTTCAGCCGCTGATAAACGATTAACCCGAAAGCGTTGTCCAACTCGATTTATTGGTACAAAGCTCAAACTTGGGTTAATAAACCGAAATCGCGATATAATTAAATATGATATAATAATAATAAAATAAAATAAAAACTATAAAACTATAAAGCCAATTTAGAAAAATTAAAATTAACTAAATAACAAAAAAACTGAAGGTGAATAAACTGACGACTCGACCGAATTCACAAAAAGTGACTGAAGAACTGAAGGATAGACGGAATCGGCGTCTCCTGACACATTCCTTTGTCTGTTGTAAAGTGAACAGTTCTTTTGGCCGCGTCTTCCGCGGACATCTCTTGCCCTCATAGAGCTATCTTTTATATATACGTTAATATAAAATGTAAACCTAATTTTTATTTCAATTTTCGTCATAATAAGGGAGTTATAGCGACATATCAATTACTGTAGTGTAAAAGTAAAAACCGGAACTAAATTCAAATGCTAATTCTACTCGACCAAAATAGCTATTACTGTTATTAGTAATTTACCGTGCTACTTCTAAATTACAGTTTTGTTAAGAATGCAGGTAACAGTAAGTAATGTCATTTTGACTACGTGACACTTTCATACGTAGTGTTTGTGAGCATTACTGTACTATTAACATTGATGACAAATGAGTTTAATAGAATGATTTTAATATCTTATGATAGTTATTAATAGAACAACCTCATTAATTTTAAATCAAACACTATTAGAGACTGGAACAGATATAAAGATAGCTTAGCGTACGTGCTATATTAAGGATTGATTTTGTTATGTCATCGTAAGGTTTAGAAAGCGATGTCATTCTCATAAATTTACATTTTTTGGCATCACAAACAGGATGTGACACGACGTTTCATTCATAAAACATGAGCAGCCAGCTTGCAAAATTCTTACTGTAATTTAATCTTAATTTTACAAAATCTTTGAATTTTGTAGTTTCAAATTGTTACAGTAGAGTGATTGTACTGTACTGTTTAGTCATAGTATGTCTGCTCATACACTATGTATGCTATATAGTCAAATTTTGGAGATATATTGAGCCCTAAGGGGAATCCTCTGCTGGCGAATGTAGGGAAGGGTAAATCCATAAAAAAATTACAGTAATCTTCTTTCAGGAAGTGTTCCGAACTTTAATGGGTCGCAAGCCAATGATGCTAGCTAGTCGAGGCAAGAAGTCAGGCTTCCAGAATCCGTCTTCAGAAGAAGACGAGTACAATATGAGGGTGTTCTGGCTTCTGAATCAGATGAATCTGATCCAGCCTGAAGACAAGAAGTAATTCTACAGCATCCGATGACTTTTATATCTCAATATCACTATTTAACATGCGATAGTGTGGGTAACACATCGTAACTGATAACAGCTTGAATCAGAAGCACGATCGTTAGTTTTGAACTGATAATGTCATCACTGTTTCAAGGAGGTGTAGCATCGTGTAATTGCTTGTTTACAGCGTTCATCAGCATTTGTATCTTACTTTAGATGTTTGGCAATGATCTCTGATAGTAATTGTAACATTGATATTATCGTATTTGAATTTTTCTACTGTTGCTTCTGCTATAATGTCTAAAACACTTGCTCTACTTATTTTCACGCTAATTATATGTCTTTAGTCTTCAGTTTAGGTTAAACAAAGTTCCTTTGGTGCTGCTACCGTAGTTGTTGCTAGTGTTTGTCTTACTGTAATATGGGTTCTTTCTTTGTGTCAAAAGGTGGTTTTGTTAGTCTGGTCGTGTTGTTAATTAATTCACTTTTATAACTATTAGTTACTTTGTCTACCGTAAATGTTACTCTGTTAACTTAAGCCTTTAACGTCAGTAAAGTGTCATAGTTCACAATGGCAACGTATGTTCCATTCTGTACTCTTTAATTACTTTTACTACAGTTTTACTTTTGCAAATATTGTCCACCCGTTACTCTGATATAATGTTAATTTACTTTAACAGCCTTTAACTTACCGTTTGTCTTATTCTATGTATTTTTTACCAATATCTATCCACATATATATGTAGATGATAATACTCTGTAACTTAATGATCTCTCAATAATAAGGTGTTTATTGTACAATATCCTTAGATAGATTTCTACATTAGGTAGACATCACAGACTCTGTTCCCTCTCCTTGACCTGGGCGGGAGCATCTGGCTGGGCCAAGGCATGAGCTCTTTGGAACGATGGCACTTTCGACAGGTTTTTGTTGATCTGGTCGATCAACTTGAACTCACTCACATCCATGTTGTACTTTCTGAAATTGTTAGCTGGACTAATAAAACCAGGACTAGTTATGATATTTAGGTCGTGCTTATTCAAAAAAGGAGTAAATGTAGTATATTATTATCTTTGACCATAGAATAGACGAGACAGTATAAGCGCTTTGAAAAGTTAAAGCTTCATTTGAACAGTTTGAATTAATTTTAAAATAAACCTACTTTGTGGCATTGAATACCTGAGGCACTAAACAAACATCAACCAAACTGATTCTGTCTCCAATACAGTATTCTCCGGCAGTACGGTCCAATCTCTGTTCCAAGGCTTTAAAACCTTTTCGAATAAAATTGTCCGCGAACTTTTGGGGATCCATACCGTTCTCGTTCACAAACCTCAACGTCCCAATATTCTGTAGAGGTTGAATTGCGGACACAATCTGAAGTATTCTCACGTATTAAGTTTGTACCTTGTTTTTGTTATATACACTACCTATATGATTCACAAAACCCTCAACATCCCCTCTTAGGTTTCAGATTATATACCTTGTGTTGAGAAAAGTTATAAACGTTAAAGTTGAAACACTACCTATAGGCTAATTAACGACAAAATACCTCTTGAAAATGCTTTTAGTTGACACTAATTTGGTCAAAAAGTCTGTAGAATCGCCAGTCTATTGAATATATAGCCACTTTTATCATTTTTCACAAACATTTTCATTTTTCTATTTACTTTTTGACCAGGAAACTAAAATCGTCAACATCAAACGACTTACCATCAAACTGAGTGCCCTGATTGTAGCACGTTGATACGAATCTCCGCCCAGAAGTGTTGGCGTCATAGGATATTCTTCCTCCAGAAACTCGATGATACCCATACTCTCAGTTAGTACCTGTCTGCCGTGCACCAGTATCGGAATCTGACCTAATGGATTCAGATGCAAAAACTGCTCTGATTTCTGAAAACAAACTCCTTTTGTTTTGTTAAGTTTTTTTTGTCATCCGACGTTACTTTTGTAACTGATACTTTATAAAAACAGGGTTAAACTACGTAAAATACCTAAAATATTCAAAATACTGTAACTTAAACGTTTAAAAATAGAGTTTAGATTGCCCCACGCAGTTCAAAGACCAAAAATTGTTAAATTTTGATTACCCTTGGTTAAACAAAGTTCAAGAATAAAAGTTGTACCTATAACAAGGTTAACAAGATCTATAAATCTTACCTGTTGGTCAACGTGTACATGACGACCTTCGTACTGTATTCCTTTGTACTCAAGAGCATTTTGTACACGCCACGTGCACGAACTTGACCATCGTCCATAAAGAATTGGTCTTAAACTAGCCATTCTGAAAGCATCAACTGTTATAATGACAAGATTAAGTAATGAATATGATAATATTCAATGCTGCAAATGACAAAAACAAATGTTACTGATAAAATAAACTACGAGAAGCAACTGAAGTCACGTGTAACGTTCTTTGGTGTTAAGATAAACAATCCAACAACAAAATGCCTATATTCTTCAAACTTTATGTAAAAACTGTCAGTCTAAAGAAAACGTCTTTTTAAAAGTTACTACTCAAACTTTCCTGATAAGATAAACAAAACAACAGTATCCAGCAAAAAAAGTAAAATACGTATTTTGCTGCTTACAAGCTTGCACTACTGGTTTGAAAAAACCGTTGGTAAACAGTCCTTTCCGAACACATGAGATAGATAATATAAAACTAACCGCGTTCTTATTCCTCTATGCAAATGCCCATCATACGTGCCTTCCACAAGATCACGCGGTAAATAACACTGTGTTTAATCTGATAAATGCTAAAAATAACTCTACTGCTTACTTACAATGTCAAAACAACAAACTACAGCTCTACCTTCCTACCTATAGTTATACTCCTACTTTACATTGAAACAAAGTTAAAATACTAAAGAAAAACAAGACCAAAAAATCAAATAAACACTCCCAAAGTCATTTAAAATATTCAAAAATGTTTTTGTGTATAACAAACAATACCAAAGCTACAGATCAGTATTTAATTAGTACAATCGACATAATTTACAGATAATATACACAAACATATGAGCCAATACCTGAGATTACTTGTTGTGCTTCTTCAACATCGTCCGGACCTCTTTCTTAGCATTCTCTTCCAATAGATTAATCGGTTCCACGGAGTCGGCACTCTTCAACACCTTGACCATCTCTTCCTTCTGACCCAATGCCAGCAGGGTCTTCCCGAGGTAGAGCATGTTTTCAATCCACTCAGCTGGCTTCACCTCCTCCACCTTCTTGAACTTCTCCAAAGCGTCTTGCATCGTGCCCTCTGGTGGTTTACCGTACAAGACTGAAGCCAGATTCCTCTCCACCCAGCTGAGGTTGGCGATTGAGAAGCAAAGACGTCCGTAAAGGTGGGCCAAGATGTGATCATCCTCCACGATCTCCAATCCCTTTTCGAGGTACTCCTTGAACTGGTTGCCCATCTGGATCTTCTCTCGGTTGCCGAGTTTTCCACGATCCGACAAAGCTCCAGTCACGATGGCGGCCCATCGTATGCATTCGAAGTCCTTCGGGTTGATCTCGTGTCCCGCTGAACAATACTTCTGAGCTTCGAAGAGCAACTCCTTCTCCTTTGAGTGCTTGATACCATCCTCACAGGCCTTCATGTAGAGAACGCGTCCCAAGCGCCACAATACGTCGACGTTCTGAGAGCCGCCATTATTATACTTCTGAAAACAGTGAAACTTAGGTAACAAAATTTAAAAATAATAAAAATTTACACCTTTAATAGTTTCAAATTATAAATTTCCGAGATTTTATCAACCAAAAAGCAATAAAACTAATCAAACGTTTTCGTTTAGAGACCAAAACTAATAAGCAAGGTATTTTTCTCGAGAAGAACTAAAAATGAATAAAAAATTTAAAAAATAGACTTACCTCGATCAGCTTTTCGTAAACTTGTTCGTATTTGTGCTCCTCATCGAACATATAGTCCATTTGTTCAAACTCCTCCTGTCCAATTACTTGATTCTGGATTGCAGCCGGTTGCCCTGCCAGTTTCACATTCTCGACCATCTTGTTACTCCTGAAACACGAAACATCAAATACATGAAGTTAAAAGGACGATAAAACGAATATACATAATTAAAAATGTAATAAACCTATGTAAAAGTTTGGTTGTTACCTAATTTTAGAGTTTTACATGAAAATACAGCAAAACTTTCCAAAATAGGTAATACAACCATCAATTTTAAATCAAAGACAGCAATAACAATAAAGCTAGGTGCAGAAAAGCTTAATAATATTAGTCCCAACCTAATTTTAGCCCGCTAGCACTAACAATAGTGAAATATTCAGTTATATCTAAATTTAAACACGATAACACTTTCCGATACGAATTACAATAAAAAGAACGCTAAAAGTACAAAAAAATGACTGAAATTATGTAGAACCCCGAACAAAAAAAGCTTATTTTACGTAAAAACAGCAAAACGATACCCTTATCATGAAAAAAATTCATGAACAACATGAATTTGAACCCCGAAAAAAGTCGCAAAACCTTGGCGCGATCTCGAAATTGTCCTCAAATCAAAACAGGGATTGCTTCCGGCGCGGAAACAATGACATTTTTGTTGTGAAATTGCGGAAATATAACTTGTATTCCGTTACCTTGACCTTTTATACGCTATCAACTCGGTTTACAACCGAATCGAGTTCGGGACAACGTTCATGAGCCTGTTGACAAACGGAAACCCCCTCGGTCGGGTTCAGTTTTTCAATAACTTGTTCATTTCGATTAATTTGCAGAACCGCGATATTGTTTTTAAAATTTGAAGGGAAATTGACAAAGCCTGACATTGTTTTAGACAACATCTTTTTGAAAAAATTGAGCTAAATGAGGTTTTTTATGAACAATTCGTAAAACGACAAGCTTTTTGGACGTAATCCGAGAAAAAAAAAGACGAAAAATGACAGTTTTTATGGACAAAACCTGACGGAAAAGACGAAAAAACGTCTAAATCAACTTAATATAAGAAGATATCTAGTTGCAAACTGATTCATCCTTTATTTCAGATCCGTTTTAATCCTCTGACTGTTCAATACCCGGCCCAGCATCTAGTTTCTTTCCACATTCTTCACTCCAAAGGTTTAGACGCTTCTTCTATAGACGTTTTTGAATTCATAACGTACTTAATTTGTTTTAACTAGCGTACTATTCTTATACCTAATGTTTTAGAAGTAAAAGAGTTTATTTTCTCATTTATTACCCAGAAGTACGCTAGTTAAAACATACCAAAACAGAAAGTAACTTACAGTTTCATGGTTTTAATCAGTAGTTTTCAAAGTGGCAGTTTAGTAATAGCGAAAATAGAGATCACTACTACAAGTTAACCTTATATAGGCAAGAACAAAAACAATCGACCGAACAAGGTAATCATTGAGAAACCACAACATATCGAAATCAGCGCTGTAAACTCATTATCTCTCGAACACTTGGCGGCATTGCTAGCTGGGTATGGGGCTAGCTCAGTGTAAAGTGATCGGTTCATGACATTTATTGTTGTTTGTTGGTTTCACAATGAACAAAAGAAACTTCTTGTAGTTTCTTTATGTTGTAGTTGGTAGACTTTTGTAAGAAAGATGTCAACACTGAACATAATACTCAAAATACGAAGATTAACAACCAAGGACACCTAAAATAAGACATGGAACTCAATATCTTGTAACTACGTAATATAATGCTGTTTCGTGCACGTTCGCGAACGTTCTTGGCCGTGAATGGAGCGGAATTCCGGGGTTTTCTCGCTGATATCTTCCACTTCATCACAACTGTTTTTTCTGGTTTGATATGATGTATATGAAGGATGCGCGTCGAAGGTCGTGCCATGTGTAATCGACCCATTTAGGGGATGAAGTTGTTGTTGGATCATCAGTCGCGAGGATTGACGTGTTTCCACCATGTTTTCCTACTGTATTTTGGTCTTGTTGATGGTCACATCTGGTACCGCCAAGAAGGGACCAGCTGATACGCCTATTGACATCAGTAAAGAGCACACGCCTGAGGCACAATGTCACTTCTCAGTTCACGAAAAAGCACACGATGGGCCTGAAGTGACCGGTAGGTTTTGTTACTGTACATACGAAGTTATATTGTTGTGTTACTATATTACAAATTACAATAGGTTGGGTAGTACAGTAATTTTATGTTGTACACTGTAGTTCCAAGTGGTTTGCAAATTACTTTTGTACTTTTAAAATCGCTTAAACTTGTGATTTCTAATCAGCTAATTGGCATTGTGACTTGTGTCTGCAGCTACCTTTAGTTTAAACCTTGGGTCAGTTACTATTAACAAACAAGTGTATTTTAAGGTATTTTGATGGAAAACATTGCGTAACCACTAGATTTTACAATAACAGTTGACTAACACACTATTACGACTTGTTTACGAGTAAAATGAAACTTTAGGCACCAACCTTCACCAAGAACTGTTCTATAAGATACAATGTAAATCAGAGAAGGGCTACTGCCTGTTCGTGTCTAACTGCACAGTAAGTGCTGGTAACGAACAGCCATACGAAATCATTGACAACAAAGGATGTACAACAGAGCCGAGTCTTTTCGAACATGTAAAGGTGAGATTAATTCAGCTATTCATGCAGATTACTGTAGCTATTGATACATAACAATCAAAATTTTAAAAATTTTTTAGCTTTACAAACATCTTATATTCTTTTTAAAAGCTATCATTAAGTAAACTTTAAAGACTACAATACCTAAAAGTAGGATCTCATACCAAAAGTTAACCTTATTTTTACAGTATCTGGACGACTTTACTGCGGGCATCTACAACCCCTTCCCTATCAGATTCAGAAACCAGAATTCAGCCGTTAGATTCCAATGTTCGACGAGGCTACAGCTACGAGAGACCGAAGGATATTGTGAACGACCAGCTTGTACAGCAAACGACTACAGTGAAGCTGCTAACTTCCACAAACATGACTGATACAGAAACCGACCGGAAGTGTAGAAAAAAAATAAAATTGACAAAAAATATAAAACTTTAAATTAAAATGCTGTCCACTTTATATTTTTCAAATTGTCAAGTCGCTAGTTCTGGCTATTTTAAAAGTCAATTCTTCAAAAGGACAATTTATGACAATCAAAATGACAACACAAGGTCAAAAACTGCTTTATGGCAAGACAAGATCAAGCCTTCATGGCCATACGAACGGCCTTGGCGGCGGGACGATAGATGTTGAAAGAGCAGTTCAAGTCCTCAGTAATGTGCATAGTGGCAGCAGCGTTGTCGAATTGGCCACAGTAATGAGGAGCCGAGAAGATGGTGACCAGGCGGCGGTTGGCAAAGAACTCGTACCCATCTTGGACTACCTGAAACCGCAATTTATAGGTTTTTTCGCTAATACCGTAACAAAAAACGTATAAAATTTTTCAAAATTTAATTTTAAAAAATATTCCAAGAAATTTCAAAATTTCGAACAAAATGTACATTAAAATCCCCCAAGCAAAACAAAATAAAAATATTACCCACCTGATGAGCTCTTGCTACCAAATCAATATCGAGTTTCGCGCAGGTGTCAACCACAACGTCTTGGCCGAACACGTAGGACACACCGCGCGTGTTTGCCTGCCATCCCTTGGCCCACTGGTCGGGATCGGCCCACAACAAGTCAATGCCCATGCTCGGGTTGGGCGGGTCTTGGGGACGGTTGATGGTGCGGAGCTGGTCGATGCTGGTCAGTTGAGGCGACAGTCCACCGTGCATGCACAGAATCTTGCCGGCGATCAGGCCACACAAGGGCATGTGGTTGAATGTGTCCTGGAACACGTTCCACAGTCGGATCGACTTGTAGCGTCGGTTACATTCCTCGAAGAAGCCGTACACGCGATTGATGGCTGGACACTCGTGGTTGCCGCGCAGCATAAAGAAGTTCTCCGGGTACTTGATCTTGTAGCAGAACATCAACGAGATTGTTTCAATGTTCTGTCTTCCGCGGTCAACATAATCTGAAACAGAAGTTTCTAAGGTTATAAATGACTAAAACTCTGTTTGTTGTACTATATTTAAGATCTAAAAACGCTACAGTAACTAGCAAAAGCTTGGTTACTATAAACTGAATAAAAAACTTTCAAAAATATAAGTTGAACCAAGAATAATTGATCAAAAAGTATATGACTTACCGCCAAGGAAGAGGTAATTCTGTTCTGGAGGGAAACCATTCTTGTCGTAGATACGGAGAAGATCCGAGTACTGTAATCATAAAGTTAAAAACATCAAAAATTCAAAAACATTTTGTCATAATTATTTGCGTGGTCAATAAGTAAAGAGAAAAACTTAACAATTATAGATTAACAGCAACTTTTTATAAACTTAGTAACTTATAGTAACTCAGCAACCTACTTGACCGTGAATGTCGCCACAAACGACAAGTGGCGGGTCAACTTCGATGAGCGACGGCTGACTGTTGAACACTTCTTTGGCTAATCCACATAGGGTCTGGATCTCCTGCTCGCTGACCTGAGTGGTGAGGCGACCGCCTGACATTCCCACGTTCAGGAGCCGGGAGATCATACTGTCAAGATCGAACTGCGCCATCGTTCCTTCCTTCTCGCCCGATTAATCGATGAATGAAGGCTATGATCGGCCGACAATCGGACAGCGTCACGGCAAAGAATGGAAGCTCACCGCTCTCCAGTCTGCCTTTTATACTCGCACGAAGTTGGGTGCAAAATTTATGTAAATTTCGATTATTTTTGGGCCCGACCAGTCCAAGGTACAAGATGTTCTTGGTATAGGATGGAGGATGCTATTGATCATACTTATTTATACATATGTTTGTAGTCTAATTTCGATAGTTTTTCATTGTGAGTTATGATTTTTTTCATTTTTAATAGGGAATTACCGATAATCTTTTACCCAAAAATTTGAATAATTAAAAATGTTTACAATTGACATCATTTCCGATGTTCGTATGGCCGTAAAACAACTAGAATTCCCCAGTATGTAGCAATTTAGCTCTTTTAAACCCTCTGTAAATATTTGTTTAAAATTGTTATGCTAATACTCGTAGAATCGTTAAAAATTTACAAAATATTCGTATGTTACCGCTAATTAGTATTGTTTTACATGGCGTATAATTTATGTACTATATATATATGGTGTTATATATATTCATGATTAGAAAATGTTCAGTATTTACATCGTTTTGATGGAATGTCAGTTTCTGTTGGCTTCGTTCAGAATCTGGAGAATAGTGATAAAGAGGTTGATAACGTCCAGATAGATGCTGATACACGCTAAAATGTAATCTTCTTCTGAGTGATGATGCATCACGGCGTCAATGTCGAACACCAAGTATACCGAGAACAGAATGGCACCAAAGATACTCATGAAGAAGTTGAACGAAGAGGACATCAACAGAATCTGCAAAATAAGCAATAAACGTATATGAGCATATATGAAGACTCTAAGCTATTTTACCTTACAATTTTAAATTAATATATGTAAAAATGTACCTGTAACATGCATCCCACCAAGAATACCATAGAAATAGTACCCATTAAAGCATAGCCTTTACGGAAGTCATGTTTCGACTGTAATGTGTAACAGAACAAAGATACCACGACAGCAGCAGTGACCACCATCGCTTGGAGCACGACTTCAGCTGCATAAAAAGTAACTAAAAAATTTTGTTATCACTATAATACCAATAACCAAGTGCTCTTCCTTGTTAACCTTCTTGTACTCAATCATGCATTCCAAATTAAAAGCAGTTCCCTTACCTATAGCTGATACAGTCAACGACTGCATGATGGTCCAGAGTCCCAGTAGAGCATAATTGACCGGCACATTGTGGGCATGGTAGAACATGGCAAACAATACCCCGATCGATGAGAATGATAAGGTTAACATGATCCATGGCCTGAAATAACCATTCTTTGTTCCCAGACCTGTCAATGTTATAATTGCACTGCTGGAGGCAGTTTTTCCTTTTTCATACAGTTTTAAGTTCTGGTCGTTCCGAGGGTACGTTTTAGCTTTTTTAGTAATAGTGTGGCTAAAACGCGTTCAGAATTGTCTTATCTTTTGTGACCTTTTACAATAAGAACTGGCCTCTGTAGCTATTTATATACACCTCCTTTTATGCTTCTGAATACTGTTGTTTTCAAGTTAGATACCGTAGAATACCAAGTATTTTGGTTTAATTAAGTGATCGTGAGAAAGAATTGGGCCACAAGAAGCTTAATTCTAAGCCTCTTCCCGCCCCCACATCTTCAGAATGCCTGAGGGCTTGGGAAAGGCACGAGTTCCCTCCCCAAACTCCATTGGGAGAACCGTTAACTCAATTCGGATGACCGGCCTTTAGTTCAATCAGCAACAGAAAGAAGAACGAACTACAGGAATGCAGGTCACCGTCTTGTCAAATCCAAACTTTCCTTACCACTGTGGGGTATTTACAGTATTTTTTTCTAATAAGACTAGGTATATCGTCTTGTATTTTATTTGAAAAAAGCGATTATATATTTTTTGTATAATTCTTTAGGACTACTAAATGTTTGTACCTATTAAAGATTGAGTATTCTCCTCAAAGTGCAGAGTTTGTTTTCCCTATCATCCCGCTTCTGAATCCTTGAATATCTAAGAATAATAACAAATTATTCATTCCGGGACAGAAAATAAACCTAGACTACTTTAGAGACTTGTTTTTGCTCAAATTATACCCGTTTTAATGGTTTCTTCAAAAACAATCCAATTTTATGGATAATTTGATATCGTGGCCGCTTGCGGATTCCAACCCAAACTTGCTTGTTTACATCTTAAACCCCACGCGTTCATAAATCTACTCAAACCTTTTTGACAAGTTATTCTAACGTGCACCTCATGAGTTACAAGGCTCTACACGGTAAACCACTTTTGCGTGTTTAATTGGCATAGAAATGCATGAGCTGATACTTGATTAGTAGGTGATATTCGATTATGGAATTTACGTTTAATGTTGCATAACTTGAGCTAGCTGTGTAAACGTATTTCTTTACTAGGTGGTTCAAAGTTAAAATACGCTATGATTGATTCATAAATTAATCCTTTTGTATGTCACCATAACTTGAAACAACCTACATTTAAACATTTGACCACAATATATGCATCCACTTAATCAAACGTGAACACCATAATCGAATATCAACTACCTAATCAAATAAAAGTGCTGTTCGATAGTACTTTAAAATTCGAAAGACCGCTTTAAAACACTGTGAAAACAAGTTGGGGTGTCCTTTGACGGTTGCATAAATCATAACAAGTTTAAAAACAGCACGTGCTTCGTTAAACCCTTTTCTTTTAGTTCTAATGGACTCTCTGACGGCCAGCGGCCGAAGCTCTCAAAACCAGAGCAGAAGCAACAGTCCGCACAGACTTCTGGAATCCACACAACACTTGCATCTGCCCTCGTTCATCCCTTCAAGAAAGTCGAGTGACAGCAGTGGCAAAATCACCCCCACCTTCAGTTTTGGGAGACGAAACCATTACCCTTCCCAACTCAATGCTGATAGGGATGGCTTCTTCCGGCAGGGTAAGTTATTAGCCATTTACTGGTAAATAATTGGATATCAACCAGTAAGGTATTAGCTGAGCCATTTGCCAGTTAATAAGTGATTAGACTACAAATGATTATACATCTACCGGTAAATATAGCTGAATTAATCATTCATCAGATTATCTCAAAATTTCAAAATGATTGAGAAACTACAAAAGCCAGTGTCTTTCACGCTGTCTTCTGACCCCGATGCAAACATCAGGTGCCAAGCTTTTCCGAATAAGCCGAAATAGTCATAACTAATGCGTCGCACGATTAAAAATCGAATCATAAATTCAAACAATGGCATGCTTAATGCAGAATATTCGTGCTGCCCGAATCTTCCAAAAACTGCCTTAAGGATTAAGTTCGAAAATGACTTTAATCCGTCTTTAATCTTCAACTACCAACCCCAACACCAGGCTGATTTCAGGCCTTTTTGCCTCAAATGTTTACTAATTTCGCCATAATTTTGTACGCTCCTCCCTTTCGTACTTGTTTTTAGCTCCAAGATCAAATTACTTTATATAAAAGCATGTCTTATGATCCCATAACACTTAAACTAGCATCTGTCTAATGGTACGCTCAAGTTCGTCTAGATCAGGTACGTCTCGTCTCAATAGGTATATAATGAATTACTTATTTGATAGTGGATTCAAAATTCAATTGTAGGGCTATATTAGTCAAAAATTCTTCGTTAAACTACTATCCCGTATATAACCCACAATCCTTCACTTTTTTAAAATTTTGTTTATAATAATAGAAGCTCCCTATATAATTCTTATTTTTCAGATAAACCACGTCTGCCGGTGCGCATGATGAGAAGAGTAAAAGTCGCTGCCCTACCTGGAACCAGCAATTCAGATGACAACAGTCGAGCTGCCACACCCAACCTCGAGTTCCTCCACGACAACTACACAAAGAACGAGATTGAAGACTACCGGCAACTCTTTTGTATGTTTGATACTGATGGATCTGGAGCAATTGGCAATGAGGAGCTGAAGGAAGCCATAATCAGTATAGGACTACAAGCTGATGACAAAGAGATCGACGATCTGATAAGAGAAGTCGACGAAGATGGGAACGGAGAGATAGACTTTGCCGAATTCTGCCATTGTATGAAGAAAAGCCAAAGCTTGGTCAAGTCCACCAACGAAGAGCTGATAAAACAATGTTTTAACGTATTCGACCAGGACGGTAATGGTGTGATCACAGCCAATGAATTTATGTACATAGCCAAAGAAGTCGGAGGATTCTCAGACGAACTAGCTGAATATGTCTTTCATGAGTTGGACGTTTCAGCTAACGGACACTTAAGCACTGACCAATTCGCAGCAATAGTTGAGGATTACCTACTTACTGATCAACGCAAGATCTTCGATGAAGACAAATAACTTAACATTGATGCTTTTTTTATTGTTAGTATATTCTTGTATTGTAATATTTGTGCTTCGATATAATAAATCTGTTTTACATTTGCACCTCCTATTTAGCAGGCATAATGTTATTTTTAATACAATAAAAAACAATTTTTTAATCCCGTTTGCACCAAAACAATCTATTTGTTCGAATATATAAACGTCTACCATTATCTACCTAAAAAATCACTTACTGATGTTGTACGAAGCCACGAACAGTCGGAGTCAAGTAAACAGCTCCACACAGAATCACGGTAACCACAAATTGAAAGCTGAGTATTCCCAGAACCTTCCTCAAGAAACCTAGAACCAGAAATCATAAAGAACCCTGAATATTACCTATTCTAATATGCACATCAGACAGAGCCACAGCTTCTTTTCCATCCCTTGGTTGACCATTGTTTCCAAGCATAAACTTAAACCCAGCTCCAGTTTCTGTTTGGGCATACGTTGGAAGCCTAGCTTCAACATCTACATCACTGTCGGAATCTGAATCCGGATTCAGCAACGGAACATTTTGGGCCGTTACTCCAGCCATTATACCCTTTAAAGTATATTCTTACTTAAAAAACGTGGAACACATGTAAAAAGAGAGGAATACGTGTAATAACAGTCACGCTAACAGCTAATCAGAAAACAATGGCTTTTATAAAACATTTTAGAACCAAAACCTCAAAGTCTCACCAACTCATTGACAAGTAAAATAACTAAAACATATTAACATCGTGTAATCGATTCCTCGGAAATAATATCACTTAAATCTACGCAAACTTCTATACAAATATTCGTCCGTTGCGAAATAAAAACACAAAAAACAATTATTATATGCTGCGAAAGGCCACAAATCTTTAAGATTCTGCTTGCGTTCCAGGACCTAACACAACATAACATGTTTCTGTACAGTAAAAGGAAATTTGAAATTCCTCCCGCGTTCTTTTTTGCGGGAAATCGACTCGTTTAACATGAGATCTTTAAATTCGCCAAATATTTGGATATTTTAAGGAAAAATCTGTAATGATCGTTATCTCGTGCAAATTCAACGTTTCCTCTGTTATTTTTTGTTTTTTCACACATGTGCTTTCAGAATGGATTCGAAACCGAATGCTCCATCTGTACAACGGGTTCAAACTGTTCCAGCCGAAGGTGGAGCTAGATATTATGTTGGAGGAAGAGTAGGTGGCTCATTTTTATGTTTTAGCAATTATTTGAGCAGTAACTTCGATGTTGTTAAAGTTTATTGGTTCAATATTGATGTTTTCTTTGTTTATTTGCGGTTCTCGTGCTTGTGTCGAGTTGCTATATCACTATCTTTTTAGCAAATAGCAGTTGCCCAAAGGCGGATCGTTCCAACGAATCAAGTTGTTTCACAACGACATCCTCAATATCAACATGTAGTAGCTAGAACTCCATCGAGGATATACACGCCACCTTTAGGGAGTCAGGTGAAGTATGTTCCGCCAACGGATCCGAATAGAACACGATATCCTAGAAATACAGACAAATCCAGAGGTTTAAGGCATTTCAGTAGCAGAGTGTGTGAGAAGGTCAAGGAGAAGGTTCAGACCAACTACAATGAGGTATGTCGTTTTGTAGGGAAGTACTTCAATCTGCTGTTTAGGAACTAAATAATACAAAAGTGTTTCTTTTTATTGACAAATTGGATGAGCTATCTAAAACATTATCCATTATTATCACATACAACAACAATCTTTGATACAACACAAATGAAAACTGATACCTAAATTTTAGGTAGCTGATGAGCTAGTCTCAGAATACTTTGAGTCTTTGGCATATCCTCCTGCCAGTCACGATAAACAAGTTTATGATTCGAAGAACATCAGACGTCGAGTGTACGATGCTCTGAATGTGTTGATGGCAATGAATATAATCGAAAAGGAGAAGAAGGAGATTAGATGGGTTGGATTACCTACATCTTCGATAGCTGAAAGACGAAGGTTAGAAGAAGAGAAGGCTAAGCGGAAAGAGAGGATCAAGCAAAAGACAGAGCAGATGAAGGAGTACATTGTTCAGGTAAGAATGATATAAAGGTTACACGAATAGAAATGTAGAGTATTGATTAAAGAATGTAGAAAATGTATCCTACAACCTAATAGTTTGTTGTATTTGGTCTGTTAATGGTGATTGTTTATGTTTTAGTTGGTGGCCTACAAGTCATTAGTAAACAGAAACCGTGAACAAGAAAGGAAGTCTGGACGTCCATCCGAACAGTCGATCCTGTACTTGCCGTTTATAATTATAAATACTGAAAGGAAGACTTATATTGATTGTGCTATATCTCAGGACAAGTAAGTGATCATGATAAGTAAATATTTGCGTTTAGAACTGAATACGCCATGACATTCGACCGTCCCTTCGAAATTCATGACGACATTGAAGTCTTGAAGAGATTGGGACTAACTTACGGACTAGACCAAGGAATTGTGGAGAATGAAGATATGGAGGTGATCAAAGGATGTCTCCCGCCTGCTCTTAGAGTTTATGTGGATTCTATCATTGACTCTAGAGCTGGGGAGGGTAGGTTTAGTTTTATATTGTGGTAATTCTTTGTTTTCTTATAAAAATGTTTACTTTGCTTTTTATTACCTAAATATATTTTAGATGCCGAGAAACCGCCAGAAGCTCAACTGGAAGAGCCAGAGCAAGTTCAACAAGAGCCAGTTCCTGTCCAATCGGTTCCTCCAAGTCCAGCCAAGCCCCAACGATACGTGGCCAGACAAATAAAGGATTCTCCACAACAATATGTGTCAGTACAACCGAACGTTCACAACAGAACGGTCGTCGGTTCGAGGCCGACTACAATACACAGAAGTTATGTACAGAGGCCGGCCAACTCCGTATCTTCTGTAAGTTTTACAAATATATTTATATATAAGGTCATGAATATGTTTAGGTTTTTCGGTTTCTTTTTGACGAAACTGGTAAAGACATAACTTGGCTTTTGTTTGTTCTAAAGCTTGATCTTTTTTAATACAATTTTGATCTTTTAGCGGTACGTTCAACCGTCACAGAGTTCAACGTTCCAAACTGTAAATAGAGCCACTGGCCGACAAGTTTATGTTGTTCAAAGTAGCCCCCAAAACTCCCGCTATGTATATACCCGACCGGTCAATTATGGTTATGTAAGTTGATATTCGTAAGGCTTAACCTACTGGTTACATATATTGTCCCATATCTGGATTTTCTTCGCTCTGCTTTCGCTACTTTACCATTATTGTGTAAGACTTTATTTAATGTTCATTTTCAGATCCAACCCAGTTCTCAAGTTGTGTCCGAGCCCAGTACCTACCAAGAGGAAGAGTACGAGTATGTGGAAGATAACGACGTATACCACCAACAACAACAGTAACCTCGATTGACCTGTATTGTTTTTCATCGTTGCCTTAAATTCTCAAATTGAATAAATTACATTTTTAATTAGTTTGACTAACAACATATGAAAATACGGTAATAAATATTCTCGATACTAATAAACTTGATACTGTAGAAAATGTTGGGTACTGTAATATCACACGTTTATTGCTTGTTTCATGATGCGTTCGGCCGCAGGCTTCGTGCTTTCGAATTCATCTGGGTATTGAGCTGCCAGCGATGTTCTCACACCCATCAAAACTTGGCCCAGCAAGTTCTGACCCCTCCACTTGGCCTGGTTGGCTACGTCGTGGTTCTCCATGCCTAGTCCAACACCCCAGCGACAGTCCATCGGAGAAGCTTCGACCAGCGTCGCGTTTCCTGTTTTGAACAGTTCATGTCGCAGTTCCTTGTTCTGGTCGAACTTGGCCATGACTGCTCTTCTCATTATCTACAACAGTTATTCATGTAATCGATATTTAAAAGTTAGTTCTCGACTATTACACTATCTACACTCTAACAATGTCAATTCAAACTTACATCGACAGACTTTTCGTTCCACTTCTTGGAATCAAAGTCCCTGAAGCCGGCTGTGATTCGTTTCGCTGCCTTCGGGCATTCCTCAGCTAGAATATCGTCTGCAGCATCGTCGTCGCCATGAAACTTGGCCTTCTTGTACATGTAGTAATGCTCTGATGTTGGATAGTTTTTATCTGAACATTAAAGTAATATTATAGTCCAGAAACTTGCCTTTTAGCTTGATCTTGTTCGGACATCTGAAGTGGTTACTGAAGACGTATCTGTTGGTGAAGAAAGCTACAAAATAGTCTCCATCTTTGTTTCTGTAGACTGGAGGGAAGTCATATCGTCCATTGGATTTGATCGATGAAGACCTCCGTAATGACGAGGTACTTAGTGATTGTGAGCTGAGGTTGTCATACTTCCGAGGACTGTCATTGCACCTTCGCTTCTTTAACTGAAAATAGGTAACTGCTTGAAGCTTAAAAAGGAACTAAATTACTTTAAAATCTAAAAATATTACAAAAACTGATATAAAGATTATCGTTAAAGCCACTCATAAATATCACTTATAATCACAATATCAACCTTAACTTAAGTTCCTCGACTCACCTCAAAGAAACCGGAAAAGCAGTTATACAACAAAAACATTCCGCCGACCAGATCGTTCTCACAATCTCAAGTCATATTAGTCAGAGAACAGAATAATGTCACCGCAGGAAACGCACAAAAACAACTAACGGTATTCATAATATTCAGGGAAGAAGACTCGCTAATCCCGAAGGTCGTCTTAATCTCGCACAAACAATAAAAATTGACGTAGTAAATAGAAGGACAAACAACAGCTCTTATCACTGATTACATTTGAATACCGTTTTGCAAAAAAGCATACAAATGGTGTTATCACTGACTTTCACCTAACAATACTACTGCAAACTAAGTACTCCCACACAACGTTACTACTCTATTTACTTGTTTTGACTGAGTATAATGATCAATCTATACCTATTTCTTCATTATATTAACTATAACATGCAAAACTTCAAAAGCACAAGTCATAATCCCGGCAATTCATCAAAAATCAAGTAAACAAAGCTACAAAACTAAGTTTTGTAAGACTTTCAATAAATAAAAGTAAGGTTCATGAGACTTAAAAACAAAAATAACATTTTTAAGCATAAAAAAAGTTTAAAAGTGTTAACCTACATATGCCCAGTCATCTTCGTTCTCCCTCTTCCGTTTAGCATTCGTATCATCATCCTCAATATCATATTTGATAGGTGTCCTTATCTGTCTTCGTAACTTCTTGGCCGATTCTTCCCCCTTGGCCTTTAGTTTGGCCTTCTCGTCATTTTTACTTCTAAAATTAATCTTCAGTATTTTTATACATTAAGTTATTACTCTTAAAGTTTTTAACTTCAAATTTTATATGAAATATTTTAAAATATTAATATAATATCAACGCCTTCATGACGTTACAATTCCTTATCATTTAACGACATAAAGAAGCTGCAGCTGATTAAAAACCAAAATCTTGGAAGACTTACGTGTACACTAGCTGAATACTTTCTTCCTCTACTTCGTCTTGCTTGCTGCTCGTTGGTATTGGTAGTCTAAAACACTTCATTAATCATTTCTAATTATAATAATTTTATATAAATTAGATCTGCTTATATAATCGTATCACTGTTAAAACTTCTATAAACCTTAACTTTAGCCTTAATCACCACTAATAAATAATTAAAAGCCTACTTTATCACCACTTCTGTCGCCTGCTCCTTCGGAGTGTCCACTTTGTCTTGATATTTCAGTCTAAAATTAAAATAACACAACTAAACCCTTAACTTACTTATTGTTGTTCTGTACATCGTCAATCTTTTTGTTCTGCCTTACCATGTCGCCAATATAGTTCTTTAAGTTTACACCTCTATCTTTCTTCTTTTCTACTCCTTTTTCCATTAAACTATAGATTGTAAGGGTAGTTTTTGCAGAAATTTAACGAATTTTTGGCAAAAAAAATAAAAATAAAATTATTTAATTTAGTCCCAACACGAAAACAAATTAGCTTTGGCATTCCGCCCGATCAGACAAAAATATTTCCGAATAGAGAAGGCAGAATAAAAAGGAAAATCTGCAGTAATTCAAGGTCGTTTTGGTAAAGTATTTATTTGAGAATGGTGTAGTATTACCTAGAAATTAGAACCTTTGGCTAGTCTACATGAAATGCTTCAAAATACGGCACAGATATGTAATTTTGAGGATGTTTAAAGTTTTTGATGTTTGAATTCACGTTATGATAATATAAAAGGTAGTTCTGTCTTTCGAAGAACAGTTTACGAGGCCCCAGCATCCCGCTGCTTTTGTTATCAACCCAAAATACACAAAGAAATGGAGGAAACGGGGTTTGCCTCCAGGGGAAGAAACTCATTCAGATGTCTAATCCTGTTCAACATGACTTTCTTACCAAATTAGCCTTGGATTTGGATAGAGTGAGTTTACTTTTGTTTAATTTGTTTTGATTTTGGAAAATTAGGTATATGTTTTACTATTTTAGGTATATTTTGGGTAACACAGAAGTCATTATCTATATAGGTCTAACTTTATCAGTTATGTAAACAGATAGATTGTATAAAGCTTATTGTTGCAAATATAAAATTTTATTAAATTGAAGTTACTTTAGAGGTTGCGCTCTCACAGTTTGATAGATATACCTAGAGGGTGGAACTGGAAGGTGTACTGGTTCAGCGTCCATATTCATGTAGCGTTAACCTCCGTTCTGTTGGTGTTGGGAGTGTCATGCTTTTGTACAGGAGTTCAACAGTCCTACTTGTACCAATTTGTAAATTGTTCTGATGGCGTGAGTATCGCTGCTCCTATGGCTAATATAGTAAGTTTTTACATTGTTTCTTACAGTATTGTGCTAAGAATGTAAGGGTATAGAAAGCATAAAACTATTCTATTATTTTTAAATAGGTTTTTACTGTGAAAAGTCTTATTTTTATATAGTCAGAAATGAAATTTAGGTAACAATTTTTTACTTAAATTTATTACCGGGTTTTAAAATTGTTACCTAAAATGAAGTTTTAGTTTGTTGTATACTTCTCCTTGGTGGCCATAAAACAACAAAATGACTACTGGGCGGCGTTCCAACAGTTTGTGATCACGGTGACGGTGTTCTTGATGAACATATTCTTCTTCGTCAACCAACTTCTGATGGGGTTCAGATGGGCATACGAACGGCCGAGGTTTCAACAGAATTGGCCGCTCCACTTTGCTACTGTCGACTTTCTGATAGCTGGGGTGTTGCTTCTAATAGGTAGGGGAATCTTTGTTTAGGGTAGGCTTTTATGGTTTTAGACATGTAGTATATGTTATACAACCTGTTCTAATGTCTAAAGTAATAACAGTTACACTAAAGGATGTCAGGATCTACTTTTTTGAAACTTTAAATGAAATTAAGTGCTTCAGAAGTCACGTGTGCTGCTACAATAGTGGAATATGTTCTTTTGATCACAAACTGGGCTTCTTGGCAACAACAAGCTCAACGTAACATAGCACGATCTAGAGAGAACCGAGACTTAATAGCACAAAACTTACAGTAATGACGGAACTATTGCTAATTTACTGTGGTTTCTAAACTCTGTACAAAGTATATTGTTTTAACATAACATACTAACCCACGTTGTACTATAAGAAGTTATACTCCTTCATTGTTAATGATTGTTGTGACTTTTGATGTGTCATTAAATTAAGTATGGTTTCTTGGAAGAAAAGATGTTAGGGAAAACAAAAAATAGAGTTTCCGCGATTAAATTTGGGTAATTGTTTACTAATTGCAAGATATAGAAGCTCAGTAAGTTCGGGCATTACACTGTACTTTTAATTCTCCAAGCTGCTTGATACTGTTTTAGATATTCAGGTCAGGAAATGGGCTAATTTCGGGGTAAATGGTAGATCTTTGGAGGGAGGAAGACTAAAAATAGTATGTTACAATTGATCTTTGAGAAAGTGGAATGTGTAAAAATTAAAGTTTTAGCACTTTCTTACCTTATACATTGGAACATAACATAAGACTTTATATTCTGCTTTGTGTTCTGTTTACTTCAGGATGCTACAAGGATGGGTAACATAATGACGTTTGTCCAGACATAGGTTCTGTGTACTTGTTACTGTCTCTAATTTAATGACTTCACGGTAAAACCAGTAAGATACGAAGTCAGCAAGATACGACTGTGTTGGGGTGGATAGGGGTCTCAGGAACAGGATACTATGTAGCTATTTAGTAAGTTGACAGTAAATTAAAGATGTACGACAATGAGTTACGTGTTAATGAATGAAGTAGATACTTAATATTTAGTAAGCTAGATACTACATTAAGATAGCCAAGTATTATGCAGTCACCCACATCATGTAGCCAACATGATACGTGATATCATGTAGCCAGCAAGATACCATGTAACGTGATTATGTAAATGGCCGTGCATTTTAATTTCCGGCAGACCAAATTAAACGTTCTGTTTAGTTCCTGGTAGACGAACTTTGGGGTCTTACAGTAAATTCTTTTTGTTGTCTTCTCAAGGATTCAGAAGTCTTTACCGCCTTCTGACGGTCTACTTAATTTGTTTTTGAAACTAATGTTAGAGTAGCACATGATGTTGGATGTCAACATTTACTTTCAAAGTGTTTTTGAAATGATGCCTATTTTTAAGTTTTTCAAAATATTTTCAATTTTTAGAATATTTGATTTGGTCCATTTTAAAAGTGTCATATTGGGGAGTTTGGCAAAGTTTGATTACTTTTTATTTTTACTTTTGGCTACTTTAATATATTTTTAATTAAACTCAAATTATTTTGGAATTTTAAATTTATTTTTTATTTTTAAAAGCTTTAAAATTGTAAAAATATGTTTTAGAATTCTTCATTTTGGCACTTTGTTGCTTGTAAATACTGTTTGTTTACCGTATACAACTATTTTTGCAAAATATTTTGTGTTAAGCTTCTGTAAAGGGGTTTGCCATTCTGTCATAGCTTATCTTCACAGCCAGAAAACAAAATTTATCTTTAGCAAGCATTGTAACGCATAATATTATTACCTAAAATTATTTTGGAATTTGTTTTTATACAATAGTTACACACTTAAACAGATGTATTTACATATATCTTGGTCTTTTTTAACTTAAAATGGCAAGTTTTCAGGATTTTTTATAATATATATTATGTGGATCTTTTATAATATATATTATGTAATATATTATGTTAAGCTTGTCTCATATCCCTGTATTTACTTTAATCTCTTTTGTCAAAATATTAACGATAGTATAGAATAACATGAAACGATTTCATAATATAATATGAAACTTGTTATACTATTAAAGATAGTACTACTTTCACAAAGTTTGCTACTCCTTGGTTGATTTACCAGTCACGGCATTAGTAAGAGGAAACTGACCGCTCTTTACTGCGCGACTGCAAGGAATACGGTCCTGTCTATTGTAGGGTACTAATTTTGTTTTGACACATTTAAAAACCTACTACCTGGTTTACTGAATACTATAACATGTTACTGCCAGTTTGGGGGAAAACGTGAAATTCGGCGTGAAATTGGGGTTACTCAGCATCAGATTCCATTTCAGATATTATTTGAATTAGGAAATGAACTTTCTGGACGTTCGTGTGGGTGACATGAGGAACCAGTCTGTCTGGTACTCATCTCTCATATGACTCTTGTATAGTGGTTATAGAGAGTAATTGTAATATCTATGTAGTTTTAAGCAGTATTTTATCACTCTATAGTGGTTATTGTATTTTGATATTACTATAACGCTTATTGTGTTTGTATAATTCTTACTGTAACTAGTTTCTGAACTTTGGATGTCATTTCGAATCTTTGATGGCTACACGAAATGCACTATGTGTTTGTTGTGAGGGGGTTATAATTGTCGTTGTCTGTGTCAAGTTTGACAGAGTAAATACACGATGGGCTTTGGAGTAAGCGTAAGCAACATTTACTATGGTATCTTTGGTCGGAAGATACGATTAAAAGGCTAATGTGCTTATTAACGTGAATTAATTTTGGACTAATTATCGGTCTTAACATGGCAATATTTTTTGTAGGATATTACTTTTTTACTATGCATATATGTTGCATAAGTTGTGTTTACATATCATGGTAATGAATTTGTGTTGGGGGTGGCACAAGGGGAGGATAAACTAGTTTGAGGCTTTAGGTATGCAAAGAGATGTTATATATGTATTTTACTATTGTAAAGCGTTATCTGTTGCAAATACGTATTTTTTTAGGCATTTTAATGTTTGTTTACATTATTATTGGATTTTAATTGATCTTCTATGTTGATTTTGGATGTTATAATGACACTTTTGGACTGTTGTTGATCTGGTAACATACTATAATACATGACACTTATAGGGGTCTGTAAGATGTTTTAAAACACATGTTATACTGGACTGTTTGTAAAAAGCTGTAGTCGTTGACGTTCTCATAAATATACATTTGTTTGGGTCTAAGTAACAATTTACATTACTTTAATGTATAAGTCAACAACAATAGACTACTTTTTGTTTATGTTTATGATATTAATTTATAGTGTTCTATACGGCTTCTACTCAATATATTTATATTACTCAAACCTTCGTACTTCTTGAACATCGTATCACAAATTATCATCTTTTTTAAGCGTTTATGATTTTTAAACTTTTAAAAGCAGAAAAACTTTTCATATGGCATGTTTACACTGTAATCGCCGTACGTTGTGTGTTATTGTACGTACAGTACAATCTTGAGTATCAGGGATTACGTTTACGAACTTTGAAGATTAGCTCGAGATTAACGAGATATAAACAGTAACATAGATGTCACTCGTACAGCCAGGTGTTTCCTTTTAAATTACAATCTTCTGTTCGTTCTTGTGGCGTCGTATCTTTCATTGCTTGTGGGTCTTACAAGATGTTGAGGTGGTTGAGTTACAGTAAAATATAGGGCTCTGTTACAGTACAATGTCATGTAAGCCTTTAGGATATTATTTTAGATACGTATGTGTTATGTGTTGTTTTATTGACGTAGTAAACGTGTCTATTGCCTTTATTGTTGAACTTTGATTATAATATGGTAATATATATTGTCTTAATTGTGTTTTATGTTGTTGTAGATGCACTATAAAACTCATAAAGGCAATGAAGCACTATAAGCTCATGTTATGTGAGGAAGTCATGTGTACATTATTTATGGTGTCTTAAATGTATAGTTAATATATGCTCTAAAGATTTATGACTATCTACTATAGATTGTGTAAGTCCAAAAGCTCAATGGGTACTCTTTTTTATTTTATATACCGTACGTACATACTATAAAAAGGAAATACTTTGCATGCACATAACTGTATAGAACAATAAGATTTTACAATTGTATACTTTTGTCTTAAATCTCTATTGTCATCTCAACAATTTAGGAAACCTTACATTGTTTCTTAAATTGCTTTTTTTACAATATACACAGTACAATACAAGTTACTGTCTAAATACTAAGTAGTATGGTGGTGGTACTAATACTGTGCAAAGTCGCAAAAACGTGCCAAAACATACCAAGATACGAAAAGTTTCTTTACCCGGAAGTGTCACCATGCCCAACATAATCCACAAGAACATTGTAACCAGATTTACTGTCTTATCTACATCTTTAATTTTTGCGTAACATTTAAATATCTTGGAGTTACCGTGGTATCTTCGGATGATGTTTTGTTTTTGACGTTTAGTGGGGTGGTATGCTATGGTCTGATTTAAATTACTTTGGCTGAAAACAATTGTCATACGAAGTAACAATATGTAGACAGGCCTAAATATACGTAGACGATGACTAAAATGATATACGATACTTTGATTGTTAAGAGATTACTTTTCAATTACATTATACGATAGTTATGTTATATTATACTAAGTTACTTGTATAGCAAAAGAGTAGGATACGCTATTACTTACTTTATAGTGTGTTTTATACTTTATACTATAGGATACATGTATCGTTTTACGGCTGATTTTTATATTATCGTTAGCGGTACAATAGCAGTATTAAAAATATAACTATGTAGACGATATTATAGTAGAGTTATTTTCAGATGGAGCAGAAAGGCGGGTCAGGCCAATTAATACCCATAGATGAGGAGTTTCACCAAGTGCTATACCAGAAAGTAAGTAATTACATTGTTCTTTGGTATCTTTTCTTTGGTGTTTTAAAGTTTACTTTCTCTGTATCTTTTTGATTTACAAACTTTACTTACATCTTACTTTGTTATACTTAATTTTACATTACTGTTTGATATCATCAATATTGTAGTTCAGTTTTCAAATCAGACGAACTAAACGTTGTCAGTTGTCCAGACCTTTTGATGAGCTTTGATGTACTGTGTATAAGACTTGATGACATCTTTTGTACGTGATACTTGGTTTTTTGTACTCGCTCATTTTGATGGTCTTTGAAAGACGTCTGCTCTGAGGAGTTGGTTGGTTTTGTCACAACGGAAATTGCCAGTTCTGACTTTATAAAAAGAGTTACTTTCACAATGAAATAGTAGTATAAACCTGTAGATGT